CGGCTTCGACCGCTCATTTCTTTGTGTTCTTGTGTCCAAGTGTCCATCCTAGAGTGAACCTATCACCGCCGTATTCTTTGCACCCGCCTGCAGTGCCATCACTACTTGCCTTCCCAACCGAGCACCCGCCGACCGCCGCCGGATCTCGCCCGCACCACCGCTCTCCTCGGTGTATCGAGACCCAGGCGGCTCTGGCCATGGCGATTGTTGCCCAAGTGTGATGACGTCGACTTCATCCGAGACTTAGACTCAGCTACCGGAGAGGGTCTCACCGGCTTTTCTCAGTCCCCGCCTTTGGGCTCGCGTGGCGAGGAGGATCCCATCTAAGAAAACTGCGTTTCCACTCCTGTCGTACATCCGCACCGTATCGTTCCTGTACCCAGCCGTGATACCAGAATAACAAGAAACAGCAATGGTTCCACTGGCAAGTAAGTTTTCCGGCCCCTTGGGTCCCCGCTGCGCTGGCCCCTTCTGCTGGGTCGGCACTTTACCGACTTTTTGATAGATTCGATATGCAAGCCCTCTCCAGGATTGAACACCCTCACACGATCGCGGAGTCTAGTGACGGTAGATCACGCCTCCTTTTCCACTCCATGGATTTTCTATCGGTGCTGTGTCAATCGCAGGATCACGATCGCGCCGGACTCGGCTCATTTGTTCCCAATTCCCTTTAGGGTTTTTTTTGCCCGGGTGAGATACGCGGCCTGCCGCCCCTCAGGGCAACACGCTAGAACAGGGGGTTGTTCTGAAGCGATCGGCCCCCCGGAGCGGGTCCCTAGGCGAGGCGTGGAGTGTCGGTGAATTTGTGACAAGCTCAGCTGATATGGTTTTGCAGTCTTCGAGAAGGCTGTGGCGCCAGAGATCAGTAATCTACAGTATGATTCAATATCCTCTTTTTTTTTGGAAAAAAAAAATGAAAAGAAAAAAAAAAACTGCTCCATATTCCTATTTGGACCCTTCGGGGCCTTTTTCCTCGTCTGATTGTCCAATCCAAAGGATCACCTATAATTTCATCGTCCTGTCTGTACACAATCGTCTGTATCACCTATTGGAGTTTAAAGTATTCATATTCCGTACATTTACCATGACAGGACGATCATTGCCCCCATTACGGACCCCGTTGGCCCACAGTTAAAGCAAAACCAAAACCAATAGTCCCTTTTGAACCGTAAGGGCGGGATTGGGGAGGTCTCAATAATCAGACTGGAAAGGAAAGGCGGGAGAATTTTTTCCTTTTTAGGGTCTCACGTGAACCAGGATTCCGCAGCCGTTAGAGGCGACATGCCGCTATATACCGTACATACAATACGAAGGATTCGTGGTACGGAAGAGAGTCCAAAACCCCATTGGATCCGTCCAAACTTATGCATTCAGACTCCATCCACACCACGCTTGACTCTAGTCAACACCCAGTGGGCGTTGTCCGGAATTATCAGGCACGCTAACCGACCCAGGACACTGGAAACACAGTGTGTTTCTGCGACGTTTAATCAATGAAACTGCCGAAACCTACCAATTGCCTGGATAACAGGCTGGACCTCACGAGGAAGAAGAAGATTGCCCTATGATCGAGAGACTGGAAGAGCCAACCGCGCCGTGGAGGAAATTTGGCGACAATCGCGATTGGATGTCCGGTATACACCGCATCCCTGGCGAGCCTTGGGTTGGTTGTTGGCTGTTGGCTGTTGGTCTGCACTGCCTCTGACTGCCCGCAGTCTCCCAATCGAATCAATGCGAAACACGCGATTTACCGTTGTTTTTGGTTGAGTGTGTCCAGAGTGGGTTATATAATTCTTGCATGGAACAAACTAAAGAGGGCCGGTCAACTCTGTACTCCGTACAGTGACGAGTCTCCCCTCAATGATGGGCGATTCACTCCACTAGGTTCGTTGTCCCCCCACCTTCTCTTTGTTTGTTCATTTCCAAGCTGCCCGTAGCTGTTCTCTGCCGTCCAGCTCAGCCCGGTCTGGACGTGGGGCCTGACGACAACGTCGGGGAAGGCGATCCTTTCCACCCGACGACCAGAGACAGAAATCATTGTCTCCACAGCGTAGTTAGGCTGCTACATAGAGTGGCTAGTACCGTGGCTAGATGGGACCCGGGGATCTGGGTGGTAGGATAGGATTCAAATGGACTCCACCCGCGGCGGCTCAGTGTTGCTATAGTTCCGGGACAGCAGGTGGATCGTGGGTTTGAGGGTAAACACTACACGGAGACATACTCCTGATGATTATCGTCATTTCCTATGGAAGCTCAAATAATACATCAAGCTATCGCATGCGAAGGTTTGCGCAGGAATGGGACGGTGGATGCTGTCCCCGAATGTCCATTTCAGCCATCGTCATCCATACTACGTATTTTCCTGGGCCGAAACCTTGTTCACCGTCCCCCTCTCTTCCTTTGTGGGGGGCGGTAACCTGCCGGAGACGTGGAGGCAAAAAGATCATTCCGCGACTCATTAAGCCGAAATAGAACTAAGCCGGAATATTAGATGGAATGAGACGAGATCTATCATCTTACCCAATTGCACTAAAACCAGACTTCCGGGAGTACGGAGGAGTAAAACCAATAATACCACGGAAGCCGATCAGCTTCGCCTTACACAAGAGCGGCGTATCCTGTTTAGCGCATCCTTCCGGTACCTTACCCTTACCCACCAGGGGGAGGCCAGGGACGCTACAGGGGGGCAACTCCAGGGCACTAAGGAATCGCCGCTGTTCCCCGGGGCCCGGGGGGCAGGGCCGTGGGTCTACCGGTCTTAGGATTTTTGGATGCTCTGATCCGTACGGTACCAGACGAACGAACATACGGTATCGACCCGTTAGCCGTTTCTGGATGTGCTCCATTTCCCGATTTTCCCGAAGAAAACCAAATAAAAACCGATCTGTCGAATAATAGGACACGACGCCTAGTCTCGCCAGGGGGAAAAAGCAGAGGGTCAGGAAGCTAAAAAACTAAAACCCCCTCCAAGCGGGTTTGAAGGCCCATCAGGCTGGTCCAATGATCTGATCTGATTGATCATTGATCTGGTCAGGAATGAGAATCGTGACAATCGGGTGCTTTCCTCGACTCCCTTTCCCGGAAGACTTGCCATTGGGCCCGAACCGATGACGATGATGCCCCCCCTTCGTCGTCTTCGACTCCCTAGGCTCGTCCCTCGTCTTTCCCTGTACACTTTCTTGATGCTCCCCGGCAATTGACTCCACCCGCCTTCCCACCCACCCCCCTCTTGGATGATTTTTTTGGTTTTTATTTTATTTTTTTTTGGTTTTGGGATTTTTTTTCCCTTGCCTCCATGAAGTTCCGGTCTGGTTTCGTCCATTACGTCCTGTCCACATCCCCCTTTTGGGCTTCCCTGTCTACTAGACTTGGGCTGTTGGATTGAAAAAAAATTACTTTTTCCTGCTCTCATAGATTTCTCCTTTCTAATTTTGATTCTGCCTTTTGGGCCCGGCCTTTAACTCCTCTCACCGGAGTATAATCTCCATCAACTGCAGACCTATCATCTCTGTCAAGTCTACCAGGTCTTCTTTCCCGTTCTTCCAACTTGGATGGTATCGATCCGCTCTCGCACTCAATTTACACAAAGTGCTTCCTGAGAATGATGGGGATCAGTAGGAAAAAAAAAATTAACGACAGTCATAACTGGAATAACTCGAATAAATGGAATAACTAGAATAATTCTCATAATTGAGATGCTGATACAGACTCATAGTCCCAGCACGACGCTAAATCCCCAAAAGATTAAAATTAATTTTAAATCTATCCCCCCCCTCCATCTTAAAAAAAAAAAATACGTCGCAAAATCCTAAATAAATCATCCCATAAATCCAAAAAGAAATCCCTAAAAAAAACCACTTGGACCCACCCGTTTTCTTGTCCTGATTCAACATGATGTTTGCTCTGCTCTCTGCATCCTGCGGCTGCTGTACAGCTGTAACCGAAATTCTAGTGGTGAATGCTGAACGGTTGACGTTTTTGGTTTCTTTTGGCGCCTGATCACATCGGACCTCATAGATGGAGCTATCCACTGTCGACACACGTTTAATATTTTCATGATTTTTTTTAATATATTAGCTCCCCTCTCCCCGATTCCCTCAACCACACATTGACTCTTGACTCTCCTGCCCTTCTCCCCTCCAGGCCATCTGCTCTTTGAATCTTTGACTCTTTTGACTCTTGAATCTTTGGCTCTCATACTCTCCTGGGCTGTGACTCCATCAACTCCTTCCTACTCTCTTGCTTCGGGCTTCTGCAATTGGGATCCCTGAAACTCTATCACACCTTTGCCCTGCTTTCCCACCGAGATTCTTCATAGATCCCTTGCCCCATTCTTGGCGACTGTCCCGTCCTGCTTCCTATCCTCTTGAGAACCCATAGATCTTGTGTGCTCTGGTGCTCTCACGACTCAATCGGGCTATTTTGCGCCAGTGTCGATCTTGCGATAGCTGCTTTCAGGCCATTCGTTCTTCGCCCTGGTTTTTGTGAAAAATTCCCCATTTCCAGGATCGTTCCGACCTAAGAGAAATCCTCCGACGGGTTCCATTCCTCGCGCCTCCTACTCTTTGTCCTGCTCTCGTTTCCCCCTCCTCGGTGTCAGGGCTCCCTTGCAGGTGTCTCATAGTCTCCTGGGATCCCAACGATCTTCCGCCCTGCCTTATCGAATTCACCACCAAAATTTCCAATCGCAGGGGGAGCAATGCTACAGCTCTAAAAAGTCCTCAAAACCAGATCTCCACGCCTGCTCCTTGCTCCAGTATACACACCAACCAGCTCCACCCACGCCAATCGCATTCTCGCCCTTCCCAGCCCTGACGCATTAACCTGGGGTAATTTTAGGGGAAATCAAAAGCACCGCTCTTTGGTACTTTTTTTCCCCTCGCCCTTTTTTGAACTCTTCTCTCTTGAGATTTGGATTCTTGTGGAAGCGGGGTCTACTGCTCTTTGGTTTTTCTTTTGCTCTCTCTCTTCGGAGTATACGATATCACACACACTTCACGATGTTTCAACGACCTGCTTGTTTACAAGGCCGACAGCGAAGTCGCGCCGCAGATGACTTGTCTACATTTCCGATTCGGCAGTTATTCGTGCTAGGTAAGTGGTGGTACTTTTGTTGCGCAGATTCGCGAACTATGTGGCTTTTGAAGAAGATCGAAGGAGAATGACACACAACGGGACGAAATGAGAATCAGATATCTCCCCGATATGGGATCTTGATGAGTGTCTACGCCAGTGATCTTCTTTCATGCAAACATGGAGATTTCGTGGTTTGCGCAACAGAAGCAAGTAGAGCTAGACGAGAGAAAAGCCCCGCTGACCAGGTTCTTTAGCGCTGGTTCGGATTTGTGAGCCCATTGCGTTCATGTCGATTTTTCCTTATGTGTACCACATGGTCGAGTCATTCCATGTAACGGATAACGATCAAAAAATTGCGCTTTACGCCGGGATGATCACCTCGTCGTTCACCTTTGCGGAATTCTCTGCGGGCATGTTCTGGGGCCGGATGAGTGACCGGATCGGCCGCAAGCCGGTGCTCATCATGGGGTTGGTGGGTACGGCCATCAGCATGGTCGCCTTTGGCTTCGCGCCCAACCTGGCGACGGCGATGATCGCGCGCGCCCTCGGTGGTCTGCTGAACGGCAACATCGGGGTGCTCCAGACAACCGTGGCGGAGATCGTGACGGTCAAGGAGCACCAGCCGCGGGCCTACTCGATCATGCCGTTCGTGTGGTGCCTGGGATCGATTATTGGCCCGGCGATGGGCGGTGCTTTGGCCCAACCCTGCGACAACTACCCGTGGCTGTTCTCGCGTAACACGCTGTTCGACCGGTTCCCGTTCCTGCTGCCCAACCTGGTCTGCATCTGGGTGCTCATTTGCGGGATTGTTCTCGGTTTCCTGTTTCTGGAGGAGACGCACCCGGAGAAGAAGCACCGGCGTGACGCCGGTCGTGAGTTGGGCCACTGGCTCATCAGCAAGTGCTGGGGCTCGCGCGTGCAACTTCCCGATGATTCCGTGGAGGAGAGCAAGTCCTTCGTTCATGGCGTGCCGCCTGAGTACGAAAGTGTCGAATCGTCGCCTTGCCTACGCCCCGTGAGTGACGTCGGGGCAACGGAGTGCGACCTCGAGGGACAGACGTCGTCCGCGCCCAAGGCGTTCACCCGACAAGTCATCGTCACCATTGTTGCTTATGGCATCCTGGCCTAGTGAGTTGGCCCCAGCCGCCACAGCGCGTTCCTAATACTTCCCGCACTTGTTGTTTTGACTGGCCGAGCTGCATAATTGCTGACATTAATCCCTTCCTCGTGCAGCCACAGTGTGTCGTTCGACCAGCTGATGCCGGTCTTCCTGAGTACCCCCAAATCCGACGACGCCGTTTCCTTGCCGCTCCGCTTTACCGGCGGCCTCGGTTTGTCTACCAAGACCATTGGCTTCATGCTGGCCGTTCAGGGCATCTACTCGATGATTGCCCAGCTCTGGTTGTTCCCCTTCGTTGTTAAGCACTTCGGCACTCTGCGCACGTTCCGCTTCGTCCTGCTGGCCTGGCCTCCGCTGTACCTGGCCGTGCCCTATCTCATCCTGCTTCCGGCTAAATTACAGATGCCTGCCGTATACGTCGCCCTGATCAGCAAAATTACCTTCCACGTTATTGCCTTCCCCGCCTCCGCCATCCTGCTTGCCAACGCGGCTCCCACGTCAAAGGTGCTCGGCTCCATCAACGGGGCCGCCGCGTCCACTGCCAGCCTCAGCCGGGCTTTCGGCCCTACAGTGACGGGGCTACTGCACTCGAAGGGTCTGGAGAGCGGGTACTCCGTGCTGGCCTGGTGGGCCTGTGGGTTTGTCTGTGTTGTCGGAGCCATTGAAAGCTTCTGGATGGAGGAGTCTGCGGAGCCCGAGCGCTTCAAGCACCAGGACTCTGACATCAGTGAGGCGGAACTGAAGCGAGAGGCTATGGATGATGCCTATGCTGGTCGTGACTCCATGGCTGAAGAGGAGCAGCGCCTGCTGTCTCTGCGCTCCAGCATTGACCATGAATTCGACATTTCCAATCTCGATCTGAACGCCATCCACGATTTCTCCACCCCCGATGTCGACTCCTCACCTGTTCCCCGCATTTAAACTTGCCAACTAGTTTGGATGGGTAACACATGGACATTTCGATCTTTCGCCGCTCGAAAAACCCATTCACTTCTCCTTGTCCTTTTGGAAGGACTCGATCATTTTTAGTGTGGTTTCGGTTGCCACTTTCACTGGAATATCTTATTTTTCTTTTTCTCTTTTCATTTCATCTTTCATTTTTTTTTTCATTTCCAGCCATGATACCTCATTCTGATTTTTTTTTTTCTCTCTTCTCATCTGGGTATCCCCCGCTTTTCTTTGGCCTTTGGCTTGCTTGGTTTTCTTGGTGCTTCTTTTTCTCTTTTCCTATTTCGAGACCGGGGAACTGGCGCAACTTCTATAGAGTGGATGCATATGCGGAAAAAAGCATGGATCTTGGGTCTCTTTTCTTATCATCATTTGCTTTTTTTGGTCTGTTGTTCTCTTGCTTGATTCTTACTACTCTGGAGCATTTGAAACGCGATTATGTGATGATACGCATGCATCTGGGAGGGCTATCTGTGTTTTCGCATTTTTCTATATTCTGTATTCTTGCTCATGTCCAAGCATATTACTTTGGATCGTCGATAGATTCCCTTCTCACGGACTTATTTAGTCAAATCAACGGTCTTCTGCACCATCATCTTATTCTTCTGTCACAGTATTCGCTGTTTTCTTTTTCTTTTCTTTTTTTTCTCCGCGAACCCCACTCCAGCGTCTCATACTGTGTATGGGTTAGGGTGCAGTTTCATCCTGGACTGCAGGCCAAGAAGGGGCATATCCACAAACAACCCCGTCCATTGCTACTTCGTCAGCATACACAATGCAAATCCGATCATATGACTTGTTGCAGCTATATAGACCTTGGCCTCATCATCCATCTCATCTTGTCTCTCATTTATCCCTTTACCCTTCCCCCTCGTCTTCCACCCACCCCGACTCCATCGGTTCCCCATTTTCTCGGTGCTGTCAGCACTCCCGCGGGCCCGCCAATGACAGCACATAATTCCCGGGGAACTCCACTTGGCATTCGACGCCGCCCCAACCCGATGCAGATGCAATTGAGGGACTATGTACGGCATTCGAGCTGGACCATTTGCCGCATAAGGGATCCCTGCTGACAAGAAAACGCCCTACTCGATCTGCTCGCTGTAGCCTTCCCTATTCCGTCTTTCTCGAGGAGTCCGGCCATGCGACACGAGTCTGGGGTACCGAAAGTGCCGAGTGCTCCATTCCCGAGGGCAACTTAATTTCTCCGTACAAGGAATGGCCACCTACTGGTCCGAACTCCACCAGAACCCTATCGCCGTGCAAATGCGACCTTTCTCCTCTTCCCCATTCTGCAGCTAACGTATCGTCATTGCCCTCACCAGTCCTTCTCGGGGCGGTGATCATTCGCTAGTGTCTTCGCGACTCTGTCGCTCTGTTCAGAAAAGCTCATTTCCCATTTCATCCACTCTCGGAGGATAATCACCCTCCGTCGCGTGGACTTGCGCCACGGAGAGCTCTTTGGGTCACCGACGCATCTTTGCGAGTGCGGGCCGTCTCCTTCTCCTTTTTCCTGAATCGCAAGACCCGATTCTTTGCACTGAGCCGAACAACCGCAACGCCGTCTGGATCTATCATGAATGCTGATCCGGCTCGGGGAGTTCAACCGCTGTTCCCGACCGCCATCTCCGCAGAACTCCACCACCAAGAGATGATCGCAGGTCTGCGGCTCTTGCCACTCGTTCCTCACCATGCCTAACCTCCCCTCCCCGCCATCACCGGTCTCCTCGGGCAAGAAGAGACCGCATCCTTCCGGCGAGACGCCCCCTACCCAATCTGACCCCGCGAATACTTCGCGAGACGCCCCCAACCCCTCCGCCCAGCCCACCGTCCCGTCCACGTCACCCGCGCTGTCTACCGCACACTCAACCGCCACTGCTGCCTCATCCTCGTCCTCGTCCTCCTTTCGCAATGTATCCGCATGTAATCGTTGTCGACTGCGCAAGAACCGCTGCGACCAGCGCCTCCCGCGTTGCCAATCCTGCGAGAAGGCCGGAGTCCGCTGCGTCGGATACGACCCCATTACCAAACGCGAAATTCCGCGAAGCTATGTCTATTTTCTAGAGACTCGGGTCGCCTACCTGGAGAAGCAACTGGCTGAGCATAACATTGAGTATAAGAAAGCTGTCGCCTTCGACGAAGAGGAGGCCGTCAAGACCGAGACCGAAGGCGACACAGGGCAACCCGGCCTTGGCTTGGACACCCAGGATGGATCAGAGAAGGCACAATGGAAAAACTCGGCTCTGAAAGAGGAGACTGATAGATCTGATCTCAGAACAGACGGAGGTCAGAACCGAGATGCGGACGGAGAGCGTGACTCTGCAAACGAAGACAATTGGCGCCTGCACAACCTAGTGTCGAATATTGGCATGGTTTCCGTGCAGGGAACGTCCGACCCCAGATATCTCGGCTCAACCTCTGGTATTTCGTTTGCTCGAGTAGTTTTTGCTGCCGTCCGGAGCTCGCTACCGGGAAATATGCCCGAGCGTGCGCCAATCCGTACCAGTGAGCGTTTGCCTCAGACGGCCGGCGCATCTGGCGGTGGTTCCATGCGTGATTCATTTTTTGGCCTTCAGACACGACCGATGATGAAACGTGCATCTTTTCCCGACCGCGATCTCGCCGAGCGTCTAGTAGACCTCTATTTTGAACATGCGAACCCGCAAATGCCTATCCTGCACCGCGGTGATTTCATGGAGCTTCTTGACCGGACCTATCTATTGGAGGAGAAAAATCGCTCTCCTAGAGCCTTGTATGTTCTAAATATCGTGTTTGCCATTGGAGCTGGCATCATCTTTGAAGATAAACCCCAGAGTTCGGATGACGAAAGCCGCGCTGGCCGTGACCGAGCCTCATCCACTACGAAACGACCACGATTGTCTAATCATCAATACCAACCGGAAGAATACCACGCCTCGGCGATTGTCCACTTGGAGTCTTTCCTTGGCTCTTCGTCTAGCGAGGGATTCGGCGGATTGGAAGAGCTCCAGGCGGTGCTCCTGCTGGCCAGTTTTGCCTTGCTGCGCCCAGTCGCCCCTGGTCTTTGGTACATTGTCGGAGTTGCTATGCGCCTTGCGGTTGACCTGGGCCTTCATTATGAAGATGGCGTAGGCCTCGACTCAGGGTCCAAGGACGGAAACCAAGTCCAATCACGTATCGACGCCCGTGAACGGGGCCGGCGGGAATGGGTTCGTGATCTGCGGCGTCGCCTCTGGTGGTGTGTTTATAGTTTCGATCGTCTAGTTGCTACCTGTGTTGGGCGACCTTTTGGTATCAGTGACCAGGCAATCAGCACTGAATTCCCGTCGATGATGGATGACAAGTACATCACTAAATCCGGCCTTCTGACGCCTCCCGAAGGAGCCCCAACCTACAAGCATGTCGCTTTCCATTACTTCAAACTCCGACTTCTTCAATCCGAAATCCACGACGTGCTCCAATACCAACAGGCTCGTGCCGTGCGCAGACGCGCCTCTGAAAGCGCGACTATCCTTCCGCACGCGGAGTTGACCTCGCCCTTCCTCCAAGGCTTTGATTCTTTCCGCTCATGGCGCCACGATGTTCACCGTCGTTTGGTGGAGTGGCAGGATAGTGCCCCGACACGCCCCGACACCGGTGTCAGGTTCTCTATTGAACTTCTTGAATTAAACTACTGGCAAGCTATCATCTTGTTGTACCAACAGAGTTTGACCGTACCGGCTGAGCTGGCGGGCGAGTTGACCCCTGCAGACGATGTTTCCAGCCCGTCTTTCTCTAATCCTGATGAGGGTGACGAGGAGGACCACGTCTATCTCAATGTGGCAGAGGCTGGCCAGAAGGTTATTCGTATTTATCGGCAGTTACATCGAGTGCGCTTGGTGAATTATACGTATCTTGCTACTCATCATATCTTTATGGCTGGTATGGGCTTACTGCACTTTTCGCCTTAACCTCTTGACCTGGAGCTGACGGACAATTTCTAGGTATTTCTTTCTTGTATGCGATCTGGCACTCGCCGTTGGTCCGAAGTCGTTTGGTAAGCTCTTCTCTGCTAAGATGTTGTCTTTGTCCTGGCACTCATGTCACCCGCGTTTTCTAGACTCTCGATGAGGTCGATTTTACTGTCCTTGCCGCCACTTCTGTTCTGGGTGACCTAATGCATAAGTGCCCTCCGGCTGAAAATTGCCGAGATGCCTTTGAGCGGATGAGCAAGGCTACCGTCCAGATGTGTCTTTCCACCACCGGGTTCGGGTCCCAGGTCGACATGAGCCGAATTTCGGCTGCATCCCATGCAGGCGGTTCTTTACACCCTGGTCGCCGCCAAGGAATAGACCAAAGACAACGGGCTGGCCATGGCCAGGCTCGCCGGTCCACTCAAAACCGCCCTCAACGCCCTATCCCCAAGTTCGATATGAATTTGGCTGATCTTTTCAGCGATGCAAACACACCTCTGGCAGATAGATCCAGAACAGATAGCAGGCCTCCTGGGACCAACTACGCCGTTCGACCCGAGACAGCTGAGGCCGTGGCCCCTGGCTTCGCAGACCGTGGCGCCCGGCCCTTCTCTCAACGTACTCCGTCCATGGAGTACTATATGAAATATGAAGGCCAAACCTCTCCACCAGGCCCACCGCAGTTTTATTACGGGAATTCACCACCCCAGAGTGGCTCGCCAGGTAGCGTGGCCCACTCTGCTGGTGGCCCCCATGCCGTCCCACCGACGGACCCGGATAACCAGACGGGTATGAGCCTTGATTTCTTGGACTTTGGGTCTGCCGATCCCGATAGCCAGACAATGGGTCAAGATGCCAATGCCGAGTACAATTTGGCTGCTATGCCCTCGCTGGGCCAAAACGTCGGCATTGACCTTGGCTTCGGCATGGCAATGGATTTCCAGCACGATTGGAGCGAGAATCCCAATTATGATATTTTGGAGGGCTATTTCTTCGGCGGTTCAGGGGCCGGCGCTCCGGGTGGTGATGCTTGATCAGGGTTTGCGATTTTTGGTGTTCAATTTCTTACTATCGACGATGCCCTTTTCTTTTCCACATTATAACCCACCACCCCCTTCTTCCACCTCTTCTACTACTATTTGCTTTTTTGGGGATTGCATAGTTAAAGAGGATTTTACAGGTGAACAGGATTGGTTGTTGTTCTGCGGGGTTTCTAGGTTTGTCGTTTTCTTGGCTGTGACTTATTTTTGCACTCTCCTTTCTCTTGTTACTTTATTTTTGAGCTCTGGGATACCATTTACTACATTACTATATACGCATATTCATCTCAAGATTAATTATAACCTTTGCTTGCCTAACATGTAGTTTCAAATCACTTTGTTGCTACTCTCACTTCTACTTATCGAGGACAGAGGAAATTTACATGTGGGGAGACGCAGCCTTGTATCTCTAACGGTTGAGTGTCAATTAGATGTGCAACATATACTCTTTTGAACCCAGCCTCCCGCCTCGGGGGCAGTCGTTTCCAGAGTCATTTATCTTTTCTAAACCATTGTTTCCTATCGCCATTGGTTTTTGAATTTTCTTTGACAATCAAAAGGCAGTTCCGTAAGAAGAACTCCATGAAACCCAATTGCTAGCATGTATGATTCCAAAGCTCAGCGATGGACGCCGATGCCCCACCTATACTAAACCTGTTGCGGTAATCAGTACGCATTGATAATAGCGAATGAAGCTAACGCCTTGTTCACTAGATTGCACAAAACTTAGGGCCCCACAATGGGAGCGTGTCGCTTCAGACTTAAGCCCAGCTGAATCTCCTGACAGCCAGACACCCTCATTAACACAGTGAGCCATTCCTTTGGCAAAAACATCGCAAGAACTCGGATAAAAAGTGGGGTTGTAAGTACTGATACTATACTAATGAGTGGGCCAATCCTGTCTGGGGCAGCCTGGATTTTCCAACCTTTTTCTCATCAGTGAATTAGCTACCAGTATTGAAATGCACCTTCCCATCAAACTTTTGGGTAGAAAAGGGCGTCACTAGAGCTTCTCCCTTTCTTCAAGCGTCTGTCATCGATTCTGAGGGCAAAGAGGCTCATTCCAAGATGGCACACTCTCTCATGGTGCCTGAAGTGATCTCTTTGATCGATTCACGCTTGGGTTGGGGTTTAACCTTCGTCGGTATCGTTGTTGCCCATGTGATAATCCGGCGATACGCAAGCCCAATCAAGAATATTCCTGGTCCATTCTGGGCGTCTTTCTCCAGTTTGTGGGTAGTATATCAGCTATGGAAAGGCCGCATTGAAACAGAGATTTTCAATCTTCACAAGAAGCATGGTATCAAAGTCGAGCCTTCGAATATGAGTTTCGACCGTCTGATAATTTACGGTAGGATACTTCGTTCGCATTCGCGAGAATGAAGTCAGCGTTTCCCATCCTGATGCAGTGAGACAACTTCTTCATGCCAATCTTGCAAAGGTGTGTATCCATCCCACCCCCTTCGATATGCCTCTGAAGCCTTACAATTTATTGATTTTATACTAAAGGGGCCTTGGTATGAAATATTTAGTCTTCCGGACTATAACTATGTCAATCTGATGTCTGCAGTGGACCCTCAACGACACAAAGAGATGAGCCGAAACGTTGCTGCAGGCTATGCTCTTTCTAATATCATAAGTTCTGAGCCGCATGTTGATGCTGTCATGGAGCTTTTCATCAACCATCTCAATCAGCACTGCGATTCAAGCACTCCAATTGAGCTCAATCGTTGGTTCACTTTTTTTGCATTTGATGTGGTCGGTGAGGTCACTTTCTCGAAATCATTTGGCTTCATCGAGACTGGCACAGATATCAGGGACGCTATCGCAAACACGCGAGCCTTAGCCCTGTATATCAGCGCTATGGGACATTATACTTGGCTTCATAATATGACGCTAGTTAACCCGCTGATCAGTCGGTTAGGAATTCAGCCTTCTTCGCATGTCTTTGATACTTGTCTTGTTGCAATCAATGGCCGCAAAGAAAATCCCGAGGTTCGAAAAGATATGATGCAGCAATGGCTAGAGACTCGTGCCAAGTATCCCGACAGAATGAAAGAAAACGAAATCTTCTCCGCCGCAGTCGCCAATGTTGGTGCCGGGTCAGATACAGTTAGCGCTACAATGCAAGCTCTTTTCTACTGGCTTATCCGTTCCCCTCAACACCTTCACCGGCTACGGGAGGAGCTTGACGCTGCCCAGACTCGTGGAGAACTATCGCCTATTGTTCAGTATAATGAAGCGCAAAAGTTGACGTTCCTTCAGGCTTGCGTACGCCCGGCCAGTACTCTATTTCATTATGGTTTCATGCTAACAGAATTTTGTAGATCAAAGAGACGTACCGATTCCAACCTGGAGTTCCTAGTTGCCTGCCTCGTGTCGTGCCCCAGGGTGGAATGACCATTGGAGGCACGTACTTCGCCGAGGGTGTAAGAAGCCTCTTCTTGTCCCCCTCCTTCTACTTTCAATAAGATGGTCTTGAACTTAATATCGGCCATTTTAGGTTATTTTGAGCGTCAACCCTTGGATTTTCCACAGGAACCCTGCACTGTTCGGTGAAGACTGCGACACTTTCAACCCGGACCGCTGGCTTCAGGGAAACACAAAGGACATGGATTCCTTTCTTATTCATGTAGGCGGCTCACTGTTGCATCCCATTCAATATTAATATCTGACACACAACTCGAAAATAGTGGGGAAGTGGATATAGGCAGTGCCCAGGGCGCAATCTCGCTCATTTTGAAATCGGCAAGCTTGCCGCCACTCTGATTCGGGACTTCGAGTTCGAGCAAGTCGACCCCAAGAAAGAGTGGGAGTGGGCCAATCATTTTACAATTAATCCGTGGGGATGGCCGTGCAACATCCGCCGTCGGTCCAGTGCTTGTTGAGTATGTGAACAATCTATCCGGCTTGATGAAGCTCAATTGTTCTGGCCACAGAAATGAAATCTATCCCCCGCCGCAGGTAATCTGTTCAAAATTTATGTACTATTTACGGCACTGAAGTCCTTTGATTACCTGCGGATCTTTTCTATTCATCAAAAAATTGAAAATCCTTCTGCCTTTCGGATAATTTCAACATCTGTAGAGATACGGCCGACTCGAAGGAGTCACCCCAGCGTTTGATCATGATTCGTGGGAGCATCTTGGGAAATTTAATTAGCATAAGATCTTCCAGCTCTGTTTTATCCATGGAATCCATGCTGTCTCTTGGCAGCTATCTCAAGAATCTTTTTTACCTCGTGGAAAGCGAATCTTTCTCAAATACCACTCGCATCTTCTCGAGTGACAGTCTTTCGTTATTCCGTAGACCCGAAAGTGTTGCACCCGGGGTATTTGTCATGGCAACTGCACTTTCTAGTGCCTGATTTCCACATTGAGCAATACTGATAGTCATCCGTGACAAGCTAGTTGATTAGTCAAAGCGTAAGGGTCGTCCTAATTTCGGTTCCCTACTTAATTACCCACGTTTCTAATTATGATCATCTGTTTTGAATTTGATTTCTTGTACAAAAGTCCCGAAATTGAGGTAGAGGCAGCATCGCTCTTTTGTTCGTATATATCCGAGAGCTAGTCTTCAGGTGTGATAGGGCCATCCAATACTTTTGCACTACCTTGTCCAAGTCTTACTCACCACGAAGGTAGGTATATCAAGCCTATAAAAAGTACTACCTACTGACCATCAGAAAAGCGAGATTTCCGCAAATCATGGAACACACAAACTTAGTTCTAGCAAACCAACCAGCCGGCCGACGAGGTTCTGTGCTGAAGAGCTCGTTCCTAAGATAATTACATACCCTTCCGCTCGTTCGAGGACCGGTGTGGCGTGGGTATCGAGACCATCATGGAATTAATATGCATAATCGCCTCGGATACAGCATCCACAATGTGGAGGCTGCTAGAATGCATATTTCCGGTGAAAAGGCTCCTATTCCGTGCACGAACTGCGTAGCCGGTGATGGCATGTGGAACGAATGTGTGATCATTACAGGGCATAGCGAGATCCGTTACTGCTCTAATTGCCACATTGATGGACGAGAAGGTCGATGTACTTTTGATCGATCTTGAATCAGCTTCAATCTAAACATACCACCGGTTACTACTCCTCGCGTTCCTCCTCCAGCTCTTCCCTATGTTCCATTTTCCCGCCCACGCGGTCAGAATCAAGCCTATACAGCTGAGAATTATCCTCCGCTCGGACCTCCGCCTCCCTACCATCCGTTAGACTCGACTAGCTACTCTATCCCAGGCATACCGCAACAGCAGCAGCAGGAATCTAACATAACAATCGACGTCGAATAAGTCATATCAGAAATCAGCTACGTGAAATTGAAGATTCTCAGCAGTCGGCTCACGATACGTTTAATTCAGCTCGTATTACCTGAGGCAGCTCGCAATACATTCAATGCAGCTCGCGACGCTTTTAACGAATATGAGATTGACCGTGAGAATGAAGTGCGAAGCCTGACTCGTCGGTTGCAGGACCTAGAAGATGAATGTCGCATAAGTTCTTAATTCTAGTCGGGACTCCTAGGGGTGGGGTATATGTGGCTTATTACATGAAGTGAACAAATCTCCTAGAGTCATTGCGGCTTCTTATTACTTTTTCCTTTTTTTTTGCAATACATAAATAACCCCGTCAATTTCCTAGTTCACTCCCAACCCCTAATATTTGGCCTTTGGCTATTGATCCTTGTGTTCAGCAATTCAAAATGGGTATTGACAAAAATCAACTCAATGTGAGGGCAAAGTCTTTATGCTTAGGTGATTCACTGCTTAAATAGGTCATAGGCCTAGGATCGCTGGATTAAATGCAAAACTTTGCTCTGTTCTGTTCTATCAAATCAAATCCACGTGAATTATGAGGGAAAGAAATAGGCATAGTACGCTATGAAAATGGTTATTTTTCAAAAGAAAAGGCCTTCCAGTAACTTCGTTGCACGTAGCTCTCTGGAAACATTCAAGTTCCACGCGAGTTTATGCCTTAACGGCGTGCAGTCCACGCAACTGCTGCAGCACCGACGGCAAGAATCACAGCCCAGTGGGTTAAGCCCCGCCGAACATGTATCCTGGAGATCTCAAGCATGGCATCGGAATCGTTCACATGAGGGAAGGGCTGATCCTCAGGGATGTCTTTACCAAGAGCTTTACATAGAGGCTCCCAACCTTCCTTCACATCGAAGAGCAACAGCCGGTCTTCCGGAACCACCTTCTGGAGCCAGGCAATGTGGCGGTGATAGGTCTCGCGCGTGGGTATTTTTTCTTCGTAGAGTCTCTCATACTGGGCCGCTAGCAGGTAGAGATATGGGATGAAGTGAGTTAAGCCAGGAAGAGGGAGGAGAACAATGGGGAGCCACCAGGGCACCGTTTGTCCTCGAACTTGGTCCATGCTTTTCTCCCATGCAACTGGGTCGCGAATGGTGCAAACCACCTTCGCATCGGGGTACAACTCCATGAGTTCCGGCACAAATTGGGACCCCGGGGAATCAGTAATTGCAGAATAGCCATCCATCTGTTGGTGCAGCACTTCAAACATGGCCTGCTTATCGGAGTCTGCACCGGCCAGCCAGCATCGTAGGATTTTCTTCCATCGTTTGATTTGGCTGGTAGGGCCGAGCGTGGCCTGGGTCCCGCAATGGAACACTGGAGCGTCAAAAAGAATTTCCAACGCTCTGCTAAATGACGCTGTTCCAGTTCGCGGTAGGCCGGCACCGATGACTTGGAACTTTGTTCCAGGCTGTGGGACGGATGCCGTCTGGCCCATGCTGCCGGCAGAGGTGGACGCTTATGGATGCAAGGATGCAGGGCGCGACAGCCTCTAACATGAAGCTGGGTTTCTAAAAATAGACAACACCATCTGATTGGGTGCAATTTGACAGGAACGAAACGAGTGGAATTGAAGTTGGAGAGTTGTTCAAATGTTCCTGGACGTGTTGGTGGATAGGGGCTCCCCGTCAAGCCGAGGTCTAGGAAAGCGGTGAAATCACGAGGGGCCGATGGTGGTGGTCATCGGGGCTACGGAAACCAGAACCAAACCAAGCAGGTGATAACGCTCCAGGAAGGGAAAGTCAAGTTCCACATTTTTCAAATGTATTCAAAACTATCTCATGGTATTGTGTAAGGCTAAAGCAATAGTCCTGTTCCCCGGCGCTGATTGCGAGGGGTAACCAGATCACGCAGATGTATCCTAGCCGATAAATCATAATTTCAACATCCTCCGAAGATCCAGGTTGGCATGGAACTAGATGAATCACAGAATACAGGGAGGTAAAAAGCCATTAGAGCATGTACACTCCACGTCCAGATAAAATCCATGGGCGCCAACGACCATAGCATGTTTATGAGCGTGCCGGGGGGATAAATGGATTAAAGAACTCCATCGATGTCGTCGGAAAGACGGCGCCTGCGCCGTGCGTAGTGCGCCAGGGTGGATCAAGTGTGATGACCACTTTCAAATAAGCGAGAGAGAAAAAAGCAAAGCCTCGCCTCAATTTTGAGGAGAGATCGAATGGGCTGCTCAGTCCATCTGTGATGGCGAGAACGATTCATCGTGGATTGGGCTCGTGGCAACCTTGTCCAGAGCCACGGCGTGAAGAGCTGGCTTCTCAACATCACGGAGAAGGCCATCTTTACGGCGCTGAAGTTGTTTATGAACCCATTCAGAAACCTCTTTATCCTCAGTCATTGCTGAAGGTGAATTGGATCCAGACGTAGAGCTTTCACAGGAGTCAGTAGCAGATTCTGCTTCCGTCGGTGGCTGCATGAGAGGTGCAAGCCAAGCATGACGTAGTAGCATATTGTATGTAGGTCGATTCTTCGGGTTTTTATCAAGACAGGCAGAAACAAAGGCGTGTGCTTCTTCTGAAAACCCTTCGGCTGGGAGAGCAGGGGGGTCACCGTGAACGATCGCCTTAGATATTGAGTTAGAACATGAGAAAAACTTCTCGAAAATTAAAAATAAGAACTCACATGTAGCTGAGAGAAAATGTTCGTGAAGGTCTCCGGTGGGTACGGGTACCGTCCCATAGCACATTCGATGATTGACAAGCCCAAGCTCCAGATGTCACTTTGTACACTGTATGTTCCGCCACTGGAGGCTCCCGACTGTTGCATACCACCACCCGCAATTCGCTCAGGCGCCATGTAACTCTGACACCCGATGTTTGTCTTGGCAATACTAGCAACCAAGTTTCCACTGACTCCAAAGTCGCAGATTTTGATCTGACCCTTGCTATTAACCAGTATGTTTGTAGGTTTGACATCACGGTGAATGATGTTGTGCTCGTCTTTCAAAGCCTTCAATCCCATCACGGTAGATAACGTCACCTTGCGAAGGATATCTTCGGGCACGCCACCTTGATACAGCTTGTCAATTGAGCCGCCGTCCATGTATTCAACGCACATATAGACGGCGCCTTCCTGGAAGAAGGCTCCATAGAAATCGATGATGAAGGGTGAGACACAGCGGTGGAGAATATCCAATTCCATAATAATCTGCGCGAATTTTGCCTCATCAAGCTCCAAGCGGATCTCTTTCATCGCCATGATCACCCCCGAGAGGTTGTCTTGATGGCCAGCTTCAGGTATCGACTCATCGTGGCCCGGTGCGTGGCTGATAATTCCACTGAGACCTAGCCCAGGTTTCCGAAGATGTGGACGACTGTGGCGGACTTTGTACACCGTACCGTAATTTCCTTTACCTAGTTCATCGAGCCGATCGACTTCATCGAGAGAAATCTTAAAACTGTGACCGGATGAGAACTCGACACCACCACCGTGCAAGATGGCCTTGTTCTTGAAATTCAAGGTTCCAGCTTTCGTATCAATGAACTCGGAGTATTTGCTGAACGCAGATTCCCCGTTCTGCTCGGGCGGTTTTTGTTCAGTCCCATTCGCCGCCGGAGGAGGTCCACCGGTGACATCTGACAACTTGAGGCCCGGCTTCATGCGCTTCGCAGCCAAACCTCCTGGTCTCGGCGAAGCAGGGCTCGAAATGGAAGCCGGAATTGCAGGGGACGATGCCCAATTTTTGTTATTGGGCCGCGGCACAGTCGGTATGCGACCAGCCAAAGCACCGCCCGCCCCGACCTCGTGCGACGTGGGTATTGTGCCCGTGGAGGCGGTGTGTGCTAATGGGGCACCTTGTCGAGAAAGAGAGAACGCTTTCATTTTGGCCATGATATCTTGATTCAGGCCGCCACTGCTCTGTGCACTCATCGAAGCCTGCAGGCGCGGTGGGGTACCCGCCGCCCGCCGTGCGGCGTTGATCTGACCAAGGTGGGTGGACGAAGCGGTGATACCGGCGGCGGGGTCGCGGGTTGGACGGAGAGAAGGAGTTGAGGCATGGGGAGCGGGTATCGCGGTAGATGTGATCTCGAGGCCCTGGGGGCTGCGATCATCCTCAGCCAACGGGTGCTGGCTCTCCACGGCAGGGTCGCGATCGGCGTCCATGCTGAACGGAAGGCGGGGAGGGAGACGGGTTAAGGGGGTCGAGGAAGTCGGACCGACAACAAGGGCCGGTGCAATTGGTGTGAGGAGGCCGTCTTGGACTCGGCTTGCACCGGATAACGGCGCTGTCTGGGGAGGCGAAGCGTTGCGAAGGGAAAATGGAAGAGAGAAGAGGAGAAACGTGGGTGTAAATAGCAGGCGCGGGGGCGAGGGGCAGAAAGAAAGCCGGATTGAAATCACAATGTGAAGTCACCCGTTGAACGCCCACTCAAGCACCACCAACGATACCGGTCAGCTAATAATTAGCCCGCAAGTTGCTGTGACGGTAACAAGGAATAAGAGAGATAAAGGTGGGGATACGGAAATACCAAGGCTTCATTTCCGTCTTTTTTTTTTCTTGTCCGCCACAATTTATCGCCTACGTACTATACAACTCCACACCATCTGGCATCATATGCTGACTTTATGAATCAGGTCCTGGAGTTTGGTACCTCATACGCCCTAGTTCTCCCTGTGTCACTGCACAACGACGTCGTTCGGGCCCTATGTGCACCTCAATGAGATTCGCATCTCCAACCGGGCGGGCGGACCAGCCAATCACGACCGCCACCCAGCGGAAAAGCAGGTTTTGGTACAGCGGAGTAGCACCAATTTGCTGTTCTGCGACTCCCTCTTTGTCATGTTTTAATGTGCGGCTTGCCCTTGGTGGCTATTCCATCGGATGACGGTCGACAAGGTCTCCGGAGTATGCCGACCAAGACCAGAATTCGCGCGAGAGCTATCGGATTGGCTTGCGTACTCGCGACGCCGAAACGGCCGTGTTCAGCCCCAGGCTCCGCCAAACAGCTCCTTGGGCAAAGCACATTGGCTGGAGCTTTGCCTTTAGATATGGGATAATGGCATCCCGGCCGGTACGCCCGTTGGCACGCCATGTCATACTCTCATTTGTTCAGTTGCCGTCAGCAGAGGGGAAAATCCCCAAATTGTCTCATCCTCAAGAATCAGACTTGGGCTGCTCCTTTCCAACCTTCAGCCGTCATTGGAGGCTCAAATTTTATTTGCCGAGCCGAGACCAATCATGAAATCATGGATCTGGCCCACCGTATCACCATTTGCGGAGATATTACGAAGACAAGATGATCACAGTAGTCTGCGGGTACAGTATGTATGGTACTTTTGAGTGAAGGTGGAGAAACACTGGGGCTGAGCTCTGGAGCGAGGGGTTCACATGTTGACATGTTCACCTGCGACTCGATGAAGCACAGACCAGTACGAACTAACCACAATCTTTTCCTCAAGCGGGGATCGAGTCGGGGGGATCTTCTCTCTCCCGCCCGAACGTCAGGTACCGCGTACACCGGTTGCCATGTCCCCAGAATCCACTTTTGAGCCTCTCCGGCCCGTTGGTGAAGATATTTACCTATACAAAGCACCGATTCAGGTCTCAAATCCTGCCTCGCCGTCCCTAGTGATCCTGTGTACGTGGGTGGGGGGTGCCACTCCCCGGCGCATCAATAAATACTTAGCGCAATACCGGGAAATCCACCCAACCACCTCACTACTTTTGATCACCGCAGGTATATTCAAGACCGCCATTCGCCCATTCAGTTCCATTCGCGCCAGTCTCAAACCTGCCCGCGAAGCTATTTGCTACATTCTGAATCGAGAAACTCGGGAGAAACCCCGCACCATTGGTGGCCAACGCGGCATCTTGTTACATCTTTTCTCGCATGGAGGGGGAAATAATGCTGTTCAATTAGCGATTTCCTTCAAAGATGAACTGGACGCGGGCTCCATCTTCTTTTCCAATCTTCTTGGAATCGTCCTAGACTGCTGTCCAGGAGACGATACCCTGCAAAGAATGATTAAAGCGACAGAGGTATCAATGCCCGACACGGCCCTGAGTCATTTACTTCGAAAAACATTGCTTTATCCGTCACTGTCATTGGTCAATGGTCTGCAGCACCTAAGACTTGTCCGCGCCATTGAGGACCTACGTGAGCTTATCAACGATGCCGCCATTTTTGGAACTGGGCCGAAAAGGCTCTATATATATTCAAAGGAGGATATTATGGTCAACTGGGAAAACGTTCAATCACACGTAAAAGAGGCGCGCTCGCGAGGCTATCCTGTTGATCAGGTTGTCTTTGACCATGGCTCACATTGTGGACTTGTAATCGAAGATGCCAATCGTTACTGGACATCAATCCAAAGGTTCTGGGACGGAGAAGAAGTTTCGGATCTGGGTCCCAGCGCTGCTTCTCGAACACCCAGGAAGCCATCTATCTCCCGTAGTCGTCTATGAAACCTCAATGTGATAGTGGAGTGGAGTGAGAATTCCTAAATTCGATTTGTAAGACGTCATTTAACATGCAAGCATTCCCTATCTTGAAATGCCATATACACATACTTCTGATAAATCATACTTTCCAATTAACATGTCTGGCTGCTTGTCTGATGACTTTTCGGCAATCGGAACTAATCCTAGGGCTAGAAGCGTATGAGGATTCAAATAAATTTATTTTGTAATAAAAAGAACAAATCGTATTATTTGGTCTTATGAATAAGATTGATTTCTTGTCCCGATAAATAAGCATAAAAAACGATCGCTTGTGTAGCTTGGTGATCCCCTGCCTGGTGATTGCTTGCAGAGGTAACCATCCATGCGGTGCAATACGAATCTGACAACTAGCCAATGACTCCAGTCCGAATACGAGTCTGACAACAGTTGCCTACCCAACTGATGCCTACTAGATTATGTGTCGCAGAACAAATATATCTGACCACCCCGCACAGTGCCATCATTCTTTTTCAAGTCTTAAAGTTCGTCTTCTGTCGCTAAAATGACACCTCTCAAGGTCACGGTTGTCGGTCAGTCGTGCATGAGCCACTATCCAGAACGATGCATTCTTCGTGTTATTGTGTTCTCCGACGGTCCAGAGCAGGAGTCAGTGTCTAGAGATGTGACTGTGACTTCAAACCAGCTTCACCAGCTCTTCAAAGAGCTATCGCCGCAAACGGCCGAAGGTCTAGCGACACCAGAAGCACCAGTCACTAAATTCTCAACTACTTATCTCCGTAGCTGGTCCGATGTGCCCCTTGATGAAAAGGGGAGGCCTCTCCCTCAACCTCGAGTTCATTATGGGACTTCAACTTTTCTGGTTGTTTTTCGTGATTTTGCCAAATTGAGTGAGGTTGTGGGCAAGCTCGTCACATATCCTAAAGTCGAGATCGATTCTATTACTTGGCGCTTGACCGAAGAGACTGAGAAAAAACTTGCTTCTGAATGTCGCAAACAGGCATTGCGTGATGCACTTAAGAAGGCAGATGACTTCGCTGAAGTTGTGGGAAGGAAGGTGGTGCCTGTGGAGATTGAGGATGATGGACAAGGGCAAGATGGAAAAAGATTTCACACCGACAAAATCGCATCTTCTGCACCAGTAGATACATCCTCTGCTTTAGGTGATGCAGCCATGGATCTTACACCGCAGGATATTGAATTCCTGAGCCAAGTGGTGGTCAAGTTCGAAGCGGAAACAGAGAAAGAGAATTGAAGCTATATGTGGGGTTATTGCTTCTGACGAGCGAAGCATGTGTACTTATGATCTATTTCATTTTCTTGTGACATCTCAATCAACAAATTGACTCGAATCCCAATAAAGGCTCATCGTCCCGGTCCACTTCAAAATCAAAACGAACAAGGTCCTCTCGGTAGGGAATAAAATACGTGCTGGTCACCCTTTGAGCTGCATCAGTCAAGTCCGTATTGCTCGAATTCATTTTCTCTTCACATACTTCTCGTGCTCACTGCTTGCTTGATAGGCAGCCAAAGCTGCTCGGTCTTCATGATAGCTTAGTAACGCATACTGATATCCTTTGCTCTTCACGGCAGGCTCGGTTATTGAGGGACCACCAACGACAAGTCGTTGATGTTTGACAGAAGGAAGGGATTTGAGAGTCTTGATTTCGGTGAGGAATTTCTCTCGTATCTCCTCGCCAGTCTCTGCACGAAACTTAAACAAAACTATAACATCCCAGACCTAAAAGTTAATGAGGCTGCATGAAGTCCAACATGACAAGACCTACCAATATGCACTATAGTCATAATGAGAAATAGCTTTCAAAGGGATCGGAATAATTCAGTGAGTGTGTTATTCGCTTGATTCAATGCAAGCAAACCCGCGGTCTCTTTTATATGGAGGGGAACGGAAGCTATCCGTCTCGGCAGGCCGCTCCAACTAGTCGACGCTGACTCCCTATTCGTAGACGATAATTACGACCCCGAGCGGTGACCTACGCTGCTCATCAATTATCTATGTTTATAATTAATAAATTCAAACTTAACAACATCGCCTCTGTCTAGATTCTCATTTGAGCTTTATCTCGAGTTTTGTCCCAAAAATTTGATATTGAAAGTGCCGCCGGAAGCTGACATCACACATTCTTAGTCATCCAGTGTAGCGGATGGACGGCGTTGATCCGATCAAATTCCTTCATTGGAGAATCCCTAGAGGCTCTCAAAAAAATCCGCCGAGGGTTTCGGAGGACAGAAATTTTATTTTGTATGAGAAACATGAGATATGGAGTCTCCGCGGCGGAGTCGAAATCGCGCCGCATGCCGACGTTGTCAGAGGCGTAAAATTCGCTGCGGTGGTGAGACCCCACGATGTGGCGCCTGTGTGAAAGCAAACGTTCCATGCGTGAACGAGGGTAAGCAGGAGGTTAACCGAACGTGGGTTGTCGTTTATTGTGTCTTGATATGTATCTGGACTAATTCTGTATTAGATACATTGCAAACCTTCAGAGGCGAGTCCAATGGCTTGAGTCATTAATCAAAGAGCAAAGACATGATATATCCTTGGAAGATGGCCCTTCACTGGATTCCAATGATTATCAGCATGATGAAACTCATTTTTTCGAGGGTGATTCCGAGCCTGCGACTCTGTCACCACCACCCCAGCCGGCACAACCTGCTTCGCTTGGACGGGCTCCCCAATCTCACCCGCAACCTAGACAGGCTCATGAAATCGGCATGGTGTCGCTTTCCTCAGGAGCAGAGGCACGATATATCGGTCCATCTAGTGGCTATTTTCTTGCAAATCTGGTATTTTCCAGCACAGGGCGGAGAGCAAGACCTCCAGGGAGCCAAACTATACGGGAGCCGATCTCTCTATCGGCAGATTTGTTCAACAGCCCGGCATCATTACCCACACACAAGGAAGACGCAATTGAGCTGTCTGCGAAATACTTTTCTTCTGTTCATATTCTATATCCATTCCTACATGAGCCATCGCACATCCAACGCCTTGAGAGTATGTACAATCTCGAACCGGGAGCGACCCCTAGTCCATCCATCGCCTTTCATGTCTACATGGTGCTGGCGATTGCGGCGTCAGATCTCTCGCGGAGGTTTCGACTCCGATTGCCTGCTGAAGGTTATTATACTGCAGCCACTCGATACTTTGAAGGCGCATGTTCGGAAGGTTCATTGGAAGGTCTCCAAGGTCTCCTCCTCCTCATGGTGTATGCTCTGCATAACCCTTCGTGTGGTGTCAACATTTGGAGCCTAAACTACCAATGCTTAGGTGCACTCATTGATCTGGGACTCCAGCGCGACGTGCGTACTTCCTCAACATTTCAGATCTCCTTCCTGGAGCAAGAGATGAGAACTCGGATCTTCTGGGTGGTTTACAATTTCGATCGGACTCTAGGGACGATGATGGGACGCCCAATTGGATTGCGTGATGAAGCATGTGAACTTCGGGTAAGCTCTTGGGACTTTCTTGGAACTTCTTCGGCTCGGCATTTGGGGTGGGCATATACTGATTTGGTCGATAGCTCCCTTCCGATGTTGCCGATAGGTGTCTCGCTGATACAGCAGAGGCGAGTCTCAGCAATAGTTCGCCCTCTCATATGACATATTCAGTCCATTTCTTCAAATTAGCACGGTTAAATTCGGAGATCAAATATGTGATGCACAGCATCTGCAGAGATCCTCCTCGTTACGCATATCCCCCTGTTGCTGACATCCATCAGTGGCAGAGTGAAATGATAGGCCGTCTCCAAGCATGGTATTCCGAAATTCCTCGGGTGGTCGGAATGGAGTCAGTTGCTAGAATGTGCGAGACAAAGTATCACGAAATAATGATTCTGGTCCTGCGCCCTAGTCCTGGCATACCTGATCCATCAGAGGTTCTGCTCGCTCAGTGCTTTCAGCATGCTCGTGACTTATTGCGAGGCTTTGGGGAATTGTATCGGCAAGAAGCTCTCTTGTACAGCAGACTCATCGTACACTCCATATTCCTCAGTACACTGATTATGTTGCACTGTCTCTGGAGATTGCCACATGTTGCCTCGCTGATTCAAATTGATGACCTGGTGGCAGATACAGGCATAAGCTTGAACATCCTCAGCAGCATTGGGGAGCACTGGACCGAGGCTCGAAGGGCGAGAGATTGTATTGATGAATTATCCGGAATCACAGTACAGCGATTGGTTAAAGCTCGCAACCTTGATTCATCCCCGCGGCTTCCGGCTGCTTATCCAAGCATGGGAAGTACAAGACATACACGGTCGCAAACTGCCAATGAAGGCGCCAGCACCGAGACCCCAGGTCATATTGACTCCGCTGTGGAAGTCACCCCTTCAGTAGGCACGCTTCTGGACGATAATGATTTCCATCTTGGAGGTATGAGCTGGGCTCATGACTCAATGCCTGGGGGTTTTATGGATTTTACTGGCGTGCCAGATTTTGATACTATCATCCAGCAATACCTAGATCCTACACTGACGATGCTAAATTAAGACTAGGAATCTGGATGGGCGTTACCTGTATTATGTACGTTTTGTGCTTGTTTGAGCGATTGGAAATACAGTATGTATATAATGAACTTAAAGAGCAATGTGAATATATATATCCGAAAAAGCATTATAGACGTACTCTGATCGGAACTCCTGATCAACTGGGATAAAACCCAATTATTATAAGGCAAAAAAATATAGAATAGGAAAAACGATAGAAAAGAGGGAGTGGCTGAATAGATAAAAATTATATAATCGATAGATAATATGGAGTTGTAAACCCGAAAAAAAGAAATGGACGAACGGCGACTCGAACGCCGGATCTTTCGCATGCAAAGCGAACGCGTTACCACCTACGCCACACGCCCTGAATATATGATAATCTTATCTGTCTAAAAATATCACCACAAGCCAAGCCGTTTCCTCTTCTGGATGCTCGCTATGTGGTGCTAACGGTCTCCAGCACAACTGTGACTTACAACTAGCCCTATTCTATTTCTCCGCCCGCAAAGTTGTACTTTATATTATATTTCCAGCGTTTTTGTCTTCTGATAGACCTGAAATTTTAGGAAAATACGATCAGAAAAGAACAGACTAAACGTGTTAATCCCCAAAGCTTTTCCTAACCTCGGTCCAACACACCTTATTTACTTTTCACGACCGCTGCTACCAACTGAGCCGTAGGTCCTATTGATATTCATAATAGCTTCTCTAGTCATGATTGCCTCGCTATCGATCCCAAAATGCTGTCTTAAGCCATTGAGAGGTGTTGCGAAGTTTCCCGCGGTGTTGGTGTTAGGTCTACAAGTGGGTTCTAGCATGGATATGAATATTTCAACTACCTTCACTTAATTTTTAGTAGAACTCCCGCAAATAGTCATACTACTAGGCACCCAGGCCATTTCAAAACTGCTTGTCAATATATTTCTATCAGTTTGCTCCAACCAGGAATGTGTTGCATCCGACTTGATACGGCTAGGTATAGTCATCTGCTTTCATTTATTTTCCTCGGTCAAAATTATTCACCTAAATCTATTAATCTCCTACTCAATCGGAAGTACAATAGTCAACTGAGACTGGCGGTAGAACTTTTTGACACAAAATACTATTATATATCACCAAAACTCACAGAGCGTGATAATTCACAGTTATGCATTCAGATACTTCTCTAAAATCTTGATTTGAAGCCATTTTTGTTCGAGCCTGTGGTCTGTTCACACAAGGCCGATGCCCCTCAGAGGCCGATTATATTCTTGCTCAAAACTACGTGGAGGATATTCAAAAGCTAAAAGAACATCCTACAAGAAGAATCTGGTTGTTAATGGTACTATTACACGTACCCTCCGGACCAAAAGAAGCTAATGGGAAGCATATAGATAGATTCATAATGAAGATGAAGTTTTTCATGGAGCCGAAGATGATGTTAAGTTGAGGACTAACATAGAAGCAAAAGCTTAGTGCAAGTGTATATACTACTTGTGCAGGTAGAATCCCCGTCAGTGCAATGCACATGAGTTGTCCCAATTTAGATTTAGAACAAAACATTTCAAATATCTCCATAGCTCTAAATTGCACACACATGATTTTTGCACTGTGCCCCCACTCCAATATTATTATATCGTCTCCCATCGGGAGGCCTCCGCATGCAGCGGGACGCATCCGCACCCTCACTGAAGCTTCTCCGCAATATAAAACACGACTCGACAAGCCAACCCTCTACCAAACAATAGACAATAAAACAAGAAAAGCTCAACCTTCCCACCAATTGACAGCCACAGTCGCTCAATTGCTCCTAGAACCCATTCAAGAACCTTGCCGACGATTTTCAACAGCCCAACGACACATACCCACCATGGCAGACTCCAACGACCCTTCACCAACAATGCACTACATCGACCCGGCAGACCTGCACTCCTTTGTCGAGCGCATCCTCATCGCCAACAACTGCTCACCCTCCAGCGCCGCCACCGTTGCCAAATGCCTCGTCGCCGCTGACCTGCGCGGCGTCGACACCCACGGCAGCAATCGCATTCCCTCCTACATGGAGCGCATCCGCCAAGGCGTGCTCGACCCCACCGCCACACCCACCCTGCACCAGATCACACCCGCCGTCGCGCAAGTCGATGCGCACAACGGGTTCGGCTTCGTTGCCGCGGCCGCTGGCATGGCCCGCGCCATTGAGATGGCCGCCACCTTCGGCGTGGGGCTCGTGGCCGTGAAGCACTCAAACCACTTCGGCATGTCAGCATGGATCGTGCAGCAGGCGCTCGACGCGGGCATGATGAGCCTGGTGTTCACGAACTCGTCGCCCGCGCTGCCGGCCTGGGGCGGCCGCGAAAAACTGATGGGCGTGTCGCCCATTGCGTGCGGCGCACCCTCGGGCGACCCCACACGCCCATTTATTCTCGATATGGCGCCCAGCGTGGCCGCCCGCGGCAAGATCTACAAGGCGCTGCGGCGCGGAGAGCGCATTCCGGCGGAGTGGGCTCTGGACGCAGACGGGGCACGGACAGAGGACCCGGCGCGAGCGCTGGAGGGCGTGATGTTGCCGATGGGTGGGCCGAAGGGGTCAGCGCTGGCGATCATGATGGATGTCTTCTCCGGGGTGTTTTCGGGGGCGGCGTTTGCAGGACATGTCGCGGGCCCGTATGACCCGTCACGACCGGCGGATGTGGGCCACTTCTTGGTGGCGGTCAAGCCGGACTTGTTTATGACGATGGAGGAGTTTCAGGCGCGGATGGATTATCTGTATAAGCGTGTTGTCGAGTCGGAGAAGATGGCGGGTGTGGATCGCATTTATTTCCCTGGGGAGATCGAGTGTCTTACGGAGCAGAAACGCCGCAAAGAGGGGATTCCTTTTGCGGAGGCTGAGGTGGCTGCATTGAATCAGGAGGCAGATCGGGTGAACGTGGAGCGGTTGAAAGTTCAGAAGAACTGAATTGAGGTTAAAGTGTGGCCTGGCCATCAGAATCCAATGTGATCTGATGTAAATCTGCGGGTCGAGTTTGAGAATCTTCTCTGTATATCTATTATCTATTTCCATTTTACCAGATCCAACTGTGATGAGAGGTGATGAGAGACTACCCTACATAAATGATAATTATAATTTACGAAAGACCAGAAAGTGTATTGGCCCCACTGAATATGGAGTTACGTATATAGATCAAAGTTGAGTGATGCCATAACAAGTCCAAGCAAAAGGCCTCCCTGGCAAGCCCAGGAAAATAAAATATACAACTGACTGACCCAAGAGATGTCAATCGACGGGACAAATAGCCCAACAAAAAAAGCTAACAGTCAAGCAGTCAAGCAGTCAAGCAGTCAAGCAGTCAAGCAGTCAAGCAGTCAAGCAGTCAAGCAGTCAAGCAGTCATCAAACCAAAATAGGCTACGGAGACTGAGCGTGATTTGAGTTACCAGCCACAAAACTCCCCTAAAGGAACGCGTCTCCAACGGATACATCCGGCAGTGACGGAAAGAGAAATGAGATAACAAAGATAGCGAGATATATGCAGAAAGGCATAGAACGATTAGTGTCACAACAATTCAATTATCGTCTGAAGAAAAACCTCCCGTATAAGACAGAGAGCTAAGAAACTGCATAGGAAACAGGGTAGGGGGACAACAGGGACACAGGAATGGGACACAAGACGCAATGATGAGAAACAACAAAAATGGGGAGGAGAATACTCTGAACAAGAACACAGATATGGTCCCACTTTACAATCAGAGATAATAATAACAGGTGAAATAGAAAAATGGGAATGGATGAGGGGGTACTGCACGAAACCACTCAAGGAAAAAAAAATGGAACAGGCCAAAAGGAAAAAATGAGACATTAAGCAAAGAAGAAAAGGAAAATTTATTCTGACAAAGGAAATGAGCATGCTAGATAATTAATCAAACACCCGGCGGATGAACAAGTGCGCTCAATGCACGGTATGGGAGGGGACAAAAAGCAGGGTATCACATGGTTAATTCAAACATCCTCGCTGTGCCCTTGGTTTTTCGCTCATGTCTGGGGGGAGGAGGGAAAAATTAAAGCATTAGGATACTGAAGTGGGTTTGGTTTGAAATCTGCTTCCAGGATCGCGGGTGGAAACTGAATTTTCTGAATCCACCGTTCTTCCATGGCTGCTTCCAATTGAGATGAGGTGGGAGAAGCAGGTCGCTTTTGTTGAAGCTAACAATGCAAGAAAATTACTGGCCATCGCCAGCGCGGGACTTGGCACGTCGGCGGAAGAAGTCCATGACTTTGCGGGCAGCACCGGAGCTTCCAGAATGGTGGGATCCATCTCGCTCATATTCATAGGCATCGGCGAATTTGCGATGATTCTTCTGCAACACGTTCGGGCCACGGCGGCCAGTTTGCATAGACTGGCGAGGCAAGCTTTCGTAGGTGCCGTTATATTCATCGTAATAATTCGGCTTTGACGAATAGGTGTAGTTGTGACCAGAGTAGTGATCCTCGGGGTTGTGATAGACCTGTTCCGAAGAGATGGTGCCAAATGTGTCCTGCGTCTGGCCAAAGCGAGACCCGAGCTCGGCAAATTGCTGGTCAATTTGAGCCTCATAGCTGAGGGGCTCTGAATCCTTCTGTTCAGCATGTACCTCGTCCGCAGGCCCTTCATTTACCATGCCCATAGCGTCCTGTGTCCCATAACTTGTTGCCCGAGAACGACTCTGGATGGGGCCTGTGGCTGGGCGTGGTGGACCATGGGGATCTGGTGTGCGCGGAGTCTGGGAAGCCTCCTCAGGAGTCTGGGCCCGACCTGATGAGAAATTTCGGAACGAAAAAGAAGGCGGAAGAAGCGAGAACCGACGAGGGCGTCCCTCTCCTGCCTCACTGGCCTTGCGATTATGCGTGTATTGCATTGAGCGTCGAGAATCCATGGAGACGCGAGAATCTTCCCGAGGTAAAGTCTCTTTCATGCTTGTAGGAGGATAACGCTTATTGGCTCGCGTAGCACGAGAAGCAGCATTGCTCTGCGAGCCACGGCCACCCAGAATAGAACCAGAGCGACCAAAGAGCTTTTCGCCAATGCTAGATACCGTGTTTGAGCGCTTGTGGCCCTTGGGTGGCTCTTGTCGAGGAGTTGGGTTGAATGCTGAGGGCAGTTGTTGGGTGCTTGGGCGGCCAATGGATGCGGTGGATGCCTGCGCTGGGTTTTGTGCCAGTGAGAACTGGCCACTCTTGGGTTGCGCCAGGCGACCTTCCGTATTTGTCGCAGTGACGGTAGGAGCCACAGGTTGTCCATATGATCCCCGAGAAGGCAAGCGACCAGTGTGAAAGGAAGCCATTGAACCGCCTGTTGTCGGACGTGTAGTTGGAGGAGGCCCTGTAGCAGTAGTATGGGTACCAGTAAATGCTGCATTATCGGAGGCTGAACGGGGAAAGTGGCCCGGTAATGGTTTGTCATAGTTGACTGGCGGCTTAGGAGCAGTCCGAGTTGTTGTATCTTTAGCTGGTGGTGCAGGCGCTTGTTCTGCCGTCTCGTGCTGGGCAGCACCGCGGGGTCGCGGTTCTGGATCACCCCCTTGGTACTCTCCCCGAGCTGTTTGCGATTGAGGGGCAACATATTCGACCTGGACGGTTCTCCGTTTTGCATCCCGAGATGTCTTGGACTTCTCACTGGGAGAATCCTGTGAAACATCCCCAGCATGGTGATTGAGCCCACCAACAGCTGGAACAGAGTTTTGACTGGTTTTGGGCGGCTCGCGAACTGAAGCGCTGCGGGCCAGCGACGGCGCCTCGTTTCGGGTTTCTGTGAACGTAGAACAATAAGTCAGTTGATCTGAGCTGGACCTCTAATATCAAATCCACGGAGCTTTGAAAATCTTACCGGCCGGTATTGTTGAGTTGGAAATGTCTGCCACATTCGTTGTGCTGCTGGTGATATGCGAGACAACGTGGGAGTATTCACTCAACCAGCTATGACGGGCAATTTCAAACAGATCGGCACGTTTCCGGGGATCGGGGACTAGGATCCGTCGCAATAGATCACGGGCATGAGGAGTGACATATTCAGGGAATGTAAGAGGAGTGGTGACTATGTATTTGTAAAGGAGGTTGATGTTATCTCCGTCTGGGTTTGCCGGGTCATCGTCGAATGGGAGATAGCCTGCTAGCATAGCGTACTAAGAATAGGCAGAAAGAGATTAGTCCAACGTTTGGACCAAAAGGAGAACTTGGACACAACAGTGCAGGCAAAGCAAATCAACAACAGCAGGAAACTCACCAGAATCACACCGCAGCTCCAAACATCAACCTTGCGACCAGTGTACAGTGAGTCGCTCACAACTAGCTCTGGAGCTGCATAGCATGGACTTCCACAGCTTGTTTGCATGAGATCACCCCGTCTTAATCCATCTGGCCCTGGTTTGTCTAAGCGTTTGCGCTTGACATATTCCTTATTGGTGAGGTTATATTCGATTTCCTCATCCAATGGATCGGCCGGATTGAAAGTGTTGGCAAATCCAAAATCGGTAATGATAATATTTCGGTTCCGATCCAGCAACAGGTTCTCCAGTTTGAGGTCTCGATGGACGATGCCCTTTTTGTGCAGGTAGCCCACACCAGAGATTAGCTGTGCAAATAAGCGACGGGCAGAATTGTCTTTGAGGTAGCGGTTGTTGAGAATGTAATCGAACAATTCACCTCCGGACGCGTACTCCATGATGATACCGATATGGCGGTCGGTTTCCACCATCTCGTGCAGCCGGACGATATTGGGGTGGGCGAGGTCGCGTAAAATCGAGATCTCACGATAGATCTTGGGCAGGCGATTGGGGTTAGATCCCAGGGTTTCCCGGCGAATAAGCTTAATCGCGACCTGGATGCTACCGTCTCTTTTCCATCCCAGCTTGACCTTGCCGAATTCACCCTCACCGAGCGTCTGACCAAGAATATAGGTGCCGAATGTCGTCTCCTTGCGCTTGATGGTGTTTCCATTATTGTAATCCTGCCGGCTGCGATGTCCTGCTCGGGTTCCGTCCTCTGCATTTTCACCTCCTGGTGTACCATAGTTTGGAGTGGTCGACTCGACGACGGCCGCGGCGGCAGGCGATGCGCCAACTTGCCGCACCTGTTCTCGCTCCCGGTCAACCACCGGATCGCTGACCAGCATCGAATTGATGACAGCACTCGGTTCCTTCACCAACTCCTGTTCCGAAAGGTCCTCCATACCGGGCTCTGTTTGAGGGTTGGATACGGGAATCGCTCTGGGCCTGCCGGACTCGCGCGTGGCCTCTTCTAAGGGATCGGGGCGTCGTGACCGACTCTTTCCGTTCCGATCGTCGCGGGATCGTTCGCGATTTTCTTTGCGGTCAGTACGGCTCTTCCCGTGTCGGGAGTTGATCTTTTCGGTGGATGAGCCGTTGGGGCTGCGGCGGCTATGGTGAGTCGAGGAGGTCCTCGGGGAGGAACCGGGGGTGAGCCTAGCATATCGGGGAAATTGCTGCGCGCATTCTTTGAAACCGGAGATGGGACTGTATGCGTCGAGACGGGTGCGTGGGCGGGAAGAGAAAGGTTAGGCTGATGGGAAGTGCTCATAGCCGTCAGAAGCTGCTCCGGGCCGACCTCACACAGGAGCTGTTGAGAGGAAATTAGACCAAATTGAGGCTCGCACGAAGGAGCGGTCGGGAAAATCGGCGAAAGAGGGAATTAATTTGCAATCGCGGTCGACCACAAGCGCCTTCTAATGCGCAGTCCGACGCGACTGTTTGTCGGTCCACGACAGCGTCCTCAATTGGGCACCAGAGGGTGGTCGAGGAGTCGAGCAGTCAATGGCCAGGCAATTGATGTACCCAGGGAGGGACAAGAAAAGCCAGAACCTTTCCGGGGTGGGAGGGTGGTTGGGCGGAGAAATTAAGGGGAGGTTGGGCGATCGGTCGCACTCGCCGAGTGTCGACGTTCAGCCTCACCAGCTGCAAGCAAGTAATCAAGCCATACGTCAGTATATATCTTCCGCGTCAAATTTAATGCACCCCACCACAGCTTCTGGAATGACGGCAAACATGTGCAACTTTATCAGGGATAGGGCTGAACTGACAGGCAAAAGATCGATCGCAAGAATGGGGGATGGTTCACAAGAATGCCCGGCCTGGGGATATGCAGCCGAACCCCAAAGCAGTGAAATCGTACACCACGATGACAGGCGCACGATATTTTGATCCGACACCCGGTCGCGATACAATTTCAGGGGAGAGACGCGTCGAACAAGGCAAAACTTTGCAAGAAACAAAGAGAAGGTGGAAGATACCTGCACTGCAGCGTTCTAGAGTCCCCTCTCCGGCCCACGACCTGGGGGCAGCACGTTGTCCGCGAACTGGGGGAAACAAACGCGGGAACCGAATGTCTCAGACGCGATTGAATTTCCCAACAGTTCAATTGCAGAAGTTGAACATGATCGAAGGGCAGTTGGGAGGGGTGGGAGGGGGGGTTTCGCGCGCGGACAGGGGGCGCGAGGGGAGTGAAAGGCGGGAAGCACCGGTCCGAAGATATGGAAGTGGAGTTCCTTCGAAAAGGGGGCTGGTTGAAGCTGGGGGAGGAGGGAAGGGTAGGAAAACAACAAGATTAAATTGAAAGGACAAAGAAAAAGAAAAAAGAAAAGCCGCAGATGACAGGGCCTCACGATAAGAGGAGGGGGGAAGGGTAGTGAGAAGGGGGAGGGGGAAGTTGAGGGTAGAAGAAGAGGGGAGGAAATGGAAATGGGAGTTTCAAGGTGCGCGAGGCCGAGTGGACGAGGAGACGAGCGGCGGCAGCCCCGAGGGAACAAGTTGGGCGGGTTGGGCGGGTTTAGCGTTAACCGGTGGTCGAGCGGGTTCGGGGCAGAATTTGGGGGCATCTTTAACGTCTGGGGTCCCGCTGAGCCCCTTCCGCAAGCGCCTCGTCACTTCGTCACCTCGTCACTTCGTCACTGGGAACCCTGGAATCTTGCAGTGATGCTCTCATCTGGCCCTACACACCCCCCTATAAACGCTATAGCGAAATAGCTATACAAAATATAAAATCTACCTACAGCGGATAGCCGGGAAAGCTTGATTGCTCCCGTGAGATGCTAAATCGAATATGCTTAAAAAATCCTTTATTCCAACAGGCTTGCGAAGAATTCGAACTTAATATGGAGAACTATATCACACCGAGCTACTCATGACCGAGTGATCTAACTATTTAGCCACTGGGGCCAGTCGAATGCATTTGCCTGTGTGAGTCTGCCGCCCATGACACGCCGAGATCAGGACAAAAATAACCAGCGCCTGCAGTATGACTCGAACAGGATCCTCCGCGCCTAGCGATCCGCACTCAGCATATCATTGCTCTCTACGGTTGTTGGCAAACAAGGAGGATCAATAATCCATCGTCCATCCCAGGAACGAGGACGGAATATACCCCCGATCGGGATCTGGACGTGCTGATAGTCACTCTCGATTCCCATATAGATATGTGGTACTCCGTACTCCATTCAGATACTTGGCGGCATAATGACCAGTCGAGGAGTATTGGACGATTATTCCTACTAGTCCAGCCCAGCACACTATCCATTCTACCAACCGGCGCGAAATGAGGAAGTCTCCAGCGGCTGACCTCGTCCCTTACCTCACCTGTGATAGAGCAAAATAGGTGCGAGGTCCGAGGCCTGATCCTCGCATGTGGACGGTCTCCGCATTGAAGGTCAAAGGCCAGAGAGGGGGGACAACAACAAGAAAAAGAAAAAATAATTAACTGACTAAAGAGGAAAAAGGCAGGTCGAAGGTCTGGGGGTGTAACAGTGCCAAAGACTAAACCAGTCTGGTATCGCCAGAATCGATCTGCTCTTTGCATATCAGGTCTATACTGACATCGAGGGCTCCAGGGGTCACCCATGCAACAGCTCTACTCAGCTGGTACGCCATGAGCGACACTAGGGTGACAGTGCGAGCAAAAGAGCAAAAAAGCCACCGAAATAAATAAAGAAAAAAAGAAAACCAAAAACAAGAGGGTCTGTTTCAAAAAAAGGGGGGCGCCGGCTGTTTCGCATTCGCGCGGAGTGGGCTTCTCCCTAGCACCGACGATCGTCATTAGGCCACCACGGCGTTTCCCCCGAGAAAGGACCCGCGATCGAGGATCGGACCAACTATGGTGGCATTGATGGATGATGCTGGGCAGCTGAGATCAGAAAGAAATAGATTAATTATTGGGATATTAGATCGGATTCGGGGGAGGGGAACTAAGTGGTTGCCAGGGAATCGATTCCATTATGGCACCGATCCGGGGGGGATGGGGGCGAGTACCTAGATCCCAGTAGTCGATCGCCTTGGACTACCCAAATGCTTTGCAGGAAGCCGCGCCGGTCCAATTGTCAATTTGTCAATGGGCGCGAATCAAAGGAATTGGTTTCGGACCTCCCGAATAACGGCTAGAGCTCGGGGCTTTTTTTTTTTTTTTGTCTTGCCTTAGCAACGTCGGGCCAGGGGGAAACTAAACGAGCCGGGGTGAAGCTGTAGACGGGGATTGGTGGGCGAACAGGATTGGGCGAAGTATCCGTACTTCAAACGGTGTTGTCCATGGCGTCTATGTACTCGGTATGGTTTAGTGTAGCAGTACTCTGTGGAGGAAGTACACACATCACCAACAAGACGAGCAGACCCATGGAGGATGCGAATCTTCCCCCTTTTTTTCCCTCTCGATCTCGAATTTGTGATCGCTTCTCCCGTCACCGAATCCCTGGAACTGCACCGGCGACGCGCCCACGGATCCGTCGCAACGGAACCAAGGTAGTGAGGCGGATCGGGGCAGATCTTGGTCTTGAATACCACACTCATTGCAACGTGAATTATACCTGGGGTTCCTACTGGTTCTGCGGCAACGAAAGATATCGAAAGACATTCAAATGAACCCAGCCAGAGCGCGGCGTTCTGGTTCCTGGTGTTTGCACTGGATCGTGCACGCTCCACCTATGTCTTGACTCCGATACCCACTGCAACGGTCAGCGCTACCATTTTGCTGGCCCGACTCTCCACATCAGGGGCGAGCAAATCGGCCAGAACGACGAGTCGGTCCGTCATCGATCTTAGCCTCGCAAAAGAATGGGGGTCAGGCTCCAACGAGAAACGAGCAAATAAGCATCTCGTTGTCAGGCTTCTCGTTTTTTGAGACTTCAACCTTCTCAGAATTGCTCCTCCCCCCCTCTCATGATTCACACTGCATCGATGTGTCGGTGTGGAGGGGATTTGCATCTGGTAAGTCTCATCATTGGCCGAGCGTAAGGGCTGGCCAACTGTCAAGCGGATGATGCGCTGGCAGCTTGGTCATGGCGAGCCATCGTCCAATAGAGCGCCTATCATCCGAATCAGCGGTAACAGAGGCGAAAATCCTACTCGTAGTTCCAATTCGTCACATTATCACCCTCAATCAACAGGCGTCGAGAATGACGCACGGTCCAGGGTCGTGGTTGTTGCCCAAGTAGCGGTGGTGGAAGCCGTGCTCCTGGGGTGAGAAACACTCTCTCTGCACTGGATAACCGAGGCGCTGGACAATATCCCCGAAAGGCACAACTGTCCTACCTGGCCGAAACCTTGATTTCAGATCTATGAGCGCCACTGGATCTGTTTGGTGAGGAATCGGAGGAGTGAGGTGAAAGGTGATAGATAAAACTGTGGCGTGAAACTATGTTCGGGCGGAGGCGTCGATCGACTCGACTTACCTGCAATCCTGCGCAGTTGCCCCGGAACTCGCTGCCACCTCCTTGACCTGCGTCCTCGGTTGCACTGCGTTCATAGACTTCACTCCACGCGTTATTTGGCACGAATTAGAAACTTTCATATGGCTCATCACAAAAACCCATCCTTGACGTTGGCTGCTTTTGCCGTGTATGGATTTCTTTGATCATTCGCCATCAACAGCTCTACATCTGAGATCGCTCGCATTTTTCCCAACCTCCTCATTGGATTGTCGCCAATACGAGCAAGATTTCGAAAAAGAGGTCCGGACTTCGCCTGGGTAGTTTAGCCGAAAACAAATATTTGTCAAATGTTAAACTGCATTTACGAGCGGAAAGTGAAAGTGGGGACCTATTACTATGACAAAATACTGGGTTTATTATTTACTCCAACCTATTGTCTAGATCTTCAATATCTAGCCAATCCATGCTCCCAGAAGGAGAAATAATCCGCTATCCCCTCACATGCTGGTTGAATTTGGTTGACATTGAAGCTAGCCTTTTGATAGAGCCCTAAGAAGATGGTAAATAGGGGTATATCTAGGAGACTGCATATTAAACATTGCGTAGCTTGAAGATTCATAGCCGGCTAGACCAAGTGAAAGAAATTGTCTAGTGGCAGACTTCAAGACTCGTAGCACCGTAGAAGGAACAACAAATGAGTGAAAAGGGCCAATGAATATGAATCTAGTCATCATTCCCTGTAAACCTACAGTCCATACACGTCGTCTCTTCCTAAATCGTCGGGCGCCTTGGAAAGCTTCGGTAATTTTTGCCTCCATGTCGGACGTGGGCTTAATGTCGATGCTGGAATTGAAAGCGAAGAAAGAAAATATTCTTACCATGAGTCACATATGTACCTATACCAAAGAAGCTGACTTTTCCTAAATTTTGCCTATGAATGTAAAGGACAATGCGGAGGTTTGGACCTATTGAAAAGTCGAGTGACTAAGGCATACTAACCAGCATCTAGACTATTATGACACAGTACGTTGCACTAATTTGAGTGATTGTCCCTCAGAGGCTGTTTATCTAGGAATACTGCCTTGAACTCCCTATCCAAACCTTAGGGCTTACATTGACATGATTGTTCTTTTCGGAAGCTTCGGGTTATCCAGATGGCCTAGAGGATTCCGAGAACATTCATTCCAACTGGACTTACTTATATTTTCCAGCCATCAATGAGTAACGAACGACCTATTTAATTAAAAGATTTTCTTCCCAAAATTTTGAACATTAGGATTACAGGGCTTCTTGAATTTGCTCGTTATCTACTTTTTACTTTCAATGGGAACTACGGAGAACAATGATCCTGAGGAAAAAAGTTTATTTTTTTTGTTTAAAAGAAGGCCTGTTAATCTAGTTAGTGAAAGATGACAGCGGCTTAAGCTAGGACGGAACAGTCCAAGAAACAGGGACTTTTACTTTCAACACAAAAGAAAAATGATTGGGGCCTCTTCCTTCTTATGTGCGCTGAATGGGCTCGATATCCCAGCGCGTTTGAGGCCATTTTAGGCCAGCACTTGGCCATGTAATGACTTGCGAGATTCGATGTGTCCCACGGGGGAATGCACTCAAAATGAGTCTTGCAATTATGGCCCCAATGGGAGTTCCAACCAAGGCATTCAATTCCGGGGAACCACGAGACCAGACTTGGGGTTTCATCTCAGGAGCCAACTCAGGCGACTCATCACCCAAAGTTGGATGCTTGAAGGCTGCAGCGGGCCATTTCAGGCCATGTTCTTCCACGTACAAGCTCTCCTTGATGAAGTCAAACGTTCTTTCGTTAAGCACATTCATCACAAAAATAACCCGCAAAGAACCAATAGGGAAATGCTTCTGGTACAAAGCTTGACAAACCTCAGAAGTGAATGGAGCCCGGGAGTCAGGTTTTCGGCAGAGATCCTCAATCAGAATTAAACCCTGACCAACATAGCCCTCAAAATGAATCTCCCGTTCGTTAACCTTGATGTTTCGGTAAGGTGAAGGCTCCACTGGGTGTTGGGTCTCATCAGGGAGACCGAGTCCGACGATGTGATTAAGGAGCCTTTCTTGCCCAAAATGAATTCGTGAAATGGGTCTAGGAATATCCACAAGTGACGAGTAAAACGTCTCAAGACTACCATACGTCAGAACTGAAGGAGAAACCTGGCAAGTCGAGTCATCGGGATTCTCCATCCAACGTGTAAAGTTTTGCCCTCTCACCTGTAAGTCTCCGTATTTGACAGATGCAATTCTGGGGAGCTGAGCAGTTTCGTGCCCACTGATAGCCCCAGTCTCGCCAATTGAAGGTCTTCGGGGTCCTTGAGCACTTGGAAGTAAGAGCATCGAAGGCGTAAGAGCGACCTGGGACACTTCCTCATGATTGACTTCTACAGGAGACACGGTCCGAGATACAGGCTCTACTTCGGCATTGCCGAATAGATAAGGCCGTAGCCCAGGTGTTACTTCCAAGAGAGATACCAAATCTCCAGAATCGTGGCTGGCTGCATGAGAATGAGAGACTGGCGCAGATACTGTGGTTGGAGATCTTAGAGCTTCTACCTCTACTGCTTGGCCAGTCTCTATATAAGATAGTAAACCAGGGTTGATTACCTCATTAAGAGACGCGTGTTGACTTTCTCCACTTGAATTAGAAGCCGATAGAGTTGCTTGGTCTATATCTACATCACTATTCTCTACAGGGGATACCGAAGAAGGCGCTGAGAGCACCAGAGGAGAAATGGGGGGTGTTGGAGGAGGTCCAGGGGGACCTGGAAGATGGCCCAAGAGAAGCGCAGGGGAAGTTGGGGGCGCCCGGCTATGGACTCGCAGTTTAGAGAAATAACAACCCATTTTGAATTGGGCCGTGGACAGTCAATGATAGAAAAAAAGCCTTGTGATGTAATGTTCTGTGTAGAATCGTGACTAGCAACTGTGCTTGTCAAAAGATATCGCAGGACGATGGGTGACCGAACTGAATTTGGGGCAGAAGAGGCCTTTTATATTCCATACAATTCATTGTTCGAGGATCTTGAACAGAAAATGCTTGTCAGGCTTTTCTTTGTACGATATCTCTTCTTTGTTTACTGAAGAGGCTTGAAAGAGAAAGACAAAGATCTAAAGGAATCGACATAGACAAAGAAGGTATCATCGGGTTCTCCTCCGAAGTTTCCGTCATTAGAGAACAGAATCAAAGACGAAAATTATGAAAACACAAATGTTCAGCATTTTCAGTCACTCATCTACTGAGAACAAAGCAAAATGATATCATTGACCTTATTCGGATTCAAGACCTAGACATTTGGAAAAGCTCGACTCTTCAGGGTTAGTGCTGTCTACTCAATAGATTGTTACTCTATCTAGATTGGGGCAATCTTTTAATGGCTGCAAAAACTTGAAAATTATAAATAACATATGGACAGCTGATATAATTGTGCTACCGTTCGCCGATTAGATTAGGTCCCTATGTCATAGAGTCGAGGCTTCTTTCTCTAAATGACGGAAAGAAGCTTGGTAGCACCTAAATCTGATTTAGCGGGCAATTTTAAGACTCCACACTGCATGCCATACTTCTTCGTGTTTATCAAGTGGCGGAATGCAGGCGAAGGTATAGGAATGTTCCCCGGAATCACCTTCTGGGATGAGCATCGCTGACGCCCAACAAGAGTTTCCTGATTTAAATGAGGAGTATACGCACATTGAAAACTTAAGATTGACCTACCTGGGAGCGATATCAAATTTGACAGCGATATGTTGACTAATCTGTACTAAGAACGACCCTCTTGAAGGCAGATGAAATTCCTCATAGCGGTTGACGACACGATCCATCTGCATGTTCGGCTTTATTTTGAGGATAATTTGGACTTGATATTTCAAAATTTAAACTAAGAAGTCGAGCATTGGACGGGAAGTGGTTACGGGTTGCACGGCGTTGCAACACCTGTCCGCGTGGTACGGATCAGGTGCAAAGAATCGAACCATCCTTGTTCATGACGTGCTGAACCGACCCCGCCTCTCTCAATCCTACTCATCTTTCTTTTCACTCATTCACCAGCAATGAGTGTCAAAACTGTGAAGCAATCACCATCTCTAGCAAACAATGGTTCTTCGAACCCCAAGAATTTCAAAGACCTCGAAAATGGATCTCACGAGCTGCAGCCCATAGGCACAACAACATCCACCCATCGAGCAACCTCGGCGATCGAGGACCAGTCCTCACGGCTACCATTCAAGCGCTTGATCTCGGCCTATCTTTGCCTAGCAGCTATATACTTCATTTCCACTCTTGACATTAATTCCGTGGCGACAGCATTGCCTGCAATCTCCCGATCGCTCGACGCCGGTAACAGCATCACCTGGACTGGTACTGCCTATTTAATGGGCCAGACAGCCTTCCAGGCACTATATGGGCGTCTATCTGATATCTTCGGTCGCAAACCGGTGCTATTACTTTCCGTGGGATTTTTAGTCCTGGGCGATGTTCTGTGTGGCTTTGCAAAGAATGTAACCTGGCTCTATGTTTGCCGGGCCATCAGTGGCATAGGTGGAGGAGGCATTAGCTCTCTGGTACAGATTACAGTGAGCGACCTGGTCAGTCTGAAAGACCGCGGCAAATACCAGGGGATGCTGAGTGCAGCCATTGGCCTCGGGGCCAGTACTGGCCCTTTCATCGCAGCAGGAATGATAAGTACTAACGACGGTGAAGGCTGGCGCTGGATTTTTTGGATCCCTCCAATTCTCGCGGCCACCTGTATGGCTGTGATGTGGATATGCCTCCCTTTGAAACCTGTGACGGGTAGCTGGGCAGAAAAGATGAAGAAGATAGATTGGCTTGGACTATTGACGGCTATTGCGGGTGTGCTTTTTCTCCTGGTATGTGTCCATCTTTTCTGTCATTAATGGTCCAGTTACTGATCAAGTGACTGCAGATACCGATAAACTCTGGAGGGAGTATATGGCCGTGGCATAGTGCACTCGTAATCTCCATGCTGGTTGTGGGAGGCTTCTTTTTCATTCTGTTCGCCGTGATTGAGAAGCGGGTCGCGAAAATTCCTATGATCCCTCTTCGCTTATTTGCCGAGATTCCTACAGCTGTGATCTATTTCCAAAGTGCACTCTACAATGCTGTCTGGCAAGTGGATATGTATTTTCTGCCTATCTATTTCCAGGATGTCCGAGGCTATAGCCCTCTTCGCAGTGCGGCGCTCATTCTACCCCTTCTTCTCATGCAAAGCGTGGCTGGAGTGATCTCCGGCCCCCTTATGACAAAATTGGCTCGGTTTGTTTGGCCCATCTAATATGAAGTCTGAGTGGCTGACTTTGGGAAAGATATGGGCCAGTTCTATACTCTGGAATGGCACTTTGGACATTAGGTGCCGGCTTAAAGCTTCTGTTCAACCAGACAACTTCAATTGGCACGTATGTCATTGTGTTGATTATTGAAGGAGCCGGCATTGGATTTGTTCTTCAGCCTGGTAAGATTACTGAACAGGCCCGATAGGTTGGATTGGTCATTAACGTTGGTGCAGCACTTGTTGCCCTGCAGGCTCTATCAAAGTCCGAGGACCGTGCGGTAGCTACATCAACACGCAACCTAATGCGTATGCTTGGGTCCGTGGTGGGAATGGCGTTATCCACTGCAATCGAGAATGCGGTCATGAAATCAGCACTACCAAGCGGTTTGCCTCAATCCATAAGTACACAGGTGATCGGCGGCAGCTGGGAGCGGGGTCAACCCGAATCTGAACGGTGGGATCCAGCCATCCTAGATGCCAAAATGAAGGGCATTCGGGCCGTGTTTATCATGCTAGTACCATTGGTGGGTGTTTGTTTGCTGGGATGTTGGCTTATTCCTAGCAAGGAATTACCAGGCGACGCTAAGCGGAGTGATATCCCAAGTCCAGGACCAGAGAGAGCTACCGCCTGAAATCCTGCATTTGAGCCTTGGACTCGTCGCCTGCATTGCCATAATTTCCGACATACAAGATACAGGAATATATTATTGCCCCATCAATTACGTGAGATTTGCATAACATACAGCAAGTTTTGTCTCGAGACCGGGAAATGAAGTACGTTGGATGATAACCATAGGCAAATGCAGCGAATAAGGATAATTCAAGAAAGAAAAATAAAGAAAAAGAGGGCGTGGTCAACGTTGCATCCCCATGAATCTAACAGCTGCCAGTTTAAGAATCTAACCTTATTTTGATTCTTTGTTTCGATATAGAGATGATTTATTGACTAAATTTCCACACCTCGAGAGTTCATCATGAGGGAGCATAAATCTTCTAAGCCCAAAGATATGAAACCGAAAATACCCGATCACTCCCTTGCATCTCATACTGGTAGACTAATACTGTCGACGGACGCCACTTCCTCAACTGACGGAAGCTAGAACCAGAACGGGAGTCCGAAAAGGAGTCATATGCATAAAGACTCCTGCTCAAACATGGGGAATGCTTGCATATGTACCGTCAAGGATTCTGATCCTGTTGCTGCGGGCCGTATCAATGTGGTGAGCAAGTCGCAATCTGAGGGGTTTTTGACGACAGAGTTTGGTACCGATGGGTATGACAGATATCCAGGTATACCTCACGTGTCTGCGACCCATCATGTTGATTAACCTTCTCGATGGGTCATAGAAAAAGAATTATAAAACGCGCCGAGTCGAAGAGATTCATTATTTCAAGTCAAACTCGCTTTTATATTATATCTACACGTTAAATTTACTTTCAACACTTCACCAATGGCTAACGCAAAGATTAGAGTATGCCTCATTCAAAGAAAGAATCTATGTATAATTGGCTAATTGAACATAGGTCAAGAACCCGGTTGTCGAAATGGACGGCGACGAGATGGCTCGAATCATCTGGGCCGAAATTAAAAGACGCTTTATTTCCCCCTACCTTGATGTGGATATAAAGTATTTCGATTTAGGTCTTCCTTATCGAAATCAGACCAACGATCAAGTAGTGCAAGACGCTGCCCAGGCTATCAAGGACTACGGCGTTGGCATCAAATGTGCTACAATTAGCCCGGACGCAGGTCGGGTGAAAGAATTCCAACTCAAGCAGCGATGGCCCTCTGCCAACGGCATCATCCGTAACTTCTTCGGTGGAACTGTCTTTCGTGAGCCTATCATTATACCTCGCGTGCCAGCCCTCGTTTCGGGATGGAAGAAGCCAATAATCATCGGTCGCCACGCTTATGGCGATCAGTACAAAGGCCAAGACTTTGTGGTCACCGGACCTGGCACCCTCGAGATCGTGTATACTCCTGACGATGGCCAGCCAGAGACCCGAATCGAAGTCTTCAAATACAAAGGGGCGGGAATTGCACAAGCACAGCCCAACACAGATGACTCCATCGAGAAATTTGCTCACGTCAGTTTCAGACTTGCGTTGACTCGTAGCTTGCCATTGTTCTTGGCGACCAAAGACACGGTGATGAAAATCTATGATGGGAGATTTCGTGACATATTTCAGGAAATCTTTGATCAAAGTTACAAAGCTCAATTCCAGGAAAAGGGAATCACGTATGAGCATCGCCTGATTGACGACATGGTCGCCCAAATGATCAAGGGAGAGGGGGGTTACATTTTAGCTTTGAAGAGTACGTTTTTTCGAAAGCATGTCGGGGCTGAACGCTAACTCCTCATGGAAAGATTATGATGGTGATGTCCAATCTGATATTGTGGCTCAAGGGTTTGGATCCCTTGGGCTGATGACATCTGTGCTGGCAACGCCCGATGACAAGGCGTTCGAGACAGAAGCAGCACATGGCACTGTGACGAGACATTATCGGCTGCACCAACAGGGGAAGGAAACATCAACGAACCCAATCGCGAGTATTTTTGCATGGACTCGTGGCTTGAAGCGGCGTGGGTTGGTTGATGACACACCCGAAGTAGTCGCCTTTGCCGAGATCTTGGAAAAGGCTTGCATTGATACCGTTAATATTGATGGTATCATGACAAAGGACCTCGCAGCTGCGGGCGGTGGCAAGGATGGATATGTAATGACGCCGGAGTACATGGATGCGGTGGAACGACGACTGAAAGAGGAGTTTGCGCGACTTCAGGCAAATCTGTGAACCCGATATTCTCTCTCACATGTGTGAGACAAGAGGTTAATAGTCCAATTTTATTTAAGATTGATGAAACTACGTGTCTAACCCCGCTACCCCACTGGCGGCCCTACTAAGCCTGCAAATATACCCCGAAAAACGTGAACGTAGCAAAAATACGGTTAAACTTGTCCATGATAAGACGGCATAGGAGGCCAATTAAGAGCTTTTCTCTATTGAGCAATTTTTGGGAGGCGGGGGCCTGGTGGAAGCGTGTGTAGATGATTTCCACACCCCTGCTTATCCACGGCGTGGAATGAGCCGAGACCAATTACTTCCCCTCGGCTTCGTCATTTTAGGTCTAGGTTTCATGCCTTTGAAGAGATCGACATCTCTTAAGATGTTTTTGAAAAGTACAAAAATGGGGCTGCAGGTCAGATTTTAGGGCCCGGGAAGATCCCTGCATATGCAGCTGCCTTGGGAAAGCGAGCACACGACAGCATATGAAGCCTAGATTGTAACTGATGGACATATCCTCTCTCTCTTCCTAAAGCTGTCAGTCCTTTCTAGTCTCGATATTTTATTAGCATACCGTCATTGTAATCCTGATCACAGCAAGAACGAAATCGTTGATTGATTTCAAGGCTCGCGAGTATATAATTCTAAAATGCATCAATATCAAGTAATATGTCTCCTCTTGTTTCTACTGAGAATAAGAAGTCAAGTCGTGATCGGGAGAAAGCATTGCATAATTAGTCAAAGTTTAATACCTGAACTCACTGTCACCGTAGGATTGCATTGCAGAGCTTCAGAGAGTATCTCCGCAGAGGCAAGTTATCACACGACCATCTGTCTAGGTAAAACAGGGATTCTGATATAATCTCTGTAAATTATACTCTTCAACGGAAAGTCAATACAGAAGTGAGATATGGTCCGAATAATCGCTCATTCTGGTACAGGGGTGGGTGGCACGTGTGCTGACAAGAGGTATGATATTGTGCGAAAAGGAGGGGGGGAGCATTGCGACACAAGATATATGAAGCTGATCACAACCCAAATCCTTGTTCTTTCAACTCAAGCAAATCTGTTAAATACATCTATTTGAGGAGTCCTAAAGTTTTATCGTCGTAATGTCAGCATCTGTTCAAGGTCTTCTTTCCCAGAACGGTGGACACATTCGTCTGCTGGAAGCTCACGATCACATCTCTCGAGAGATTATCCGCAACGCCGTGGGAAAGTCTGGGCAAAGATTCCATGGCCTTTGGCTCAGTGGACTGACCCAGACAACCTACCTGGGGATCCCGGATACAGAGCTCATTTCTCCCCTCAAGCGGGCGTCTATGATTGCCTTCAATGACCTTCTGCAGCCCGGTGATCACCGCCCTCTGTGCGCCGCTTTTGACGCGGACAGTGGTGGTGATGTTGAAGAGATCCCGGCCCTACTGGCAGTGTTGGAGATAATGGGGGTATCAATGGTTATAATTGAGGACAAATCCCTCTCTGCTCCAGGGGAAAAGGTTAACTCTCTCGAATCAACCTCGGGAAATCAAGAACAAGCCGATATGCATGAGTTCGCGGAAAAGATTCGGGCTTTCAAGAAAGCGACGGGGTCAAAGGATATCTTAACTACTGCCCGCATCGAAAGTCTCACGACCCGTATTTCTCGGGCAGAGGAGCAAGAGGAGAAAGAGTCTGTCCAACAGGCGATTCAGGACGCACTCACACGGGCATATGTGTATCGTGATGCAGGAGCAGATGCCATTATGATACATAGCAAAAGCACATCGTCAGATGAAGTGCTACAATTCTTACATTCATTCCGAGAGAAAGACCTTAATACGCCGCTAGTGGTTGTACCCACGACGTATTCTGCCACAACTCGAACGGCCCTCTATGGAGCCGGGGCCAATGTTGTCATCTATGCCAATCATCTCATGCGAGCCAAGATTAGTGCCGTGAGCGAGATTTCAAATAAGCTTCTAGTCGAGCAGCCTGATCTGTTTGCTGATGATGCAGAGCTGAAAGCATGTCTGGAGGCCCGAAACTTTGGTTGTCTTTTACACAGGCTTTTGGCACGAGCGCTCCTGGGTCAAGAAGAACGCGAAGAAACAGCCAAATATCGACAGTTGGTGCAGAAGCATGCAAAGGACAATATGAATGCGGTGGTACTGGATCTTCTTGATGGTGATATGTCAGGCTGCGAAGCCAATAAGCGGATCATATCTGTCAAGGAATTGCTGGAAATTAATTCGCGTCAAATAATTTTTGTTTAGGCATATCACAGCTTTGTTTCAGACAGCTAGTTAATTGAGCTATAATTTGACTTGAGTTTTAGTAAAGCTAATTAAACCAGCAATATCGGGAGTTCCTAGGAGTACGTACTAAGTACTCATATTTTCCTAGAAGTCTATCATTATCATTATCGAATATCTTAGAAGAAAAATTTTGATGCTATAGTTAATTACTTAAAGTGACTGAGTATGGGGAGCAAGAAGCACAAATCTCCACTATGGCTCGTGGGCAACAAAACATAGCACTAAGTAATGATATGATCAGAGGCTATACAGATCACGGGCTCATAAAATTCTACCAAATGGAAAAGCTTCCATACATATATCTACATTGAATATGGGCGTATTCCGGACAACGGAAAGATAAGCAAGTAGGTTTTCTTGAACAATTCAAAAGCTATGTTGCAAGTCACTTTAAATTAATCGCGTTACCGGACGCAGTGATATCAATCCAACCTCTACCACGTAAATTAACTAAAAGAAATCCGGATAATTCGTTTTCGAGGAGAGTTTCTAGCGTTTCGTCCCAGGCATGGGTGTGCCTCCAAGCGACGTTGTTCCGGACGCACCATAAGCCGGAGGGGGCAAAGAGTTAGGCGACGTCTGTCGAACGACAGGATCTCGGGCCCCGGAGCTTGAAGGCCCCGCCTGGGCGCCCCCAGGCAGCTGGCCGCCGTCACCTTCTCCAACTACTACTTGTTTCCCATCGCGCATGCGCCCCACAACCATGCCCTTAGCCACAGATTTGAGCAAAGCACGCCGACTGACACCCGTAGCATCAATGTATACCAAGCCAACATTCTTGATACCGCCTGTCAAATTGCTCGCGACATCGCCCGCTTCGTTACCATAACGATGGCCTATCATAGTGCTGGCGGCCTGCGTTCCGGTAAGAAGCACCGTTCGGGCCGATTCGGTTATTCCATCGGCGAGAGTTGAGAAGGCGATCATGGACTTATTCAGCATGCCAGGCTTGTAGTCAGGAGGCGGGTGATGTCTATCAATCTTCTTCTGCTTTGTATCTTTGCGTGCTAAGGATGCACCCAGATTCTGTGCAACCCGTTCGACTTGTCCCAATGTGCGAGACGATAGATCTGCGGCACCATGAGAGAATGTGCCGACCTTGCGGATGCGCTGGTGGGTGACTTCAGAGAAAGTCACTGGTTTCTGTGTTGGCTTGGTCTTTTTAATGAAGCTTTCAGCGCCACTGGATATGGCATTGGCAAGAGCTGATGATGTTGCAACAACCAGCCGAGACGCAGTGGCTGAGGTCTGGACGATAGTCGAGTCCTTGTATGCGGGATGCCGTGACATCTCTAAGTACTCCTCTGACACGTTGGTCACGGTAACCCGGTTACCTTGACCTTCACCGGGAAGTTCAATCTCAACAGGCCCTGATACGGCAATATAATCAGCAGGTCATACAATAACTGACTGACGGACAAGGGTAAACTCACGCTTAGATCCAGGCTTTACATCTGGGTCCTCCACAAGGTCGTATCCCTCGCCTAACTCTCCAACCACGCTGCCATCTTCTTCATCAACTAGCACAATCTTACCATGCTTATGATCCATTGAAGATGTTCCATTCTTGCCGACGTGGCTTTCCCCGGTCCCGACGTATCCCTCTCCGGGCGCCCAGTCGGCTGGGTTGTAAGCGACGGGACCCTCCGATTTCCCACCTAGACCGGGATCACGATCAAGGAAGGCAGTACATTGGGCAAGTATTGTCTCAAAAGTGTCGATGTCATCTTGTGTTACGTTGTTTGAACCATTGCCCACGCTGGGGAATTGGATCCGGATGAAGGCACCCGCATCAGGTGCCAAATCCCATCGTGGAATGAGGTAACTGTCCGGTGGCTGGTGAAAGATCTGCGTAGTTGCCGGCAGAGCAAGATCCAGCTCGGGTGGGAGGTAGAGATGCAGGTAGAAGTCCTCCTCTGGTGTCTCTGCGGTTCCATTAGGCGCGTATGGTGGGATTGACGCAGGCGTTGTCGTTGGTACCATGAGCAGCGACAAGGTCTGAGGGCCCGACGGCGTTAACTCTTGCTCTTCACCATCCTGAATATGAAAAGCGCGAATATTCTTCACGCTGAAGAGTAGCCTGGGATCATGCGTAGACATGATGTCTGTTCGGTATGAATCAGGCTAACAAAGTGCCCGCAATTGAGAGCGGGGCGCTGATAACTGCAGATAAGACGATGACGTCGGGAGGGATTTTGGCCGGTTTCACCACGTGAGGAGCAATTCAAGGCACAGCAATCAGATGAACACTGAGATCTAGACGAACAGAGAAAACGAAGAGAAGAGAAATGTAGGCGCCAGCCAAGCCGAGGAGGGGCGCTCTTATGAACTCGGCTGGCTGGGCGCTTAGATAACAGACACCGCAAAATCGTGGCTGCGCCACACTCAGCGGTGAAGCACCGCCACACCACCACTCATTCGACCATGTTTTCTGCTGCCGCTTTCGGTGCAATTGTGGCTGATTAGGTTTAAACCTGCAGTGGGGTTGCTTGGTTGTGGCAAACCTTCCCCAGTCCCCATCCTGTCCTTGATCCTTCAATCTAAAATGTTCGAGATCCAGATTGTGTCCGACTTGCATCTGGAAAATCCTTCTGCCTACAACTTATTTGAGATTCCAGCTAGAGCACCCTGTTTGGCGCTCCTGGGCGACATTGGTGTCGTTGCGGATGATGGCTTCTTCTCTTTCATCGAGGCCCAACTACAACAGTTCGAAATTGTCTTCTTGCTTCTAGGAAACCACGAGCCCTGGCATTCCAGCTGGTCGCAAACTAAAGCGAAAATTTATGACTTCTCCGACTCGGCCGCTCAACGGCGCACCAACCAGGAAAAGAAGGGCGGTTGCTTTGTGTTTCTTGACCGAACCAGATATGACATATCTCCGACAGTGACGATCCTAGGATGCACTTTATGGTCAGAGATCTTAGAACCGCAGATGGAGCGCGTAAGCTTCGGTATCAATGACTTCTACTATACCTTAGACTGGACAGTCGAGGATCACAATGCAGCGCATGAGGGAGACTTGAAATGGCTCAACGATCAGGTTGCCGAGATCTCGGCATCGGACCCGGATCGACAGATCGTGATCCTATCTCATTATAGTCCAGTGGGGAAAGATACGCGCGCTATCGATCCGAGGCATGTCAAGAGTCCATTGTCCTCGGGGTTCGCCACAGACCTTTCGGCACATGAGTGTTGGAGAAACCCTCAGGTTTGTCTCTGGGCGTTTGGACATACCCACTATAATACTCACTACAAAGAGGAAGAAACGGGAAAACTGATCATGAGTAACCAGCGGGGCTACTATTTTTCTCAGGCGGACAGATTCGACCCAGGCAAAGTAGTTCATATTGCCTAATAGAATGCTTGTATTGAGTTTTCCTGGGTACACCCCGATACGTTCACAAGACATTGTGTTGTAGAAAGGGGCTTTAAAGTGCGGGCTTTTTAGGGTGACTCGTTACGTTTGCCTGACATCTCGCAGCGAGGGGCATAGCTTGTTTATGCATCCCAACTGATGATGCGTCTTAAAAGAGGAAACGGCCTTCCATGCTCGATCTTTTTCACCTCTACCACTGCAATGACAGTCATAACTCAATAGCTAGTTCTTCTCCGAGGATGTCCATCATAATTGCAGCCGACAGCACGATGAAGAACTACTCTCGACCGAAGAATCAAGAAGCTGAATCTGTCGGTGGAAGAACTGGCGAAGCTGAGATGGGCGGTAAATAATCGTTCTTACCCCGAGAGCATGCTAGCGTCAGAAGAATGATCATCCGCAACGCAAAATGAGATCCCGACTTTGCGGCTGTCCTGACTACCAGCTTCAGCATCGCTTTGAGAACAGAAATCTCTTCATGCTCATATGAGACACTAGTGGTATTGATCAATATTTCATCCTCTGCTGCCTCTCTTGGACGAATTCCGCCTTTCATAACCTGTCATAGGCATAAAAGTTTGGTCTCTCAGCTCTCCCTATCCGCAAAACCAGCGTAATTCATTATTAATCTAAATGATTCTCGCTTTCACTGTTTTTTCCCCTTACAATCTATTTTCGCTTCGCACTCTTCCACAAAACTTCTCATCTTTCCATTCTTTTTCTCTCTACCTCTTAAATACTTTCTAACTTCATCCTTATTTTTTCACATCAATTAATCATTCTGCGGACGTCTATGATCGGCTATTTTGATTCTTAAGGCAAGCTATCTTTATTTTGCACCTTCTCCTATCTTGCCTCTCCCCCTGCTCGCTTTCTCATCTATATCCTCTTGTCTTCTCTAATTCCACAGAATTCTTAGATACAACCGACATTCCGCTACCAATATTTCCGCTTTCGTTCAATCATTCAAAATGACACCGAAGCCGAGATATATCAAAAAAAGCATCCAAGCCCGGATATGCGATCGCGGAAGATTACTAGAGTATCTTGACAAGCTGGCATCACCGAGACCATATTCACCTTCCATCAAAATTAAATCTTCAAAAACTCGGGAGAGGCGAGATCAGTATTTTGCGGCCGGGTATTCGTTATGTGAAGCAGATACACTTCACCGTCAGGTTCGAGCCAACAAAGTTACAAAGGCAACTTCGAATTTGAAATTGTCACAAGCAACAGTTCGTTGTCTTGAATTCCTTCTCAAAAACTTCCAGTCCGACGAATTCGATATCGCCTCAAGAATGGGCACAATTCAAACTGAACTGCCATTGACAGGGCACTGAAGTATGAGAAAAGCCTTGACGATAGGTTGCCTATCTTCTGCGACCTTACTCCTCAGGAGCGAGACGATATCTGCCTCGAGTTACAGGCTCATACGAACCCTCTAACAAATATCGTGGCGAAGAGCTCATCAGCACCTTTCAATTGGGCCGCTCCTGTCACATCATGTGGTAGTGTAGGTCTGGATGTCATAGGAAATTCCGACTACGGCATGTCACGGGGGGATGACACGGCCTCGCTTGATCCTAAGGATGCCTCAGTCGTGAATGGCAATTCGACCCACAGCGATGAAACCGACCGCAATGATGACGATTTGTTTGGTCCTTGCTAAGCCTGCAACTCACTGCTTCAGAATTAGTGATTGCTTTCCTGTTTTCCCTACATCTTTATTCTTCGTTTCCTATGTCTTCCTGGAACTGGTGTTTCCCCATTTGGGTTGAAGCCACAGAATTTCGCAACTAATGTTAAGCAGACAATTTTTGGCAATATGGAATATTCTCTTACCTCTTCCATGAGGGTACATAGCATTGCGATATCATGATTCTCGGTCTAATCATTCTGGTTTTCCTTTGACTATTTATCACTGATCATTGATCTTGGTGTATCCCCAAGAGGGCTGAAGCCAAGCTATAGCCAATATAATCGATATTTCGATAAAAAAATATAGTAAAAATCTTGACCGACCCATAGTAGCCCATACATGAAGGTCAAATATTCCCTCAATAAACGACCACGGATTTTGTCAACTTTTAGATTCTTTCTGCCTGAAGGATAGGGCGACGAACAAGTTTATCTGCCACTGAGCGGTTGAGCCAATCATAACGTTCATTACACCGCCCGAGGCCCACCCATCTCCAAATGCAAATCCTGCAAACTTGCGGCGCGCCACCGGCGGACTGTGAATTTTTGAGAGCGATCGGAGAACTCCGTGACATACTCGTTGGCGGCTGGACACAATTTTCCGAGGTTCTAAGTCGTGTTTTCAACCGATTGAAGTGCCAGCTATATTCATTGGTCATTTGACATGCCCAGCATGGAATCGACGTCCTCCGAAGTTCCGCGCGCGGAGGTCAATCCTGCCTCTTCCGAAGTGGACATCACGAAGCGCGATACTCCCAATGAGACCTCTAGTGCTGAAGAGCCCCCCCTCTAAGAAGGCTCGAGTCGAAGAGCCTTCGATCTCTGACAGCCATCGGCAGTCGCTGCGTGACAGGGGTATTGCGCCTATCAAAGCCGAGTGAGTTTACATTTTTGATCTCAGAAAATATTCAGACCACAACTGACCTCTGTACGAATTCGGAAAGATACTTGCTTCGCTCGCGTCCCTTGATTAACTCGACCCCCGAGCCTGCCTCCGAAGTCAACGCTGATGATGCTGCCGAGGCTGCCTCCCACGCCGAGCGTGACGACGAGAAGAAAGGCAAGAAGAAGAATAAACCCAAGGGCCAGAACACCAATCGAAGCTTTGGCAGCTCCAAAGACGCAAAAGGCCTGTGCACATCGAGAACATTCAGTCCCGAGTTCTCCCCGGAAGAGTGCCAGTTCGGCGAGAAATGTCGATTTGAGCACGATTTGCGCGTCTACCTAAAGGAGCACAAGCGTGAGGATCTTACAACTTTTGATGGCATCTGTCCGGCGTGGGATGTGCATGGAAAGTGTCCCGCAGGATGGAAGTGTCGGTTGGTCGGTTCACACTCCACCGAGAGGGAAACGGCGGACGGGAAGAAGGAGCTTATCTTGATTGAAGACGAAGAGCGCAAGGCCAAGGCCAAGCCTCTCGTGTCGTTCGCGACTTCCGAGGGCATGGTCAATATCATTTCGAACGAAGACAAGGTCGCCCTCGCGCGGAAGCGGGAGCATACTCCTCGTGCCAATGAATACAACACCTGGCTTACCAAGGTGTCTCAGGAGCTAGAGAAGCAGCTTCATGGTCGATTTCAAGAGGAAGGGGACGCAGCTCAGACCAATGGTGACGCAGAAAAGGCCAAGGAGAAGGAGGAGAAAGAAGAGAACAGGGCCCGTTTCTCGGATCCTCCATTTTTGCCGTCCGAGAAGAGACGCATTTATTTTGGACCTGAAACCCCAACCCTCGCACCTCTGACGACCCAGGGTAACCTGCCATTCCGCAGGCTGTGTATTGATCTCGGTGCTCAATTCACCTACTCAGAAATGGCGATGAGCATGCCATTGATCCAAGGCTCTAAATCCGAGTGGACCTTGCTGAAGAGCCACCAGTCGGAGATGCTCCCTCCCACAATCGTTCCCGGGCCGAATGTCGTTCAAGGCTATGACAATTCAAAGGATTTCAAGTTTGGTGCTCAGATTGCAGCCAACAAGCCTTGGCAGGCCCTGAAGGCTACGGAGGTGCTTTCTAAATTCACACCCAACTTGCGTGTCATTGACCTGAACTGCGGTTGCCCCATCGACCTTGTGTACCGCGAGGGAGCTGGCTCTGCCTTGCTGGATCACCACTCTAAATTGGAAAAGATACTTCGTGGAATGAATGCTGTCTCGCAGGAGATTCCAATTACGGTGAAGATCAGAACGGGAACTCGAGATAACCAGCCGACATCACAAAAGTTGGTTGAGCGTCTTGTTCTAGGTGGCTACGAGTCTAGCTTTCTCAATGGTGGCCCCGCAGGTGTCGCTGCCATCACTCTCCATGGACGAAGCAGACAACAGCGATACACCAAAACCGCGGATTGGAGTTATATCGCAGAGTGTGCCGCCATCATCAACCGGCTGAATGAGCAAACGGATGTCATCACCGATACCATCCATGAACCCGATGCGCGTTACCAGCCAAATGGCGGCAAGACTTACTTCCTCGGAAACGGCGATTGTTTCTCTCACTTTGACTACGATGACCACATTCGGAATGCCGGTGTTGACTCCGTCATGGTGGGTCGTGGAGCTTTGATCAAACCATGGATTTTTGAGGAAATCCAGTCCGGTCAGTACCTGGACAAGTCTGCTACAGAGCGTCTTGCCTACATCGAAAGGTTTGCCAGGTATGGGCTAGATGCTTGGGGATCGGATGAGTTTGGCGTTGGCACCACCCGAAGATTCCTGCTTGAGTGGTTGAGCTTTGCCTATCGCTACGTTCCGCTCGGCATTTTGGAGTACATGCCTCCTCATATTAACGACAGACCCCCTGCTTGGCGTGGTCGAAATGATCTTGAGACTCTTATGGCTAGCGGAAACTACAAGGACTGGATCAAAATCACGTAAGTCTTGTTCGGTTTCATTATACATAAAATAAGAAGGACAGCGTCACTGACTCAACATTTTATCTAGCGAGATGTTCCTCGGCCCCGCGCACAAGGACTTCAAATTCGAGCCCAAGCACAAGTCCAATGCCTATGAGGCAGAGGGCTAAACAGAATAAAAGGCGAACTCACAATTAGATAAAGGCTGAAAATGAGCATTGTATATAGAAGAATACGAAATATGAAGTTATACCAAGATTAATAGTACTATGAAGATGATGTGACAAAAGCTCCACGTTGGGACGTTAGGGCTCTCCATCCGGTCACGTGGAGATCCGACGATGATGACGTCTGTTCCCCGAGGCTTGCAAAACTTCCCCATAAAAGACCACCTCGAACCTGCCCGTCCGACAGCAGGTCCTCAATTTCTTCTGCTGCTCGATCTGAATACCTATTCACTTTGGTTTCTAGCGTTACTACCTCCTCGCTCCACACTGCTAAAATACATCTGCCTAGCGGCATTTGTTTACATTCAAACCAGCTTGCACTGAAGCTTCGACCAAACCCCCCACCCCCTTTTGCACAGCACGAACATTCCACTTGAACAGCCCTTGTTTTCATCAAAGTCGTCAAAATGACTCTCTATTACAGCCTTGTATGTCACACCCGAGAATTATCTCATATTATCTGCTATGGTCCCTAGCCCACCAAGCTTGACACGGCTGTAGCCTAGGTGGCATGATTAGCCAGCTCACCGATCCGCCGCTTGATGCTCTCAAATTGCCTTCCATGCTGATACATGACACTGATGCAAAATGATTTTCCCTTAGGTGTTTCTTCTCTTGGTGTTTGAGATGGGAGTATTCCTTGCCCTCATCGTGCCTCTCCCATACACTATCAAGCGCAAACTGTTTGCATTTATCTCCGAAAGTCCCATCATCGCCAAATTACAATATGGGTTGAAGGTACAGCATTCGGTCTACCCTCGCCAATCCTGATCCGCCCATCTAACCGATATGGCTCTCAGATTACCTTTATTTTCATTTTGATTCTGTTCATTGACAGTGTCAACCGGGTCTACCGGGTCCAGCAGGAGCTGGCGGCCTTCTCCAAGGAAGGCTCCGCATTGGGGTATGTGCATTATAATCCATGGAAAACTGCTTTACTACCTGGAAAACACCAAATACTAACGCGAATCCCTCACCAGAGCTGCCCACCTTGGCACCGACCGCATGGAGGTGCAAGCCCGCAAGTTCTACTCCCAGCGTAATATGTACCTCTGCGGCTTCACTCTTTTCCTCTCCCTGATTCTCAACCGCACCTACATCATGATCCTCGAGGTCCTCCGTCTTGAGGACCGCGTGAAGCTGCTCGAGGGTGACAAGAAAGCTGGCGGCAAGGACTCAGCCCGCGTTGCTGAGGCTGGTTCGGTTGGCGAGATCGGCGCTTTGAAGAAGGAGATCGAGGCTAAGAACCGCGACATTGAAACCCTTAAGAAGCAGTGTGAGGGCCTGACCCGCGAGTACCACAAGCTTGGCGACGAGGTTTCTTCTGGCAAGGGTGATAAGACCGAGAAGAAGGACATGTAAAGTGTCTCTTCCTTCGCGCAACCGGGTAATTTGACCTGAGGTGACCCATGTCGCAGACAGCCTCGCGGTCGCTCATCAATACATCTCAATTTGAGGTCACCTTATGGTTCAGATAATGCCACGCATAATGCCGTTTCTATGGGGTACACCCACTGATTTTGGGAGCCGTGGATAGTTTTCTCTCAAATGAAATGTTGTCACACCGGGAGGAGATCCATGAACTTGGCACTCTTTCTTTACTGTTAACAGAACTTAGCCGAAGAGTTTGGGAGGATGGAGTCATTCGTCATAGTATTGCGAAGTTTTAGCTTGGGACAGGAAATATCTTGCATTGTGAAGATAAGGTTCTCGGGTCATAAAATCATCCTTTTTTAAAAATCATTACACATTCGTAACTGTACAGGTTCGGTTTGCTGATAGACTTGGGTTGAGAGCATTGCAATCCAACAACCTCTAGCGTCTTAAATAAGGAAGGTCCAGAAGCTGGGGTAGACTAGCTCCTCCTCAAAGATACGGCGGACCTGAGCAAGCACAAAGCGCTCGACCTTGCCGACATTCTTCAAGACCTGCTTGCCATCCTCCTTGCGGCCTATCTCGCTGTCCACTCGAATCTCTTGCAACAGCCCACCCTGCCGCTTTTGGTCGCCGCCGGACTTGGGCCGTCCGTCCTCGCTTAAATTCTGGCCGCTCTGATTTTGTTCCTCGGAGCCAAGCAGCGCATCCGCATCCTCGGGAGACAAGAAGCAGAAATGGATACGCTTGCGAATATATGCAACCACAGCCACACCGTCGAAGGTGATGCCTGTCACGTTCAGTTTAAGAGGCAGGCCGACAAAGCTAGGCATTGGATAATCCAGCAGAATCTCTGCCGTTAAGGACATTCGGACGTCACCCGCATATTTTGCATGACACAGAATCTGGAAATCTTCAGGTCGGCGTTCGCGCATACGAGGCGGGATTGGGGCGGAAGGATCGGTCGCGGGTTCGGTGGATTGTTGGGGTATATCGGCCGGGTCACCAGTATTGCGATTCGATCCGCTGCTTCCGGTCTGGCCGATGGATGGATGCGATGGTAGGGTATTGGCAGTTGAGGGACGAGAAGCGGAGTTGGTGGTGTCTATGTCGGCGTCTATGCGATGTTGGAGCCCAGTAGCGCGCGACGGGCGTCGAGGCCGGCCACTGGGCATTCCCGAGTCAGACCAGCTGCCAGTGAATGGTGTTCCGCCTGCTACAGCCGCGAGGGGGGGTTTGTGTCCCCGAAAGACCCCCCAATGACATCAAATGATAACCAAGTGTAGATGTGCCGCCGGGGATGCCAGGGGTGCCGGCGCGGGGCAAAAAATGAGGATTGAGGTGATCCCCCAGAGGAAGCGGAGACCGCAGCGCTGAGGGCCGATAGTCCTCGCCGGGGTATGGGTGGTGACTGAGGTTATGTGGGCTGTGAGCCGCATGGTTCATGGACATTTCATCGCCGTAGGCTGATGAGCCAGACCATTCATCGGCGAGCTCCTCGGAGGTGGCCGAGGTGTCATCATCGTCTTCCTCATAAAAGTCGGCGAATGGCTCGCAAAAGTCCTTGATCTCAAGATCAGGAGCGATTGTTCCGAAATCGAAGGAATGGACCTGGACGGAGCGAATGAACCGCGGTAAAGGGACCTGCTGGAACTTGTCGTGGACAAAGGAGCGGATACGCTCTGCCAGCGCTTCTCCGTCCGGGCCAGATGTGGCCCTTGCCCAATCAACTTCGATGGACATTACATATGCGTCGCAAGAATGGCGGTGTTGCAAGGATCTCAAAACCTCCCAAGCTCCCAAGACAGAAGCTATGGTCAACTCACGGGCCGGTGACGCGGATCCACGTGACTAATGAACGGGGCATTCTTCTGGAGCCCATGTACGAGCGAGTTGGCATGAGCACTCTTATCAAATATTTGTTTCGCAGCAAATAGCCTGAAATATTGTTTATAATAAAATTTTCTGTATTATTGGCTAAGAGCAAGTTAAAGTTATCATAATACCAAATAAAATAGTACTTTCCATGATACCCTCGGATTAGCATCCATGTTTACGCGGCCTTCCCGACATTTATCGAGCTACAGCGGATCTATATTTCAATGCATGTGAGAACTGCTTGAACTCACCACATTCCCAATAATACCATGCTTCATATGTATTCCTATATTTAGATAAGTCATGCCTGGAATACTTCTCTGTGTTTCCCAGATCGACTTTGTGTTGAGGATGTACTAGCAACGGCCTTGCATTATGATGCGGGATGGTCAGAAAATAAAAGTTTGAAAATCAATGATGAAAAAGAAATTTCAAAGGCACGCTTTTCAGAAAAGACTTGATGGATTCATTGCACAGGCCATTACAATGGTGTAGAAACGATAAGGTCCATTAAGCGGAGATAAAACTACGTACCTGGCAGTATCAAGCGCAAAGATGTCGGCTCTAGCAGATAACAATGATTCAAACCTGTCAGACCACGAACCTAACGTCGTAAATTATCGCTTTTAACCTAAAATATGATACTATGGAACATATTACTGCAATAATTCCCAATGAGCATCGAGATATGGCAGCTGGCAGAGGGAGTAATAGGCTCTTAGACCGAGCCATTCATGGTATCTTGATGAAAGATGTTAACCCTCTAGCTGGGCCCATTTGCAGATAATCATACATGAATATGGTTTGACCAAGCTGCATAAATATCTAACTACCCAAGTCAATGATAGAGTTTGTAATAAGACGCGTCCACGCCTTGACACATGCCCTTGCTTGCCCTCGCTCTTTAAATACTAATTAGTGCTAAGCGCCAGGTTCCCCTCTTTTGCCCCCAAACCTAGCGCCAGGAATTGCCGGGTATTGCCGGCAGAAGCCTGAATGGGCCAATCAGTGTTCTTTGAGTTCTCACGATCCTGGTCGCAATTGAGGGTCAGCTAATTTCCTGAACCACAGAATGTTAAGCGCGAAGATCGGGAAGGATCCGAGTCCACGCTTTTAGCGTTCTTTCCCCATCATAATTCCAAATCAGCAAGGGATCGACCGCAAAGGCCTCCAGCTCGTGTTCTGAAAGTGACTCGTCATCCACGGGGTCGCCGATTAAATCGAAATTTGCGATATTCTGGTGCCCGGAACCTCGGAGCCCTGGAATCAGCGATCATAGTACTACAGCTTTTTGGAAGACAGTTCGAGAGCAAATGCACGATTGCTTCAACTTAAAAAATATGTCATACTCAACGTCCTAAATATCGAACAAAGAGGGTAAAAGAAAACCAAAAAAATCAAACATCAAAGGATGGAATGAGAACCCCGTGGCCCTAACGTTTCCAACGCACCGGCAATTGCGAGCAGCCGGGAACTTGAGCAGCCTCGTGGTGAGAGCTCAAAATACCATCGAATAAAAACAAATCAAAATAGCAAGACCACATAGGAAGCTTGACCTCAATACGGAAACCCAGTCATAAAGTCCAGGATATCAAATTACTGAAGCCAAAGCCAAAGTCAAACAAGTTAATTCCCCCAAAAAGATTTGCAGAAAACAAACAGAAAGTGCCTTCCATAATTGAAACATATTGGTAGCATGGATATTTGGATCATCGCGATCGGTATCCGAAGACGAGATCTCCGCCACTAGCGTTCAGGCCACGAAAACAGACAATCATGATCGGATCCCTAGCCGAGAAAAATGTTAGCTAAACCCTGCCCTGTGCGAGCCAGTACTGGACTACACCATTCCACTGACCTTGTGCGAGAGAATCTCTCTAGCCGCCGTGGGCGGGGCAGTTGTAGCCATCTCGACGACGGAATTGTTCCTTCACGCCATGGCAGGACGGGGTGTTCTCCTTCGCGCAGGGGACGACGCCTCCCTCTTTAATGCAGCAGCCGCAGTCATACAGGAAAATGTAAATAGAGCACATGATGGCGGCTGATGATGCAAAGCCTTGATCGAAAGTATAATCAAGATGGCAATATAATAATTGGGAAGAGGATTGTGGTTTATGAGCTGATGAGCTTGATGAGCTTGATGAGATCTGGAACGGGATAAACGACGGGCTTTATAGCATCTCAGATGGCTGCTCAGCTGAAAACGACTGCACAGGGCCGCAGGAGGTGAAAAGACAGAGTCATACGCACTCAGGCAGCAGATGTGATTTTTTCCCAGGAGTGACTGTGGTAGCCGAACGATGATATGTTGTATGCAACTATTAATCCAGTAGTCGTTGGATGTCGTTGAATGGTGCAAGAGACACGAACAGGGGCACAAACATAGAGTGCTGTGGGAGATAACTTGACTCGCGGACGAGGATATGCCAACATCAGTTATGGTTGGCCATGATGTAGATTGTGAGAGGAAGAAGCCCCATCCTGGGCCTGCGCCTGGCGACGTGCCTCCTGCGGCATGTCCAATAGAGATTGCGGATGTCGAGTAATTACAAGGCAGATCCTATCGCGCTCAACCAGCCGGGACTGCTGCGGCGTGTACGTTAGAGTTCTCGCCAACACAAAACCTGACTGACATCATTCGGATATATCACCCAGGCATTCCGCCTGCCTTGAGAGGAAGGTCAACAGATGCCATAGTAGGTGGATGGGGCGGAAGCAACATCACCAACATTTGGAGAGCCAACGAGGCATAGAAATTAGGCTTATTTGACGGGCACAGCACGTACCGCAGCTACTTACAACGATGTGCCTGCAATCGTTCGGTGGATCCACGAACCCTGTTCGTTTGGGGGCGGCCGCAGGAGCTGCCAGAGACCATCCATCCCGACCTCAGCTCGAATTAAGCATGCGCCCACCCATCTGCGCTTTCCCAGGACCTGCCTATCGAAGAGCCAAAGAACCAAAGAACCAACATTCGTGTTTCTCGGGCGGATTCTTGCATAGATTTTGCATAGTTTTGCAGCACAGCGTCTCGGATGGGGGCTTGAAAACCAACATCATGTATGGCCCGGACGGGAAGTAAAAGTTGAACGCTCGAGCGCGACGTATCTGGAAGGCGATATCGCGATATCGCGATTACATCGGATTTGATCTGTGTCAGATTTTCGATGAGGCTGAGCTGTGCCCGTTTCAGAAGCCATCATGTTCGAATCCACCAAAGAACGGCTTTTGGTCGTACTGGCGCAGACGGGAATCACACCAGAGCCGCGGCGGGGATGATGAGACAGCCCTGATTCGATGCTGGCTTAAGCGAAAACGAGAGCCGACCATCGAAGTATCGCTAGCTTCAAGGCTGCCAAGAGAATTACTGTTCTTCTACCACCTGCATCGAATTCATCCCCAAAGCGAGTGTTGGCTCGGATGTCGTTAGGATGGGGGCGAATGCCTTTCGTGCCTGCAGACGAACATAGATAACATCGCCGTAGAGAAAGGGGGCCTCTGTGCCAATGGTTGACTGCTCTGCGCCCTCAATCCACCCTAGCGTGACTCAACAGGTGTTGGAGATTTGCCAGCCAAAGTGCCGCAGCCCTAATATCAAACTTGGAGGGCTGCGGCTTGTTCCCCCCCGGCGCCTGCGCCCCGGCAGATCAATTGCGGGTGATACGCTGGAGCTGATGGCGGCAAAGCAGAACGATGGTGCGCAGCCTCAGCTGGCCCTCCTGAACCATTCGATTTTAGCGCCGTTGGTTCGTTGGCTTCTCTCCTTGGTTATTTATTTATTTTATTTTATTTTATTTTTTATTTTGACGGGGCATACTAGGATTGACGAAGAACGCTGCAGCATCCAACACTCTTGGGCTGCTCGTCGCGCAGGAGAAATACACCACGTGATGAGGTTTGCGATATCCCGCGACCAACTCGGCCCTCGAACATGCAGTTGGCGACACGGGCCACTTCCATGCGGCCTTTCTGATCCTGTATTCCTTCTGTTGGGCCTCAGGCTCTTTCCTGTGCACCCCGAGCTTCCAGATCTCACATGTGTTCCCCCGGGTTCCCCACACCCGAGCCAAAACAAACACCCGAGTCGAGCGGGCACTATCGGTTAAAAAACCATATGGGACATTAGAGCAGACGCGTTTCCCCGTCCCGTGATGTCATTTGCGGTCCCTCTATCTCAAAACAGAAAGGAATAGCGCGAGACGGGGCTACTACGAGAAGACTTCGAGCACACTACGAGCGCAATGAAAACAAATCGGAAGATTCAACCGGTGCAACCAGAGGGGCCCGTGGCGGACGCAGTCGGGATGATCGGAGCGCGCAACAGTAGTTCGACGAACAAGATCGGGCGGATACGCATTTGAAACCCGGAGTCGCAGCAGCGGCTGCATTGTGGATGGGCACAACGGCCAACAGCCTGTGAGATTCGTCCGCTCTTCGCCCGCTGGCGAGGGTCTTGGCCCCTCCTTCATCCTGGCTGCGGATCTTCCGATGTTTTCTATGGCTCGTCGGCTGGCAACGGGGTCCGCCTAGTCGGGGATGTCCAGCCAAACGAAAAGCCCGTGGAAGCATTACGCAATTTCAACCTGTGTGCACAGGTGTTCATCCGCCCTGGCCCCTCGAGCCCTAAAAAAGGGACCGCGGGCCACCCTACCTGGGCTGTACCGGCTTACCAAGCGGGCGCATAATTGCCCCAGCTTGCTGGGGAACGACCGCAGAATGCCTCGGCCAGCCCGGTCCTGGTGCGACACAAATACCAGAGCCAAGGAAGGCGAAGTCGAAGAATTGCAAAGTGAGAAAGGGAGATCATGATAGTATTCCAATAGTGACGTCTTGGCCTGGACCGAGAGCGATGGCGGGGCCCCCTTCCCCCCTTTTTTGAGAGCCAAGACATGTGAAGGCGTCGCAACATGTTTGGGAAGTCTCCATCCGGGTACGTTAGTTCCTAGGAAATACTTACTCGAACCGTCGCACATCATACCTACCGAAGAGGACAAAAATTATGGGCGACAATCGCGGGGCTTGGTCTGCATGACCCGGGTATCCACTTCCCCTTCGGCTGAAATGATGTGCTGGATCGTCGATGCCAGCATGCCCCTCATTCTCCAAGGTCCCTTGGTCCGTCAGATCTCGTAAAGCTATAAAGTCTGACCGACTGCACCCGTCGAGGGCCATCGAGTCCATCAATCCAAACAAAGGTGCTTTTCCACTGCCGTCTTATCCTCGGCCTCCGATCCCTTTACCCGTGTTTACTTTTTGACTACGCTTTACATACTATACCACATACTCCGGGTCCTTTCTTTAACCCACAATCACCGACAAGTTAAAAAAGACATTCAAAATGCATCACATTCCTCCTCCTCGTAACTTCCTCGTCCTCTCTGCCGTCAGCTCGGCCCCTTTCAACCCGAGTCACAAGTTCCTTGTCCTGTCCCCAACGGAGTCCGGACCGGACCCTCGGGGCTATGACGAGCAAGCCTTGACCGACTCAACCTCGGTGGAGCAGAGTCCCGAGGCCGCTGCTGGTCTGCACCGTGCCAATAGCTCATCTTCCACCTCGTCGAACGAGTCTCAGTTCGATGACCTGGCTGCCACTCTCCCCAGTGGTTTTCTTTACCTCGGCAACAGCAAGACCCGCAAGGCTTCTCAGTGAATCCATTCACTTGGAGTCAATATGTTCTTTTTCTTTTTTCTTTTGATCTTCACTCCGGTTTATGAAGATCTTTTATCTATACGATACCAGCGACCGACGCAATTGGTTTTTCTTTGGGATCTAGCGGTCATCTCATTTTCTTGAACGCATGTTTGGTTAACGGGGGCGCCATGGCTGCTCCGGGCCACAGCGAAGCCATCCGGTGAAGCACAAGGTGTTGAAGGCGCAATCTGATTTCAAACCGATGGAAACGGTGCTTATTTTCTTTCTCTTTCTCTTTTTCTTTCGGACTATGTATTCTGCCACAGACAAGACTGCAATCAACAATGAAACTTCTTTCCACTGGCTCCAATCCTTCTCCCACATATCCCGTATTCAAACCTTGATCGACAATGTTACCTTGCCCAGAATAACATACAACCTCAAATGCACCTCTTATCAATACCCAGAAAATAGTAAGCCCGCCGGATGCGAGGGAGATCCCCTGGATGCCTGCCAAGGTGGTGCCAAGGGTGATGATGATCCGCCAAGCCTTTGTGTAGTTTGATATACCCGTCTTGGCCGTGAGGCAGGGATTCTTGCTTATCGCAAATCGTGTTCCACAAGCTCTCGGCAGTGGTGCACATCCAGTGGTAATCTTCAGAAACTCTTCTGGGCGCTCGTGCCAATGCTTGCCAAGCGCTGCGGTTGCAAATTGCCCTTGTGTAATGCGAATCTTGCCTCCAAGGGCCTCCCTGTTTGGCATCTTTCGCCTTTGGTTTTCTAGAGGTGTACTAGGGCACCGGATCTGACCCCAGCCTGACGGACAGACACGTTCATCGCTTTTTGGGCAGGATTGGTCCAGCACCGTTGATGCGTGCAGCCGCCCGGCTTTCTGTGTTGGTCCGCCCGGTGAGATCGGGGTGGAGTTGGAAGATAGATTCCTTCCCCTCACGATCTGGCCCCAAATCTCATCTCCGCATTCCCGGTGAAGATCTGGAGTTATGATGTGCAATCGGAGTAATGACCTTTCCCTTTTTATTTATTGTTCCGGTGAACATTCTGTCCCTTGCCAAATATCTCTGCCCAATTGCATCTTACTTGGGCTGTCACATGATGGCTTGCGCAATATCGGCACCCAAGTATTTCCTTGGCGAGCTGTTCCATTTGACCGACCAGGTCTAACGGCAATTGATAAGGCTCCTGGCTCTGTGATTAAGAAAAGCAGGATCACTTCGTAGAGTTATTACAACGAAGACCTTTCCAGAAGTTCCATTTTGCCGTTATCAATAGCGCTTGAATCTCCAATTTGAGGATATCGACCTGTCTCCCAGCTGGTAGCGTCAATGGGCGTGACTCCAATTTAACCGATGGAATAGAGAGAAGATTGCCGAAACATTCTTTAGCTGACTGCGTACACTAGAAGAAGCTAAAAGTTTCGTGCATGTCCTAATCCAGCTTATACCTGTTTCAAACCTCCTTTTATTTAAAAGAAACCCGAATCAAAGCAAATGTTTAGGGTTTAGTGTGTATTTAGGTTACATGCCGTTACTGCAATGATAGGTTAAATATATTCACGGCTGACAAGCTGTGGTTTACTTTTGCTGGAATTTCTTTCTTGCCTTGATTTCCTTTTTTTTTTTACTACTGTTATGCTTGTGACCTATGCAAGGGTAATTGATTTATTGGTGGAGGAAATATGAAGCGGAGCTAAAAGATGAAAAAACTAAGGGCAGAAATGAAACTGAAAAATGAAAATTGGTCTCTCCCTATCACAGAATTTCACTTGAGCTGAATATCTACACTAGATTGGTATTAAAGAGTGAGGCTAATTACACCAAGCCGTAGTCTTGGAAGATGCTAGAATATGATATGATGTCTAGTACTACAATCGATTTACATGAGCGACTGGTTAACTCCTATGGGTAAAAGTAAATCGGAGAAATTGCATGTTCCCCGAGGCGAATCAATCCATTCGTGATTTTATGTACCTCTTGTGGAACATCCACTTGGCGGGGATCTAGAACATGAGTAGCGCCGAAGTGCTTGGAAAGATCGCTGCGTTTGGCCTCCGGCTCGACGGTGATGATGGTCTTGGCCCCTCGCAGCTTGAGGACTTGAACAATCGCGATCCCGATTGGTCTGCCTCCTAGGACAGGCACGTTGTCCTTGGATTTGAAAGCGGAGTTTTTAACTTCGTACCAGGCTATAGCAAGTGGTTCAACTAACTCAGCAAGTTCATCATTCACACTATCTGGGAGGGCGTAAAAATGTCCAGATGGAGGCAACCGTGTATTGGGCCATTTTACCACCATATCCTAATATGTGTATTAAGAATCTGCACCGCAAAGTGCAACGATAAAGGGTAGTATTGGAATGAATGTACCACTTAACCCAATAAATCCAATGTGCTTACAGCAATTCTCACAGCCCTGTTTACTGGTCCCGCAAGTCTTGTCAAAGATTGTAGGGTGAACCGCAGCTCTTTGATCTGGGCGAAGATAATCCACGCCCTCTCCGACCTCAAGTATCGTACCACCAAATTCGTGACCCATGATGACTGACTTGCATTCATGGGTAATGAGGTGTTCCTTTCTATCTGGGATCAAAACTGACCCTGCTATATATTCATGGAGGTCTAGTGACGCAAGAGTCGCTCTTAGCTGTGATATCCAATTTCGGCAGCTTGTTTTGTTCGTCCTAACAAGGGACTCACCGGTGCCAAAAATCCCTACAAACTTAAGTCGTAAGTCGTAACTGCGATTCAAGACCTCAGTTACATTTACATTGCCTGGTATCCCAAAAATGAGAGGGTATAGAACATGTCTTGATCTAGTTTCTCCCGCATTTCGTCTCTTCTAGATCTTCCACGCGGAAGTCTCCACGTCCGTGGAAACGAGCAGCTGTCATATTTGCAAATCGAGAAAATACTCGAATGAACAAAGAATCTAGGTGATAATATAGAGCATACATTAATCTGCAATGTAATCTTTCTCAAGAGGATTCGTCATTCCTTTTAACACCAACGACCAGGTGGCGATCCTCCGCATTGACAAGATTAGCGGACATAATCAACGTCAGTTACCTTGTCCTTGACTACAGATTTGATGGAAGGAGCCTTTTGATGATTCAATATCTTGGTGGATTACTTTAGTGATAATGAGCATAGTTCTGACGTCGGGGGCTATCCGACTTTTCTATCCAGGGTGCGACCGCATGTTGCCTAGTAATAGTATACCTACAAAGCCTCCTTGTTTGCATTCCATAATACCGACATCATTGAAACGTGTCTTAGATATCGACAAAAAGCAATAGTTCTTTATCTCGGTTTCTTGGTTATCCAAATTCTAAGGTGCCGTAGAGGATGGAAACAAAACCGGATTGATGTGCTTAGTTGAATATTGGTGTAGCAGAATACTTGACCATATGTGGACGACGCTGTTCCTCCCAATACATATTTTCAATTATTTGTATATTAAGGTATTCAGGTCTTGAATTTTTTGGCGATATATTTATACCACGCGCAAATAGGTGAATCTAGCTCCATTTCCATGGATTAATTCCATTTACAGGCGACAGAACTTGAAAAGAGGCAGTGGCACTCATTTTCACTATTCACAAGTATATTTAGCGCACCGACGCTTTGTAAGGCAGGTCAAACAGGCAAATTGCGATACTACGCCCTGTCAAGACGAGAATTCTTCGCAATGCCATGACATCCAAGTATCATAAATGGCGCCTTCCCTACCATATCATACCCATATATCTGTCTGAAATGAACTACATGAAGATCGGCTCCAATGCGGCAGCTTATGTTGGTAATTCCGTTTGCCTTGACAATACTTGAAGGACCCCGATCATGAAGAAAGGGCGCCGTATCTTCGATGCTGGCAGCAGGGTTTCATCCCTCAAATCGCGATCAGACATACGGATTTTTCGTATACTTCGGATATACTGCTTGCCCGCCCCTGGGATGCGGACACGGGAGGAAGATGTGGGAAGGAGATGCGGGGATGCGACCTTCGGAAAGCCGCATTGTGCATCTGTGCCCGTACGGGATCTGGCGTACAGGGTGATCGAGATCGAGTATCACGTATGACGCGGCCATCCGAAAACCGAGGGCCAAAAAAGGGGGGACATATGGACGCAGCCCAAGATTGTCATTATTGTTGAGCCATCGATACTGCATTGTTCACCGCCAGTGATGAGCAGAAATTAATACAGTGAATTGGTCGCAAGGCGGACATACTCCAGACCGGTGGTGAGCGGTCAGTGCAAAGACCGCTACTTGCAAGTCATGGTCATGTGGCCTGGATACGATAGTGAGGGCACTAACAGTGTCTAACCGAATTTGTATGTTATTGTCGCGTGATTGAGACGCTGGACGGTGCATAGCTTCCGTCTGATGGAAGGCCACTACTGATTTACTAGCGTCCATCACATGGTTCAACTAGAATGGAAGGCTGCCGCCCTACGAGCGACTTCCCGCCTCAGGGCCTACACGGCGACGGAAAACAAAAGGGAAAGTCGTCCGAAAGTACTTCGTCAATCTACGACCGAAAAGCTGACTTTAGTTACAGCGTTGGATTCTCTGCTAGAGGAATGTGCCCTTTTGGTCATGGGAAGCAATCAGCACGCAATTGCATTTCTAGGGCATTAATAAAAAGCCGGGGGTATAACGAAGATCCGAAAATAGAGAGACCAAACCGGCAGGGTTGTGAAACACTCAAGTAGAAGAGGGGAAGGTATTGCTACCTTAAATTTGGAGTTTGCGATCTACAGTACTATGAGTGGTCGAAGCCGACCATTGAAGGGTGCCAGAGTGTCAACTTTCGCTGTTGATAGTTTATGCCTGGTGATCTGAAACATCCACATTCCCAAATGAGCCCAAGCCGAATGATGACCGTGGGGAAACACGCGCGGCAGGGAACCTTTTTGGGGTAACGGGGAAATGCAGGTCATGCTATCTCTGGCTATAACGGGCTGGGATTCTCTGCCGGTTGAGAAAACAAATCCTCCCCACCCCGAAGATCTTTCTTGAGACGGAGCATCAGGGTAAACTCGTAGTTAGATACGTCATCGAACTACCCATTCAAGAATACAGAAAAGTACAAAATGAACGACCCAGCGAGACAAACTATGGACCTGCCAGGCAGACAGGAGAGCGTTGTATGTACGAGATAAACATATAATCGGCGTGCTTTCCCCTCCGAGGGTCCAATTTAGAGCCCTGACGGGGCGTTGTGGGCGGTGTGTTCGTACGCTGTTCCGTAGGGTTTGAAGACTCCGGGCGACGCTAATTCGATGGAAGCCCTACCGAAGGCTTCTGCCGCGTTTCTAGCGCCAAAGCCAAGACCCGTTGCCTCCCGAAACTGAAACTTTGGGCGACAGTCGCCACATTGGAAACCATTTGCCGATCGACATTGCTCGGACGAGAGGAGGGGCTGGTAATAGCAAGAATACAATAATAATACTGTTCCTGTTGCAACATTTTGATCGACGGGCTGGTATAGATGAGAAGCCTCCATGCCCCCCTATTCAACCTTTGTTAGAAGATGGAAGCGAAAAAAAAGGGGAAGCCTAGTCGTCTACGGTACGACTACAGTGTAATATGGTTTGACTTCAGCTCGGGGTTCGATGGGGCCCAACGGGATAACCATCACCCCTCCTCGGCCAGTGAAGGAGAAGCGCATGGATTGCGTCTAACGTAACTATTCTCCATATACCTACTGGGTGGTCTATACAGGTGGATTTATGCGAGTTCGTCACATCAGATAAGTACTAGTTCATGAACGAAAGACGGATTACGTAGCTCAGTCGTCCTAACCTCCGAAACAAAATAGGTTTTGCAGCATGTTTCGCCTCGGCTGAACGCTAGAAACCCGCCACCGTGATTGTATCTTGCCCCTTGCAGATGAAACCCCAGATCGATGGGGCAAAGCAACGATCGCCAGCTGCATGAGGCTGGTTGCTGAGCCTAATACGGTCTATACCCTGTACCCCGTACCCGGAACAGAAAGCTTCTTCCACACGTGATTTTTTTTCGAATTTGGGTATACCCCCATTTTACCTTCCTGTATACTAATTGGCGTCTGGGAAGGGCGTTGAATTTCCAGTTCAGAAACCCAACGGGCGCCACGACCTGAGATTCGTCGGTTGAAGGGGAGCGCAGTGGAGCCCGGGCGTTGCTGTCTCTCTGCAGAGGAGGAACCATGGGTGACATTGCCAGATCGGTCGCTGGGCGACGAAGCCGAGTTTCGCGCCGCTCCACAGCGAATCCGTCGGCAAGATCAGTCCACCGAGACGATGTACGAAGAATACACTAATGTCCATCGTCCCCCATCGGATGGAGCTGAAGGTATCCAGCAGGACCTCCTCGGGCTCCGTTCAGCACGAGGAGTGGAATGAGAAGTGGAGAGGTCTTGACACCAGCCGGCCTCCATAGATCCATTTCGACTGGGGCCAATCTAGCGGGCCAGTGAGATCTCCAATTGCAGCGTCCCTCCAGCCACCGCGAGAGCGAGAGCGAGGGAGAGTACGAAAAAGGGCGAGGGTTGAGGAAACATACGGGTGTTTCCCGCCACACCATAAATCGGATAGTCCGACTGGATTGGCCATCCCATCGGGGGAGGAGAACGGAGTACAGAGTCGAAATGCCTCCTGATTTCAGAGCGCATCATCGGCCAAGGCTCCGTTAGTCATGAATAATACGATAGATTACGCTAGTCTCGGAGGCCCGTGTTTCAGGCCCGTATGCGCATTACCACATTACCGATCATGACGTCCCTCCGCGCTCCCCTGCAAGCGGTGTGTCGTGTCATCATTTGCTGCCGATCGGCATCGTACCCCGTCATCGATCTCTCTCGCAGTTGGAGGCGATTGCAGATAAAATCCGTGGAGGACTGCATCCTGAGAGATGAGAGGGAGGCGGTGCGCGGGGGGAGGCCGTTGGGAATGTCTGTGTCTCCCTGAGCCCGTAGCTGCAAGGTACACAATACATACATGCGTCCCCGAACGGATGTATATGGCGGGCCATGTACAGAGGTAGTACTCCGGAAGCGACCCTCGGGACTTGCCCGTTTGCGCTGGAGATAGTGCCACGTGACTGGTAATACGGGAACGCGGTAACAACGCCAGTCCCAACGCGGCAGGGTTGCCTCCGTCGAACAGTAGTCCCGCCCTTCTCGAAGCCCTTCTCCTCTCCTCTCCTCGTAGATGTTATACTCGCTGCATTAAAGGCAGTTCTCTGCTTCATCTTCTCGACCCTCGCTCTATACCTTCCGAATCTTCGCGCACGAAGAGCGGTCTCTTTGCCACTGCCACTACCGTTCTGCCGGGCTCTGCGGGACATCATCCGAGGGTGGACTACTCGAACCCGCCCAAAACCGCCATCCACCCAAAAGTCCACCACCCAATCGAGGGGCACTCGGCCATTTCTCGTCTCCTGTCGCATTCTCCTCTTCACCTTCTCCTCGATCTTGATCGCGCTTCAACACGGGTCCCTCTTATTCTCCCGTCTCTTTAACCGTCGGGTTTGGAGTGCCCTTCGCGCAGGACTGGCCAGGGACCCTCCGAATCTCTAGTTACTGGAAAAGGCTCCGCAACTTTTTTCCCCCTCTTCCTTTCCTTGCTTTGCTTCCATCCACCTTTGGAAGAGTGAGAAGAAGCGAAGGAATAAAATAAAACAAAACCAAACGGCCCAAATCTATACAAGTTAACCTTATCTCAATCGACGACTTCCCCCTCCATCACGATGACGGGCGCCGCTCCGATTGACATTGCCACTCGACAGTCGACCTCGGTCTCACCACCGGGGCAACAGGCGTCGAATCTCACTTCGGCCCTGCAAAAGGCCGGCTCGAGTGAGCGCACAGGGAGCATATCACATCATCCAAGCGGTGGCCTCGGGGTGTTCAAAGCGCCGCCACCTCGCAAGGACTCGATTGGGGCCATGAATGCACAATGGGCCAACGGCACGAAGCCCATTTCCATGTCGGGCTCCGCTCGCGATAAAGGTCGCCGAGAGTCACTCGCCGGCAGCTTGGTGGGCGGCATGAGCTGGGGTGGTGTCTCTGTTGGGAGCTGGATCCGTGACGAGTGAGTTTAGCTTGAAACCCCTTCCCCTTCCCTTCCCCTTCCCTTCCCCTCTTCCAAGAGAATTCTCCGGAAGACCAACGTATTCCTATTCCTTGTCTCTCAAGGATGAAAGAAAGAGATCGCGAGCGATTAGCACGTGGACGAAAGGACGGAAATTCTGTGCACTGCTGTCTTGTTGCACGACATCGGAAGACTGACCAAGAAAATTTCCCTGTATAGCATAATCATGACCGGTACCTCCCCATTTACCTTCCAGTCACCGTCTTTCCATTCCTCCTCATATCTCCCGAAACTGGAGGCCAACTTCATGCGGGACTTTTCCTGCTGCGGTGTGACGTTACCGACGCTTCATGACCTATTACAACACTACGAAGAAGCCCATGCGACCAAATCACCCAACCAAGGACATCGCCCGAGCCAGGGTGAGAACCGGGCTGCCTTGGCCGCCGCTGCCATTGCGCAGCAACAGAATCAGCAACATGGCAACCAAGGGCGCGGCCTGCAGCCTGATCGCACTTTGGACTTGCAGCGCAAGATGGGTCAACCTCCATCCGCGTCCCAGCACGTGGACCTAGACACGATCGATGATATGGAGTTGGACGATCCCATGGGCGACGCTGATCCCACAACCTCCCAACTCTTCACTTCACAGTTGCGCGACAGCATCCAAGGTGGATTTGGCAATGCAAACCAAGGTCCGCAATTAAACCTCGGCATGCTTCCACCTCACCAGGGCTTCAATACGCCCTCCCAACCCGGTACCCCGATAGGATCGGCACGTCCGCTCTCCCTCTCCAATAACCCCACTGTTTCCTCCGTTAATACCCCTACTCTCATGGCCAATCCACTGCAAAATTCCCAGTTTCGAAATACCCCCGACTCGTCCGGTCCCGGCACCCCGGCCGAAATTGACGAGAGCGTGGTTGGTGGATTCGGCGACCTCAATATGCAAAATAACGTTATGGGCCAGAACCAAGCTCAGTATGGGCGATTCCCCGGCAACAATGATATGGTTGATCTATGCATCGATGAGCCGGCTAAACGCCTATTCAGCCCTAATGGCGGACTAGGCACTCCCAACGCCCACTTTAAGCTCAGCGGAGCCCAGTATGGACCAAACAGTGACATCGCCCGACGGATCAGAGAGCAACAGCTCCTGGCCGGCGTTCCGGATACAACTGCTATCCTTCCCAATGAGGAACCAAAGCCATTCCGCTGCCCTGTTATCGGCTGTGAGAAGGCCTATAAGAATCAGAACGGTCTTAAATACCACAAGGCTGTGAGTACCCTCCGATCATCCCATTTTACCATAACAACGTCTCTAACGTGTATTTTTCTCTATCACAGCACGGCCACAATAACCAACAACTGCATGATAATGCCGACGGCACCTTCTCCATCGTCAACCCTGAGACATCAACCCCGTACCCCGGCACTCTGGGAATGGAGAAAGAAAAACCATACCGCTGCGAAGTATGCGGTAAGCGGTATAAGAATCTGAACGGACTCAAATACCATAAATCGCACTCGCCTCCTTGCAACCCAGATTTCCAGCTTGCAGCAGGTCGCAACCTGAATCTCGGCGGTGGAGTCATGCAGGGACAGAACATTAATGTTGCTGGAGCTGGCCTCCCAGGAATTGGCGAGGAAGGTCTCCTATAGCTTGAAGCTCAGTGACATGATATCAACCCACTGTGTCAGCCCGCCTCTGCTTGTCCATACGAATAATACCCAGTGACTCTTTGACGTGAATGATCAACACGGCCTGAGAGATATCTTCCCAATTATCACTATATGCGGTTTTTGCTTTCTCTCTCCTACACATGATGTCATGAACTGGTTCCGGTGACTTTGGAGTTATCTATTACTTTTTGATCGGCGGATTTGACCTTCTGTTTATGCCGTTTTTACGCCTCCGCTTGACTGTTCATTTGGTCTTTCTCTTGTTTTTTTTGTGCTCGATATCCCTGTCGCCATTTCCAGTTATTCCCTATATATTCGGAGAATTATCTGGTAATAGAGCCACACTTGAGCGATCAAGACCTCTCGACAACAACAACCCCCTGTCTAGATCTCGTTTTTGTGTTTTTCTTCATCTGACATGGAACGGCTGGGATTGGAGCGGAAGGTTTACGGGGATTGTGTTTATATTCGTACCTATTTTTCTTTTTTCCTTTTTTTTTTTTTTTCACTTTTTGCAAGTTTGCATACCGCGTTCTTTGCACGGGTTGGCTTTTTGCTTCTTATCTCAACCTCCATTCCCCCCCTCTTGTGTTGTTGTTCCTTGGTTCCAGTTTCGATTATGTTTCAGCCCTTCCTCTGCGTTATGGGCGATGGCCTTGAGCTTGAAAAAGAGAAGAGGAGCGGTGAAATTAGACCGGGAATGGATACTCATTAGCGGACACGACAAGGCTGGCCCTGCCTGCTGCGTTTTCTACTTGCTCCATCTTGCGTCGCTACTTCGTCCCGGCGATCAATACCGGATGGCTTCTGTCTGTCCCTCGAATTGGATAGGGACTTCAAACTGAAAATTACAAAAGTACAGTTCTCCGGCGTCGGATTGTGTAGATACGGTTCTATACACTTTGGTTTCTTTTTTGTCCATTGACTTTTTATCGGGTTGCTTTTTTTTGACTTCTTGTCACTTTGATTGGATTCCAATGATTCTACTTTTTCTTTTCTACCTTCTACTTTCTACTTCCACGGAAACAATGCTAGTTGGCCCCGCCAGGGACAATACGTAGAACGGTCAAAATTCAATCCCAAGGCTTATTGATAAGAATATCCATTCGTATTTGGGAGGGCACCTAGTTAGGATTTGGCCTATCATTCTAGTACATAAGCAGGGGCATCGTGAGCGACAAGACCGTAAGAACAAAGAGCACATCCTCACGCGCAAGTGCTGTGAATAGCGCGAAGCTGAGATCGGATTGGGAGGTGAGGGGGACATCAGGCAAAAAGCAGGGGAACCCGAGGTCCAATCTTATCTGGCATTGTGAGAGCGGGAAAAGCAAAAGCAGGGATAAATCGTGAAGAGAACATTTCGCTTGCACCAAACGTATCGAAAGAATAAGAGATGGGATGATGGATTTTCGTGTCCCGAGGGACGATCAGTTAGGAAAAGGTGTTACAGACCGAACAGGGAAATTTCGTAATGATTCAGATAGATGGGGTGAGAGACGAAGGCGGTTCAAGATTACCATTCAAATTCGCCCTGGCCCTTGTGGAAAACATATCTGGAATACGTTAGTTATAATCATCGGCATTCATGGGTGATATTAACGCACTCTTTTCCACCAGTGGTTAGGATACCGTCCTTAAGGGTGCACTTCCACTTATTCTTGACTCGTTGGACCTTATCATATGTGCAGAGCATGACTTGGCCCTCGGATTCATCGGCATCATGTTCGTCATTCATGTCGTCCTCGGGGTCGTCAAGGTCCGAGTTGATGGCATCTTCATCAGCTTCCTCTCGGGGGCCATCGTCGACACCATCGTATTGGCCTGGCATTCTGAGAACAGATGAAGCATTCCCTCGATGCAGAGGCGCAACAAGAGCGGCACGTCGCGCAACAGTAGCCGACGACTCCTGCTCTGCCAGGGGGCGCATTAGACCGCCTGCTTCTAAGCCAGTCATCTGGTGCTTCAAGTATTCACGAAGCAGATGGTCGGCTTGGCCGCTTTGAGCAGCCTCTCTGCGGCGGGTGACTTCTGCCTTCCAGTCTGCTAGCGCGTCATCAGATCCATCAGTCTGACCGGGACCCATGGAGGAATAACTAGACTCCGATTTGATTTGCGGCACCTGACCGTTGGCCTGGTGGTGCATCTGCACATGTTGCGGATACGACTGTGGCCCAGTCGGGGCAGACTGGAGCTGACTCACAGAGCCAGCTGCAGAGGCACCGTACTTAGATGTCAACTGCTGAGCCGCACGCTCACGAGCCATTTGTGGGTTAGATACGTTTGGGGGCATTGCGTTGTGCATTGGAGGCATTGGGGCCTGCCCATTGGTGCCAGGCTCAGTCTTAATGCGCGGACCACTCATAGCCGCTGCCACCGGTGCCGCTGGTGCCATCGGCGCTGAGACGGGTGCAGGGACAGACTGTGGTAGAGATACAGGGGGTGGGACATGTTGGGGTTGCGGGGGAGGGCGAGGAGCATTAGATGGGACAGTTGCCTGGGGGGGGAGTTGAGGAGCGGCCTGGGGTGGGGGGAGGATCCCAAGGGAAATGAGCGACGTTGACGGATGAAAGTTTCTGCTGCCAGGTCTGATGTTTTGATTAGCATATTTTATACTGAGGTGAGAGTATAGTAAATGTAGAGGGTAGACGAATGATGGCTTGGCGGCCTAAGCCACCTAAGCGGGTAGCGGCGGCGGCATATAAAGGGAGCCTCATAATCCGGTGTTCCCCCATAAGCACTGCCTCCCGCACCACTTCGGGCCTCCCCGCTTTTTGCCGGACCCCCCAGAGTCACCACTCCAGGTCCATCGATTTCATCCAAATACAAGAAAGAAACACTCGAGGAAATGATGCTTACCTGGCGCAAATCTAGCAGTGTCTTTTGGTCGACACCACTTTCCTCAAAGTCGACTTGAGAGCTGTCGCAGACCTCCTGTATGACCTTCTCGAACACCGTGCCCTGTCGAAACGAGCGATGTCAGTCAATCACCAGTCTATATATGGAGATAATCCTAGCATCATGAGGATGCCAGTGATTAGGTTGTTACGGCATGTGTGTAGGGGTTGCGACTGCGGATGGCAGGTTCTCGCGAGACCGAACTTACCACTTGCGAGTTCGACATGATTGCGGAATCGGGGGCTCAGGTGTGGATGGAAAGGAACAGAGCGGGAAATATGAGCTTAGGGATAGACAAAGGTGAAAATATTTGAGATATACTCCAGTCTCTTGCTGTGACTCGACCAGAGTATATGGCCTTCCGTCGCAACGGGTGAGGCCGTTGGAGCGCTGGTCGGTCACACCTGTTAGAAGCTGGGCAATCTCTTGAGAGTCTCCTGACCCGTAGCGCGAGTTTCCAGTAAATCGTTAATCCCCAACGAATGATCACACAGAGAGAAGTAATCTAAAACAAGAAAAAGCGGAGGTCGGATGGGGGGGGTTTCGGCCGATGAGTTAGAGAAGGTGAAAGTCGGTATTCCGCGGTCGAAAAGCCTCCTGCTACTGGGCGCTTAGTCATCCACAAGGGACCGCCTGCCGAGGGTGGACGAGGTTGATGCAAGGAACAAGCCAGCCACGATTCCATGAATTTGAAGAAGATAAGCAGACAGAATAGCATTCTTTGTTTTTACAAAACGCCAGCCTACGGCAATTAAATACAACTCCAGGAAAACTCCAAATTAACCGCGAGCAGAAATTCCCCATCACTCCGAAAATGTGAATGTCCCAGCCCATCAATGCTCGCGAGATCATGAAAACCGGGGGTATTAAAACGGACAAGAAATGATAAAGAAGAGATCAATTACCGGATGGTCATTGACTTGGTCAACTGGGCCTTGCTCCCAACGCCACCCTCGCGGGAGGCCGAAGCACCGCTGCCGGGCTTGCGCTCGAACACCTTCCAGAATTTCAGACTCTCGTCGGCGGCCGCGGTAGCCAAAATTTGTCCGTCGGGGCTGAGACTGCTGTGAAGGACTCGAGTTTCATGGGCTGGGATTTCAACGTTGCGGACAAGGGTGGGATAGCTCCAGATGCTAAGGGAGTTGTCCGGGAACCCGCTGGAACTGACGATCTCGCGATAGTGGTTGCTCCAACGCAAGCTGGTGACCTGGGAGCCGGTGTCGATGCTGTTGGTACGAGCACCAGTTGTGGTATTCCAGAAGTGAATGTGACGATCGTAGGAGCCACCGCCGGTAGCAAGCAAGTTCAATTGCCAAGGGCACCAGCTGAGGGCCTTCACGGCGGCACGGTGATTGGTCTTGGTGAATTTGGGAGCACTCAGGGAGCGAGCATCCCAAATGTTGACCAGGTTGTCGTTGCCACCGGTCGCCAGCTGGGCACCATCAGAACGCCACTCAAGGCCGCAAACTTCGGAGGTGTGGGACACAAGCTCAGCGACTTTGTGCTCGGCAATGCGAACGTCATGGTTGAACACAAGGCCACTACGAGCACCAGTGGAAAGAGTGTGTTTAGACCAGCCCATGACACCAACTCGCGAATCGTGACCGTACATGCTGCGAAGCTTGCTGCCCTCCTCGACGTCCCAAATTTGCACCTCGCCAGTTCCAAGTCCAACGCCAACATAGGCTCCATCACCACTCCACTTGACACTGCTGATATAAGTGTCCGGTGAAGTCTCTAAAAGGCAGCTAACAGTTCCAGATTCGGCAGACCAGACGTAGACGTTGCGCTCAAGACCAATGGCAACCTGATTACCAGAGCTCCAATCCAATAGATTAAGATAATAGTCATCCAGCAGGCCCGGAGCGTCAAGAACACGTTCAGGGGCAGTCTGAACACGGCGACGGAATTGAGCGTTTTGGGATTTAGCAGATCGAAGAGGACGGTTATATTGGGCTCGAAGATCAATAGGCTTCGAGGACTCTGGAGGGGGAGGCTTGAAAGCGAGGATGCGGGTGTTCAGACTGATGTCACACGCATTTGCTAATGACGACTCATACGCAACTGCATCAGGAGCGGGGCGAGTGTAGTTGGAAGGTTCATTGTCTTCAAGCCCCAGGTTGTCCAAAGCAGCAGTCAGATCATCTTCCGCTCCGCGCCCACTGATGTCAAAAGCGCTAGCAGCAGAAGCAAGCACATTCGAGCCCTCGCTGCCACTAGTCTTCGGACGTGCATTCTCCTCAGGTTTCGCAGCCCCAGTGGTGACAAGTCCCTCACTTGCGGTGCGATTGGGAATGAAGCGGTCACCGGCATTGTGGGTGATTCGAACAGTGGTCTTCGTCGGTCTGGTTCGGCGGGCTGTCTCCCTTCGAGCTCGCTCTTTAGAAGGCGTTGCAGATGATTCCGGTCCAGTACCAGTCAATGACCAGTCAGAAACACCCAACTCAAGGTGCTTGGGTGATTTGCGAATGCGAGCAATGTTCGACTTGGGGGAATCGCGATGGGAGCGGGACGACTTGGCAACTGTAGACTTTGCGACAGATGGCTTGGGAACAGAGACCTTTGAAGATGAGGTTGATTTTGAGGTAGCGGACTTGGCGAATAGTGAAGAAAGGTTTCCGCCATAGACCGACTTCGACTGTTGGCCGCCTACGTCGGACTTCTGAGGGGTAAACGGTGATAGATCTTCCGAGGCCCGAGTAGCGACTCGAGTGTTTGGTGAAGGCGTGAGAGGCATGCGGCCTCCAGCTGTCTTTGAAGAAAAGAGGCCATGGTGGCTCTTTTTAGGAGTAGATACCGAAGCAGTTGCCATGGCGGACTCTGTTTCGATCTTGTCGTGTTCTGCGGATATTCAAACGTACCGCGATGGAGCCGGCCACCGAGAGACAAAGTAAACTAGATACTGGATGATAATGCAGTCTAGAATGCAGAGGAATATGAGATAGGTGTGGAGGAGAGGTCAGAGCAGGAGTAGAATGCAGAATAAATAGAATTCTACTTGCGGACTATGAAGTTGCTCGCCCCGGCAACGGTTACCTCAGGTACGGATGCGCTAGCCCACCTTAGGACTAGCGCCATTCGCACATGACATGCCGGGCGCTTCCCTTTCCGGCGGTGATCATCTTTAGCGGGGAGTCGTCTTCTGCTCGAGGCGTCGACTTCTTTGTGCTGGATAGCAAAAACGATGTGAGCCTGGAATGGGGCTTGGTATGATTCTCCCAGATTCTCCTCGCCCAACTGTCTTTGTCCTCGCTATCGCCACTGCCTAATGGCGGACCCAGCCACCCCTCCCCACCACCTCCCGTTCCACCAGGACCCACCTGCTCGACTTCCGCCATCTTGGGCGGGATCTTCAAGACTCTCCAATCTGACTACCCCACGCCGTGTTCGCACTCCTGTCTTTGCGATGCAGCAGTCGCAAGATGCATACCTGATGCCAGCGACTCCCGCCAGCGCTCGTCGGGCCTCTGCCGACTATCGCCCCAGCGTCAAAAAAGCCCAGGGCCATGTCCCCGCATGTCTGGTCAATGCCTCGGTGACATACTGTAGCGATGATCGCATCTATGCCTTTGGGGGATTTGACCAGTTCAGCGATGAAGGTGCGCATCTTATATTGCACTCCCACATCGTTATCATCTCTTCACTCTGATCTGATGCTAATGCGAGCATTCCTCACAGTGTATAACCACGTGCTCAGGCTGGATTTGAATACTCTACGATGGGAATTGGTGGACAACTACGGAGATATCCCTGGGGTACGAATGGGTAATGTCATCTTCTAGCCAGTTTTTCTTAGTATTGGCAGGCCTTTCTTCTAATTCCCGATCTTTTTCTTCTTTCAGGACACACCGCAACCCTCTACCATAGCGACAAATTGATTGTCTTTGGAGGCGAGAATGAGCACCAGGAATTCTTATCGGACGTCGTCATTCTTGATCTCCAAACTTTTATGTGGACTCTTCCGGAAACTCGTGGACCGATACCTAGAGGGAGAGCACGGCACGCTGCAGTCATCCATGATGACAAGTTATTTATCGTCGGTGGAGTGACCGGGGAGAATAATATCATATTGGATGATTTGACATACCTGGATCTACAAACATGGACATGGTCAAAGACATGGAGCTTCACTGCTAGATTTGACCATATAGCATGGGTATGGGGTAATCGCCTGTGGATATTTGGTGGGCTAGGCCCAAATATGGAACGAACATCCGACCTCTGGTGGCTGGACCTCAAAGGTTCTCCTTCCCTGACTGGAATCATCTCTTCCCAAGGTACCGACAATCTCCCAGACACCCGGATTCCCTTGGCTCATTACCCAGACTCTATCTCTAGTCCGTCCTCACAGCAAATGTCGCCACGGTCCGGTATCTATGCTGCCAATTCTGCAAGTGTTCAGGTGCGCAACTTCGCTCGTCGCAAGCCATTGGCTCCTGGTGCTATCTCTTGCTTGCGTTTCCATTCGGGCCCACATGTACCGCAACTTTTCTCTGGACTTCATTTCCAGTCTTTCGTCTCCGGCGTCCTACTCGATTTGGCTACCCCTTCAGAGACTCTGCGCTCACATGACTGCAAATTGTCCTCTTTGGATATGAATTCCCAGCGCTGGCAGCGGCTGGCTGAAGGACATGAAATTTTCCGTCCCGAGTATCGCTGGCATTATTGTATTGTCAATGAAGCGGGGACCAAAGCATGGTTGCTCGGTTGTAGCCTGAACTTGAACAATGCACCCGGCGCAAATGACGAGAATCACATGGGCGAGGTCCTTACGATCGATCTGGAAAAATACGGGCTACTTGGCAATGAATTATCGGCGGAGGCCCCTGAACAGGAAAATAACTGGGCAGCTGACCGGCCAGGTCACGCACCCATCTCTAGCCTTGGGGCTGATCTTTCTGCCGTGTTTGACCAATCCCCCGAGTCAGGTAGCGGTGCGGACTTTATCATTACTGCTATCCGTGACGATCATGACTATTCTGTAACAGATGATATGGGGGACACCCCGGTCACATCTCCGACTCAGGGTCAGCCAACATTCGTGGAACCGAGCTCCGCTACATCCGACCCCATCCACGTCCACAAGATTATCCTGCAGCTACGTTGGCCGCATTTCAAGCGCATGTATTCCGCTCAGATGGCGGAGTATCACACCAAGCGAATGCACATCCCCGAACCTTACTCCGTCGTGCGTGCGTTTCTGTACTTCCTGTACACCGACAGCATCGCCGGCCACCCCGAGTATTGCTCGAGTATAAATGATGTAGCTGGCATGCTGGTGATGGCGAATCTATATGACATGCCTAAACTCCGCCTTCTCTGTGTGAACAGGCTGAGCTACGAACTTGATGTGGAGAACGCTGCGATTGTATGGGAACGAGCTGGTCGGACTAATGAACATTGGCTCATGCGCCGAGCTGCTCAGTTCTGCCTGACACACTGGGGTCGCATCGTGCGAACAGATGGTTTCAAATCACTCAGCCATCAGAGCTTGATCGAGTTATGCGAGGTAGTGGATGCCGAAGGTCGTATCATCGCTGGGCCGGACCTTGAAATGGTGGGTGCGTTTGGCGCGGATGGACAATGCGAGCGGGACTCGAAGAATGCTCAATTGCGGTTAGGGTCGACGGCGGACGAGTATTCAGAAGTGGACGGCGATGACGAAGGAATGGAGCTATCATGAGCCACACAAATTGGGCACGCAATCTCTTCCGGCGTTTGGACGGGAAGGCTTGGCGACGAGAGACGAATTATGTATGGGAGTTTTTACCGGGCTTCTTTTCTGAATCTATGCATCTGAAACTGTACATGTATATATCGAGGCGCATGCATTATGTAGTTCCCGGCCTATAGCTCTCTGCTTCAACTCCACTCTAGGGGAGACTCGACATAGTCTTTCTAGAACCAAATACTAGCCACCCCTGCCATGTAGTTCCCCACCCACCGTCGCAGCATCCCTTTAGGTATCTTCGGCTTTCCACGATGCCGCCCTGTCAGTCTCGCGTTCCCAATCGTGATTTCGTGCGGCCAGCGGCCCGGCCAGCCGCGAGCGTGACTAAGCCTCAGCGAACGAGCGGCTCCACTTAGCAACACTCTGGGAGCGGGATCCCCTCCGGTGCGCGGAGTTTATTCCTGTCACGATAAGGAAGCTCTTACTTTGTGTCGCCTCATCTGGCCCGTCTGGTTTCAGAAAAAAGCCTCGCGGGACATAAATATCCATGGAGACCAGATACTTTCAGCTGTCTGTACGGCCATTCCTACCCCCATTGCGATAAGTGCCCTGTGATTGTGTTGATCCTTTCGATTCACTGGGCCTGCCATTCACTATGGGCTCCATTACCCAATCAACTCTGCCGTCCGACTTCATCTGGGGCTTCGCAACCGCCGCCTACCAGATCGAGGGTGCAGTCAATGAAGATGGTCGAGGTCCGTCCATTTGGGACTCTTTCTGCAAAATTCCTGGCAAGATTGCAGGTGGTGGCTCGGGCGAAGTCGCATGCGACTCATATCACCGAACACATGAGGACATTGCTTTGTTAAAGCAATGTGGCGCAAAGGCATACCGGTTCTCACTGTCATGGTACATATGCTTGATTCAACCTCCCCATTCTTAATTATGAATTGCGTTCTAACAGTGGCTTTCTTGCGACAAATTAAGGTCCCGCATCATCCCTCTCGGTGGCCGCAATGATCCAATCAACGAAAAGGGCCTGGCGTTCTATAATACTTTCATTGACGACTTGCATGCCGCAGGTATCATACCTATGGTCACACTGTTTCATTGGGATCTTCCAGACGAGTTGAACAAGCGTTATGGTGGATTCTTGAACAAGGAGGAGTTTGTTGCGGACTTTGCACACTACGCTCGACTGGTCTTCAGGTCATTCGGCTCCAAGGTCAAGCACTGGATCACCTTCAACGAGCCGTGGTGCAGCAGTGTACTTGGATACAATACTGGCTCATTTGCCCCGGGCCACACAAGTGACCGTACCAAGAGCGCCGTGGGTGACGGGTCAACCGAGCCCTGGATTGTCGGCCACAGCCTCCTTGTCGCTCATGGTGCAGCTGTAAAGATCTACCGCGATGAGTTCAAAGCGCAAAATGGGGGCGAGATTGGTATCACCCTGAATGGTATTACTCACCTTCCTTACCATTGAAGTTGAACTTGGGGTTCTAATACATAGACTTTCTTTTTAGGCGACTGGGCTGACCCATGGGATCCTGAAAATCCCGCCGACGTCGAAGCATGTGACCGCAAGATCGAGTTTGCCATTTCATGGTTCGCCGATCCCATCTACCATGGCAAATACCCCGACAGCATGATCAAGCAATTGGGAGATCGGTTGCCAGCCTGGACCCCTGAAGACATTGCCTTGGTTCATGGAAGCAATGACTTTTACGGAATGAATCACTACTGTGCAAATTATATCCGCGCTAAGACAGGCGAGCCCGAACTCACCGACATTGCGGGCAACCTGGAACTGCTACTCGAGGACAAAAATGGGAATAGCATCGGTCCAATTACTCAATCACCTTGGCTGCGCCCTTGTGCATTAGGATTTCGTAAGCTCCTTAAATGGCTGAGCGAGCGTTACGGGTATCCGAAAATCTATGTGACCGAGAATGGCACCAGCATTCTCGGTGAGAACGACATGCCTCTGGAACAGCTTCTTGAGGACGAGTTCCGGGTACAGTATTTCCGGGATTATATTGGCGCCATGGCTGATGCGTATACCCTGGATGGAGTGAACGTCCGGGCATACATGGCCTGGAGTCTTATGGAGTAAGTCCATATTTGCCCTCCAGATGTAGCTGTTTTTACATAGTTGCTGACTTTTACCTTCCTAGCAATTTTGAGTGGGCTGAGGGCTATGAGACCCGTTTTGGTGTTACTTTTGTCGACTATGAGAACGACCAGAAGAGGATTCCAAAGAAGAGCGCCAAGAGCATCAGTGAAATCTTTGATCGGTATATCGAGAAAGCCTAAACATTCTCTCTGGCCTTATTTGAAATGTTTGTGATGAAGTAATGCGTCTAGACTACCTATGCCGAGAGGGCTCAACGGAGGTCAAACTTTTGAAGAATGTAAACTTAAGATCATGCATGAAATACTTTGTCCAAGAAACCTGGTCCTCTCAGAGAAAAATCTTTTAGAATGTTCGGTGTGTTTTAGATGGTTTTTGGATAAATGAGAATTCAAACCGAGAATACAAGTTCAAAAATAATATTGAGTGAAATTCAAGCTAAGGGCCCGGAATACATGTATCGGAATCCGCCTTCTGGTGCAACAGCGATGTGGTACTGGCCGACTGGTGTTTGACAGGAACTGGCGAGCTGAGATCCAAATAGAGAGACTCTTACAGGATGTATGCCATGAACTATAGTGGACTAGTAGTAGAACGAGCCAAGTACATAAAGCTATCTTTGCTGGCCCATTCCGACACGGCCAAATAAGCGTATTCGCTGCTAACAATAAAAAGCAAGACCACTCTAATAGCCCCTCACGTTAACCTGGTACCACTTAAGCATCTTAGCAGGTTATGGATCTGCCTACCTAGACTCCACTGATCAGTAGCCAGAACATGACAAACCTGGTACCAACATAAAAAGGCCCGGGGGACATCCAGCATCTGTATAATAGAGGATTGGGTCAAATGTGGTATTGGACCGACGGCCTGCGCAGGCTAATGCACGGAGAGTCCGGAGCGTTGTGACATTCCTTCCAATTTGATGTAATATTTCTTGGTAAGCCCGCCGGGGAGGAGATATCATCGTGACTAGCTGAGGGAAAATGTCGGTAGTTTTGGTAGGCTGAGGTATTCTTTGCAACCCTTGAAAAGGCCAAGGATGCCAAGACGCGAAGTAAGCTCAATTCAGTAACCTTGGCGGCTTCGTTAAATTTATTTAATGTTTTTCATCCAACTATATCTACAGCTATGCACTCACTAAGCCTGAGCCTGATCGCCCTCATCAAAGCGGCGGCAGCCCAGAGAGGAAAGCCCCACTCGTCGGACAAAATCCGGTGTATATAGTTGCATTTCGGGACTGAGTCCAACATCCTCAAATAAATTCGTGAACGGGAACAGAACCGGGTGTCCCGACAGTTGGTCATCATTCAAACCTTCGTACGCAAATAGGTTTCCGTCATTCATGCTCCGCGGAGGTGATAGACCTGCTATATGGCCTGGGATGTTTGAAGGAGCGTCTTGGAGACCCGGCTCGTGGTCAAAGTGGGTGTACTCGTGAGTTGAGAGCAATGTCATGTCGGAATTCCCATCGATGAAGCCAGGATGCGCCTGGCTAGTAGGCATCTTCAAAAGTCCATCCAGAAGATGACGTGTCCAAATCGCGATTGGCCAAGTATTTTGAAATTTGTGAAGTACCTCCATGACCAGCCGTGTGCGGTGCTCAGACACTACACGAATATTTGACCCGCCTTTACGAATATTCATAATGCAAACAAGGGCGGCGGCGAAGATAGCAGGCAAGCTAAGGGCAGAGTTAGTATCTGCTGGTCAAATTATGTCGAGTATGTTTCTTTTCATCGTACATTATAAAAGGAGCATCATAAAGTGTACCAGATGCTAGAAGGTCTTCGAGAAGACGGGTTATTTTACCTGCTGCCTGGAATATAGGTGATTCAAGTCCAACGGTGATAGGATTGTCAGAGAGCATCCGATAAAACACGACTTGATAGTCACTGGTAACCTTTTGTTAAAGTCAATCTCAAAACAGTGAGAGATCCAGAAATCCATACTAGTACAGTAGAAGAATCATTGCGGGCCAGAATCCACGGTTGGGTGTTATTTCCGATGGAATGCGCTTAAAAATATCTGGAAGGCTTTGTTCCCATTTGATCAAATCATTATAGGCTGTTTGATCTGTTGAATCGATTCCCTCAGTCGATGAGAGTTTGTTGATGAGACAGCCGGCCACTATTAAAAAGATTCATCAGTTTTATCTCTAGGATGCATATGTCCAGTGGGAATATCTAACTAACCCCTATTTATGAGGCTCACAAGGTGAAGTAGATATGACCGACTCTCTAAGCATATGCCGTATCCGGAATTTTCTACTTGGAGACAATCATCAAAGTCCTCCTCATGTAGAGCAGCAAGATCGGAGAAGGTTGGATATATATGAGGTGGTCTGCCGTATACTGCTGCATGATGAATGTCATTTACCTACCGCGGGCATCCGATATTAGTATCCGCTGTCTTTTCTGATTTCGATCATTACTAGAATTATACTTGCATAAAGAATCCACCATATCCTCCTCCACACTTTTCTAGCCAATTCTGATAGTATAGAGTAAGACTTTCTGTAACATAGTCAGCTCTAGGTACCGCTAATTCTTCCTAACAGTAACTTACGACCGATGCATGCCCAGGGATTGGGCCAAACTGGATGATACCCCCAGCCAGTACCAGGTATCTTTCTGTTCCATGGGGCCACCCCACCAATTTGACATAAGGATTGTTGCTTGAACAGTTGTCACACCGTCAAACTCATGGTTGCTATCATACAACGCTTTTGCTTTTCGATAAAACGTAAGTCCCGCTATGTATCTGCTCGAGAAGCCTGCGTCGGAAAGAACTGATTCCGAGGCATGGAAAGTAGCAACCATATAGATAGCGTTGAGAAGCAATGGTGAAGTGGCCCCATTGTTGTATTTTGCATAAAACTCTGTCCAATTGAAGATAGGGAAGACTGGAAAAGAGTATTTTAAGAAAGTATGTATAAGGTTGTCGCTCACCAGCTTGCTAGGTGTTTGGAAAACTCCCGAGCTTCTCAATTGCTGATTGTCCCTTTCATTTATACTTTGGATTTCGAAATGCGTAGTTCGGCCTAGCTTCTCCATCATTGACTTTTTGGAGATTATCGCCCCAGAAACGGTATTTCTGGCTCGCTGAAAAGGGATCTCCGACCTCGTGTAAAACATATTTGAAGTTGGCCGAGTCACCCATGTAAACAATATTGCTGGAAGAATTTGTATCGCTCTGTTGGACCGCCACCTCTGACAATGAGGGACTGACATATCGACGGCGATCAACACTCTGATAATTTTCGGGCGATTCGGTCGATTCCAGTCGCAAATTATGTGACAAACGACTCGATGTAGCCAACCTAGAGACAGCGTTGAGCTGCTGGTTTTCGAGTGATTCAATACTCGGTGATCCTTCAATCCGGCGATTTGATGACCGTGGGTATCTTCTCCGCAATTAATTGTAATGTGCATATATTTCTCAGAGCCTAGCATGAACCGGCACCTCTCGCTTTCCCTGAATAGATGACTTACTTTCCTCGTCGTGAGTTGATCAATTCACAAGCCGCACCAATCATTCGGCAATTGGAACAGGGATTGTCGATAGTCCGGTCACATTTCACTCTGCGCGAGTTACAAAGCTTGCAAGCCACCCTTGCCCGGCCCTTTTGATGCGACATTGCGCGCGAATAGCTTCTGAAAAGTTATTCAACTTGAAACACCCCACGACGTACGAAGGAGAAAGATGGAATTTTAATTACCTAGCTTTGCCGAGCAGAATGACTGGATCTTTAATGAGGCCTTCTTATCTAATTGCATTGATTGGTGATCCGCGGGCACAGAGCACGCTAACGATCTCAAACCCCGCACGACGCCAGGCTTTTGCCGTGTGCGACAGTCAATGGGTTGAGTTTCGGCTTGGCGTAGAAGCTGGAGGCGTGGAGGCGAGAAGGATCTATCTGGACAGGATGTTTCTTGTGAATTTTGCGATACATTGTGGCACATTTGAGCCATCCCCTACTTCTCCTGCTCCTCCTATTAACTACTCCAAGCTACTACAAATATTTCACCATGCGTCCATTGAGTTTCATTAAGCTCGATTCTCCACCATTATTTCAGGAGATATGTGCAATCCTATCTGTATCTGAAATAGCGGGTTTCGATCAATCGTAATGGGAAGTACAGAATCCCCGCGCTGACCGTACCTAGTTCGTACGCCAGATCCCCAACTCGCACTGCAATCGGCCCCACATACCAGCTCGTCGACATGGAGGTAACAATCAAAGCCCAGGGGACCAAGCTCGAAATGATCGCCGGAATTCCCGAAGGCAGAGCTGTGGCATCATTCCAGATCGCAGGGTCCAGATTTGAGGGATCCGCCTTGCGAAAATAAAGCCACTCAATGAGAAATACGCAGACTGTCGGCCCAGTCATATAGCCGGCGATGCTCACGAGGGTGCTCAAAGTCGAGAGAAAAGACCTGGAGGCCGCAATTGCGACACCTATCATGATGCCAGCAGCGCAGCACAATATCAACACCCGAGGGATTCTTCCAAGCCATGGAACAACAGCGACGGTAAACAGGGACATGCTGTACATATCACGTGCAGCGGTAGTGACAATCGAGAGTCCCAGAATGATGAGTATAAACCGACCGAATCCACCGAGACGAGAAATGAGTATTTCTCCTAGTACTCCCCCAAGGCTACCTTGTTCGTAGGCAGCGGTCCACGAGGGGATCGCAGGAATGGCGCCTCCGATCGCAGCCCCGAGGATCATCATGAGGGTGAAAGGCACGTATAGACCCATCAAGCAATAGAACGCAAGACGAAGGCGCGGCGCTTGTGGAGGCATATAACAGGCGTAATCTCCAACAATGGTTCCCCACGTGGCCATATTTGATGCACAGATGGAGATAGTGGCCAGGTATGGCGCGGCGCCGAAGGAGGTGGCTGGCGTTTGAATGGACAGCTTACTTCCAGCGCAGCCAACGAAGATTAAAAGCGAGATTCCCGTTGGAATCCAGATATACTGACAGATGAAGTGAAGAGCCTTATATCCAATAAACCCAATGCAGAAAGCGAGTGCGAGGATGATCCCAATTGCACCCTCAATCGGCAAAGCACCTGGTCTCACGGCTGCAAGACATTCAGCGCCAGCGACCGTAGCCAAAATCCCAAATACAAGGACTTCAAGAATCACAATCAGGCTGATAAGCGTGTTTGGATATTTTCTATAACCATCATTCAGACCTCAATTCGTTCAGGCGACGCGGATAAACCTACCCAAATACATAACGGAATTGGACCGACTGCCTCATCCCCAGTTGAGGAGCTAAAGTCAGAATGTAAAGCGTTGGCAAAACAAAAACTAATTGCATAGTAACAATCATAGCAGCAGCTTCCGTGAATGAAAGCCCAAAGGCAAGGGTTGGAGTCGTTCCGATGCTCAATCTGTTAGTCATTGTCAAGGTCAGAATTTCTGTACTCGGTCCCAATGATTTCCTTTTCACGTTGACCCACGGTAAAATAGACAAGAATGAACCACCAAATAAAGTGAAGATATTGTAGTATTTTGTGTGGGTTCGCCTCTCCTCTGGAATAGGCTCCAGGCCTCGCATTTCCACTCCTGCTGTGGCCAGTTTCTTCAGAAGTCCCGAGAGCGACCGTGGCGTGATGAAGTCCTCAATAATTCCATCCTCAATCTTTTGAGACTCTATATCATCACCTTCGACAATCTTCTTGTCCGTTTGGGTTGAAGCCATTTGATAGTCTTGGTGAGAAATGCTTCACGTTGAGACAGATATGACAGTATGACCACAGGCGATTAGGGTATTTTACCCTCTGGAGATGACCGAACAAATAATATTATATCCTTTCTCTCTTTGTTTCAAAGGATGCATCTTTGCCAATTGGATCTTACACTTCTTATCGGGAGATAGGAATTAAATGAGGAGACCAGGGGCTACAGCTCGGCATCTCCATCCAACTCGGCGACTCCAGATGGAAGTTTATTTTCGGTCGCGCCTGGAGCTCCACTCCTTTGGAAAAAAAAAACTAAAAATCAAATGAAAGCATAGGGAAATGGTATGTTTTGAACGATTCAACAACGGGAAATCGGTTGTTAGCCTTCTCCACCAGTCTATTTGAGCCATAGAGCCATAACATTTATTATCTGTTTGATACGGGTGCACCAGAATATCAATAATTGGCTGATTGGAAGGAAAAGAAGGAAGGAGCTTGAAGCTATCTAAGGCGATCGGACATATAGGCTAAAGGCGCTAGTTAATTGGCCCAACGTCCTCGAATAATTAATCGTTCTTGCTTGTCTCTTGAACCAACTCATCGATTTGGTCTGCCACCTTCTTGGGCAACTCGAGGCTCGGGAAATGTGTACCACCCCCGAGATCACAGTATGAGAACCAGGGGTTCTTCTTACTGAATTTCTCGTGTAGCTCTCTATATACCAGGTTATTCAGAGGATGCGAAAAGACATGACGGATCGGCGGAGGACTCTCGATTTTTTCCATGCGGTGCATTGGTGTGCCATGTTCCTGGTAAGCACCAGCGATAACCCGGCAAGAAAGAGCCCACATATGATAGCCGAAGCCCCCAAAGGAGTAGATAAAATGATCTTGAACTGCTTTGTTGTTGGTCCCAGCAATCCAGTCATCGTAGAGATCTTGACGAGCAGCCTTCCATATCTGTTTGTCTTGCATTTTTTGGAGCCCCGCCGCAAATTCAGGAGGCGGGGGAGTCATGATCAGGTCAATCATGAGCAGACATAGAACGCGGTCTTTTCCCAGCTGATCAATTATTCCTAACGCAGGCCAGCCTCCATGAGAATGAGAGACGAGATAGAATTTGTCGATGTCAAGAGAATTTAAGAGGCCGACCGTGTCGCTGATTTGCTCGTCGACACCAAAATCGCCGATATCATCACGACTCGGGCCATGGCCCCGCCAACAGACTCTAATAACCCAGTATTTGGAGGCAAGATAGGGAAGTAGCTCATCGTACAGGCGAAGGTCGTGCGCCCATCCAGAGAGAAGCACCAGTGCTGGTCGGTTGGCAGTTCCACATTCATCGTAACATATTTCAACCCCGTTTATATTTTTCGTGAAATACATCGCGTGGAAAAGGAAATATTAAATGAATGGATATGAGCAAAATTCGCCTTGATGAGTATCGAAGTTGGCCAAGAGTCGAAGGAAATAATTAGTATGAAATTGATCAACAGATTTTGCTTTATATGCTCAGGAAACGGGAAGTCCCTATTCACGCGTCAATTAAGATATGACCGACTCAAGAATATCGATTAGAGGCCCTCGGTATTCAAAGTGAGGAGAAGGTCTGCCGGTATCGTCTGCAGGTGCGGAGGTCGCCGACTCGAGTCGCCGATTTGAACTTTATTTGTAAATCGAAAACGGCGGCATCAAAGTTGTGGAAAGCAGACGAGGCCCAGTAGATAAGAATCACTAAATAGACTTGATATCTTCTGCATCCATTCGTGAGACCTTTTCAGAAGAAGAAACAAAATGACCGACCATACTGCGCCTATCATCATCATCGGGGCAGGGCTGGTGGGCCTAACATTGGCCCAAGCTCTCAAGAAGGAAGGATTCAATTTCAAGATCTATGACCGGGATAGAAGCCTCGAAGAGCGTCCAGCTGGTTGGGGCATCACAATGCACTGGGCGCTCCCTGCATTGGAATCATGTCTTCCTCCAGAGGTATACAATCGACTTCTATCGATTCAAGTGGATCCGGTTGAGGGTGGAAAAAGCTAGTCGTCCCCTCGAATTTCTGTGTTCACTACCGTTATCTAACAAATATTATCCCATTAGAGAATGATCGATACCGGTTTCTTAACCTCGAAACCGGCCATGACAAGTTTTGTTTTCCATCATCGACACACTATCGACTGAACAGGAAGGCATTCCGTCAATTGCTAAGCACTGACCTTCAAATCAACTGGGGCAAGCGATTTCTTGGATTTGATTCAACGGAGAGAGGTGTTAAAGTCAATTTTGATGACGGAACTTTTGTGGAAGGCTCTATGCTACTTGCAGTCGATGGCAAAAACAGTCCAGCTAGGAAGCTTCTCATAGGCGACGAGAGATCTAGGCTAAACTCTCTTCCCGTCGCTTTTGTAGGCATCAGTCTACGATTATCACCGGAAAAAGTGAAACCCTTTCGGGAGATTCATCCTATCATATGGCAAGGAACACATCCAGGATCAGGCTACTATATCTTCTTTTCAATGCTGTCGACACCTCAGACAAATGGGAGTGCCGGAACAGCGGATGAATACTACGAGGGCCAATTCAATATGAGTTGGCTTCTTGAAAAAAATGGACCGCTCGCGGCCTCGCCGACTGAAATATTAGCCCAAGTCAAGGATGCAGCCGTTGCCGACACTGGGTTCTTTCCCAGCCTGAAGCAAGCTATATTGGACATCCCCGAGGGTAGTCCAATGCTAGAAATCAAATTGGAAGACTGGCCTACGGAAGACTGGCCATCAGCCGGTGGAAAAGTTGCAATTGTCGGCGATGCCGCACACGCCATGACTATGTGTAAGTGCGAGTTTGATTTCAAGTCCCTATTGTTGATTTGAAGTGCTAATTGGGCCTAGATCGAGGAGAAGCTGCTAATCATGGAATCTGCGATGCTGCACGGCTGAGAGATGAGTTAGTACTCTGGCGTGACGGCAAACAGTCCCTAGATATGGCCTTTATAAAATACCAAAAAGAGGTCAAGAATCGTACCCATGATGCTGTTATCATGAGTCGCCATGCCTGTCTTGATTGTCATGATCTCGAAACCCTGGAAGTGGACAGTCCTGTATTCCAAGTGACTGGATTTAATGCGTTGGCAGTCCCATTAAAGGCGTATATTTAATGTCCCAAAAGACTTTTTCAGAAATTTATTGATATCAAAAACAATCATTCTTCGTTCTCTAGTACACAAATCTTGGAAGTAAACAGTTCAGGGATCGGCAATCCGACCAAAGGCTTGGATTTGAGAAATCCCTGTACTACAGATTCCTTGAAGTTGGATTCCGAAAGGCCACAGATATAAACAGTATCACGACGAACAACAAATCACTATTCTATGTATGCTTTCTCTTGTAGAGACCAGAGGACAAAATCTAAAAATGAATGATCGGAATCTCTTGTCGCTCTGATACCGTCACCACCTTCGACAGCAAATTTGACTCGCCTGCCTTGTCATCCTTATCATCTTGATTTTGGGTAAAGGTGGCAAACTTAAGGGCAGGATCCCATTGAGGAGAGAAAGCATACATGCTCTTCACCCGGTTCTTATCCAGTGACCACTGCCAGTGAAAAAATCCCTGAAGGCGAGCACTAAAATCGAAGCCACGTTCTGCCACTATTCCAAATGCTCGCTGACACCAATCAAATCGTTCCCTGTCGCCATGATCGACAGATACCTTGCACATTTGACACAGAGAGAAAATTACGGTATGAAAGCCGCCACATTTCATAGTATCTTGAACACAGTAAGGGATTGACCGCCCAATCTGGTTGGCATAAAAGAACGAAAGATGCTGATCTTCGTCATCAAGCTGATTCAGTATAGGGTCATCAACCGAAGTTGCTCGGAGTGCACTTTGATTATCCTTGGCTCTGGCTAGAATTCGAACCCGAGAAATGATGGGGTGGATGATGCAGAGAAGTGTCCAGAACATCATATGCAACCTCGCATTATCGAGCGAGATGAATCGCAAGGCGGGGCCAAGGACATGATCAGTGGATAATCTTTCACATAAGACATCGTCCGGAGAACATGAGAAAGGTCTGACGATCTGGACCTTTGAATACCATTCGATGATTTTCTGTTGGTGCCCTACACATTTCTGGAGCACCTTTTCAAAGGCATCACGGTTCGATGGGTCAAGCACATGAATGGCGGCAGCGAGAGGCGTAAACCCGGCAAAAAGCGCAAGAAGGTCTAACAAGGGTGTTCGTTTACCATCAAAAGGTTCCATTATATAGTCGTAGTCCTGTTTAGACATCTCTATGCCTTTGGTAGAATAGACCTGGGCATGGTTAGTAGTGAAACTTTTGATCAATTTGCGGAGGCCCACTTACAATAACTAACTTTTGATGCTCATGGTAGATGGAATCAACAAGAGGGGTCTTTTTTGCTCTCCGACGATAATGGCTCAAGATCGCATTTGTCCCACTGATGTGAGTGAACCATGTTTGGAGGCCGTCTGGACAGTAACATAGCTGAGAGTTTGAATATCAGGTTAGAACAGTTGGAGATGTCTTAAACCTTCACACTGACCCCCCCACAAATTGAAAGAATGCTCACCTCCATCTCCTGGAAGATTATAGTAGTGTATATGATGTCGTCACAGAAATAGTCTTGGTTGATCATGCTTGACATTTGTCGGATAGCGACATTATAAAGCTGGATGCCATGTTGGAAGACACGCTTGTCCCGCTTTAGCTTTCCAAGGTAGGCACAGGATATTGCCGAGATGGCCGTTTCGAGCATTCTGGTCTTTTGTGGAAGCTTGCTGAAGGTTGTTATGAGGGATGGCCAGAGATCCACCGTGGATTGATTCTCGATACTAGGAAAGATAACATCGATGTAAGATGAAAAGACCTGCTCACGCAACGCTGGTCCCGGCCTGACCGATTGTGCCTGGGTCATCTGGCCGACCAAAGGTTGAGAATCAGTCATCGGTCGTCTCTTTGCAACCGAGGGATCGTAAACGAAGATGCGATTTTCATAGCCACCACATTTCAGGCCATGTTTAATGCATCGAGCACATTCAGGCTGCTCTGCACTACACTATTGGGTACATGATGAGCAGGTTAGCTTTGACAGTGTGCTACTTGTGGGATTGAGTCTGGCCACCTTAATTTTCCGCTTTTTACAAGTCCGACAACCTTTGGACTGCCAAGGGGTGCCACCCATCTTAATACGGACGAGTAGGAACGATCCGGATTCCACAGATAATTCACAAGAGAATCGTAACTCGATGAGTTAATGCATTGAAGGAGGTAAAAGTCTCGAGCCCCGTATACGATGGATTCGGGTTTTGGAATCTCAGGTCGCGGCGCAGAGACACGTTTGGCGATCCTGGACTAGAATGTGTATTCCGTATCTACGGATAGGGCGGGTCGGGGCGGAGATTTTGGCCCCAAAGCGTTGACCTCGCCCCTTCTTTAGCTGCCTCGTGGGCCCTAAAAGGGACCAACGGGAGTGGCCGCGGGTCAGAAACCCCGTAATGGAGAAGTTCCCGAGTCAAATCATATCAATTGATCCACAGCTTCGGGTTATGGCTAACGGATGCCGACAATTTGATGACGCACCACGAGCTGCCTCACCCAATCACACCTTGTCTTGCTTTTGTAACGAGGGAAGATGGCGAGTTGCACATCATCGAAAGTTGGATAATACTTGATGATATCATTCCTGTAGTGAATTGATCGCTAAGCACTATATCCATGTGGCTATCAAGCAAGAATAATCACTGAGAATACATCGAAATTAGAAGCATTAGACAATGAACATTATTATTGAGTCCTTTTTGTCCCTAGCATCTATGCCTAGATTGTTTCTTATGCCTAGACCTATGGAGTGAGTGATTACGCTGCAGTTGATGGCGGATCGGCCACTGTGTGTGTTTTTACTGGGCACCAAAAACAGTGGTGCTTGCCATGGTCACACTTTAGTGTTCTATATTTGCCAAATTATGGATTTTCCCTGAAGTATAACCGAATTGAATAACCAGCTATAGTCTATCCAGCCATCATACAGCAGTCAAAGGCATGCTAGCCGGGGCGAGATAAGTCGCCGACTGCATCTCGGCGAATCGCTTTTCTCCGCAAGAGCAAGAGCCCCCGCAGAAATGGCAAGCTATCGGCCGCTGCCCCCTGAGCCCCCGCAGAGACAGGCCGGAGATCGGCAAATAAAAGCGCGCTCCAACGTCTCTTCTGCGATGGCCTTCAATTTGCGCGAGACTTTATAGCTACTATGGGCGATACAACCACCATCCAGCTGCCCGCGGGGCCCATCAAAGCTCGCGTGCTGGACGACCGGCTCCTTCACGCCCGCGGGATTCCATACGCGACAGCTAAACGATTCGAAACGCCTCAGCCAATCGGCCCTTGGACAGAGATCCTGGATTGCACGGAGCGCGCACCCATATGCCCTCAACTGCCATCGCGGCTGGAGTCCGTCATGGGCCCGCTGACCACGGGTCACGCTCTCAGTGAAGACTGTTTAAGGGTATCGGTAACAGCGCCCAAAAATGCGAAAAATGCCCCAGTGATGGTCTGGTTGCATGGCGGAGCCTATATATCGGGCGGTGGTGATCTCGACTGCTACCAGGGCGTTGGTCTCGCCGACCGGGGGGCCATCTGCGTCAACATCACTTATCGGCTGGGCGTGTTCGGGTATTTACATATGGAGGGCATTGCGCCTGCGAATTTGGGTATACTAGATCAACGTGCCGCACTCGAATGGGTCCAACACAACATTGCTGCGTTTGGTGGGAATTCGGATAATGTCACGATGGTCGGGCAATCGGCTGGTGCGGACTCGATTATCTGTTTGATCGTTGCCGAGGGCACGAAGGGCCTGTTCCATCGAGCAATCTTGCTCAGCCCTCCCTTGAGAGACCTGAGAGAGCGGTCACAGACGGCGGACTTGCTCACGAAAAGAGCAGAACAGCTATTCAAAGAGGATCCCCGTGAAATGTCGACCGATGACCTCCTGGGGGTCCAGAAGCAGCTTTTAATCAACCCGGTCCGGACCCAAGTCATGCTATTTGCCCCTGCTCTGGGATACGCTCCTTTACCAAACGTAGAGGACTTCGACCGAAAGGTGGCGGAGAATGCAAAGGATATTCCCATTTTAATCGGCTGGACGGCTCACGACGGTCGCCCATTTGCAAGCATGATGGGCCCTCCGACCCTTCTCAAGCTGCCTCTTGTCGGACCATATGTCGAGGCTATCGGAACCTGGTATATTACTCAGAGCTATTTTAAATGGCCATCTCTGCAATTTCACGAACAGGTCCTACAAGCAGGTGGAAAATCAACAAGCTATTCGTTTGAATGGGCTGCTACAGGCAATGCGTTGGGGGCCTGTCACTGCATTGACATCCCATTTATTCTGGGTACGCATGAAGCCTGGAACGCTGCTCCAATGCTGGTTGGGAAGGACACGGCAAACGATATTTCTCTAGTAGGAACACATTTGAAGGATATGTGGGTTGCCTTTGCTGGTGGGAAGGAATTCAACCCTGGGCATATTCAGGTAGGCAAAGGGTTCACTATGTCTCCCAAGATATTCTCCAATAGTTGATGGTCGTGAAAAAGAGATGAGAAACAATATATAGGTACTCCCGTGGTCATATACCCATCAATACCTTCGTAGTACCTGGAATTAGGCCATTCCCTGCAAGGCGTAAACGAAAAGGGCTATCAGAGCTATTGTGGTCTATGTGTGAAGCCTTTACAGCAGGACACGACTTGTGCGCCACGTTATTGAACTCTCTTAGTAACGAGAAATATGAGACCAGGGTGCCAGCGACGACACATGAGTTCTGTAAATGTAGTATCTTTGGCTTATTTACAGGTAGCTATATTTCGGGTTCCAGTCAAGAATTCAATGGAACAATGTTACGAACTTGCTGCCAGGAGTTGCTCGGCGTGTCGAAATAATTCCTTGAGAACTCCAAGAACAGTTGATCCGGCCCAAGCCCCCACTGAGAGACATTCTCCTCCGAAACATTTGGCGGTAGTCCATCTGCAGGCCTGAACACGCCGCAGAACGAGATACGGGCTTCCTCTGGAATAAGGGTGGAATGGGATTCGGTGTTTTGAGGGTCTTTTGAAGATGGGGTGTTAGTGGACGAGCAATCATTTCCATACAACCCAAGCAGCTGCTGGGCATTGCTCTCCTCTATTTTCATGATACTTTCTGCAAGCATAGCCACTGGTGTGCATTTGAAGAATCCTTGCATTGGAGGTGCTTGTCTCAGGAGTTCCAGGGCCCTGTGACGCAAATTTTGGTCACGGCAAACCATTGCCGTTTTGAAAAGTGGGATTCCGACTCCCATTTCAAAGGTGAAAGGCGGTTGGGAACCATCTGGACCGGCTGATATCCCGAGTACCAAATTGGCCTGTTCAACAATAATGGCAAAATCTGCAAGATGGGCATCGTACACCGTTTCCTTGACCGTTAGACACCCAGCGAGGTGGACTTTTGCTGCTGCATGATGAGTGAGCAGCACAGGTTCTGTTGACATTTGAGACAGAGATGCGTCTTGCGAAGGATTGCAGAGGTCACTATAAGCTTGATACCAGTCATCTAGGTGGCTTTTGAGGATATTTTTCTTTTCAAGCATCTCTGGGGCCACGAAAGATTCCCCACCAACAGCCCTCAGATGACATCTCGCTTCGCGGTCAAAGAGAATAATTTCTTTGCCGAGAGCGGCAATGGCGGATCGTGCCGCAGCAATGGATTCAAAAGGGACGTTCAAACGGGTTTCCGTGGCGGTGAAAAGCTCACTTGGTTGTGTTCCTGATATAGTAAGGGATACTGTTCCCAGTCGCAAGAATAGCGGAATGATCATGCGCTCCAAGAGCATCGTCTTGCTGGCACACACTATTCCCAGTCTCACTTGGGCCCTCAGGTCCATGATCAGACTTGTTCCTTGCCTGTACAGTTGCAATGCCTCTTCCATACGGCCTTGGATGGTTTCTATGCAAATAAACATCACACAGCTTATCAAAGCAATGTATGGGTCGGCACCACGGCGTTTGATTTGTGAGTGAACGCTGGAGATCGAGCGCGAGTACCATACTAGAGCCTCTTGCTGGGACTTGTTGAGGTATTGGGAATTTCCACCACGACTTCTCAAAAGAGTGAAGTCCATGCACTGGTCAGGATGTTCAAAGAGGCTGCTAATCGCAATTACAGCATCCCATACCGAAGGTTCCGTGCGACAGATCTGAGGCACAACACTCGTCCAGAAATCGATAGCCATTCCACCAGCAAGACATTTTGCGGCATGTTGGAAGTAATACTCAAATGCCCGTCTCTCCCGCCAGCCTGAATTTGGTGATAGCGGCAGAGCCTGAGCGGGGGAAAGAGATGATGGCGTCGATGGGGCTAGGGGAGAGGACGGCCCCTCATACTCGCATTTGCGCCCAGTACTAGAACAGCGAAGACAGGCTGGCTTTTCTTCTCCGCATTTCACTTTTCGGATTCTGTTTCATCCTTAGAGATAGGGGACGGGTACGGGGTGTAAGCCGCGTGCAACTCACTTGCAGGTTTTGCATCCATTCCGCGACTTTGAAGCCCCGATTCGGCGGTTGGCACGAGATTCAACGGCCATTCTTTTTGACGTCTATCCCTCGCATTGTGCAGTGCCCATCAAGCATGAAATTTGAATTCCAAGGCGCTGCCTCCGATGGGGGAGCAGCATTTCGAGTCTTCGCAGGCTGTTCGGCTTATGGGGGCCGACTCATTTTGACAGACTCTAATTGGTCAAGCTGTCGCAACACTCCGAGTTCTCCTCATACGCAGATCCCCACACAGTATTCATATATTAGTTAGGAAGCTATATCAGACCCAACGATGAACTCATCCTAGTCAATCACCATTAGATTCAAACGAATTTAGCAAGAGAGGCATGAGGGGAACCATACGAAACTGTAATCGGCTCGTCCTGGTCTCTTCCTCGTCAAACCCTAGTTTATCTTTATCTGTAAAGGAAACGGGGATTTTATAGAAAATCGTTTTATAGAATATTAATGTGTTGGGTGATGATGTAGGGCACTAATATTACCCAATACTGCTTTGTCTCTTGTAGTATTTGTACGCCCGAGAGGAGAAACCATATTCCGAGCGTATAAAGATCCATCGTCCTGTGCGCCAATTGCGATTGATCTCCTACTCTATAAAGATTGCTTAAGCCGAGAAAATAGTCTCTTTCTCCAACTACGAACATCCGACTGATCTGCAGATCTCTTCTTCTAAATCTTCAATCTAAGGCACACGTCAATCCGTTCAATCTCAGAATAGCATGGCCAACGATATTGAGACAAACTTCCAGGCCGCCATCGATACGGGCAAGATCCACGGCGCGGTGATCTGTGCCAGCGATGCAGAGGGCCATTTCGTCTTTAACAAGGCAATGGGCCAACGTACGTTGCTTTCGGGCAAAAAGCAGCCACAACAAGTCGATGACGTGCTGTATCTCGCCTCGGCGACGAAGATACTCGCCGCCGTTGCTGCTCTTAAGTGTGTCGATGATGGCCTTTTAACTCTTGATGGCGATCTGTCGTCTATTGCGCCCGAGCTTTCTGAGAAACAAGTCATCACTGGCTTCTCCGAAGATGGCCAAACTCCAATACTTGAGCCGGCTAACCGCCCGATTACGCTGAAGATGCTCCTCACCCATAGCTCAGGGCTCTGCTACCATTTTGCGAACCCACTTGTCGCTCAGTGGCGCGAAAAGTTTGCTGCGTCTGAAGAGGGCAGCCGTCGAACGGTTGAAGAGCTTTTCTGCTACCCGCTCGGCTTTCAACCTGGGAGCAGCTGGATGTATGGTCCTGGACTGGATTGGGCCGGCCGCATCGTGGAAAGAATCACTGGTCTCACGCTGTTGGAGTATATGCAGCTGCACATCTTCGATCCTCTGGGCATTAAAGATGTCCAATTCTTTCCTGTCACTCGCGAAGACCTACGAGCTCGTCTCGTCAATCTCACCCCAGAAGATCCGGATGCCCTCGGTCGGGCCGTGCTTGGTGGGGGCGGGGACATGAACACGCGCACCCGCGGAGACTTTGGAGGCCACGGTCTGTTTATGCCCGGTGATGACTTCATCAAGATCCTTTGCTCGCTCCTGGCCAACGATGAGAAGATTTTGAAGTCCACAACTGTTGACATCATGTTCCAACCCCATCTCAGCCCAGAAGCGACTACAGGCTACCAGGCCGCGCTAGCAAGCCCTATGGGTCCCTTCTTCCGAGTAGGCACTGACCCTGGGACGAAAGTGGGTTATGGTCTGAGCGGGTTGTTGACACTTGAAGATGTAGATGGCTGGTATGGCGATGGTACATTGACTTGGGGTGGTGGGCTGACTTTGGCTTGGTTCATCGACCGTAAAAATGGATTGTGCGGTGTTGGCGCTGTGCAATCGGCACTGCCAGTTGACGGCGCACTGGTTACTGCCTTAAAACAAATATTCCGTCGTGATATATATCATAAGTACGCTGCGTGGAAGCTGGGAGAGCAAAATACCCTATGATGTCTCGGCAGTCAAAATTTTGGTCATGGGAACTTCCCATTGTATCATGAAAATCGACTTGGTTAACATTCAGGATAGGTCTTGCAATATCATAAATAAGTTTCATTGGAATTCTTTGCAAAACATGCATGAATACTTTCATCACGGCTATACAAGTTGCATCATAGCGCATATCGGAAATGCTTCGACTCCATATCTGTCATATCTTTAAACCCATCTCTAATTGCCTGGGCTGCCATCTCTTCTGGCATTCCATCTGTACTCTCGTCTATTCTTCCAGCTATAGCACTATCTCTTCGGGCATTCTCCCACCTCATACTGACATATGCGACAGCTGACAAGATAATAATTCCTGCATAACAAACCAGCAGGCCAGTGATAGCAGAATAGTAGCGTGGTGCTTCTCTCGAAAAGAATATATTTGCCCCGGCGACATTTCCGGCAGCGTACAGAGTGAACCAAATTCCGTTCGCGATGGCACGCTTGGTGTGCCCAGCCACATTGGTAGAAAGTAAATTCCAGGAGACAATGACTGGAGCTCCGATGATGTATTGCAACCAAGTGCATCCGACAAGCGTCCATCGATGGTCGAGACTGGTGAATCGGATACCCAAGAGACCACCGAATGGAATCAAACTCACGACGGCCAGAACGATGCAGCGTGAATTGGGTACATAGGTTGCGACAAGCCCACACACTGGAACTATGGCTGCCTCAATGGCGCCTGTTGGCAGCTGCAAGAGTGTAGCATAGATTCCGCTGAATCCAAACCCTTTAATCAGAGATGAGGCAAAATTCGATACACCACCATTGATAACCCCGCAGGCTATGGCAATCCCTGCACAGCAGAGCACTTTGATGTCATACAGATTTTCCACGGCTTGCTTCAGCTTAATTTGTCGATTTTTGACTCCGATCATGTTTTCTGCCACACGTCGAACTGCGACAACTCGTTGGCGATGGGTCAAAAATCGGGCAGAGCTGGGCGAGTCTGGCATCAGGGCTAGAAACACTCCCCCACAGACAAAATTAAGTAGCCCGATAGTTAGAAAGATTAGCTGCCAACTATGGAGTGACGTGTTGTGCGAATGGCCTAAGCCAAACCCAAGGAGGGCCCCAACCATGGTTGCCATACCATTGGCGCTTAGCCAGATGGCCATGCGTAGGGGCTGCTCGGAGCGTTTATAAAACATGGAAGTGATGACCATCACTTGATGGATTAGTCCACAAATTATCCAAAATTCTTTGAGTTTTTTTACTTACTGCACGGACTCACACCTGCCTCGGCCATGCCTAGCAGGAATCTGAGCACGAGAATGCCTGCATAGTTCTTTGCGCCGATATGGGCGATGACAATCACACTCCATAGAAGAAGCATTCCTCCCATATACTTGGCAACAGGCAGCTTTTGGATCAAGAGATTTGCGGGTATTGCCCAGAAAAGGTACCCAAAATTGAAAATAGCTGCAACCCAGGAGTATTTTTGGCCTTCAAGACCAAGGTCAGGAATGAGGGTGTATGCAGATGCATAATTGAGAGATAGTTTATCTGGTCCAGGATGTGAAGTTAATTAGCCTCGAATGAATAGAAAATGCCGCACTATCTTTCTCATCTAATGGTCCATACCGAGAAATTGAATCACATAGGTGACATAGAGCTGCATCGACGAGTCAGAAAATGATCCTGGGATCCTGCATATGTTCACTGACAATGGGCATGATTCGCCAATCAAGAATTCGCAGCACCTGTGCACCCTCACGCTCCAGTTCCTCGGTTGATAACTGCTCCGCCTCGACATATAGATCGGCTCCGATGTCGTGGACCTCACCCAGCATCACATCTTTCTCCACAGTGGGCTGCTCCACCTTTGCGTCTTTGACGCTCATGTTGAAACTCAATCAGCAAGTTGGTCCTCCGATCTCAGGAATGAGCATAGGGTTTTGATCATTTTCTCTTCCTCTGCGAGTCAGCCTGGTTTTAAACATCTCCTCTGAGAAGATCAACTGCTGTTATCAACTGCCAAGCAGATAAGCCCGAGTTGTACCCCCGCGTGGTGATAAGCGGACAATGGCCCGCCTCAGCAAGTGGGGAAGACCAAACGACTTGTGGTCGACCAAGCAAAATCCAGCGGACTTTTGTCCGCCGTCTCAGCACTGGATCAGATATACACCTATGGCAACGCTCTCTCTAGGCTTGTCACCACTACTACTACATTACTGCTACGACTCCTCTTCAGTATTGTGCCGAGCTGGAGCATTCTCGCGCGGGAATGCTCAACCCGCTGAAACTTAACTTCGGAACATACTAAGGAGTGGCGCCCAATCGACTGCAGATTATCTAAAATTGGAGAACATGCTGCGAGACAAGATGGCACGGCCAGCTGCTGCTCAAGAGATGATGCTTCTGGATGCTAGTATCTCCGAGCTTCAAAATGCGCTATCCTCAGGATGGATTACCAGCGTTGACTTGGTATCGCGCTATTTAAGACGTATCAGTATGTTTGACGCGAATGGACTCAAGCTCAGTGCCATTCCAATCCTCAACCCGTCCGTCTTCGATGAAGCAGCGGCATCAGATGCCAGGTGCGCCGCAGGACTGCCACCACGGCCTCTGGAGGGTGTTCCCTACCTTGTCAAAGACAACATCAAAGTCAAGGGCATGGTAGTCGGAAACGGATCGCCTGCTTTTGAGAAGCTGATTGCGAATGAAGACGCGGCATGTGTACAGATTCTCCGAAATGCAGGCGCAGTTCTTCTCGGCCGGACCAACATGCCGGCCATGGCATACGGTGGCATGCAGCGCGGAGTCTGGGGGCGGGCGGAGAGCCCGTACAACAAAGACTACCTCGCAGCGGCCTATGCTTCCGGTTCATCAAATGGATCTGCTGTCGCCACCGCGGCGAACTTTTGTGCATTCTCCCTTGGGACGGAGACTGTCTCGTCTGGTCGTTCGCCGGCATCGAACAACGCCATTGTCGCATACACGCCCTCCAAGGGTTTGCTACCACTTCGGGGGGTCTTTCCTCTCTATCCAACTTGTGATGTCCTAGTCCCTCATACGAGGACAGTCTCAGATCTCTTCCATGTACTTGATGTCCTTGCGGTCTCTGATAAGACACCTTTCGGGGATTTTTATAATGAGCAGTCTATCATCGAAATTCCGTCCGTTAATTCTCTTCGACCGGAATCATTTTTGAGCCTGCAGGATCCATCAGCACTGCAAGGGAAGCGTATCGGTGTACCATCAATGTATATTGGAGGCAATGACTCCTCCGTTCTTTCACCTAGCAAACTCAGGACCCGCCAATCCATAATCAAACTATGGCAAGAAGCCCGCCTAGCCCTGGAGGCCTGTGGTGCCGAGGTCATCGAGACCGATTTCCCTCTCGTCACTACTTACGAGGCCAATGCAGGAATGGGGCAACTCGTGACCATTGCCAGCCTCCCAGAAGGCTGGGCAGGAAAAGAGCGCTGCGAAGTTGTGGCCCATGCGTGGGATGATTTTCTCGTTGCCAATGGTCAGAAGGGCTGCGCATCCATCGCAGAAGTTGACCCAAGAACGATTTTTCCACTCGCGCCAGGCTCGCTGTCGGGCGCCCCGGACTCAGCCAATGCACTGCGCTGGGATGAAATCGTCGCATACCCACGCACCAAGCCCGCCTCGATTTCTGATATACCAGGCATGAAACAGGCTGTCCAAGCGCTTGAAGATGCTCGGAAAGAGACATTCGAGAAGTGGATGGACCAACAGGGCCTGGATGCCGTGGTTTTCCCTGCCAATGGCGACGTGGGTGCTGCGAATGCAGATGTGGAAGAGGAAGCATCACTCTTTGCTTGGAGCAATGGCGTCAAGTATTCCAATGGTAACCGGCCCATCCGTCACCTTGGTGTGCCGACTATTTCCGTTCCTATGGGTGTCATGGAAGATACCAAGATGCCTGTGAACCTCACATTTGCAGGGAAGGCATATGAAGATGACCGTCTTCTACGGTATGGTTATGCTTTCGAGAGAGCCACTAAAAACCGAATCCAGCCACCAGACACGCCAGCTCTGGATTCAGATTCCATCTCAATTCCTAGTGTCTCTCGCTCAGGCACATTCCAACTCCCTCCGGATCTTCTTGTGAACAATCAGAAGAAAGAGATCAATGACTCAAATGTGATGATTCAAATTCAAGGCTCCGTGAGCGACAGTGAACAGGTAAAGGGTCTCTTTGGCTACTTAAATGGTCAACGATGCTCTATTAATTTAGAGGGCGAGAGGTGGTCTCTCACAGCTTCCTACCAAGTCTCTGAGAGAGACGCCAGTTGGAAAATGTGGACGAGTCCAGCACTCACGCAAACTATCGTGGTCATTGTAGCAGAGACTCATTCAGGATTCGCGTCCGGGAAACTTATTCTCTTGTAGTATTGGCGGTTTTTTAAATCTATGTATTCATCATTGTATGTAAATAGTCATAAATTCTATATTACAATGATTTTTCTAAAGTCTTCGGCCTCTTGTTCTATGTTTGGGGTGTTCGATATCCTGCCGGGCGAAGGAAAGGGGTATTTATAAAAGCCAAATACTTTATGAACGTAATTATTGTCAAAAAAACTTATAATTTATAGTGTAGTTCATATGATATCTGTCACAAAATTATCCGCTATTGTCTCAAATTGGACGAAGCCTCCATACATCATGTCCTCGATCATGCCCAAAAGAGCCTGATGAAGGTACTTCTTTTTGAGTTGCTCCAGATGGGACTCGGCTTCGGCCAATGCAGGCAGATCAATCTCCATTGCTTCTGTTGGGATATTATGTGATACCTTTGAATGCAAGAAGCCGAACAGTTTGAAATACGGCACTGCATCGTCCCAGCGTTCTGCGAAGCAGGCCAGGTTCTGGGTGCACGCTTCAATAGCTTCCGGGCACTCGTACCCATTTTGCTCCAGTAAGATAGGGCCGTCCATCAAAGGTCTTGTTGCCCAAATCAAATACAGAAGCATAATGCAGGCCCTAAATTGGAATATAAGCTATAAATATGTGTTAGTTTTTGGTTGATTCGGTATTTCAAGGATTCGGAAACTCACCGCAGACCAGGTAAAGCACATCACATGTCCCTCTTCTTGCAAACGACGAAATTTCATACAAACCTCCACCACGGCCGAGAAAATCTCTTGTGTTCCTTCATGATCGAGGAAGTTCCGCTTCTCCTCCATTAAAATCAGGATACTATAATCATACAATTTTGTCATCCAATTAGGATGATAGTACCCACTGGAAACGCTAGAGGTTCCGTAGCGAGGTATATCTTGTCTCCATATATCCAGAGCAGACTTAAAAGAAGAGCTGAAAGAGATCTTATCTGCCGAGAATTGCCATCGAGATCGTTCCAATGATCTTCGGATATTAGATTGAATTTTGCGAAGTCGAAATAGGTGACCAAGAGCAGGATTCGTATTCACAGGTGGTTGAATAGTATCGCCGAGTATGCAAAGCTAAAAAGGCTTTGATTAATACTTGATTATATCATTGATTATAGAGAAACTCACGTCATCGTCAACAATCCGGTAGGAGGCTGAAACCGGCCGATCCCAACCAGATGCAATAACCTCATTCAACATGTAGCAAGCAATAAACATGTTCTCCGTTAATACCTCCCCAGAAGCTGAGACCATTTCATCTTCGCTGTTTGTTCGAGTGCATTTTCGCAGATGTGTGATTGCAGTGACGCAAAACGGTAGTATTGAAGAGACAATGGTTGCAATTTCCTCGGAGGATGGTGAATGGAGGGCATAGATGATTAATAGCAAGGATGCTTGGACCTGTAGGACCATGGACGGGTGACCCACAACAAGGGGATAATAGCTCATCGCAGATGCATAAAGTTCTTTCGAGCGAGCCAGATGTGTTGAGTCTCGGTGCATCGTACTGCATAAAGAGGCGCCAATAGCATATACTATGCGCAGAAAAAAGAATCGCCACTCGTCCTGGCCACTTGTAACCTCCTCGCGATGCCAGGATTTCCAAGCCGACTCATTGAGAAACGGCCACTCTCGGTAGGATATAGAAAAATAGATATTAGTGTAGAGCTCAGTGAGCCATATAGAATCGTTGCCGATTAGAGGGAAAGTTGGCCCTTTATCGAGGCGTAAGAAGTCAAGCGACTCATCGTTCAATTGGAGGAATGTATCTGTAAAGGATGATTGGGAGAACGGTGATAGCCGTGGTATTTGATGACTCTGGCGCTGCTGTGACTCGGATAATAGCATAAGGGCGTTGTCCTCTTCTGCTCTATTCTTTCTCCAATTTGGCGATTGCGCCGTTGATGGTATGCGGATAGGTGGTTGTTCATCCGGGACAGGGTCTGTCTGAACACCAGCATCGCAAAGTTCTGCACAGTTTCTTGTATTTGGCGATGAGCCTTCTAACTCAGCGACCCTCCGCTCCAATTCCTTCAGGTAGGCAACTGGAACAGTGATGCTGTCCCCAGACTTGCGCGATCTAGCGGGCAGACATTCAGCACCTTTGCGACGACATTCACCACAGGTAGGCTTCACATGGTCGCATCTTCGCTTCAGACGGAAGCAACGAGCGCAGGCAATCTCTCTTGGTTTGAACGGGCGCGACATGCGGGAGTTGAAGGGGAAGAGTGCGGGGACGGGAAGCGGAGACATGAATACAATTGATAAGAAGGTTTCGGCGTTGGCCCGAGGCTAATCAGTGGCGAATGGATAACGATATTTTGATGGGACTAAGTCGAATACACTATCTCATACAGCCCTTTAAACATGATTGATAGGCGCCACTTCACAAATCAGATCCAAGGAAAGATGTAGGATGTTATCTGTATTGCGTTCCCATTGTGCCCATGATGGTCCCCTAAAAATGATCACCTCCGAGTCGGCCCGTTAATCTCGAATCCACTTCCCTAGAACTGGATCATAGCCAATGACCACAGGCTCGATATTCAATGCCTTCAGCATGAAGTTCATTGTGAACTCCTATCATAATGGACATCAGTTAACGATTTGATAATTTGGAAGACGCACATAATTCTGACCTCTTCCGTCACGTGCTCAGCCCGCTTCGATGCCTTTGATAGTTCATACGAATCGCCAGTCTCATCGTCTCCTCTATCTTGCTCATCGATGTGTTCGGTGTCATGATCCTCGAATCCTTGTGCATAGATATTGTGCCTATTGTACTCCTTCCATGCTGTGAGTCCGCCTATTCGGGAAGCACGCTCTCGTGCGCCGGTGAAGACCTCATCCGCTGCTTCCTGGCTCACGAGACGCCATTTCATGATCAGAGCTTCCAGTTCTGCATCTTTGGTCGAGGATTCGATTCGAAGAGCTTGCTTGATGGTATCAAGTTCTTGGCGCAAAGTGGCAAGTTGTGACTGTAGAGCACGTTCCTGTTTCTGTAAATCTCGAAGCTCCGGATCTACCTGTGAAGAACGTATTGATGTGGTGAGGCTTGTACGGCATGTAGCCTTTTGAGGACGCTCTTCTGGGGGACAGACTGACACCGGAGTAGAAATATCAGTGTCGTCATTTGGTCTTGCAGGTAAAGTGATTATGTCGGTTCTGTGCTGGCTGAATTTGCCCGTTTCTGGCGTGAGGGGTGTCGGTTGAGATGAAACACCGAGAGACTTCGGTCTGTGCAACGGTGACTTGAATGGTCTGGATAGCGCAGTTGCGGTATCGAGGCGGCGACGTTTGATCATCGGCGAAGGGTCATCCATTATGAAGACGAATGGGAAGCAATGTATACAGGTGTGAAGCAGGATCGGACTGGAGAACAGAGAGGATGACGAACGGGGAACAAAAGCAGAACGAAATGGCTTATCGATAAGAGCCCATATAGCTGGGGCTATCTACAACGAAATAATCCCTACAATACAGCTGAGAATCTGGCTCAAATTAATGGCCCACGCCACCTGCTACCCACTGCCCAAACTCAGGGTCACCAGGCTGCGGGAAGAATCCCCGGTCATTAGCATTAGCATTCCCATTCCCATTTCCATTCGCGTTGGCGTTGGCGTTGACGTTGGCATTGGCATTGGCATTGGCGTTCGCATTCATGTTGGCATTACCGCCCTGGTTTGCAGCGTTCTGGTTTTGCCGATTACGTTGTTGTTGCTGGCGAATATAAACCAGCACAAGTAGCGTGGCAGCCAGTCCAACAATGAGTAGGCCCTCCAGCATGTCCCCGTCAATATCCAGATCGAGGTCGTCGTAGTAACCATCGTCATGGTCAGAATCCAAGCTTCGTGATCCCATGAATTCATCATCATCTTCACGGGATTCATATAGTTCGTTGTAGTAGTCAGCCTCATCATTTTCGATGAATGCGGTGATCCATTCCCTGAAGGTCCGGCGGGGCCTCACATCTGTGAAACAGGTCAGCGTATTCCTCATGTACATAATATGGAGCAGGTAGTAATTACCTTCGTCGTCACGAATAGGGTTGATATTTCCATTGGTGATGCGATTCCAGTAACCCCGGGCACGCAGCTTCAATAAGCTCAACTTGACGGGTAGATATGCTTCGGAGTTAGTCTCTAGTGCGAGATCGTAGTACCGTTTAGCCATATGGAAGTCTTGAGCCACAGCGACGCCATTCTCATGCATCCAGCCAAGGTTCCAGTAGGCTTGTGCGCTTTGGTGGGCCTCGGCGGCGTTGTGATAGCAGGCCGAGGCCTTGTCAGCATCGAATACGGCCCCAATACCATTCAAGTAGTAGTCCCCCATCTTGATCAAGGAGTCAATATTAGACTGCTTCGCAGACCTGGTCCAGTAGATCAATGCCAGCGCTGTGTTACGCAGCAGATTGGGTCGAGATTTCTGCACCCATGGTAGGAAGCGATCTAGCGAGAACAAAGAGCGCTGCTCGTCCAGGATGAAAGCAACGTTCGCTTGAGCATGTTCATACCCTTGTTCGGCGGCCATCATAGCTGGAATGAGAGCGCCCTCTCGATCACCAGCCTCATAGGCCGCATTTGATTCTGCAAAGGAAGAGTGGACAGCTTCGGCTTTCTCAGCGACCATTTTGTAATATGCTGCGGCAACACCACAGTGCGGCTGCCTACCAACGCCAAAGTTTGCCATCTCCGCGAGGTAATAATATGCCTCCATCCAACCCCATCGAGCGGCTAGCTCGAAGTATCGGGTCGCAGTGGCCACATCTCCTTGGTCCAGGAAAAGAGCACCAAGACGCGTTTCCGCCGCCGGCATATCCTGTTCTGCCGCGGCCTTGAAATATGACGAGGCCTTAAACGCATCCGCAGGTACACCATACCCATTGAGGTACACAAGTCCCATCTCATGCAGACAGAGCGGATCCCCATTCTGCATGCCCCGTCGGAACCAGGTGATTGCATTGCTGAAATTCTGCTCTACACCTTCTCCGCGAAGATACATGAGACCGATGTGTCCCGCTGCCTTGGCAGCCAGCTTGTCCAGTCCGGCAGCAGAAGTTTGAATCAACGATCCATCCAAGTTCCAGTAGCGCTTGGCGACAGCTCTGAAGTACTTCATAGCTTTACGGAAATTACGAGGTAGGCCGTGCGCTCCCTCGTAGTTCATTTTTCCGAGTGTGAATGTAGCCTTCAACTCGCCTTTGCGAGACATCAGGTCTAGGAACTCCAGCACATCTTCCACGCTAGCATCACTGCCAGACTGGGACGGATCCGCTGCATTATGCCCAGAACTTGACACACTAGCTCCTTGTCCGTAGACACCGCCTTCTTCGTCCGCCCAGCGATATGAATCCCGAATCATAGCATGGCCACCTGGCGGGCCCGATCGATAGTAATCAATAGCCTTGTCGGCGACTTTCTTGTAGTAATAGAGTGCATGATCGCAATTCTTCGGTGTCCCAATGCCCATATGATACCGATATGCCAGGGTCATTTCCGAACGTGTGTTTCCCCCTTCCGCGGCGAATTCATGGTAAATCAAGGCCTTTGCCTGATCCCGCTCGACTGCATCGCCAATTCCCGTTGCATACATAAAGCCAACCATATACTGTGCAGTGCTATTCCCAGTCAGCCATGCCAATTCGTTATACCATTGGAAAGCTTCGCTGAAGTTGCGCGGGTGTGTGAAGTTGCCATAGAAGTTCATCTCGGCTAGAAGGAACATCGCATCGGGGTCCTCTTCATCATCGACGGCTAGTTTTAGCTCTTCCACTGCACTTTTGACTACCGGATTGATTTTTCGACCAGATTTATCGGTAGTTGGCGCATTCAAGAACAGCATGCGAAAGGCTTCCCGGCCATAGTGAAGGGTGTACCCGATGAGTCCCGAGGGTTTATCGACGATGGAGACGGCAGGTTTCACTTTCCGGAGCTTATCCCAGGCATTTTGGACACGTTCTGTTAACAGAGTTATCAGTAGGAGGTCGTGAAAATGGGACGCCTTCGCCTGCAAGCTGCACGTGCGACATGGGGTGTACTTACGGCTGACAGGTCGAGGCTCTGGGACTGGCGTTGTGAATGGAGCCTGCTGCTGCTCTGTATTTCCAACAATCCCTGTCGTTTCAGGATCATTTGGGGTGATTTGTTCCCGCCCTGCTGCACAAACCTGGGAGAGCACTGACAAGCAGAGTCAGCAACGGCGCAACGCCAGGAACGCGGAGAAAGAGGGGGGTGGCTTACGCAGAGCCGGCAATAGGCAAGAAAACGGCGTCCTCATGATACCAGTGATATGTGAGAGTTATTCAAGAGTAAGAGTCGCATTGCGACTCCTTGATGGATAGGAATCAGAAGGATGTCAGAAAGAGGCAGCGCATGGCGCGGTGATGTAGTTCCAACGGGCCACTTGGCTCGACGGAGCTTCATTTTGCCGAGAGCGAATCACCGGCCTCGAGAGATCCAAGCATAACCACATTCAACCGAACTTCTTTATCGAGAATGTCTTTGTGAATATCGGTTCAACTTTCGTAATCTCCGACAGTAGATCCCGAAATGTCAAAATTTGGCATCTGTACATGTCTTTCTTCTATTTCTCTTTAATTAGGCCTTAGAACTCATGCGGGATCCAACTAGGGGGCGCAACAAGACAAGACTTGCCAGTTCCCACTCATAACATAGATTCCGGCTTCTTGAATTTAAAGGGAATACATTTAAGTCACGATCGTTTACTGGTCAAAAACTTGTCATTAAATCTTTTTATTCAACCCCGTGGAGTCTGTGTACAGAACGGGAGAAAGGCAAACAAAATACACAACCCCCATTGCGCTCTTCATGCAAAAAGAAAAAGGGAGAAAAACCAAATGAGGTAGCCAGAGCACAGCCCCTCATGAGAATTTAAGAGCCTCGTTCTTTCAAAGGGATAAGGACCTTGGGATGAAACCCAAATGTTCCTAGCCCATTAAGAACGCCAGCATCTCGAACTCCTCGAGGTTTCAGGCCCAAAACCACCGGCGAAAAAGGGGGAAATAACAAAGTCGTTCTCAATCTCTGAAACGGCAATGACAGCTGGATCTGGGGCATCTTTGGAAACTGATTGAAAAAAGGATAGAAATGATGAGGGTAGAAAAGCCATTATAAAAGGCTCACGAACGTTGCTAAAACAGATACAATTGAATTGGTGAGTGATCCCCAGATCGTGAAACAGCAAAGATGACCATCCAATTTCGAGATGTCAGCTGCGAAATGATTCTTTTTGTAGTTTATCTGAACGTTTTGATGATAATACAGTGATACAGCACGAACCATGCATAGGCAAGCCATGTCTGTCCTCACTTCACTGACGCGGAGACCTGTTGATTCATGTCAGAGAATGGGTGCATTTCACATCGAGTCCACAAGTATAACTCACGTTGGGCTATAAGCCGGGGAAGTGGGGCTGTAGCTTGGAGATGTAGGCGACGTCGGAGAGCCAGCGAAGTTAGGAGAGGTTGGCGAGTAGGACTGGGGGCTCGTGGGAGAGTAGCCAGGAGAAGTTGGCGTGTACTTGGGAGAGGTTGGGGAGGTGGGAGACAAGTGCCGACCGCCACCGAGCGCAGGGCTGGTGGGACTGTAGCTGGGAGACGTCGGGCTAAAGGCTGGCGAAGCAGGACTAAAGCTGGGCGACGTAGGGCTATAGTTTGGCGAAGTCGGTGAGAACCCAGGCGACGTAGGAGAGTACGACGGGGACGTAGGCGAGGCATGACCATAAGCCGGCGACGTCGGCGAGTAAGCTGGAGACGTTGGGGCAAACGATGGGCTCGAGGGTGAGAAGGCGGGCGACGCTACAAAACGAGGGCTCGTCATACCCATACCAGGAGACGTTGGTGAATAGCTCGATGGAGAGTATCCAGGAGACGCCGGGCTGGTATTGAAGGGGCTGGTTGGGGAATAACCAGGGCTGCGACCCGCTGGGCTGAGTCCGCCAAACCCATCCTGAGGCTGGTACTTGGTGATACCCCCAGGAGATTCCGCGCCGGACTGACGGATCGGAGAGAAGACCGAATTTGGATCGCCATCAACCATGTACGAAGAGCTGGCCATGGGTGAGCCTGTGTCGTACTGGGTTGCAGCACCATCTGGAATAAGCGCATCCCGGTGATCCATTGGACGAAAGCCGTTCGTGTTGGAGACAACAGTGTTAAGCAAGCTCTGATCCAAGTAGACATCAAACTCTCCCGTTCCAGCGGGGGCCATCTGCCCAAGAATCAGATTCTCTGACACGCCGCGACAGTCATCGAGCTCGCCAAAGGCGGCAGCCTCCAGGAGAATCTCGACAGTCTCTTCGAACGAACAACGCATCAGTGCACCGTTGTCAGCACGATTGATACCGTGACGAGTAACGGGGGTCAGGTAGCCGCGGACGGTCATGACATCAACCAGGAGGGCCAAATGACGGTGATTGACATATGAACCATCAAAAGCAAGCACCTGGGTTAATTCGCGGAGCACGGCAGTACGCGCAGCCTCGATACCAAACACTTGGAAAATCTCGATGAACTGGTTGGAATAGGTGCGGGTAGCGTCGACACCAGGAATGGCAAGAACCGGTGCGAGAGAGGAGCCGCTGGTCTCAAGAACCCATTCCTTGCAGAGAGGATCGGACTTGCTTGTGAAGAGAGTGCCGTCTTCAAGGACACGAACCTTGCTCTTCTCGTTAATGAAAGCACGCTCAACACCAGGAACACCGCGCAGAGTCAGTGTATCGAGAAGGTGCTGCTCGAGTTTCTTGAGGGTCACATCGTATTCAACATCGTCGTCGTCGTCGTCATCCTTGTAGTGCTGGATTTGACGGATACGGATAACCTGCTCATCGGCGTTGTTATCACTGAAAATAACAGCAATGTCATTTTTGTAGGCCGCTTTAATCTTGGCCGCAACATCTTGAACAGTAAGACCCTTGTCAAGAAGCTTAGGACGGCTAAGAATGATACGAAGCAACCACTTCGATTGGCTATTGATATCTTCGCCAATATCCTCAGGGATGATGAAGTAAGACTCTACCATATCCCGGTCGTTCTCGATGACAGTCGACTGAATATCTGGATCGTAGTAAATCTCAGTGGCCTCAGTGACGGACCGCAAGCTGGTGTGCTCGACAATGCTTCGCAGCTGCTTGGCGCCCTCCTTGTCATAGGTGCTGGCAGCCTCCTGGTACACAGTCATGGATGGAGTCTTAATGTTGGTGGCCACATTGAGAATTTCCTTGAGACGAGGCACACCCAGAGTAACGTTCTTGGAAGAAACACCAGCAAAGTGGAAGGTGTTCAGGGTCATCTGGGTAGCTGGCTCACCAATGGACTGTGCCGCAAGAACACCAACCATCTCACCGGGGTTAGCTGCTGCTCGAGCGAATCTGCTCTCAATGGCACCGAGAACATGCTGGAATGCAAGCTTGTTAAGTGAGTAGTCTGTAACAAGGCGTCGGAAGGCGAGACGGCTGCGAAGCTGAGCCTTGAACAGGAGGGTTGCATTGTCCTGAGCCTCACGTGAGATCACATCATCGCCACGGACGACGAGCAGGCGATCAAGCAAGGCTTGAACTTGAGGGATGACCTCAGCCGGGTGCAAATCACTGATAGTGCCCTCGCGAATGCGGAAAGTCGTTCGGGCCATTTCCAGGATTCTCTGCACGTTGATAGGGAGTTGCATCATCTCTTCATCCTCCTTGGCAACAGTACGAAGGAAAGCACGAGACTCTAGAAGAGCCTCCCATTCCTCATCGAAGTACTTCTGGACTTCCATATCACCGGCGATCTCATTTGCCTGCTCGAGCACATCAGGGCCCAGGGTACGCTCGGGGTCCATGACATCAACGCGGAAACGCTCACGCATCTTCTCATCGGAGCAGCGAATGATATCGACACGCTGGTTCTCAATGTGCTGGCCATCAAGACCATCTTCTCCGTAAATGAATTGAATAATATCACCCAATGAGTTACGAACAGTGCCGTCGTACTTGACCATTACCTCTTCCAGGGCCTTGACCAGCTTACGCTGGATATAACCAGTTTCAGCAGTCTTGACAGCCGTATCAATCAAACCCTCACGACCAGCCATAGCGTGGAAGAAAAACTCGGTGGGAGTCAGACCACGCAAATACGAGTTCTCGACGAAACCACGGGATTCCGGGGAGTAATCGTCCTTGGTAAAATGGGGCAAAGTGCGGTACTTAAAGCCGAACGGAATACGTTTTCCTTCCACGGATTGTTGGCCGACGACGGCAGTCATCTGAGAAATGTTGATAGTGGAACCCTTGGAACCAGAGCGAGCCATCTGAATAGCGTTGTTCAGATCCTTCAAACTCTTTTCAGTCGCGGCACCAGCCTCATCACGAGCGTTGTTAAGGGCACGAGACACCTTGCTCTCGAAGGTCTCACGGACGTTCATACCAGGAAGTGCCTCCAGAGTGTTCTCAGTGGCGCTGGCAGTGATAGTCTCGACCTCCTTCTTTCGCTCACGAACAGCCTCCTCGATTTTCTGGATCGTATTCTGGTCAGGAATCGTGTCACCAATACCGATACTGAAACCATTGTGCAGAAGCCAATAGTTGACAATTCGCTGAGCACCGTTGAAAAAGCTGACAGCAGTGTCACATCCATACTCATTGAAAATGGTGTGAATCACACCACCACCGCTGGCACCGACTGTCTTTTTCGAAAGCATACCATACAGCAGCTGTCCACCGTGGATAAGTAGCCCACCGTCGTTGAGAGGACTGAACTTCTCAGATAGAGGTGAGCTATCCTTATCGATACGCAGGAGGTTGAGACCAGTGGGGAAAGCCAGACTGATAATCTGCTTACCAGTCCAACGAGGACGAGGCTTCAGAATTGCAGGAGGAGGAATAACACCATCCCAGTTGGGAACCCAGAGCATCATATTCATGACCATGTCTCTGTTGAGAAAGATATCACGACGGCAAATCTTGTAGATACCGCACAGAGTATCCTGCACAATACCCATAAGAGGACCGTTACGCTGAGGCGAAACGATGTTCTTGGGGACAAGAGCAAGCTCAGCCAGTTCAGCGCGGGCTTCCTCGCCCTGCGGAACGTGCAAGTTCATTTCATCACCGTCGAAATCGGCGTTGTAAGGCGTAGTGACTGACAAGTTCAGCCGGAAGGTCGAGAAGGGCATTACGCGGACGCGGTGACCCATCATAGACTCCTTGTGAAGCGAGGGCTGACGGTTGAACAAAATCACATCGCCATTATCAATGTGCCTTTCAACCTTCCAGCCGTACAGCAGTTGCTGGGTACCACCGCGCTTGGCAAGACGGAGATCAACACGCTCCCCAGTATCTCGCACAATGTATCGAGCGCCAGGGTGCACATTGGGACCGTTTGATACCAACCGCTGGAGCTTCTCAATGTTGTACGGAGTTACCACCTCCGGGTAAGTCAAGATCTTAGCAGTCGAAATCGGAACACCGACTTCTTCCAGAGACAGGTTGGGGTCACCTGTGATGACAGTACGAGCCGAGAAGTCCACACGCTTACCCATCAAATTTTGTCGCAGGCGACCTTCCTTACCCTTCAAACGACTGCGAAGAGCCTTGACAGGACGGTTTGACTTCTGCATCGCTTTAGGTTGGCCGGCAATATCGTTATCCATGTACGTAGCGATGTGGTACTGTAGGAGGGACTCGAACTCCCTAATAACGTGTTCTGGTGCACCGTCCTGCTCACAGCGCTGAACGTTCTGGTTTGCGCGCACAATTTCCGCCAGCTTGTAGGTCAGATCGTCCTCTCCACGAGCTCCACTCGTGGCTCCCATCATAACACTGGGACGGACAGTTGGAGGGGGAACTGGAAGGACTGTGAGGATCATCCACTCGGGGCGAGCGTAATCGTTACTAAGACCCATGATGCGAACATCTTCCTGGGAAATATTGCGGAAAATGTTCAAAGCCACCGCCGGAGTGATCACCTTCTTCTCCGGCTGTGCCATCTCATCCTCCATCATGCTCTTGCTAGGCGTCCAGGTACCGACTAGACTGATGCCATCCTTACGCACAGTTGGCTGAGCGTTACCACAACCACCATGGAAGTAGGGCTTCTTGTCTGAGTCCTTCTGATATTCATCATCCTCGGGCGAAGGGTCAGCATCGCAGACACTTTCATCCTTCGAGGCCCTCCAGATAGCGTCAAAGCGTCGTTTCGGGTCTCGGATACGAACGGCGTCCAGGAACTTTGGGTTATCCTAGGTCGAAAATCGGTTAGCAAAAACAATGTCGCTCAAGATTTGCCATCCCATAAGGAATGACTAACCCTGTGGACCTTGATCTTTCCACAGTTGTGGCACACAGTTTCCAGAAGCTTCTTGGTTTTGGTGAGGAAACCTAAGGTGTAAAAGAAACAGTCAGAATCCACTTTAAGTTGCTTTTTTTGAAGAAGTTGGAATAGAGTTTGTACCAATATGGAAGACCGGAGACGCGAGTTCGATGTGACCAAAATGGCCAGGACATTCCTTAGGTCCCTCTTCGCAAGTCTCGCAGTTGTACTGGCGATCAATGGTGCCCAGGCGTGGGTCATTCACACCTTTAGTCCGAGGCCGTTGGCGTTGCTCATCCTGTCGAAAAAAAAAACCAGTCAGAATTCAGACGCGTCTCAAATTTGGGAATATCGGGTCATGGGAGATAAAATAGGCGCATACCATGGTCTCCGGGTACTCCACATGGACGACACTCATGCGCTTGATCTCCTCGGGGGAGAAGAGACCGAACTGGATCTCCTTGATGGTGCGCAGAGGCGCCTTGGAGTAAGGGAAGAAAACGTTGGACATCGTGGCGGTTGTTGCGCGAAGGCTCGACGGGAAACGGAGTCAACGGATAAAGTGGACGTGGCGCGGACCTGGGGAAAACGAAGGTTCTGGGAAGTCGTCAAAGCGCAAAAGCTGGAGAGACAGGCTGACTCGATGGTCGAATGTCAAATTCGCACAAGGCGACGATGAAACGAAGGTGATGTGGAAGCAGCTGGCCGGCTGAGGCCTTTGGCAGCCCTTGCCACGAGGGCGCCGGCGACCTGACGTCCCCGGACTTCACGAAGCCCCGGAAAGGAGAGAAAAGGGAGGCGCGCAGTTGATATTCGCGTGTCGGTGATCTCCTGAAGAGATATCGCGATGCAGAACGCGATATTCTTGGATGGGGAGGTGATGGGGGGAAGCGTGTCGGGGAGGTTGAAAGGAGATGGGTGAAGGTTGCCTCACCCATTGACGGGCCTGAGTTTTCCCTCCGTTCACTAGCGCGCCAGGGGCCAACTATAGTGTACCAGGATATGAGGCGGTCTGAATAGGCAGAATCTACTCTGAGTAGGGTTGTGTGGGATTCAGGCATCAACAAGGTGCATTTTAGATGCACCTCTCACCGCCTGAGATTCCACTCTGTTCGCCGCGAATCCGAGACCGGCAGACGGGCTCAAAAACAATCGCAGCCGTGATCGTTGGGCCCTGTCGAGCTCATCAACGTGTGCACAACATCCACTGTGTGCTGGATGCTTGGCCGCCAGCTTTCCTGGCCTCATTCTAAGGCCCAGGCATCCTATCTCCCCGGATCAAGTCGTATCGCATTCCCACGGCGCCATGAATTTGTCGCTCGTTGACCCGTTCATCCTGGCCCAGGAGTACCCAGAACACTTCACAGAGAAACTCCGTAAGTGAAGACTCAGAATTTGTTTCAGCTACGGCATCATCCTAATTGAGACTTAGAAAGCGGCCATGCAACCTGTCTACGATTTAACCACACGGGCGACTATCTTGCATCTGGACGAGTGTGTGCACCCCCACATTGTCTTCCGTGACCTGCAAAAAGAGGCGCACATGCTGACTGATATGCTATAGGTAGATGGTACCGTGGTGATATTTGACATTGAAACCAACGGCGTGGCACGCAAGCTTCAGGGTCACACCCGACAGATCCAGTCTCTCAGGTATGGCATCGTTCTGCTTCATTCACCTCGCAATCTTTAGGCAATGAGACTGACTGTTCTATATAGTTGGTCTCGAGACGGCAGATACCTCCTCACATCATCTCAAGACTGGAAGTGCATCTTGTGGGACCTGGAAGATGGTTCGCGTGTGCGCACGGTCAGATTTGAGGCACCAGTATACATCGCCGAGCTGCATCCATTCAACCAGTACGACCTCCCTCCCCTCCTACCCCCGGTTCACACCAGCAGGGCTCAGAAAGAAAGAAGAAAAGGGATGAAATCTTATTCTATCTATTGATGTCTATTTGCCTACAGTCTCCTGTTCGTGGCATCCCTCTTCGAAGACCAACCGGTATTAGTCGACGTCTCCTCCCCCAAACCGATCAAGCGTATTCTCCCCTCTGCACCCCTCCGTCCCAAACCCACCAACGGCGTTGAAGTAGACCCTGCTGTCGCGGCCAAACAAGCCGCCCAAGACGCAAAGCACTCGACCTGCGTGACCATCTTCAGCGCCTTCGGCAACCACATCATCGCCGGCACTTCGAAAGGCTGGCTCAATATCATCGAAACCGAAACATGTACAACCATCCACTCGATGCGACTCTGCAACGGCGTGGTCATCTTGATGCGCCTCGCTAGTAACGGTCGCGACCTGCTAGTGAACAGCTCTGACCGCGTTATCCGCACTGTCCTGATGCCGGACCTCTCCCAGCTTGGCAACGAGCTGGAGGCCGCCGCCATTAAACTGCACGTCGAGCACAAATTCCAAGATGTCGTCAACCGCCTCAGCTGGAACCACGTCACGTTCTCGTCGACCGGGGAGTTCGTCACGGCCAGCACCTTCATGAACTCCGACATCTACGTGTGGGAGCGCACTCACGGGTCCCTGGCCAAGATCCTGGAGGACTCACGAGAAGAACTCGGCGTCGTGGAATGGCACCCGTCGCGGCCAATGGTCGTCGCGTGCGGGCTAGAGTCCGGCTGTGTGTACACATGGTCGATAATCAGCCCGCAGAAGTGGTCGGCGCTGGCGCCGGACTTCGGCGAGGTCGAGGAGAACGTTGAGTACGTGGAGCGAGAAGATGAGTTCGACGTGCACCCGGCCGAGCAGGTACACCAGCGCCGGCTCGACTTGGAGGACGAGGAGCCGGATGTGGTCACGCACGACAGCATTCGAGACGACGCCGACACAGCTGGCGCCTTTGGCGTGCCGGTTCTGATGAACATTGAAGATAGCGACAGCGGTGAGGATATTATCGCTGTCGGGCCAGGGACTATGCGGCGCCGCACGCCGGGTGCCGGGACCAACGGCGATGCGGAGAAGGAAAAGGGAGCGAGCAATGGGACGTCGCGTGGCGCGGGACGAGGTCGCAAGAAGTAGAGGTCGCGTGCTTTTCAAATTTCTTCCATTTGACCGCTGTTTTTCGAGTGTCTGCGTTGCAGGCTGTGGGCGGGATATTTTTATTTGCATCGGAGATGGCGTTTCGGGTACAGATTGGGGTGGCGTTTCCTGGGGGAGGTAGGTTTCTTGGTCTCATCACAATGATCAACTATGGCACTGAGGTATCCAGGGTCCTTGTAAGATGGGATCTAAGAGGATTCGGTAGATGAGACCGCAATTTCCGAGGATATGAGCCGGCCTGTTCACATACTAGCATCGTACTAGCATTTGGTTTCATCAAGTTATGCTCATGCTATGTTGCATCCCCGACCCGGCTGAGACGACTACTGCATAGATCTAGTAATTGGATAGTAGTGATATCTTACAATCTATACGATGAAGCCTATGATGTAAAGGGTGATGACTATGCCAAAGAGTATCACATTGACTCGAGTTCCTCCAAGCAAAGATGGCTGGTCACGAACGAAGCTTTAAGGTGCAGAGACCACCTGGGTATATACCACAGCCGAAACATCAAAATGGATAAAAAAAAAGGGGAGAAAAAAGACAGAGAAGGGAAGAGTAGCGGAAGAAAAAGGGGGGTTAAAATCCCAGGTCCAGAAACGCCACATCGATGCTTAACATGCAATAATCAAAGCGGGAAAAGGAGAAAAGCAAGTCATGATCATGGGTCCCATGCAAATGTCCCACGGGGCAAATCAGCGCCACGTATTCAAATCAATCATGAGGCAAAGGCAGGTTAATTCGCCAGCGGCTTGCGCGCCTGGTAAATATGCAAGATGTTATAACAGTGAAGTTCCTTATTGAAGGCTTCTGTCTTGACGTCCGCCGCGATGCGCTTGATCTTTTCCACTGGCCAGGCATGTACACGGCTAAAGGGCGCCAGGCTGAGCGCCTCGACACTCTCGGAGATGGCCAGATTATACCAGCGGGCGACCTTACGCTCGTGTTCATCGTTATGCCACGGGTTGAGAGGCAGGCCCACCATCTGGTGGTCTATCTCGGTGAAGCCAGCTTCTTGAAGATTGCGGATCGTTTCGCGGGAGCTATGGGCGATCGGGCGCATGGTCGATTCGGTGGCATGCTTCAATGCTTGGTACCAGTGACGCAGAGCAAGCCCGCTCAAAGACCGGTCGTCGCACCGCGGTTCAAAATCGATCTCCACTTGCTCGAACCAGGCACCCGGGCGCAAGTGAGAGAAGATGCGCTTATATAGACTGGCCCAACTGGCAACGCTGCCGCTGCCCATCTGCATGTGAATCAGATCCCAAGAATCCTCTCCCATGGCCCATTGGCTCTCAAAGTCGAATGGGGCGTAGAAATCACAGTTTTTTGGGTGGTTTTGTGGTTGGATCGGAGCAAGGTCGACGCCAACGACAAAGGAGTCGGGATATTTGTTGGCGACTTCAATGCTCCAGATTCCGGTGCCGCAGCCGAGGTCTAAGATTCGGGAGTTGCTGGGATGTGGTGCATAGATCAGACCATCCGATACACGGGCCACGGTGAAGAGTTTGTGGAAGATATCGAGGCGGTCCTGTTCCTCCTCGTCGCAGGGCATCATGTAGATGCCTTTCCGGTAGCCGTGGTACATTCGACCATTCTCTTTATAGCTGGGGTATTTTTCGGGGATTCTGTGCTCAATCAATCATGGTTAGTCGATGTAACATTGGACCCCTCGCCTCTCATGCAGCGTCAAAGAGAGAGATGATACAATGGCCTAGGGAGAGGGGTTAGGGAAAAGGGAAATAGTTGGAGCTTCATACTTTCGATTTGATATGATGACAGGTGGAGAGGAGCGAGAGGCGTGTGAGACTTGGGATGAATGCGACGCGACCGAGCCATTGCTTGTAAAGCGCCCTACCCTTCGATCTCTCTCGGAGGGGTCTCGATCTGTAATCACATAGATGTCCATCGCGGTGGAGGTCTGTCGTGGGCGGGGGCGTTCGCTGGGGCGCTCACTGGGAGCAACGGATTGGGAGTGGTACCGATCGCTCGAGGCCACCGACTGGGAGTGGTAATATCGTGGACGGCCTGCATCGCTAGCCGTTGTGGACTCTGACTTGTATCGTTTGGGTGGAGGAGGGGAGGAAGCCATTGGGGGCAACCGCGAGCGCCCCGACTGCTCGTCGGTAAGCATGATGGCGGACGAAGTCGAAGATATTCAGGCGCGCGCGAAGCTTGAGGGGAAGGCGACGAAGGAATGGTGAGAAACAAGAATAGGGACCGATGGAATGAAGGCCAATCCCGAATCTATGACTTTGATCGAGGACCCCAAGAGGCGAGCCAACGGAACGGAAGAGCTAGCTGCGATCAATGAGTGCCTAGCATGGAGGTCCTCCCAGAAGTATGGGCCAAGCTTTCCCAGCCACCAACCGCGAAACCGACAAACGAGTGTCCAGCGCGGTTATGCAGGTCGCAGAGATCGCAGAGATACCACGCAAGGGTGGGATTTCGCACAAGTGTGAAATGCTCCGAAAAAGGCGAAAGCAGGCAAGCGGACCAGGCGACCCGAGGCGACTTTTGGGGGAGGGGGGTGGGAGTGGACGAAGCAGGGCGCACGGGTCAACAATCCACAATTGAGGCCTTCAACAATTCCAAATCTCTCGAATCCACCGGATGAGTCAGGAGAGGGATGCCCGTCACCACTCAATGACACCAATCCTGAGCATCCCAAGGATGGTGTGAATGAGAGAGGGAGAGCAGCAGCGAGAACCACGGGAGACGGCGCGCGACCCCAAGGTTTTTAAGGTTGTGTGCTCCGTAGCCGCTGTCTGGTTCCCGTCGGGGGCCCACGGGCGGGGAAGATTGACGGTGGAAGGGCGGGTAAAGCAGCCACAAAAGAGTGCAGGTGAGAGACGCGAATCAGAAGGACGAGGAAGAAAAACAGGAACAGGAAAGAGGAAAGAGGGAGAGGAGGGGAGGAGGGAAGGAGAGGACCAGAAGGGCAGAAGGGAAGGTCGAGAGAAGGATGAGAGAGACGATGGAGCAGCAGCACTAACGGACATGATTAGTCGTCTGTAAATCCCAGAATTTCATTTTAGGGGCCAAAATCGAGCGCTCGACCTTGTACTCGACACGTCGATTCTCGCGCGCTTGGGCACTCACCGGGGCGATTTCCCCTGCAGCCTTCGAGGGAGCCGTACACAAGTCTATCGATATGGAATATGGATCTAAAAAGAATATCCGGGCATGGGAGGTTGACGGGTTGGTGAGTTCATGGGTTTATGGCCATGAATGCGGAGTCTGGTCAATCCCATCGGCTCCTGAATCAGGGTGGTCCAAGCCTAAGCCACGGAATGGATGAAGTCAATCCCCCATCCTTCATAGAGACTAGCTCTTCCGATGCTTTTTGCTGGGCCCCAGTGTTTCTACTACAAAACTCAGTGTACCCGACAGATCCAGAGCCCCGGGTCCAACAAGGAATCATTCTCCCTTCAGGTCAGCCTAGAAGGGGGGCAGGGAGAGCCGGGGGTCGCAGGGGGGTGGGCTGGTGGGCATGGATGGTACTCGTTACCCTCCAGAGGGGAGGGGATTGTATGGACGAACAATGTCACAGTGTCTTTTGTCCATCTGCACCAGCGTGCTGGGCCAGGGAAGCTAGCCGGTTGGTGTCGGAGATGTCCAGCATTTGGGGATCTGGGTCGTGTTGGTCTAGCCAATTCAGTGTCGACGACCCATGTCCAACTGACCCTCCCTGGGCCATGGCGCTCTGCCCTCTCGGGTTCTAAGTGGCTCCGTGCTGCACGTCTCCTTCCCATTCGGGACCACTCGCAAGCTTGGGGATCGACACGACTTGCACCGGGCGGGAACGCGGTCCGTCGGGGGCATACAAATGGCTCTTCCTACCAGAACTCCGTCCTCGTTGCTGGGGCTCTCCTAGCGACGACTGAAACGGGAAAGGACGGGGGGAGGTTTGGGTTTGCCGGAGCGATCGGCTCAGGCGCTCCAGCGCGATCTGCGACAAGCTGGATCGCCTTCCCACTTCCCAATCATCTTCCACTTTTAGGGGCGGGTGTTCAAGGATGGGGATTGGTTGGGCTGGGCAGGGCCAGTGGGACCCCATGCTTAGCGGAGAATGTATCTGTACACATGTCGTGTACTCCGTCCAACAGTCTGAGGGAGGTTCGGAGGGTACACGATCTAGCGTCTCCCATCGTCATCTCGCTCGGTCGCGTCAATTGCCCGGGTTGGCCTCCGAGGTGAGAGGCGTTGATCACCACTATAATTCCAGCCTCCTCTTCACTCGGGGTCCCGGAGTCCAGCTTTCCATGATTCCCTGCATCAAGTCCATACAGGATCTAATTGCTGGCCTGGGACTGAGGAGGGGGAGTAAGTTGATACATTCCACGGCACACAGGCCGACGTAGGTACCTGCACCCGTTCTCGGTGCGGGTTGGACGGCCAAGTAGTCCGGGCTTTGCTGTGGGCCGGGTTTCCAGAGACCTGGTAAAGGGAGGCGCACTGGCTGACCGCCAGTGCAGCACAAGACCTCCATCTGTGCGGTGGGCAGGGTTGTTGGGAGCGACCCAAGGCCGTGGATACCGGCAAAGTTGGGCTGGGTGTGCAGGGTACAGGGCGCAGGGTGGTGCAGGAGTGGACCAGAGAGCGGGGAGTCCCATCGAATCAAGAGGGAGAATCTCAGAACTGTTCAGGTGGTAGTGAAGGAAGGGAAGAAGGTTGGCAAGTGGGACAAAGAATGAGCCGATGATGATGCCCATATTTTCTTCTACTGGCGACGTCCTGAGAAGACAAAGAAACATTTTAGGTTTGTCCTGCACGAAATCCATCGCCTGCAGCACAGGTTCCCTCCAGCCTCACGCCCATGGGTCGCTGACACGCCTCGAATGGTCTGGTTTCGGCTGCTCACTTGCTAGTTAGTCAAGTATTATTTCCTTGACTTCTTGTTCCCTTTCTGTTGTTCCCCCTACTCTGTCCTCTTCCCTCTGTACATAATGCAGATGACGTAATGCAGATGAAACATAGCGATCAACAGTTTTGTTAAAAAGAAAAGAAAAGGCTCGATTCTCAAGATAAACGTACCTAGATCACCATGATGGACATCAAATATATCTAGTCAGCCTATGGCATAACGGGCATAGCTTACTATATAGTCCACGAATGCAGTTCTTCTACTCCACACTGAGCAGAACCTAAGAAGAAAAATAATCAACCAGTGGGTGCAGCCCATCCTTGGCTAGCTGTTTCATTGTCCTGTCAGCACGGCTGGGGTATTGTTGGGTTTGCGATGTCCTGGACCCGATCGGCATTTGATTACTTTATCTTCTGTTGGAAATATAGAGTGTAGATTGTCATTCGGGTGTCATGGATGTCGGGAATCAATCTTTTGGGTCGTTGTGATCCATGCATGAATCTTCATTGTCATAGATCAAGGGTTGATATATATTTCTGCACATGGACCCCACATCCTGTACCATCATTCCCCAAGACATACAATCACTCCTTGTGGGAAGGCAAAAACACAACTTTAAGTTTTGTTGTTATTTCGAGCCAACCTGAAAAGATAATATTCTATTTCAGAGCTCAATAACAGACCGAGAAACAACAATCATACCCACAGTGAGGAAATCGATGTATAGTTTCCCGTTCGGGTGGCCCTACGTCCCGAAAGGGAAATTTTCCTTGGCTCCGAACCTCCACTGTATACGGATTCTGCATAAGAGTTGGAGACCACCATAACAACACACCTCCAGCAATCCAATCCAAAAAATAATATAAAGACGCAGATCAACTGCATCAGTCTCACCCTGCTGCTGGCTGTGACTCTTACAGACAATTGTTTTTGCTGGGACCTGCGTCCCCGCCATTCACTGGAGGTGATCCATCAATCCTACCTGATCGATTCATCAAGTGATTGAGAGCCCACGAACCTGCGAAGGAACACAATTCCAAACACATTAGAAAGAATCACAGTGTGTTTGAGGCCCGCGTATCATCAAGGTCAGTATGCACACACTCAAAGCGACCGCGGCCTCGTCGCTGTCCCTGCCGGCGGATAATTACATCTACACACTTGCTGCTTCGGCGCCAGGCAGCTTTGCTGCAATTTCCTCGGATGATTCGCTGCGTGTGTTTGACGCATCGAGTCTGGACCGCGTCTCTGTGGTCGCCCATAAGACCCACGATGCCGGCGTCACGGCGCTCCGCACCTACGCGGCGGGAGAGTCCCAGCTTCTGGTCACTGGAGGCCGGGAAGGAAAAATAAAGCTGTGGGACGCACGGGCGGCAAAAGCCGTAGTAGAGATGGAGACGTGTGAGTGTGACCTAATCTATTCTTTTTTTTTTCTTTTCTTTTCTTGCTTCCAATCTACTTCTGTTCCGCGTGATGGCAGTGATTCGTCCGTCAAGGTCGTATATTCTGATACTGCCAGGTGGGCGGATGCGCGGCCAAGCCAGAGGAGCCAGCTGCATGTCCGGGGTACCTGAGGTTGATCGCTTCGGAGAATTTTCTAAGTTGCGGCGCAGGGATGGCCTGGTCTTGATTTACTCTGTTTCTGTTCCACCCCGGCCTCATTTGTCACTGATACATGGAATCTTTTAGCAAGAAACGCCCCAGTACTCTCGGTGGCCTGTTGCCCTGAGACCCAGACTATCGTTGCGGGCACCGAGCTCGTCTCCTCGCAAGCCGTGGTTGCATTCTGGTAGGTCCCCTCTTTCGAGGATCCTGAAAGCGATGGCTGGACACTCATGCGTATACCGCCAATCCTGTTCATTCGAGAAAGCGAGCCATGAACCTTCCAGCAACTGACTGTTCCTGGACAGGGATATCAGATCGCCACAGGCACCACGCCTCCAATACGTGGAGAGCCACAACGATGATATCACTGAGGTAAGTAAGATCCTGTGAACCGCAGGCCCGGCATTTAGCAAAAGGGCCACCAGACCCCGAATACACCAGTCATCCAATGATACAGCTGGTTGAGAAAGATTAATCTGACATTCGCACCACGCCGGCTGGTGGTACACAGCTCCAATATCACCCGAGCCGCAGCAATATCTTACTATCCGGCAGCACGGACGGACTGGTCAACGTCTACGACACCACTGTGGTAGACGAGGACGAGGCCCTTGTGCAGGTTATCAACCACGGCTCGGTCCACCACGCCGGATTCCTCTCCGAGCGAACGATCTACGCTCTCAGCCACGACGAGCATTTCTCCGTGCATCCGGCCACTGACCCAGACGACCCCGCCCAAGATCCCGAGCCCGTGCATTTTGACGACGTCCGCGACCCGCTGGGCTGCGAGTACGTCGTTCAGATGTGCGTTGGCAGTCAGGGGCCCTACATCGCAGCCGGGAATAAGATGTACGTGTAGCCTCCCCGATAGGACAGGCTCTCACCCCGACATCTGTCTTGCATTTGGTGTAATACTGACATTCTCGTGTCTTTTGTCGCAAAAACAGTGACCAACGTCTCGATCTGGTCCCGCTTGTTGCCAGCCCGACGTGGCAATTTGACAAGGAGAATCTTTGGCGTCTGCCCGGAGCTCATGGTGAGGAGGTGGTACGAGCAGTGTACTTGGATGAGCAGGTATTTTTATAGACTCCTTATATTTCTGATATCTGTTTATCTGATTGACTAATTACGCTACTTTTCTGTTCCAGAGCCATTCGGTCTTTACCTGCGGCGAGGATGGATTTGTGCGGGCGTGGAAGCCTGCAGAAGAGGACTGGGAATCTCAGACTCAGACTGGATCTGCGAAGGCCTCTCGGCCGAAGGAGAAGAAGCAGAAAGACCGTTTCAAGCCGTACTAGACGCTCCGGGTGGTCACAGTGTCTGCTTGCAGTGGTCGTCTGTTGTGTACCATTGGGAGTTAGGGCGGTAAGTAAAAATAGATAGCAAAGTGATATTTTTGTGTCTAATTTGGGTTGGTCTTGCCCAATCTTCGTTTCTCGTATGGATCTAAACCGAATGATGACGCAAGGTCCCAAATATAATTGTCTATCTGTGGTGTTTTCCTCGAGTGTTATGGGCGAATAACAGATTTTGAGTTTAAAACCACACCCGAGCAGCCGATGACATTATGAGAAGCTCTTGCCAATATTGAAAGATCAAACCGCATACCGAGAAGCTATCTGATAGATCAGTTGCTCGCCATGGCATAACAAACCAAAAAAATCAAGTACAAGAATTATCGAATAAATTTTTCAAGATACATTGGCATAGTACAACATCCATCCACGTGACCCCATATATGGAAATTATTTAGAGCCTCAATAATAAGGCATTAACTCTTATCGCCCAGGAACCATTTTTTTCTTCAGTCTTATCCGCTGAATGGACTTTTTCCCTCCTCTCACCCAAAGGGATCGCGTTCCCTCAACCTACCTTCCTCCAATCAGCATTATACTCGCAAAGAATTTGAGGTCAAATGATATAAAGCCTCATACACGCCAATACTGACCTAACCCGCCTTTGCGCCCGGCATCTTTGGTCCGATTCCGCCCATCCTATACCCTCCGGTCTATTTTATTGCAAGACACAAACACCATCCCTCCCTCAACTGCCACCTCATGGACGCCCAAGCCTATCTTATCCGGCATGGCTGGACTGGTCCCGGCAATCCTCTCAACCCAAACCAGCGCCCGGGCCCACACGGCGGCCTCGGCCTGACCAAGCCCATCCTCGTCGCGCGCAAGCAGAATAACCACGGCGTAGGCAAGAAGACCACCAAGGACCCGACCAATCAATGGTGGCTGCGTGGCTTTGAAGATGCACTCAAGGGCGTCGGCGATGACAGTCACGAGGCGCAGTCTGCGCGCTCGGGCAACGCCTTGACGAGCGAACTTTATCGATTCTTCGTACGCGGCGAGAGCCTTGCGGGTACAATACTGGAGAAAAAGAAGAAGGAGGAGGAGGCTGTCAAGGAGAAAGAGAGCTCCAAGTCCAAGTCGAAGTCCAAGCGGAAGCGTGATACGGAAGATGAAGATGAGCGCCGCGCGCGGAAGGAAGAGAAGGCTGCAAGGAAAGAGGAGAAGCGGAAGCGGCGCAAGCTTAGGGAGGACGATGATGTCGTCGAGCCTGTGTCTGTGTCTTCCAGCGAGACTTCGGGCTCAGAGAAGCGGAAAGAAAGTAAGGAAGAGCGTCGGGCTAGACGGTTGGAGAAGAAGAAACAAAAGGAGAGCCGCAAGTCGGACGGTACAGTCAAGGAGCCGGGCAAGAAGTCGAAGAAGTCTAAACGCTCTTCAAGTGAAGATGACTACCCCACCCCAATGTCGATTGACGGAGAGGAGGACCAAGGACAAAAAGACAAGACCGAATTAGACGGTTCATCAGTGCAATTGAAGGTGAAGAAGGAGGAACCGCAGGCCAAGAAGTCTAAGTCGACGAAGAAAGAGAGTGAGGCTACCGAAATATCCGAGCCTAAAAAGAAATCTAAGAAGGAGAAAAAGGAAAAGAAATCAGCTTGATTAATGACGCCTATTCTTTGGAAAAGAAGCAGTGCATTTTTCGGGATTTGTTGCATAGGCCCTCTTAGGGCTGAGTATATAGGCTTTTCGCATACGCCATTGATTCTCGCGATCAAGATACCCCTTTCGTTTGGCGAGGACGATATTTCAAAAGGCATTTGTCATTTCTATCTCATCGGTTTTATTCCGTTTCTCATCCGTCTTCGGTTCTTCTCCGACCGATTGCATATATCAGCTTTGTAAAGGTAGCTTTCCTGGCTTTCCAGACAGGATCCACGGCCGCCGCTCCCAGAAATCATCTTTGATGATATCGACGTGATCAACCACGACCTGTGCCTTGCGCCGCAATTTCTTGAGCTTGTCTTGCTGTGACCTGGACTGTTTGGCGCCGAGCATCGAATCATCATGGTCCTCAGGAGATGCCTGTGTCGCCTTGGATTCTTCAAGTTCATACTGGGGTTTCGATAACTTAGGATAAATAAATTGACCAAGAAGGGAAGCGAGTCTTACCTGGCGATAAAGTACACTTCCCTTCTTATAAATCTCTTCTTCGTTATTGTAGTTGATCCCAAATCGTTTGAAGAGGATCTCGTTTTTATCGGCGGATACGGTGCCCTAGTAGGAGGTCAGTAATTATGTATGTACCAAAATCTATGATTTTTTGGTGAGGGGTCGATTCGGTGTGAGGTGTATCTGCTTACCTTTAACTCTTGCTCTGCATCTGTGTTGGACATTCCGCCCTGCAAGACCATTGTCCAAAAGGTCGTATTGTAGAGATTGTTAATATGACCTAGAGATAGATTACTGAGTCACAAATTTAAGATCTCAAATATCCTAAGACTGAAATTATGACTTACAATCGACCTGTCGCCAGCTCATGTAATCCCGCAGAATCCGCGAGGATGGGTAGAGAACCGCGCGTCCATCGAAAGAAGGCAAATACGGTGATTCGAGAGGCTTGGTTGGGAAATGTTTTCCCCACTGAAGAATATAGTGTGCTGTGAATGTCGACACAATGGTAGTGACGAGTTTTCTAGACCGTAAGTCTCCATTAATAGCCCGCCTTTGCAAGAACGACTCATCAACGAAGACTGTACTTACGCACTCCGTCGCTCAAAGAGCTGGCAGCTAGGGTGAAAAACGAAACTGAAGAGACCTTTATCAGAGATAATTCAGGCATTTTCCCAGGAGAGAAAGCATACCTGTACTCGTCACTGACGCCATAGGCAATGCATAAATCCGGCAGCTCTTTCATTACCTCGACCGCGGCTGCATTCATCAGGTCGAGTGCCGCGCGGTCATTGGGCTTCACAAAGGCATAGTGATCCGAGAGCCTAGATGATCCAGTCAGATATAAGGTATCTGTAAGAGATGGATGAGGGAAAGCTTGCTTGTGAAATCCTCTTCCGTCGATGCGGACCACAATCCACGTATTGGGAAGCAGTGTGTCTGGCTGCTCGAAGTCCTTGACGTACTCATATCTGATGATCGTTAGTGACTAGCTTTCACCCGATTGATATATAGAAATTTCTACTTGGAGTTCGCCATTTTTTGCTCGGCCCAGAAGACTCGGAGGATGTAATGGTGTGGATTCGCGGTGGCAGAGTCATCCATATTTTGTGCGTCGTCGATAGCTACCCGCCCACCGCAGTGGAATGCCCAATTGCACCCGCCGCATTTTCTACGATCAAGAGCCCTTCTAGAGGTGTGCAATGAGCTGCAGAACACAAAGGCCCAAATAATACGTCTTAAATAATTACAGAACCTCAGAGAGTTCAATCGATCTGAAGAAAGGTATGTACCATATTTGAATTTCACAAAGAAACGGTCGCTACTCCGAGAATCTAATGCCAACCAACCGAAGCCGTTGAGGTGTATGTAACTCCGCCATCGTAAGAGAAGAAAAATAAAATGAAGAAATAAGATAAGTTGGAGAGGTACGCCTCAGGGTTCAGCGATCTCGGGAATAGAAATTTCCTCATCGCCAGTTTCACTAGCCCGCTCACTCGTCTCGCTCGCCTTGTCGGACTTCCGCGACTTGCGAGAGAAAAACCCTAGGCTACTCCGGGTGGAGCGATCACCAGATGGCGCACTGGAGACGGTGCTGTCCACACTCTTCCCCAGCTGAGCTTCACTAGCGGCATCCTCATCAATGTCACCTTGCGAGGAGTCGCCCTTCTTGGAGAAAAGACCAGAACGGTCTTTCCAGGAACTGAATTTGCTGGAGCTGCCTTTCCGAGTGATCTTGCGGATGAAAGATTCTTTGGACGCATTTTCCACCGATGTGCCAGATGGCATGCGTTCTAGGGATTCATAGGAGTCACCAGTGAAATGGGACAATGAGCGCGAGTCGCGGGAGGTACGAGGCTCGGATGGAGATCCATCGTACATATGAAGATCGTAGGGAACGTCAGAATCCTTGTCCTTGTCCTTTCCTTTCTCTGATTTCTTGCCAGTGAAGATAGCGCGAAACGTAGGCGCGGCGGGATTCAGCTTCGGAGTGATCGGCCTGTGAGATGACGACGGCCGAGTGCCAATCGGTGCCTGGAGCGGTCGAAGCTGGCGGTCGTATGAATCCTCCACGAAATCAGGCTCACCTGTAAGTCCAAGGGGGAGATGGCCAGACGACCCGTATTGAATGGAAGGGCGACGGGATGGGGCTCTGGACCATGTCGAAGGCGAAGCCCAATCTAAACCGAGGGGGCTATTGCGGTGTGCTATTTCTGCCGATGGCCACCCAAAATGACGGTTGTCCGTAGAGGGATGAGGAAGCTGGTTTTGATTGTCAAAGGAGAAGGTCGATGAAGGACGAGGAGAAAGAGAGCCACGACGAACATTTCCAAGCAGGGATGATGGATCAATGGGATCATGCCGGGGACTGAATTGGTTGTACCCAGTGCTCAGGTCAGAGGCTCCACGATTGCCAGCGCTACCAAAACCGAATTTACTAGATGAGAATATACTGGTGAACGCAGCCCGTCGGGACGGGGCATGGTCTGAAGAGCTATCAGTGGTCACTCCTGCGGTGTTGCTTCGTGGGAATAAGGACATCGGATTGGCCCAATTGCCCGTATAGCTCAATCGGCGACGGCGCGAGCCTATTGGGTCAATCTCATCAACGTTCCTTGGGAATGATTGACTTTGTCCTGGCTTTAGGCTGCCCAGCATAGGCGGCTCATCGGCCAACGTCTTCCCACGAGGTCGATGAAATCCAAAAAGGCCAGAGAGCCTCCTAGACGCACTTTTCGAGGCTTCTCCAGCCTCAGACAATCCCACCGGCTGCGAATCGGAGCCCTGTCGCGTGTGCGATTCGAGTGGACTGGCAAAGATACTTCCAGGCCTACTTCCAGAGGAAACAGGAGATGCCGGTCCAACGACAAAACTATCCAAGGGATTGCTAGGTGTATCCATAGTGGCAAATCGTGGACGCGTCAGCGGTCGAGGGAATTCAGGTGATTCTTCATCACCTAGAAGATCCGATGGAAGCAAAGCATCTGCACGAGGGCTCATTTGTGGGTTATTGAATGCGCTTTCCATGTCGGATCGCATTATCTCAGGAGGATCAGATAGGCCAGGGAGGGTCATTCCGTTACTGATATTGAAGAAGGAAGAGCTTGGAGGGAAGGTAGGCGAATTGGTCGAAGGGGGATTGTAATTGAGGCTCGTAGGGAATGTTGTTTCAATTCCAGGGAAGTTGACAGGCGAGGAGACATTGCTGGCCAAAGAGCTGCGGTGACGACGAGGCCGGATCGTAGCATTGTTCGACAAGTCCAGATCCAAGGCAGGCAATGAAAAAAGACCCGAGCTTCCAGGTCGCTGGTTGGTAAGCCATTTCAGCCGCTCCTGAGCTTCTTGATATTGCTGCTGCGCCTGAGCGTGAAGGTTAACGAGAGTGGCATATCGACCGTGCAACTGGTTTAACTTGAGCTCCCATTGACGAGCACGCTCATTATCGATCCGATCCAGCTCCTTGCCGTCCTCACTCTCTCCATCTTGAAGCCCCTTTCTCTCATCCTCAAGCTTCTTGATTCGTCCTCCCTTGTCTTGAATCTCATCATCGATAGTTTTCATCTCCGCTTGCTCCCTCGCAATTTTCTCACGAACTTCGTCAGCTCGTTTCTTGCCCTCTTCCTCCAAGCGAGCCTTGTCTTCCTTTGCCTGTGCGGCATCAGAAGTCATGCGATTGATCTTCTCTTGCCAGCGCAAAATATCATTCTTGCGCTTTTTGCGCTCCGCTTCTTTTTGTTGAAGCAACCTCATACGCTTTGTCTTCTCGCTCTGCACAGTGCGATTGACACTTTCAAGCTTTGAGACATGTTTTTTGAGATCACCACTGACTTCATCCTTTTCTCTCACGCGCTTTTTGAGTTCATCGCGCTGTTTCTCGAGATCCTTGAGTAGCGCAATATGTTCATCTTCTTCCTCCACGCCTTGCTTTTCCATACTGTCATTTTCTTGTTGCAAGTTTTTTAAACGATCCGCCAATTGCTCTAACGTCCCATCCCGATCACTCTTTGGGCCTTTGTGCGATTCGTCAGAATGACCATGCGCAAAATCCATATTCCCTGTGGCAGGAGACAGTTTGCGTCCCGCCGAAGGTCGTTTGCCTGGCATCTGACCGGCGCTGTGTTCGCGCGACATGACAGGTGCAGATGGAGTTGGCAAGCCAGCAGTAGATCTGGGAATGGATGCTCGAATCGTTGGGCCACCAGTGATAGCATCTTGTTGGGCTCGGGATAGCGAAAGAGATTTTGTTCGAACATGGAGGATCGCGCTGGGTGTCTGGAAGTTTGCTGCGCTGACGGAAAGAACGCAAATATGGTAAATGCTTCCTGGTACAAGGTTCAAAATTTCGACTGCGGTTTCTGCACGTTTTGATTCGCCAACTGCGATATAGACCTGATAAGCATCCTGTCCTGTATGCCGTGTGAACCGGAAATCCTGGGAGAGCTCTTACCTTTCACATTATTCACTTGAATTATATGCTTATGTATGGAATTGTGGAAGTCTGGCTGCTTCCAAGCCAGGCGGATCTCACGAGCTGTGATCTCTTCGAGGGTCACCTCAGGTGGTGGTGGAATGTCGAGACCCAACTTCTCCACGAGAACATCATTGGGGGTCTGACAGACCTGCCATGCACGATATAGAAGCCTATATAGCGAAGCAATGTTAGTCAGGAAATGAGCCCAGATATATCAAGAGGACTCACCAGATCAAGGCCCATAGGATTGAGACCGCCAGGAAAAGAGCCATGACCCCTCGCACTCTCACTCGCGGGATGACGGTCGGGTAGGCGTCGAAGGCGAGATAGAGTGGCTCATACATCCCAGCGTCGGTTACCCATGGACGCGGGCAGCGAGGACGAGGGAGGAATGGTGAAAAGGGTCGGTAGCAATCGCGGTCTTGATCGGCTTCTCCATTTCGGTGGGACATGTCACATGACTATATTAGTCAGGATATACCTGATTAGGATTAGCTCCATCACAGTTGAAGGATCGGCCGCTAGACAAAATAAGGACTAGTACGTTCCGATTGGTGACCTCGGCATGATGTTGGCCACGCTTACCTAATAAACGTTGGGCGTTGAATATGTTGATCAAGGCCAACAGATCCGGGGAGGCCGGCGACTCGGTGGGATTATTATTTTGGGGTAGATTTATCATTGAAACCCGTCATTCCAGCCATCACATTTGGTTATCAGTCCCTAGCCGGCATTTTGTGGCGGTGGTGATACAGCTTGCGCCCTGTCTCAGCTGAGTGTCACATGGGCCGGTGGGCGGCCGCGATTCCTCCAAGTTCCGATCCTCTCCCAACCTTCTTGCTTTCCCCCTCCTTCGGATCGACTCCTTGTTGACGTTCACACGGTTGCGTTCTTTCTGGGGTTGATTTCTCCTACAGAGCCGTCGCTACGGTCGCTTGGTCCTTCTCAGCGACATGCAGTACGTTCGAAGCATCAGCGGCTCTGTCTCCAAGACATGGAACTCGATCAATCCTGCGACACTAAGCGGGGCTATCGATGTGATCGTCATCGAGCAACAAGATGGTATGCTTGTTTCTATTGCCTACGGCCTTGTCTACAAACAGATTAATTAAAATTGATTTGCCATTTTTGTAGGCACTCTTGCTTGCTCGCCCTTCCATGTCCGATTCGGCAAGTTCTCGCTCTTGCGCCCGTACGAGAAGAAGGTCGAATTTCACGTCAATGGGATAAAACAAGACTATGCGATGAAGCTTGGGGAGGGAGGTGAAGCCTTTTTCGTTTTTGAAACGACCGACGACATCCCTGCATCCTTACAGACCTCCCCGTTGGTTTCTCCAGCAAGCAGTCCGAAGGTTCCCGATGGAGATGATATTGCATCATCGCTTCAGGAACCGGAGTATTTGGACCTCGACAAATCTAATGGTGATGCTCTGTCGGAGGGCGCGAAAACCCCACCGGCAATGCCGGTATCGCGGCAGACCCGGGCAACTACCGATTTAGGTATGATAGACCTGTTCACGCTTCTTCAAGAATACATCCTCATGGACAAACTTTAGGCGCGATGACTCCTCTGTCCCGATCTCCCGCAGAATCAGACCTGAGTCCCTCCCACCTTTCCAAGCCGTCCCTCGACCACTCGATGTCTGAGAATATTCTTTCAACCAGCATTCCTCTATCCGACGATGGAAAGCGATCTTCCGTCGGTGGCCCAGCATCAGCGCACGAAGATGACCCGGAACGGATGAGACGGTCCCGAAGCCCCCCACATGTGTCCCCCCAAGAAGCCATGTCCCGGGCCGTGTCCCTGTCCAAGAAGCTGTCTGGGTCGAACATTCCGTCACATGTCACCGACACCGGAGATCTTATGTTGGATATGACCGGATATAAAAGCAATGACGAAGATCTGATTCGTGCTGAGGTTCTGGCTCGCAAGATCCTGGCAGAAGAGTTAGAAGGAAGCTATGATATCGGTGCCTTGATCGGAGCTGATGAGCATGGCAACTTGTGGATTTACAGCAGCGAGGAGGCCAAGGAAGCTGCTGATCGCAGAGCGACCATCAACTCTATGCGCCCCAATACGGCACTGAGCGAGGATGCCATTTCAGATCCTGGGTATCATAGTGAAGGTGACCATCCGACTCTGGAGCCCTCGATTGGTGTGCGGCACCATCGTACCAAATCGGACGTTCAACCAGGTTTTCCCACCCCACCTCAGTCACCCATACAGGATTCCTTTGCTGTTGAGACCCGCAACTATGCAAAGACACTACGATTGACCAGTGATCAACTCAAAGCCCTGCAGCTAAAGCCAGGCCCAAATACCATGGCTTTCAGTGTCAACAAGGCAATATGCACTGCCAACATGTACCTGTGGAATGGAAACACCCCTATAGTGATTTCTGACATTGATGGAACGATCACAAAGTACGCAATTTATCGCAATGTTGATATGTTTCAAGATTTCTCGATACTGACAGGGATTTTAGGTCTGATGCCCTGGGCCATGTATTAAACATGATTGGTCGTGACTGGACCCATGCCGGGGTTGCCAAGTTGTACACTGATATTGTCAACAACGGATACAATATTATGTACCTCACAAGTCGATCTGTTGGTCAATCGGATACCACTCGAGCATACCTCTACGGCGTCTGCCAAGACGGATATCGCCTACCAAAGGGCCCCGTGATCTGTAGCCCCGATCGGACGATGGCTGCACTGAGGCGAGAGATCTATCTTCGGAAGCCCGAGGTATTCAAAATGGCATGTCTCCGAGATATTCTCGGATTATTCTTTGGGAAAGAAAACCCGTTTTATGCAGGCTTTGGAAATCGATTGACCGACGCGCTGAGCTATCGATCTGTCAACATCCCCTCAACGCGAATTTTCACTATCAACTCGAATGCTGAGGTATCTCTCGACTTGCTCAGTCTCAATAAATACAAAAGCAGCTATGTAACTATGCAGGAGTTGCTGGATCACTTTTTTCCGCCTGTCAGTCTCTTGGTTCAATCTGGGGGCGAAGAGTATACAGATTTCACATACTGGCGAGATACGCCGCAAGACTTGGATGATTTTTCAGCTACTGATAGCGAAGATGAAGATGAGGATGAGCCCGAGGAAGACGAGATCCTCGATGAAGACGAAGATGCTGATGAGGAAGACTACGATGACGAGCTGAGTGATGGCGAAGGTAGCGAATATCTTGACGACAACATCCCGGATGAAGAAGCGGAGGAAGGCACCGATATGGGTGCAAGTTACATATCACAGGCCTCCGTTGCCATGTCCGACCCTGCTGGGTCAATTGTGGAGTCTATTGAGGGTGATCAAAACCTCGAGGCTGTCCAAGGTTCTCACGAAGAGGACGAAGACTCGTTACCCGAGCTGGTGAAGCCGCTGCACTCGATGTCCCTCCCCTTGCGCCCGAAACCGGCGCGTGAAGCATGAACATACGCCCATTGCGATTGCTACAATTCACATCTGACGATAGAGGCGCGATTTGGTTTTCTGCCACCCCCATACCCATTCAGCGCTTCTTTTTTTGATCTCGAACTTGCATTAACATTGTCGCCCCTTGGCAATGAGATACCCTGTTCAACACATCTTTTGCATGCAGACTCGGAGTTAAAGCCTGCTAGATCAGTCTTTCGTGACTGACGCATTATTTCTTTGATTTTCCACATCGCATCCGTGGCGTTTGAAACCAGTGTTCTAGACCCTCTTCACACTAAATAATCAATGCAATGCATATAATCCCTACTTCTACTTCATTTAACTCCCACCAGACATGTTGATCCAAGACTTTCGTAACCCTTGACGACAATCTACATGCTCCCGCGATTGTACCCGGCCCCGTGCGGTGGGCCTAGATTACCAGATTACCCCACATCGCTTGACAGCCGAGAACCACGCAAAGATCGGCTGTAGTCGATGGGAAACGCGTCAGTCAATCTCAATTACGTCCAACACCATGACCGGAATTTGGAAACATACTCGGTTGCCCCCGCGGCAATCGCCTGCTACCGAATACTATGATCTCGGCAAATTTCAACGAGCTATTAGTTCTAGCAGCCCAGAGGCTCAGGTATGGTTCAATCGTGGCCTGATCTGGGCCTACGCTTTCAACCACCAGGAATCAGCACGGTGCTTCGAACAATGTGTCATGTTTGACCCAAGCTGCGCAATGGGATATTGGGGCCTTGCCTTTGCCCTAGGCCCGAACTACAATAAGCCATGGAAACTCTTCGATGGAGAAGATCTCTCAGTCACGACGTCGCGTGCATACAGTGCGGTCGAAGAAGCCAGAAGGTGCATGGCTCGCGCAACCCCGGTTGAGCGCGCTCTGATCGAAGCGTTACAATGTCGATACCCCCAGGAGCAACCGGTCGGAGATTGCACAGAATGGAATCATCGATATGCTGACGCAATGACCTCCGTCTATCAACAATTTCCAAATGATCTAGATGTTGTCGCATTGTATGCTGACGCGTTGATGAACTTGACACCATGGAGTCTGTGGGATCTGGCCTCTGGAAAGCCTTTACCTGAGGCTAGGACTCTTGATATCAAAGATGCTTTGGATAGCACTTTGATCCGAGATGATGCACTCCAACACCCTGGACTGCTGCACTTGTATATCCATTTGATGGAGATGTCATCAACCCCCGAAAAGGCTCTCCCAATCGCCGACAACCTACGAGGTCTGGTACCAGATGCTGGCCATCTCGAGCATATGCCAACTCATCTGGACGTCTTATGCGGCGACTACCGCCGGGCTGTGGCTTCGAACACCTCTGCGATCCGCGCCGATGAGAAATTCCTTGCCAACCAAAGCCTAGGCCATTTTTATAATCTTTATCGCTGTCATGACTACCATTTTCGTATGTATGCAGCGATGCTAGCGGGACAGTCGAAGGTCGCGCTTGACACCGCTTCCCAGCTTGCGGAATCCATTACAGAGGATCTGCTTCGTGTGGAATCGCCTCCCCTTGCTGACTGGTTAGAGGGGTTTGTTGCTACACGTGTGCATGCGCTGGTTCGCTTCGGTCGTTGGGAGGATATCATTTTCATGGAACTCCCTCGCGACCAACAACTCTACTGCACTACGACTGCAATGATACACTACGGCAAAGGCGTTGCGTTCGCTGCGACTGGCCGCGTCGAGGAAGCAAAATCACACCAGGAATTATTCCGGTCGGCGGTAAAAATGGTTGCTCCTTCTCGAACCATTTTTAACAATACTTGCGCGGATATCCTTGGAGTCGCAGGGCCGATGCTCGAAGGCGAAATATCATATCGTGCTGGAGACTATGATGCCGCCTTCGCTAGTCTGCGTGCTGCAGTTGAGAAGGACGACAATTTGCCATATGATGAGCCATGGGGTTGGATGCAGCCTGCTCGACATGCTCTGGGGGCGTTGCTGCTAGAACAGGGACGGGTCGAGGAAGCTTTAGAGATCTATGCCGCTGATCTTGGCATAGATGATTCGCTGCCCCGGGCATTGAGACACCCAAATAATGTGTGGGCACTTCACGGCTATCATGAGTGTCTCATTAAATTAGGTCGAAGGGCCGAGGCCCGGATCCTCAAACCCCAGTTGGTGTTTGCAATGGCCATGGCAGATATATCGATTCGATCGTCGTGTTTCTGTCGCCTCAAGACTACAAATTGAACACTTACTAAATCGGGCATATAGCTCGGCTTTGACCGAGTTCGAGAAATTTTACTTAACTACGTTCTGATGTAAATGAGGTCATCAAGCCTGTATAAATAGAAAGTAACCGCCCGCCCCCAACGGCTCCTGTTGTCCACCAAGGCTGCCAAGCCGATAATGGGTGGCCCCACGGTGTCAATAGGGAACACATCCACAGGAGAAACCAGTGAGAAAAATGGAGAGTACTCTACCCTTGAACCCTTCTCATGCTGAACCTTGTAAAGCCTGAAGTCTATCTGATGATGAAGATCGAATCCTCTGTGGACTTGGCATGGATGTCTGCTGGCTTGGCGTTGCCACCAAAGCCAAGTGTTGAGAGGCTGTGTAAGTAAAAGAACAGCAATGATTAACATAGATACGAGCATCCCTGGATCAAGAGAAATGAGTCAGGGAGTTTATATATTCACTGTAGAAGGAGCTGAAAGCTCATGATTTGTTTCTCTTGAAATCCCAACCGTGATTTGATGCCCACTCGAAGGCTATCATGTCTGCGAGCTTCCACTATCGGAGTCATGCTTCTTTGTGCCTAGAGGCCTTACCACGAACGGAGAAGAGATGGCTTTCACTCCTATCTCTACGATTGGGTGCAGTCCTGTGCCCGATGACTGCCGTTATATGCTTTGCTTGGGCATATACCGAACATGAGAAACCAGTGGCCTATATAGATGGCCTCGGCAGCGCGTGGTCAAGTATTAACCTCGGGACAGTGAGTAAAATCAGCTTTCACGAGGCAAAAAAGGGCAATTGAAATTGAAAAAAAAAAACATAACATCGACTGATATTCTCGGTCCTTTAGTCCGCCTTCGCTTTTGTCTGGTCTACAATTTCCCTCATAATCGTCCTGGGTTTCAACCGGAGAGTTCCACCTGGGGTAGGAATAACATTCGATTGCCTCGCATTTTTGGCTCAAATAATCACGGTTTCATTTTATCTGAATGAGTTTGCTGAGTACCAAAGGGGTGGATACTCGGAGGACACGCAAGAAGCTAAAACGCTATATGGTGTTGAATGCTTTGGGATGACGATGATGCTCCTGGGACTGTGGGTTTCATTTCTCAGCTGACTAGGCGAGGCAACGAAATTGGAAGACTAATTTTTTTGATCTATTAGTACCATCAACTTGATTCTTATGATTCGGTCCTCCGTGGAATGCCATACCGAGCGGATCTCGTCAAAACGCTTTTCCAACAAGCCACAGGTTGAGGATATTTAATCGTGGCATAGAGGGGGTGGGGGTTTTTCCAGAGTACAATCAATCAAGTCTTCATAGAAGGCTGATCATCTTGATGGTGCCTGTACCTATGGTACTGTATATGGGATCACTACAGAATTCATAATCTTTAATGTCTAATAGTAATAACACAATCTTATCGCGACGGAACAATGCGACTCAATGGGCCGATAGCTCTTCCGGGCGCGCACCTGCGGAATGCTTCCAGGCATGCACGAAAGAAATATCTAGAGAAAGCAAGTGAGACTCGACGCAGTTATCTACACCCATGGGCAAAGCTTGGAATACAGGATCTATCGAGCCGAACGGACCAAGACAGAAATACTAGGTGAACGATGGAACAACCAGGCAAGACGTCGAAGGCTCGCAAAAGATCATATCTATTATTAAGCCTCTAGGGCAACCTTATATTACTCCTTCCAAGGACTAATCCCGAACAATGAAGTATTTTTAAACCGATGAGATGAGATCTAAGTCAGATGCACTGACCCAGACTTGTTTCCCCGGGAACCGGGCTTACCTTTGCAAGTGGGCACTATTGAAGTTAAGTGGGGGTGTTGCACCCACAGAAACAAGCCACAATATAAGACAGTGTGCCTTGCCCAATTGTGAACTCAAGCTGCTAAGCCCCCGAGCGTGATAAGCAAACAGAGTCCAAGAGCTGTTGAAAGCGAAAGAGCGGATCTGTCGGCAGACGCTCTTGTTCTCTAAAGCCTTCTGAGTGGAAGACTCGCCCTAGTCTATTCATCATTAATTCGCAAGGCATGGAAGATCTGTTGATCCTGTGGCTTGTGGTACAGTAGTTCGCAGCGAGAATAAGTCTGACGTAGATCGACGCACTAGGAGTCCAACAGAAGAGCCTCCACTCGTTCACCAGAAAATCTCACAAAAAAGTCACACGGGGAGGGCGAACTGCCCCTCACTTGGATGTCTGATGGCCCCCCAGAGTCGGCCCCGGCCCCAGCCCCAGTCACTGCCTCAATGCCCCACCCCATTTCGTTAGGTTGGTATTGAAATTCTAGGCACAAAATACGCCTGACGAATCCATCTACCAAGGTTCATGTGGAAGTTAGTGGAGATGGGAGAAGGGCATGAGAGGAATACCGTACTGTTACTAGGATTTGTTATGATCCAAGACGCCTGACCAAACAGGGCGTCCGAGACCTCACGAGATACTGTGAAAGACCTGTCGAGCTGGGTTACGCAAGCCAACGGCGCATACGGGATGCCATCTGCTAATCTCTGATCTGCTCACTATTTGATGACGATATTCGTGGTAATTTTAGGGTATAATACGTCTTTATATTACCACCATGGCGCTCAACGCCAACCGGAAGCTAACCAACCAGTCCACAAATAACCCCAGTGTGACTTGAAGGCGCTTAAAGGTGATATGTCTTTATAAATATCAACACACCACCTATGGCCCTTCTTCCGTTTCTGAAATTAAGGATGTGTGATCTCCAGATCTACCCTGGCCCAGACTCTTTCGTCGCAAGCCACATGAAACAGAGCCGATGAACGCTTTATTCGTTCCCCTTTAAAGAATATTTGTTTCAAATTTCAAGTTTCTTAAGTCAACCAATCTCAAGGACTAAGCCCTATCCTCTTCTTTCCGACACGTTGACCTTGTTACCTCAGTTCCGACACATCCTGTAAGTCAGTTTCCCAAGTGATTCTGTAATCTCTCTGACAAGAATTCCTTTAGTCGACTGTCCTGTGCCCTCTCGTTTTCATCGATCTCTTAATCAATATGTTTTTCAGATTCTGGAGATGGCAGAGATTAAAAGGAAATCTCCATCCCAAGAGAAATAATAATGTAGGTTCAAATTTGAACAAAAAAGGAGGGAAACCCCATAAATTGAAAAACCTACTAATGTTTCAACAGTTTAAGAATCGCAAACCTTTACCGCCATGTGCCCCTGAAAGGAAATCGGAGAATTTTCAAGTCCGAAGGGTGCAAACTGGCGATAAAAGGAATTTCGCTATAGTTCAAATATCTGAAACATCCCCCGAACGTGTTGGAAGGGTAACGTGTTCGAAGCCAAATATACAATGCAATGATGAAGGCTCGCAGCCACTGTCCCAACATGAACAAGCACACGAACTACAAGCAACTTCATATGAAGCCGAAGACGAATCGTTGTCAATACCGCAAGATGAATTAACGCCAATCCCCTCGATGTGGGATAGAGATGCCTCGGGACTCAGACGAAGCTCTGCTCTGAGGGGCCCCAGACGAGCATATTCAAGTTACCATTCAAGAACAAGTCTTCGCTCAGGAGCAAGTATTTATTCAGGAGCAAGCATCCGGTCCCCAGCGAGTTTTCGTTCAGGAGGAAGCTTCCGTTCAACAACCAGCTTTAATTCAGAAGCCAATGCTGGACAAGTCACTACCGCTACATGCGGGCCCCGAGACCTTTGGCACTATGATGCGGTTGTCAATCGCAATAATATTGTGTTATACTGTGAAAGCCTATAATGACAAAAGCGATGAAACTCTTTATAGAATAATGACCATGTTTTTCTTTTCTTGGGTGGTTGGATGATTTGGTCGGCGTTTGTTGATAGCTTTATATGATACCAAATGAACGGAATTATACATCATAATTTATCCTTCCATCTTGTGCTTTAACCATCAGGCCCGCTCAGATTGAGACCCGCTAATCTCAAGACAGAAGCTGTGCTGGAGATGTCTCCAATGTTTAGTTGGATAGGATCAATCAGATTTCTGGATTCTTTCCGCTACATGAATCTATATCTGTCGTGAATTTTCTTTCCCTCTCCATATGATTAAATGGCTATGATTAGCCTGGAGGGATACCTTGGCTTCAGTGTTGATGATCTTTCAAAATAGGAGATATCTTTATACTGTATTTTGCATGGGCTTTTAAGGGCATTTCTGGATCAATGAAGCAGCACACTTCCTGATAACTATTAATGAAGATACAAATACCAAAGCCGAAATAAATTCCGAGGGTCTTCAGGCAGAACTCAATTTTTCCGCTGATAGGGTTGACTCTCAATAGGAATTACAAAGCATAAATTAACGCCGACTTTAAAGGTCTACACAGGCAATTAGCAAAAGAGAAATTCTCTTCAGAGGAGGTGTTATAACCGAAAAGATCCATTCAAGTCTCATTTAGATGGCCTGTTTGGCGGCCAACAGCGCTTATAGTACCGTCAAACGCATTCCTACCTTGCATGAGTGGCACCTGAAAGGTCATGAGAAATATATTATTTACTGCGATCTCTGAATATCTCAAAATCCCCAGAGCCCACCAGCGCGTAGTAAGAAGAGTTTCTTCAAACCCATCATTGCTCGGACAACCACGAAATATATGATTGTATGTATTGTCATAACACAACATGACGAAGCTCGCATGGCGTTATTGCCTATTTTGAGGTTACGGGAATTCCTTTCTTTCTTCTGGCCAGCCTTATTCAGGGGCTTTTTCCCTTGGCGCTTGACTAACTCATCATGTTGGGACTTGTGTACCTGAACTGACATCCTCTAGGTTTAGGAGAAGAAATTTGTCCCATTATAGAGACACAGGGCTACTTTTCCTAAATTTGGTCTTCATTTAAGGCTTTCGCATCCATAATATCCCCATTCGAGACTGGTCTATCCGTTGGCTGATATAACAAAAGGCCGACCATGTTGCTGTCTGAAACATCTTTCCTTGGAACAGATATAACGGAGTATGATAGGACACACTCGGTAATAATGGACCGTTTGCAAAATCTGGAAGGACACCTAGGTCGTTTAGGCTCATGTGCTCTATTTTGGGCCCAAAAGAAGTAATCCAACATTTCTTTCATGTAACAGTTAAGTCATCCGATCCCTCGTGGCGGAACGAAATCTTTGATATTAGACGAGGTTTGCGTCCTTTCCTTTGTAACAGTCTTGTCTATCACATTGAAATCTTGCTTCTATCCCTATTTGGAATTCCTCAGATAATCAAGCTTCCGCGGAAATCTGGACAAGCGGGATCCATGGCAGCCCGCCAAGATCTTCCTGCGTCCACATTCGGAAGACGAACAGGTGGAGTGGTGTCTGGGAGCACTAGCCTGGGACGCGTGAGAGGGTCGACATTCTCCAGCAAAGGACAATGTAATAACACGCAGGGTATGGTGCGAAGTACAGTGGTAAAAAGGAAACCTCGACAAGATCTCAAAACAAACCAAGACCAACCTATTGCTTCTGGGCCTCCAAGACAGACCCAGCAATTTCCACCTGCACGAGGGCCTAGAATTCAAATTCTCCCCGTAACTCCAGATCCTCAACTTTCTGGCCGCCAGGAGGCTAAAGTACGGAGGGCTTATGATTCACAGTCGTCGACGACTAACGTAGGACGGATTCCTTCAAGGCAAGCATTGCCCAACTATCCAGGGCCTCCAGACACAAGTGATCCGATGAAGGAAGCCATAGAAAATATGAGACGAAATCATGAATGGCAAGAGAGACAGAGCAAGTATCGCGAGGAAGCGAGGCAGGCCGCGGTTGCGGAAATGCAAAAACAAAAAAAATGGAGCTGGAAAAGATTCTTGAAAAAGGCAGATAAACGCATGGAAAGAATTGCTCTGTGAAGCGGGCTACCGGGATGCACTTATTTACATCCTAAAATCTTCATCCAACATCTGCCGCAAGGGCATAGAGAGCATAAATACGGGAAAGGTATCTCTGCGGTGGTGCAAGATGAGCGCGTCCTACCAAGATAAGGCGAACGGGAAGGTTGAAGATGACTGGGCGTGTGCGTGGGCAGGGGAGATGTAGTTTTTTGCTACGCCGGCTTCGGTCAGGAATAGTTTTGCCTGGTGCTAGGTAGATTGAGTAATGAATGTAGAATGGCAAGACTTGGATTTATATTTACTCGTCTCGCCTTGCGAGAATAGATATGCTTAGGTTTTAGAATTTAATTGACAGCTTTGTTCATGTCTTGACCTCGGGAACAGATTGCGAATACTAATGGTCTTCTTCCTTCGGATCTTTCAAAGACGGAGCGGAGCATACGAAAATATTTACAGTACATTAAGACCGCGTGTTCAGCCAACAGGAAGTAAAGATGTCAATGTACTCGAGGACGTATTGACCTCGGGGTGAATACGTATCTACTGAGATGCAAATACCCGTAGAGCCACTTCAACACGCTAGTCTCGCACCACTTGCATGGGGTGCGCCTCAGTGTTGAAGACAAACTTGTTCCCACTTCCCTTCTGGACTTGCCATGCGGCATCTGCAACCAATAGTTAGCATGGCGGTACACGGCCGATGATCTTTGGGTGAGGCGGCCTACCTTCCGCGTGAGCGAGGTATGAGTACTTCATGACCTCGGCAAAAAGGAAGCTCTCTTGGTTATCGTACTTGGAGCCTCCGCCCTTAGCATTGACGTTGGACAGGGCGGCAAAGCCAGAGTCGGTGTAGCAGTTGGTGTAGATTGCGGAAAAGGCGTTCCACACCCAGTCACGGTACTGCGAGGATTGAGTCAGTCTGGCGCGGGGCCTATCGAAAAACTTGATGAAAGAAAAAAGAGACAGCGTACCATTTCATTGCCGGTGACACGGTACGCATAGTAAAAGCTCTCGATGACCTCCGGTCGCAGCACGTACGCACCACTGGTGATGTAGAAGCCAGCCTTCTCGTACAGCTCCTTCTGGTTGTCCGGAACCTGTTTGGGATCCCAGCCCCAGGAGTCTGGGCCAATCTTCGTCAGGGTCGAGTTGTAAGTATCCTCACAGCCATGGACAAGTTGCAGACCGAAGTCAATGAAATCCTGGCGGTCCAGCACGGTGCCGCCCAAGAGGAAGCTGCCACCATCGAAGCAGGTAAGGTGTTGCGAATTGAGAGAATAGGAGCCACCCGAATACGAAGTTAGGAACGTCAGATCCGGACGCGTCTGTGGGTGAGACTGAAGATGCTTGATGGTTGACTCGGCCGCGAGAACCCAGCGGTCCTTGTACGTCTCAAACCGCTTCGGGTCGTACACGTACATCTTGATCAGATACTCATAGAAGGAGTCGTCACCGCCATCCCATGAGACGGTGCCGTCGGTGAACTCGCCAGTTTCAATATTGATGTTACTGCCCACGAGGCCTGGAAAGGGTTCGCCACTAGACGGTTGCGGGTTTAAAAGATAGGACTCGGCCTTCTGGCTGAGTTCGGCGTATTCATCGTCCCCAGTCAGGTCCGAAAGACGAGTCCATTCAAGCACAAGAGTGCCTGTCACAGCGAGGCCGTTGGTTGAGGCCCCATCATTGCCCTGGCTGGAGATATCCAGGTTGTTATACGGGACGCCCGATGTAGTGTTAAACGCAAACTTCAAAACTTCACCCAGGTTTTTAGCCTGGACTAATAGAGTATCCACGAGGTCCGAATCATCGACCAAGTGGGAAGCCGGTCCCTTGAGCAAGTCATAGCCTGATAACATTCCCGCCAGATAGCGGATAGTTGTCTCGAACAGGCTGACCTGCGAGGAGGTCGTACTATAGTCAATTTCCGCGACATGCTTCAGGATCGTGTTGACCACATCCGATTTACCCATGATAATGGCCGTGGAGAGGGCATCCACTGCGGAAGCTCCCCACCCGTTTCTATTTGCACAAGTCAATTCCTGTCCGAAAGGCCAGTCTCCCAGAGGCTGCATTGGCTGGGATAGATAAGGGACTCGTCATGCGTACCTGGAGTCGCCATATCCATTGCTCACGGGGTGTAGCTCGTCGTGAGGATATGCGTATTTCATATAACCATCCCATGCATGTTGGAAAGCTTCTTTAACTGCTTCCGCCTTCTGCTGGGTGGTTTTGGCCGTGTTGGTATGACTGCCGAGGACTGCTTCAGCCCCCACGGAAGGATAGGCCGCAGTAGGTCCCAGCAAACTCAATGCCGCGAGCGATACTGAAAGTGATACGCGCATGATGTGTTCTATTTTTGAGAGGGCCACGCGTTGCCTGTCGTCCTCGTGTATATATTTAACGAGTGTGTATGTGTTAACAATAGGCGATGACGCGCCACAGGGAGAGTCAGAAGGTATAAGGCGAATAGTCCAAACGAAAGACCACCCGGATGAGCGGGTCAAGAGCGACTATTTAATCGGAGTGGAGCCCGATATGTACTGGGGAATGGAGGGTGGGTTCGGATTTGAAGAGGCAAAGGTTGGAGGTTGGCCGATCAGGTCACATCGAAAGGGGAAGCCGGGCTCACGCGATCGTGTTTACCTCCACTCGACTAGTTGCATGGGCATTGACCACAAAAAGGTGAGCCCTGCATGCGCCATGGGAAAAAGAAACAGATGAGAATCAGGGCTTCTCTCTCGTCTCAGGGTCCAACTGTTCCCATCTGGCTGTTCAACCAGTGCACGCTTTGCTGATCCATGACCTCAAGGCTTTTCTCGCCCCTCGAACCCTGCTGGTTTTCGCATTACCTTGGACCACAGACACCTTACAGCACTGGCGATTCGATTCCTGGCCACTGCAAGGTCCCACTTCCTTTGGGGCCCTGGGGGATCTGCAGGAATGCCGCTCTTCATTGGTCCATGTGCACGGAGAACGAGGGCCACGAAGACGCGCGCGATTCGGAGGAATGCTGTGCACCCTGTCATTGCCCTCCCCCTGAGTCTCTCCCCTGGGTCTCCCGATGGGCCATGCATTTGACCTGTTTGGATGCAACTGCTCCATCGGGGATTGAGATCACCAGTCTTCTGATGCTGCTCGTCTCGCGACCCCCGGAAAACGACTTCTCCCCCAGTGACTATGGCAGATGACAGTGTAGCCGGCTCGGAGTGCTGCCCGCAACTCTAAAGAGCATGGGTCCCTTCGTGGCTTGAGGTAGGGGTGCATCGCGCGCATTTGCATGGAGAGCCAAGCAATGAACCCCTCAGTCACTAGCCGACTGATGTCCGGGACTGAGGAGGCCAAGACATCATGGCGTCACGGTAGCTGCCAGGGGTTTGACCGGCAAGGTACCATAGAGGACTAGGTGGAATTCGTGTAGAAAGGATGCGGGAGGGGAGAGGGTACGCCATGGAAAATAATGCAAGCAATGAGACCGTGACCATCACTGGTCTATTGGTTGCAGATAGAAGACGCCGTCGTAATTACTCGCACTGGGCAGTGCAAGGTAACTAGCTACGTTGTTGTTTCTATGTATTGAGTACTACGCTACGGGAAACAAGGAACAGCAAACCTATAGCCCCCATGGTTCATCCTAAGGATCGTGTTAGTCATTCATGTTGGGAGGATTGATTGTTGGCTGATCTTGTTCTCGGATCTTGATTCATGGGCGGTACAGTCGATATTCTGTGTGGAGTAACTCTACTGTAGAATGTTCGGTGGATTTCGCCTGCTCGGTTGGCAGGTTCAGGGCCGTACCTGGACCATGCCGGCGGGAAGTATAATAGCGCCGAGGAATGGCTTGTCACCCTTTGCGATGCGGATCTTCGATAGGAGTAGTCAGGATTAACAAAATTCTTATTGCGCGAGGATTCAGTTAGCTCGAGTGAAAAGTGAAATTTTTGCTTGAATCGTCTAGGTTTACAGTGGGCATAGCGTTTTGTACTTTGAACAGCGAGATCATAAAATGGTGCTTTGCGTGTCAACCAAATACCAAAGCCGCACGGTTGGGCTCTATATAGAAACTACAGCTACCTTAGGTTAACTGTATATAACAAACATGATTGGTATGTAGTTTTTATATTGTAAGCTATCGATGTCATCGCCATCCAAGTCCATGCTAAGACCATCTAGGCTGGTCTATACCCATTCCATACGGTCGCAAACCACACATCGTCTCATACGCCTGACATTCTCTTCCTAGTCTAATCATGCAAAGCATATACTGCTCCTACCTCTATTCGCAGAGATAAGATCCTGCCAGCACACAATCACACCATCAAGCGCTCCTTGACCCCCGGCCCCCGGTATCTGGATTGGTAATCGATTACCTGAGCTGGGATACCGTAGGCTAACTCAGATTGGCATACATTCGACATCTCTTTAAATTGCCCAGATATATCTCATCTGACCATCGCTTTTCTTCGAATATCTCATCTTACACCATGGTTACATCATCCAAAGCTCTTGTTTCTCGTGTGTCCACAGGGCAGTCCCCTCGGTTGGTCCAGGAACAGCTTCCTCTACCCATACCCGATGTTGGCCAGGTGCTTGTGAAGGTGTCACACGTGGCGCAGAATCCAACCGATAGTCTGCCAAGCCGAAGAAAAAACTTATTGGATTCTCTTGATCGGCTAACAATTGATTAGTCCTAAGTTTTGATCGGAATGCCTACGGAGACGGAGCAGTCCTGGGATGTGACTTCGTCGGAGAAGTGACTGAGCTCGGAGCTGGAGTCACTAGGCTCTTGAAGGGCGATTTGATTGCGGGATTAATCCGAGGAGGTCAGACTTGAAGCACTGCTTCTCCTTTCATCTTATGATTTGATAGGCTCATACTTCATTTCCGCGAGTTAGGAGAAACCCCTGGTGTGGGTGGGTTCAGCGAGTATACACTTGCCGACCAGCACATCTCTTTCAAAATCCCAAAAAACATTTCGAGGGTTCAGGCCAGCACCATTCCTCTGGCGGCAGGGACAGCATGGCTCGCCCTTTTCTCTCACAGGTGTCTAGCCCTTAACCGCTCCGCTGCATCAGGTACCAGCGTGTTGGTGTGGGGTGGAAGCTGTACGTACAACCCTCCTTGGCCATGGTACAGGAGCCTGCCTGGTGACACAATGAACGCGAAAAGCAAGTGTCGGTCTCTATGCCATTCAGCTGGCCTCTATCTGTGGTTTTAGCGTAATTACAACCTGTAGTCCCCGCAACTTCGACCTGGTTCGGTCTTGCGGTGCGAACCACATTTTCGACTATAACGATCCAACGGTGATCGACAAAATCAAAGAGGTCAGTGCAGACCTGCGATATGCCTTCGATACTATTGGCAGTATTACATCCTCTACTCTAGCCTCCAGGGCCTGGGGTGATCGCCCAGGAAACTTGTGCACTGTTCGCCCCGGAAAAGCAAATACAGAACAAGTCACTTCCAACACTCGCATCACCGATGTGTTGTTGTGGACGGTCTTCCTGAAAGATCAATGGTGGCATGATAACCAGAATAATCAGTTTCACTGGCCGGTAAGGTTGCTCCCTCCGCGTACTATAAATTTAGTAAGTCGATATATGAGTGGATGGCTGACATCTAGTATAGGCATCAAAGGAAGATAATGATCTTGCTAAGGAATTCTTTGACAAGCTGCCCTCTTGGCTGGAGCAAGGCCAATTTCAGCCCAACAAGACCAGGGTGCTGTCTGGGTTGGATTCGGTGCCCCACGGCTTCCAGGAATACCGGGATGGCAAGATCTCGGCCTACAAGATTGTTTATGAACTATAAAGCAATGCAGGCCCATGGGTACAAACGAGAGCTGAAGGACGGGCTGTTGGCCATTGCGATGCAGCCACAGCATCGCTAGGAAATCCTGTAGTGATCGTAAGATGCGTGTTCCTGGCAATAATAAGGATGTTTGTACAGAAAAATCCCTCTTCCCTTGCATGATCAGGCCTCCGGGCTTCCCCGATGCCCGATGAAAGAAGATGGAAATCCTGGAGTCGACGAGACCGGAATCAGACCAAATGGAGAGATTAATAGCGCATGTAAAGTCCCTGTGTTATATGTCGGACTATAAAGAGCTGTGATTTGATCATACAAAAGGTTATTCCCATGCGAAAAGAGAGCGCGCGAGGGCGATTGGGCGATATCGGGACGGCGGCGGACCAAGCCAACGCGAGATGAATCAGCGGGGCAGAAAAAAAAGGTGACACAAGAGTCATCGCTGCATTCCGCTCCCCCACCCCCTTCAACGCGCTTCCCCTCTGACTGCTCTGGGGATTGTGAAAGTCCTCGAGTTATCTCTTTCCCCTCTCCCTCCCTCAATCCCTCTCCTACACATTCATTCGCCATGGCCACGCCATTCCTTATCTCCTACCCCTCCACCCCCACCTCCTCCGGCCTGTCCCTCAAGCAGATTGCCTACTTCGGGCGTGTGCTGGTGAAGGTCTCAAGCCTCGCCGAGGCGGAGCAATTCCTGCGCCAGAATTTCCGCAACCTTGATGTCTACGTCGATGCGACTGCCATCTCGTCGGCTGGAGACTTGGTCGATGTCCTGAACAATGGTGCCGCGAAGATTCTCATCACCCTCGACCAATTGACCGCGCTCTCCCAGGAGCAGTCCGTTCCTTCCCCTCGTTTGCTCATCCATGCCTCGTCCGAGAGTGAGCTCGATACGTTGCAACAGTGGATTACTGCCGATGCCACCGAGCGCAACGCCGTCAGCGTCTGCACCGTCCCCGCCACCGTCCCCGTCGCGGCCTCAAAACTGAACATCAGCGCCGATTCCCAGCGGCTGTACACATCATTCCAAAACCAGACAGTTTCCCAGGATGCAGTGGATGGAGTCACCCAGAAGGGAGCAATTGCCATCTTGCCTTCCGAGTCGTTGACCGTTGAGCGGGATGCTGCTGGACAGATCTCCGCTGCCAAGCTCCTGGCCTCGCGTGCGGTCACTGATCAGGCTAACGGCCTCTATGCTACGTCTGTGACTGATGAACGAGGCTCATGCCTTGGCTTTGTCTGGAGCAGCGATGAGAGCATTGCTGAGGCCCTTCGCACTGGTACTGGAGTCTATCAGAGCCGCAAGCGCGGGCTGTGGTACAAGGGTCAGTCAAGCGGTGACGTGCAGGAACTGATTCGCATTGGTTTCGACTGCGACGCAGATTGCTTTGTCTTTGTCGTTAAGCAAATTGGACGAGGTAAGCACTTCTTTCATTCTTCTTTCTTCAGCAATTGCGCATGCCCATCATACTAATTATTGGTGACTCGCCAATCAGGCTTCTGCCACCTCGGTACTGAGAGCTGCTTTGGCGCCTCTGCCGGTCTTTCTCGTCTCCAGAAGACTCTCCTCGCCCGCAAGGCCGATGCTCCTGCCGGGTCATACACCGCCCGCCTGTTCAACGAGCCGAAGCTCGCCGAGGCCAAGATTATGGAGGAGGCCGAGGAGTTGTGCCGGGCCACAACCAAGGAAGAGATCGCCTTTGAGGCTGCGGACCTGCTGTACTTCGCCCTGACCAAGTGCACTGCTGCCGGCGTCACTCTGGAGGACATTGAGCGCAACCTCGACTTGAAGAGCCTGAAGGTTAAGCGGAGAAAGGGCGATGCGAAGGGCCCGTGGGCAGAGAAGGCTGGTCTGGCTTCTGCATCAAAGCCTGCTCCCGCGCCTGCGCCTGCGCAGCCCGAGCCTGCTGCCGAGGACCGCACCACCCGAATTGAGATGCAGCGCATTATCACTGCGTCTACCCCCGTTTCCCAAGTCACGGATGCCCTTAAGCGCCCCTCCCAGAAGTCCAACGACGCCATCGTCGGCCTCGTTAAGCCGATTGTCCAGGATGTCCGCGAGGGCGGCGATGCGGCCGTGCTCAAGTACACCCACAAGTTTGAGAAGGCTACATCGCTGACATCTCCGGTCATCAAGGCCCCGTTCCCCGCTGAACTTATGAAGCTGTCACCCGATGTCCAAGAGGCCATCGATGTCAGCCTCGGTAACATCCAGCGTTTCCATGCTGCGCAGAAGGGCAGCAACGACGCCCTGAAGATGGAGACTATGCCCGGTGTTGTTTGCTCTCGTTTCTCGCGTGCGATTGAACGTGTTGGCCTGTACATCCCCGGTGGTACGGCCGTTCTGCCTTCCACTGCCATGATGCTGGGTGTTCCCGCTATGGTGGCTGGCTGCCAGAAGATTGTTCTGGCTTCGCCTCCCCGCTCAGATGGGAGCATCTCTCCTGAGATCGTCTATGTCGCTCACAAGGTTGGCGCTGAGAGCATCGTTCTGGCTGGTGGCGCCCAGGCTGTGGCTGCCATGGCCTACGGTACTGAGAGCATCAGCAAGGTAGACAAGATTCTTGGTCCCGGCAACCAGTTCGTGACTGCTGCCAAGATGCTCGTTTCCAACGATACCTCTGCCGGCGTGAGCATCGATATGCCCGCTGGTCCTAGTGAAGTCCTTGTCATTGCCGACAAGACTGCCAACCCTGCCTTTGTTGCTTCCGACCTGCTGAGCCAGGCGGAGCATGGTGTCGACTCTCAGGTGATCTTGATCGCCGTGGACCTTACTGAGGAGCAGCTTCGTGCCATTGAGGACGAGGTTGATGCTCAAGCTAAGGCCCTCCCCCGCATGGACATCGTACGCGGCTCCCTGGCCCACTCCGTTACTTTCGTGGTGCGGGATATCAACGAGGCGATGGCTCTGAGCAACGAGTATGCCCCCGAGCACTTGATCCTCCAGGTCGCGGGCCCCGAGGCGATTGTCGAGCAGGTCCAGAACGCCGGCAGTGTTTTCATCGGCCCTTGGACCCCCGAGAGTGTCGGCGACTACTCTGCGGGTGTGAACCACTCTCTCCGTACGTTTACCCTTCTTCCATGATCCCACTGAAATTCCTGAACTAAAAAATCCCCATCAGCTACTTACGGCTATGCCAAGCAATACTCCGGTGTAAACCTCGGCTCGTTCCTGAAGCACATTACCAGCTCCAACCTGACCGCTGAGGGCCTGTTGGGTCTAGCCAAGACAGTCGAGACCCTGGCTGCGGTCGAGGGTCTGGAGGCGCACAAGCGGGCAGTCAGCATCCGTGTCGCGCAGATGCAGAAGGACCGCTCGTAGTTGTCTCTGCGGTCTCAAGAGTCTCGGGTTTTTAACAGTTTGTTCTTGTCATGATTGAATGCGCGATGAATAGCGAATACAAAATAGCGGAAGAGGGAGCCTCTTGATCGTAAATAGGTTCCTCAGAGTGAATGATATACACGTTACGATCACCACTTCGTATCTCGTATAGCTTCTCGTGAGAGAAGATCCCGCCTGATTAATCGGCCGCCCCATCGGCGAAGCTAGTCTCGAGTAGTCCGACGCAAGCGATGCCGAGTGATGTCAGGTACCCACCCTCAATCGCATGGCCTAATTAATTTTTCTTCATGCCTGGGCAAGACAATGCAAGGGAAGTAATGCCTAAGTTTGTAGGATTATAGCTGGTGCTAGTATCTAACGCGGTATCTTATGTGTCAAAATAGATAGATGCAAATCATCCCGGTACTCGATTTGATACAACTCCGAGATCGGGCGCATCCCTAGCGCTGGCCAGTTGCGCCCCTCTTTCCCTGTCCCCCGCAACCCAAAAAAATCATGTATCGCTCAAAATTTTTCTCTCTCTTACAACTGCGCAACGTCATTCAGGATCTGGACCTCCTGGCCAGGCTTAAATGCGGGCAGTCCCAGGTATGGGCAACCCGCACACCGGAAAGCATCGCCCAGCGCACAGCTGCCACAAGACCCAGTAGTCTTGCCCTCGACGGTGAAGTCCAGCTCGGTCAAGTCGTCCGTCTGTAGCTTAAGTACGTTCAAATTCTTATCGGCATTCGCACGGCGCTCCTTGTCCTCCGCCTCGAGGCGGTCAGCAAGACCACACGTACAATCCTTGCAGGCTCGCCGCCTGCGACCGGTCTTCGGCTGGCATTCTGGGGCTGTAAAGAAACAGTAGACGTTAGCGAAAAGCTCGTGACATATTGAAGAGGGCAGCCCAGAAAAAAAATCAGAACACATACGGGGCATAATTGGTCTCGTGAAATCTTCCTCGTCAATCAGAGAATCCTCATTAATTAACTCGTCGTTATCATCCCGGTCATGGTTATTCTCATTAATGCTGTTTGCCGTGAAGCCCAATACTGGAATACCTGCCGGCGGGGCGGTCTTCTTCTTCCTCGATCCCAACTTGAGCGGCACAGCGGATGATTGTTGATAATTCGGTTTCTCGAAACCCGCCTCATTCTGCACCAGGCCAGCCATCACGGCCTCCATGGCTTCCGCAGCTGTCAGGGCTTTATCTTGGGTTTGGAGCTTCGCGCCCGGCTTCATGGACGGCACGAGGGCCGTGTATACATCTCGAGTGAGAAGCTGTAGGGCTTCGGCACGGTGTGAGCCATCGGTGTCGGTAAGAATGAGGACGAGGGAATATGTGGAGGAGGGGAGGGAGACAATGCCGGCGGAGAGACGGTCGAGCATCTGGAGGTCTGTGGTTTGGCGGTCGAAAGTAGTGAAGAGCGTTCTGAGTTTGTCTTCGTGTGTAGCAATGGAGGGGGAGCGAGGAGGAGGGTGCGTAGAGATGAAGCCTCGACGGACTTGACTGGCGGAGCCATGTCGAAGTCGTCGCTGGTATCAATGGTCACAAAGGAGGGCGCCATTGTGGGAGGTCTGGAGGGAGAAAACGAGGGCAGAGTAGGAAAGTTGTGAAGTGAGGGGTGCAGTGGCGATATCAAAAAGATAGCGTTAGTTAGTCAGCCAGCATTATAAATTGAAGTGGTGGGCCCCGTCGATCCACTCAGCCGATCCATTCAGCGGGCAGGGATTACTTGCTACTAGCTAGGGTAGGTTGGCACAAGAGGAGATGCGAGAACTGTACCCAAGAGAGGTAGTCGAATCCGCCAAATGTCGCATCATAGAGTCAGAAAATATGACCGAGGGAGAAACGATTGATTCTCAGACCTAAATCACTTGTGTCTCATGCCCTTGTGCGTTTTACATATTTGGCCCATTAGGTGGAATTGCAAGGTTCTTTTATACAGTATTCCCAGTAATTAGGCATTCATGGCCCTCGGCCTCAAGGGGTGATCTTTACATCTGAATATGGATGGGTCGTTATTGGAGCAGCAAAGATATCAAAACAACAGCCCTGCTGTTACATTTATCAGCTCTCTGTCCCATTTAATGACCATAGAGGCACTCGCTGTTTACGATAAAAACTAGTATAGAGGGAAAGAGGGTATACAGAAAGAGAGGTTCAGAGGAGAAGAATTTCAGAGTCTTCGATAGAGAAGTAGAGAAATGATCTAATCAGATTGAAATTAGTTTTACACTAGTATAACATTCATGTGACTTTTGGTCCTCATATCAGGCTTCACGCTGAGTCAGATATTGATATAAGAACAGGAACGAAAGGTCGAAACAAGGATGGTCTGTAAGTATAACTTACTGAAACCTCGATATCTCTACCCAGATACGTAATGTAGGATGCTTTGAGCCTATAAACCGAACAATCTACAGCGGAGCAAAGCATACCGGGTTGACTATGGAGACACTCAAAATGGGAATGCCGCCCACGAAAAGTATAGATAGCTAATTTTGCAAGAAAAGGATTCCGCGTCGGCTTCTCTTTTTAGATTCACAATGCGCCTGGACTCCCCGTCTATGCTGGTATCGGTACATGATATAAAAGAATAACAAGATGAAAGTGGTAAATGAGGAGAAGCCGTAGCTGCGGGTCATCAACTCGTCATGAACGCTTTTCTCAACGTTTGCGCTCCCGGATTTTCCACTGGATGCCCTTCTTGTTGGTTCCACCGACGGAGTTATCCATTTTGCCGCGTTGCCAATCGACTTCGCGGTGGGCTGCTTGGATTTCAGCATACTGCTTACGCAGCGCCGTCAACTTGCCAATCCGGCCCTCAGTAGTACGTTTGCGAATCTTCTTGGCTCGGCGGGCCTCACGTAGTGCCTCTCGCTCAGCGGTGATCTGCTTGGGGGTCTTGCGAGTCGGGCGAGATGCATCCTTCTCCTCGTCTTCTTCCATCGCATCACTTTCCTCATCCTGGATTTGTTTCTGTTTCATAGCCCGCTGGTCGTCACGATCATCGGCAAAAACCAATTTGCGTGACTTTTGCTGTTGCTTTTTCTGCGGCGGGAGACTGAAGTCGAAATCATCAAGGTCATCGTCGAGACCATCCAGCTCGTCTTCATCTTCATCTTGATTCTTCTTGTTCTTCCGGCCCAGGACCTCATCCATTCCCTCCTGCAGCTGCGCCTCGCGTTCAAGACGCTCGATTTCCCGGCGTATCCGCTCACCAGCTGTCCGGAGATAATTTTGATCTTGAGTCTTGAGAAGTTTGATTGCATCATGGCTCAATCCGCGGGCCTCAGCTGAGTCTCGCGCCACGCCAACACCTCGTCCATGCTTTCCCGCTCGCTGATTCTTCGCTCCCACCATTCCAAAGGCAAATTCATCCGGGTTGCTGTCGCGCACCTTCTCTTGGAGGCGCTTAAGCTTTGCTTGCTTGGCGTTGTAATCTTTCGCACGGAGTGAGTAATCCTAGTGAAACGATTAGTTTCTATGAGTCCAGTAGAGAATTGAAATTTGCAGTTGGAGATCATTCAAACCTTGTGCTTTTCGAGAATTCCCCATCGCTCTCGCCCTTCGAGCTGTCCTCGCTCTTTGTGGTTCCTCCGCGCCACCGCATTCCGAAGTGAAGACATGTTTGAATGACCGCAAGGCTATTAGAGCCAAAGATTGATGGAATGATCGAATATAGGAATCGTCACAGCGCTCAAAAGATATTTTTTTAAAAAAAAGTCTGGCGACGAATTCACTCAGCTGGCAGGGTTGTGGGGTTGTTTGCACAAGTTGCGTTTTGGGGAGAGTAGTTGAAGGTTGTACGAAAAAAAACTGCCGTATGATTTTTCTGCTTCCGCCCACTGCTGTTCTCCGCCTCGGGTGGTCAGACTCCGCATCAACCAACACACCTCCGTCCTTTTCATCGTCAACGTCCTCCTCTGCGGGCGCTCATTGTTTGCTCACGGAGATTGCTATCCCAGCTTTAAAAGGTATATCTGCTCAATATACCCATTGATCCCACTGCCGGCCCTTGCCGCCGTCATCACGGACCTCGTCCGACCACGCAACACCTCTTACCACTTATCTGATCTGCACCTGTCGACCTCGATCTCCCGAAACCAAGACTCTAGTCTCAATGGCCACACCATCAGCGTCTTCAGACGCTTCTTCAGTGCCTTCTGCGCCCCGCAAGTACAATCTCCGCAACCCGCTTCCCCTCTCGGCATCCCAGGAACAAGAAGTCAAGCAGCTTTACTACAAGCGCGTACGAGCTCGCTGTGCGCCGGAGATCAAGGGTAAGTAAGACTACGCCCTCCTCATCCCCGACCATCGATCGTCTTCTGCCGTGTTGTCAATATCTTGCCACATAAGCCAGGCTCGGTCGAGTACATCCCCGAACCGTGGCAGTCATCATCTCTGAAACTGTCAATATTGAAAGAGCACCAGGCTAACAAAATTCCTTGGATTTAGCCTTCGCCGAATGTGCCGTGAACCGTACTGTTACTGCCACCTGGGTCTGCCGCCAGCAGCGCCTCATCATGAACTCCTGCATGGTAACCCACGCCAACAACCGGGAAGAAGAAGACCGCGCACGCGAGGAATGGTTTGCAACACATGAAGAGCGCCGCCGTGCGAAAGAGGAGGAACTAGTTCGTGTCGAGAAGCGACGCGAGGAAGTCATTCGCATGATGCGGGAAGACGAGGAGCGGACGCGGCAGAAGGCACAGGGTAATTGAGTCCTTGATCTTCTTTCCTGCAGTCTTCTTCCGTTCTTTTTCTTCATCCTCTTTTGATCCCCATAGAGGCATTGTTGGGTGATTGTATATTCTATATTCGGGGATTCGGCGTCTGGAGACATGTACGCCTTATGTGCGTTGTCTTGGGCAAGAGTGGAAACAGTCTCAGCAGGGATTTCTTAACTTTGAATGGCGAGGAGTCAGTCTACCTTGCTCAGCTGACCAGTCCAATGGCCTTCTGAGTTGAAAAACCCTGGAGCTTGCCTAGTGCTGCTGCGACAAGTTCAAGACGATATTGAAGCACTTGGTTCCAGGGTGTCCTCGTGCACTGGCGCGTTCAGTGCCGTCGACACTGATCTAACCATGACCAAGACGCCGACCCCAACTTGTCTTCTCTCTCCTCACGGCGTATAAAGGGACAAACCAAGGCGTTTTTGTTGGGCATCTGCTTTATGTTTTGCATAGTCATTCCCGAAACTGGGGCGATCGGATGAAATTTGATCCTGTACAGTATACACAAGATAGCATATCTTGAAGTCATTGACCAGAAAATCGTCATTTATATTTGCTAGTTGTCTTATGGTCTCTCCGGCGCCAGCCGGTTCGTGGAGGCCGTCAATTGCTCGAGCGGCCCTAGTGAAATACATGAAACTCGTCTCCGTATGGTAGAAAACATGACCTTTTCGCTGGTCTAGATAGTTGGAAAATGACAAGAAACACCGGGCGCCAGGAACACCGTCCAACAGATGGAATGATGGAATAGAGAAAAGAAAACAGGAACAGGGCACTTTTCTAAGCGTCGTTCATCTTCTGGTCCTCGTCTCCTTCGCCAGCATCGCCCATGGCAGTGTCCTCCCCAAAAATATCCTCCATCTTGCCATCGCCCTCGTCGTCATCTTCACCCTCTTCACCATCAGCCCCTGGCCCAGGTCCCTTGCCCTGTTCTGGCGCATCAGGCATCTCCTCTTCCTCTTCACCCTCGCTGTCCCATTCATCCTTCATATTCCATCCAGTGCCCGTAAGACAGAATCGTTCCGGCGGTAAGCGCATGCCCGCCATCATGATACTCTGGTTCGCAGCGTTCGCGGCAGGGGCGTTGGCCGCGGGATCAAGGCCTCTCGACACACCAGGCAGCGCAATGCGATTCCTCTCCGACGCAACATCCATGAGAAACTCTTTCGGCAAGCCCGTCTGGAATTGATAATGCAGCCGCGACGCAATGCTGAGCCGTAGCGCGGGCAACGACACGCTGTTGACCTCCCCAGACGAGTTGTTCTTCCCGCTAGATCCCGCACCACCAGTATCGCCTACTGCGCCGGCATATCCTTCTGTGGCGAGGTGCACTGCATCCTGCAGCACGTTCGAGGTATAGCGGTACGCGAAATCGAGGAGTTGCAGCGGGACGCGATCCTGGTAGGCTGTCACCCCGAGCGAGGCGAGCAACATATGCACAAGTCGCACATCGCGTGGCCGTCGCGACTTCCCGCTATCTTGAAGTGACGTTCCCGGGATTTGTGGAGGCTGCGTGGCCGAGGTGGTTGGTGCGGTCGCTGGCGCGGCAGCCGATGCTTGGGAGGTGGTGGTGGGCGCGGCGCCGGGGGCTGAGGTGCCGTTCGCGGCGGAGGATTCAGCCGGTGGGGTGAGAGGCTGAGTGGCTGGTGCAGAGCTCTGAGTCTGAGTTGGAGAAGCCATGGCTGTGGAAGGCTCAATGGAGGTGGGAGGGTGGAAGGTTGAAGAAAGGACCCCCCGTGAGAGGCCTGGACAGTGGCGGAGGATCCACGAATTCTTTCTAGACAGCGGGCTGAATGTGACCTGTCAGCATTCCCTATTCCTTCGTATTTCGCAGACTCCAAGGTATCTCAATCGCAGAGGGTGTTGGTCGTTCGGATTCAATGGAGGGACGTGATGGGGGATCTGGTGAAGCGGAAAAGAGCGCAGGAGCTCCGATCTTGCGCTAGCCGTTTTAGGAAACTCATCGATGTGCCCTCTACTGAACTGATCCCGACCCTGTTTACTCCAAACCCCATGATTTAAGACCCTCAAGCGGAATCGACTTTGCTATAGAGAGAATACGACTTGAAGGGATCTAGCTGGCGGCATTTGATGCAGATAAGCGAACCACAGACGCACGTTTCTACCTTGAGAAATAGAAACGGATTGGGGGTGGGGGGACGATTTCATATACTAGTAGTATAGTTTGAATTTTAGAGAGCAATATTGGTTGAAGACTTCTTATTACTTGGGTCGAGCACAGCTTTAGATGCCTGACTCTCTTCTTGATGGCCCAGTCATGTCCTTACGGGAAGGTATCCTCTCGTTATTCTAAGGAATATGTTGAATAGCACGGCAATAGAGCGTCCAAGGAACTGAAAGCAGACTTCCCCATCAATTTGCCACATTACTACGTTTTTGCATTTCTCTTTCTTGGTCTCTCGTCACCTCGGTAGAGAAAGGACACAGTCCTGCGTGTTTCCTACTTACAATTGTTTGTTACATGAAAGAGCAGTCCTATCAACGAATATTAATTTCAAGAAGTTCCAGTCATGAAATGCGGTCGGAGGCAGAGGCACTTAGGTTCTGATATAAGAGGAGACCTTTCGCTGGTTGGGTACAATTTGGCACCACCGAGCCCCACAAGACCCTGTTGGTATATCAGAGTGCATGTATGGTTTCAAGTCTTCTCTTATTATAGATCATGTCGCCTTGAAACACACTGCCAGGCCGATTCCCCAGATCATGCAAACTGAAACTATTCGGGCTGGAATCTACCCATTCGCAGGCGCCAATGAACCAACAAGTCATGAAACGAGCAGAGCGGTGGAGCGGGTCCGAGTGGGGCCCGAGTCGATCAGGCAAGTCCACGCTTACAGTTATCTGCTCAATCCCACTCACCTTGGTGGCCGATACCTTGCGGGCGCAAGAGTGTTCATCGTGCCTGGAAAATGCCTATAAATACAAGGGTTCTTGCGGGAGCCTGGGGAAGCGGCGGAAAGCTGAGCGGGATCTCGGATTGTGAATAGCAGACTCAGGGCAACCTTCTGCAGGCCACCAACAAGTCCGTATACATATATCGCACGGTGCTATCTGTGTTGCTCCATTTTTGCTCGTTGCATTTCTCAGCGGCATTCTCATCGTCTTGCGCTTCATAATTATGTGCGGCGAAAGTAATCGACCTACTTTTGGGGGGACCATTGCGGTCTTGTTCCCGCGCGAGAGCGGCATCAGCTCCAGTGCCTCGGAGAGGTCGCGTCCCTCCTCGCCCGACTCTATCGCATCGTCAACGACATCCTCAACTTCCACATTATCTTCTTATTCACTATTTTTCCGAGACGCTGAGACCGCCGATCGCAAGACGAAGGCGATTTTCCGCTTCGATGATGCCGAGACTTATGCGGCATTACAAGAATGCCGACATGTAAATATGCGAATAGAGTACGCTATCCTGGATTGGTAACCAGTATTCAATATTTTGACTGACAACTCTCAGAAAATATGGAGATTTATCCACCGCAGCAACGACGACTACTTCTCCACTGCATCATTTCCATCTCGACTTGGCTCAAAGCCCGAACTTGAAGCCAACTCAGCGAACAGACATGGAGTTTGACTTGCCAGAAAGGCTGGACCTGGGCGTGTCAGAGAAAGGAGTCGTTGGAAGACAAGTCACCTTGAGCGATGCCGGCGGTGCAATCCTCGGTGTGGGCATTGTCGGATATAACTGATTAGCCTCTACTTCTTAGTGTTCATTTAATACCATACGTTCAGCCTACACACTTAAGAGATATGATAGTTCAGATGCAGTATTTCGTTTACGACCAACTCCACCTAATCTCTAGAGCATAGTCATCACTTTGAGAGGGTCGCCTTTTTGCGAATTATTCACAGCTTCACTGGGTTCTCCACACCGGCCGTATAACGCTTCTCGGCTTCAGCCCAGTTGATGACCTTGAAAAAGTTTTGAACATATCCCGCCTTGTTGTTCAGATAATCTAGATAGAAGGCATGCTCCCAGAGATCAGACCCCACGAGTGGAATGTCAGATGCAGTGACTGGGTCTTGATCCTTGGTCGTAGTAATCTCAAGACGACCTTTCGGCCCCCCAGTGCTGACAAGCCATGCCCATCCACTCCCCTGAATCCCCAACATTGCAGCACTGTATGCGTCGACGAACTTGCCTTCGGAGCCCCAACGGGATACAATGGCATCTTTCAGGGAGGGGGCGGACTTCGCCAGGTTATTTTCGGGGCTGCCAGGAGGGGTGAGATTCTTCCAAAAGAGGGAGTGGTTGATGTGACCGCCGCCATTGAACTTGATCTTCTGCTGCAGGGCAATGAGGGCAGGGACGTCGTTGGCCTGGGTAGCCGAGGTATGGGCAGCAAGCGCGGCATTAAGGTTGTTAATGTAGGTTTGATGGTGCTTCTGATGATGAAGCTCCATGATCTGCTTTGAGATCACTGGCTCCAGAGCCTAGAAAAATTGCGTTAGTGGAAATTGACAGGTTTTTTGGTCCATAGGATCTCATATATTACATCGTATGCATATGGGAGCGGAGGAAGCGCATGAGTGGCCATGGTGAAAAGACGTTGATGGATATGAAACAATCGAAACAGAGTTCAAGTAAAGCAGTTCCAAGAGGTGAGCTGAGTATATGAGGGATTCCAGCAGGGCTTCCAAGGTCCCCTTGGCGGGGATGCTAAGCCGTGTTGTTTGGGCTAGCCCTCCTAACACGTCACCGGCCACCAAGGTAAATAGGATTTCTCGACTTTCCTCATTTGCTTCGCGAAAACTGTCCTAAACTGTGAGCGGATTTGCGCAAGTACAGCTTAGTTTCATTTAGTTGCGGGTAATTGAGAAGATTATGGGCTCCACTTTTTCCCCAGAAGTAGTAATAGAGCATCTCCAATCTGAGAACTTTAGGCTTGAGAGTGCAGGCGGCTGTACCATGAACCGTTATTCCAATCAGATATACCAAGCTTGTTTGTATTCCTGGCATGATAAATGGTCGATAAAAGACGTCTCGCTAGCCCATGCTTACTCAAGAACTTTTTGCTCACCTCGAGAGAACAAGCCGTGTAGGCCGAGGTTGGTCACGGGACCACCAAAACCGCGTCACATCATACCAAATAATGTCTGGCAACTCGTGGCCTTCCCCTCCGTTCTATTGAGCATGCCCTTCATCAACTTGAGTGGGTAAGTGTTTCTCATATAATCAAACTGATCAGCTCACTGGGCCTGATTAACGTATTCGATCAAGAGTGAACTACTACTGCGAAGCATATGAAATTACTACGCTCTGATTAACCTGCTTTTATAATAAAAGGAATATAGAACACCTTTATAGCGGGGCAAGGACTATTCTTTTGAAACCACTATATACTATATCTTGTCCTTGCCTAACCTATATTCATTCTTGACAATATTAAACGATAGAGCAGAGAGTTATGATGGTTCTGAATTAGGTCTCAAGGTCCTAGGACATCTAATTGACCATGTATCGCAGGAATTCGAGTCTGTCAAGAGAGAGGTGTTTTTTATCTTCTATGACTTTGGTATTGATATGATGCCATATATTCACCCGGACGTGTTCAAAGATGAACAAAAGCGCCCTCAGAACATCGAGACTCTGTGAATGCTTCGGCTAGCCTTCCAGCACACCCGTCACAGTATCCTGAGCTTCATGACAGATATCACGTAGGGCCATAACATGATCAACACGGAGATTCCTCCACCCTACAAGATGCATTCCCTGCTTTCAGTTATGTCTTTGTGCTTTTTTTCTTGTTTCCAAAAAAGGGTCCCTGTTCTATGCTTTCTTGCAGCCCGTCGGTGTCTGGGACTATTGCAATGATTGTATATCAAGGGCTAAGACGGCGGATTCTGCGACAAAGACAAGGTCACCGGTTAATGCAATGTTTGAAGCCTGCCCGGAGCCCGGATCGTGGCATGCGCGGTCGCATCAACCCAACCAACTGGCTCAAGCTCGGGTTCGGGAAGCCTTTGAAGCGTATCGGTACTGTGCCTGCGCCCCCCTCCCCCCCCCCCCCCGGCGCGCGGTTTTCATTGGCTCATCCCCAGATAAGTTAGGGTGTTCCACTCCGGCAAGCCAATCATTACCGACATATCTACAACATATAATAGCTGGGCGCCTTGTCTAGACGCCGTGAGTCCGGAATCTTGTTGAAAGGAACAGAAGATGGACGGGGGCCGGCGTATAACCAGCAAGAACTGCCCCCTCATCCCCAGTGACTTGCCGTTTTCCACAGTCGACATTCAACCATGGGGGTTTCCATGCCGCCACCGGTGCAAAGCACTTCCGAGTACCTCGTCGATGTGACCGAATCATACATCGACTCGCGGGACCGGCTTGCCCACCATGCCCGCAAGGGCTCGCCTTTGAGGACAAAGACTATTCCCTACGCATCGGTAGGGTATAGATGGCGTCAGTCTCTTGCGGACCTCATTCCGTGTGCCTTGCGGGCCGGCGAGGACGCTCTTCCGCTGCTATCGGGGGACCGGCCACAGGCCAGGAAGCGTTCTTGCCGTTCTTGGCTTCAGCGTTTGTCGGTGTACGGGCTATTCGGCTTCTTTACGGCACTGTGAGTTCACTATTCCTCCGCTACCGAAGTAGACACTAATGGAAATATTTCGTTTCATGTGGAGCCATGGAGACCCTAAGACTGACTATTTCCGTACAGAGGAATCATCCAATTTATCTCGATCACCTGCGGCATTGTGCTCTCGTTCTTCCCAAATGACTATGACCGCGCCGCGTGGGCCTGGAGGGACGTTATAGTCGCCGAAGTCGACGATATCACCCGGTGGCCCACCGATTTCTCACGCGATATTATTGCCGTGGACTGCCACTCGCACAACGACTACTTACACAGCGTGCCGCTGTTTTTAGCACTCCAGGCCGGTTGTACAGGCGTCGAGGCTGACGTATGGCTGGTGGACGACGAGCTATATGTCGGCCATACCTCACACGGCCTGACGAAGCGCCGCACCCTACGCACCCTGTATATCGACCCGCTCGTCGCCCTACTCGATCGCCAGAACTCGATCACGCCGCTTCAGCACGTTATTGACCGCGCCAAAAACGGTATCTTCGACACTGATCCGGCTCAGACTCTCGTACTCCTAATCGACTTCAAGAGCGACGGCGCTACTACCTGGCCCGCCGTCGTCGCGCATCTCGCCCCGCTGCGCGACCGCGGCTATCTGACCTACTTCGACGGCCGTACCCTCGTCCCCGGCCCCGTCACCGTCGTCGGCTCCGGCAACGCGCCCTTTGATCTACTCTCCGCTAACGCCACCTACCGCGATATCTTTTTCGACGCCCCGCTAGAGAAGCTCGTCGACGATTCCGCGCTGTGGCCTCCGTTAGGCACAATCGCTACAGACACGTACAACACGACCAATAGCTACTACGCCTCGGTGTCCTTCAAGGCCGCCGTCGGCTTCCCCTGGCCCTTCCACCTCACGCCGCGCCAAATAGACCTCATCCGCACGCAGGTGCGCGTCGCGCACCACTACGGCCTGAAGGTACGCTACTGGGACGTGCCGAACTGGCCGCGCAGCTTGCGCAATCATATCTGGCGCGTGCTCGTGCAGGAGGGCGTGGATATGCTAAATGTGGATGATCTGGTTGCCGCGACGCAGGGGAACTGGCGCAATCGCGTGTTCGATTGGTGGTGGTGAGTTGAGGTAATGAGGCTGACTGACGACGAATTTAGGCGGGCGTTTTTGGGGCAGGCTTGTGGGAGGGTCCTTCGGGCCCTGTTTTTTATTGGCATGATTGAACCGATATGGCAAGTTAAAGTATTAATCTGGTTGATTAACCGTATGCTCAAAGAACAATAGAAAAATGAATCACGAAGAATTAGATATAGGATGCGCCAATGACTGTCCTTATATACCCAGTCGTTCCTGACTGGTAGACATGTTAATAGACGCCGCGTAGCTATCTGGCAGATTCTCTAATCTTGGCACATTGCCAAGAATGACCACGAATCTACCGTCGTTGGGAGTGTGCCGGTGCCAGAAATAACCTCAGTGTCCATCTCTGGCAACCGGAAGTCGTCCGACCTTGTCTGGTATAGCGAATTGCGTATAGTACTCGCTCTGGGACATCATCCTATTTTTGGTCTATGCCACACTTCGCCCTGAGCCCCCAAGCCATAGTTGAAATGATGTTGAAACGAGGCTGGGATACTCTGACCACTCTGCAGTGAGATTACTAATCCGGGGTATTGTTCTGTCGCTCAGTTTGCGGGGTTTCGGCTCCGGCAAACCAGTCTTGCAAATGAGCCTCGGCCGGTTGGCGGAGAGCACACCTCGGGGGGTCAACACTGATGGGCATTTTAATGTGCCCCTAAGCTCCTCGCTTGGCTTTCCTTCTTGACAATTTCTAAATACAGCAATCATGACGGCTGCAGCACAGGTCGAACTATCCAACTTTTCCAACATCTTCTCGCTCGAGGGTAAGGTGGCCGTGGTTACTGGCGGGAGTCGCGGCTTGGGTCTCCACGCAGCCTCAGGGTCAGTCAGAGTCGGGGAGCACAATGTGGCCGGAATACCATCAAGAAAGTCTCTTTCATGCTAACTTCAGAAAACTAGTCTTCTTCAAGCGGGCTGCTCTAAAGTCTATATCACATCTCGCAAGAAGGATGCATGCGATGAAGCTGTTGCAGCTCTGAATGCACTTCCCAACAAGCGCCCTGGTGCCCTGGCCATCTCCGTGCCCGCCGATAGCTCTAAGATGGAGGAGCTTGACCGCCTAGTTGCGGAGGTTGGCAAGACGACAGATCATGTCGACATTCTGTTTGCCAATGCCGGCGCAACCTGGGGCGAGAAGTTCGACACCCATCCCGAGAAGATGTTCTCAAAGGTGATGGATCTCAATGTCAAGAGCGTTTTCTATTCGATTCAAAAGTATGCTTTGCTTTTTTATTATCCTTTTTTTTTTCTTTTCTTACAAAGTCCTCGTATCATGGAAAACGTGACTTGAAATAGCTAACAAACATAACAGGTTTACCCCATTGCTCTCCGCAAAGGCCACCCGTGATGATCCCGCCCGTGTGATCATCACTGCCTCAGTCGCGGGCATAGGTATCGGGACGATCGGCGAAAACGCTACCCCCAGCTATTCCGCCTCCAAGGCGGCAGCCATTCATTTGGCCAAAAACCTGGCCGTGGAGCTCGGCCCGCGACACATCTTAACCAATGCGATTGCGCCGGGCTTCTATCCGTCAAAGATGGCAACTGGGCTGATCGAGCTCAAGGGTGGGCTGAAGCATCTAGAGGAATTCTCGCCAAATGGTCGATTGGGTAGACCTGAAGATATTGCCGGACTCGTGGTTTTCTTGGGTTCGAGAGCTTCAAGCCATTTGAACGGTGCAGTCATTGCGACAGATGGAGGTGCGGTTTTGAAGGGAAGACTGTGAATTGGTCGTGGATATAAATTGTGATATATAGTAAGAACAGCTATATACAGCATCTAAGTATTTACAGCTTAGAATTCATAGATACAGCAGCATGTCCCTGAACTGCCCTATCGACAATTTCCATTGCCTTGAAAAGCTCATAGTCATGCTGTTTTGGTGTCACAACTTGGACACTAAGCGGAGAGTCAAGGTAGACGCGGCGGTCAACTGTTTTTTCGTTCCCTAGGTAAAGAATATCATGAGTGGCAGCTCGGACGAATAGAAGTACGTTCCAAAAAAGAAAAAGAGACAGAGAAAACCTTACAGAGTTGTCTATTGGCCTTATCCCAGCTTCCTATAACGGGATCATTCATTTCGCGACCTAGCTCGAGATCTGACTCCAAGAACGGTCTCACGGGCACTACTCCAGCTGGGTAGTCAAGCAGGACAAATGCCGAGGTATAGCCAACAGCATTATAGCGATCCATCTGCGGGACAGGGTGTGGTGCAACGGGGCATATAATAGCATCCACCCGTCGAGAGACTGAGGAAGAGAATAAGGTCCACATCTTTGACATCTCCTTCTCGACAGCGGTACGCTGTGCCTGCAGTTGCATGAGTTGGTTGACGGTCAGAGCTTTGCCGCGCTTCGTACGACCTTCAAGCCAGGGAATAAGAGGTTCGCCCTTGCTCTCAATGAGATCTATCATATTCGATCCATCATCTACTCCCATCAGACGGCCTGCAAGGCCTTGGCATTTCGGCAGCGCCGGAGGAAGAGGAATGTCGACCACCTCAACCCCGGGTGTTCGGTGAAGATGTTGAGCCACTTCGTCAAGAATGCGGGTAATTGGAGGCAGAGGAGTAACAAGGCCGTCAGTCTTGAGAATGCCGATCGTGAAGTTGCGTGGAGGCGCCAATGAGGCTGGCACCGAGGGGGAAGGCCAGTATCCTGGAATACAGTCCTCTCCGAAAAGTTCTGCACGCGGCACAATTTCCCCCATGACAGCCGCAATATCGGCAACCGAGCGTGCCAGGGGACCGGCCACAGGCTGGAGAGAAATACGGGACTTGCCGTCAAGCTGCCCACTCTCCTGTCCGCCGTAAGGCACGCGGCCACTGGAAGGCTTGAATCCAAAAATTCCCTGGCAAAACGCCGGCACCCGAATGCTACCACCGATATCTGTCCCAAACCCAACCATTGAACCGCGCATCGCCAGTAATGCTCCCTCGCCACCCGTGCTGCCACCGGCTGTCCATTGGCGATTCAAGGGATTCAGTGTGCGGCCAAAAAGGTGGTTGCAGCTATCAAGGGTTCCGAGGGTTTGGGGGATATTGGTCTTAGCAATGATAACCACGCCAAGGGACTGGAGCAAATCTACCAAGGGGGCATTGGATTTCGCAGGCTTAAATGCCAGTGCTGAAAGGCCAATGCTTGAGTCGACACCCTCTATGCAAAAGGTATCTTTAACAGAGACCGGGAGGCCATGCAAGGGACCAACAGGGCTACCGGTGCGTTGGAGATGCTCATCAAGCTCTTTTGCTCGGCGAAGGGCACGATCAAAGAGAGGCTCGGTCAAACAGCGGGTGAGTTGGTGGGCCACGGCTGCTCTCTATAATGAACGATCAGCATGAGGAGGATGAAGCTATCCCTGTAATTACCCTAGGGAAACTACCTTGCAGAACGCTTGCACCACCTGCTCGGCACTGAACCTGCCCTCGGTCATCTCCGACACCAATCCGCGGACATCGTATTTTTCTGTGATATCTAGCTCCTTTGCGGACAGGATACCACAGGAACGCGGGATGCTCATAACATTAACTCGGCCGTATTGTTTCGGACCCTCGGTGATGGACTCGGCGGGCGAGAGCATCCCGGCAGGAATGAGATGCGCCGGCAAGCGCCATTCCGCGGGGATTGCAGCAGCTAATTCAGCCTGCTTACGCTCAGCGATAGCAATATAGGCGGGCTCCTGGGGTGCCATGGCATGGATGGTGTTCAGATTAAAGTGCTATCCGCGGCGGCTGCAGCAGGACCGCTTAAAAGCGCGCGGGAATACCGATGCGGGGAATGTAAGGTGGAGAAGCCTCGGTCCAGGCGATTATGCCGACCCAACTTGATTCCAATTCATTTCAATCGCGACCTCTCCGCATTATTGGTCAGTTTGTCTATCTACATTGAGGTTCAAAACCGCGACACATCCCGCCCGAATAATCTGTTCAAAGTCCACCGAAACGCCACCCGAAGCTTATTGCGCCAGCTGATACTCATCGTAATGTATGCCGCGTTCCAAACGAGTCTGGCCATGCGGCCGGTGATTCCCTCGGGCAAATATTTACTACGTTTTTGAGGGTCCTTTGCATCATGGGGGATCTGCATCAGCGCCTTCTCACTCCCAATGTACGCCAGCGTGCCCATGTTGCGGAATGAGAAGGGTGGTGTTTGTGACAGGTCCTGCTTGTTCAAATGCGCCGCGAGCCATTTCGCTTCCTGGAATGTCGCCTGGGCCGTGGCTGGAGGAGCGCCAGTCTCTGGCATTGCATTGTCTCCCAATGCAAAGACATCATTCAACACGGCCGTGTCTCCGGCCTCGTTTTGAAGCTGCACTCGAAGATGTCCGTCGACCAACAGGGCCCCCGTCTTTGACACCTTCCTGAACTCCCAAGAAGACTGGTCTGGAGGAAGACCAGGGCTCTGGTCACCGTTCATAGTCCAAACAGAATTGACTGGGAAATCCTCGACTTTGCTTAGTGACTGGCTTACAAGCTTGGTCATTGCATTGCCAGTCACCCATACACACATTCCGGTACCGACCTCGCCCTCCTCCTCTGTCGTCAAGGTTAAGCACCGCTTAGGGTCCATCTCATGGGGTCCAGGTGCACCAGGCGCACCCCAGCGCAAGCTCTGTACATGATGCGAGGTCTTAATGTCGATGCCCTCGCTCTTCATTGTCTCCATGGCGTACTGAGAGAGAGATTTATCAAACGAGGACAACACTTGGGGCGCGACGTCATAGAGACTGATTTTGGGTATTCCTTCAAGGGCAGGGTAAAGCACACTCATATCCTTATAGATGAAGTCTCGGAGTGATGCCGCCAATTCAGTCCCAGTGGGCCCTGCACCAACAATAGCGAAGTGCAGAAGCCATTTGCGCATGTCGTCGGTGGCCGTCGGTAGCACGGCCAACTCGAAGCATTCACGGACTCGACGCTTGACGCGCTTTGCATCGCCGATGTCTTTGAAGAACATAGCATTCTCCCTAACTCCCGGCGTGCCGAATGTCCGGCTGACAGCACCAACGGCAATGACTAGTTTATCGTACGGGACTTCGAAAGTTTCGCCCTGTTCCCATTCCCGCAGCTGCCGCATGGGGTGCTTGGAAGTGGTCTCGGGCCCTTCATCGACATCTCTCCCATCCTCGGATGTGCGCGGAGACTCGGTGACACCACTTCTGACCACCGTTGCCTCGCATAGAATGGTTTTCTTTTTCAAGTCGATGGTTCGCGCAGCAGCCTGGATGAAGTCAACCTGAGCGTGGGGATCTCGTACAGGTTCGACAATGTTGGAGAAATCCAGGGAGCCGCTGGCTGTGTCGGTCAGGAGTGGAGTGAAGACAAAATAGGAGCGCGGGGAGATCACGATAGGAGAGAAGCTTTTGGGCGAGAGCCGGCGAGATACGGTATAGCCACCCCAGCCAGACCCGAGGATGACCACTCGTTCTTTCTCGTGATCGGACTTGTCGATTGCGACTGAGTGCTTGATATGTGTCGCGAGATACCTCCGCGAAGGCTTGGAAGTGCCCAAACTAGATGAAGGTTTTAAATGGGCAGGATGTACCGGGCAAGGCGAGCGCGAAGCCAGAGCCCGTAGCAATGGCTTGGGCGGCATTGTTAAGGAGATATATGAGCCAATATCAGGGTATTACAAAGTCTCAGGCATCGATTACTATGGGAATCTGGAGCTATATACTACGGGTACAAAAATTGAGGATCATAGACTTTCCGCTGACACATGCATGACTTCATCCCGTCTCGACGCATTGGGGGGAGGGAAAAGGAAGGAAAGACTCGGATCGGGATCCCAGGCACACTTCTCTTCTCAGATCCACCGAAATCCACCCGGGAGCGGATGGATGAACTCCCGTCGCCATTTTCTGGTGTTGGGGATGTTGGGGATAACGGAAGGAATGTCTCCAAGGGGAATCCCGGAACCCTTCGCGGTCATCGGTGAAAATAGTGGCACGTGCCACGGGAGTCCATCGGAAGATTCAGGCGAGATCTGTTCTCGATATTTGTTCACATGGCAGATGGCAGAGATTTGGAATGGTACAGCTAAATTCTAAACTGCCTTCCATGTTTTACGCAGAAACTGTCGAGAGAAAAGAGGCCGCCAATACGGCGAAGACCCACATATTCCGATATGCATGCTATTCCAAGAATACCCGACGCGCTGCCTGGTTCTGTATGGTATCCGGTGTATACTCAGAATACAGCGCTATAACAAACTAGTCGGCGAGATAGGGAACTCAACATAATCAACACTCCCTGCCAGCAATCTTAGACATGTTAGACATGGTCAAATTTAGCGTCACGTTCCATTGGATCCTCATCTTTACAAGCCTACATTACTATATTGACAGATGCTAATACGATATTATCATCGTAATTATATGTTTGATTAATACGCTTTCTGCTAATATTGACCTGGCTCGCCTTACCTATAGCGGGTGGTTTATCTCCTTGGAAGTATAGATTCAAAAATGCGTACATTACATGGGAGAGGATGAATCGCCAAGCATTTAGCGCTGCTAGCTAGGTGGAGCCTCGAACCTCCGAGATTATCCGCCAAGATCTACAAGGTTCTGTACTCATCACGACAGGAGATTTGGGGGGGGGGGGTTTGCCGTGTCATTCACGCTGACATTATCCATAGCCATGATACGGAAGTTGGAAATCTTGGTCCAGCACCTCGTCCGGTACATCGCGAGTGGTTTCCCGCAACGCCTCACTGAGCCCTATGGACGGAGATGCCATCCGCAGGCATACTTCTAGTGTGCCTTGCATAGCCATTTGACCCGCTTGATCAGCATTTCTACTTTAAATGGCGTTCTTTGAATCCGAATGGAAAGTGGGACACATAACGCGGTCGAATTTGCATTCATAGGAAGATCAGGCCGAATAATCGGCTGTCGGTCGAAATATCGCATTCCGAAGGCCCGTTGCCCAATCTATCTTGGGGGTCTACCTTCATTGAAACATTGATAATTCTTGCCACATCACCGCTCGCTCAGCGGAGCTTGGACCTCATCCCAATGCCTCTTATCTTCTGAGCGATTGCCTGGAAGAACAATAGCACGATCAAGCTTGTAAGGCAATCCACGATGACGACCCCTGATCATCATCACACAGATAACGAGTTTGCTGAAAACTGTGAATTCTCCCGAAAGAGATGTTGAGACGGTAGGGTAGCCTAGACTGAGGCCCACGTTTCCGCTACAGTAGAGTTAGCAAGGGTGTGAGCTGTTAAAATCTAGTGTGGCCCTCACTATGCTGAAAAATAGGCATCAATGGCCTTGAGGTTGCCATACGGGTAGATGATAACCAGGCTCAAAATGCTGAGAATGATAATCCATGCGTCTATCAGAATCGATTAGCGCAAAGCGGAATTTGTACAGAGTATGCACGTACAATGCAACGAGAGAAAGTTTATCGGTGGCTTCCACATGGCGCAAAATGGGGAACGTCAGGGGTGGGAGTCCTCGAGGGGTCTTCCGAACATCAATATATAGCTCAGACATATCTGGATGTCAAAACTTCCGAATGTAATTAACATTCAGCCCGATGGTTCTACTCTTTATGTGAGCGACCTGATTGTGCAAATCAGGTCAAGGGCTGAGCGCCACTGCTGCAGCTTAAGGATGATCTTCCCCACCACCGTCAGTGTCATCTTGCGACTCCGCTGTCTGAGGCTAGGCTTGATCCGTCGATGCCAAGCACGAACATCGCGCTCCGATATTCACAAAGGCTCGGGAAATTCCCGCATACTGCATCTCACTACAGAAATGAATTGTATATATGGGCTTTTTACGGTCGCAAAAGCAAAGCGGGGGGAGTGTTCGTTTCTTTTCCCATACTTGACAACAGGAGATGCCGGATGTTTCAAATAGTCCCACTACGTCTTCTGCCGTGATAGCTGTCATCTGCGTGGTGTTGGTTGTCGGGTTATGGTAAGAATCTGCCAAAAAGAAAATATGCCAGCCTATGTCACTAAGCACACTTGTCCTATTTTCAAAGTCTTGCTGGCTTTGCTCAATGGTTTTGTCGCCAGAGAAGACAATCAAGATCGTCTGCACGGGATCATCCCGTATTGCCAATATACAGACTCACGCAGCCGCAGACAACTGAGGTTCAAAAGCAGCCTCAGCCGCTGCCGACTAAGGATGATCTCAGCCGACTCCTACCGATCATGGATTACAAAATGTGGAAGGAACAACAAATACACGCAAGGCACTGTCTTAAAATCAAATTAAGAAGTTATATAGGCCTGTGCTAATAGTCAGAACAGAGCGAACTCGGTGAAGCTTGCGGCTGAGAATGCCCTAACCGCCGTTTCCAATCTCGAGATCTCTACTCCAGCTTCCATCTCCTCAGCTGAACATCACGTGTATTTATTGCCAATAAAACGTGCCATTGCTGAAGTCGGAATAACAGATACCGATGCATCCTCGAAAAAGCAGTCGCGTCTCGAGTTATCCCAATCATCTGATATCATTGAAACGTATTTACCAGCTGCGCGGCAAAAGAAAAACCAGTCGGCCTCAGATGTCGAGTTTTCGAACTATTCTTGCGCTATATGCTTGAGTATTATCGAAGATGGAGTTTATGTACGCGGTCTTCCCTGTGGTCATGCTTTTCATGTTGATTGCATCGACAAATGGTTAATTTGGCGCCAACGATGCTGCCCATTATGCAAGGCGCCGTATCAAAAAAGCTCAGGAGAGGCATAGAAAAAGAACTTTCCAAGAAATATCGGTAATTTCCTAATTACAAACATTTAAACACCTTTTCCCCCCCTGCGATAGAGTTCCATGTTGCAGGCTATCTTCTGGAGCACATATCAGCTTTCCCACGACGTATTTTCAATATTGAAGCTTGGATATTGGGAAATAACCTCTTGTACTTGTTCCTCCTACGGCTGGAATGTTTCAACATGCCTGCCAATCACGAACAAACCTCATAGCCAGTCCAAGAGGCTGGGACGAGAAGACCCGGGAAACCCCTATTCAACTCTGCCGGGACACGACCAGTGATTGCACACAATCTTCAATTCAGTATACCAAGTGAGTGTGATTACTGTAGAGGTCCAGGCGAACTACCTAGTTCGGAAGAAGTCGGATAATCGACGATCGGCGACCATGATAATTATGGGCGATGCGACCAATCCAGGGTTCCCCATTAGACATCGTTTCTATTTCCATGAAATAACACTGGCAATTGTGCCCAGGATAACCAGTGCCACATCACCCGCATAATCTTTATCTGCCTTTATTTGCATAGCTAGCCCTATCGTGAAAACGACGAGGCTGAAGATTGCGGTGGACAGTCTCAATTTTCGCTTCCCAAACAGCAGGGATAATCCCACGAGTGTGTCGATAATAGGTGTGATAAGGGCGACCGTGGAGCCGTCATCAGGGGCATGGTACTCCTGGAATTCGTACCACCAAGGGGTATATTGGCCATGTGTAAAGCGAGAGAAGGCGCCAAGGAGAACAACCGATGCGAGAGTGAATGTTGGGATCTTGGCTAGCAACGAAGCCATTTTGTTTTGGTTCGTGGAGAGTATTCAGATACAAGTTTGGATGTAGTTGGTCGAAAAGAGAGAAAGAGAGAAAGTAAGACCAGACTACCGAGTTTACGACGACTGTACTGTCTGGGGGCCGTTTGTCATATGACATGCAGTACAGCCTTGCACTCTGCACTCGGCCTCAACAAGTTCAGAATTGCCATGTTGATCATTATACTGTGATTGTCGTACTACTTCCTTTGACAGGCCCAGATCTAATAAAGTGGAAAGCTTCCCTGATTGCTCGCTCTCCGAGCCCGACCTATAGCTCTCCACAGCAGACTTGCCACCTGTGTGGCGCAACCTTGTGGCGCGCGTCGATGACTCAGAAGCTCGGTCGTCCGTATCCCCGAGCAACTCCACCTCGGACTTTAACCATTTTGGTTCATCCGTTTGCCTCCCCGCAGCTTTACGGCTTCGACGGTCTTCGGACATCGTCTATGGCGCTTATCGAAACAGGAAAACGTACGCATTCTCGGCTGCCCAAGAGGCCGACGGCGAATAGTATTCCTCCAGGGTCCAAGGCAGCGTCGTTGTACGTAGACAGGGGGTGACGACCACGGTGGCTGCCTATGGCCGAGGAGCGAAGTATATAAGGACTCGCAATTCCATAGTTCGGAAAATCAGATTCTATCACGGTCTACATTTCTATTCTTGATCTTTTCTTGTTTTTTTCTAAAGAAAAAAAGCCCATCTTTGCTACGTCTTGAGAGATAATCCAACATTTACTCTAGATAAGATCTTCTTGTCTGTAGTCTGTTGCAACATCCAAGATGGCTTCCATCTACTCTTTAAACCACCCTTCTAATCCCTTCTGGGATTACATGGCGTCGTCTCTGCAGGACCATCCTTTCTTTGCTCCTCGAGGTCATCACCATCCTCCTCCCCCTCCCCCCTTCTGGGGCTGGGGCAACCACCATCATCCTCACCACCATCGCCGTGGCCCTCCTCCTTTTGGGGGATGGGATGAGCAAGCCCAGCATGAAGATGAAGCCGAGGTCCCCCGTGCCGCAGAGCAAAACACTGAGGCCACCCCAGGACCCTCTACCCCAGCAGAGAACGTCAAGGAAGCAGAGAAAGAAGCTTCATCCTCCGAGTCCGAGTCTGACAAGCACCCTCGTCGCCATGGCCGCTGCGGCAAAGGAAAGCACCATGGCCGTGGTCCCCACGGACTAGGTGGAGAAAAAGGCGGCAAGGGCCGCTGTGGGCCCGGCCACCATAAGGGTTTCCCAGGTCATCACGGCCCTGGACCATATGGACATCCTGGAGCTGGTTTCTTTGGACCCCACGGAAGAGGAGGTCGCCATGGTGGACGAGGCGGTCGAGGCAGACATCACCGTGGTCCACCTCCATTTGGCGCCGGACCAGGCTTCCCTGGTTTCGACTTTCTGCGCAACATCGCGTCTCAATTTGACATCCAGTTGAACGGCCCAACTCCGGAAGGTGTGGACTTTGTGCCTTCCGTTGATATCTTCGATGCCCCGGCCAGCTATTTTGTGCACGTTTCGCTTCCTGGTGCAAAGAAAGATGATCTGAGCATTGACTACGACACTGACGAATCAGTGCTGCGCCTTGCTGGAGTTGTTTATCGCCCTGGGATGAATGAAGATCTGCACCAGGCTATGGTCATGGAAGAACGTGCCCGGGAGGTGGGCGTCTTTGAGCGTGAAGTCCGACTCGGAACCCACGAGTCCCCCGCGGCTATCTCCGTCGATGAGATTACCGCTAAGTTAGAAGACGGCGTTCTGATTGTGACTCTGCCCAAGATTGAGGCCGAGCCAGAACCAAAGAAGAAGGTGGTCGTCGAAGATGGAAACACGATGAACGAGAAGGATGCTATGCATGTGGATGAACGTGCGAGCGTGACCTTGACTCCGGAAGGAAGTGACTCTGAGGAAGAGGAGACTAAGGAATATGTCAAGGTGCCTGTGCAGTAGGCCAAGATTAATATGTACTTGATTGATATGTGATTTCTCTGGGAGTCTGGGAGTTAGCGTTCGAATTTTGATTATTTTGGCTTTTGGTTAGTATTTATTGTTTCTCGTCAAATAATAAGCCCCACTCCTCTTTGAGTGGTATACCACAACACATCATTCCATTTCACAAGGTTCAAAAAACACTGTCATCTTCGCCCAGTGACATGCAAACTTTCTAGTAGATGTAAACTTCTAAATTTCGATGAGACGCGATGCTTTTCATTCAATACCGGGCTCCCATTTTGATTAAGTCTCCTAAAAGGGAATAATTGTACACATGAGATCAAAAGGAAGATATAGAGCGTCCACGTTAGTATGATTATTAGGATAATTCCTACCATGCGCTTTTTGAAGACGGTAGAGACAGTGAGGGAAATGGTAATTGAAGAATTCAATTATTTTATTAACAACATATATTATATCTACCTGAACACCCACTGCTTTGGCCAGACGAGCCATTCCTGAAACAAAGGATCCATCTTTGTCTCAATATCCTCCAGTACCTGCCATGCCGTGCCTTTAATATACCAGAAATTGTCTATACTCTGGAGCAGAACACAGTAGTATGCCAGGAGCACAAGTGCTGCGGGTCGATGAGCCTCCAGATCTTGGTGGAACTGTTTCGAGAGTGGATATGCCCACATGAACGCCATGCCGGTTTCTACGTGAGGACCCGCCAGTTCCAGCTGCCGCGTACAATTCTCGTAGAAGGTGAGAGCAATGCTATAGTCTTTCTTTGTTCCTGTGTTGTCTTTGTGAGACTCCGCCTGGGTTTCATTATCCTGCGGGTTTTCCAGGTGGGATTGATCGCATTCAGGGAATGGGTATTCATCAATAAATTGATGTAGCCGGGCTATCTGGTCCCATATGTCTGGCGGAAGTATCGATTGTGCAATCACAGAAGGACTACATACTAGACTTAGTTCTCACCCATTAAAAAATCTCGGTCAAAGTACATACCTTGCAATCGTCATTTCGCTCTGGATCCAAACGGCGTGGGCCAATGGTGCGAGCTGGGTACGAGAAAGAGATGGCAGAAATGGCTTCATGATTGACTGAAAGCCCTTGATACTGGCAAACAGCTCCACCATATTTGATATGGGATCCGGCCACCTCGAGACGCCCAGGCGGATGGGCCCAGTGCAAACAAGCACTGCAATCATGCTCGCAAAGCAGAATACCGGCTGCCAGTTGGCCGGATCGATCGGCAATGCAATGAGCTCTCGGAATTCCTTCAGTCCGGCAGCGAGATGGTAGGCCGAAGCCCTAAGGAGCCGTTGTTTCTGCGTGGGATTCGAACATTGAGAAGCACGGTGGACAGCAGCGATGGCGAGGATACCATGCATGACATATTTATTCTGATAGCCTTCCATCGGTATAATAACACGCCAAACATGCCGTAGGTCTTCCCGGATGGCCATGTAATTGCATGTTACACTACAAAAGTAATGCATTAGTTCAAGATCCAGTGCCCAGTCCTCCTTTGGGACGGATGGATTCTGCGGTGCGATAGATGAGGTAGGCGCACTCGGCAGAAGTCCCAGCAAATCCAGCCGGTCTTCTGACTCCAGATTGATATCTGCATTGGATAGCATCCACGAGAAGCCGCTACTTGGGGTTGACGCTTGGCTGCCCGGCTGTGAATGTCCATAGACAGTGGGTTGAGGCGAGGGCATATGCCCCTGGGGCTGGGATGCTGGCGATACGCTGTCGGTGGACTTGCCAATTGGTTCTTTTGGAGGGGCATAACTACATGAAATTGCATGTTTGACGCAATTCGTACACGGAAAGCGCTCATCGCACTATCAAGAACGTGAGCCACGTAATGGGCCACGCCCAGTGATTCGGAAGAACTTACCTTTAGCCTCCGCTGTTTGCACTCGGGACAGCCATTCCGCGACTTGCGATGTGATCTGCGCGGTCCCATTATCAGGCCTCGGGGCTCGATTTTTGCAGTAGACGATTAGACGCTACTCTGGGGAGGCGTGGGTAACTTAAAGCAATTCGAGTTCGGATACGGGTGCGAATACGGACTCGAATTCGCGGCTCCACCGAAGAGCCTGCAGGACCCACATAGAGCGGCTGTCTGATGGCCGGGGGCTTCATTGAAACGTCGCGAATTCACGAACAGCGAATGATTTCGACAATATTTATTACTGCAGATAGCTGTTGACCGTTGCAGTCTTGAAAACCTTGCGGCATAGGTATGATAAGGAGCCAATTGGCAGCAGATGAACATGCCAGCGGTGTCAAACTTGACTACGCACTTCCATTCCGTGTCGAATAAGCCGAAGCCTGGGACAAGTGGGTAGCCGGCGTTTGCGCTCACTCCTATCCCCCGGTCCTTGGCGCCCAAAATTAGTATTTGGTAGTCGGTTCGAGGGTTCAAGCGTAGCAATGCCTCAATCTGCAACGAGTCAGATTAATCCATATATAATGGTTTTCCCACCGGATCCTCGAAAATGATACCCAACCTTCATCAAGCCCTGAATCCCGCACATTGCGACAGGCAAAGATGAATCACGACAACCTTTATGGGTATGTCCCGTCCCTGGCAGCTGGCATCCTCTTTATCATCCTTTTCGCCGCCACGACTATCTACCATGGCGTTCAGCTCAGCAAGGCCCGGTGCTGGTACTTCATTCCCTTCGTGATTGGCGGAATTTGTATGTCCCAATCTCTTGAAATCAAGAAAAGAGAATGCGTCCTCTAATGCCCCATTCCAGTTCAAATCATCGGCTATATCTGCCGCGTTATCGCCCGCAACAATCTCTCCTCGGTACCCATCTACGCCCTCCAATCCGTCCTGATCCTTCTCGCGCCACCGCTCTATGCTGCCTCCGTCTACATGGTCCTCGGCCGGACAGTCACCTACTTGGCCGCCGAGCCGCTCAGTCTCGTCCCCGTGCGCTGGATGACCAAGATTTTCGTCGCCGGTGACGTCTTCTCGTTCTTCCTGCAGTCCGCCGGTGGCGGCCTCATGGCATCCAGCAAGACCAGCACGCGGAACTTGGGCTCCAACGTCGTCATCGGTGGCCTGGTCGTACAGCTTCTGTTCTTCGGCTTCTTCGTCGTCGTCGCGGCCATCTTCCATGCCCGCATTGCGCGCGGGCCAACGCCCAAGGCGCAGATGGATCGCGATGCCACACGCCACCTAGGCTGGCGACGGCGGAATTGGGAGACCGTGCTGTTGGGGTTGTATATGGTGAGCGCACTGATTCTGATCCGGTCGATCTTTCGGTTGGTCGAGTATAAATATGGGTTTGATGGGTATATCATGACACATGAGGCGTTCATGTATGTTTTCGATGCGATGTTGATGTTCTTCGCCATGGTGATCATGAATCTGTATCACCCGGCGGAGATTCTGGGAGACGGCAAGGGTGGGAATTTGGAGCTTTCGGAGTATTCTGAGGCGGTTCGTTTGTAGCTGAGAAAGTTAAACCGCAAATGCGTGCTTTGAGTCAATCTGGAAGGGGTTAGATTTGGAATGCTTGCTTTTCAGGAGTTCTGTTCATGCATATCATGTTTTATTTTGGCGTTATATTGGGGATCTCTCGAAGCGTTTTGTTGGCTGCGAATGCTAGAAACAGGTATAGAAGGTATAATAAATGACAACACAAGCACATGGCGCAAAGCCTTCCCAGAAATAACTCAAATCATATCACTCATATCGTCATGTATAAGGCCGGTATTCTGTACTCCGACGGACTTCGTAGCTTTTTCGAACCGATCCAGCGGCCAACCCATTGGAATACAGACCGACTGGCGGTCTGGAGACGCCGGTGCCCCGAGTCGAAACAGGCAGCAGGCTTGGCTCATAGTCGACCTCACCGCTGCGGCGTGTTCGCGCCAGGCTAATGATCTTCTCCATCTCCAGCGTCTGGAGGTGGCCGTCTCCGCGATCCGAGACTGGTGCGGTCTCTTTTTTGCGAGAGAGCCAGTGGCGGCCCTTTAAAGCGCTGAAAAAATCGCCAATGTCATCGACAGACAAGGCAACCAGAATAAGCGGGATGGAAATGGCAAATCCAACCCCAAACGTATATTTAGCCACGTATCCAAGATTCAGATTGTCAAACTCTTTCATGTTGATGGTGAAAATAGAGGTGATGAAAGATAACGGCAGGAACACAATGGTCACAATGGTGAAGACCATGATGGTCTTGCTCTGTCTAGTGGTACCGGCGGCTTGGTCGCGCGCGAAGCGAGCCTCGAAAGCATTGGCGTGTTTCTGCTTGAGATCGAGCAGGTCAGTTATGGAGTGATAGATGCGTTCGGCTTGTTTATCCATCCGGTCGATGTCCTTCAGATGCATGTCAATCATGCGCTGCTGTTCTTTGAACCGCTTTTTGACTTCATTCTGCGAGCGGTGCTGTCCCTGGTATATCTCCCATATGACCTCTTGGAAATCTGCCAGAACATGTTTTTGATGCTCGAGAACGGTGCGAATCATATTGAGTTCGTCTCGAATATCCTTGGCCTCGGCCAAGAGATCAGTTTCTTCGCCGATGTCCAGCAGCCGGTCAACGAAGAACGGCTGGCCGTCATCAAGGTAGGAATCCTCGTCGTCGTCGAGGTTATGATTCTCCTCTGCTGTGCCCCGGCGTGCGGAACTGTTGAGCTTGCGATGGCTCTTGAGCCATCTCGATGCTTGTACGGAGGCATGATTAAAACGATTGAAGAGGAGGGTTTCTCGATCAGTAGCAATACCAATGGAGGATTCAAACATATCCAAGAACTGGTACTCGTCGTCTCCAAGGCGATGGCGGTCAAAAACACCAGAACATCTATTGGTAATCGTGATGGCCAGATCGTACACGGATCTCACTGGGTCTCGAGTCTTAGAATTGATATCCTCAATAATCCCATCCAACACATTGAGTGGGTCATTCTTTGGTTGATCCCACCGTTGCGGGAAGCTGGTTACAATGAGATTAGTACCGAGAATCCACATCCAAAGCTGGTCCACCATGAATATCTTAGGATCTGAACCCGAGCCTTCGCCAGGACCTTTTGTCTGGTATCGGTAGACTACCTGATCCTGGTCTCGGCTCTGAGTATCAATGTTGGGGTAGAAAAATTGGTCCAGCGTTCGGCGAACGTGGAGAGACGTCGTGGACGAGGACAAATGGGCATCGATCAGCATTTCATCCCGCGTGCGAGTCTTTTTGATCTTGCCCGGCTGAAAGGTCAACATCTCGGCCCGTTGGATGGCTTCTTGCATTTTCTGCCGGCGCTCCGCAGTCTCGAAATGAAGGTAGGGCATGAAAACGCAGACATTCCATGTCGAGCTAAGACCATGGGGATCCCGGCATAGAGATGGGGAAAGAGGGGATGGCCGTGTTTGCTTATCCCATAGGGACTTGTGCTTTGCTTCTGTCTTGGGGGTACCCGAATTGCTTCCAGTCTTGCCTCCTTTCTTGTTCTTGTTTTTCTTCGAAGACGCGGCACTCTCGTCGTGGGACTGGGAAGAGTCGACTCGGTCAAGCTTACTTCCGGGTCCTTTCTGTTTGCGGTAGACAGAGCTATTATCTGTCATGACTGACGGCGCAGGCTCTGGCTGTTCTTCCGGCTTTTCTTCCTCGCGCCGCTTCAGGGTCCGCGGCGTGTTCTGGCACAATGGTCGCATAAAATGCGAGTGAATCTTCTGCCCTCGATGTTGGTAGTTGAAGGATTTCTCGAGTCCCTTAAAGCCATCGACATCATGCGCCCCCTCTTCAATGAAGGATTTTGTAAGGAGCGCCTCTACCCAAGCCATGTTATTTGCCGGCAGGTGAATCCAACGAAAATCAGTAGCGCGACTGTCCGCAGGCACAGTGGTGACAGCTTGCTTTCGGGGATTCTCTGGATCGCGCCCATATAGCAGGTTGAACACCGACATCCGTTTCACGCGGTTCTCGTTGTGGAAGTTCCCGAAGTCCACCACGGTTGCATCAAACGCAGCAGATGCATCCCGGACATCATCAGAAAGAGACTCGACGTTATTGAACGGCGCCAGAAGCAGCACAATATCCCTGCGCTTGAACTGAGCTGCCCGCAAAAAGGGCGTACTGCCAAAGTTATCTCGTACTCGGCGCTTCAAATCAGATCGCTCCAGTAAACACTCTACCACTTCGCGGTGACCCCCTGGGCTGCAAGATGCAAAGGTGTCACTCCGTTTAACAGCTGGCTATTGATATGCGCGCCCGCGCGCAGCAGAATCTGCACAATCGCCTCGCAGCCTCGCTCGCAGGCATTATGGAGCGGCGTCCATCCGCCATCACTGCAGGCATTTAAATCGGCACCGTGCGATAATAAAAGCTGTACCAGGTCCGCGCGGTCATGCGAGGTCGCGATATGCAACGCCGTCTTCCCTCGCAACTCGGTGGCGTCGATTTGAGCCTTGGGTCCGTCGGGCCGGGTCAGAAGCAGCTCAGCCATCCGCCCATTGCCCGTCGCGCACGCCCAATGCAGCGGTGTGCGGCCCAGCTCGTCCTGTCCGTCGACCCCGTCAACCTGGCAGGCCGTGCGTAATAGCAGCGCGACGATCTCATCCCCCCAGCTCCAGCGGCACTCCTTGTCCGCTGCCAGGTTATGAAGTACATTGCGCTTGCGGTGGTCGCGCGCGTTTACATTGGCCTTGCGCATAATGAGCAGTTGCAGCACGTCGGCATGATTCTTCCACGCAGCAGTCATCAGCGCCGTGCGGCCCTCTTTGTCGGCAGTATCGGGGGATGCGCCGTAGTCCAGCAGCAGGCGCACAATCTGGTAGTGATCGCGCTCGACGGCGCGCAGCAGTGGAGAGAGACGGTTGCCGGCCACGTCTGTTTTGGCGCCGAGCTGGAGGAGGCATTCGGTTGCGGCAATACAACCGCGCTCAGCGCTACGCATGATCCCGACGCGCAGAAAGTTGTCGCTGAATTGGCCATTTTCACGAGCGAGAGCAATGACATTGCGAAGGCCCTCAACATCATTGTTCTGGACGGCCTTGAGCAGCCGTGGCTCCAAGCGTTCGTGGCCGTCGCTCGTCATGCTGGAAGATCGGGGCATCGTGGGCGAAACGACCGCAGCCGGAGGATAGGTAAGGTTGAGTTGGCCGTTGCAGTTTTATTCCATTGCGTGACGTTGCTAGGAAATCCCCCGAGATGGATGGCTTGACTCTCTGTGGGCGATGTACTTGGGGGGCAGACTTTCGCGGGCAGGTGAGAGTCGACAGTAAAAAAAGTTCAGGTTGATTTTAGCCTCGGGGCTAGATGCGACAGGGAGGGGGCGGCGATTAGGTAAGGGATGTAAAGAGAAGATCTGCACTTGAAAACGATCTTTCCTTCCCCCTGATTAAAGACGGGAAGGTGTATCCATTTTCAAATCCGCCGTGGCTGCTCAGCCTCGTATTGCATTGAGCCTTTTGGCCGACCGCGCCACCCGTTGCGATGCGGGGGGAGGGACAGTCAGCACACATCCCCCCCACAGCTCTTCCATTGAGACAGCTGCCATTTGAAGAATGCATGATAACTGGAATGTCCGATAAACTTAATCTCAAAGGACAGGAAGAGGTTGTGGCTATGAAAGGTTGAAGTTGTGGTTCATAATACACTGCGGAGCACGTGGAGAGGACCCATGGTTCAACGGACCGCAAAAGGAAGAACAACAGTTCTTGGAAATAAATCAGATCAAGGTGATTGGACATACGTTTAAAGAAAGGTTTCTATACAATCATTAATGGTGGATAACGAACTACATCAAGTGGTCTATGGGTAAAAAAACTTCGAAACTGAAATACTCATACACCTCTTCATTGTGCAGATATTAGAATATCTCTATTTTCTATCAAACAAAATTACTAGAAGCAGAAGGGGAATCCAGCACAAGGAAAGTAGAGAGGGGGAAGGAAAGGAAAAAAAAAAAGAGACAAGAAAAATGATGTGTTCCCTCCTTCGGGGATGCTGATGATGCTGATATCATGATGCTGATAGTAATTATGATGACGGTGTCTCTCTGTTCATGCTTCTCCCGGTAAATTAAGTGCTTTTTGATCTCTTCGCTTCCCTGTGCATCACGCCGTTCCAACCCGTGTGAATTCAGATCACAAAATATGCGCCTATCAACAAACAATCAAGGGGGAAAGAAGAAAATGGGAAAGGGGGCAAGCCAGGGCAATGTGAAAGAGGGGGAAAGAGAAAAGGAAAAATAAAGAAACGATCTCGATTCTGCCAGAAACCCAGGCCAAGCACCATGAGAGAACAAGAGAAAAGGAAGGACGGGAAAATAAGACAATCATGAGTTGATGATCAACGTTTCTTCTTGTCCTTGTTGGGAACTTCCCTCAGAATATCGTCAAAACTCATGTTCGGGTTGAACCGGCTGATGGGGCGACTGGGAGGCTCAATGGGGGCAATGCCTGCAGGAAGAGGCAATGCCTCAAGACCAGGATAGATGGAGTGGCGGTGATCAGCTCGCTGGGCAGCGTTTGGAGAGCGATTACGAGGAATCGCGGGAGGAGGCGGGGTCAGACCACCGTGAATCGACATGTGGTTGGGTTGTGGCTCAGACGAAGAGCCTGCAGAGGACTGTTGACCTTGGTAAGGAGACGAAATCGATGACTCGTTCTCTTCATAGGCATCCTCCACCATGCCCACTGGCGGTTCAATAAGGGCACCGGCTTCAGCCCACTGCTCGGCCACCTGCCAGCAGTGGCTTCGACGATAAACACCTTCGACACCGTTGATGACCACGTCCGACGGCAAACTGACGACACCAGCACCACCAGCAACACCAAACCAGCTGCGAGCAGTCTTGGTGTCGTTGTGGATCCAGGGAGCACCCCCACGAGGAGCAATGCAGAGGAAGTATTCCACACCTTCGGAAAACCGAACCTCAGGAACGTCGACTACCAGCATGGGGAGGGACTGGATCACTGCATAGAGGAAGATCCATTGGCCGCAACGGAGGTCAATAAGATCATCGACACTCTTACCATTGGCGCATCGTCGCTCAAACTGCATGAAGGCTTCGATGAAAGCGGTAGGCCGCATGCTCTCGCGAGTGTAGGACTCCATGAGGACCGCGTTGATGTCAGAGTTCTTCAGCTTCTTACCACGCTGCTTGGCTTCCTTCTTCGCATCCAGCGGCTTGCGATGCAGAAGCTCGACGGATGGCAGTTGAGGGATATCGAAAGGAATCGGAGGAAGCACTGGCGGGGTACTCCGATCGTACTCGCTGAGAATCTGGCGGAGCGCCCGCTTGGTGATGTCCTTGTGGTCGGTATTGGAAGGATCGCCGCCGGATCCCGACGAATCAATGGTGCGAGTGGTCAGGGAGGACCGATCTACCAGCAGATCATACAAGTCGGTGAAGTCCCGGTATAAATCCCGAAGGAGAAGGCGGTTCAGACCACTTTCCTCAAAGTCGTTCTTCTTGGAGCGCGCCTTTGGTGGCCAGGCACCGTATTTGTTTCGGTAGAACTGCATGGTGAAGCGACGGAAATCTTGAAAGTTGATCTTCCAGTTCTTGAAACGGATGACCTTGCTTTCGGCCGAGGTGGTTGAATTGGCAAAGCCTGAGAAGACGGATGGGAAGTCGAACTCTTGAAGTTTGCCATACAAGCCACGGAGACGGGTATCAAGATCGATAAATCCACGCTCCAGGCGCTTCTGAGTGATGGGGTGTATAAAACCATACTTGTGACTCCGTAGCTGCTTGATCTCGTCCAACTTGCCCACGCCATGCACGAATCCTTCCACGTAGAGCGGGAAATACCGCAGACGTTCGCCTAGCACAACTGCCTCGATGGTCTTTTCACGACTCTTGCGCACATCTCCCAAACGAAGCTCGTCACAATAGTTGCTGAAGCTGGAAGTGGCGGTTTCACCGAAGTTGGATCCATCCAGATTCGAGAATTCAAATCGGGCCAGCAGAACGGCAACGTCCATGAAGATACTAAATAGCGAGGACGACTTGGGCGAGGCGATGAGGGACTGGCCCAGCAGAAAGGCGAACAAGTTGCGGAAGAGCAGCAGAGTCTCGAGATCCTCTTGGGAGAGCCGACATTGGGGGTTGGATACATCGCTGTTCAGGGGAATGGGCAAGTAGAGATGCAATTCTTGCATATCGTCCTGTCCATCGTCCACGAAGGCCAGGCGCTGGCTGCCGGAGCTGTCATTATCGTCGTCATCGAGCCGATCTTGCGGAGTCAGCGGTGGAGAGATTGGGTTCTGTAGTGAAAGCGTGCGGGTGGGCTGTTCCAGGCCGTTGGTTTTGACATCTGCGCCACGGGCCAGATAAGTGAGAGAAGGTGATTCAGCGAAGATGGTAGAATCCACTTTGAAGGAGGGCGATCGACCAGTGTTCTGGGGGAACAGATAAACGAATGTGTCGCCTTGTTCGTTCCATAACTCGGGGATCTGTTTCAATGTAGGCGAGAAATGGTTAGCGCTCAACATTCCTGGTTTCTGATCCTGTCTTGACTGCCGAGACTGGAGGTCTGCCTCCCTCCTGCTGCTGCTTCATCTTGGTCCTTTTTTTCCTTTTTCTGCTGCTGTTGCTGCTGCTGCTGCCGCCGCCGCCGCTTTTCCAGACGTACCTGTTCACCCCGGGACAGTGGTCCCACGTCGTACACAACTTTCTGATCCAGTCCTGCAATCCAGGCCGTGGGGACCACCGGAGTGGTTGGGGTTCGTTTATCGATCGAGTTGGCTCGTGAGCGACCAACCATGCCGGGCATCCAACTGCGACGTTTCGATGGCGTGCTCGGACGGGAATCGGGGGTAGCGCCTGGGATCGCCAACCCGGCCGAACTGGACGGCCGACTCATATCACGGCCTCTGCTACGTGGGCGAGCATCCGTGGGCGAGCTAGGGGCGCTGCTGGCGAGGTCATGGTTCACACTCAACAACGATGGCGGGGGTGGCAGGCTCTCGAGGTCGAATGGCTCCAACGTCGTGGGCGGGACGGTTCGGGGCTCGGCCAGGACGGCATTGGGGGTGGACACATGGCGAGTCGGGCGCGAGCTGCTTCGTCGTCGTCGGTCCTGTGAGAGGTCGGCTGAGGAGGCGTTCAGACCAGTCGTCAACGGTGACGCGGGCGCATTCTGGTCCTTGTGCGAGCCCAGCGAGAAAAGGGAGGAGATGCGCTTCGCCGATTTAACGGGAGCCGACAACATCTTTTCTGAGCTGTAGTCTCGGCAGTGGGGGAGGGGAGGGGAGGGGAGAGAGGAAGAGAGAGGAGGGGAGGAGGGGGGGGAGTGCGAGACGAGTGAGGAGAGGGGAGGTTTGGAAGTGTAGTGGAGAGCAGAGCAGAGAAGAGGTTCAGAGGTTCAGAGGTGCAGAGGTTCAGACAGGGCGCATAGAGTTAGTAGAGTTGGTTGGTTTGGGTGGGAGGAGGAGCCAAGGTTGGCATCGATGGAATGGGGGCAGCGGGTAAGGGGAGGGGAGGGTTCGGAGAATGGATCGGCAGGAGGGATACAAAGAATGGCCGGGAAAATGAAGCCTGCACAATCAGGGGGCTGTCGCACTCCGTTTTATGAATTATATGAAGCAGAGCGGATTTTTTTTTTCTTGATGTGAAATCGAGGTTGAACCCCGATGGCGCTAGAGCCTTGAACTAAATGGAAATGGAGAAAAAAAAAAAGAGAAAAAGAAAAAAAGAAAAAAGGGAAAAGGGAAAATACTTCGATCCGGTTCCTTTTCCATGCCAATAATAGCTCGCGCGGTGATGGGTTCCTTGGGCTGCTTGGCTGTGCTGCGGTGGAGCCGGAAAACCTGAATTGCATACGAATCATCGGCCGCCAACTGCCCTTGTGCGGACACGCTTGCCCGGCGGACCGTTCGGTCGGAGTATACAGGCTGTGATCATCTGCCACAACGGATCGTTCCTGACCCTCGCGCGCATCGCGAAGGGATTCTAGTTATCAATGTATGAAGTGATGCGGCTCTATGATTATTCGCGTTATTCCCGTTTCAACCATCTGATCATGACCATGAGAACAATGAGGAAGCCTGGTGGGCGATCTCCAGGCCCGGGTCCCCTGTTGTCGAGGGACCCTGTGGTATGCACGCTACAACCCCAACCCGTCAATGTACCGTGCAGGATGACAAGGCTTTATTGGAGGAACGTGATACGGTTGATGGACATGACATGTTTACCATCCCACACGACCTATGGAACATCCACGAAAATGGGGGAAGGAAAGGGAGCAGGAGGAGAAAGTGGGTCGGAGCAGTATACTCCATCCAGAGTATCCAGAGAGGCGAGAGACTACTACATAAGCCGACATAACTTGCATTCGTGTGGTTTCTGGGGATGACCCGTCCGGATCCTGCCTGGTCGCCCTTCCGAGAGGAACGCGAGTAAGCCTCGTCGATCCATTGCACTAGCGAGCGGCAATCTGCGTGACTGCGCATACGAGCCTTCGAAGCCTCACCCGGTCGGGCCAGGAAGCCCCGGCACGAAGAGCGGGTGGGAGGATGATTGCTGTGGCAGGTATCCTTCCATCCGGGTAGAACGGGGAGTGCCAATGGGGGGGGCCCCAAGAGGCCGCGCTGGGGAGAGGTTGAGAGCCGATGAAGACGCCCCCGTTGCCGCCGAGCTCCGGGAGGCGTCATGGTGTCTTAGGTCGTGGAGGCAAAGGCAGGGTTTTAATCAATATTTCTTTAATCGCCCCCCCGCGCTAGTGGCTTAGATCAAGTCATACCAGCCAACAGACCCAATTTCCAAATTGATGCTCCAGAGTGACCCGCGAAATTCATAACGGTCAGAAAACCCTTTGGTCAAACTGTGTCAAACTGGAGGAGTCCTTCGGAATGGTCAGTTGATAATGTACATATCACAAGTCTATACCCCCGAGCCTGCAGAGGGCATGGCCGGGGCAGGAACGCTCCGAAAACATTGTTTCAAATCCCCCTAAAGGGCACAGTCACTCACCGCCACGACTGGTGATTAAGGAACGCGTGGTACGAAAAACATTCTACCAAATCTTCTACGCAATTGTGTCGGAGTGTTTCTTGTCTCCGTCCCTCTCCGCTCAAGTCCCCTCTCACCAGCATCGCTCCTATTACTAGCAGTAAAAGTAGTGGTAGTTGCAGAATTATCGGACGAAAATCCAAAAAAAAAAAAAAAATTGAAAAAAAAATAGAGCAAAAACGTGACTAGAAGAACATAATATAATCCAGTCAGGCCAGGGGCTCTAGTTCATGGTCGAATACTTCAAGACGTCACGGAATTGAAGCATCGGAGATACCCGCTCACGGTGGGGAATATATATCTACACATCCTCCTTCATATACACTCGTTGAGGGACCCATCCCAGGCCTAAGAGAGGGATAGATTGTCTCGTCTTCTACTCTACCGCCATCTAAATCGCAAAAATCAATCTGTTTGGTTTCATGCCATTCCCGTACCTACTATGATGCCAGACCTACTTCGCGGTGGTCGGGCCCTAGCTTCCTATTGTCCGCGTCCCACGAGGACACGCTTACCCGCGGTCCTGAGCTTTCCACATGGAACCAAGTCCCCAATGTGCGGCAACCTGACGTGATCTTGCCTTTTTTACAGCCCTCAACTTTCCAATCCCTCCTGCTCTCCCGTCCCTCCGTCCCACCATGACTGCGCCGTCAGGCCAACCAGATCAGCCGCAACCCATTGACCTGCTCTGCGGCTGGCCCAACCCCGCGCTCCTCCCCGCCGAGGATCTGCTCCGCTCCGCCACGACCGTTCTGACCACGCCTTCCATTGCCCACCCAGGCTTACTCTATGGCCCTGACGAGGGCTATGAACCTCTACGTGCCCACATCGCCCAGTGGCTGGGGGACTTCTACCAGCCTTGCGAGCCCATCTCGCCCCTGCGCATTTGCATCACCGGCGGGGCGAGCCAGAACCTCGCTTGCATCCTCGCCGTCTTTACGGACCCAGTGTACACGCGGAATGTTTGGATGGTCGAACCCACGTACCATCTGGCCGCCCGCATGATGGACGATGCAGGCTTCGCGGGTCGAATCCGCGGTGTCCCCGAGGACGACGAGGGGTGTGATCTGGAATTTCTGGCGAAGGGCCTGGCTACGGCTGAGGAGAATGCTCAGGCGACAGGCAACACCCAACCGGTATCGACTTTCATCCGAGATCTCCCATTCCCCATTTCCCTCCCTGTTGTCAATGGCAAGATCCCCGCATCAAATTGCCAGAACTTGCAGCAAGCAGGCTGAACTGCAGAAACACAGACAACGCAGCAAAAGCATGAAAAGATGCAGTATACATTCGACTAACTCGTTCCTTCTTTTACCCATTGCCATGGAAATAGACATTGAAACCCCCCGGCCGTGGCGCAAGATCTACAAACACGTTATATACGCGGTTCCCACTTTTGCGAATCCGTCCACGAAGACGATGTCCCTGGGCCACCGGGAGCAATTAGTTCGTCTGGCCCGCCAATACGATGCCCTGTTGGTGACCGACGATGTCTATGACTTCCTACAGTGGTCTGCGACTCCCGGGGGCCAGCTGCCCGCCCCAAACCACGCATGCCTCCCCCGCCTGGTGGATGTGGATCGCTACCTTGACGGTGGTCCTGTGGATGAATGGGGCCACGCAATAAGCAATGGGAGCTTCAGTAAACTGATCGGCCCTGGCTGCCGTACTGGGTGGGCCGAGGCCTCGAAAAAGGTTGCCTACGGATTGTCGCAAGCGTATGTGTTTTAGACTCCTCCCCAACTGAGACTGCCTGGTCCATCTGCTCTCCTGTACCGAAGTTGGGAAGGACCCATGCTTTCGATGTCTCCGTGCACGTAAGAGGGCAATATTCTAACCTCCATCCCTAATCCCTGCCCCATCATTTTTAAGTTTTGAATTTGTACGATGATCGATTACCACACGGCAGCTGACGTTATCTCTACCATCTCAACAGAGGCTCATCCCGGTCCGGCGGTGCACCCTCTCAGCTCTGTTCCACCTTCATCGATCAGCTGCTGCTGTCCGGCTCTCTGGCAACCTATATTAGCCAGGTACTGCAGCCGGCCTACGCCGAGCGGTATCACATCCTCCTGGCCGCCATCCAGGAGCATCTGGTGCCCCGCGGCGTGACCGTCGCCAGGGCCTCGCCGACGGTGGCGGGTGGATACTTCATCTGGGTGACCCTGCCGGCGCCGCTGCGCGCGGCAGAGATCGTACAAAGGGCTCAGGGCCAGGCTAACCTGCGCTTAGCGCCCGGAGACCTGTTTCAGGTGCCTGGTGACTCACGAAGCGACCAGTTCTTCGACTGCCTGCGCCTCTGCTTTGCCTGGGAAGAGCCGCGTCACCTGACTGAAGGGGTGCGTAGGCTTGCACGCGTCCTAGACCAGGCACTTGTATAGTCTCATGTTGATCACTTCTATGATCGATTATTATTGATCCGTACCTCTCTCGTTTCCAGCGTGTTTGCCACCGGTGGATGGTGCCGTGGATTGGGTCCGAAGATACGGACCGTGCCGGGGGGCGAGAAGGAGGCGGAGGATCGGGGGACGCGTGGCCGGCACCCCCAGAGGGGCAGCAATATCAAGTAGCGTCCGGTGCTACCGGATCCGAATAGAATCTTCTAAAAAGTCTGATGGATGGAGTAAGACTGTTGGAATCCGTATGGTAGCCGGGACTGGATGTTTCAGATGGGTTACGTGCTGGGGGAGACCTGCAATGACGAGACCAGCCAACGACATCCGTGGTTCGAACAAGGAGCTTTGGACTTCTGGACTCCGAGCTGGTCGATGGTTCGCTTATCTAATCGTGTTCCTGCCGGCATGAGATCGCGCGGAGTCACGGGTGAAACCGTGGAACCTCCAGATTCAATGACCCGAGAAGCTTTTCTCGCCCTGTTCCACCATCCTCAATGTGCAGTTTACGCAAGAGCCCAGTTGAGAAGGCAAAATATTTGATCTGGCCTGACAGGCACCCAAGTCCCCCAAACCCCGAATCCTGACTCGTACCTGGCGCCACTGGCTGCAGACTAACCGGAAAGCACTAGAACGCTCGGCAGAAGCGGGTCGCATCCTGGCTTCAGGGGCCGGCTAAAGCTTGGCTGGTGTTGATGATCTCCCTGTTTGATGTGTCTTCAATGCCTACATGAGTACGAGACCTATCAGAATGCCGCTACTAGAGATTTCTATTATTGCTGTAGCGATCCAGGAAAGACATATGGCAGCTCTCATATCACGGTTGCGGCAGTTGCCGCGACCGTGCGAGATGATTGATGGGCTCTAGCCCCTCGTCGAATGCCATCAAGTGATCATATCGACAAGCTGTCATTGCACATCGTCATCAGGAATCTGTCCTTCTCCCTTTCCCCCCGCCCCTCCATCCAAGTTCCCACGATGCCGCCCGCACTGGAATGTTCATCCATAACAAACGCGCGTCGTGACAACCAGGCACCAAGCTCGATTCAAGAGCGTGCCTTGTCTCTCTCTCTGACTGGGACGCGTCTGCCTCTTACGGGGCAACGAGGACTCGAACAGCGTGACGAGCCACCCCGCCGAGCGATGATCGGAGTTCCGAATGTAGGCGCACTCGTGGCGAGAATGGGCTTTTCTGGCGGAGTTTGAGGAATAGCGACCCTGAGGCTCGTGGCCGAAGGATACTGGGCCTCCTGCCCGCCCCTAGATCCCTGATTCTTGCCGACGATCAAATTAGGGAGTTGACAGACGATGTGGTGCCAGGACCTATCTCCTCACTCGAGGGATGCACAGTTTAATCCTCCGTACAGAAAGGAGAGACACGAGGGGCAACTTCTGCCGCGGACTCGAATGGATCTCTCCATACCAGCAGTTCCCGTCCGACCGTTCGGCTGGGCACATAATTCCCCCCTCCCCCCCTTCAACGGACATTCGACGCGCCAGCTCGTCCATGAGGCAACAATCCCAGATAGCAGGAATGGACGATCCGGCATATCCTGTTTTGCCGGCCCGTGATATCCCTAGGATTGGCCAGAGTAGATTGTACAGGGGAGCACCTATATAGCACGTAGCAACCCAATCCCCGACTTGTTTGGGATTTTCTTGCCCTTTTTCTCCCACCCTGTGCATGTCCCAGGCTTCTTGACTCTTGACGAGAAGAGTGGTCGTATAAGGGCTTTTGCTTTATTCTCCACCTCCGCGGGCTACTAGCTGTTGAAATTGTGTGTGGCTGGTGATAGTCGCGCTGTTTGGTCGACTTCTTCAAAACCCCGGTTTTAGCGACGTGGGCCACTCCTACTCATTAGCTTCTGTGACGACCGGTCAATCTGCAACACCCGGCTCGGTGATCAATTGCCTTCAGTGTTTCATCCCGGACCATTCACGTTTCAAACAACAACCTTGTTACGCCGGTGGGGCGGTCTGATTGGCGGGCGCTGGTGGATTGCAGGGCGCTGGTGCGTGTGATTGGCAGTGCGGGCGGTGATTTCAGGGCCTGCGATACGGGCAGGACGAACAAGACGGGCAAGACGCGGGCAAGCCACGCCTGAAAATCGGGAGAGACGAGGGGAATCATCTTTAGGAGATCTCAAGGTATTTCATTTTCTCATTTCTGCCTTTGGCATTGTTGACTTTTCATTCTTTTCTTCCTTTGTTGTCTGCCCCCTTTCCCTTCTTTTCACCTGTTGTTCGGTGCCTGGCCGTGCCGAAGTATAGATCCACTCTTTCACTGGACCTCTGAACTATTGACGATCAGACTGGAGCTGCGTCTTTTCGGTTGATTCATTCTTTTTACTGCTTTCATCCCTTCAATTATTTCGAAACCCATCCCCTTGTTCTGGTTTGAAGACACGCCTGCGCGGCCCTTATTCTTTCGTCGCTCTTTCTGTGCGATTGCAATCACCTCCTGCCGACCGCTGCTGGTTTAGGCGTCGCCAGGAGACTCGAGAGCGCTGCATCCACATATCCACACATCCCCTACGTCAGTCTCGGTTACTGAATAGCTTCTAGTCCATTTGAAGGGATTCTTTTGCCCTTGGTATCATTCGCTTTTCAACCAAGAGCAACGCAAAAAGGACAATCCATCGCTGCCGGTCCAGCGATAGCCACTCCCGACGATGGCTCGTTTTCAATCGTCGATCATGATTTTCTTCGCTCATCTCATTCTACTCCTCGGTCTTCCGACAGCTCTGGTCGGTGCTGTCCCGGTGACGCCTGCTCCCAATGAATTGGAGGTGGCAGCATCCAAGCGGGCGGCATCGAGCTACTGGGTGGCCAATATCAAGCGTCAGGGTACTGTGCCGTTCGGCAACAACAGCGACTATCAAGTCTTCCGCAACGTGAAGGACTTTGGTGCAAAGGGTAAGTAGGCTCCACAATCTTTGGAACTTCCAGCCAAGATCAACGTACTCATCGACTAACAACGAACTATAGGTGACGGTTCAACTGATGACACAGCCGCTATCAACAAGGCCATTTCTTCCGGCAACCGCTGCGGCAAAGGATGTGATTCGTCCACGACTACCCCAGCCTTGGTGTATTTCCCGCCTGGTACCTACCTGGTGTCTAAGCCGATTGTACAGTATTACTATACCCAAATTGTCGGTGATGCTGTTGATCTGCCTGTTATCAAGGCCGCTGCTGCCTTTTCAGGCATGGCAGTCATTGATGCTGACCCATACGAGGACAACGGTGACAACTGGTACACAAATCAGAACAATTTCTTTCGCGCGATCCGCAATCTGGTTATTGACTTGACAGCGATGCCCAAGGGCTCGGGTGCTGGTATCCATTGGCAGGTTGGCCAGGCCACGAGCCTGCAGAACATCCGTTTCGAGATGGTCAAGGGCGGTGGTTCCGCCAACAAGCAAGAGGGCATCTTCATGGACAACGGCTCGGGCGGTTTCATGTCCGACCTAACCTTCAATGGTGGTAACTACGGCATGTTCCTTGGTAACCAGCAGTTCACCACTCGCAATTTGACCTTCAATGACTGCCAAACCGCCATTTACATGAACTGGAATTGGGCTTGGACCTTCAAATCTGTCAACATCAACAACTGTGAGGTCGGCCTGAACATGTCTACCTCACCGTCCAACCAGACCGTTGGCTCCGTCATGATGCTGGACAGCAAACTCACCAACACTCCCACCGGTATTGTCACCGCTTGGACGAAGAATAGCATCCCTATCGGCGGTGGCACGTTAGTCCTCAGCAATGTTGACTTCTCTGGCTCCAAGGTAGCTATTGCTGGTGTTGATGGGGACACTATCCTCACGGGTGGTTCCGTTGTCGACAACTTTGTTCAGGGCAATACTTACACTCCTGGATCGACCGTCTCCAAACGTGCCACCAAGCCCGAGGAAGAAGACACTGAAGTCGTGACGATCGTCGAAACTGTTATGCAGACTGTCTTGGCCTGCCCTGCCACCAACGGCGGCGCAGCTAGCACCCTGGCATCCAATGTCCCTGTCAGCAGCGGTCACAGCCAGGTGACTCCTCCGCTGGCCTCAGGTACCGACACTGCCTACAGGACCATCGTCTCCGACGGCAGCACAATCACAGTTCCGACACTTTCCGGTCTCCCTGGCTTTGACAACAGCTGGCTTTCTGCTTTCGTTGGATCTTCTGGTACCTATGAGGTTCCTGTACCCACCTCCCAAGCTGTTGCTTCCACTGAGGTCGAGGCTCCCGCTGCATCTGCCTCCACTGAGGCCACCGCCGCAGTTCCCGCTTCCAATGAAGGAGCTACTGTTGTTGAGACCCCCACTAGCCAGACTGCTGCCCATTCCGTATCTTCTAGCTATGTGCCTGCTGCTCAGAACTCTGCTGGCACTGGCACTGGCTCCGGCTCCGGCTCCGGCTCCGGTTCTGGTACCTCAAGTGCAACCGTCTCTCAGAGTACCTCGGGTTCTAGCTCCAGCAGTGGCTCGGGTACCTGCAAAGGCAGTGCCAATGAGGCTGTTAGCTCTGCCCGCACACAAAGCACTCTGAAGGCCTCGTCCATGCCTAGTGACCTGCTTACCGACGGTGCTGTCTTCGAGCGCTCCAAGCCCCTCTACGAGTCCCTTGCTGCCTCCTCCTTCATCAGCGTCAAGTCCGCTGGTGCCAAGGGTGACGGCAGCACTGATGACACTGCTGCTATCCAGAAGGTCCTGGATAGCGCATCTGCCAACGACGTCGTCTACTTCGACCATGGCGCATACGTTATTACTTCCACCCTGAAGGTTCCCAAGGATATCAAGATCACCGGTGAAATCTGGCCGATGATCATGGCCCATGGCTCCAAATTCCAGGACGAGGAGAACCCCATTCCTATGATGCAGATCGGTCAGAAGGGCGAGACTGGTTCCGTCGAAATGAGTGATCTGATCCTCACGACCAAGGGCTCTTGCCCTGGTGCCATCCTGATGGAATGGAACGTCGCTGGCTCTTCTCAGGGCTCCGCTGGCATGTGGGACGTTCACTTCCGTATTGGTGGTGCTGCTGGCACTGAATTGCAGAGCGATACCTGCCGCAAGACTCCTACTGTCAAGACTACCCCCAAGACCGAGTGCATTGCTGCTTTCATGCTGTTGCACGTCACCAAGAAGGCCAGCGCCTACATTGAGAACTCGTGGATGTGGACCGCTGACCACGAGCTTGACCTCTCTGATCACTCCCAGATCAACGTCTACACCGGTCGCGGTGTGCTTATCGAGTCCCAGGGTCCTGTCTGGCTGTGGGGAACAGCCTCGGAGCATCATCAGTTGTACAACTACCAGGTTTCGAACGCCGCCAACATCTTTATGGGCCTGATTCAGACCGAGACTCCCTACTACCAGTCCAACCCTACGGCGTTGAAGCCCTTCACTCCCCAAGACTCTTGGAATGACCCTGACTTCTCCACCTGTACCACTGCCTCCTGCAAGAAATCCTGGGGCCTGCGCGTCGTCAACTCCTCCGACCTTTACATCTACGGTGCTGGCCTGTATAGCTTCTTCGAGAACTATGCCCAGACCTGCCTCAACTCGGAGGACTGCCAACAGAACATGGTCGAGGTTGACTGCTCCGATGTCCACATCTACGGCTTGAGTACCAAGGCCTCCGTTAACATGATCACCTCAGCCGCTGGAAAGAGCATGGTCCCCGAGAAGCCCAACAAGAGCAATTTCTGCTCCACCATCGCGCTGTTCGAGCAGACCGCTTAGAATGCTCGTCCCGGTGTCCCGTTAATCATTTTCCTTTCTCTCATTTCCCCTGTCCATTCCTGAGTCAATTTTCTTCCGTCCTGTTCCCGGCATCGGATTCACTCTCTCCTTCCCTCTTTGTTGTCTTCTTTTTTTCCCCTCTTTCTCCTTTTTGGCTTCTGCATTTCGGGGGGGGGGGGGGGGATTCTGTTTGATACCAGAGGAAAAAACCATGTTTACTTGTTCTACGAGAGATCATTAATAGATGTGCGATAAATGCAATATCATGAATACCAGTCTACTTTGCTCTACTGCTCTTCGTACTGCCTGTAGGTCTCCTTCGCTTTTTTATTTTCCAAGTCCCCCACGGAGGACTTATTTGGCCTGCCGTGTGGATTCGAAATAGCAGAATGAGACTTTGTAACAACTAAATGAAGAATCATATCAGATCCATTGAAGTCCCGACTTTTTGTCGTAGTTATACATGTCGAAACTTGGATAGAGTGATACAGCCAGCATGCATTTAATTAAACTCTGCTCGATAGCTGTTGAATTCTGCAGGGGCACCTGAACCCCTTTGCTTTCCTTTACTTCTCATCAAAACAGACTTTGGAGAACGCAGAAGTACGAAGTAGAATGTGTCTTGATGAATGTATTCCTACAAGCTTTGCACTTGAAGCTAAAGGATTGAAGCAACTACGTACATGCAAGAGAAGAAACACCTTACCCAATTCCCAAAAGAGAAAAAAAAAAGAAGAACCCAAGCACTTTTTTTAGTACTGTCAGACGCCAACACAGCCTGCTGTTCAGTTGAAGAATGATATAATGCAAGTCCCAGCGATGATTGTATATAGAAAAGAAAAAAAAAATAACAAAGCAACCCATAAGAGCAATAGGGCAATCCTCACGCTGTCGAGGGTACTTTTATAGCTCCTTCTTGAGGAAATGCTCGGGCTTGTGGGTGGTCTCGTAGTCAACGTGCACGTAGGCGCGTTCTACATCCGGCAGGGATTCGAGCTTCATCTGGAGTTCCTCGGCGACGTCGTGGGTGGCGCGGAGCGAGGCGGAATCTTCCATGACGATGTCAACCTCAACCAGCAGGCGCGGGCCGGAGGTATATGCGCGGACGGTGTCGATAGCGGTGATGAGGGGAGAATGAGTCATTGCTGGTGAGAGAAGGAGAATGTTAGTGGTGACTAACCTGGAGCTTTTGCGTATGACGGGGGTAGGAACATACAGATATACGTGATAAGCTGCTGCATCTTGGTGTCGGCGGTGACGCCGACCAGGAGCTGGAACTCGCCGTACGCGGAGTGTAGCCAAAGCCCGCTGACGAGTACGGAGAGTATGATGGCGCCCATGGGATCAATCCACCAGCGTACTTTGGATCCGAGAATAGAGGTCATCACACCCATGCCGTTGATGATCAAGTCGTTGCGATGATCTTCCCACAGAATCCGGATCTGGGAGACCTGGTTGCGCAGCGCGAAGCAGTACAAGAACAAGCCGAGCTTTGTGAAGAAGGCGACCGAGACGGCGATGATGGAAGGCAGGTGGAACGGAGCGAGAAGGGTGTCAGAGCCCTCAACGATCTCTCGAATAGAGAAAGCGATGATGATGAATGACACAGCGGTCATCAGGAAGCAGAAGCAGATATTACCAGCAGTCTCAATACGGGCCTTGCCAGCGGGGAACTTGCGCGAATCGACGCGGTTGACGGCCTTGTTGCACAACAGCAGAGTCAAGTTCGACATGGGGTCGAAGATGGCGTCTGCCATGGTAGTGAACAGCGAGAGCGAGCCGGACGACGCGGCGCCGTAAACCTGCACCACGCACAGGATGATATTCGCCGCAAAACTGGCGTACACGGCGATTTTGTACTTGAGACTGTTCTCGGTATTCAGCTCCCGCGCCGCGCGGACGTGCTCCTCTACGGGCTTGAGCATACGCTCGATGTTCTCGTTCTGGTTCTCGTAGAAGCCCCGTAGTTTGCGAGTTGTGAGGGCCTGCTTGGCGCCTGCACCAGGCTTCCGCATCATGTGAATCATCTTGGGAGAGGTTGAATCGCGCTTGCGTGAGGTGTTGGCCTTGATTTGGCTGATTTCCTCCTCGGTCTTCAGCTTCGAGGCCAGATGGAAAGGGTCGCTTTCCGGGGTATACCGAGGGGGCGGCATGCCCTCCTCATCGGTGCTGGTGTGGCGTTGCTGCTGGTGGCTCATATTCGACTCCTCAGTTTCCACGGCAGTGGAGGTGCCTTCATTGAAGGAACGGGGTGTCATTCTGTCAGAGGACCGGTGCGACGGGTGTGGGGAGCTGCTGTGGAAATGCTGGAAAGCATTTGGGTGGTTGGAGAGGCTTTGTCGAATATGTTCCTCCATGGTGACGGTGACGGTATGTGGAAGGGGGAGGCAAGGGGCGTATACATCTGATGTGTTGGAAAGGGGGAAGGAAAAAAAAAAGCGGGGGGAACTCAAGGGGCCTTCGGTGCGTGCGAATCAAAATCCCCGTCAGCGTAGATCAAGTGGGTCTAGCCGGATCTGATAACTGTCTTCCCCGACCCTCACCACTTATTGGCAATTTAATCTTGTTCATACTGCAAAGAATTGAGACTATTCTTAGGGCTAATGGGAATTTCACAAATGTCCATTCTTAGTACTGTTTTGTATAATAAGGGAAGTAATTAAATGAATCATAAAGAAAGCTGCAAAGTAGATAATGAAACTACGTAGTATGCAAAAGTGTGCGTTGCCTAGCCCCTGTCAAACGATGCATCTCTCCTCATTCAATCTCAATCATAAATCTCATAATATCTTGTCCCATTTCACTCCATATATGATTTGATCCTGTTGCGAATGTTGGAAAGCCTCTCATGGACACGGTCCGCATCGGAATTTAGAGACAAAGGTTCATCTCCATCAAAAGCCTCCAGATTAGATTGGCCTTCAGGAATTACATAAGTTCGTAATTTATCACCGATGGCTGTTATCCCAGCGACAGGAATTGAGCTTCGGCGTTCCCTCCACTTGTGAATGTTTTTTTGAAGCTCACTTTCAGCACCACTCCAGGCTTTTGTAACCAAACGGGATCGCATGGTATGCGAAGGGCGTTTCGCTTCGAAAAACAAAAGCTTGTAGATCTTGTCATCTATTAGACCTGTGACGACAATATCGACCTTGCCGCGGGAAGTTTCCGATGTGTATGGCTCCCGCTCGATGCCAAAATTCCCGCTTAGTGGGAAATAGAAACGTAGAATTTGGGTCCATAAGTGGTCCACGCGGTCTTCCCTACACCCAGGCTCAATTCTCTGAATATATTGTTGAATCATTTTGTGGTCTTTAAACTACCCAAATCGATATTAGTGGCCTGGCGCTGCGGTTTAGGATGGTACATACAGACGCCTCCATGGCGAGGGAAATAAAAGAAATAGTGCACGTCCAGCGCGCTTTGAAATATCGCGAGAACAGACTCAGGTAATGATGACTTCTCGCAAACTCGTCCAGAATGTGCGCAGGGGCCCTTGAAGTTATTGAGAATTTATAGTCAGTAGAAATTTAGGCATTGTAGAGTGCCTACTGTAGCCTTGAGGAGTACGTATATAGGCAGCGGAGTGTCTACTATAGACTTGAAAAGCTTTCACTAGGCAGTGACGGTCTTTATTGCAGCTATAAATCATATTTGAGAAGTGAAGGGTTTCGTATATTTGTTTGGCATGAGGGGATTCTCTGCCTCATTTATGCGATAGAAAATTCGATCATTTTACAGTACTAGATCAGCTTTAGTGAAGGACCTTTTTTTATAAGGTATTATAAGGCATATATGACTTACATCAAACTTCCCCGAGAAAGCTTTGATGCTTTTGTCCAAAATAACGTCTTCTGATTGGCAAGTAGGTGGACTATTTGGCCGACCTGCCCACTTGCTAGAAGAGTTCGAGTTATTGAATATGGGCCGTACTGCATGAATTCCAGCACTGGCAGTCATAACGGTAAATCCCCTAAGCTGCTTGCCATGGAGATCTATGATTGTGTATTCATCCGGTGTTCGATACCCAAAGGTCAACTTCGGTTCGTCCGACTCTCCTTCAAGCATACCAAATCCAGTGATATAAGTGCCTGGTCCTTCATGAAGAATATACACGGCTAAGCGGTGAACAGTGCTGCGTAATGGAACGGCTTGGATAAAAGGTGTGTGTTGTGCCCAGCACTGATCGCATAAATTCCGATCTTCTCCTTGTTCGGTATTTCGGTCGCATCTTAGCCTTGCAGAGACTCCTTTCCAAGACAACTCGCTCATCAAACTAGTGAATGGCTGAACCTGCTCATCAAAGGCTTGAATCATTGCACACCTTTCCCTTATCCATCGATTATGGCGCCATCGTCGTTGCAGCTCCCAGATTTTGTGATCGCTCCGATCTATGCATGCAGTACAGCGGTATATTAATCGCCAGTCCTTCAGTTCCGAATTTGGGGTGTCTAAATTTTGGTCATCTTTAGAGTCCGTCAATAGGGAATACAGAAACCCGCGTTCTCTATATGGTAGAAATCTTGACTTCCAAAAAATTTGATCTCCAAAAACTACCGCCATTGATCGAGATGAATATCTTAGAGAAAGAAAATTCGGAGTAGATAGAGATACCGCGATTTGGGTCCGTATCTCTAAAGGAAGGACGCGGAAGCAGTCAGTATTGAGAATGGAAGAGTTCTTCTCTCTCTTATGTATTTTTCGCTTCTTTGCCTTCCTTTTCTTTCTCTTCCCTTTCTGTATCTTTAGAGGCTCGAGCCAGTTTTTAGCGCCTCGAAGGCTTGGAATAATAGGTCGCTCAAAAGGGTGATTGGTTCGTTTATCAAAATCAAGGTGGCCTTGAGGATTGGCTTAAGATATGTTATTACGAAATACATGCGTGTGTATAGACGGATATTAGAAATGTCGCTTACATTCAAAGGATCCTCTACCTGAAGGAGGCATTTCGTTGCAGACTTCAAAAAGTCGATCTAGATCAACCTCTCCTTGGAATTGCTGACTCAGAAGAGACCAGCAGCATTCATGAAATACAAATGCCTTGGCTGGTTTTTCCATGGCCATTGCATACCAAGGACCAAACTTTTCATCACTTCCCCCTTGCCAGTTGAATAACGTTTCATCATCCCAATCAAAGTGAGCCATCCATATATCCCCTAGTTTAGCACCCTCTGAGGTCAAATATACTATAGTGAGAGATAAGTCAGGCTTAGTAACCGGAGGTTCGCTCAGAGGAGAACGCACCCGCCCGGTAATATTTCATCCAAGGTCCTTCATCAGCGTATTCTTTTTGACCAATCCCAAATGCACAAGATCTGCAAGAACAGGACCAATCCATATAGACCTCGACTCCATCAGATGAGGTATAATGGCTTCTATCAATATCCCACGATTCATCAACCTTCATGGCGGTAATGCACGCCGATCAGAGCCGGTTAAATTTGGTAGGATGAGTTTTGGAGCAAGTTGAAATCGTAGACGATGTCTCCGATAGTATAAATACCAATTTATAGGTCATCATGATACCGGCATATTTGAAGACTTTAAATCTAAGCAAGTTTGAGAAATAAAGTTTAGGCCAACCCAAGAGTCAAGGCGGGCTGGCGTTTAATCAGCTGACACCCTCGGCCGATATGCTTCTCTTTTTACAGGTAATTTATTTGTGACATGAAATTCTCCATGAGACTCCATCATTTCAAATGGTCCCGTTACCGATTTGGAAACAATGATAGATCCAGTATCTCTGGTTTGTATCTTTGGTAGTGGATTAGGTGGGGGAGCTATTTCCCTCTCCTTCAAAAATAGGAAAAGAAAATTTGGTACCAAAAAGAATTCTGCTCCTCCAGACGCAACGGCCATCCAACCCAACACATATTTCCTGGCATCGCAGAAATTGACTGTGAAATCTAGCAAGCCTCCATTTTTACTTAGTGCTTGAACGGAGTGAAGGACGGAAGGCAAGCAGGAATCTGAATTGTCTAGATTTCACATCCGAGTCTCGCGGGCGATTATTGAGCCATGGAGAGCATGAGGTGCTCGCTGGAAGTACAAAGGCCTCGTGAGCTACAACTGCACCATGTAAAACTGACAAAGGGGTGAATATAATCTTTTACATCATAATGACCAATAATATAATACCCGAAATATTTGGAGATATTCGAGAAACAGACTCTATAACACACTGTCCCCTGAGAAAATTGGGACCATTGCTTGGTACCCCGAAGATTTACAATCCGTCACATTCGCCTAGTTGTTGCCGACCAGGTACTTGAGCAGAGAAGACACATATGTCAGCATGTCCTGGGCGCTACCGTTAGTCGGGATGGCCGCGCTAGATGCAACACCGCTGGCAGTGGACACAGTAGTGCTGGGCTTGGCCGACGGCTCTGCAGATGGACGGGCCTTGGTGGCAAAGGTAGTGGTAGCTACGACAGCAGTCGTGGGGACGGGAGTGGTCTCAATAGCAGCGACAGCGGCCGAGGTATTCTCGACAACGACGGGGTCAGTTGTTTCGGCGGTGGCAGTCGTCTCCTCGACGGGTGTCGCGCTGGTCGAGGTCTCTGCTGGGACGGAAGAGGAGGTAACCGCAGCAGTTGAGATAGAGCTGGTCGAGCTGGTCGAGCTGGTCGAAATGGTCGAAATGGTCGAGCTGGAACTGGAGCTAGAACCAGAACTCGAGCTGCCGAGGGTGAAATCAATGCAGGACTCGTAGGTCTGGTCAATGGACTGGGCATACCAGTACCATTGCAGCACACAGTCACCAGCAGTGGCACATTTGGAGCCGAGATCATCGGGGATGGTCACGCTGAAGCTAGTCTCGTTCGCGGTGACACCGGTAGCAGTTGAGGCGTAGACGGACCAGTAGATCAGCGGGCTGCCGATGACCGAGTTGGAGGCCGTGTCGACGACGGAGACATTGGCGATGCCGGTGTGCGGCGCGCGGATGTCCACTGTGAAATCGACCTTCTCGCCCGCGGTGTACGAGTACACATTGTCCTTGTTGTCGGCGAACTTGTAGCCCTTGCACAGCCAGATGTCGCAGGCCGCAGCCTTGTAGTCGCTCTGGCTGGCGGCCACCTGCAGCTCGCCTTGGATGTTGCCGTAGTTGTCGGACTCCTGGTTGACCTCGACCTGTTCGCCGCAAGCAGCCTTCATGGCGTCGCCGGGCATACGAGCCGTCGGGCTGGTGACAAAGCCGTGGCCGTGGACCAGAGGAATCAGGGCAGCCAGAGCCGCAATGGGGGTAAATTGCTTCATCTTTTCGGGGAATATTTTCCTGTTTCGAATAGCCTCGAGTGGCGAAAGAATGGAATGAACAATCGGTAGACCTGTACCGACACTTGAAATTCACGTATAGCGAGTGGAAGAAGCGAAAAGCTGCACGGTCTCAAACCGGAGAAAATGAAAGATGAAAGGAAAGAAGAAAAAAAAAATTCAAGAACGAGATCAAGAAGAATCAGCCAGCTTGATACTCCTCCAACTCGGGCGCTGATGGACGACTCTATAGGTTTATATATGCCACCCATATTGGCCCTGCCCCTCTCCACCGGAACGCCAGAGTCGATCTCGATCCTATTAGACATCCATTCCTCAATTAAACACAAACAATAGAAGAGGGTCCAGGATCACCAGGAGGGGTCGTCGACGCCAGCCCACACTGGGCAGCTGTCAAGCGTGGGCCACAAGCACCTAAGCGAGTCTGAAACACCAGGGTGCTGTCCCTGATATTCGCTAGGGGAGGGGGAGTAAATCATCTCTTCAGAAGCTGGCGCGAGATGAGACCGACGGGCTTACCGGATTCCAGTCTCTCGGAGCTTATTGCTCATCGGGCACGTTGTGCGCAGTGCGCCGGTGCTGCGTCCGGGACAAGGCCGACGTTCTTCCTAGGGCCATTGCCAAGCCCGGCTCCACGCGCCGAACAGGGATGCCAGGGGTTTCAGGTTGATGATATCGTCGAGAACAGAAACGGCGGAGATTTGATTGCTGGAGAAATTGTGCCACAGGCTCTGGAAATGAGAATCCGCTTCGGGGGGGGGTGGTGTCATGTCATTGACTTGGTGGAAGCTATTCAAGTTCGTGAGTGTTGAGCAAGTCCGTGGGTCCCAACCCCCAGTCCACATCAACTAAAAGCTGCTCTCAGGGACTTCTGCTGGGAAACAAGAGAGCAATGAGTCAATGCTTGAGGTTGCACTGTTGATCGGTCATTAATTTTTTCAATCCAGATGTCGGCCATCAGTTCTATCATGACAGGCTCGGGCCCCTCGCCTTTTTCAGCGTCGAGAGGCCCTGTTCGTTCTAGTTTGATTAAGGTTGATTCGGATGAAACCCACTCGCACCTGCAAGTGGCACTACGAAACGCGTTTGACGTCATCTGCCTATTCCGCTGTATCGCCCCTGCTGATGGGGATAAAGTGAGTCTTTCTCTAAGAGGCTCTCTACAGTATGTATATGCAAAGGGTCATTAAACAGACATAACACTATCGCATTGTCACAGGCCGCTCTGCGGGGAGCATCCTCACCCGTTGATTGGTCCACAGTTCAGAAGCGGTCTAAGAATCACATTGAATGACAGGCAAGACGAAAGACTGTTCGAGATCGGCGGGAAACGGGGCGCCGATCATATACAATACGGGGTCAGGCCCAATATACAAAGACCAAAGCCTCGAGGCCCTTGACTTCCCAAAAAAATCAAAGATCACGAATGCAGGAGGTATCACGAGAAACAGAATACAGGAGAATACAGGACATAAATAACAAAAGGGCGACGCTGCAGAAACAATTCCTTGCCATATGCGAATGGTTGCAGGGAACAATGGGCGCTACCAAGGCACATCGCACGTCGAGAAATCCGGCTCGAGAAGGAGGGAGAAGGGGGGGGGGTATCATTCACTAGGTAGACGGGTCGCTTATAATTGTTTAACGCTCCTGCTCTGTGGGCTCGAGGCGCATGCGCGAACCGGGAACTGTGGTCGCTGGGTGACTGGTCCGCTCATGTTCGGAGTCATGCGTGGCAAAGTCGTCGGCAAACGGATTTTGCACCTCATAATCGGCCGAGTTATACTCAAACGTATCGGTATTGGGGCGCGCTGCGTTGGGCCGCCCGCCTGACATCACAGTGCTGGTGCGTTCACCCGCCGAGTCAGATTGATGCTCTGGGGTTTGGAGATTCGGCATGGACAGATCCACGGGCGAAATAATGTTCGCAGACACGGCAGTCACCGCCGGTGCCGGTGCCGGTGCAACATGGGCAGCACCGGAGGCCACAGCCTCACTGTTCGACGAAGTCGGGCTATTCACATTTTGGGAGGCCGGAGATGAAGCGCCACGCGCCTTGCGGGCCTTCAACATGGCGCGCTGCTGCTGGGAAATGGCCACGGAAATTTCATCGTTGGTTTCGATCAGGGTGAGGAGGGTATCCTCGTCGGGAGTCGGGTTGGTCGAATGGATATACGTTTGGAGTAGTCGAGACGAGGTCCGGCATCGGTCAACGAACTCCTTGACGAGCTCATTGCCCTCCAACTCCGCCTGCGGCGTGGTCTGAACAAACTGGGTAAGCAGCTTCGCCGAGTTTTTGGCCTCCTCAATGCGCGCCGCCAGTTCACCAGGCTCCGGCAGGGTCTTGGGCGGGAGAGGAGGACGGCTCGGGTATGGGTGTGCCGCCATGGGATTTCCCTGCTGTGCGCTTGCTGTCGGATATCGATCAATCTGTTGCGCCTTCCATTAGTGACATCCCATTGGCTCGCACGGTTTCAGAAATCGTGTCGGTACTTACGAAGGATTGATTACCCTTGGTCTTCTCCTTGGCCCACATCTGCAGCAAAAGCTGCAAATCCTCATCCCCTGCCCGATTCGCCTCGAGGGTGTTCAGGTACTGGCGCAAGTAGTGCTGGACATGCCAGTCACGCCCGTTGCGCAATAGCTCCTTGATGACGGTGACAAACTTGGAGTCAAAGTTGCGCGTGAAGCTGTGGCCTGGGTTGTCAACCAGAATGCGCATGACCATGATCGCATTGTACTGGACATGATTCGGGGTGTTGCTCGGAGAGGAGAGGTATTTTTTGATCCGATGCGCCGCCTCCTTGGCCGCCGCGGGGCTGGACTCGGCCGTTTCAACGATGCGAGGCAGATGAACGAATTCATTTCCTTGCTGGAGAGGGGGGAACAGAGAAGCGTCAGCCCACGGTCGTGGGGTAGCGATGACGGGGAAGTGTTTGTTACTGTTTGCAACCTACCTGCGTCTGTGGAGAATTGGTCCCTTCGCAAAAGGTTTTCTAGAACGCGAACAGTTCAGTCAGGAGGTCATCCGATGTGCCATCCGAGCGAGGGCAGAGCGCACCATTTCCTGCAACAGGACGGATTCTGGGGAGTCTTCGCTGTGGTCCGGGCTGCTATCGGAGCCTAGCGAGCTGAGTTAGTTGGTGCGGGGAGGAGGAGCATTGGGATAGGCGGCTAAAAATATTAGACTTACTTGAGCGCCGGCTCCCCAGAGAGCGGAAGAAACCCTTCATGATGGGCTGGATATGAGGAAGAGAGCAGGTGAAAGGAAGAGAGTGTGTTGAAGAAGGTTTGAGGATTGGGGGGGAGAAGGGCGGAATAATATTAAACTAGGGTCTGGCACGCTAGGCAGATTTCCCGGCACAAGTAGCCTCCAAGGGTCCAGGAACACTTTGGGGGCGGCAGCGTTTGGGGGGAAACTTAGTAGTACTAGTAGTCGGAGTGGTAGTCGTGCTTTGGGGGTTGTCGGGGAAAGGGGACTTGGTCCGGGGGCTGTGTTGGCCGGTGTGGCAAGTGATGGCGACCGGGACCACCCTTACTCGACCGTCTACGTAGGCGTCTACGTCGCTGTCGACGGCCGCTCTGATCGTCTGTCACGTCTGTTTGTCCGTTGTCTGTTACTATTTTCGTCCATCACATGAGTCAGCCGTGGTTAGCGCCATTTGGAGGGTGTACTTGAGGCTCCTCTCCCACAAACCCGAAAGGATTCGGGAGTAGTAGTCGCGTAATTTTTGGCCCCCATCTCCCCAGGCCATGATGGTCCAGGGTCACAGTGTCGGTGCCTCGGATCCCAGGGAGAAGAGCAGATTCGTGACATCTAACGGACCCGTTCTCTTCTTCAGCGATGACCCAAAGACCCAAAGATCCAAGGATCAAGACACGCGTAAATGGGCACGTGGCCGGTGCCAAGCATTCGTATCCATTGATCTCCAGACCCGTTGTCCCGGTCTCGACTACGTCTACGACAAATGGTGTACTGCAGTCATTTCCAAACAGAGTAACACGGATGGTAAAAAGAGAGAGAGAAAATGACCGAACAACAAAATGAAGAAAGAGAAAAAAGAAATGCCCCCGCGCGGATTTGAACCACGAACTTCGAAGGAAGGTATGGCATGCAAGGAACACGTTCATGTATGCTTACATAAGCTTCGCGGGATAACCAATTACCCTACAGGGGCATCTGAAGTGGCAATTAGGACCGCACCAGAGCCTATGACTAGACCCAGCCTAACCCCCCCCCCCCCCCCTCGCCTCTTGGCCCCCAAGCCTCATCCCATCAACACGGTCATTCCAACCGTCGGCTGCATAGATGGGACGAAGAGGAGTTCACGGGTCAAAGAAAGAAGGCTCCTCAATGAAGCCGTCACTCACATTGAAAGACCTTTCCACTGGAGATGACAATGGGGAGGAGGGATGAAATGTCGGTGGGCAGAGAGTTAGTTTCTTTTTTTTTTCTTCCCGTCCGGAACACTCGGAACATTATTATTCCCTGGAACATCAATAATCCTATCCTGTGCATCGGGTCACTCGAAGGTAACTGTATCTCCCTTGCAAGGAGGAATCGACCTTCTGATTCTCATTCCCAGCGAAGTACGGTGCCATTCTAGATGCGCAAACACATCACCGCACGTCAGTCGACTACCTTCTGTCTCTTACATTCTGGCCCCACTTATAGCTTCTGGAAGTAGCGAGATAAGAAGAAATTGTCTAGATTTTGTTTTTCTTAATGTACCGGAAACTTTAGAAGTATATATTATCTATCACATCTTTACCCAAAGAAGGTTTTCATGGCTTGCACTTTCACCATTTTTGTCTCGATGCTCTTCATTTTATTTTATTTTCTCTTGCTCTTTCTAAGTCCGGCCCATCCCCTAATAATTTAATCCAAAATAAAAATATCGGAATAAACTGATAATATTCCTTGAAACGTCCACTCTCAATTATAAACGCAGAGTCCTTCATCATCGCCCACCTGGCCATGGATTGTTGGCATTTCGTGAGGATAGTCCAATCCAGAAGATGACGACGATGCAACCTCTTCTTCCAAACCTGCATACCCACGGAGTACCAATGATATCAAGTTCCATGACGACCGCATCGAGGCTGAGGCCGCTGCTAGGACCACCGCCAAGCCATCCCCAATTACCCGCTCAGGCAGCAGCTCAAGTCGATCTCCCTCCACCTCGCTCGCCTGGTAGACCCAGACCAGCAGATGCATCTCCTTTCTCCATGATGGGCCAGCTGCCGCACCTTTGGCGAAGGCGTCAAGCAGGCAGCAACGTCCTCTAGGCCCGTAATTGGGTGCTTACTCCCCGCGGGCGAAGCCATCCGCCATGTCCCCGAGAGTGTCGAAGCGCCAATCAAAGATGGGGTCCTCCGTATTTCCCATCGTTGCACCCGGACGCTCAATCCACACGGACCGGATCCCTGCCTGCCGTGCAGGCTGGTGGTCGTGGAATTGGCTCTGTGCCGTCTGGAGGATCTCGCTTGGCGCGATCCCAAAGTCTGCCTGCACCGCCTGCTTCATGTACGCAAAGTTGCGCGCGTCCGGCTTGTACGAGCCGATATCTTGCGCCGTGATGATCAGGTCGAACGGGAATCCTTGCAAGCTGCCGGCGTTGGACTGGGCGAATGAGGCCCGGTCTACGTTTGATAGGACCACGAGCTTGTAGTGCTCGGCGAGGCGCCGAAGGGCTGCTACGGTGTCGGGGAATGCAGGCCAATGGCCGATGGACGAGCCGAACTGTTGGCTCTCCGCTTCACTGGGGGCCCCGAGGCCCAGACGTGCGGCGATGAGGGGGTGGATGGTGGCGAGGAGCTGGGAGTACGGCATGTCGGGGGTCAGGCGCTGCTGCGTGCTCTCCAGCTCTTGGTAGACGGTCAGCAGGTGCTCACGAGAGAACTGGACATTGCCGGTCAACAGTAATGGTTGAAGGGCTACGAGGATGCCACTCTCCCAGTCGATGAGGGTGCCGTAGACATCGAAGCAGAGGAGACGATAGTCAGATAGCTGCGGCATTTTCAGATGGTAAACGATAGAATATCTGCACACGAAATCAATAAGAGCGGACTGAGAAGTGACACCGTATTGCTTTCGCGGAATATCTATTACAGGGATCTTTATATATCCCATCTGGTGCCCCGCACATCCAAAATAGGTCCCCGCTTATCGATCCGTCTTGCTTAGCGTCAGCCTTGTTAGTTTCGATATCGAGACACGTACACGAAGTACACTTGATCGACTGGGGGAAATCACTGCCTGAGATAAGGGATTTACCGAGATCCTGGACTAGATCAATAACAATGTGCTGGACACTGACCATATAGATAAGTGTGAATGTTTAAAAACCTGATGAACCTACATGCAGGTGGATGAACAGGCTTGGAATCATGAAAGCGTACAATGGTATTTCAGCTGGAAGACGAGGCTGCCCCGTCCCAGCTCTGATCGAAGAAATTGACCTCCGGCGCTCAGCAAGATCTCCTTGACCGAGTTCGGCCAACACCCGACCAAACTACTCTACATAGACACAGACTTCTCCAAAGAGAACCCATCAATCCAAAGAGCCGAAAACGTTCATAAAAGAAGAACCAACGTTTGTAATCATGATCGGACCGGGCAGTACAAGAGTTCCTATGTCCATCGTTCCGGAGCCGCGCTTATTTAAACTTTTTATTTGGTTCTCCTCCGAGTGTTGGTGCCATGACCTTAAAAATCTTGTATGATCCGGTATCATTTCCGTTCCAACATACAGATGCGCAAGAACTCCGGGCAACCCGTCCACCGCAAATCCTTTTTTCTTTTCCGAAAAAACGCACCCAGCCGCTCGTCCCCATTTAACCTCTCATCATGCGATCCGCTTAAGCCTCAGTGATGGCACGGCGGATCTCAGCGCCGCGCTGGCGGGAAGACAGACGGGAAGACTTGGCGACAGTCTGGGCCTTGGCGACCTCCTCATCGGCCTCAGTGAGGATGAGCTCGATGTGGCAGGGGTTGGTCATGTAGGGGTTGATCTGGAAAAATTTTCATCAGCACTTGGGCTCGAGAAATGATGTGTGGGAAGTGACAGGGAAAAACATACACGACCGTGAGCACGGTAAGTGCGGCGGCGACCCTTGGGGGCCTGGTTGACCTGAATGCGCTTGACGACCAGGGCACCGGTGTCGAGACCCTTGGTGTCGGCGTTGGCCTCGGCGTTCTTGAGGAGGTCAATCAGGAACTCGGCGGACTTGACGGGCCAGCGGGCCTTGGAGACACCGAACTGCTTGCCTGAAAATCGAAAACATCATGTTAGTTGAATCGCTCCATAGCCGTTGATATCCCACACAGGTTTTTTTTGTAGCAGCAACGGTGTCAATTTCGGTGTCGATCCACACATCCCATATCCACCGCACAGCGGTATTCCCCAAACCCAGTTTCTCTTCGAAGAAATAGCGTATTGTTGCAGAATAGACTATTGTGCCCTCTCATGACCCCGAAAATCCTTCTTGTTTGTCCTCTTGACACCGTTGCTTGCAATCCAATCCCGTGCGGAAAACCTCAAAAATTTCGATGGGAACTCACCCTGGGCGGTGCGGCCAGTGGAACCGGCATAGCGGCGCATGGGAACGGCCATGGACTTCTTGGTGACGTTCTCGAGGTAGGTCAAAGCCTTCTGGAGCTTCATGCCGTTGATGGCCTGAGCGGTCTCACGGGTGTTCTTGAAGCTGACACGCAGGTAAGAGCCCCGCGCGCGGGCGCTCTTCGCGGCCGGAATCTCCTGGGCGGCGTAACGGACCTGTAGTGCGAAAGAAAAACCTGATATTAGCCATCATGCTTCGTCGATTCGTGAGTGGTGGTGTAATGTCTCGGGGAGGCGATGATGATGGACTCGGATCAAGTTCCATCCCTCGATAGTGCATTGGGCGACATTTGGGGTAATAAGGGTGCTATGTTCGAGAATTCTGTCGATTAAAACGGGCAGGACTCACCATCTTGAAGGAGTTGGCGAGGTGAAGGTGATGGTCCTCGGGTGTCGGATGGATGTTGTCGCTTTTCGTCTTCGACCGCTGACGCTTGAACGCCAGGTTTGGTGCGGTTTTTTTCGCTCTTGGCACGCGGGCCCCTAAGCGAGCCCTAACGCTAGCCGCTTCAGGGAGATGATTACATAAGACGATCCCTTCTTCTTGCTTTTCGCCTCAGGCAGAAAATTGCATGTGGATTTTATCAGGGAAAAAAAGACACAACAGAGGATAAACACGACTAGAAATTTGAATTCTCTCATTTTTGTTAGATCTGAATATGTGGAGCTGTCTAGAGAATTAAACAACATAGTATGCCTTTATTACTCAAAATCTTCACACTCGACTCACATCCGCCCCACATTATTCGCTTCTCGTAAGTATAACTCGCTGCATCTGTCAGCCTTTGTCGTTCTCATATCATGGGAAATCAACTATTCTAGTTCTTCTTCGTGATAAAATTGGAGCTCCTTGTTAATCTCTTCTGCATGCTTAGCCCTCTCTTTTATCTCATAAGGATTTATCAGACCGAATGCATCGTCTCTTGTGTTTGCGAAGAACTCTTTGAGATACCCACTATCGTATAGTCCATGTTTATTTGGAAGATGTGCGGCCTGAATAAACATCTTCAGACCACCCACAGTTTGGGGAGTTTTTGCTATAGCCTCCATATTTGGCTGCTGAATTGCGGCTTCAATAAAAGACATTGCGATTTCTATACTCACAAAAACATCTTTTGCCGTCGTACTGGAAGGCCCTCTTCGATATTCGATCGTTGAATAAGGGGCTTCCGAATGTGGCTCTGGGGAAAGATTGACAAAATTCCAGCCAAATCTCTTATCTCTATAAGGATGCATCAAAAGAACTAGCTCATTGATATCCCTAGTCTCTTGTATACGGCTCAAACTTGCCTCACGGGTCAGATCTTTCGTCGCAAACTTATAGTTGTCTACCCAGTTGCTTTTCGCGTATTCATTACATCGACGCGCTTCTGGAAGAAGGGCTTCCCAAGCTGCTTCGAAATGTATTACACTCTGGGCTATTTTCTTTAGCTCTTGGAGGCTATAGCCTTCAACCCTGGAAAGGTGTATATGTGTTCCACACGTATCGTTCTGGGGAATTTGATAATTCTGCGTCAAGAATTCCCATAGAAAGTTAATATCTTCACGCCACTTTGAGCCTTCATAAATTCCAAAGATAGGAGATGTACTCTCTAAAGGGCCTGTTACAATTTCGTTAGAAGTGAGGTCAGTTACCACGTATTAGATAAGGTGTGTCGCTTACATGCGCGTACTCCCATCGTGTTGATGCTTTTGTCGATGCCTAGAGACCATTCAGAAAATGTCGGGTCTTCGTGGTCTTCCTCGATAGAATTATACATCCTTGGGTGGCAGTCACCCGTTCTATCCAGGTAATCATTATAAGACGAAGCGACTTCTTTTGAAAATTCGCTGATTTGGTTGGGTGGTATTCTGGAGTTAGAAGCAATAAGTAGAAACTCTACCTCGACCCCAAGTCTAAATTTTTCAGAATGATGATTTGAGGCATGAGGCTGTGAACGTATTTTCCCTTCTGGTAGAGATGTTAGCTTGGCTATGAATCGGGATTCTTAGGCTAAACGGACTTACTGCTTTCTGATGGATGACTCATAGCTCTCCTTACCCTTTTTACTTTTCACAAAGATCAGCGGTATATCGATATTGTTACAGAAGCAAAAGGGGGTTAGGAGAAAGTGCCGATCGAAGCCAAGTGAAAAAAGCGACGGATTTGTACTATCCTAAAGGACCAAAATTAGCACCGAGTATTTCAGAATTTGTAACTTCCGCTCCCGTTGCGCTTATGCTCACACCGATAGAGCACGCCATTATAATAACAAGCCTAAACGTGTTACCTCCGGTAAGGAATAAGATCGCATTCTATAGGGAGGCTCCTTGGTAGGTCGAATGAGATAGGCCCAACATACCCGAAAAAAGCGTCCACTTATAGCCGGCTAGATTCCTACGAAGATTTGGTTCTGCTGTTGTGTGAATATGTAATTCCTAAATGGTAAGTAACATGAGCTTCCTAAGGAGGAACATACCACCAGAGCTTTAACAGAAAAGCTTTTAAGTGTTGGTGTGATGAGTTTGCGATTTGACAGGCATATGCCGACCGTAAAAGCTCATCGAAATTGAATCATGAAAAGCAGTATGTATAAGCGCCGTGGATATGGATGAACTATTAATATGACTTCTCCAATCACCACTGGGTTCGTGTCCGCCCAGCCAGAATTATACGTCTGCTTGTAAATGAGAAGTGGTGAGTGTGGCCTACTGGACCCAGAAGTTTATAATGAAACCAGGCCGACAATGAGGTGAGATATCTCACCAGACGCGACCTCATTCTCTTGCCAACACCCTTCAAAATTCGTCGAATCCAACAAAGAAGACAAAGAACCAACAAAGTCCTATTATTAGATCTCCGAACAGGGTGGGTCTGGACCTGCCCCACGGTTCCGCGCAAGCCAGGGTACATATTTCCTTAGAGTGACCGTTCTCTTTGACCTGAAACTGTGGTGGTTGATTGTCAAACATTTGATAGCGATACGCCAGGATGGCCTTGGAAGCATGACTCGTATTCCTGTGGATGATTCAAGTTGCGTTCAGAAAATTCAATTAATCTAGCCCCCAGAGTGCCGTCCCGCCAGACACTCCCATTAAAATAGCTCGGGTTCTTGGATCCTATCAAGTACTGCATCGACGTAATAGCTTCGTGAAAACCTTCCCAAGCTAAATACATAGGTAAATTGCCTTTACGCTTAACATGTGCGTAAATGACATGCAGTATGGTTCAAATTTCTAACAGGGAATTTGGAACAGTTATTATTTTTTCAAAAGATGAGAAAATGCATAAATCTGGTCTAAATCTTGTCTATAATATCACACTCTATCGCTTCTGTTCAGGCACCTGTGTAATCAACTCGCCCTTCTCAACGGCCAACTTCAGGTTATCCAAGACCAAAACCTCCATCTCCTTCTGTGTTTCGTAGGTCATTGTGCCAATGTGCGGGAGCAGCATCACTCGGGGGTTATTAACCAGTCCAGGTTGGATCTTCGGCTCTTCCTCGTACACATCCAAGCCGGCGGAGCGAACCTAAAAAGTCGACCGATTAGAAATCTTACATAGCCAACGATTACGGTGATCATCATGTTATTGACTTACCTTCCCAGAATCGAGTGCTGCGACCAGCGCCTTCTCATCGATCAATGCTCCTCGTGCGGTGTTGACGACCACCACGCCGTCCTTCATCTTCCCAAACTCCGTAGCACCAATGATGTGCCGCGTCGATGCGTTGAGCGCCAGGTTCAGACTCAGAACGTCAGCGTTTGCCAAAAGCTCATCAAAAGAAACGTAAGTGGCACCGTTCTCCAGCTCGGCAGGCAGACGGGAGCGGTTGTGATATTGGATCGTCATGCCAAATGCCTTGGCCCGAATGGCCATTTCCTAGGACCGATGTCAGTTGACGCTTTTGCAAATGCCGGAGGTGTATTTAGAGAACACTTACCCGTCCGATACCTCCCATTCCTAGAATTCCAAGGACCTTGTTCTTGGGATCATGGCCCAGGGTAGTCTGTCCGTGCCATTGGCCTGTTCCGCATGTGGGTAGTCAGTTTCGATATTGTACAAAATTGAGCCACAGCTCATAACGCTAGATACACGATTGACTCACCAGCTCGCAGAGCAGCCTGCGGCACATAGGCCTGTCGCAATGCGCCAATCATAAGGAAAATGCCTACGTCGGCGGTGGCATTGTTCACAGCCACCGGGGTGCTGGAGACCGCAATGTTTCGTTGCGAGCAGGTGGCTACGTCAATATTGTCATACCCAGCTCCATTGTGGCAGATGTAGCGGACAGACTGCGGCAGGGCTGCGAGCAACTCGGCATCAAAGTTTCCGGTGAACTAGCGGAGGTTAGCCGGAGCACGGAGGGTACAGGGGTCTCTTTCTCGCCGGCATCGCGTACCTGGTTGGAGGTGTTGGAGCGGTAGATAGCGACCACATCATCATATTGGCCAGCCTTGCAGTTTTGGATGAACTCTGCGCGATTCCCGCTCGGAAATTCCTATTGCGCGGGCGTTGGTTAGCGGACTTGGTCTTCTTCCGGATGCTGCGGGGGAAATTGCGCGCTTACTTTCAGCGTCAAGATGGAGGAGAGGCTCTCCCACTCCTTGCGGGCGTGGGTAATGCCTCCAATGAGGAGAGCTGCTTGTGAGGGCATTTTGAAAGGAGATTCTGAGCATGCGATCAGCTTCATGCATGATGTCAGCGGAATAGTAGGAACGATGCGCCTACCGTTGCTGTCAGAAGACCAAGTATAGACAGTCTGAAGGAGAGATGTAAAAGAAAAGAGATGATGCGATGGCCTGCTATCGCCTAAAAAAAACACCGCGGATCCCCGCAATCCGGCACAATTGAACCCCCGTGCGACGTGGAACAGTACCGGTGCCTGTGGAGAATCGCCTGTGGAACTTGTATTCCGGCGCCTTGGACCTTTTGGATGTCACAAGATGACTGGATTTGAACGTCACAAATGTCTAATCGGCGCGATTCCATCGACACTTGAGATTTAAAGCAAATTGCGACGTTTCCTTTGCCCTTTTCTCGCTGGAGAGGAGGAGCTCCTCCTGGCGCAGTGCGAGCATATCCGCGACCCCCACGCGGATGGTGGCGGCTATTGAAAACGCCCCATCTGGAAGTAGTTGCCGGGCTGCGGCGACGGAGCAAGTCCGTGGGTCTTCGGACGACGTGTAGCGCATCACGTCTTCCCCCACGAGGGCGAGTGGGGGACATGAGGGGAACAAGGTCAGTCGCCGGAGACTTGATTCTGGTCTGGCACGGGACGTTCGGGGCCTTTCGCTATTTTAAATGCTTCTCGTACATCTCTTCTTCCTTCTCCAAGAACATCCATCATGTCAACAGAGACAACCGCCAACGCGCTCGTCCTGCACGGCGCCAAGGATCTCCGTCTAGTAAGTTGCGAATCCTCTTGATGCTCCAGAACCATCCGTCCTGACCATCCCCAAGGAAAAGCGAACCGTATCCGCCCCGACCGGCGCCGACGTCCAGGTCGCCGTCCAAGCTACCGGCATTTGTGGCTCCGACCTGCACTACTACTCCCACGGCCGCAATGGCGACTTCGTTGTGCGTGAGCCCATGTGTCTGGGCCACGAGTCCGCCGGCACCGTGACAGCTGTCGGTCCTGATGTCACGACCCTGAAAGTCGGCGACCGCGTCGCCATGGAAGTCGGTCTGCCCTGCCGCAAGTGTGCCCTCTGCCAGCAGGGCCGCTACAACATCTGCCCGCAGATGCAATTCCGCAGCAGTGCCAAAGTCTTCCCCCACCTGGACGGCACTCTGATGGAGCGCACCAACCACCCCGCTGCCATGTGCCATGCCTTGCCCGCCAACGTCTCTGATGCTGGCGGCGCCCTGGTTGAGCCTCTCGCCGTCTGCCTGCACGCCATCCGTCGCTCGCGGCCCCCAACTAAAGACGACGTCGCCCGCGCGGCGGCCGCCGGCGAAGCCACTGCCGCTCTGGTCTTCGGCGCCGGCGCCATTGGCTTGCTTCTTGCCTCCGCACTCGCTGCTTCCGAGTCATTCTCCACCATCGTTGTGGCCGACATCGACGCCGCGCGACTGGAGATAGCCGCCTCGCTGGGGCTCGGCCTCAAGACGGCGCTCATTCCACGCGGTGACCTTGCGAACCCACCGCCGCCCAAGGATGCCCCACACGCCGAGCAGACGGCGTTTGCGCTGAAGAACGCGCAGAGCGTCGCGGCCTCGCTGACCAGCGCTGCGCAGGTCAATGGCGGGCTCGCCATCTCAGGCTTCAGCCGCGTCTACGACTGCACCGGCGTGCCGGCATGCGTCCAGGCCGGCATATATGCCTCCGCGCCGGGCGGCGTCCTCGTCCAGATCGGCATGGGCAATCCCGTCCAGACGCTACCGGTGGGTGCTGCAGCGCTGCGCGAAGTCGATATTATCGGTGTCTTCCGGTACGATGGGCACGCGTACCCGGCTGCCATCACGTTGCTGGCCAGTGGCAAGATGCAAACCACAGAGGAAAAGGTGGTGACCCACCGGCTGTCCCTGGAGGAGGGCGAGCGGGCATTCACGCTGGCTGGAAAGGGCGTGGACGAGAGTGGCAACCCGGTTGTGAAAGTAATTATCGAGAGCCGAACTCCGGTGCTGGGTCGGTTGTAAAACAGGGGGCAATTTTAAAGGGGGTTGGTGTTTAGAGAAGAATTGGGGTTTGGAGATGAGGCTGTGGAGTTGTCTCATGTTCTCTGTTTATTTTTTTTTTTGTGATGACGATTTTGATGATGACTTTGTTATGAAAAAATACCCATTGTGAGAGTAGAGCAGATTGGCGATGGCGGGTGGAGACGCAGAGTCTCGGAACTTAGCCCATCATCTAGAATGCATTCTGACGTTTTCTTCTTTGAGAGATCTATACCAAAGTACCTTAAATTACACTAGGTTAAACTAATTATGAAGTTCAACATATATTCATAGAAAAACACCGGAATGCTCTACAGAGTGTAGACATTCATATTGATTCGTATTACAACATTGCACAAAATTTATTTCAACCCCCCAGCCAGCAGGAGGCTCTGCCCCGTCATGTAACCTGTAGTCACCAACATCGTGACAACGTTGGCCGTCTCTTCCGGTGTACCAAGGCGCTGCAGCGGGATATTGGCTGCAACCTCGGGGATTGATGCGGCATTGGGGATCATTCCGGTGTCGCCAATCATGGCGGGGGCAACGTCATTGACGCTAATGTTGAACTCGGCCAGGCGTGTTGAGAGGTTTTTCATCATACCGGTCAGACCTCCCTTGGATGCAGCGTAATCTAAAGTATCACGGTTGTCAGCAATGGCGTTACGAACGCTGTTGGTTATATCATTGGAGGAAAGGGAACACTCACGGCATCCATTGATGCCGCCTCCGGAGGCAGCGATCGAGGACATGAATACAATGCGTCCCCATCGTTGAGCTTTCATGTGCTCGACTACGCCCTTCACGAGGATGAACGACGCGCGGAGATTGATGTTGAGAGTGTAGTCAAATTCCTCGAGGGTGATATCCCACACGTTGGGGAAGCGCTTGCCGTAACCAGCGTTCGAGACCAGAATATCTGGTCGTTGACCATGTTCCTTGTCAATCTGCTGGAACATGGCCTCAATCTGCTCGGCGGATCCTACATCGACCTGGTGAATTGAGATCCGGAGCTTGTTCTCGGCGTACTTGGACTGTAATTCCTTCACAAGTCCATTCATCGCATCTAGGTTGGTCGAGTAGGTGAGGGCTAGGTGAACGCCATTCTGTGCCAGCTGAGTTGCACAGGCAGCGCCAATTCTGTGGTTTCAAAGGAGCCAGTCAGTTCTGATTGCTTCTGTAATCTGGTCACGGGTTCTGATCCAACTCACCCTCCTGACGCGCCGGTAATAAGGGCCAGACGGCCGTGGATCTCGTTGAGGGACATTGTGCGATGGAAACCGAAGGACTTTACCAGTAAATCGCGGGAAGAAGCCACCAAATATCCCAAGATCAATGGCGTGGGGTTGACTTGGCCTCGGCTACCCCTCGTGGAACATCGGGGTCTTCTCCGAGTCGGGTGCCCCGCAGCCCCGCAATCATTTGCCGTAGAAACTCGGGCCGTGAGGAGCACCGCCCGGCGCCAAATAAGCCTAGAATAGAAGGTTGCTGCTCATATCGCCCAGCCAGGCTGACGATTGCCAGGTCTGTGCCCTATCGTGTCCCGACTGGTAAATATCAGAGGTATTCTGCAAAGTGTCCAGGCCCAGCAGACCCCCTGAGATCTGGTCCCCGGACACATAATCACCGACGGCTTCCAAATCCAACCATGAGAAATCGTTGGCAGGGCTGAAATCCATGTAAGCATGGTCCGTAACCGGATTAGCCAATGCTGTCTGTAATGTGAAGTCGCTGTTGGGCTGTGTCTCTGCAGACGTGCTGGTCATTGATGATTTGGACCGCCATAGGAGTTCGAGTAGACGAGAGTAGCGCGATCCAATATCATCAGGGCCAGCACTCGCTTGTCGGAGAACTTCTGTGGTTCGAGCGACTAATCCCTGGACTTTGGCTTCTTCAGAGGGAAGCATCATTCCAAAAGACCGAGCCTGGAGGATGTGTCAGCCACTTGCATTATGAAATCCTTTTTGGGTTGAAGGTTGCAAACTTTGTATAAGAACACGGCCGAGTAAATACCATATCTAAAGCTGTTAGCAACATATTGGAAATAACATTGGCAGGTATAACGTACAGATAGAACCGGAGGGGCATAAAATGTAAATGCCGCTCGGGGTCCACCGAGTCAACCAAAATGGTCAAATAGGCCTTTGCTGCATCGACGGATTCATAAATGAACCGAGAATCTTGCATCGAAGCGACATTCTTAAATGTCGACCTTAGCTGTTCCCGGTGAGAGCTGCCATCAGTCTTCGGTTTCACCAGTGATTGAGAGATCGCAGCTTGAAATGCGAAAGCGGTTGTGTATAGCCGCAGATATTCGTATGATAGCTGCAATGTTGCTCGCATGGGTGGTGAGCCTGTTGAGTGTCAGATCAAAATATGACATAGTCCCAAAAGCAAATAAACACGAAGAAGGGTCCATATGGTATAAAATCCAGCAAAGTACAACCCTACTCACAATCTAAAGGTCCCCAAAGGGATTTCCATCGCAAGATGGCGAGGCGAAAGTCATCCACGTATTTGACGTAATCTCCCATCAGCATCATTTGATTGCTGGTGCGCATCCCAGAATACAGAACCTCATGCACATTTCCGTAAAGCTGAGTCAGATCTAACATAGCCTGAAAGATCTTCGAATAATCCTCATCTCCCTCGTTGGTCGGTTGCAGGGACGGGAAATCCTGGCTAACAAGACCGGTCATCGGGCCTGGTCCACGCGACCAGAATGCACGACCAATACGAACCGAGATCAATCGGTCAGAGACGTAGCAACTCGCCCATGCTAGCCGGCGACGAGCTTCGGTTTCCTGGTCGCCATATGGATCTCCTCGGAACGAAGTTCGATCTAGTCCGATGAAGTAGCCTGAACGCAGCGCGAGCCCGACATGCATCCACGCCGCGCGGTCTTCCTCACCGCGGCCAACACGCTCAATCCGGGGTCGCAGCCCTTGCGGTTCCCACTCAGCCAGCAATAGCAGAGCCTCAACAGCTTCCACGTCGCAGTCTGCACCGGCAGCAATCCCTGATATCAGCTCATGCATGTACCTGGAGCAGTATTCGTGAATCTCGGGCCGGTCCACGAGGTCCTTCGACGCAATTGTGAGGATAGCCGTGAGCAGGTGTTTCTCGTTAGCAAAGTCATCTAGCGCCGCGCGCTCGAAATATCTGCGCGGCACCAGCGGCAGGTACGGGTGGAAGCTTTCTGCATAGCGCAAGACCAGCTGCCAGACCGTGGTCGGGTCCAGAGATCGCGACTGGACTAAACGATAAGCCCGAATACCATTAGCCGGAGCACTGAAGTCGGAGACAACGCCGTTGCGGAGGCCGTTATATGTCGACATCGAATCCGACCGCACATGGTCGCCGGCACGGACTTCCGGGGTCGGGCCTGTACCTTGGGTGGCGATGCCGGTCAGGCATTGCCAGGCATCGGAAGGATTTCGAGGCACCGAGCCAATTGACGCATCGTCGTCTTCGACGGCCACTGACGCATTGCCGGGAGGATTGGGAGGAAGGAAAACCACGGGGCCGGGGTACGAGGCCGATGGCGCACGACGCGCTTCCGAGTTGGTCGGGCTGGCGGTCTCTTCGGAATCCTTGCTAGGCGATGGGTTCGTTGGGGTAAAGTTTTTGATCTTGTTTTTGCGGATACGGCGTCCGCCCCGATTAGAGCCGCCGAGGACGCATTCACGGTGTTCGCGCACACATCGCTGGCATGGCGGCTTGCCAGGATTGCCGTTGCTATCACTGCACGGGATTAGCGGGAGAAAAAGACGAGGGAAATGCCGATCTGGGGTAACCAGCCACAAGCAGGGCTGATTGGGGCTGATACACGGCCGGAAGAAACGACATACAGGTCACACCGTGACTTGCGCTGTCGGCAGTGCAGACACGCCCGGGATACGCGCTTCACAATAGGGTCGGGCCGCTGGCACGAAGCGACCTGCGACGGGGACTCCATGGCGTGAGACTACAGCGACATTGTCGGCAGATGGAAAGGAAAAGGCCCAAGACCCACAGGAAGGCCTACGCAAAGGGCCGGAGCATTACTCATCTGAAGGTGAAGCTGCAAATGTGGGGAAATCGGGAGCGCGAAGTTTCGCGGGGACCCAAGTCTAGGGAGTCTATCCAATCCCCCACAGTACACGTCGTAGCCGACAACGGTATCGCCAATTGGGTAAAACCGAAGAGAGTCAGTGAAGCTGAACATATCTCAAAGAAAACCCATTTGGCTTCAATCTACGATGACTGCAACCGTGATCCATCGTGAGACGACAGGGCAGCCTCCGGGTAGGAGCTCCTCCGGGTCCCAACATTCAATAGCCGACGGCGAATGACCGCGGCAACTGAAGATGCCGCATTGGCCCAACCCCCCGCGTGGGGAAGCAGCTTGTCGTCATGTCAAGGAACTACGATTATTTGGAGGGGCAGTTTTGGTCCTTTTTCTCTTCTCCTCCAATCTCTCGATTCTCACACATTCACCCTGACCTCAACAATGGCTTCGGTAGCGTCATTATTCTCCCTGGCGGGGAGAACCGCTCTCATCACCGGAGGCACTCGTGGCATTGGGCAAGCAATGGCCTTTGCCCTGGCCGAGGCTGGTGCAGATATCATTCTAGTCCAGCGTGACGAGTCCAACACTGTCACTCGCGACGAGATTATCAACCGCCTGGGCCGCAAGGCGCACATTCATGTCGCCGAGCTGTCGGACCGAAAAGCCGTGAAGAACATTGTGTCCGCGGTGGTCAGCCAAGGCTTCAAGCCTGACATTCTTCTGAACTGCGCCGGCATTCAACGACGACATCCTAGCGAGAAATTCCCGGATGAGGACTGGGATGAGGTGAGTGCTTTGTCTGTGAGACACAGGTCAAGACAGGCGAAGATGAACTAGACGCTGCGTGGGCATACCCTGCTAACTAGAACGCGAATACAGGTCCTCGAAGTGAACTTGTCACAGGTCTTCGTGCTGTGTCGCGAATTTGGCGCCTATCTGCTTGGCCGCGATGCGTCCGAGTTCCCTTCCGGCCGTCGTGGCTCCATTATTAACGTCGCCTCCCTGCTCACGTTCCAGGGCGGCATCACCGTCCCCGCGTACGCGGCCTCCAAGGGCGGCGTTGGCCAATTGACCAAGGCGCTCTCGAATGAGTGGATTTCAAAGGGGATCAATGTCAACGCCATTGCCCCGGGCTACATCGCGACGGATATGAACACTGCCCTCATCAATGACTCCAACCGAAACGCCGGCATCATGGCGCGGATTCCTGCAGGCCGGTGGGGCCAGCCGGAGGACTTCAAGGGTGTGGTAGTCTTTTTAGCCAGTGCTGCGAGCAGCTATGTCTCCGGTGAGATTATCACCGTGGATGGGGGCTGGATGGGTCGGTAAAGGATCCGTGGAGCTTTGTAAGATGATGAGCGAGATACCTCGGTCCCTTTGTGTTTTAAGCAAAGAGGCTTTCTTCCTACTTCCTTTCCTTTTTGAATTTTGTTTTTTATATAGAGCCACTGCATGCTAAGCGCCTGTGGTGATTGAAAATGGATTCCAGGATTTCAATCGATATTTTCTCATCACCAGGTAGCTCACAGACCGATCCATCAGGGAACAGGTATATCTTTACATAAACCCAGGATATCGATATATTCTTTAAATGAGAAAATTAGATCTGTTGACAATCTTTGAACTAGATGAAACTATATTGGGAAGAAGACAGGTTACTATATATGAAGTACAAGGAACATCACTTTTATGTAAGGACTCCCGCTCACGATAACAGGCCGGATGACTTCCTTTTTGCTATCAATATTTAAGACTCTCTTGATAAAGAAGAGGAACAACAGCCATAAAAAAATACATACAACAGCAGGGATTCGCTGGTGGTCACCCACCCAACTACTAACCTGCCGGCGTGTGGCTTAAGTACGGCTGAGCGGACGGGAAGCCCTGTTCTCCACACCCTGTGGTCGTATGTACTTTATTTTCCAAGAGAAAGACTTGCAATTTACAAAATATAATATGTAGCGTACTGTCTTCGCGTCGCACGACTCAGAGGAGCACGATGAGAAGCTGGGATATGAGGGTGATTCTCACCCTCTATCGCGCGACTACCACGCTGACCCTCACAGCAGGGCTCAGATATAGGGCTATTGGTTCACCTTGAACTGGCCAAAACTGCGGTCTCTTGGCCCTTACCAATCCCGACAATTTCCAAGCCCGGACTGGCCAAATCAGCGGCGAGTCCAGCTTGAATGTCGCCTTGGGTCAAAATAGAGTGCTTTTGTCCAGAGACCAGGAATGCCACGTTTGCATGGGCTTGTTTTGCTAAATATAGCTGGGTGAGCAGCTCGCCTTGGGGAGGTTCGTTAACTAAAGAGCAAGCAGTTTCGAACTGATTACAATATCTTCTCCTCCGACTGTAATAAGCATATTAGCCTAAGTGCATCAATTGTGTTTCATTTCAGCCCTTCAAAATTTCATCTCAATTTTCCAACCCCATTTATTGACAATCTAGCTAATACTTCTGTGTTGTCGCTGCATGCCCTCTTGCCAGGCTCGCCGCCCTCAACCCAGCCCATCCACATAGCACATCACCAGCAGGCAAATTCGCCATCGTCACAGACGCTGCGGAAACTGGGAATGCGAGAGAATCCTTCTCTTTGCCGCTACCGTGGCAGTCGCTGATGTAGCAGGTTATGTGGAAGATGACACCGGCACGGCATCATTAATGCAGGAAGCTTCACCGAGGGCGAGGTTGAAGCAATCGGAGAGGAGTTCTGGGTTCCAGAATTGAAGTTGGGCCATAGTGATGGTGCATTTGCTTTCGATAAGGGCGTAGCTGTCGCCAGATTGATTAAAGTAGTATCCTAGTTCAATGACCCGAGTTTTAAGCACGGAAGCCCCCACCCGCACCAACATCGGCAGCTTAGCTGGTACCTAAGTAAAGTTCATTTGACGGGTTTCATGTCTGAGGCTCATACAGGAGACCTGTACATCTGCTTTAAGCTTATCGTAGACTAGTAAGTGCAATCTTATCAAAATTCGACATCGTGTTTCTCTGGTGGATATTTTGAATCGGGAACGGATTAATTCTGGATCGGGATGCAGGGATCATCATGTAATTTGCAGCTAGGTTTGGTAAGAGAGCCAGGCTGACAGGTGGGCCATCAGCTCGGACAATGCACAGTCTTGAAAAGACCATTGCCCAGCTGCATCAGACACTGCTCAGACTGGGATCCTCCAACATTCCCCGAAATAAATACAACTAACACTGCAGCATAGGCAGCTGCAGCGCCATATATCTCTGCCCGGCGGGCATTGGTCAACAATGCATTGCTGAGAGCAAATATAACCGTATACGCAACCACCATGCCCAGCTTTGCAGTTGGGCTGCTAACAATGTACAGGCTGACAATGGCAACAGCCAAAGGGATCGCAGCGCAGAGCATGCTAATAGCAGCGACCGTCCAGGCAATATGGTGGCCTTTGTAGACGGTTGTATGGCCAAAAGGGTCATTTTCGGCGCGCTTCTGAAAAGGCCAATGATCTTGCAATAATTTGGAGAGGAAGTCTTCGTCCGCCGGCTTTCGCAAGGCTACCACGTCGTTTTCGTCCTCAAACATGGATTTCGTCGAGCCAGTCACGATAGGAACTGATTTTCCTGCCACCCCCGCAACATAGTCACGGCACGCTGTTAGGACGCTGGGCCGGTTCACGTTGGCGATTTGTGCTTCAAGGAGAAGCGCTTTGCCTAAAATAATATCAGCTAGACTATATTCTTAGGGGTCCTTTATACTCACGGTACTTCTTCATTTGAATTGCGAGTTCGTCCATCTGTACCAAACGTTTCTGCTCAAGTTCTGATCCGTTTTCGGCAAGCTCCACCAGTTTTTCCCATTGTCGCGAAGCCTGACGAGATTCCAGATTAGAGCTTCTTCGTGCTTCATCATCCAGTTTATGAATATCGGACTCGAGCTGCATAAGCTTATTCTGCAGATGAAGAATGTTGCACGCGCCTAGTCGACCAAACTTGCGAAAAACAATAGCATCACCGTCGGGATCGTGTCCCATCCAAGCGGCAAGTGCAGGATACCCATCGCGAGAATAGTTAAGCTGCAGGTCATGCTGGTTGCAGTGTGTACAGTTTGGGTAAATCATTGCTGACTGGAATGTTCTGCAAATACCTAGGGTTTTATGTCCTTCTGCTGGGGTTTCTGGAAATGTGCCTATTTACGCCCAGGTGAAGTGTGATGCTCAGCCACAGTGAGCTAAGATGGACAACGTATCTCCGTCGACTGACATTATATGATGACTTTTGCTGCCTAAAGGTCTACCATAATACGTCTACTAATAATATAATAATAGCTAGTATATAGAAGTTAATCTAGTTACTAGAGCTTTATAATAGCTTAACTATTATACGTGTTCTATATATTGCCTATATAATTTAACTAAGCTTGAAAGATCTCCTTAGTTAGATAAAAGTAAACCTAAGGAATAAAATAGCTAAGACTAAATAGTCTGAAGTCTGTATCTAGTCTCTCTATATAAGGTAGAAGAGGAAAGAGATTATTAATACTTTAAATAAGGTATAAGCTTAACATATATATCTCTCGTATCTTCTAACCTATTGCTAGATACGGAACCTAGCTATCTATATTAATATAAGTCTATAGCGTCGAGAGGCCTTTTGTAATCTCTAAAAAGAAGAGCTAAAGTGTCATATGATATTGCAACATGAGGCTATTCCCAACTCCACGCCTTAGGTGTCAGTTCGACACCTTATCGGTCAGGCTTCGTTATAACAGCCCCACTTCTCCCCAACCTGGATGTATAACCTATAAGGCCCTGAGGGTTCGGTGCTCTTCTATTAGGGATTCGTGAACCTCTCTTCCCTATAGCCTTTACTTACCCCTATTATATAGGGGCTACGTTAGACCGTATATTATAATATAATCTATCGTCTCTATTTTAGTTATATAGGAAAGTATTAAAGCTTATATATAAATTAAGGATTATAGAGAGATCCATGATAGTAAGAAATAGTATTTTGCTCTCCTTACTTAACGTTTATCTTCCTACCTAGTCGACAGGCTTTCTACCCTGTATAAGTAGTCACTCTCTAACAATTGGATTCTAGGAAGTCGAGCTTGTCGGTATAGTTATATCCTAGGCGAGCTTAGGCCTTGTTAGAGAGTGACTACTTATACAGGGTAGAAAGCCTGTCGACTAGGTAGGAAGATAAACGTTAAGTAAGGAGAGCAAAATACTGTTTCTTGCTATTATGGATCTCTCTATACTCCTCAATTTATATACAGGCTTCAACACCTTCCTACATAACCAAGGCAAAAGCGATGGATCATATTACAACATGCGGTCTAATATAGCCTATATGTAATAGAGGTAAGCAAAGGCTACAGGGAGGAGGGGTTCACGAATCCCTAATAGAAGGGCACCGAACCCTCAGGGCCTTATAGGTTATACATCCAGGTTGGGGAGAAGTGGGGCTGTTATAACGAAGCCTGACCGATAAGGTGTCGAACTGACACCTAAGGCGTGGAGTTGGGAATAGCCTCATGTTGCAATATCATATGACATTCTTTTAGAAAGGCAGCGAGGGCTTTTATTTATAGTATTTAATTAGGATCTTATCCTCTAGCAGGAGCCTTATCCCTATAAGAAATAATCTAATAGGAAGCTCTTTATTCGATCTCTAGATAAACTTCCACTAGCCCCTAGGAAGTCGTGCTCAGTTTACAGGAACAGCAGGGCTCCCGGGCTTAACACCTTCGATCCCGGAGGCTTATACGAGTAAGACTATTTAGCGTCTCTCTTAATGTTGCTCTTAATAGCGCTAGACTCGATAAGGAAAGGAAATCATCCTGGTTAGTTAACTAACCTAGTTAACGTATTTCACTAGTATTCGGAACACCACACCACATGTAGAATTTTCAACACACGATCGTTCAACCACCACCAAATATATTCAATCAAACTAGTTTACTAGGGCAATGGTTAATTCGATGCCCTAGTTGGTAGCATCCAGAATACCTATATACACGCTTGGTTGTAGGCTCAGCGCCCTCAGTAAGCTGCTGAGTGTCCTCGCTTTGACTAGGTTGAATAGGTTCGGTAGGCCCTACTGCTAACGTTTCTTGCTGTATGAACTCAGCAACCGTTAGGCCTTCCTGGCGTGCAATCTGGCGATTAGATCTAGCGCGTTTTTGACGTCTCCTTTCGTTAAATCTGCGTAGAACCCGGTTTTCCTCTGCTAGTAGTATACCACTATGAAGCGCTAGTTCACAACCCTTGATTAGTTGATCTAGCGCTCGCTCAGTTGGACTTTCTGGGCTAGTTGAACGCCGGTGTAGTAGGCGTTTAATTGAGGAAGCCTGCTTAGCAAGCTGTTTGACTGTATATGGTGTTCTAGGTGTAAAATCCTTTCGTTCGTCGATCTGAACAAAGAGTGTCGAAGTAAAGTAACTTACATTACGCTGTATCGAAAACACAAAGTCGACTACTATTCTCCATCCTATACTACACGACGAAATGTCCCTATTTAAGAATTTCCTGCCTATCTACTCCAAGAAACGAGGACTCATATTAGAGGTACTATATAAACTTATTAATACTTGTTTGATCCGATACTGTGCGCCTAAATAGGTCGACAGAGGCCCGCTCTTAAGTTCAAACTCGGTTGAAGCATATCTCACTTGAGCGGAGAAAAGTCTGAAACCATTTCTGTCTAGCTCAAAATCGCTATAAAGATAACCCTAGCTATACTAGCTACGATGTAATTCTGATGCCGTCGAATCGCTTCATAGTAGGCCCGCTTTATTACTCCGCCATGTTTTTTTTCGCAGTTAATTTTGTCTAAGAAAACTTGGACCGAATGCTGAGATCGATCCGTGAGGTACAGTAGTAGAAGTTGTGGATTAATCCCGAAACGAATGGTGTCATATCTTAATTCTTAACCGACACAATAACCAACATTTCAAGCTCGAGTGGAATACCGCTATCTGTGCGAAGCCGATCGAAAGACTGCTGGATCTCTTCAGAGGCGGCGGTTCGTAGATTCTCGGGAAGATGCTCAAGGTAATTCCCGAATGAGCTTGCCTGGACCAGTTTCATCACATCTTCAGAATTCTGTCCTTTGATTGTTGTTGGTAGTGCGGAAATTGTTCTGCATATAAACCCAGAACTGTTGAGAAGATCGCTCATTTCGTTTGCAGTGAACATTTTGACTGGCTCACTCATATCCCGAGAGTAATTTCGATAGTTCTCTCCCGAAAGAACCGTCCTCTTTATATCAAAAGGAGAGAATGAGCGGTTTCTGGATGGGGTTGATATCCCGAGGAGGCCGCCTGGTTTCAAAACGCGTGCAATCTCACGAAGAGCTTGTGTATGATCTTGTAACCAATGAAATACACAATTCAGAAGCACGACATCGAAGTAATCAGAGCTAAAGCGGGATAGGTCGTGTGCGTTACCAACACTAAATTCTAGATTGGACGCAATTATGTTGCGAGCGACATCGATTCGATTTTTCAGGGGGTCGATACCCAAAACCAATCCTTCACGAGTAACTGAATCTGCGATGTAAGAGGCAAGACGTCCTGTCCCGGCTCCGACATCTAGAACTCGGTCTCTAGGGCTGATGCGCACGGCCTCTATGAGAGACAAGCCCACATCATACTGGTAGTCACTGCAGATGTCATACTCAGATGCCAGCTGACGTGTATCAAGGTCAAACCGAAGGGAAGCTTCAGCCTGTTCGCTCATTTCGGAAATTTTTTCGTTTCGTCGTACCGGTGGATGAATATAGAAACAGAGAAATAGACAGAGAAGTCAAGGGAAAGAAGTCAAGAGAAAGATGTCAAGGGTAAATGTAGAACAAGAGCTTCAGGTGACTAAAGTTCAACTAATTCATAGAACCGATAGGCATAATGAAAAGGTGGAATGGCGATAGAAAGGCAGGTTTTTATAAGGGTTTCTGTCTTAGAGCAATCACGTATCTACTTAAAAAGTTGGTGCGTACATATCAACTAGATCTTTTTGTTCGAAAAAAAGACCAGGGAAAGGAGGCGTATGTAACGTCCTACTACTACCCCGCTTTGTAGATACAGAGAGTGACAGAAGCTCATCTAACGCCGAAGTTTAGACGGCAATGATAGAGTTGCGGAATACGGTATGGTAGCGTATGCAGATAATCCAATGAAATTCAGGTTGTCCGAAGAAGGAAAGTCTATCTGGATGCTAGTTGAATGACACCCCTGTGCGGCTGGTAATACCTGACCGCACTGGGCTTCCGAAGATACCCGGGTTACCATATAAAACACTAGTGGATTCGGGTATCCCTGTAATACTCGGACTCGCACGAATGCTGGAGGAGCTTCCGCCGTATTGACACCCCATTCCACTTGCCAGGTAATTCTGTGGCTTAATAGTAACCTGGGGGTTGTTTAATGCGATAAATATCTGCGGCTTGTAAACATATAATCGAACTACGTGGCAAAAAACCACCTACCTACCTGTATGGCGTCGATCGATCAGTGCCTAATGTTGATAGGTAGATGTGGATAACTTATCTGATGGTTGGTTGCACATCACCTACATGAGCAAAGGTAAACCACAATTTCACGCATCATGACGTAGGTAGCAAATGTGACTCCTGTAAATAGCCAGAAAGGGTATATATTTAGTATATTTTGTCGAGAAGGAAGACTGCATAATGCGGGCGAGACCTACATATCTCTATAGTCGTCAGGATATTACAGGGATACTCGATTTGCTACGTGTTTTATATAGTATCCCGGGTATACTCGGAACCTAGCGCTGTAACACGCTAGACAGCGAGGTAGGGAATATTCAACATTCCCCCACCTACACATTTAGATAGTTCAGTCACCTAATACATCACTATATTGAGCATCTCGTTCCATTGGATCCTAGCTTTCCTAGCCGATACCGTATCCTACTATATTGACACATTTCATGTAATGCTGCTGTAGTGACACCCCCCAAGATATCATACGTAAGACCCTCCACGCGCTACATAACCAATCAGAGTCCATAATCTTACTACTAGTGTCTCTATATTGATATACAGAATCTTGTTAGTGACTAAAATTATCTTCGAAGAGTATACATATTCACTAAAGACATACTCATATACACTGGGGAGGAGGGAGGGGGCATTGACTGAGGGTCCTAAGAGATCTCTCTCTCACCGCTGACTGCAACTAGACTATTGAAGACTACGAAGATTTGGAAACATCCGTATTTGCTGTAAATTATTATGCAGTGTCTCGATTCTGGATTCTGTTGCGTTGTAGCTCCTTCCCAGAATGTAAATTCTGGTGACGATTTAATGCTCAAGGATAAGGCGCTAAGGCTCTTATAATTTCTGTTGCCATTTACTGGTTACACGAAGGTATGAGGTGCTGTTTCCGGCGCATTCATCTGCCAATGCTCCTACCTATCGGCCTTGCCAATTCGGACATGAGCGCAGCAACATACCTACCTAATAGGTAACAGACATATGCTGAGCAATAAGGAAAACTTTCATTGATTCTGAGCGTGGGCATGGTTCAGGCCTCACATACCGGACAGATTTTAGGATATCATCACAAAGTTGAGCAAGCTAGGTATAAAGCCCCATATAATTTCCTCGGTCATCCAATATCAATGAAAAGTCCAAGTATCTTGTTTTTCACCCGAAGAATCCAGACAGAGCCTTCCACCAAGCCTAGTTTTGTCACTTGCAATTGAGATATCCTTTTTCAATCATGATTGACTTCACAATTGCCGCCGTGTCAATTGTGGCAGTCTTTGCAATATACAGCATTCAAGTTGCCCGAAAGCTTTCTGGTATTCCTGGACCATTTGTGGCACGGTTTACAGACTACTGGAAGATATATCATATGGTTAAAGGTGACTGGGCTGAGACTATTTGCTGGTGGCACCAGCGTCATGGTCCTCTAATTCGTATTGGCCCTAATGCGCTGAGTGTTGGGGATCCTACCGAGGTACCTCAAATCTATCAGACAAATCCATTGAAATTGTTGAAAAAGGTATGAAAATGGCACCAAAAGAATCCAGAGGGAAAATGCTAATAAATCATAGGGACACATGTATAGAGGGCTGACAGCCTGGTATAAAGGCCGAGATGTGTCGGGAATAGAGGGAATAATGGATGAAGGGGAGCACGCAAGTATTAAGAAAGTTGTTGGACAATCCTTCTCCTGGGCATCGGTTCTGGACTATGAGCATCTCATGGATCGCAGTACGATGGAGTTCATGGATATTTGCCAAAAGCTTGAGGTTCTCGATCTGAACAAGTGGATCTCATACTATACATTTGACACTATGAATGGTATTGCTTTCTCAACCGATCTGGGCTGCATGAGACAAGGGACAGATGTTGGTGGAGTTTTGAAGACAGTTGAAGCCGTTTCTGGGCTTTGGACGTACGTTGCGGCAGCTCCGACACTTTTTATGTGGGTTGCCCGCGCTTTGAGCTTTTTTATCGGTCCGAGTGGGCCATTGGTGGGTCTCTGTCTTGATCGAATCAGATCCCGAACAGAGAATATGCAAACAGAGGCATATTCGGAATCGAAGCGTCTGGACTTGCTTGGCGTCTTTTTGGAAGCGCGAAGGTCCAATCCTTCGATGATCAGCCACGAAAAAGTTATCGGCCTGACACTCACGACCCTTCTTACCGGGTCTGAGACCACGTCAATCAACCTGGCTTGGACGGTTTTCTTTTTGCTCCAAAACCAAACGTCTCTCGCCCGTCTCCAGGAGGAGATCAAAACAGCAGATCTTTCCTACCCTCCGTCTCTGAAAGATCTATGCCGGCTTTCGTACCTAAGCGCAGTGATCAAGGAAGGAACTCGATGCGCTTCCACAGTTCAGTTAAATTTGGAGAGAATTGTCCCACAAGGTGGAATGAACCTGTGTGACCGTTATATCCCCGCCGGAACGACTGTTGGATGTCATCAGCGGGTGATCCATCTCAACCAGAATGTCTACGGTTATGATGCTGCTATCTTCCGACCTGAAAGATGGATAGAATCCAGTGAGGAGGTTCAAAGATCAATGGACCGTTCTGGGATGTGGTTTGGAAGTGGAAAGCACATGTGTCTTGGTCAACACTTTGCTCGAGCTGGGATGATGAAGCTGTTGTCGACGATGCTGATGAGATTCAAGGTGAGATTCAATGCTGTGATTCTGTTTCTACTTATTTATGAGCTGATTCAGTATAGGTTTCCGCCGTCGATCCCAAAGCCCAGCAAATCCCTTCCAACAGCACTCTACGAATCCCAGCAGGCTCTTATTACATCAGAGTCAACACGAGGCAAGACTGCAATCAAGCTGAAGAAGTGAATGGGAACGAAAAAAACATGGAACTGTTGTCGAGTTCCAAGTCGCATTCGAAAACTGCAAGCATGGCTGAAAATCCACGGAAAGAGATGGAAAAGACCACTCAGCTTCAAGAAAACTTTTCTGCAGCTACTAAGTCTGCGCAATCATCTATCCACCTCAATGACTCCTACCATGGCCCTACTGATGATCTTCTCACCTGTGATGGAGTCTGCTATAAAACTCGGCCCCTCTGCCTTGAAGAGCTCAAGCGTGTTGCTGCCAACTTCACCACTCGTGAGGCCGCGAATATGACACATCGTGGGCAAACTTGGCTTCAAATGGCCCAGGCTGCGCTCGGCAACATGAACGAATACAAGCCAAACCTTTCGATATCTGCTCTTCGCCCGACTGTTTCGTCGGAAGACTCATTTGCATGGTCCACACCCGAGGGTGCAGCTGCTGGGATGACTGGCAAGGTTCATAACTCTCTCTCCCTACCAGAGGCTATGTGCGGGCCTCTTTTGAAAAGTCATATCCAGCGAGATCCTCTTTGGGTGGGGTACAGTATCACGCTCATTACCGCAAAAGCAGCCGGATGTTCTTTCGATATGTCAGTCACAAGAGCAACATCACCCGTGAGCCGCATCAACCAAGTGCAGGTCATGACAGGGCTACAACCTGTCCGAGTGAGCAACTTGGCCACCGCCGCACTCAGCGGGCTCTTTTACTTGGCTCACCACAAGCCGGAGAAGATGGTCGGCGAAGCTCGTGCTGTGAGCACTTTCTTTCACGGGTTAGCATACGCAGACGAACTCAGTTGTCCCGATCAAGGTGGAGAGTGGGCTCATTTCGGAAATCTAGCAGGACCACTACTTGCTGCCGAGAAGTTGTTAAGCGGCCCTCTTCCTAAGCTCTTTGAGAAAGTACTCTTTTCATACCATTGTTGCACAATAAAACCTCAGCCCCCCCCATTAATGTCCACCTTCAATTCGACCTCTCCGTCTCTACAGACCCTGTTTCTGGCCAGATTCTACGACTCGACCCTACCATCATATCTCGATTGTTTTCAATTTTTAGAACCAAGTTCTGTTCTAATGGCCCGCGCTACCACTTGGGGAACACTTCTATCCAACGACGTGTTTGATTATGTTAGTGATGGAATTTCCGGCAGAGTGGCCAATCTCTGTTGGGCGATCGGCGATCGGGATAGTCCGATCGAGTGTGCTCGGATGTTTCGTGGCTGCTTGATAGCTCTTGCGCGAACGGCTCATTATGATCCCGGACCTCTGTTTGCTCTAATCTACATGGAGTATACATACCTCTACACGGCGCGATACTGTTATTATTCGGTTCCGTGTGATCCGGATCTACCGCTGGATGATACCTACATCCCATACTCCTTTGTCGATATACCCACTCCAGGCACATCGCCTGTGCATGGGTTTCGTGCCGCACTACGAGAGGCTTTCTCCCCATCCGTCTCGAATCCTCCAAGTGATATATCTGATCTAATTGCACCATTCAGTCCTAGCACTAAGACTAATACGGCGAATCAATCCTTGCCCCCCTGGCGAGGAGTCGCTGCGACTCCCTGTGCCTGGGACATGGCGAGTGGGGACTTTGATGTCACAGCCATGAGAGCGACACATGAGATACTAGCCTGCCTTGACCGTCAAGTTTATGTTGACCACCCTGAGGTTTACCGAGCACACCTCGGGTGGATGATTCGCCACTACGATTCCATGGTGGTGGCCGGACGGGATAACTTAGGAGTAGGACGATACTACATCGCGAGCAGAATCGACTGAAACCCAAATTCTTGGGCTTCAAAGCAAGGTGGTCGGGTTTTACAAACGTGACGGAAGAAACACAAGCTCCCATGGCTTGGTACATGCGGTTGGTTGGCGAAAGCCAAGTTCTCTGTTGTTGGACCAGATACGGTCATCCTGTTATTGAGCTATTTTGTTCATGCTTTGTTTCTGGTTTCAATTTCTCAATGCAAATACTCACATCCTGGTTCTATTGGCTTTCTACAAGGGGAGTATTTCTTAGGTTGGCGTAGCTAGGTGGTTCAGGTTGGACTTCACTTAGAATCGGGGAATCGAGTTACGAATCTCATTCCGAGTTGTATGATTCAACACTGCTCACCATTCACTAGGAAAACGGATATGAGCCCCTTCAACCCGTACAGGTTGGCTCTGCATGCCCTGCATTCCCTGCATTAAAGAATTTGGAATGGTTGAGAAACTGTTTGGCCTCGATTTTCTGTCAGAGGAGAACATTAATATATTCGCCGTCATCTCGCGAGGACGTTGACTCTGTAGCAACAGCTTCGAGGCCAACAAGTTGAGCCTCAGATGAGGGGAAGGAATCAGTGATGCGGTTCATGCATGCAAGTCCAGGGTAGGTTGCGACGTGTTTGTGAGTTTGTGGACATTGATAACGCGATGTATGGCGGGCAGATGCATGATTTCCAGGTTACGTGTCATTTTGATTATGGTCGCATCACTGAGGCTGCTGCAAATTCTAGAGATGTGATCAAGAGGTTCTCTAGGCCATTCGCACATTGCTGAGGAGGTGCAACACCACCATCGAGTCGAAGGCACTGTGGGTATCCATCCCTAGCCTACCTGACGAGCCAATGAAGTCAGCCCCTAGTAGCATCACGTGGGTGTCCGGCTAAGTATGATCGGTCTCACGTGACACATACGTGACTAGCCCCACTTTTAGTTACTCAGGAGGGAGTGTTACCACGTGACGAAATCGTCACCCTTAGTTTATCATTATTCCCTAATAAAGAATGAACTTCATCTTTGCGACTCCCAATAACCCAGCTTCTTGTTACCACCTTTTCTTTTGGAATTTTGTTTGTATATAGAGCTTACTACATGATAAGCGCCTGCGGTGATTGGAGATGGATTTAGATCTCGTTGATATTTTCTTATAGCCAGGTAGCTCAGAGATAGATCCATCGGGGAAGAGGCATGTCTTTACATGAACCGATATATCGAGATACATGACTACGGCTCAGTAGGCGCCTTGAAATTTTGTCGCCTGATATCTGCCTGAACTTCTTCCCCTCACTCCCCACCTTATCTGGATACTGGTTTTATACAGTTTTTTTACCACCCTCAGCATGACAAATGTTTTCAGCCATGTAAGTCACCGTACTAAGAAGTATACCCTTGACTTCAGCCTAGAAAAGCTAGGAATCTCAATATGAAGTGAAATGAGCTGAATAATAACGATTTTGAGGCGAGAAAAGTCCGCATGCGTCTGATACGCAAACCATAAGTCCAAAACTGAGATGAGGCTGCCCGATATGAAAGATGTGGGAAATCAACACTTTCCTTCAAAAATGAGCTGGCTTGCTGATTATACACTGGTTTATAGGCATTTGTTTATTTTCAAGTGCATACTGGAGAGCTTTTCGGGCTTCTCACCCATGTTGATGCCTGAACTCTACCGCAACAACAGCTCAGCCACCTATGAATTTCCAAATTGGGCTTAGTTTCCAGAAAGCTTATTGTAGTATACTTGCTCGTCATTCCTCTCATTTGACTCCTCTTCTACGTCCCACTTGAATATCCTATTCATCATTCCAACTCGATCTCTTTCAATTTTTCAAGATGCAGACTACCACGCAAGTCCACGCAAACCCCTTGCCTGTGATAAGACATGCGACGGGAATACATGCCCAAGCCGTGTCCAACGAATTCCTCCACCAAAGTTTCATGCACCCTTGGAGAACATTCGACCAAGACATTCGATCAGCGCTTGCAACCACAAGCTTTCGATTTGAAATCCCTCACTCGGACTCTGATGAACTTTACCTGGTCGGAAACGAGATTGGCCTGTCCGGGCGATTTGTCAACAATGTCTGTGTCCCTGTGTCAAAGGTTCTTGGACAGTCACAACCTTCTTTAGTATCCAGGCCATTTTCACGACAACAGACGCCATACCGGATGTCGCTATTGGTGTAACGATCGATAATAACGACCGCCTTACTGAAATCAAGATCGTGGTTGAATTCAAGACACTCTGGACTTTTGACCTTGCTCGGTTATCTGTCTCCGATCTTGGGTCTCGGGTACAGCTTGGGCCTCAACTCGGTTTGTGCGACTTTCAACAGCGCTATATCACTGTTACTAATATTCCTACAGGCTTGTCGCACAAATGAGGAATTTCGGTTTACGTTATGGATTTTTGTCAACGTATGAGGGAACTATGTTTGTTAAGCGAACGGCAGACTTTGCATTCTGTATCTCTAGACCAATCCGAGCGCCCGATACCAATTTGTCTGTGCGGCAGTGTTTTGCAGGGCTGTGTATCCTTGCTGAATTAGCCATGACTTCACCGAAGATCCTGACTTCAAACCAGAACGAGTAAGTGGTGCTCAAGTTATATCAGGGTATACCCGCTGATGTGGACTATCAGCTGCGAGGGCAGACTGGTCTTCAATCCTCCACCCGCCAAACTCCACTTAGGAATTATGCTACTGGAGGAAGTCTAGTAACTGGATTGACAGGCAATATTACTCCAAATTCTATCATTCTCAGTGATCAAAGAGGAATTACTTCAGTCTTAAATATCTCTCATGTTATATCTCCCTCTAGTCAGCAAGAAAGGGCTATTTTTGAGATTGACCATCAGGGGACTCGCTACATTGCGAAATGCTGGGGCCTCCGACATGAGCAAGCGTACGCATTTATTAATCGCTGTTATTTTCCAGATTCTTATCTAACTATGCTTATTTGTCTAGGTTGAATGCGGAATGCACCGTGTACGAGCGTTTATCAGAATCACGCCACGGGGTTTATAATGTGTTCGCTAATATGATTCTTGCTGGAGACATCGTGTGCTCAAGCATTTTTCCTTACGGAAGGACACTGGTCCCTCCCTACAAAGCTGGAGAAATCGTTGCAAGGATCTGGGATAGCCTCGGTGGCCACGAACGGACTCTCATTCGCGAGGAGTGTGAAAAGGCCATTTACATTCTTCGGTCCTTATCGATTTATGTTCCCGATACCGGAAAGCACAATGTTTTGTATGACCGGATCAAAGGAGCTGTGACGATGCTGGATTTCGAAACTGCGATTCAAAGTGATCCATCAGAACATGTGCCCTATGTGGAATTGCTGTCATTATTTGGAGACCCCGTAATGCGTGGACGTGAGAGTGGTGGTTAGTTCATATTGTGGCGTGCTGGTATCGCCATTGAATTGCTGCTTTTATTATCCTTCTTATGCAATAGCAGTACCTACATGAGTTCATCATGATCCCAACGTTTTAGAAAGGATCCGTATAGTCGGTGCTAGCAGATTCATGTATGATTGCATAACGCCATTGTGGATTGTTATCAGGATTGCTACTTCTGCTTAAAAAACGACGAGGCCGGATTGGTGGAAGAATTCCACGCCAGCAACAAGTGAAACTGGCCGTCATTTATAGCCCGTTACAGTAGTCACAATATGACAGCTTGTTGAGGGTTTAACGATAGTGCGATCAGATGAAAATGGAAAGATAATAGGTTCAGCAGAAACATGGCGACGGTATTATTGCGAGACGCCGATAAAGATAGATCAATAATGGGTGCTGCTATACTCTGTGCCCCGGGTCCAGACCGACGAGTCAGGCATAATGCACGGGTCGTTTCGTTGGCTCTACTCCTCATCAGCCTCTCCACTGGTTTAGTGCAACAGGCCACACGGAGTGGCACATTCGACGGCATCCTTAGGATTCAGGCACAAACCAGCCAACCCCGATCGGCCGATCGGGCAACGTTCTTCCATGTCCAAAGCTCCAACATCGTGTGATCCTTTCTGTTGCTGGAAGATGAAAGAAAAGAGCGGGATCAGGGATTATACGATAATACCTCTCAAAATGGGGCTCTCTTATCTCCCGCTACGCCACCAAAGGGGCAAAGAAGGCCCCAATACTCATGGTGCACAATCGGTGGTTTCCAATTGACAGCTCTGAAACAAAGCACAAGGCTTCTGCCTGACGAACCCAAACCCACCATGGCCCAAGCTCCTGACAAAGCGAGAACAGCCCGGATCGAATGAACCCTGCCAGCTGAATCATGCCGGGAATGTGTCTGGATTGGCTAGCGATGGAAGCCCGCTGCAATGATGGCGACCCAGGGCGTGACGCCGGTCGCAGCGTCGCAGATCTGCAAGGGCCATCCGGCGGACCTCCTGTTTCAGCTGGCGACTAGAGTGCCCGGGCGGCTGGCTCCCTGAGAAACGCCAGAAAAAGCACGGGAAACACTGGCGCGACTCCCTGGTCATCGGATGAGTCCTCCCGATTGGCCCCACGACCCCTGGCAAATGAACAGGGCCAACGCCAACAGCCAGATGGCGGAGCTGCTGCCCAGCACCAGTGGTCGAGATGATGAAGTGGAGGAGTCGGTGAAGGTGGATGGCACCACTCTTCGCTCGGACATGGTGTGGTGTCGATAGTGATTTCTTGGAGTTAGGTTCGGAATCAGGCGAATATATTCCTCCCTTGTTCCCCGTTCCCCCCCGGCCCCAACAGGTGTTCTTGTTGATCGTTGGCGTACGCGCGGATCGACATTTCTCTTTCTATTCTTTGCTCGGCGGGTTCCCTGCATCCTCTTATAGAATATAGACGCTTCGTGCCTTGGCGTTGGCAGCATAGACACCCTTTGGGACTTTCATCCTCAGCTCAGCTCTTGAGACCCATCTCCTTCATCCTCGCGACCGCCGTGGTTGTCGCTCGTTTCTTTTGGAACATCGGTATCTCTGCGCGAGAGAAAAACGTACCCTTCCACCACAGATCGTCCTCCCTTGCCTGCATTCCTTTGCCCTAGACGATGCCTTTGACGCGCAGTGAGCAACGGAAGATCTGTGTTCTGTTGATCCACTGAGTCTACTGGTTTTTCTCAAATACCATACGGCTTCAAGCGGTTAGAGCTCGTCATTTCCCTCGCTGTTGACTAGTGCAAGCCTTGGGCTCAGGCTCCATTGGAGCGCCATTCACTTCGGTCATACTCCCTACTTCAACCGCCGCGGAACAGGCATCGCATCATAGGCTTCCAGTCACCGACGCATACCTGGCAGCCCAATTCTCCCACGATCATAATCGGTGCCTCGCTTGCAAATCATTCCATTTTCTTATTCTCATCGAGAGCTCTGACCTCATTTTCTTCGTTTCGACGTCACCACGCCGGACTATCGACATTCTCTCCGGACACTCCGCAACCAAACGGTCCAGCGGCATCCCACTACCCACAACATCCTTGTGGACAAGAGCGAGTCCTCAAAGTAACTTTCTGTGGTCCTTCACTCTCTTTTCATCGACGGGGCGAGCAGAAACAAGGAGCTCAAATACGTTATTTGCTTCGCCAAATCTTGTCGTTTTGGAATCACGCCCTTCTTGACAAGCGTCCCGAGGGGCAAACCAATGGCCGTACCCTCTCCGCATCTCGCGGAACGAAGCTATGGATCAAATACATCATACATCTATGAATACTCCAGGGGCCTAAGCGGTGTTGATGTCCCTCGCGATGTCATTATTACTCGAATTATCTATGTATCAGTGATTATTTTCGGCTTCGCTATATTCTGTGGCCGGGTTGCGCAACTGAGCCATGCATATCTTCGGCATATAACCTCAAACACAGCTTCCCGGAGGCAACAAACCTTCTGGAGCCAAGAGCAGTATACATGGTGGGCGAACATGAAGAAACACATACTGTACGCCCCGCTAGGAAGGAAGAGACACAATCGGGAGGTTCAGCTGTCGTCGGCGATTGGCATTGGCACATTGCCAAGCCGCTTCCAGACCGTCTTGATCTTCTTCTACTTTACCAGTCAGCTGGTGTATTGCGTATATCTGGACTACGGTGTCAATGAGAAGGCTGCGCTGGTTGCAGAGCTCCGTGGACGCTCAGGTACCCTGGCTGTCTTGAACATGGTGCCGCTCTTTCTCCTAGCAGCTCGCAATAACCCTTTAATTTCAATCTTACATATCAGCTTCGACACATATAATCTACTACACCGGTGGCTAGGCCGTATCATCGTGCTTGAATCTATTGTCCACACAACTGCGTGGGCAGTCAATGCAGTTGATGAGCAGAATGTGTCGGCCATGCTCGAGCGCATCAGAGACACCCCGTTTTTTGGCTGGGGCATGGTCGGTACCAGTGCGATGGTCTTCCTTGGTTTGCACTCCCCATCTCCCATTCGTCATGCTTTCTACGAGACCTTCCTGCACCTTCACCAGCTGGCTGCATTATTGGCTTTCCTCGGTGTATATGCCCATCTTAGCTTGGACAGTCTACCGCAAAAACCCTGGGCATATGCAATTCTCATGATCTGGTTGATCGAACGCAGCACCCGACTCATGCGCCTCGCCTATTTGAACCTATCCCACAAACATGGGACGACCAACATGACGGTTCAAGCACTCCCCGGCGAGGCATGTCGTGTTACCTTCCACCTTCCTAAACGCGTCAACATCCAGCCCGGCTGCCACGTCTACGCCTATATCCCCTGCGTGTCCTGGTGGATGTCCCACCCCTTCTCCATCGCATGGGCCCAACCCGCCACCAGCGCAGCCCCCTACGGCACCAAATACCTGGACTCCGATTCCGCCAACCAGGAAACTATCCTGACACCATCCTCCCTCGAAAAACAAGCCGCTGAACTCGACAACTATTTCGAGCCCACCTACCGCCCAACTGAAGTTTCACTTATCATTGGTGCCCGTCAAGGCATGACCCGCCGCTTGTATGACCTCGCTCGGTCCAAGCCAGACCAAATCCTCCGTGCCCCCGGCTTCATCGAAGGCCCATACGGCTCGCATCCTGCCAACGCCGCCAGCTACGGTACTGCCGTGCTCTTCTCCGCCGGCGCCGGCATTACTCACCATTTAATGTACGCGCGCGACCTTGTCGAACGCGCTGCCACCGAGCGCGCCGCCACCCGTCGCGTCTATCTTATCTGGTCTGTCCGCTCTACTGAGCATCTCGCCTGGATCAGCCAGTGGATGGACCAGATTCTGCGGCTACCACAGCGCCGCGAGATCCTGGTCACGAAGGTCTTCGTCTCGAAACCCAAGCGCCCCACAGATATTATCTCGCCGTCTGCCACGGTTCAAATGCACTCAGGCCGTTGTAGGGCGGATGTGGTCCTTGACGAAATTATGCCGAAGCGGGTTGGCGCTACCTTGGTCTCGGTTTGCGGGCCAGGCGCATTTGCGGATGAGGTACGCGCGGCTGCCCGGGCGAGAATCGGGAGGGGAGATGTGGTGGATTTTGTGGAGGAGGCTTTTACATGGTAGAGCCAGTGATGGCTTCCTTTTTTTTTCTCTTCTTGTGTCTTTTCTACCTAACTTTTTATCTTCTTGCATATCGTTGTTGGGCGTTCATGAGGGTTGAGATTAATGCTGCAGCGATTTATAGCGTTTGATCTGAGCGAAGAATAACAAACATCGGACTCTTTCTCTTTGATCATTTTTTCCCCTTTTTTCTATATTTGCACTAATGTTTAATGTACGAGCATAGTGCCAATCAAACAAAACCACAATCTGCTTCATTCAGAAATCAAGCCGTCACTCTATTGATGACTTATAGGCTAGAGCCCAATAGCTTTTCATAGAGCCAAAGACGACACGACATCCCTTTGGGCTTTCGCTAGTATGTAGTATGGTACTTGTATGTTGTACTTTCCGTGAACAAAGTGTGCTGGGCTTGGGATGCTTTCAGCCCAGCCGTCATCAACCTCCTCTCGTTGCCAGCGAGCACCTCCTCCATGGGTTGATACTCAGTTACATATGACCCCAGAACTCTGCTCATGGGCACTTTTCATGGGTCGGGCCTACTGTAAGTCTTCTATGTAATGTAGTATGTAACCACTTTGCTGCCAAGAACATACGAACGTACTATGCGTATTGATATCTAACGAACATACATAATCGAGTCAACAAAAAGTTATGCAGATTGTGAAGAAAAAATCTCTCGATAGGTTACTATTATTTACTGGTGAGTACGGCGCCCTGGATGCCTGTTAGATCTTGAAATATAAAGGGGTTATGAGAGGGAGAGGCCTTACATTCTGCTAGCTCCTCCAAATTCAGCTCGCGAATGCTATTGACGGAAGGCACTTCGCCCTGGACTGCCCCCTTGACAGTCTCGATGGCTCGCCCAACCATGCCCTTTTTCGCAACCACATGTGTGGCCAGCTTAGCTTCCAGCTTGATCACCCCGATCCGCGGATCCGTCGGTCCGCCATCATGGACACCATCACCCATGTCGCCAAGCCACGCCTTCAGCGTAGGTGAGTAATATTTCTGCACAGTTTCTTTGTCGGCAACAACAGAAGCAGTACCGGAGATCGAAGCCCAGGCGCCGGTGATGGGATCCAAGAAAGACATGTTGGTTTCTTGTGGGTGGACAGTGAGATCCATAGTTTTGCCAGAGAAGAGGTTGGTATGGAAGATGAGGTCAATGCCGCCGTGCTCCTGGAGACAAATGACTTACTTAGCCTATTTGTGCAATTTGTAACTGGACACAAAGTCCCAATCTCTAAATCACCTAGATCTTAATGTAACTTGGAAATCTGGGTTCACTCACCTTCCCCGCAAGCGCCATGCATCGTGAAGTCAGATACTCGCCCTCAGATTGTCTCGTCGTCAACATGCCAAATTTGATCTGGGAAATAAAGTCCACAAGATCTTCCACCTTCTGAGGCAGTGGCGTGTCCTCAAAGTTCTGCGACTTGTACGGGTCCACGGAGTGACTACCCGTACTGGTGTTGATGGTGGCTTTGGCAGACATAATGCTGTGTCTCTGCGATTGTGCAAATTGGCTTGTTCTTCTGGCACTGTAATAGGTCTGGAAGATACAGATAATTATATAGCTTTCTATGGCATCACAGGAATGCATGCTTTCTTGGAAATATAAGGTACTAGGAACGTCGTTATGACGTCAGTGATTAGATTATCCGGATGAGGGCTCGTGAAACAGCTGGTTGAGTCTGCAGCCAGCGGAAATGCTAAAAAATTGGAATTGGCAAATAAAGACACTGGGGTCGGGCTCCACAGCGATGCACGCGGTCTCCAGATCCGAGATTTGACCTGTTCTAGGTTTGGGTCGGGGCCGGAATCCATGTGCAGATATCTGAGCTGTGACACCAAGGCCTGAAAGCCTTTACTTGCACATTAAATCGATCTTAATGGTAATAAAATAACAACGATCCATGCATGGCCCTGCGTAGGTCAAGCTCATCAAATCTCCTGAACTTTGCAACCCACTAAGGCATTCGCATGAGCCAATATCGTTTGAATAGGATGATTTCTTGGCATAGAATATGACCACGAGGTTGCGAGATTAAAACGAAGTGTATACCCGGCTCCCATGTTGGAATAAAGCTTTAATAAGCATATCCGAGATGGTTGTGAGCCTCTGGTATATGATAAGCGTAAGATATGTAGAATATCAACCTGATCATGGTGGCTTTGTCTGACAGGGCGAGACGATGCAAAGATTGCTCTGGCGTTGCTCTTGCGGAATGAGATTTCCATTGATATCACCATTGATGGATCTTCTAACAGCTCTCTGGCTCATCTAGACTGTGCTAACGGCCCAAGGGCAAAATAAGGTGGTATCTCGTATCCCGCGCCACAGTATCTGTGTATCAAAAAGAAGCTTGATCAGAAATCACCCCGTTGTATAGGCCACATTATTCTTACCTTTGCACTAGCCACCAGATCAATTGTAACACAACCGCACAAAGGCAGATGTTTACCGCTATAGATCGTCAAAAGAGGTCAGCTTTGAGCTCTTCAAATCAAGGAAAAGGAGTCACAAGCCTTCATGGCCGATGGTCCGCAGTGACTTAGCAACCTTTCGTGGCCCTTGTCTCTTGATCCACGAAGACACCAAGTCGGTCTGACACGTTCGGCCCTCAACCACCCAGCAGCCACCTGGGGTGGGACGACACTCGAGATGCCACCGGCGACGCTCCATGATTCGGCGAATGCGCTTGTTACAGAAGGCCTCATCGGTGCGAAAGGAGCATTCTTCCATAGGACAGTCGAGTTTGCGCTCGAATCGCTCAACCAGCCAGTCCACTTTCAAGTGGACGCCGGTGTAAACCATTCCGTAGAAGTGGCGGCAGGTATGTTTCAGAGCGAGTGCGTCAGGGTAGTTGAGAAAAGAGGCAATCTGCATGTGCAGCTCCGAGGGAAGATCCAACAGGTCTGTCATGGGTCTGGTGGAAGACATATTTTCGGTGGTGGCAAGATATGTCCAATGTGGTTGTGTTGGATGAGACGAAGGGACCCGAGTGAGGAGGGGGGCCTCCTGATATGTTTCGGCCAACACACCTGACTTGAGAGGGCGGATCGCTTAAAGCGGCTGCCTGGGGTTTCGGCCATGTCGACCTATTCTGAAGTCAAGACAATAAATTTTGTAGGAACTAGGTTCGGGAGCTCTCGAGACTGAGTGACTCGACAGGAATTGACTCTATTATCGGTGCCTGCACAGCGTATTGGGAAGGGCCATCCTAACAATTACGCAGCCTGGAAGCCTTCATTGAGCCCCCACCATATACGCCCAATAATCTACCGGAATAAAAGTGTTTATCAAGCCATAATGATCTTCAATATTGATAGCATTAGCGGTCGGCTGTCAACTGGGGTTCCAAAGCTCATACTTCAATGCGGCTCTGAACCGCGCGACCCAGTGGAACCACCTTCGATTACCTAATACCGCCACCGTCAACCCGAAATCGACTTGAACCTTGAGCTGCTCTCCGCCGACCACAATTCACATCATCATGTCTCAACAAGGCGCCTATGGCGCCCCTGCCTCGGATACCGAGTTCCGAAAAACCTGGGACCGCGAGGAATACGCCAAAAAGGCCGCTGACGAAGAAGCCAAGCGCAAAGCAGAGGGCAAGGCCCGATATGAAGCCAAGCTCCTCGGCAAGAAATATCATGCGCCCGTCGACTATAGCGCCCTACAAGCGACCACTGCTCGCCAAGACCGATTGAAGGTCGATTCAAATGTGGGCAAGACGACTATAGTTCCGGCCGGCGCTGGCCAGGGCAAAAGGGGCCGAAGTGCGGGATTCTACTGCCAGGACTGCGACCTCACCTTCAAGGACAACATCCAGTGGATTGAGCACTTGAACAGCAAGCAGCATCTTATTGCAACTGGAGAGAGTGGAGAGGTTGTTCGGGCTGGTGTGGAGGATGTGCGGCTCCGACTGCAGATGCTTGCGCACCAGAAGCGAGTGCGTGAGGAGGAGGAGCGTCGTGCGTGGCAGCTGGATCTGGGAGAGAGGCTGCGGGAGAGGGAGAAGATCGAGGCAAAAGAGAGGGAGGAGAAGAGACGCAAGCGGAATGAGAAGCGTCGCAAGGGTGGTGATGGGGTCAAGCAAGAAGACAGCTGGGAGGGAAGACTGGGAATTATCGCTTGATTGCTGCTTGAGAGCTCGAATGTCCAGCAGACCCTGAACACAGGCATACAAAAAGTTAATTAATGATACCCATGGCGTTAAGGGTTGTTTCTTTGTACATCAGTTTTAGAATGATCTTTGATAGTAGAGGAAGACCAGAGAATCTGTTTCCTCGTGCCAACATTGGCATTGAACATGAAAATAGTGGAGCTATTCAGATCCCGAAGCCGCCCAGACAACGCCTAAACCCAAACATAAAACCGGCCCATATAAAGCAAGCCAAAATAAAATAAAAACACCGCATAATGGTCATTCACTCGATGCACCCAATAGCCTCGAGTCGGCGCATAGCCCGGTCTCCCTCCCTCTCAAACTGGCTGACAAGCCGCTCGCACTCTCGTTTCAGCCGCTCTTCGCCATTCTTTGCATTCCACATAATCCACTCCTCTACGGTCATCTTCTTCTCCGGACTAGTCAGTCCTGCCTTGGCACCGCGGAGAAGCCCAGCGATGTCGGCATTCTCCTTGTCGCTAGCTTCCCCAAACAGTACTTCATCGATATCAACCGGAGTCCATGGCTGGCCCAAACCTGGGAAACCTGCGTTTAGATTTCGCTTGGACGGCGATGGGGTACTTGTCGCCGGTGGAGCTCGGGCTTTCAGCTCCTTGGATGGTGTAACAATAGCCGGTGGCCGAGTCACAGAAGGTCGAGATGACGGTGGGTGATTTTCGGCATCAGATGACTGAGGTGAAAGTGATGGAGTAGTCTGGTGAGCCGCTGGAAGAGGCGAAATTGCTCTGTCAGAGGATTGAGGAGCTTGTTGAGATGTACGACGTTCTTTGCTCTGAGAATGTTGAGATTCAGTAAAAGAGTGAGCCAGGTGTTCCTCCTGTGGAATATCACTGAATCGTTTCGCCGTCTTTGGTGGAACTGGTGTTCGTTCATTTGTGTGCTGCGGCTCGGGTGAAGGTGCATGTTGGGGTTCGACCATCTCAATCTGATCAGGAAAATCATCTGGAGTTTCGTATTCTTCATCCTCTCCAGCTGGCAATTCATAACCAATTTGTTCACCGACCGGCTGCGGGATAGCAGCAGAAGGGGGTGATTGTGCAACCGCCTTCTTTGTCTTCTTTGACCTTTTTGGCTTCTCTTCCTTCTTCGAGGCCTTCTTTTTCGTGGCTTTCTCGGTTGATTCGACCTCGGAGTCTAATCGAGGTGTCGACTGTCGGTTGATGATCTCTACCGAGACAAAAGATTCACGCTGTCTGTGGTCATCTCTGTCATGGGTATTGGGCTTGGGCTGCTCTGAACGCTCTGAGGGCTCTGAACGCCCGCTTGGTGCTGGCTCCTCCTCAACACTTTCTTGTTTTTTGCTTTTCTTGGATCCCTTCTTCTTAGTCTTGCCCGACTTTGTCTTGGACGCTGGCGCCTCTACCTCCTCCGCGTCCACGAATGCTGTCTCGGCCGTGAGTTCAGGTTCCTCTTTGAGCTCATCCACATAATCTTCAGCTAGTTGGGACGGTTCAGCAGACTTAGGAACTGCCTTAGACTTCTTGCTGCTCTTGCTCTTCTTCGATGTGCGCGGCTTTTCGGGCTCGGCTTCCGGCTCGGCGTCCGCTACCTCAGGTGCATCTGCCTCAAGACCTGCCTCAATGGCTGCATCCAGCTCTGAGTCACGGGGAATGTGTGCTTGCGATGTGGTCTTGGATGCAACAGATACATCTGAGGCCTTGCGGCTCTTGGAAGCAGAGCCTTTTTTCGGACCCTTACGGCTCTTTTTGGGCTGCTCCTCCTGAGGCTCCTCATCCACCGGAGCTGCATCAGGCATCACGTAGTCCTGCGTTTCGTAGTTATTGGATTGCGAAATACTGCTGGCTCTTGTGCGAGTGGCTCGACGTTTGGTTGGTGGTTCCGCGATCGGCTCTTCGGGCTCTACTGGAATGACTTGTTCCAGTTCATCATCGTTGATATCCTCGCTAGCTCTCTTTTTCCCCCTGCCCGAGCGTTTGGGTTTAGAAGACTCCGGCTCTGGTTCCAACTGAGCAGGCTCGGTCACGTCGACATCCATTTGGCTCTCTACACCAGCATCTTCCTTCTTGTTTTTTGCGCTCTTTCCTTTGCCTTTGGTTCCCTTTTTCGAAGCTTTGGGCTTGACTGTAGCCTGGGATATTATGCTGCTGTCCATTGCTTCATCAATGTCCATATCAGGGGCTTCGGATGCAACAGTGGCGACGGACTGGGTCGATAGTCGAGAGGATGCTTTGGAAGTGCGAGATTTTTTTCGATTTGGCGCCCTTGCCCTTCTTTCCCGGAGGCTGTGCAAACACGAAGAAAGAGCAATCTGAGGATCGGCGATAGTGCTCATCACTGAATATATTAGCGCATCATTCTGGAATAGGAAGAGGGTCGATTGAGGGACTCGGAACTCACAAAGGGTCATCTTTCGGCTCCCAGCCATCCAATGACAGTTTACAGTATGCACAGCTAGCCAGATCCGTGCTCTCTTCATTAGGGCAGAAAAACCATCCGCCTGCAACCATCTGTCATAATTGTGAGTGAGAGCTACAAGGTTTGCGATGCAATCTCGGTACCTTTTCCGATTGACAAACCCAGCCACGCTTGCCATCATGAGGCCAGGCGTCTCCAAAAGTCCCCATCCGCGCCTGGGTGATCCGTTCACCGGTTGGATCTTCGATCATAGTGGGGTTGGAACTTTGTTGCTGAATGTCCATCATGATAGCCCAAGCACAGTCTGGCGAATGCTTAAGATGCTCTATAATGGGATTATCATCCTCTTCCCAGCCATCTAGTGCTCGACTGCACTGAAAACATGTTGTGTTGTCCGGGTTCGTCTCGTATGGTTTGTAGTAGAAGCCTGCGTGTGCCAACTGAAGCAGAATTTGCGCGTCAAAAATCTGAGCTGCTAGCATGAATCCAATGTGTCCATCATACCTCAGCAGGCGACGGTCTCTTGTGAGGCCACCCTATGACTTTAGAACCCTTGGTTGTCGAGGATCTCCGCTTCTCGGGCTTAAGCACTGTGTCGAAGCTGGCCAAACGGGCCGCGAAGGTGTCCATTTCAGATCCCATGATGCTATGATGTTGGGAGGGAGAGCCAATCCCAGTTTCGGAGTCGCAAACCGGCTCTGGTTGACGTCGCGGAAGTTGTTGTTCGATGTTGGTATGGGCTGTTTGGTCTGTTTACTTCCGTTGTTATGCGACGCGCCCCCACGTGACATCCCGTTACTAAGCTTCGGAACGACATCATCGGATCCCGAGTTGGATGACGAAGCCATCGCCAGTCTTGCCAGTTTCTCTTTCTCATAACCAGTGATTCCTGCAGAACGCTCTCCATGCTGCGGAATTTGGGCTCTCCTTGATCGATTCGCTTGAGCCCTGCGCTCCACTCCTTCCAATCGTCTCAGTCGCAGCCATGCGACCAACCGTACGAACCTGATTCCCAAAACTTTCTACTCGACAGAATATCCAAACTAATAATCACTCTTTTGTATAGATGGCAATTCCTCGGAGCGCTGGTCCTAGGGTCCTGGTTTACTCTCGGTCTAAGTCTTCACTTCTTCCCTGGTTGCCCGCCTCGGTCCGCCGTCTCTCAATTCCATCCCGTCCGACCCCCGACTCTCTTTCCCACCGATCTGCAAAGTCCAGTCTTTTGACATCCCAACTACTATACAATGTCGCCTCAATCAGATCACCTTCTTCGGCTTCTTTTTCTACTTCTTCATTACTGTCTGATGCAGACTGGGATCATAACCCGAATCTATCAATCTCCAACTTCTCCGAACTTCCGTCGAGGGATTTTGGTGTCAACCAACATATGATCATAAATCAAGAATTCAAAGAGGCTCTGCGACAGATTCTTTGGCAATTCCGAGCACCAATTCGATATGCATTTGCCTACGGATCAGGTGTTTTCACACAGACTGGCGCTGCTTCCGCCAGCTCAACACACCCGTCGGCGCCTGCTGCCATTCAAAACATGCAGCAGGGATCCGGGAAAATGATCGATTTCATATTTGGTGTCTCATATTCTCAACATTGGCATGATTTAAATCTGACTCAACATCGCGACCACTATTCTGGGCTAGGCTCACTCGGATCTTACGTGGTCTCTCAAGTCCAGGACCGATTTGGGGCCGGTGTTTACTTCAATACTCATATCACAGTCAATGGAACTTTGATCAAGTACGGTGTTGTAAATTTGGACACGCTTTGCCAAGATTTAACCCAGTGGAATACCCTATATCTCGCCGGCCGGCTCCACAAGCCCGTCAAGATCCTTCGAGACCATCCGAAGGTGCGATTGGCAAACCAAATGAACCTTTTGTCTGCGTTGCGAGTCGCACTATTGCTCCTTCCAGAACACTTCAGCGAATTCGAATTATACAGCACAATTGCAGGTATCAGCTATATGGGCGACCTGCGGATGGTGCTCCCAGCAGAGGATCCGGGCAAGGTGCGCAATATCGTGTCTGGACAGATGGCGCACTTCCGCAGACTATACGCACCGCTCATTCACAACCTCCCCAACGTCACATTCAAGGACCCGCGCTGTAGCCAGAGCGATTGGATCGATGATCCAGACGCGATCTTGGCTATGGTGCAGGACATGGATCCTGTCAAGCGTGGAAACATGGTCCGACGTCTTCCAGAATCCTTCCGACAGAAACTCTACTTCCAGTACCAGTCACGCTATGCAATCCCGCGGGCAGAGTTCAACAAGATGATGGAGGAACATCACGATTCCAATCAGGAGATTGTTCGCCGCCCTCAGGGTGGTCCTTTCGAACGCCGGATCGCTGATGATGACCACCTTCAAAAAGAGGTTTCTACGTCCATCATGAAGACCATCCGGTGGCCCAGCACTGTCCAGACCATCAAGGGGCCTCTGACTGCTGGTATTGGCAAAAGTTGGAACTACCTCAAGGAGAAACGGGAAAAGCATAAGAAGGCCAAGACTCGGTCCAAGCAATCGGCTGAGAAGGCCGAAATCAAGAAAGAATAGTCATACAGTTGATGGTAATTCTTTGGAATTACTATTCTGTAGGAAATTATGCGAGCCATTGAGAAATCGGGCATATAGGGGCGTTGTGTGGCATATGTATTACATTCATGTATCTGGCACTTGTCCATTAACAAGAATAAATATTTCATCTGATAGACTTCAACTGCTCTGACGTGCATAGTGTTGTGGAAACTTCATGGAGATATGTTAATAGTGAGGCACGCATTCAGTGCACCGCTTTGCCGGTACCAGCAAGTTCCTAATTACTTTGGGGTTTATATTAAAACCCTGGCAGATGGTCAATGAGTAAATTTTTTTTTAAAAAAAAAAAAAAAAAATTATATCTAAATAACTCTGAACCGAAATGGTTGTCTGAGTCATTCCATGTTCTCTGCACCTTTGAATTGATTGCTGGTGAGTCAACTTGAATGGGGAAGATCATTTAAGAGGAATGCTTCCGCTTTCCCTCCGATAACGTCCTCCCGCTCACCCCCACCAAGTTTTGCGTCTCAAAACCCCTTGTGCTTCCAAGACCAGCACATCCTCCACTATGGCTCAAAGGACATCACCGTTCGATTTGCAGAAATGTGCCCGCCCTAACATCTTACAATTGCAGCCTTACCGGTGCGCCAGAGAGTATGCCTCCTATATCCATCAAACGGCGCGGCCCCACGCTAATGAGTCAGTGACTACAAAGACGATGGGACGAACGTTCTCCTCGACGCAAATGAGAATGCCTATGGCCCCGGACTGGCCTTGAACAGTGAGGGTGCCTTGCAGACGCCGCAGACTGGTGGTGCGACAGGCGCATCTAAGCCTGAGATTGACTTTCTCGGCTTGAACCGATACCCTGATCCGTCAGTATCATCTCTCAGAGCAGCGCAAAATCATAGACGAATGAAAGATCGCCAATACTGACGTCAATTTGTGTCTATAGTCACCAGATCGAATTAAAGCAATTGTTCTGCAACCTTCGCAATACCCACCACCACACACAAAAGACCCTTCGCCCCGAGAATATGTTTGTCGGCGTTGGCTCGGACGAGGCGATCGATGCGCTACTCCGGTGCTTCTGTGTGCCTGGCAAGGATAAGATCCTTACCTGCCCGCCGACCTATGGAATGTATAGCGTGAGCGCACAGGTCAATGACATTGAGATTGTCAAGGTGCCGTTGGATGTGACCAATGGCTTCCATCTGCAGCCAGAGAAGGTCAACGAGGCCCTCTCAGCAGACTCGTCAATTAAGTTAGCCTATATCTGCTCGCCAGGGAACCCGACGGCCAACCTGATCCGCAAGGCGGATATCCAGAAGGTGCTAGAGCACCCGACTTGGAACGGCGTGGTGGTGGTGGACGAAGCTTATATTGACTTTGCGCACGAGGGCGCCAGCTTGGCCGAGTGGGTGACCGAGTGGCCCAACCTTGTGGTGATGCAGACGCTGAGCAAGGCCTTTGGACTGGCGGGCATCCGGCTCGGTGTGGCCTATAGCAGCCCTGAGATTGCATTGCTACTGAACAGCCTCAAGGCGCCGTACAACATCTCCAGCCCGACCAGCGCGCTGGCCACGGCTGCTCTGACGGCCCCGAACATGGCTGTCATGCGCCAATATCGCGACCAGATCGTCACTCAGCGCGACCGACTGCTCCGGGAGCTACCGCAGATCCCCGGCGTGGGCCGGTTCCTTGGCGGCCATGACTCGAACTTCTTGCTCGTGGAGATGCTCGATGCCGAGGGGCGTCCGAGCAATGTCACCGCGCTCGCGGCCTACGAGGCGATGGCCGAGAAGCGGGGGGTGGTGGTGCGTTTCCGGGGCAAGGAATATGGGTGTGAGGGCTGTCTGCGCATTACAGTGGGCACGGAGGCGGAGGTCACCAAGTTCCTGCAGGAACTGCGGACGGTGCTGGCCGGGATTCACGCCGGAGTCGGCATTCAGTCGGTTCGGGATTAAGAAGACAACGTGCCCCTACGGGACGACGCAGATAATACAACCGCAGTCGTGGTCGGCGGTCGGAGTCACAATTTAGCCGTATGCGTCTTATCTTTGGACGTTCTTCTAGAGATATACGAATGTATCTAAGCCGGGCTGGGGCCTTTGGGGCTCTTGGAGGAGGCGAGCTTCAAAACATAGACAATCAGGAACGCTTTAGAAAAAAAAGCTTCAGTGAGGCCTAGAATCATGGTGTGTCTAACTGCCTGACTGGGCGAGACCCTCGCTCTTATCTGGTTTCCACCTGGGTGGTCATTGGGGTTAGGGGCTCGCTCCACTTCGGGCTTTTTAGCCTGGCGCATTGGATCACTTGCCCCATTTAGGATCGCTCGCTGTTAAATGTACGGAGAAATTAGAAAGTATCGTCATCATTTTTTCGTTAAAGAGAAGATAAAGTTCACGAACAAAATAGAGCGATATTCAGGTATAATTCAATCTATAGTTATAGCATGCGAAGTGATTTAAAGACGCAGGGTCCATATCAAGAGAAGATCGGGGTCCTATGGAGCATTAACTCATTTGAGGATTCTCCGTCAATTAATCTCCTCAACTCGATCCTGCTCGATCCTGTTCGAGAATCCCGTTAATGTCGTTAATATCATTAATATAACCCATCATATTGATTGGGTCCCATTTGCTGATTCAGGAAATCGTGCACGTGAAAGTCGTCGATAAGAGTTGCCCATTTTGGCCGTTAGACTTCTTTGGACGTCCCACCATCGACACAACTCCCCATCACGCTGGCAAGAGCCTATAATCTATTGCGATGGCCTCGGCTCCTTGACGGACCCGGTCAACTTCCCCAGATTACTGGCCTGGTTGGGGCCGGTCTGTCTCACATTCGCGTTCGCCCCTCCCGGAGGCTTTCTGGGACGCAGGCAACGCTGATTCGTCTTCTTGCGCGGACTCTCCCTTTTCTCCTTCCCCCGGAAAGGGTGGCCAAAGCTCCCGGACTCCGGTGAGCCGTCCATGCTCCCTACACCGCAGATCGAACGAGGGTGGAGCCGGATACATCATCGCCCCGAGTGGCTGGGAAGCGCGTCAGCATGGTGATGCTCGTCTTTGAACGAGACTGCTTGTGCAGCGCTGACGCGGGTCCTTTGCAGGCTCGCGACCGAGGAACCTACCAATCCGGTCACTCCAGCGCCATTCAAATGACTCTCGAGTCTTTCGAGTCTCTCGAGTCTTTCCAGCCCATGGCCTCTTTCCCGAGCCAAAAGAGCGCCCCCAAGAGATTAGTGTGTTGGCTGTCACTGGCTCTCCGTTATCTCCCTTTGGCCCTCCCCCTTCGCCCGTACTGACTTTCATGATCCTTGCCAACCCATAGACGGTGGCTCACATTTACTTTGGTAGCCTCCGAGACTGACCGACACGCGATTTTCTCATTTTTTTTCTTCTTTTCCTCCGGGTGATATCTGGCGAGCATTCAACCTAGAACGCGGAAGTTGGGGGGCTGTTATCTACCATCTATCGTCTGGATTATTATCATTAAATCATTGACCACTACTTCGTATTGCACTTATCTTTACTACTCGCCGCCTCCTCACTTTCCTGCTCCCTCTCCCATTTTGCCTGCCTTGCAACGATTCTCCATCCTGAACTCCTCCCGATCGGCAGCTGCTCACCTCCTCACACTTTGTCCCAAGACCCTCACGTGCGACATGTAAACGACAACGTTCGTCGCATCGCCGCATCCTCCCTCCTTAAATCTCCTAGGACTGCAAGGACAACGACAAGTGCAAAGCCCCTCTTCGGAGGGGGTCAAGCGTGGATCCAATGGAAATCGCCCCGTTAGCCGCGCGAGGCCTCTACCCCCAGGTACCTCCAGAATATGAATCGCGCCAGGAGATCAATCCGACCCTGATGATGAGCTGGTGGGCCACGGGCTTCTCACTAGCTATCATCGTCGTACGCCTATGCGGTCGCTATGTGCGCATCGAGCGCTTCTTCCCCGAGGACAAGATCATGATGCTCAGTGTCATCCCACTGACCATCCGCATGGTGCTGGTTCACTTTGTGCTAGCTTATGGCACCAATAATGTCCAAACCGCCGGGTTGACAAGTTACGAGATCGAGAAACGGGCGATTGGTAGCAAGCTGGTCCTGGCATCCCGGATCTTCTACGCCATATTGTAAGATTGGTTCTAATCCCAACCTTATGTCACTAGATGCCTTGAAAGTCGTATACTGACCCATCATTCTCTGGGATGACAGTATCTGGACGGCCAAACTGACCGTCTGTGAATTCCTCAAGCGAGTTACGGGTGTGGTCTGGCGCCGCTCCGTCGCCATTTTCTTACGCTTCATCCATTTCTTCTTGATCTCGACCCTGGTAGCTGTGGTCATCGCGACGCTGGCGGAGTGCCAGCCCTTCGATCACTACTGGCAGGTCATCCCAGACCCTGGACCTAGATGTCGAAGCGGTTATGCACAGCTCATTACAATGGGAACTTGCGACGTCATTACAGATCTCCTACTCATTGCTTTCCCGGTACCAATTATACTCTTGGCCCAGATGCCCTTAAAGCGCAAGTTAGCACTCGTCTTTCTGTTTTGTCTGTCACTGGTCCTGGTCGGCATCACTTGTTATCGTGTACCATCAGTGATCGAGCGACGTGGTAACCAACCTTACCGATCTCTCATTGCCTCTTTAGAGATTCTCGCGGCAACGGCTGTTTCCAATGCCGTCGTCATCGGCTCCTTTGTCCGTGACCGGGGGTCAAAAAGCTCAAGTACAAGCGAGCTCAAGGCTCGGCATCTGTGACCGAGAGCATGGACAACAGCTATGTGCGTCGAAACACAGTAATGAAGCATCAATGGGGCAGTGACTCCGACCTCGCCGCAGATATGGGCATCCGACTGGACCCCAAGCTTCACTCCTCTACGCCTGGAGCTGGCATACCGATACCTGCTCCTCCTGTGCCCCTTCTTGTTGCACAGACCGGTGCCCTGGACCGAAACTGGACCTTTCACCAAGGCCGGCCTTCGGAAGACGACCGCATATCTGCAGCAGATAGTCTTGACATCAAAGTCAGTCCACGCGAGTATATCCCAACGAATAAGTCCCCTCGTGATCAGCAGTCTTCCTCTCCATCGCCTCTCTCCTCCGACGCTGTCCCCTTTTTCGATGTGGGTGGCTTGCTCGATCAAGAGCAGCCTCAATCTAATGACCTACACACCCGTCCTCATCCTGTCGTTGTAACGCCCTCATCCGACGACTCTCCCGAAATCCACCGGCCTCGCCGCGGGAGCAGAGCATTCCTCGAAGATATTGGTGTTCTTGCTCCTCGCTCTCCGCCAGGACGTTTCTCGTCACCACCTGCGCCCATCAGCGAGACAGCTGCCCAGCTATCTCATACCCTTCCACCCTACCGAGCTTCTCCGGATACCTCAATTGACGTAGACATAGAACTTCAGGATGTCGGTGGGCTTTTATCAAGGCGCAATCCTGACGCCTAGGTTCTCATGTGTTATGATTTTGTTTTTGTTTTCCCAGGAGCTTGGAGGAGTTGGACTCTACTTCGCCGTGAATCGCCAGATCTGCACATACTCATGCCCTATACCCAATTGTTTTCATGAATCTGTATTTGCCTCCATTTACGGTGTTCCAAGGCCGGCGTTGAGGACACCTTGTTTTACCACCACGGAGGCCCATATGTTGACATTACACGGAATGCACGTCCCCCTTATTATATATTGTATACCAGCCCGACCCATGAAACGAATATACGATAATTACATCCATCTTGTTTCTAATAAAATGGCTTTTTTTGGACCAAACCATCCCCGACCGTTCTCCCAGACATCTTTATGACCCAAACCCAGACAAAGTGGGCACTCCCATCTACTCGCGCACATCCCATAAGTAAAGACATCCAATGTATTAGTCTAGATTGATCAAAAACTACAACGGACGTTACTATGTAAAAATGCAGATCAGAGATCAGAAACCACCCCCTGCTCCCCGTAGATGTTGGAGAAACTTCGCCTGTACGCCATGCTGCCCATAATACAAGGGGTCCGACTTTTTTGTTGTTTGAGTATGTGGTGCATGAAACCTCCGTGTCCTTCTACTTTGGTATCATCTGGCGCAGCCGCGGGCTTCCCTTGATATATGTTCTCATTCCACAGCCGGCACATAGAGATCGACGGATAAGACAGGCGGGTCGTTGCAGCTGCGAGAAAGAACCGGGTCGGAGAGGATGTCATGCGCAATTGGGTATGAGTTCTCATTTCCTCTCGATGGTTCGCGCGTGAGAGGAAAGGGCTTTGATTTATATTTTCAAATCCCTTCGTGCGCAAGAGAGGAAAGCAAGAACAAAAGACAAGAAATATCAATGCGAGAGTGGGCTCCATTTGGAGCAACATTCTCACTTGAGCTTAAGAGAAAAGTTTCCCCTTTTTAGATCACCCATCGGTAGCTGGCATACCGACCCGCGGTCTCACTCTTGCGAATGATCTTCACCACCTGACCTCGGCGGAGACCGAGATAGCGGGCAACCGGATCCATGACCTGCATACGGGGCAGCTGCGATTCCTTCAAGCGGTACCGCTCCAGCAGACGGGCCTTCTCCTCTGGACTGAGCAGGACGTGCTTGGGGACAAGCTCGTGGCGCGTGATGTTGACTAGCAAATCCTGCTCCTGGAAGTGCTCACAGAAGCGGCCGGGCAAGCTGTTGAGCATGCGCACCGCGGCCGAGGACATAGGGATCTGGGTGATGAAGATACCCGAGTGAAAGTTGCTCTCATCGACGATGTGGTTGAACTCGCGCACATGCTTGGCGCCGAGGGAGGTCTCTACCGCGCAGAAGTCGACATAGATGGTGCCGCAGTCGGGCTGGGGGTTCGGGTTGGATTTGCTGGGAAGTGCGGTGTACTTTTCTTTCATGAGCTCGGTGGGGCGGGCTTGGATTTTCATCTTCGTGCGGCTGCGGCAGAGAATGGAGATGTTAGCTGAGATGAATGGATAGTTGATAGCCCTTGCTTTTTCTTTTTCTTGCACATTCATGGTTCGTGGCTTTCTCTTGGTCCATCTATGAGGTCCAAGAGCTGGGGAGAGGAAAGCGCATACTCAGGGTACCCCATCGCGTCCGCGTATTTCTGTTTGAACTCCTCGAGAGAGATTTGCAACTCTTCGTCTGAAACTTCGTAGCCCTATTGATCCATTGAGAAGCATGATCAGTATTCGGTCGGTACGGAGCAGATTGACTCGTCAAACGGGAAAGAGCCGGATGCTCGGGGGTACATGAGAAACTCACTCGGTCTGAGAGCATCTCATAGACTGTCCTCCAAGTGCGCCAGAGGCGGGTTAGCTCCTTGCCAGCCTCATCGCTGCTGGTGGAGTATTCGCCATCCATGATCGATCGAAGGCGAAGAATAGACTGTGTGCAGAAAAAGAAAGAGTGAGCGCTAAAAAAAACGGCGGATGCACGGAGAGGATCCGGTGGAAGATAAGGTGAAGTCGAAAAATCGGCGGGAACTTTCTGCCAGGCGACGGCCGTACTTAGTAAAGCGGAGAAACTGACCGAACCATTTTAATTATTCGAAACGTTTCCCCTTTCCCCTCGTGGGCACCTTTTTTCTTCCCTTGTTTCCCCGAGAACTTATCTTTCCCTCTTTTTCCCCCTCGCTGCCTCAGACTACAATGGCCGCTCCTGCTTCTGTTGCGGAGCCCCGGGTTAAGCCCACCAAGCCCGATGAGGAGGCCTACAAGGCCAGTCTCGCCCAGGCCGAGGAGGAGCACACCGCGGCCCAAAAGAAGTTGGTATGATTTGCTTTGGTTCCAATTGATTTCTTTAATTTGGGCTACGTTTGAATGAATCTCTGGGGCCATCGTTCTGGTCACTTGAGACCCGGGGCGACGTTTCCCTATGTGCCTACCCACATGTGTCATTTCCGTATGAAGCCAATCGCTGACATGCGCAAACGACTAGAATGAAATCAAGGCCAAGTTGGACAACGCTAAGCCTAGCAATGAGGACTCGCCGATAGTCCAGAAGCAGAAGGAACTCCGCGCTGAACTCTCCGCCATCCGCGCCAAACAGTCGGGCTTCAAGTCTTCCCGGTCTAGCACTCAAGAGAAGATCAACGCTCTGGATGCAACCCTGAAGTCCCGCATTGCGGAACAGAACAATTCGCGCGGTAAGATGTCGTTCAAGAATGTCGAGGAGATCGACCGTGAGATCGCTCGCCTTGAAAGCCAGGTTGACTCCGGCACCCTGCGATTGGTGGATGAACGCAAGGCTCTCTCGGATGTTTCCAACCTGCGCAAGCAGCGCAAGGGCTTTGCTGGTCTCGACGAGGCTCAGAAGGGAATTGATGAGCTGAAGGCGCAGATTTCCGAACTCCGCAAGACCCTGGACAACCCTGAGGCCAAAGCCCTGAGCGACAAGTACGCCGAGATCCAACAGGAGCTGGACGCCATCAAGGCCGAACAGGACAGCGTCTTCAAGAACCTGAACGCTCTGCGTGACGAGCGCACCAAGCTTCGCAATGACCAGCAGCAGAAGTATACCGCCATCCGGACAATCAAGGACGACTACTTCAAGGCCCGCCGCGCCTACAAGGAGCATGAGGATGAGATGTGGCGCCTCCGCCGTGACCGCCAGAAGGCCGAGCGTGAGGCCTTTGAGCGTGAGAAGCGTAAGAAGGTGGCTGACAAGAAGCTGGAGGAGGCTTCTCGTCTTGCCTACACGGACGAGATCCTGACCGCTCAGGGTCTGATCCGCCACTTCGACCCTGCCTACGACTTCGCTACTCTCGGTCTGGATGATAAGAAGGATGAGGCCAGCAACTTCCGCGCCGGCGTTGGCCGTACCGTTGACGACTCGGGCCTGAAGGGCATGAAGGTCATCCGCAAGGAGGACCGCGATGACGACTACTTTGCCGGCACTGGTGGCAAGAAGGGTAAGAAGGGCAAGAAAGGTGGTGCCGCTTCGGAGGCCGGCAAGTTCAACATGAATGTTGGTATCATCGAGGACTTTGCCAAGGTGAAGATCGACCCGCCCATGAATCAGTCCGATGTGTCGGCCGCTGTGGAGAAGCTGGCTGCGAAGATCACCGAGTGGAAGAAGAACCAGGCCAGCAAGACCGAAGAGGTGAGTTCCCGTCTTGTGTTCGGTGGAAATCCAACGATTCCCCGATTCTTGGAGACGTGATTGGTATCTAACCCCATGCACAGAACATTAAGAAGGCCAAGGAGGAGATTGAACGCCTGGAGGAGGAGGAGGCAAAGGTTGCCCAGTCCAACGGCCGCAGCACCGATGCTGCGAAGAAGCCCGCTCAGGCGAATGGCGCCCCTACTGCCGAGGCCGAGCTGAAGCAGGAGAATGACGCGGTGGCCGATGCCGAGGAGGAGCTGCAAAAGGCCTCGCTGGAGGAGAAGGAGTAAATTCCGCCTCGGGACTTGGCTGGGAGGTTTGGTCTCTAGTCTTTACACCTTTTTCCTGACGTCCCTTTCGTATATGCCCTGCCGTCTAGCATTGTGTCTAGCATATCCCCCTTTTGTTTCCTCTTTTGGCCCATATTGCATTATAGCCCGCATTTCATCCGGGACCAGCGTCCGTTCTTCCCCAAAAGTCAGGAATGATGTCTCTATTCCGGCCTCGCTATTCATCGTATCTTCCATATTGTGTTTTAGTGTACCAAATGCCGACTTTGCCGTCGTTGCCGTGCTTGTTCGCCTCCCGGTTCTCCCATGATCTCTTGTAGTGTGTCGTTCGGAGAAGACCGAGTCATGGAGACTTGCCTTCTCCGGCATAACTTGCCCGCGTTTGCCCTATGTTGGCGCTGCCGGGCCACTCAGAGCGTTCGCTGGGCTGCTCCACGTCAACCGGTCACCTGATGAGTCATCCATCTGCGCCCCGGAACTTCCACTGCGCCACGCTCCACTTCGTTGCAAGTCGATCCCACTTCTCGATCGTCCAAGCGCCTTTTCTCTCTGCCTAGATCTCCCAACAAGTCTTCCCAACCTTGGCTGTGCCTCTCCTCTTTTGCTCCCTATTAATCCCCTCGTTCACCTCGACCAGCTCGCACTGCCCGATCTCTCATACTCTCACTTTCTGCCCTATCCACGCCCTCCGCGATCCTTCACGACTGACAGCGGCTCCACCCTCTGAATAGCTTCATCTTAGAAGATGTCATACAACTACAATAAACCCGTACGTATCCCCCTCCCTCCCTCTCCCTCAATCTGGTCCTCTACCACCGGCATTTCGTTTCACACTCTCTTTCTCTCTCTGTGGTACTCTATCTAATAGCTTCTCCATAGACAAGCCCTCCTCCCTCCTACCCAGCTCCCGTCTACGACTCAGGCGCTTACCAGCAGCCGCCTCCCCAGCCCGGTGCTGCCAACGACTACTACTCCCAAGGCCCTCAGCAAAATTACTATCCACCGCAGCAGCAGCAGCAGGGCTACGGACCTCCCGACCAAGGCTACTACGGCCAGCCCCCTCAGGGCGGGATGTACTACCAGGACCAGAATTACCCCCCGCAGCAGGGATACTACGATGACGACCGAGGCGCCGGCCGCGGCGGCGGCTCAAATGCCGGAGGCATCTGTGCTGGTATCATGGCTGCGATGGCCTGCTGCTGCTGTTTGGATGTCCTGTTCTAAAAATCAAAAGGGAGCAGGCGAGGACTGGTGAATCGCATTAGTCACCCGCCCAGGCCGAGACTTGGCGAAGTGCGCGGCTTTTTTCTCTCTTGCCCAGACGTCGTGCGAGAACGACGCGTATGTCTTTGGAGATACGACCTCATGGACTCCAAAACCACCCCCTAAGTCAACGGCTGGCATGCTTGAAATGAAGCTTTGCATGCAGGACCTATTTTGTTCATGTCTTCTTTTAATTCTGTTTTGCGGGGGAGGATCGGCGTTTAAATTTTGTTTCGAGGGTCAAGCTTGGAAATTTGAGCTCCAGGAGAGCTGGGGCCTGGCTTTGGGATTTGGGGTCTTGATGAGTTTTCTTTTCTTCTTCTTTTTCCTCTTCTTCTCTTCCTCTACCCTTTCTCTCTTTATTTTTCTTATTTTCATTTGCTGTGCAGACGTTCCGATGACTTTTTGGGCGAGGTTGAAAGGATGATATCCTCACTCGTACATATCTTTGATATTTTGTTATCACCGGCGCAAACCCCTAGACCAGGACGAGGCGTTGGGGGGCAAAGGACCCTAGGCTGCATCCCTATCTGCATAATCCATTCTCTTATTTTCCCTACCTAATTTCGGGTTGTCTGACAGGAGAAATATGGCTTTTCTTAAATATTTGAGACGTGTTGATATTCATGTTCAGATTGTAGAAAACGGTATAAACGGTGCATTTCTGGGCGCTATATATTGACAAACTTCACTTTGGGGCATAGCAGATCATGCGCAGAACACATGGAGAATTGGCAAATGTGGAGGGAGAACGAGGAGGGAGATAGAGAGAGAGGAAAGAAAAAAAAAACAAAGGGTATCGCAAATGCACAGGACAAACCATCAAGTCCTCCCCGCCCACCAGGGCTGCACCCACCGCTCCTAACGAACCCCGCGAAATCAGTAATGACTACCTCCATATGAGCTCCCACCACCGCCATATTCCCGAGGATCGACCGTGCGGTAGCCCCGTCCTGATCGATGGCTGCCGCCCCGGCGCGGCGGGACAGTTGATACCGCAGATGATTCCTCCTCGATGACCTCCACCACGTCGCGACTGTCCGTTGTCTCGGTGCCCGTCGTCGACTCCTCCACGATGATCCGGTCGCCACGCGACCCTGGCCGGCGATAGCTGGGGCGACGCCTGTAGTCGGGCTCCTCGACGACCTCGATCATGTCGCTACGACGCCGCGACGGCGTGCGCCGACTGCGCACGACTACTTCCTCGTCGATCTCGGAGCGGGAGCTACCGCGGGCCATACCCCCTGGGTTCAGGGCGAGGAAGGTCAGATAGAGGATGATCACGACACCGCCGACGGTGCCGAGGACAATGCCGGCGACGGTGCCAGGTGCGGGGCCAGAGTTGAGATGCCCGTATGTGGAGGGAATGGAGACGGTTGTGTATCGCTTTTCGAGGTGCGAGTGAAGGAGGATGTTGTGGTTTTCGAAGCTGGAAGGGTCATTTGGTGCGATAGGGGTGGTGTTGAAGTCTTCCTCTCCGAAAGGGAGAGCGTCCATGATTGCTGGGTCTGGATTATGGTTTGGACGGCCACCGTGAGGGTGGTGTGTTGTGGTGTTTGGCGACGCTCTGACTGCAGGTAGAGTTGTGCAGACTTTGGAGGCTGAGTAACAAGGACTGGGCTGAATGTTTTGGTGGGACGATGATGTTGTACAATTCACGAATTGACTCGATATGCGGCTGTGAAGAGAGGAAGAAGGAGATTAGCCGGGTTGGTGATCGAAATCGAAGGCTGGTTAAGCGGTGGCTGGGGATCTGCGGAGGTGGAGCCGTGGTGTTTGCGGGCGGACTGGATCGGAATCATTTGAGATAACGACCGAGTCTTTCTATCTCTCCCTCAGCCCCAAGCTTTGATAGATGCCACTAGCTAAAATGACAGAAATTCGAGCATTTCATATGAAAAATACAAATTCGGTGTATGGGGCCCATCCTGCTTTGTTCTTGAACCGTTATCACCCCCTAGGCCAGAACGCAGGATCAATATAGAAAACAATAAAGTAGTTAGAACTTTGATTTGCGATCCCTCGTAATGAGTGTCCTATTACTAAGTGCCTGTACTGTTCACTTATCTGTATTCGATATTATGCCCTCGAATGATTTCTAGCTTTCTCAACGGGCAGCGTAGAAGAGGGTCAGGCGGGGCGGGCCCGCCCCGCTCAGAGAGATCGACTCTATGTGATTAATTACTTCTATAGGGGTTTCATTGGCTAGAAACTCATAACTACGAAGTATATATCCCACTATCTAGCATTGTTGAAGAAGTGTATTCCGGTTTGTTGTTTTGTGACAATATAGCCTTTTAATCCGAAATGGGTTCAAATACGTAGGTATAAAATCAATAAGCAAATTCTTTTTTCGTTTTTCGTGGAGACATTCTCTTTATGACCCATGCAAAAATACCATAGTGCCAAAGCTATCAAATTCGAAATTAATCGTTCAATCCTGTGCTGATGTCGTTGTGGCCGCGTTCAGCTATGCTTTGAGACACTTGGCTACCGAGTCTGACCTCCAAAAAATATGAATAGGAAGTGCGACATTTCAAGTTCCAGGCTGAGACAAGCCAAATAACCTGTAGCCCATAATCTCAAGCTGTGCGTAGATATGGGAGGATGTAAGCGCGAAAGGGACATTCAGTAATGAAATCTCAACCCAATCACTAAACGGCAATCCGGTCATCGTCGGTACAAAGGAGTGAATATTGGGCTGTGATGTTCAGGCGTAGGCTCCTAAGAAACAGGAAAGGACATCGCCTTGGTTATATGATGAACGGCATCCAGGAGTCAAAAAAGTGATATTACAAAAATGCATGCTGAGGGTAATCAGCTTTACTTTTTATTGGAGGACCATTTTATGCTGAGCATGTGCTTTTCGAAGAATGGAATTGTGCCATATGGCTACAAAGTACGCTATGAGGGCACCGATTCCAACTAATTATTGGTTATCCTCCCCGTCTCTGAACAGCTAGTTTAATCGTATTGGCAGCTTACTTAGAACCAACACCAGTCCTGCTAATTCATTCTCTATTTATTTGAATGTGCGTTGGAGTTTGGAATGCTGCTGATATCTCTAAGTATAATACAAGTATATCTTCAAGTATCAAGGGATAGGCATCCAACAAAAGGAGACAATTCCTCATTCGAGTGCCGTATATGTGCAGGAAGCAAGAAGACTGGGTCCCCTGAAAAGTAGTACCTGTAGACGTCAGAAAGAAACAGCATTGGAGTCAGAAGAACTGCCAAACAAGAAGCCGTCATTTTGCTGCGAAAGCCAGAGGATTCATAGTCCGGATGATGCAGGCCGATGGGGAGAAATCTACTCATACAATTGAATACAATACGAAGCTGAATCAATAAGATGGAAAATATTTTGACGAGATCTCACCTTATTGCCGACAATTTGGAAGCTTCGATTAGGGTTCGGAGCGCACTCGGCGACCTCCGCGCACGGCCATCCAATTTTAATGGAACTGAAGCAAATGCCCAGGCCGCGCGGGCTAACCGGGGAAGGCAGGAACAGGCAGGGCGACGACTTGAACCCACCCGGGCTTAACTGGCTGGTCCGGCTTAACCAAATCCATCGTTTCACCCGCCCAACTAAGACCTTTTCAGACCATTTTAGACTATTTGGAACCAAGAGAGCGTAAGCCTCCTCTAGGTCCACGACAAATCGTACCCGCCCGGCGACGGCGACACCAGGCATGATAAGCACGTCAAAAAAGAAAAAAAAAAGAAAAGAGAAAACTAGGCCGATAAACCTAACACTAGGGTGCCTCATCGACCACTCAAATGATGTGATTAGCTGCAGCCCTCGTGGTACGGCACGCTAAGCGTACAAATTCTTCTTCTTCTGGAACTTTGGATCTTCGGGAAACTCAGCTTTCTTTTCTGCGGATTATCTGGTCTCCCTGAGGGTCGTGAACGGAGGAAAAAGATGACCGGCACTCTAGAGGGCCAGGACGGACCCAATAAATTGGGAAGCAGACACGCCGTCCACGATATCGAAGATCCACTCCCCCCGCCTTCGTTCCTCCTCTCCAGGGACGTGCTCCCAGACGATGGCCAGATCGTGACCCAGCAGGAGCGACTGAAGTTGATTCGCGGTCTGTCGCAACGCCATGTGCAGATGATTGCGATTGCGGGCGCAATTGTACGTCAAATCTCGGTTTGCTTGGACAACCCCTCCTCAATACCCCAGACCGTCTAACTAAAGGATTGCGAACAATCGACGCTGATGGCTGCATTGTATTTATACAGGGAACGGGCCTTTTCTTGGGTCTCGGCGGCTCCATCGCCACGGGCGGCCCTCTGGGCGCTCTGCTTGGCTATGTCTATGTCGGCTGCGTCGTGTGCGCGATTCAATTCGCCCTTGGCGAGGTCTCTGCGTTGCTGCCAGTGACCGGCTCTTTCGTGCGCCATGCTGAGATCCTGGTTGATCCCGCACTGGCCTTCGCCATCGGCTGGAATGTAGTCTATGGCTGCTTCCTGAGCGTGCCCAGCGAGATCTCCGCCAGTGTCGTGCTAATTCAGTACTGGACCGACATCAACGCCGCGGTCTGGGTCACGATCCTGATCATCTTATCCGTCGTCGTCGCTGTTTCGTTTATTGGGGTATATGGCGAGGTAGAGTTCTTCTTTGCCATCCTCAAGATCCTGCTGGTGATCTTTGTCGTCATCCTGGGCCTGGTCATCGATCTCGGCGGCGTCCCTGGTAAACCCCGCCTCGGTTTCCACTACTGGAAAGACCCGGGCCCCTTTGTTGAGTATATTTCGACCGGCTCTTGGGGTCGCTTCCTTGGCTTCTGGGCCGTGATGACCAACGCCGTTTACTCCTTCGCGGGTGTGGAGTCTCTGGCCATGGCGGCAGCCGAAACCAAGAACCCGCGCCATAACATCCCGAAGGCCTGTAAACGGGTCTTTGCGCGGGTCAGCATATTCTATCTCGCGGCCGTGCTGGTTGTTGGCATGCTGGTGTCGAGCTCCGATGATCGTCTAAGCGATGAATCTGGAACAGCCGCGCAGAGTCCGTTCGTCATTGCAGCCAGTGATGCGGGCATCAAGGCCATTCCCTCGATCGTGAACGCCATATGCCTAACCTCGGCATGGTCAGCATCTAACCAAAGTATTCTGGCCGGCACGAGAACTTTGTACGGTCTTGCAGTCAAGGGCCATGCCCCCAAAATCTTCCTCTGGACGACTAAGTGGGGTGTGCCCTATATGTGTGTTCTAGTACAGGTCCTCTTCTCTTTCCTGGCCTACATGTGCGTGTCCAACAGCGCGTTGAACGTTTTTTGGTGGTTTGTCGACTTAACAGCTGCCGGCACTCTGGTCTCATGGATCACAGTTGCTTGGAACCACATCCGTCTGCTGCAAGCATTGGACAGACAGGGCATTTCTCCGGATGCTTTGCCTTGGCATAATCGTATCACAAGTGAGTGGAAGGGTTGATTCTGACACCTCGCCGCGATGCCTACTAATATTATTTGCAGGATATACAAGCTGGTTTGCTTTGATCTCGTGCATTATAATTTTGTTGACAGGAGGATTTACCGTGTTCACGGCCGGCAACTGGGATCCTGCTTCATTTGTATCATCATATTTGTGAGTTCTCGATGCTTCAGGATGCTCAAGATAGATAGCTAATACTTCTGTTCCAGAGATATTCCCCTGGTTCTGTCTGCATACGGAGCTTACAAGCTGATTCGGCGCACCAAAGTTATTCCTTTGGAAATGGTACCCATTCGCCAGGCGCTAGAAGAGGCTGAGAATGATCCTGAAAATGTGCCCATCACGAAAGACGGCTTCCTCTCCAAAATCAATATTTTATGGGGATGATATATTATTTTCGATAGAAAGCAATCTTGCAGAGAGATACCATTACTCAACTTAATAGCGCATCTCTATCATGCATCGAATACATGAATGACAAACAAGTACAATTGTCAAGGGTGGGGATAAGTTACTAGTTGTCCCCCCCCGGGGGCCACCTCACGATGACTGAATCTGAATATAATCTAAATAATACATTATTTAATACTTGAGGTGGATTGGGCCGAGGATTTCAAGAAACACTTTTGCTTGATTAGGAATTAAGGGCCAGGATACGAGTGAATGCTTGCTTCATATTCCATTCATTCCTATTTACTGGTATCAACCCAGTCGACTATAAAATATTTACGGCCGGCATGCCCTCATTTAATATGCGCCACGACGCGCCTTGTATTTGGGCTGGTCAACCGACTCGACATCGCCCAAAGAAGTCAGAACGGGAGTCGTATTGATCAACTCCAGGTCCTCCACCTTAGCGCCATCTTCCTCCAGGGCCCACAAACTCAGCGCCAGCCAGTTAGTGCCCTGATAATTCAGAATGCCCTCAGGCACGGGGTAGGCCGACTGCGGACCAATGTTGTTCACGTACTTGCCATATTGGTATCCATTGACGTACAGCTGGACCCGGTATGCCGACGGTGGCGAGGTGCTGTTCCCGAAAGTAAAGAACAGAGGGACATCCCAACCCTGGGGCAGGTCAAGGTCAAAGCTTGCGCTATAGAAGCGGATACCTGGCTTGGAAAGACCAGTGAAAGGGCTGCTCGAGTCCCATTTTTGGGCTGGAGGCTGCGGCTGGTGGAAGCCTTGACGCTCAGCGTATAAGCCGCCCTCGTTCAGCGGACCACGAACGCTGTCCTGATAGTCCTCACCGCCCAGGTTACCGGTAAGCTTCCAAGAAACGGCGCTAGCGTCATGGCCGGATAGCGTGTAGGAGAGGATGCCGCGGGGATCCTTCATCTCCTCGGAGCCCACGGTCCAGTCCTCGTCCAGGCCCATGTTGTCAATGACCACAGTGATAACGTAGCTCTTGCCGGACTGCAAAGTGGGCAGTGTATAGGTGGCATTGTAGTCGCTATCAATGCTGATTCCGCTCCAGGAACCAACATATGTCTCATCGATCCAAACCGAGCTACCGAAAGCAGTACCGCCTTGGGTCTCGATGGAGAATGAGTCCTCCTTGCCATTGGCGGTAAAGTGACCTCTGTAAATAAGAGTGCCAGTATGGAAGCCATAGTCTGAGGAGAATAGTGAGGTGGGTGTCCTGAGCGAGTTCACACTGTTTTTGGTATAGGGTTGGTTGGCTTTAGTCCAGGCAGAGTCGTCATATGTATTCTTGATTTCGGGAAGCGTATCAATGGACTTCCATTTCAAGCCCTTCAAGCTTGGGAGTGAGATCTTTGGTGCAGTATACTTGATACTAGCCGACCAGATTCCATTCTTATCAATAGTGGACTTTGTTTTGTCTCCATTGATGAACAGGTTCTTCGCAGCGGACGGAGCACCGATCACCTCAACGGAAGTAGTAGCGTTGAAATCGGCCTGGATGTGAAGGTCGCTACCCTTGAGGTATGCATTTCGTACAAGATAACCTGCCTTCACAATGATAGAAGAAGCAGTAGTCTTTTCGGAGCTGAAACCAGGAGTAGTAGTGCCGTCTGTGGAGACCTCTGGTGTCCAGTAATTATAGGCCGAATTACGATCTATTGATGTCAGTAGGTCATCCAAATTTACCAAATCGGCATGAGGAGCTTACCAAGAAGCAAGATCTTCAGATCCCCAACCTTGACGATGCGACGAGTAGTCGAGACATCCCAGCCAATGACAATTGCGTTGCCTACTTTCTTAGACGAGATGCCGGATGATGGCCCTTCGATGACAGAGCTGCTTGATCCACGAGAGACAGCAAGCTCGTGGTGTTCCCCGGGACCACCATACAAGACAAGAACCTTCTCGTCCGCAAACTTCTTCCACGTGAAGACCTCGGCGGTCGAGTAAAGAATGTTGGTACCAGCCACATCGTAGTCAACAACATGGATCTTAGAGTCACGGCCACTAAGAGTGAGGCTGCCTCCCAGCTGGGGGATAGTGAGTTGGCCAGCACTGGTGGGAAGATTCAGCTTGTAGGTGGCCGAGTCTTCGCTTGAATAATCGGAATGGCGGATCACAAAGTACGAAGAGACTGAGCTATTGCTTCCCAAGAGAGGAGTCACAGCCAGGTCCGAATTTGTAGTATATGTTGAGGTAGTTAGACTACCAGGTGTGGTTAGAAGGTAAGAAGGAGACACCTTGGCAAAATTACCAAGCAGTTTTAGCTCGCTATATTTCTCACGGGTAATATTGCGAGATTCGGTGATAGCTGATCCATAGTCGTAGGAGGTATATCCGCCAGGGTGACCCAGGTTGCCCCAGTTGGTACCGCCGAAAATCTGCAAGATATTAGCCAGGTTGTCCGCCGCTTCCGAGATCAAAGGGCACTTACCATATACAAGTTCAGAAAAGCCACCCCGAAACTGAAGTCGTTCTTGTAGAAAACTCTCTCAAACTCGTGGTTCAAAAGGTGCGCGCAAGCATCGAAGCCATTTCCTCCCCAAGGGTCGAAGGCTCCTCCTTGGAACTGGAGCATGTTAGCCTCTTATCATCATCAAATAACCAAACCTCGACATACCTCAACCAATGAATACGGAGTATTTGGGCTCTGTTCCTCATGAAGAGTGCGGAAATTGGTAGGGAGGTATCCACTTGGCCAAGTTGCAGGGTTGGCACAGTCAAACCCAAGAGGATAGCTGTCGTGGCCATAAATGTCGACAGCTCCCGTACCCGTGCCTGGCGCATTGTGGCCTTCAGCACCGGCGTCATTGCTGATGAAAGGGACCACAACACCGGCATTACGAGCCTGGTCTTCAACGTACTGCATGTAGGCCCCATCAGGGAAGTTGTCCACACCGCAGCAAGCACCAGAATATTCATTCTCGGGCTGGTAGAGAATGATGGGTCCACCATTGGTAATTTGGCCTTTTGCAATGGTTGCAGCAACGTTGGCCACATAGCTGAATAAGTATGTGTAAGCAAATGCTAGCAATCATAGGAATATTTCGCTCCACATGGAGTATCCATACTTATCAGTAGATTTCAAGTAAGCTTCTTCACTAGTCCGCAGGGTAGCATTGACCCGTTGCAGCCAGCCTGGAAAACCACCACCAGAAACCTCCGCATTGATATAAGGGCCAGGGCGGGCCAACAGGTAGATACCAGCCTCTTTGGCTGCATCAAAAAACTTCTCGAGATCGAAAATTCCCTCGGCGGTGTAATGGCCCGGTTTGCCCTCTAGCAAGGCCCAGTCAACATAGAATGAGACACAGTTGAAGCCCAAGGCCTTGACCTTCTGGAAGATATCAATCCAGAGAGAAGGAACAGGCAATCTAGACGCAAGATCATTAGCCAATCTATGCTATCCAAAACAAAACAAACGAAATAATCATTTACCGGTATGGATGAACTTCACCACTGAAGATCATCAATCGCTCGCCATTAATGAATAGTGAGTGTTCATCCCACGTCACCTATATCGATGACAAGTTAGAATGATATGGCAGCAAAATTTTAGAAGATACCGTGCTTCGCGTACATATTTCTGCAGCTGAGCTCGTTTGACAGGATCCGGATGTTCCCGGATTGAAAACCCATCAAACTTATGACTGATCGCAGCACCTGCAGCCTGCGCAGCCAAGTAAGCCACGGCCGAGATGGTGAGAAGCTTCATGATAGCTTAAGTCGATCGAGCGCGAAATGCGAGGCACACGACCGAAATCTTTCTAAAATCGCAGGGAAGCTTGGAGAGCTTCTTGCATTTCACACCCTGCAAGGGATCGGCGGGCATTCATATACACTTGTGGTGCGACGATCGACAGACGAATCAAACCTGCCGCGGGTGGCATGCCGTACACTCCGGGGGACAAAAGCCGAACTCGGGAGCCATTTTTTGGTCCCTCATTTCTTGCTGGTCTGCGGCCTCCAAAACCCCTCGTCATGGTTTCGTCCTTTGCATCATCGACGGGGTAGCGAGAGGGCGGGGTCTTCGCTGCTATCCGCCCGGACGCTCGTGCATGCACAGGTGCATAGTAGAACACTACCGTCGTAGATGAGTGGAGGCCGCGATGCGCGGAACAGGAAGGGCGGCCGAAGATCCCCCAGTATTTGGGCGCCGGCCTGCGGGGGCTCCGCCGCCGCAATTTTTCCGCTTATCGCATAGTCAGGATTGTGTCGGGATGATGGCGATGGGGCGGGGTTGTAGATGGATGAATGAATTCCCCTGCAGCGAAATGACGAGAAGCAGAGGGGAATCAGCTGATCCTCGAGAGTCGGGAGACAACGAGACCCGCATAGCAACTACATTCGAACCATCGGCTTTTGTGCAAATCAGCTTTTGAAGTAAAGAAAAGCATAGAAAACAAATTGGATGCAATCAAGAATATATAAGACGGCTCTAGCTATCAATTGACAAGTGAGTGAGCGTGCGAGCCCCCAGATATTCGGACTAATGCCATCCGAGTCCTCCGCGATAGTTTCGACTCGCTCTGTCCATCTAACCCGCCACCATTTAATCTAAGCTGAAGCAAGCGTCTGCGGGGAAACAGGGGGAGTGAGAATTGCGTTCCGATGAATTTAACCGGTCCACCGATGATTCCCCGAGAAATGATCTTACGATGCAGATCGCTGCTTGCACGAAGCACTCGGGTATTTTCCAGTGCATTTGCGACCCCGACATCTGACGCTGAAAACCCTAAAAGGAGGCCTAGGGAAGGCAGGGCCGTATTTGTGCACGACCTCTTTAAGTCAAAATGAAAAGTATCCATGGCATTGCTTTTTAGTACATTCGGTGAGCAGCCACCGGGGGAAATGAAATCATGTAAACAATAAAGTACGGCAATATAAATCAGTCCAAAGTAGGATTGGCGTATGACGCAATGGGATCAATGCAAGAGCCCAATGTCCTAAACCGTCGTATTCATCCGATCCTCCTCATCTCCATCTTTGGAGAACGTCTCACGCTCATTCGTGATATCCTGGGTCTCCTGGCCCAGCTCGAGATTCTCGTTCTTCAGTGCAATCTCTTCAACCTCGGCCGTGGATTCGAGTGGCGTCTGGATTACAGGCGTCTCCGAACCCGAGCCATTCTCAGCCTTGCGTTCGTTAGTCTTCGCAAGAGTCGGGTTGACGAGCGGAGTGGAGTCGTTGAAGATGCGCAGCAACATCGCGCGGCGCTCCTCCTTGGGAAGCATAAGGTTCAGAGAATGCAGGGACCGCCAGAGGGGTAGCACCATAGGTTCACTAGATTTTGAGCAGTTAGTATGAGAGCAGTACTGTCTTTGAGGAGGGGTTCATATAAACATACGTCAGTCCGCTTTCCTTGCCAGTGGGGACAACACGTAGGATACTGCAGCCCATGGGAATGTCCTTCACGCGCTCGCCAATCTCGCCAAGCTCCTTCCAGCCACCGTCATTAACTTTCGGAAACATCTCGACGAGCAGTTTGCGTAGAGTCTCCCGCTCGGTCAGGACAACGTTTCGGGAATCACCGATCCAAGGCTGAATAATCTTCAAGCCATCGGTCTGAATGCGCCACCGGCAGACGTTTTCGCGCTGAGCATCCTGCTTCACGAACATCTTGACACCACAGTGAACGAACTTCATACCCGAGCCCTCGTTCATGGTCAGGATTTCGCGGGCCAGAGGACTGGTATAATAGACCGTCTTCGACGGATTTCCTGCAAGATTGCGAACCATAAAACGATCTCGAGGGAATCGCTTCGAGAGCTCGTAGAACTCAAAGATAGGGAGGAGCTCTTCATGGTTGGGGTCCAGGAACTTGTAGGGATCTTCCTGGGGAGCCTTCTTCTTCAATGGCTTATCGAACGGAAACGCGGCCGTCGGTGCAGGAGTGTTGTCGGTGGAAGTAGCAACGTTCTCAATTTCCACCGAGGCGGCGGGACGGTGGACGGGGCGGTCGCCGATTAGAACTTCCGTGCCGTCCTCAAGCTTGGTCCGCTTGGCTGGAACTTCATCCTCTAGATCATCAGCTTCACGCTTTGCGGTAGTCGAATCTTCAAGGGTTGCAGAGTATGGGGGTTGGTGGGTAGCCTCGGCAACAGAGGCATTCTTAGAAACCTCCTCCTCAACCTCTGGGTCAGCCGGGACAAGTTCATCCAACGACTCCAGCTTCTGGAAAGGCTCGCCATTCTCATTACGAGAGTCAAGCTCCTGAGCAAGAGCAGCGACCGTACCAGAAGGCTTAATGAGAGGAATGACGTTGCTGACATCCTCGGGCTTGGCCTTGATCTCGGAGGTCTTCTCGAGAACGGTGATGAAAAAGCCACCAGTGTCTTGGAGGTGAGGATAGATACGCATGCAGCGCTCAAGCGGCAAGTTGGCCTTGTCACCTGTACGTGCGAACATGCCCTCGGCCAGTCGGGCCAGGCCGTTGCCACTCTCCTGCTCTCTCTGAGCGATGACCTCTTCCCAGCTGCTCCAAATACGACCCTCACGATCCATTACCTTCCAGTTGTGCAATCCAGGTCGGCGATGGAGACCAGAAAGCTCTTGGCTGCAGTCAATAATCTTGACGTTGGCCGAGCCCCCACAGCGCTCGATGGCACTTGCAATAACAGATTCGTTTTCAACGGGGTTCATGCTGCATGTGGAGTAGACAACACGTCCGCCGACCTTCAGCATCTGAAGCGCACGGACCAAAATCCGCACCTGAGTCACATGGAGACCAAGAGCACTGGCCGGGTTCCAGTCCTTCCAGAGGTTCATGTTCTTTCGGGCAGTTCCATCGCCCGAGCAAGGGACATCAGCCAGAATGCGGTCGAACTTGAGGTATCGATTTCGGGCAGGCTTTCCGTCGGTACTGGGGTGTGGAGTAAGCTTGATAGAAGGATACATCGTGGCATCGTGGTTGGTCACAATGAGATTCGGCGAGCTCAACCGCTTCATCTGGTGAATAAGCAGGTGTGCACGTTTATAGTCACTGTCGTTGGCGATCAACAGTCCCGTGGTCCGGCCATCATCATTCAATCCCTCGGGGCCCCAAGGTTCTGGGCCAGCAGTTCCCTCCTTGACGTCCTTGGGCATCTCCCGAATCGCATCCTCCTCACCGGCGTGGATCGCCTCCATCAGCTGGGCAGACTTGCTGCCGGGAGCAGCGCACATGTCCAGAACAGCCATACCAGGCTTAATGTCAATGAGGAGAGGAGGAATCATGCTAACAAGTTCTTGGCGACTGATATTTCCAACTTCGGTCTCGGCCACGAGGAACTTCTGGAACGAAGCGAAGGGCGGGAAACGTCGGACAACCTGCTTGGGGGTCGTCATCCACCAAGCAAGCTGATCGGGATACCACGACACCGGGCGAGGGGGATCGACGGGCTGGCCCTCATACTCAATGGAAGTGATCTCGGGAACATAAAAATCCTTCAAGCGTTGCTGCACAGCAAGCGCATGTCTAATAGCAACCGGCAACTTTTAGCATTGACCCATGAAAGACGTTAAAATGTTATCGCATTCGAGTCGCCACTTACCCACGCGAGCCTGTGAAACGGAAGCTGTTTGGGAGATCCCTCTTCAAAGTAGCCCAAAACTCAGCGCGCTCCTCCTCAGGCACAAATTCAGGCTCATTGTAATAGCGCTCTAACTTCTCATTGCTCCTTGGATATTCTTGCCAATTGGTGCGGTCCGCGCGAGCTCCGCCGCCACCACCTCTGCCACCTCTGCCACCTTTGCCAGACTGCGAGTGAAGAACAAGTTAGAATCATAAATACACTTAATGATTAATTTTGCAGTGTGCACTCACTCTCTTGCCACCCCGTTTACCCATTGTGAATGTAGTTGTGTTGGTAGGCTGGCTGTCAAATTTGATAAAAAATGGCCGGAACAAGCACTAGCTTACCTAATCACCATCGTGGGGCCTACAACTGCAGCGAATCGCCGCCTTTGATATAAAACAGGCGCCGAAGGCCATCATCCTCTTGAGAGGTTGTATGCAAGGCAGGTAGGAATATAATACGTTTCTAGATGAATGCAGCGTTTTACTCGGCGAGGGAGGATGTGAAAGGGTATAATCATGTACAAGGAATTTGCTACATGGTGTAAAAGAAGAGACGAGGGAGACAAAAGAAACAAAGGAGATAGTTTGGTCTGCCACATCCCAGTGTGACAGACTGAATAGTCTACTATGGCAAACCATTAATTGCTATTTCACACAAATCAGGGTCTAAAAACAACCCAAGGCAATGATTGATAATACATTCAAACACAAACCCCCATTCACGACCCGGTGCTCCCGAGTATCAAATGGTAGTCTTTTAATCGCGAGTGGAGACACGGGGAAACTAGGACAGGTTGCGGGACATGTCATTGCGAATGCGCTGGTAGTCGAGGATACCCTCGACACTGCCAACAGCGCTCATAGCAACGTCCTGATCCCAGATCTTGCGGGTGGCAAAGTCCATAACGTCCTTCTCGGTGATCTGGCTGACGGCACGCTCAATATCCTCGGCGCCCAGGCGGCGGCCGGTGGTGATGATCTGACGGCCAATGTCTTCGGCAACGGCGGTGGTACCGTCGAGGGACAGGAGGATGGAAGCCTTGAGCTGAGCCTTAGCACGCTCAACCTCAGCAGCGGAAACGCTGTTGCACAGGCGAGTCCACTCGCGCAGGGTGAAGTGGATCAGGTCATCAAGGTTGGTCAGGTTCTCGGAAACAAGGTAGATACCCCAGAGACTATAGTTCAAGCATTGTTAGAGGACAGGAACCGCAGAGATATCGGTGGAGATCAAAGGATTGGCAAACTTACCCAGTGTCGCTGTAGCTGGTGGAGAAGCTCATGAAGCTGTTGGCAAGGTGGTGGTGGCTGACTTGAGAGCTCAGTTTGCTGCCGAGGAAGGGAGACTGGCCCATAGCACGGTCCCAGTTGCCGACGATGGCCTGGGCGACGAGGGCAGTGAAGTAGTCGTCATCCTTCCAGGAAACACCCTCAACGGCAAGAGCAATGTGAGCCGAGGGGATAGTGTCATCACGAAGGCGGACCTCAGAGCCAATGAACTCGGGGGTGCGCTTCTGCTCAGCAGTGAGAGCCAGAGCAGCGGACGTCGGGGGCTTGCTGGGGAGACCACCGAAGTGCTCCTCAGCGAGACGGACAAGCTGCTCATGGGGGACACCACCAGCACCAACCAGAACCATGCGGTCGGCAGTGTAGTTGGTCTTGATGTAGTCGGTCAGGTTGTCCCGGGAGATGGTCTGAATGTTCTCCTTGGGGCCGAGGATGGTGCGACCGAGGGGCTGGCCCTGGTAGGCGGTGGCGTGAAGATGGTCGAAGACAACTTCCTCAAGCTGCTTGTCAACCTCCTCCTGCTCGCGCAAAATCACATCACGCTCACGCTCGATGGCAGAGGCCTCGAGCTTGGAGTTCTGGAGGATATCGGACAGGATATCAACGGCCTTAGGAACGTCGGCGTTGAAGGACTTGGCATAGTAGACAGTGTTCTCGCGCTGTGCGTCTCAGTTAGCGGTGTTCTGACAGAGCAGAGGCCAATGGTGGGTTTTCCGGGCGTACCGAGGTGTAGGCGTTCAGGTGGGCGCCCATGTTCTCAATCTCCAGCTCCAATTGGTGCTGAGAGCGCTTGTTGGTGCCCTGTATCGAGTCATCAGAATATCGCCATATCGGTTAGGGGCGTAGGGATCGAACCTTGAAGGCAAGGTGCTCGAGGAAGTGCGCGGTACCGTTGGTCTTGTCAGTCTCTGACCGGCTACCGGCATCAATCCACACGCCAACGGTGGAGGTCTGGGCCCATGGCGAGTAATCGGTGGCAATCTAAGACGAATCAGCGATGATGGAGCGCAATTGATCGAATTTGATGGGACGTACGGTGAAACCGTTGGAGAGGGTAGTGGACTGGGTAGTGGACGGCAGCGCAACCGGCGACGCAAAGCCACGCTTCACGGGCTGGATGGACTTCAGAGCCGCACGGCTCTTGAGAGCCTGGTTGAGGTTGAAAGCCAAGCGGCGGGAAGCCATTGCGGACAAGTATGTGTGGGTAGGAGGGGGGAAGGGGGATGGAGAAAAGAGCTGGAGTCGGCCCTGAGGTTGAAGTTCGGGAGTCAAATTGTTCGCCCAGCTCGCCAGCCAATCACATGACCCGCTTTTCCAAACCGCCCAGGTCATCCCGATTACTTCCTTACCCGCTCCTGCGACCTACGTAAAGTTGCGACAGCCACGAGATGGCACCCTGCAGGCTGATTTTTATCGTCGCTATTTTCAAAGATTGAATATTTTGTTACAAGAATCGACACGGCCGGAGAGCAGAGATTCGCTGCTCTAAATTACTTCCAGTTGTCTTTTAGGTTTCGTGCCAACATCCTCTCGACTTTCACTTTCAGCGACATATTGCCAGAAGCCTAGCTCCTGCTGGCGCAGGTATTATCTATGATAACGGTATCACGGCCTTGACAGTGTCACCGACAGAGTCAATCTATCAGCGGGCAGTAGACTACGTCGGTCTCGGTGAGGTCAACCGCTGTTAGTGGGTCGGAAGGTCGACAGAGGGGATACTTCAACCTAGATTACACTATCTATTTGTAGTCTCGTAAGCCAGGCTTTAACAGCGACAGCAACGGTAGAAACCGTATAATTACTGAATCTCCAATAGAAGGCAGGGGTATTTTCTTTTCGAAGACGAGGCATCGAATGATGCTTTTTCTTGAGCTTTTCGCATGGGAGATATCAAAGGTGTTGATCCGCTGAACTAAAACGTATCATTTCTTGTACTTGTATTTCTCTCTCTCTCAGTGAAACAAAACTGTGACGAGGGTCTTAGCTGTGAGTTCGGCAATCAAAAGGTCACTCGTTCAAGAGGAACCGATTTATTTGTCTCAGAGATAGGTCACGGATTCGATGTTCAAAAAAAAGTTTTTTAAAAAAAAAACCACAAATTAGATTCAGGAGTGAAAGGCAGAAAGTGAAATATTGAGTGTAGGATCTCCAGGAGCAGTCTGATGATCGATATAGAAGGGATCTGAGCATAAGTACGAATCGCCTTATGTAGGGGCAAAGTGGTATTTGACACCAGCTTTCCCGGGATTGATTATGTAGGAGGTGAGGATGGTAGACTGGAAGATAGTTTAGGAAGGAAGAAAAAATAGAGGGGTCTAGGATATAAAGATATGAAGCATACTTATCATCAAGCCTGGATCTACATGAAGCCCTGGAAGATCCATCGAGAGGTGGTTTCAAGGTTAGTTCTTCTTTACTTAGCAATGGACTAGTCCGGTTCAATTTTGGGCCAATTGTCCCTTGTTGTAGTTCACAATATAAACCGAACCATATCACATCAAGATTCATTGGTAGGCTTATAGGTTACTAGGTCGCCATTCAAGATAACTGGGATCCGTGCTATATATTTTTACGGCGGATGTAGCTTCCTATGATATAAGGTACTCTAGTGGCATGAACGAATGAATTTTAATGAGGTCTGGCATTCTGTTCTGTTCACTCCTAGTTCCAACTTTCTTCTCCTTCCTTCATCTGCTCGTCTACTTCTATCTTCTCTCCGAACACTGTACGGCCCCTGTAAAGAACTTAATGGGTAAAACATGATTCATAGAAATTAGCATAGCCGGAAATCAGATATCCCATGCTTTACATACACCCAAATTGGCTCTTGAATCATTTAACATGACATGCAATAGGTCAATTCCCTCTCTCTAGAGTGACTCGGAATGGTGCATCCTTTATATCATACGAATCGGCTCGCAAATTGCCTGATATTTTCCACCATGGAAATATCCGCCGAGAATCCCAACTCGAAGGCACGATCAGTGGAAAATTGAGGCGTCCACGATTGCACGATCTTATCCGTGGCAGCATCATATTTCTCCTCCACCAGCGCCCGCCGGTCCTTGCCCCCAATCTCTTCCAATGCATCCAACATTTCTTGCACACTGACTTTCAATCCTGGCAAGTTGACGGATCGGGATTCCCCGAAAGCCTCTTTGGGGACGTCACGGGCATGAATCAGGTTCTTAATAATGGTGTGTGGTGAACAGATCCACATCTCAGTCTGTTTTCCTACAGGCAAAATCGCCGTGTTGCCATGGAATGGCTCCCGAATGATATCGCTCGCGAAGCTGCTAGCAGCCTGGGTGGGTTTCCCGGCTCGCACGGTCACCGTCGGCAACCGTACACAGCGCCCGTCCAAGAACCCTCGTCGGGAGTAGTCGTTCAACAGAGTCTCAATTATGAGCTTTTGGGACCCGTAAGAGGAGGATGGCATCGGGGGAAAGTTGGTTTCGTCAATCACAAAGCCTGGCGGTGCAGGGCCATAGACTGCCAGAGATGAAGTGAAGACCACCTTGACCCCAGGCATGGTTGTACGAAGCCGGTCCAGGATATATCGTGTCGCGTCGAGGTTCACCCGGATTCCTAGCTCGAAATTGGCCTCCGAGCCACTCGACATGATGCCATGGAGGATATACACGGTCTCATAGGGGCGGTCAGCGCTGATCAATTCGTCGACCTCGTTAGTTGAGGTTAGGTCCGCCCGAATGCAAGTCAGACGGCCGGCATGTTGCTTCGCTGAATCTGGAACTCTAGGCTCCACGACATCAGTGATCGTAACGGTTATTGAAGCCGGGGTCTTTGCAAGAAGACCAGCAGCAAGTTCCTGGCCTACGTAGCCACCAGCACCAGTAATGAGAATCGACATCTTCGTCTGACACTGCAAGAACTGTGTGGTATCGCTGCGCTCGATTATAGCACAAGAATTGGTGAAATGGAAATCAAAGAAGTAGTATATGGTACTCGGAAGTTCCCCGGTATGCGACAGTCTGTCATTATATAGTCACCGTTGGACCGACCCCGCGGGGTTGACGAGCAGTCATCTCCCTGCCCCCACGTTCATCTTCCAAGGTTGAACCCACCTCACACAGCCAATTATGGGTCCTGCGGGTGATCATATGGGCTCTGTAACCATTTTTTACTCTCAAATTTCGAGCTGATTGGATTGAGTGATGCCCGGAGTTTGATCTCGGTGAGAAATCCGATTACCGAAGCACACCGGCCCTTGGAAGGGAACCACGGGGCAAGTCCGAGATCGAGGATAATCACCACGGAGAAGCCATGTGAAAGGTAGAGGGTCAGTCTTGGCTCTGATTTTGGTCAGTGGTGAACAATATCTCAAACGGATTTGGATCGTGCTCTCACGCACTATGTGGTGCATTTCCAGTTGGAAGGGCGCAGAAAGCTTTACGCTGAGCACTCGCAGGACATAAACAGATGCGTATTTTCACCAAAACTACCTTATTCAGACCTCTACAAGTAAGGAGGCCAAACAAAGCGAACGTATTGATGTATTTATTACTGATGTTCATTCCATGGGGGAGGGAAGGCTTAAAGGAACCTACTCTTGTGACAGGTATCATCTTTACTCAACTCTCACCTCCACAATGGACACAAAATCATTTCAATGCGTGCATTTTTTTCCCATAAATCGAGACCTAGATTTTGTGACGCAAGCAATCGTAGTACATGGGCAGAGGTGACCAAGTCACAATGAAAAAGAGAAGCATTGGATACATCGCAGAACACGAGACGCCTGAGAAAAGGGAAATGGAACAGAAAAGGAGAAAGACATAACCAGGATATTAACCACCCTCTTTATGAGGAACGGGAGTAGATACCACCGACAATACAGTGATCACGCTCGAAGGGCTCCAGGGTCAGCTGCTCCTTAGGCTTAATCTTCTCCTCACGCATCTTCTGAACCTCGCGGGAGAACACAACATCGGCAGCAGCCGTGCTGTCGATACAGCTGGCCTTGATAGAGATCAGAACACCACCCTGGTCCTTGAGGAACATGTGAGCGTTCAGGCCAACGATACGGGCCTGGTCAGGCTGGGCAACATCGGCGAAGATGACATCGACCATGGGCACAAGCATGCGGTAGCGGAGAGGGTGACGGGCATCCTCAACAATGGGGATGACGTTGGTGCGGTGAGTAGCCATGCCAATCAGGTCACGGCCAGAACGGTGGGAGAACTCAACAGCATAGACGTTACCGGTGGGACCGACAATATCAGCAACGTGAGAGACGGAGGTACCGCTGGCACCACCGATGTAGAGAACCTTAGAGCCGGGCTTCATGTAAATGTTGTCCAAACCACCCAGGATACCAGCAGCAAGCTTGGATCGGAAGGGGTTCCAGACACGGTACTCGACCTTGGTGACAGCGTCATCGTCACCGGCGGGGGCCTCAACAGAGATACGCTTCTCACCATACACAGCCTCACCGGGGGTCAGGTTCTTGGTGACAAGCAGATCCTCCTTACCACCACGGGCAACGAAGACACCAGCGTGGCGGTGTCCCTCCTGTGAGAGAAAAAAAGTCCGATTAGTGCCACATTCACTACTTCGATAACTCATCGAAAGTGAGGTCAAAACTTACGATGATGACCTTAGCACCACCCTTAGCACCGGGCTTGCCGCCGCCGCGAGCACCGCCGCGACCTCCACGGCCACCACGGCCACCGCGAGCAGGGCCACCACGGCCACCACGGCCACCACCACCACGGCCGGGAGGACCACCGAAACCACCTTGAAAGTAAAATTTGATAAGTAAATTGAATAGCTAGATCACCCAGTAACAGGCAGAGGCAGGCTGTGAAAATCAAGCTTGCATCATCACAAGCTTCACTCCCATCCTGCAAACTGCTGTAAGGCGTCGAGTAGATTGGAGCACAAACCTCTGCCACCACCACGACCACCACCGCCACGGGGGGCACCACGACCACCGCGAGGACCACCACGACCACCACGAGGAGGACCGAAAGCCATTTTTATTGGATGTGAGAGCGTTCGGAAGAGAGAGGAAGGCGAAAAAACGGTGACGGCTGAGCTACAGAGAACTCAGACCAAGTGCGATCGAAATTGACGGGCTCGAATAAGAGTCAGTCGAAATTGAGGAAGGAGAACACAGTAATTGAAGTTACTGAGTCAAACAGGTAGTAAAAAAATGACCGAGAGTGCTCTGTCGCGTGCGGGTCAAAGCCGTGCTGCTCGTTGAACCGTCGAGATTTTTTTGCGCCTGCTGGATCTTTCAGAAAATCAGAACAACGCTAGTCGATTTAGGGTTAGCGTTCGGTCGTGGTGGATAATACCTCACGTGATATTCAACCTGCGTCCAGAAAGCGAGATCACGTGGTACATAAGAGCCCTGCTGTTGCTATTATGAGAGCTTTTTGGAATTTCGAGGGGAATAAGGACAGTATAGTGACTGTAAACATGTATGTATTCAGAAATAGTCTAAGTATGATTAATTTAATGCTGCACATATGAGTCTTTGTTGCTCAGAGGGCTGTAGCAGTGCTTCATGGTGACACATCCGTGACCACAAGCTTTTGAGAGATATCAATATCTGTCTCTTTGGGATTCTCCTGTTGCTGCACAATCATCTTACTATTTCACCTGGTACCTAGTCCGTCAGATCAGACATCCATTTTCATTTGCTTGGTTAACGTGACCACCAACCAAGCGAATGGATACGGAAGTGTGATTTGTTGCATCTTAGTAGTTATATGACAGCATTTTGGTTACTCAGAATCATGAATACTGTTGAATTATTACCAATCCTGTTCATCACGGATATAAGCTGGGCAATAGCAAAGATGCAACCTTCCGGTCTTGGTTAATCTATCCGGAGAACTAGATGTCTGCACGGGAAACAAGTAGGAAACTTTTAGTCTCGTGTGACGTGCTGTCTTGGATATTCAGGCAAACTCTTTTTTTCTTTTTTTTTCTTATTCCTTTCTTAATTTCTCCTTTTTACTTTGCTTCGCTGTGCTTATCATATGCAAATTCAGAATGTCAATTATACTGGCATTTTCTTGGACGTCATATGATGCTTCTTCAGTTTCAGGTTGGTAGATTGCCTTAAGCTTGCCCTGTTATTATAGGTGGCCCATGACCCCAACTCAAACACACTTAAACGTTAATTAATGCCCAACACCTCTACGCGCCGAGGCCACCAATAGATTGATTGATTGCACTAGGGATTGACATGAATCATGGGTGAAAAAAAGGCTAAAATTGGCGTTCTTCTGCAGAATAGGATGTACCACTAAATGGAAAACGGCTTTTTTCGCCTGTAGATACCAAGGATTTAATCCATCTACTCCTTCATTAACATCACAAGTTATCATAAATAAAAAATAACTATATATGGACCCGCCAGTCAAATGCCTCCAAGTCATACCCGCTTGTCCTGGCACTTTCTTTCTATGTACAAAATAGCACGGCCGGCTTCGTTGCTTATTTACCATAGATATAGTAGAGAGCAGAATACTGAATCTCAAATGCGGAATTCGCATATTCCGCGCAGGTTGATGGCGCTGCTCCTGCTGCTGTGTCTACTCGGTAGACCGAGCTCCAGGAGTACCCAGAGGGGTTAACAGTGCCCGACTTGGTAGTTAGATACAGCCAGCTCACGGCGCCATACTCGCCCTCAGCGGCTCCCTCGGGGGCGTCAAGCGATGCCTGCTTTGAGGTCATGAGGATACCGTTATTCTGACCGGCGCCCAAGTTCAGGTTGAATTCGGGAGTGGTTGAGTCATAGAAAAAATGGTGGCCCAGAAGATCCATGCCGTAGAACTGTTTATTGGCACTGCTGGGCAGGGAGGCGGAGAGGGCACTGCTAGGAAGATATTGAAGAATGTTTTCGAATTTATGCGCATAGCAGTTCGCGTTGTAAAGGCTGGCGACGGCGCCGATGGCCACAGGCGTGGCGCTAGCATCACCGCAGGTGTAGTTCTGTATTGAACCAGTAAGCTTTCAAGGCCATTCAAGTTATTATCAGGGCATATGATTATACATACCTGGGTGCCCCTGCCAAGCGCAACGAACTTGAGTTTCCCGGTCGGAGACGGCAAGCCAGTTGCGGCCGATGTTGCTGTGGCTGCGGTCGTTGGTGAAGTCGCATAGGAGGGCAGAGTGACCGATGAGGCATCACACGTTGTCGACGATGAAACGCGTTCCAATCGCTTGATTTCTCGGCTCACTTCAGACAAGTAGTTCGCCAGGTCATCGGAGTAGTCATTGGCATGGTCAAGGAAGGTTGGGGCTGCCAGGGATGCTGTAACCAGCGACAGAAGGATGGTAGTGAGACGCATTATGCGCTCTTCTCTATATCGCAGTTTATAGAGGGGGGACGGATTGGTATGGATATCGTTATCGGAAGCGGGTTTCCGATAGAACAACGATCCAACAATGGACCCTCTCGCAGTACCAGTCTAGGGCACTGAGTGACTTCGGAGAGGAGAAGGGAAGAAAAAAGAGGAGGATGGCGAAGGAGCGTTGTGAGGTAGAGGGATTGGCATGAAGGTGGATGCATTGGGTCGGGTCAGGGTACATATAGAGCCGACAACAATTGCGAGGGCATCCACGAGCATCTTGCAAAGATAGTAACAAATCAACCAACTCGAAACAACGCGAGTAACCCCGTTAGTCTATTAAAAAAGTGATCGATGCACGCTGCAGGTACTAGCAGGGATTGTCCGTTAGCGGAGAGCCGTCATTGGCGTAAGATCGCGCCCAAGGTTGGCCCTCCCAGCCTTGACGACATGCGATTCGTCGTCGGCCTCGAGCCACTTGGGCTAAATGCGCAGGCACTACGCGCTAAGCCGGACATCCCAGGAAGTGGGCGTTGTGCCGGCGGTAAGAAGGAACTCTCTTGTTGAAGAGGCCCATGCGAAGGGGCCCTCAATTCCCCGGCCTATTAATAACTTAGTCCGACAGAGGCTCCCCGGACGGGCCCAAGTGTGATCGGGCGGCTAGGAGATGCAGCTTATTTTGGCTCGGTGATTATGCAGAAATGAAAGATTCAGCATGACCAACGCAGCTCCTTAGCGGCTGGAGGATCTCCAGATATGCCAGCTATGTTAGCAATTGGGAGGATCCGAATACGCGTTGAGTGATTGGAGCAGCCCCGTTAATCCCATGTTGTTCAAGATGCTAGCCACCGGGGGGCTGGCGGGGGCGGGGCTGCCCTCCCAAGAGCAAAGTCGGAGATGTGACGAGCGCCCACTCTCAGGGCTGCTGACAGGCTACTAGACACCCCTGCAAGCCCCCTTACCCGGCCCCCTCTCTTCCATGGCCCCTCCACATTGTGGCTTGCTTGCTGCTTGAGAGGCCATGTTGCAATCGTCAATAATATCCATAGCCAATTCAAGGCATCCACAGTACCTATCTTTATCGAGACCCACGGTTGGCATTCCCCCGGCTTATTTACCCGACTGGTCAGACGGACGGAGGTCCCGAAGTATATTCTCGGAAGCAGCATACATAGCGCCTTAGGGACTCTAGGATCCTACCCGAACTGCAATGCCAAACAGGCGGATCGTCGCCGACATCATGCATTAGCTTAGGAACTCTCCTTGACGTATTCTGGAAGGATCCCATCACAGATTCGGAGAATTTGATCCTTGTTGCAATGTTGCATCTATCCCTACTTCCGTTCATGCTCCTCAGCACCTAACGGGACCCTGCCAAGCATCTCCCTATGTAGGTAGTCCAGGAATCCAACCAAGTATCTTCCATTCTTTTCTTCTTTTAGCCATAGAGAAAGGTACAATCGTCTCGTAATACATACAGCGAGGACTAGGATCTTGGATTCGCAATCCGGTGGCGTCAGATTCCACATTTATCGATGGCTTGGGCCATCTATCGCCTGCGTACCCCTCATCGATCATCTGTTTCTATGTTTCTATGTTGGGAGGCCCTCTGATGACAGCTCTAAACAGGATAGTCAATGGCTAGCGTAATCAAACTAAGAATCCCACCAAAAGGCCCAAGCTTCAGTGAGGGGAAACTGCAAAATCCTGCGGTCTATCTCCTTACTCTATGAGCCTTAAGCAGAGATAAATTTAGCTCCATCAATGCTCGCTGCCGTCACCGCTCAACTCGTCACATTTTAGTTTCTCAGTAGTCAACCGAGGTGGATCACGGGGAAATTCTTAGCGAGATTACGAATACATTCAATGGCAATGAAAAGATCATAGATATTCTGTTGGTCTTAAACGACTGTACAAAGGGGAGACCGGGATGTCGACAAAACAAGTAACGGGCAAAACAAGAAGACCGGAACCCGGCACTACCAGAGAGGGGCCGGCTTCTGTCCTTCCAAAAAAACGCCAAAAGCCGGTGTTCAGCCATGAGACAACAGCAATGAAAAGGAGATGAAGGGAAAAAAAAAACAAAACCCATGACATCAGAAACTCCAGAAACCTCGCTTCAAGCATCAAACACAAGTGCACTCCCCTTTACGAAGAGAATAGGGATTAATCGCAAGGTTTAAACAGAGATTCCAGCGTAGAGATAATATTATCCAGCTTAGCTGAAGCCCTCTTGCTGCCAATCATCCCCATGTAGCTGACCACCACTGCTGCTACCGGAACCAGCCCCACTGTTGCTGCTACGGTATGCAGCGGCGGCGGCACTGCCCACGGCACTCATGGCGCTATGCTTCTCAATCTCCATCGTACTCATCATGTAGAGCATGACAAATAACAACAGGTGGAGCGCAAAGCAATAGCCGGCGAACAGGTTCCGGCTGGTGCGATTGGCCATGATGATTCGAGTGAGCGAGAAGACGATCCGCTCGGGCAGGCTCATGCGCTTGTATGCGCGGGCGGACTCTCGGCCCCGGAACGCCGCAAAGGGTGAGATCCGGGCTTCATAGGCGGATTGATACCGGTCTATGGAGAGTCCCGAAGAAGTGTCACCCGAGGCGTAGATAGAGGTGGAGCTGGGTGCATTCGCATACGAGGAAGCAGAGGTAGATGCTCCTTGGCCACGGTTGTAGGTGGACACGTACCGAGTTTTTTCATACAACCCCAAGTTGTCTTTCTGCAGGGTTGAGACCTCCTGACGGAGAGACTTAACGGTGCTGTACATCTTCGAAAGTTCTTCCTCAAGCTCGGCATTCTTCTTCTTGAACCGATCACGTTGAGCTTGGATCATTGGAAGGAGACCAGAGCCACCACCAACTGCCTCTCCAGCACGGATAGCCTCCATGGTGTTTGCTGATGCTATGCTCTGGTCAAAACCAGAAATTATGGACGAGGTGGGAGATACCGCACCCCGGCGAGATGAGTGCGGATGCCGGGAAGTGTAAGTGCCGGCAACAGACATAGGTGAGGATGGGAAAGTATTGGCGGCTTCCTGTTGTACACGGAGAAGATCGTTCTCCAGGGTGGTCGATAGTCCCTGGGACTTTTCAAGGGCATCTTTAGTCGTGGAAAGCTCGCCATGCAGGGATTCAAGTTGGCCCTGAAGGTCACGAGTGGACACTCGCAAGACTGCAAGCTCATCTGTCAACTTTTTGTTCCGTGCCATTAGGAGCTGCTCCAACGAGTTCTTCCCCTTGGACTTGGTGGCAGCGCCGTTGGTGCCAGCCGTTTCCTCCTCATCTACCTCGTCATCACCCGCCGTGAATTCAATTGACTTGATCATCTCCAGTTCCCGGCGTATATCATCGTAGTCAGACACCTTATCGAGGCGTGAGCGCAGCTCATCCCTCTCAACTGCAGTCTTTGACGCATTTCTCTCGGCCTGCAGGAGCTTAGCTTCCCATGAGTGGCGGGTTGAGTCCTTGTCGTAGCGTGCAGCGTCCAGTTTTCGTAGCAAAGAAGAGTTTTCGGACTGAAGGCGCTGATAAGCAGGGTCATCTTCAACCGAAGCAGCTTGATCGTGGTTCGAATGCGATACGGCCTGAGCCAGCTCCAGCCGTAGCTGCTCGTTCCGCGCTTCCATATCCGCTAATCTCAAGCTTGTCTTCTCTAGATCAGCAGAAACTAGCTCGAGCTCGGCGGCAGTGGCACCACTACGAGCACCGTCGTCCTCATTATCCTCGCCTCCTAGGCGCTGAGAAACTTCATAGCTGGCTTTGAGTTCCTTGATCAGTCGCTCCTGGTTTTCGACTTTCTCCTCTAAGCTTTTCTCCTTCGCCTCCCAATTGTTTGTTTTTTCTTTCAGCACTGCTTCCCAGGACGCTTCAATCTCCTTGGCACGGGATTCTTGGCTCTCTTCAAGTTTCTTTCGCGCAGCGCGCTCTTCCTGAAGTCGCTTCTCGGTTTCCTCCTGCTGCTTTGTAAGGCGTTCGACAGATTGTTGTAATTGATCTCGCTCTGAGGTCAACTTCGGGACAGTGTCCTCGGATAATACCAGCGAATCGACAGAGGCCTCGAGGAGTGGGTAAGGGTCAGGTGCTTCGGATAGGGACGAGTATAATTGCAAGAACGAGGACGAGGATGTTTTCCCTTGGTTGGTCAAGAGATCGATGAAGGACTGGTAAGCTTTCAACAGTCCCTTATATTCGGAAAGCTTTGCATCGTCTTCCAGTTTCTTAAAGTCCTTTGTCTTTTGCGCTAGGTCCTTCCTCTGGACCAGAGCATCCCGCTGATGCGCAACAATGTCTGAAGCAGTTGTGTCGAGCTTGGCAATAGTGTTGGCCAAATCAATTCCTTGGGAGAACTCAGTCAGTCTTGGGGGGCTCGTGGGCTGCTCGTTCGGGCCATATTGCTGTCATTTACCTCGCCAGGCTGCGATAGCACGCTGGAACTTGTTGGTCTCTTCGGATAATTTGCTAGAGACCTCGGGCGAGCCGTCTTGTCGCTCCTGAGACACAAGACCCTCCGTAATGGCGAACGAATCCATGTCTGATGTTCAAACCAAGAGGTCTGCACAATCACCCCACACCAGATCGCTGTCCACCAAGGGGAAATGGGGATCGCGCGGACCTGAACAGGACACGCGGCGGTACGGGCCAATATTGTTCCGTAATGCATGGGCATCTATTGCAACGTTCGAAGGATAATTATCGCCCGTTTTATATGTACTTGATGAAATTGAAAAGTATCTGACCAAAATATCGTGTGTTCGAGGGTGCTGTGTACTTGAAACAACAATTTTATCCCCCAAGCCCTGATGTTCATTTCCTCAACCCCCGGGCGTTGATCCGAGGCTCCAGCCGTTCCTGATCTAAGTGGCCCCTGAGGCTTGGCCCCAGGCAGCACTGACCGCCTTCATCTCATCTCTCTCCAATGCTGGCGGGGGAGACACCCAGAAGCTAGCCATGATGGCTTCAGGTGATGAAATCGGTCCTCGTAAGAGGCGGAGGATCGGTTCCCCTGGACCTGAGCCCTATGTGTTGCGATCACTATTCGATGACGTCCCGCTGGCGACGGACGACAGCGCGGACGTTTACATCACCTGCGTTGAATACTGGGGTAAGCTCCTGGCATGACAACCGGCTCGTTTGGTCAAGATCACTCGACTGATTGAATTACTCCAGACGGAAACTTGTATATAGGGACTTCGGCGGCAGAAATTCTGCACTTTGTCTGCCTTCCAGCAGCTTCCGACGACACCAGCGAGCCTACCTTTATACTGGCATCCCGGTTGCCCATACCATTCCAAAATGAACCCTCCGACAGCGACACGAAAGGTGTCCGACAAATTGTTATACTGCCTTCGGTGAACAAAGCTTGCATTCTTTGCAATGGCATGGTTACGTTCTACATGCTGCCGGAGCTCAGTCCAGCATTCGGGAATACCAAGGTTAACCATTGCCGCTGGATCGGCGGGCTAGATCTCAATCAGGATGCGGAGGATGGAGAAAGCCCGGTCGTGATGATTGCTGTTCAAAACAGCATTATGCTGATCAGGATTGGAGAGGGAGCCCGGCGTATTAAGCAGATCAAGTTTCCGGGGTGCCTGGTTGCTGCGCGCAGAGGGACGATCGCCTGTGCAGCCGATACGCAGTCATATTCGCTGCTAGAGGTAGAACATCAGCAGAAGATTCCCTTGTTCCCAATCTCCTCTTCGAGTGAGGTCTTTGAGTCGGGTCAGGTGGAAGATATTCCCCCTGCACCGCAGACACCTCTCAAACGATCTCCATCCTCATCCTATCCGAGCTCTTCCCCGACTGATCCTCATGTACATGGAAGAAGCACCAGCTTGAACACCTTCGTCGGCATGTTGCCACCAAATGCCCAAACTCCTCAACATACTAGATCGCCTTCGGGAACTCCGGATCCATTCACATCATCAGGGAGCCCTCGTCGCTCGAGCTCACAGGAACGGGAAGACAATTCTCAAGCGAATGTACCAAATTCGTCTCCAGAAGGCGAAGCACAGACCGCCAACACGGAAAGCCTCAAGCCATTGCCTCCCCTCCCACCGAAGCCCATTGTGAAACAGCTGCAGCCTCACGTTGTGTCTCCGACGCCTTCTGAATTCCTGCTTGTCACTGGAACCGAAGAAACAGAACCTGGTGTGGGGATGTTTGTAGATATGGACGGAGAGGTTGTCCGGGGTACGATCAACTTCCACCGCTATCCAAAGTCCGTTGTGGTTGATGCTGGGGAGGACGATCGGTCTCTCCAGCCAAACAATGATTCCCAAGAAGAATATGTTCTTGCTGTGATTGATTTTGGCGAAAATGAATCACAGCGAAACCGGCTGGAAATCCAACGGTGGGACGATGACCCGGCGGAGATAGATAGGCACCGAAGGTGGCTAGATATACCGTCGTCGCAAGAGACTCAACCACCTCGAGTTGGCTTACAGCATACGACCAGCCCAAGTCATCTAGATCTTGATGATATCGGGAAGCTTCTACGGATGGTTCGCCTCAAAAGCCCGTCACTCTCGCCACATATCCCTGCTGCAGACCCGCGAACACAGGCCTCCATCGAGCAACTGCAGAAGGAGAAGGAACTTTTCGAGTCTCAGGAGTTGACAGACTCGGACGGTTCTAAAAGGGGAGAGGCCTCGGGGTCTGATCGCGATTGGGAATCTCAGCGGAATGCTGAAGAAGCGAAGTTCGCTCAAGGACTGTGCAGACTCCAAAGCAGTTTGATTCTGTGGTCGGGGACCCAAATATGGCGTCTGCTCAAGAACCCCCTGATTGTCCAGCTTGAGGATGCCCTTCAGCAAGCTCAGCAATCTAGCAATAACGGATACACCATCTTGCAAAGAGATGCCGTCATGGACTTGATGGTATCGATTCAAGATATCGAGCCCAAGAATGAGACTGAATTTGTTAGCTTGGGTTATGTGAAGCAAAAAGCAAGCCTGTTGCTATATGGAGATCTCCTGTCAATGCCGGCGGACATTCGTGCGGATCCTACCATCAGGAATACCGAGAAAGCACTCCTAACGGGTAATCTGGATCCTCGCTTAGTGTTGCTATTCATTCCCCTCCTCCGCTGTGAGGTTCTACAGGGCCCCCAGGGCGTATGGATCCATGCTGGGCTGGCATCTATTACAGAAAAATATCTTAAACAAGTTGAAGCGGCAACCGATAAATCCTCCAAGCCAGCTACCACAGATACCTCCTTGCTGAACATGGTGAAACGCTTCCTTTTTGCATGGCAACAGAAGAGAGGATATGGGAGTATCACGGATGAAACATATGTTTTGGATAGCACAGACGCCGCTCTATTGCATTTGCTTCTTGAACAAGATGTCCACTTAACAGCGGAGCAGCGAGCAGTGTCTAAGTCGCGCGCGGAATTGAACAAGCTGGTCGACAATTGGAAGGGCAATTTTGACCGAGCAGTGGTGCTTTTAGAACAATATCAGAGGCTCTTTATTTTGAGCCGGCTGTATCAGAGCCAGAAGATGTCTCGCAACGTCCTGAAAACATGGCGGAGGATCATTGACGGAGAGCCTGATGCCGGCGGAGAGGTCACTGTGGCTGGCATTGAAGCGCAGATGCGCCGGTATTTGGTGAAGATCAAAGACGCCCAACTGGTGGAAGAGTATGGGTCCTGGCTTGCTGGACGGAACCCGGCACTGGGCGTCCAGGTGTTTGCTGACCATTCGAGTCGAGTGAGACTGGAACCGGCGGATGTGGTTGCGTTGCTTAAGGAGCGAGCACCCAGCGCTGTTCAGGTTTACCTAGAACACTTGGTCTTTGCCAAGAACGTGCGTTCGATTCTACATTGTTTTCATTCCAGTCATAATGGACGCTGACTTCGTTGAATAGTATACCCAATACGCTGACGATCTCATCACCTACTACCTGGATGAAGTTCTCTCGGTGCTTGAGTCCTCCCCCACAGCACGGACATCTCTCTCCGAATCCTACTCAACCTACCGGGCCCTACGCCCTCCCAAACCCACCTACCTCAACTTCATTACTGAGAACACCCCCTCCGAGCCATGGTGGCAGTCTCGCCTTCGCCTCCTCCAACTTCTAAGCGGCACCTCCGGCACCCAATTCTCCTCCGCACCCCTTGCCCCGGGAATCACCTACTCTATCCCCAATGTGCTCGCCCGCGTTGAGCCCTTCCAAGACGACCTCGTTTCGGAGAGCATTATTCTCGATGGCCTGCAAGGCCACCACCGTGCCGCCCTGCGCCTCCTCACCCACGGTCTGGGCGACTACGACTCCGCCATCCGCTATTGTCTCTTCGGCGGCCCGCGCAGCGCGGCCACCGGCTCCACGCCGGAGCTCGCCACCCACGACACCCAGGCCACTCTGTTCCGCCATCTGCTAGACGAGTTCCTGCAGATCCGCGACCTCTCAGACCGTATTGAGCGCACAAGCGATCTACTCGCGCGGTTCGCGGCGTGGTTTGACGTCCGTGACGTGCTGGCCTGTGTGCCGGAGGACTGGAGCGTCGACGTCCTGGGTGGCTTCTTTGTGCAGGTGTTCCGCACGCTAGTGTCGCAGACGCGTGAGGCTCGCATCGAGCGTGCTCTTAGCGCGGGCTTGAATCTACGCGTCGGCGTCGAGTACACGGATGGCTTGGAGAAAGCCGGGCCGTGGATCGAGGACGGCGAAGGCCTGCGCCGGTTAAGGGATAGTCGGACTGCGGCGCCGATAGCAGGGGGAGAGGAGGGTGAAGACAGCGCGGAATTTGGAAATGTGGTGGGGCCGACTGTGTCTGGGGAAGTGGGCCAGTAGGTGTGGTTCTGCTCGAGGAATTGCCCGTATATCGGACAGGAGGGTGATGAAAGAAGGAAGGGGAGGTCTTGACCCGAAGAGGACGGATTTTGTATAGGGCTTTTCGTGGATTCTGGTATATGTTGGCGTTGGAACATCGATGATACCTCAGAGTTAGAATTTACGTTACGGCTTGTGACTTCGTGGACTTTGGGGCTCTTTAATCTTGTGATTTGAGGCACTGGTTGATCAACCGATGGCGAATCTCGGTTGCTCAGGGCCGTATATTTAATTGTTTTGCATATCCAGCGAGTTGAGGATGATTTTCTGCTCCTGCTTCTGTAGAGGAGAGATGTAGGATCGCCTCGGAGGGGGGGGGGGGGACAGGAGGATCAGACCAGGTGGTGATAGGACAATTCTTATCATACATTGAGTCTGTAGGATCAAAAACAGGAAATTGTGATGAGATAAGAGGTAGCAGGGATCAAAAGAAAGGGAAAAAAGAAACCGTCGTAGTGCATTCGTTCCCTTCGTAGCTCCAAAGAGCAATCGACTCCGGCCGGGCCAGACAATTTGGGTCCACGCGACATGTCGGGGGCTATTGATTGATTGGGGCCTCGGGGCCCAGGAGCAAGTCATGAGGCTCTTCCTCTCTTTCATGTTCACGGCTCCTATTGCATCCGAAGCAAATAAGGCCACGGGCCCGGTTGCTCCGCCATGGCTAGACCAGGGTTGTCCCCGACAGCAGGGAGAGGTAGAGGATGTCTACTCCTCGGGCTGCACGAACGGGTTCGGAATCTCCTCACTGCCATCGGCAGGGGAGATCAGCACGATGAGCGTGCCACGGGCAACAATCAGGCCCAGAGAACGGGTGGTCTGGTTGCCTTCCTCATCTGTGAGGGGGAGGTTAGCCGACATAAACAACGAGAGCCCTCCATTAGGACTACATAAGGAGTTGAAGAGAAAAGAAAAAGAAAATTGAAAAAAGGAGCTCCTTACCGCGCATGGACTCCTTGACATCGTCGAGGACGAGGTTCATCAGCTGATCATAGCCCTTCAGCGTGCCAGTAACTAGGTCAATCAGCATTTTGATAGCTCGCAATAAACCACCAATTGGGGCATCAAGTGGATGGATAGACTGAAAGATGGGGCATCAATTGAAAGAAGCTTACCTTCCCTGCCACCATTGAACTTGACCTGGACCTCCTTGTCCATATACTTGTTGAGGTCGAGGATATTTTCCTTCTTGGGCTTCTCTTGCTGGTTGCTACCACCGCCGCTTTTCTGCTGCTGGCGACCGCCGCGGCCACCGCCACGGCCACGGAAGGAGCCTCGTTCGGACATGGGGTCTGAGAGCGGTGAGAGGGGGGGGGAGGGAGTGGGAGGAAAGAGGTTAAACCCAGGGGATCAGAAGCGACAGAGGGAGGGGCGTCACGGGGAGTGTGGTTGGCGGAGAAGATGGCCCGACCGCTTTTCGGGTTTCGGCAAGTCAAGGCAGTTCAGGTTTGGAAGGGAGAGGGCGATTGGGAGGGCGGGGAATGTATGAGGGATTTTCACTGGGAAGGAGCAATGGGGCGATAGTGCACAGGTCAGCCTGAGTCGTGGGATTTTAGTATGGAGTGCCTGGTACTATCAGCCTGGCTCGAGACACGGGACTGCCAACGTGACTGAGCGTGATTGTGGGAGGGACTCGTGACGGGACGTGACCAGTGGAAAACCAATAAAGCCCCCCAAATCCCCTCCGCCTTACCGCCACTCGAGATCCCGCCGGTACGGTAACGGTATTGGCTGGGTACCGGAAGGCCTCAGCGGGAATCCAGAATGGGAACGCGCGGCGCGAGAGCGGTCCCAACTCCAGGCATCAGCAATAAACCCTCAATACCTTCTCCACAAGGCTGAAGGCTTATTTTTTAGGAGATCAGCAAGGGCCTGGAGGAGACACAGAATGTAAAAATCTAGGATTGAAATCATCCAAGCTTTCAAGATGGGTGCATAGAAAGCACGTCCAGAGGTACCGGAGAGCGAGGCTTCGGAGGCGGAGAGGGTGCCAGCGCATATTGCATGCCAGCGGAACCCCCCGCGGGACTCCGCTGGGTACTGGGTACGCCGGGCGTCATCAGCCCTCCCGGCCCAGGTCAGGTACTGGCGACTCCGTTCTGCCCACTCCTCTCCCAAGTTCCCGACCGTCTAAAGGGGGGCCGGGATCCAATCACGTTTTCCCTGGCGCAGTTCCTTGACGCTTTTTCCTTCCCTTCTTCTCTTCTCCTCCTCCTGTACGTCTTCCCACCCTCTCATCCTTTACCAACGGGACCTTCATGGGTGCTGGCTTGATCCTTTTACCGCCCTCTCCACCAGCGGCTCAACCCGCACCCTCTGTATTCCGCCCTCGGTCTTGACGCCCGCCCCGGCCTGGCCTCCACCCCGGCCGCAAGTCTTTGACCGTTCTTTTCTTTTGCCCCTTCTTTTTTGTCCTCCTTGGGCGACAATCTTCCACGGTCAATTGAGCCCTGCTACATATCCTGAGACCCTATTTTGTATATCGCATCTCGCCTTCCTCAGGCCAATTCCACCATGGAGCCCCGCCCCGCGACCGAGGTGTCGAACAAACGACCCCGATCGCCGGCCGACCAGTCGCAAGCGCCCCATTCCAAGGTGCCCAAGACGCACTCGAGCCACCTGCAAATCAACTATCTCGCTCGACAATACCCGGACAACCTCCCGCTAGTCTCGGTGGAAGATACTATGCCCGCCATCGTCCACTTGATCGGCGAATACGACGGAGTTCTGCATCGCCACGAGAGCATCGCCGGAAACCTAGGCGCATGTCCGTTGGGACCGATCCTGATCAAGCGCTTTGAGCGCCTCTTCGACGGCCCCCGCGGGTGCTCAAATCGCATGGCAAGGACGGTCCCAGCGTGACTTGGTTGGACGTGGTCGAATTCGCCAAGAGCAAACCGGAGCAGTTCAATTTGGAGAAGTCGCGCAACGGCGTCCGAGTCTGCCAGTTTTATACCAAACAATGCCGCGTGGAGATTAGTGAGGAGGACTTTGTGCTGATTGCGTCCGGCATGCCTCAAAAGATGATCCCGCCGCAGCCCATCATCGAGGATGAGGAGAAAGAGCTCGGCGCACTGGAGATTCTGGAAAAGAACTTGCAGCATATAATCCAGATGGCAGACCAAGGTAAGTTGCGCATGTGTGTGCTATGAATATTTGCAGAAGACAAAGGTCTAACCGTCTTGCGCTCAGTGTCGGCCCGAGCTCGTCAGCTCAGTTATCGCCTGAAAAACCGCCGCACCGCCATCGTGAGCCGTCGAGAAAACGACGCCTCTTTGAATGCACAGTCGCGTGCTGCGGCTGCCGACGTATGGCGCGAGATGAGCAACCATGGCGCCACCAACGGACATTCATCTAACACGTCCCCCTCGGGCTTCGTGGCGGTCAATGCGAACCGTCCGGATGGCGAGCCGTCCGAAGAGAATCCGTTATCGTCGCAGTTCATGTTCTCACATTCGAACACGGATAACATCACCATAATTAATGGAACTTCCATCAAGGGCGCATCTCCCACGACCCGGGCCGAGCTGATGAAGAAATTTTTCACCACCGCAGACCGTCAGGCTCGTGGGTACGACGAAGCGACAGGCTCCATCAATCCGGTTCGACCACGGCCACGCGGGTCCGATCCAGCAGACTATAGTCTTTATAACACCAGTATCAACAACACCAACAATGCCAACAACCCCAGCACAGCCAGTAACACCAACGCGACAACCCCCGTGGCCATCCCTCATACGCCATCCTCCCTCCTCCCGCCACCAAAGGCAGCCTCTCAGGAAAAAGATGACGGTGGTCCATTCAAGCTGGAGATGGTCGCCCGCATGGAAGAGCTCCCTCGTGGGGAGCGAGTCAACCCACCCTGTGACCGATGCCGCCGCCTGCACATGGACTGTCTCAAGAATTTGACTGCCTGCGTGGGCTGCACCAAGAAGCATGCCAAGTGCTCCTGGCGCGACGTGAAGGAGGAAGAGCTCCGCGCCGTTTGGAACACCCCGATGCCCCGTGAGCCGCGCGACCCCATCGACGATGAGCGCGGACCCGCCCTGCCACTGCCGACATTTGCGGCCTCTCCGAGTGCTCCCATCTCCGCCGAGCGCCTCGTGCGAGGTCCCGAGCCGCTCAGCGATGCGCATTACTCTGGCCACAGCCGCCGCGAGTCGGCTCCCGGAGCGCCTCATAATACCTCGGGCTCTGGAGCTTCCCTTAGCTTCCCTCCATCTGGCAATTCCCCTCGTCGCGCAATGAGCGAGACGGAAGGGAGCGGCCGTGCCCCGCACCAAGGCCATTCGTCGCGGCCTTCCGAAGACGATGACCCGGATGCGAACCAGCGTCTCATGCAGGCCATTCTTGATACTGTTGACCATCATGCCCGTGTTGCCGCTGCCGTGCAGGAGAAGGAACGCGGCGCGGAGCGAGCTGGCGAAAGGCAAAGCAATGAACAAGACGCGGATCGCGACCGGGACCGAGATCGAGACCATGAGCGGCGCCTGGTGCAGGCGTAAGGCAGACGCCCTTTTTGCCTTCGTGTATACTTTTTTTCCTTCTTGAATTTCTCTTGTGTTGTATAAATGTCAGCGTTGGCGATACCGGACAGGCTAGGAGGCGAATTGATTCTTTCTGAGTGCATGTAGTATGATATCCACAATATGTTTCTTATTTGTTTGATTTTTTTTCGTGTTTGTGTCGTCTACTACCTACATATATCTCTTGGCAGTCTCAGAAATAACATTCTCATATCAAGCTACGAACACTCGTATATATATGTAGGGGAATCATGGGCATTTAAGTCGCTCCAAACCGTAATTATCCTCCTGTGGCAATGTCAATTCATTTAATCTTCACATTCTTCATATCTTGCCGTTTTATTTTCTCTCCAACGTTCTACTCACAGTGGCTAGTTAGCAACATGTGACACCATAGTTAAGTTCAAACCCCCTAAATCCAACGGGACCGATGGCATTAAACTCTCATGGGATATAGGATATACAGTCCCCGGTCAAGCTTATCCATCATGTCCATCTTAAATCCACCAGGGCACAGCGTCTGAAACACCACTTGGTGATCATACTTGGCGGCCACATGTTGCAGTTTCGCTACGTTCTCCGCCCGGTACCCAGCCAACACCTCCTGGCTTTTATCGGCATAATTCATGTAGACTCAGTCCAGAGTACCATGGTGGGGTCCACCTCCGCTACGAATTGCTTCACTTCTTCAACCCAAGCTTTTAACTTCGAGTAGACGGATGCCTCCTGTTCGGGCGTGCGCAACATGGCGAAAGCGACAAAGAGCAGCCCGTTCACAGGCTGGGTGGAGACACCCATGATGTTATCGCCCATCTGGGTCGGGAGCTGGCCGTAGCGAGTGGGCAGGGGCTGTTCGAGACATTGCGTAATGAAATCCCCGTCTAAAATGAAGGATTTGACTTCATCCACTACAGACTCGTGCAGTTCGGCGGTCTTGGCAACGATGCGAGCGTCGTTTTTGAAGCAGGACGTGAAGAATATATTGCTGTTTGTCAGAGGCCGATGGTGGAGGAGTTAATCATTGACTCAACAGTGAAGTCAGATACGACTGGAGGAGAGAGAGAGAGGGCGGGGGAGGCATGCTCACTAATAGTCCTGCGGCGCAATGTCGCATTCAGACACCACTGAGACGGTGGCGGTCATTTTGGAATAGTGTCAACCATGGGAGTAAGTGCCAGGGAATCCTTGTACGCGAGCGCCTTGACAATTCCGGCCAGCTGCACATAGGCGACCACAATGACGACGTCCTGGAAGTTTGGCTTTGAATTGTTAATCGCATCGGTTTCTCATAGATTCAGATGTTTAGGGCTCACTGCAGGCTGAGTCAGACAATCAACCTCGTGTGAATAAGAGCGGTTCAGTATAAGTCACGAAGAAGAGCAGATGACTCTTCGGATTCTCATCTACATTGTCGGTAAAGTATGCCCACGCGACCATGCTCCTGAAGCGCCTCGGAGAGTTCCTTCCAGCGGTTCTCGGGCCCAATCTGCACCGTCTCAGTCATCCCATCAAAGTGCGTCCAATTCAGTAGATCAAGATCGATCGTCACGCCGCCCTTGATGCTGTTGGTGCCCGCATACTGCGTGTGGCCGCTACTGCTGATGGCGAACTTTTGGTCAGCGGTCGCCAGCGCTTGGAGCGCCGTCGAGACCTCCTCGGCGGACTTTGATCGAAGAATACAGCCGGGGGAGATCTGTGCATTTTTAGACCAGTCGGAAGCCTGCCGAGTGGCGTATTCTGGGTCGGAGGGTAACAGGACTTGGCTTTCGAGTCCTGCGTGAATGAGTAACTGAACATGAGATAGGGCGTTGGCCATTGTCACGGATAGGGACGGACGCGTTATCCCTAAAGGGCCAAGGGAGAGAAAGCAGAGGGGGCGGCTACATAGTCAGGGATTGGGGGCTAAAGGGGAACGGCACGATTCATGAAATCATCTTGCAATGGCGCAATCCATAAGGGCTGAGGATCGATACAGCATCGTATCAACCACTGCCCAACATACGCATGCTGAGCGTTATCCGTCTAGTCCAACGGTCACTTTGAGATCAAGACAAACAGGGGTCAGCAAGCCTACGTCTGAGTGTTTTGCACTGCGGGGAACAATGGCTTAAAGTTCTGAGTGGGTAGCACCGTAAGCATGCATCGAGGCGAGCACCAGGGGATGATACATGCTTACAGGATCGTACTTCGTTTTGCCAGGACAACCCGGTGTCGGCTGAATTCGTCCGGATTCCGAGTGCTCAAACGGTTCCATGGCGTTTTGCTTGTTTTTTTTTTTTTTTTTTTTTTTTTTTTTTTCCCCTCTAGTTCAATTGCGAATGCGCGAAGATGGTGAGAGGTGCGAATGACAGAATGGTGAGCGTGCCGCAGAAGGACGTGGACTGGATTCTTGAAACTTGTGTCCAAGGCTGGGGAATCGCGGAAGCGAGCGCCGAGGGGGCTCTACAGACCGCTACAACCGCCTAGTTTAGCAATTAACCCATCCGTTCTAAAGAAAGGGGTGCATGCAGCCCTCACAAGAAGCGTATTTTCATAGATCAGGCTATCAGCGCTCAATATCACACGTACCGACACGATTCGTCCGGGGTCCGTGAACCGGCCGTGGACCCAATTAATAACCCGACCAATCAACGAAAAGCACGATTGCGGGAACATAAGCAATCTTGATATCAGCACCTAGAATACCTAGAATACCGAGAATGATGACCCGAAGCATTACTTGCCATCCGGCGGAGCAACTGTTGGGCCGCAGCCCGCGTGGGGGTGGAGCCCCAAACACGGGGCGGAACCAAGCTAATCACGGGCCGATCAAGTTAGCAGCCTTGTTCCTCCACTCGGCGGGATGATCTGCCCCGTTGCCGTCTTGCCGGACCGAAAGGCTAAAGAGTAAAGTCCCAGCTTACCAGCAAAGATTCCCGAAATACAGGCCCCTTCCCACCTCCGACAGTGACATCTCAGGGCTGTGCATGGGATATTCGCGCCCATATGGACTCCTGATATCCTACTGCGGGCAGAAGCTCCCCAGCTCCCATCCCGGATCTCGCACCCTCAATTTTAAGATTTGTCTATATATACTCCATTGTTCCCAATAAACCTTCGCCCGGTCCTCCTCGACTCCTCTGCGAACGTCCATCTCTCCTCAACCTTAATCACCCCTCTATCACTCCCCTGAAGAATAGCCATGCCGCCTAACCAGCCGCTTGAATTCCCCATCGAGCCTAAGGTGGGTGCTGGCCTCTGCCTCTTTTTCTACTCGCAGCTCTTCGTCACCCCGCCCCTTCCCCAGCACTCCTTTGCTGGACAAACCGTCATCATCACCGGCTCCAACACTGGACTTGGACTAGAGGCGGCGCGTCATTTCTATCGCTTGAACTGTGCTCGGCTGATTCTCGCCGTCCGCACAGTCAGTAAGGGCCAGACGGCCAAGGAGGAGCTCGTGAAAAGTGTCCCGACGCGGTCAGACCCCGATGCGATCGAAGTGTGGCCCCTCGATCAGTCGAGCACTGCTTCGACGCTTGCATTCGCCGACAAGGTGAAAACAGAGTTGACCCGGCTGGACGTGGTTGTCGAAAATGCGGGCATCAACTCGGGCGAGTGGAAGCTGTGTGAGGACTTCGAACAGGCGGTCCAGGTCAACGTACTTAACACCTTTCTCCTTGCTCTGGCCCTGCTCCCCAAACTCAACGAGACGAAGAGCAATTACCCGGATTCCCTGCCGCATCTGGCGGTTGTGAGCTCTGAGGCGCACCGCTTGGCCAAATTCCCTGAGATCAATGCCCCAGATCTGTACGCCCAGTTGAACGAGAAAAAGGACTTTAGTCAACAACCAAGGTGAGCGTCTTTATGTCCTCGACGGGGGCCCAGATCGGAAGACTGATGATTCGAAAAGATACCAGGCTACCAAGTTGATCGAGGTGCTTTTCACCCGCGAACTTGTCGCCCGGCTCAAGGGCAAGAAAGAAACCACAAATCCCCCCGTGATCATTAATCTAGTCAATCCAGGTCTTTGTACCTCTAACCTCGACCGCAGTGGTGAGAAACCGCCGGCGATTATCCGCTTCCTCCGCTGGATCTTCGATCGGACGACCGAAGTCGGTGGCCGGACATTAGTGCTGGCCGCTGCGGCCCCCGTCAGTTCGCATGGCGAATACCAGAGCGATGGCACAAGCCAAAACGTGGAGTCCTGGATCTATACCGATGTTGGACGCCGGGCACAGACCAAGGTCTTCGAACAGACGATCAAGATTCTCGAAACCCGCCAACCAGGCATTTCCCACGCCGCGGGCCTGTAAGAGAGTGGGGCGGGGGTGTCTGGATTGAGTGAAAGAAGTGAATGTACAGTGGCTATGCTTTGTTTTGGGGCGACTTCATACCATCCAACTGATTTAGAGTAGTTCTAGAGCCTAGTAGACCGAGTCTAGGTAGGTCGGGCTAATTAATGAACAAAGGTGCTTTTTCTCGTCAGCTTGACCTTTCTTCTTCTATCTCTATCTATAACCCCGACCATCCGCCATCTGATACGAAAAAAAACGAAAGGAGGAGGGGAGGGCAAAGGGGGACCTTGATGGCTCATTTCATCCAGCCATCCAGCCATCAATCTATCCGGTCCAATCGTCCGCTTACCTCCGCCAGTGCTGCCTTCCACACTATGTCGCTGCCCACCGCCGCATTGGCCCAAAAGAGAGAGATTGGACCATACCCGCCCTTCAAGGCCGCCAACCGGTCATCATTGAGGCCAAAATAATCTCAAATGTCGCCTCATTGGGATAATTTCCGCTCGCGGGCGTCAGGCCCGAAACGTATCCATCCATCCGTTGATTCCTTTCTGGTGCGTCTGTATGACTTCCCACGAGGCCATCAACGCCAACTCCAGGCCAAAAGTCAGGAGAAAGAGCGAGTCACACCATGCGGGGAGCACCGCGTTTGACCTGGGAGTGTTGCCCACATTTTGGTGCGTCAGGTTGTTGTGCACGATGACAAAATTTTACGGCTGCGGAATTGTTCTTCGTGATGGCGGCGATCGTGTCTACGGCGGCAGCAAGGTTGTTATGGACGACTGAGCGTGGGATCAGACGATTGGTAACAGACAGGCTGGTACCGTTAATCGACGATGAGGTGGTGAAATAGTTGTAGTGGTCGTCGTAGCCACAAGGTCTATATCTTATTAACAAATAAACTCACTTCCGTTAGTACTGTTCGACCAGGGCCATCCCTAATAGCGTTCTCAGCTTCAATTCTAGAGGGAGCTACCCGAGACGACGAAAGCGCTCTGCTCTAGCTCGAGTTATTTCTTTCGTAAAGAATAGGATCGGCCCAGTACTGGTGCTCCATAATATGAGCTAGAAATACGGGCACAGGCGCTATAAGGAGAAAATCGAAGACAAAGGCCTTGGATTCTAGGGGACCTGGGGATGTGTCCAGGTCGATCGAGGCAGCAGGTTGGGATGAGGGGAGAACGGACGGAGACCTAGGTTTTGGAGGCAGAGAATAGCTATTATCAGGGTTGATCTCGCAGCTCCCTCGATATTCTCGTTATCAACTCCGCTCGAACAATATCACGCTAAACAGTCACAGAACCTGGAGATGATCACCTCCCAGAAGCAGCGACAGCCCGGATCAGAACACCGCACCAGGCAGACATTATCCTGCGTGTCTGTGGATCGAGATCTCCCGCATCCAACCCGGGCATATCTGCGGATATATCTCTACCGTTGTGCCCCACCGGTCCATGCTTAGGCTATGCTGACCAATGCGAGGAACCTGTTCCGCACGGTCTTGTGGGGAAGACCGGATATAGTCTCATCCGTTTTGATTGAAGTCCGAAGCACAGGAGACAAGTGATCGCAGAAAAGCAGTATCGGACGAGCTTCCCAGGTGGCCTGATATCGCAGAAGGCATCCAAGCAAGAAGGAGGGGGGAGGAGAGCTCTTCGGGCGACGGTGGGGGATGTCCGTACAGTAATTCCGCTGCGGTGAGTGGGCGGGGTTCGTGGCTGCGGGGTGGACGAGCTTCGGCGGGAGCTTTTTTTGGCTCGACACTGGATCATGCCCCAGAAGCCCCAGAAGCGCCTGGTAGCCGATGGCAATTAGGCCAATGGAACGCCCGATTATCCGTTCAGCTCCATAATAAAATCAACTCTCTCAATCACCCCACTTGCTCCCACCGGAACTGCCGAGTGGGAAGTCCGGATCGGATGGCGATGATATAAACGAACCCCAGATTCCAACCCGGCGGGACTTCTTCCTCTCGAATCCCCTGTTACCTCCTTCCTTGACCTTCGCTCTCCTAGGTCAGCCTGCAGTCACCATTCTAGACCAATTCCACTCCTCCATCTCACTGCCGACATATACACCTTGCCTCCACGTCCCATTCCCCCTCCACAATCCCCCACCATGGATCCCTCGCAGGTCAAGATCCCGCCCATGAAGGATCTCACCACCGAGAACATCACCGAAAATGTCATCACTATTAACTCGCTCTGCGAAGATGAGCGCATGAAATACGTCCTCGAGCGCCTGGTGACCCACCTCCACGACTTTGCCCGCGAAACCCGCCTCAGCAGCGCCGAATGGATGACCGGCCTCCGTTTCCTTACCGAAGTCGGCCAAATCTGCACCGAAGTCCGACAAGAATTCATCCTGCTCTCAGATGTCCTCGGCCTCTCTATCCTCGTCGATTCCATCGATCATCCCAAGCCCCCGGGCTCCACCGAGGGCACCGTCCTCGGCCCTTTCCACACCCACGACGCCGAGGAGATGCCCGCTGGCGAGTCCATGTCGCACGACCCCAAGGGAGAGCCGCTGCTCGTTGTCTGCACTCTGCGCGACACCGAGGGCCGCCCCATCTCCGGCGTCAAGATCGATATCTGGGAGACCGACTCGACAGGCCATTATGATGTGCAGTATGCTGGGCGCGAGGGCCCGGATGGTCGCTGCATTATGCGCTCCGATCAGGACGGCATCTTCTGGTTCAAGGCCATTACCCCCGTGCCGTATCCTATCCCACACGATGGGCCCGTGGGCCGGTTGCTGAAGAAGCTGCATCGTCATCCGTACCGCCCGTCGCACATGCATTTCATGTTCGAGAAAGAGGGTTACGATAACTTGATTACGTATGGCATTCCCTCTCCTTCCCGAGTCTTTTTATGAGCTTTTCCTTGTCTCGCATTCGGTTTTTTTTTTTTTTTTTTTTTTTTTTTTTCCGTCTGTCCGCACCTCCTCCAGGATGAAAAGTAGTACTGACAATCTCAAGTGCTCTCTACCTCCGCAACGACCCCTACGAGACCTCGGACGCTGTCTTCGGCGTCAAGGACTCGCTGACCGTAGATATTGGCAAGGCCAGCCCGGAAATCGCCCAAAAATACAATGTCCCCGAGGGCCACGCCCTACTGACATATGACTTCGTCCTCGTCTCCGACGCCGAGACTAGTGAGCTGCGGGCGAAGAACTCCAAGGTCGCACTAGACAAGCTGGGCCGTAAGGTGAAGATCGTGAACGGTCTGCCTATTCCGGATTTGGACTAGACCAGATATGGCAGTTTCCAGATGGAATAGGGAGAGACAGGTTGTATATAGATTACTGAATGAGAATGTTGGATATTGGGAGGGTAACGGTATAATCGGAATGACCCCGATATTTTGATGAAGCTATGAAAGGACTATTTCCGATGATATTGTCTCTTTCTTTCTTTCTGTTATTTTTTTTCATCGCTTTCGATAGCTTGGTTGGATAAAATGTATGTCTAGATGGTCCACAAAGAGCTGGTGTGTCCGGACATCGCATGTGAATTGAGAGTTGCCGTGTCACGTCTTGTACTTCGGCCTAGCGATTGAGATCTCACCCTGCCTGTGTTCCTCCGGACTAGCCCCGGAGGAATCAAGAATGGATGACACATGGGTTGATTTGTCTTATTTGCCACTTTTTTTTCCTTCTCGCCATGCCGTGCTCTGTTCAACGGGGCACATACCGTAGCTCGGTCGAATCGCCAATGCAGCCGCGGGGAAAACGCGAGAAAGGTTCCAGGTACTGAATGGCGCTTGCTGGGCGGGGCCGTTGGTGTAACTGGTCTCCTGGGATGGAAGAGAAGAATGAATATTCCAGGCTGGCTGGAAATGTGAATATAGAATATGCTTATGGGATCTTGGCCCGATGCCTTTCAACCGCAGCCCGCCAATTCTGGTTTTGGGTATATTGCTTTCACCATGTGGTTTACGCTTTTTTTCTGTCCGTGGTGTCGACCTGCACTGCTATAGTTAGTCCAAACCAAGAGGGTCTCCGGAGTTCTTCGAAGACTTGCTTTGCTTTGGATGAGTGGGATTCTGGGTGGGTATTTGAGGACAATGTCGGTCACGATGAAGATAACAAAGTTCGTCCTCATGAAGGCTGGATGGTAATCAGCTCTCAATCCCGGTGCATTGATGGACCGGCTGCTGATTCCACACTGTCATTGTCATGTCTTGATGATGAGTTGGACTGGAGTATGGTCAATGGTCGATGTGATGATGATGACGGTGACGACGATGACGACGGTGATGATGATGACGGTGATCCACGTGGAGGTGGAGACGGAGAGGGAGATGGCGATGACGATGATGGTGAGCAGCCCCCCGATCATGGTCATTGCAGCTGTCCTCGTCAACCTCACTGTCCTGGACGCCATCCTCACCATCGGCATCGACACCACCGCAAACCCCATCATGGGTGTCCAGGGGGTAAGAGACCCCACCGATGCCCCGGACATGGGGGAGGTGGAAGAGATGGAGGAGGAGGAGGAGGAGGAGGAGGAGGAGATGGTGGCTGTCGACGGCCGCCAAGGTGCAGCCCTCATCCTGGCTGTCCGGGCCATGGGGGAGGTAAGCATGGCTCACCTAGAAAGCATCGTCCTCGCCATCCCCATCGACCTCGACCTTGTCCAGGCCACGGACATGACTCCAACCAGATTCCTCGCAAAGACACCCCCGCCACCTTCAGGAACTGTGCGTTACCCACGATCTATGAGGGGAATTACACAGCATGGCAATGGCTCAACAGCAGCCAAACAGCCACCCGACTGGCGCAAGTCATCGCACAAGATGACAAGCTGCTCGGCATGCTCAACAGCACAAAGGCCAATTACACCATCTTTGCGCCTGCGGACAGCGCTATGAGCGACTTATTGGAAGACCAACCCTCCCGCGAGGCTCTCCGCCAGATCCTCCGATATCACCTTCTGCCGGGCCTCTTCCCACTGAACACGATCAAGGCCCAGCAAACCCTCCCCACTCTTCTCACCAGCCCGGATTTAGGTAAGGACGTCCCCCAGCGTCTCAAAGTGGAGGTAAACGGGGCGCACTTGCTTCTCAACAGCGTCAGCCAGATCCTGGAGGGCAGCGTAGTAAGTAGCAACCCACGAGTTCCAGGGTTCTCGGGCAGTTCTAACTCCCTCTAGCACGTCAGCAACGGCATAATCCACCAAATCGACAAGCTACTCATCCCACCCACCAACACAAGCGAGCTCTTCGCGCGCTACACGCAGCATCTGAGTACATTTATTCTGGGCCTCGAGCGTACCGGTCTCATGGCGCAGTTCACCGAAGGCCGCCGACGGGGCGGGACAACGTATGTCCCTTCGAACGACGCCTTCGAGGCCCTCGGCCCCGAAGCTAATGCGTTCCTGTTCTCCCTGCGCGGACGGAAGGTACTGCTGAAGCTGCTGCAGTATCATATTGTAGCGGGACAGACTTTATACTTCGACACGCTGTCCGACTGCGATGGTACGGTATGTGATCTCCAGATCGTGGGGTCGCGGGGTTATCCGAGACCTGTACATCTGGAATTAAACACGTTAGCGCAAAAGAAAGTGTCAGTTGATTTGATGAGGAAGGGGGACGAGCAGGAGGTTGTGATGAGGGTGAATGGGTTTGGGAGGGTTAGGTTGCGGGATATGCTGGCGAAGGATGGGGTCATGCATGTCTTGGACCGGGTCTTGATTCCGCCGAGGACGGTTGGAGTGAAGGAAGAATGGAGAGATGAGAGCTTGGAAGAGGAGTTTATCACGGTGGAGATATTGCAAGAGAGGCTGGGGGAAGATGTCGGGGAGCGGGATATTTGGAGTGTCGAGGAACTATAATGAAACGAGGGTTTGGGGGTAAAATCGATCTGTTCTGTCTGCTTCTGAGTAGTCTGGTCCCTCTTGGGCTTTACAGGCGAATTGCTGGGCAGAATTGAAATATTCGAGTTTACTCCATTCTTTATCTGTCTGTATCTCCATAAAATAAGGCATTGGTTGCAGCAGGGCTGGTTCTCTCCTTGGTGCCAAAACAGGGCACAATGTAACATTCCATGGAGACAGATCTCTAGGACAGAAGCCCTATAGATGAAAGCAGAGGTAACATTGTGTTCTCAAATCCACGGCACACCTGTCAAGTATGTAAGTGGTGGGCCTGAAGGATAAGATGATGAAACAAATAATGAAGGCAAGCAAGCAACCGTCGTGATCGTAGCTACATGTCCGAAACCCCGCCGAAGAGAAAGGAAAAAGAAAACAGAGAATCACTACGTTGGATAGAACGGCCTTAATGCATCCTTCGGGTCGGCTTCATCAACGCCTGGAAGGAGGACTCCAGAGCCTTCTTGATCTCCTTATAGCTGACAATGAAGCAGCTCTGCTCATCGCGGCTCACCAGAGTGATCTTCTCGTCAGAGCCGGCATCGAGTTTATTCAGACAAGACAGCACATGTCCGAGGTCAACAACGGGATCACCTGAAGCATCTATCTGGTGGAAGACATAGTCTCGGAAGATCTTCAAAAAGTAGCGTTCTCCACTCTCGGACCATTGCCGGTCGTGTTCGTATTCGGGACGTTCGTTCACAAAATTCATCTTCGTCACCAGGCGCACAAGTCGGCCATTTTCGAGCTCACGGCAGAGATCGGAGGTGAGTTGATCATCTAAGTGAAGCGCCGAGTCAAATGTGGACATCAGCTGGGACGAAATGCCAGTGATGAAGACGTCGATGGTACGATCCTGGTCTTTCTGCAATCCATTCAACAGCCAAAAGACTGAGTTTTTCATCTGGGGGCTATAAGCACGAGTAAAGTGTTCCATGGCCTTGGTTGGATTGTGCATGACGTTGGGTTGATTGGCACCTAGTGTGACGATCAATTGCCCGAAATTGACTAAATCTTGGCGTTGAAGGTCCGCCACGGTCCGCTGCGTGTCAAACTGGACTACATCCAGTATAGCACACGCATTCAGGCGGATACGATTCTTTCCAGTCAGGAGGACTTTACCCGCCTCCAAAACTCTCGCAGCCAAACCATTGGTGTGGATGGCTTTGAGCGCATTTGCGATCTGAGTCATGTAGCCCCAGAGAACCTGCTCAGGGATGTGGGTATTATGACGACCCTGAAAGCGGTTTCCGGTGCCTAGGTGTTGCTCGGCAAGCGTCTTTGACAGGGGATGGTAATCCGTCACGAAGATTAGTGAACTATCCTGGAAACTTCGGCTGGTGAAGGCGTCGTGAACAGTCACCACGCTTCCATTGCACACGCGTTTCCAGGCTTGGACAGAGCGAATGGCTTTCTCATTGGTCAGTCGGAATCCTAAAACAGTCAGCTTCCTATAATGGTTCGAAAGTGAATATCAATCAGCTATACCTTCCAGTCTCCGCAGAGCATAAAAATTCCCATCTTTACTGGACTGTGCTTTATAAACCCAGCTGGGATAGCCGAAGGTTGCAGCATTCTTTTGGTGACTGAGATCTAATGGAACGAGGGAGTGGAAATAGTCGACCTGGGCGGGTAGTTGGGTGTCTAGTAATTGTTAGATGACGGCCAATCGCACTCGATCATGTCGGTCCAACGTACTGGGGAGGGTTTGAAGGGTAGCTGCAGCCTTCTTCTGTAACTCTTCACGGAAATCAGTAGGAAGAAATATGTCGTGGACGTTTCGTTGATAGCCCAATGTGTTCTGGTTGTGAGGCCCAATAGGAGCATAAAGATGATATTGAACCTAAAACTCAAGTCAGGGACGGAGGACATTTTTGAAGAGTAATGCCACGTTTATCAGTTTCACATACAGGTTGCTGAAAGCCTGTTTGATTGGCAAAATAAGCTCCCCCAGCCAGGGCAGCTGGGTCATGAGAGTATGGGTTGGAAACTGGCCCAACACCCCCTGCCGCAGATAAGGGCGTGGAGGCAGACACAAAAGGGTCGAAGGCACCCGAGGCAGCGATAGCGCCATTTCCGTTGCCCTGAAGAGATGCCTGGGAGGATGGATTAGCTTCATGAAAGCTAAGACTGGAACTGCGACCATTGTATCGACTTCGCTCCATGACGGGGTCGAACTCGTCGGCCAAGGCATTCAAGCTCCGAGTGGAGAGGTTACGAAGAGACCCCAGCATTGCCGCAGCTTCGACGGTGTGAGGTCGTCGAAGTGACGGTACAAAGGTTCGCCGGACGGTCGAGAAAGCGGAAGGAACAGCGGCGATGAACTTACCACGTGCGCCCCCTCAAATCCTTGCGGAACGAACTCTTGCACCTCCGCGACTGTCCAGTCGGGCGTCCCTGCTTCTTGTCGCGCCGTTGGGGTGCTTGTGTTGGAACCTAATGTCGGTTAGTATCGAGACTTGCATTTCATCTTCAGGGGAAATCATCATACGCGACGCAGCCGCAGTACGGGGCTGAAAAGGAGCCGCACTGGCGGCTTTCGGAGAGATGGTGGTTGATTTCTTGGGAGCAGATGCGCCATTGCCGGATAGGAGAGATGGTGTAAAGCTTGGCGAGTCCACATTGAATCGTTTCTTATTGCTACAGCGCGGCAAATAGGGTCAATAAGCTTATATGCTTCACGGGACTCAATCCGGAACACTGGGGGAGCCTTACCTTTCGGCTTGATTTGCCGCCACCTTCAAAGGATCATGGTTGAACGCGCAGCCTATTTGAGAAACCCGATTGTCAGAACCCATCAAACTTTATCCACAGCAACTCTAAAGACTTTAGAGTTCACCTTTGTCTTCATATCGACACCGGCCATAGATGGTGACATTGCGACATAACGTGTCTTTCGCGTTCTCTGGATTGAAAGTCATCAGTGAGCATGTTATCCGACGCGCGTCTGCCAAAGAGCTCCGACAGCTCCTGATATCTCGGGAATGAAGAGTTCTAGGAGCATCAGGTGCTTCTCACCTCGAGTCTTCATTTTGGGCGACCCCGTCGTTCGACGGGAATCGTCTAGGGGAGGCTTTCCAGTGGAGGCCATAACGGACGGCTGATACCGACGGGGAGACAAGACGAATCAGCGCACTTGGATCTCCATTGAAACGGGAGACAAAACGAAACGATTGAGTGGACCAAGAGGGAGCCACATTCCCTGCGATCTGATGCCTGATGTCCGCTGTCTCGTTTGTCGTTTGTCGTTGTCCGCGCGTTCGGGACGATCAGCTTGTCGAAGCGGGTCAATTGTGACAGTCACCACGACGATCGAGGAGATATGGACAGTGGCGTTGGATGCCACACACAAATAACAATATGCGGTCCTAGGCTCCCTTCCTCCTAGGTAAGATCGGAAGCGAGATAACCGATGACCAGGTGGAAGACGCGGGGCGAGGCGAACTCGAGCGAAGGGGGATGCGCGCACGGACCAGGCGGTCAGGCCCGCGATCAAATCATCCGACGGCTGCTCCACGCGATAGACAACGCGGGCAACGGACATGATAACGAAGGGACAGAAAATACAGGAACCCTTCTGTATTCAACAAATCATCTAGGGAATTATCTTTCATGGTAGCTTCACCAGTTATATTGGGGGTTCTACATTTATTAACAGATTCAAGCAATCCACATTCTTATCCGGCTTTGAGCTTCCTCTATTTACACGGTGCTATGCAGTGATTTACGCCTTCTTGTTTCCCGCCCAGTGTGCATGAGAAGTGTTGCCAGCAACAGGCCAAGCAGTAGGTCTTTGCCAACTGTTTGGAACGAACAGACATGGAAATCAACGTAGACAAAGGAAAGGCAAGACAGAAGGAGGGAATCACCGCCCCCGCGGTCCCAATTCCCGCGGCAGACTTCAGTGGTTGCCAAGTGTACCACACTAAATACGCACCGTTTGTGTCCTCGGCAAATTAGCTTCTAGGACAGCTTTCAAAGGGTTGTGCGGTTGGAGAGATGCCGCTGTTTTTATTGTTCCAGATTGATAAGGTTAAAGTGGCGGCAGAATCTCTCCGCCCACGCCCACTCCTGCTCCATCCTCTCCCACACCCGCAGCCAACTTCCCACTCCAACTCCCATTGCCCTTGAAATTATAATTAAACTCATTGATTTCTTGGACTCAAATAGTTCCCTCTTCTTGAATGATAATAGACTTTCATTCGATTTAGTTACAATTAGATTTATTCTCATAAGCCGAAGGCTCTTCTGATTTTATCTAAATATTTGGGATATACGTAGTTTCCAGTGCGAGGACCAGACACAAGGTCTCCCCGCCAGCCAAAAAAGAAAAAGAAAAGAAAAGAAAAGAAAAGAGAAACGATTGTTTCAGGACCTAAGGGACAGAGCCAGCCGGCATGCTCGAGAGGTTATTACACATGCAACCTGGCTTATGCTTCTCATTGAACACGCCTCGCTTTCTAGAATGGCAGCCACTCAGCTTTCTCTATCATTACACCTGCAAGTCGGAAATGGCCCTCAGCGCTCTTGCCAATGAAAGCATGGACCCCTTAATCAGGATTCTTTTCAGAATTTGGCCAAGCTTTCTTGATGTAAGCCTTCAGCTCGGCAAAAATCTCCTCAATGGGGTTAAAGTCCGATGGAGAAGGCGGCAGGTACAGTAATCTGACCTTCGCATCAAACCGCGACTGCTTAACTCAGCCCAAAGATGAAAGAATGTGTTCTTCATCCATGCCGATGCGAAATGGCTCTCCTGATTCTTTTCATTCTGCTTCTTCGAATAATAAAGCAAAACTGGATGGAAACGGCATGGGTGCTCGTCAATACTAACTGCATGTCGGATATAGTGTACTGAAGGCAGTGTGTCTTGTTGATATCGAAATCGGAGTTGCTATTGACGGTATCAAATACACCCAAAAACTGCACCCTGCCAACTTCTCGACACGTTGTCTCGGCACAGGTTTGCAAGAAGCGTTCTGCAGCTTCGCGCTCGGCATGCTTGCTACGGTTGCTCAACTTCCATGTCACAAATGTCCTCCAGATCAAAGAAATCATTTTTTTCGTTGTCACAGCCGAGAGTCCCAGCCTTATAAATCATTTCATTGAGGAATCGCGGTGTATGCCCCTCTAAAAAAGCCGAAAATGCAAATGTCACACTGTGAGCGATAGTGTCGCATCAAGAAACGATATCCGCCGATGAGGTGTTGGTCAAATATACATCCTGGTGCTTGTTCGAGCGCTTTGTTGCTCCATGGTTTCCAACTTCGTCGTAAACTACTGCTGGCTAGAGAGCCAGGTGTCAATTGGGTTCCAATGCCAGCTGAAAAGTAGTCTTTGCCTTGGTCGTGCGCTGATAGTAATACACCAAATTCCACATTTGTCAGTCCTTCATATTTGGACACTCGAAAGCTTTCCCGGAAGAGACTCTACGCTGTTCGTCTTGGCTGCGATCGAGTATTCGAAAAGTTTTCAGGATATTCGTCTCAGCTCCATCAGGCTGAAAGGTATTGCCAGTTCCATCAAAACATAGCACAAGCCCTCTTCCGGGAATAGAGACTTTCCACATCTTGCTCGATGGCATAGACTGGGCTGACATGGTAGGAAGTAAAGGTGGGGGAGCATTCAACAGGTCGTGGTCTTCGCTAGGGGAGACATGTTGCAATTATGCCCCAGCGGGTATTGCGACGCGCTGCACATAAAGTCAAACTTTCAGGCATATGAAAGAGACATGATTGCATATGTCCTAGTAAATGAATAAGCTGGAAAGAACGTAGGTCACAGGATCTCGGGCTAAGCTGAACAACGCAGATCTAAATAATCTACGAGTATGTTTCTTTTTATGGATATCGCTAGTTCCGAATACTCTCGCAACGTACTAATTGTCTTGCACCCAGAGGACCTTACAGGGGTTTGGGTCTATAGAAAAACCAAAGAACGTTACTCTTCGAGAGCGCCAGGTTGGTCGACTAAATAATTATTAGATAACTAAGTTCCTTCTGGTTGGAGGTATATCTTTATGTTGAGAGGAAAGATGCCGACATTGCAGCAAAGACCCACATATTCCGATGTGCGTCCTGCCATTACAGGAACACCCGATTCTCTGCCTGTTTCTGTATGGTATTCCGGGTAAACTCAGAACACAGCGTCGTAACACACCAGCCAAAGTGGTGGGGATATAATCAAATCCCCCTTGCTAGCAATGTTAGTTAGACATCATCACATTGAGCATCGCGTTCCAATGGATCCCGCTATATTGACATATGGCACAAGAAGCTGGAGTTGCATATTCCGTAACAAAGTATATGTTGAAAGTGTCACGGGCAAATACCCGATACTATGCATGTTGACGTGGCGAATACACAGAGGAGAACCTCTCTTCAGGCTGTTTGTACACAGTTTGTGGCCTAGTTATATTGAAATCAATTCTTGCTTCAGCCCTTCACAAAAACGCCCCCAAAAGGAGGGCGGAAGGCCCAATCTCGCTGAGAGAAAAAGGAGGGGAGGGGGTGGGGGGTGTTGAGATATACACATTGAAGTCGAGCGTCAACAATAGGACGAGAAGAAGATGACCACAGTCCCGTAGTCCCGGGTTGGAGTAGAGGGCAGTACAGGGCAGCGGGCGGTCAAGCGGCGGCTCGCCATCTGATTTACGGCTAAAAAGGCGGCTGCTTCTGGCGCCAGACGTTGTCATTTTCGGCGTCGATTACACAGGCTCCTCATGTTGTAGTTGCACATATTTATCAAGAGCATTTATATTGTGAAAAGTAAGACGGGAGCGATCATCTACCTGCGATGTACATGGATGGCACTTTTTGCCTGCATACATCCAGATCTATAGGGACAGCCAGCTTTGAAGACATAGACATAGACAGGCTTTTCATTTTGAAGGAGTCAATATATCTTACTGGCTCCCCAGAAAGTTCCCTCAAGCCAACCATTCATTGACCCCCCTAACCCCCCCGGACTCGGAGGAGAGCTCCAGATCAGCAGCCTGATACGGCAGGCGGTCCCGTAGGCGGTGACCCCAATCGCCCGCCTCCATGTCATCCCGACCCTGACAGCTCATGGCGTCTTGTCACTATCAGCAGCCATCATGTCCGCCGAGCTTGACCTCGACCAGCTGTCATCCAGCGAGCGAGCAGCTCTGGAACAGTACATTACTGTGACTGGGCAAGAGCCAGCAGAGGCCATCCCCCTGCTCCGTCGGTCACAATGGAATGTTCAGGTTCGAGACCTTTCCCTCCGCTCCGCCAAGATAGCTACTTATGTCTCCTCCCCCCGCATAGATTGCCATCGCCAAGTTTTTTGATGGCGAAGGTCCAGACCCAGTCGAGGAAGCGCGTGCGGCTCTTCCCCAGTCCCCTCCACCTCGCCCAACTCGCCGAACGCAAAACCTGATGACCGAGGATCTCAGAGAGCATCTATCCCCGGCTGCTCGTGCCTCCGATCTGGCCCCGCGAGTTGACACACAACCCGAAGATCAACCGGTCTACCGCCCTCCCTTCCTCCTTGCTCTCTTATTCACCCCATTCAATCTCATCTATCGACTCCTCTACAGCTCTTTCCGTCTCTTCGGCACTTTATTTCCTTTCTTGCCTCGGTTGTTCCGTACGACCGCCAGCCCAGCTCTCCAAGGGGCACGACGGAATACCACGGGCCGTCGGACGCTTGGTCCTAAGGATACCGCCGCCCGGTTTATCCGTGAATTTGAGGAGGAGTATGGATCTCACTCTCTGCCTTTCTTGGAAAATGGCTACAATATGGCGCTGGAGAAGGCGCATCGCGATTTAAAGTTCTTGCTTGTTGTCCTTCTGGCACCAGAGCACGACGATACGAGTAGCTGGGTTCGGGATACGTTGCTCGCTCCAGAGGTGGTGGAATTCCTCAATGACCCGCAAAACAACCTCCTTGTGTGGGGTGGGAGTGTCCAGGACGCCGAGGCCTACCAGGTGGCCAATTCGCTGAGATGCACGAAGTTCCCTTTTGCCGCTGTGACCGTCCATACTCCCAATGTGTCTTCGACCGCCATGTCCGTCGTCGGCCGCATTGCGGGAACCTCGTCTCCGTCCGAATTCGTCAACCGTCTCCGAACCACCCTGGCTTCGAACCAGGAGCCCCTCGAACGCATCCGATCCACGCGTGCCGAACAGCAAGCCTCCCGCAGCCTGCGCGAGCAGCAGGACTCGGCGTACGAACGCTCGCTTGCAATCGACCGGGAGCGAGCGCGTCTTCGCCGCGAAGCCGAAGCTGCCCGCCAGCGTGAAGAGGAAGAGGCGGCCGAGCAACAAGCTGCGGAGGAGAAGAAACAACATGACCTGGCGCAGTGGAAGCTCTGGCGAGCACAGACCTTTAGCGCCGAACCGGGGACCGACGTCAAAGATGCGGTGCGCATTAGCGTGCGACTGCCATCGGGGGAACGAATCATGCGCCGCTTCGCGCCCGACGCAGCCATGGAAGAACTATACGCGGTGGTGGAGTGCTACGAGGTTCTGCAGGATGAGTCGCGACCCACAGATGTGACCAAGCCGGACGGGTTTGAGCACGAGTACAGATTCCGCCTGGTGTCCCCCATGCCGCGCGCGGTATATGCGGTGGAAGAGGGCGGGTCTATCCGCGAGAAGATCGGCCGGGGCGGTAATCTACTAGTAGAACCGATCGATGAGGAGGATGAAGAGACCGAAGACGTGGAAGACGAGGCAGCCGATTCAGGGTGAAGGAGGAAGGCCACGATCAGAGTTTCGGCATCCCTTGCTCTCATGTATCTTTCAATGCGAACCTCCCTTGGAATGAATAGGACTTGCATGCACACCGCTTGTACCTCGCTCGTACGCACACCGATTGTTCTGGGGCGGTGCAGGGATTGTCCCCCAAGAAGACGATTGAGACGCGTGGCCATGCGCCTAGACATATGAAATTTGCCTGTGACAAGCCATTTGCACTAGTGTTCTAGGGTGCGTCGGTTCTTGTGCCGATTGTATATAAAAGTATAATATATATATATATTTTGAGTTATGCAGGTCTGACGCCACCGGTGGTCCATCCGACATATTCAGGATCTACTTCGAAGTACTTAGATAGTCCCTGAAGTTCGTCATCTCAGGATTGGGGACATCATAAATGGAGGCATCATCTCACTCAAATAACCCGGAACTATTGCATCAAGGTCGAAGTGGATCCAACGCGATCAGTAGATCAGTAGAGATATAATCAACCCGATGCATGATCTATAATCTCTGAATCATTGAATCTGTGATCTATCAGATCGTCCGTTCCTCCGTTCCCCGGACGAAAGCAGCGGGCTGAGTCAGCCCGGAAAGCCGGGTCGAGGAGATCCGAGCAGCGGGCGTCAGGGGGGCGATCTCCGCGCGGGCCAGGGACTCGGAGGCTGCTCCTCCCGGACCCACCGGGATTTCTAGAACGGCCGGGCACGTGTCGAAACGTGGCGGATGTTGCACAGGCGCTGATAAGGGGGGGGGGAAGGATAAGGATATACTACGGAGTCAATATTGTAATGCTATAATACTATGAGCCCAAGGTATACAGAGTAACGAGGAGAGAGAGAATAATTATTTAGATACTACAAAGAACAGATCAAAGATCCATTGGCGGTTTTTGAGAATTTTCACAAATTGGACCAATCGCGCTCATTGTGACGAAAAATGAGTCTGTCGTGATTCATGTTGCATTATGGAGCCTCCATCTAACGAATCGCTTGGCATAAGCGACCCCCAACAGAGTTTTTCGCGTATGGTTCGTAGGCATCCATGGCTGACACATCCTGGGCCCGAACCTGTCACCTTTGGGCCTGCGACGGCGGGTCCGGCTGCTGGAGTTATCGCCGGAACCTCTATTTGCCTTTCGGAGCCAAAATCTGGATCGTTCCCGGTCCCGACGGTTGGTGGCCCTAAAACCATCGCGGAACTTTTTCTTCCCTTGACTTCTTTTATTTATCATCCCTTTTCCTTCGGCACGCTCCTTCTCTCGCTTTGGTTTCTTGTTTGTCCTTAATCCTTAATCGCCGCTAATTGCATTCTATTTCCTAATCTCCACACGCTCTCTTCCCCGACCCCCTTCTATATTCCACGCGTCTCACCATCCCGCCCATTGATGGTGCTTTCCTAATTTCTCGACTCTCCTGGGCTCTGAAATCACACCCCACTTACCCGCAATTGTCTCCATCGAGACGGCAATTGACTTTCCTTCCTTCTTCCCCCACCCCCGCAGAGCTCCTCATGTCGCTTCTGGGGACCCTCAACCACAGCGTGGGCGAAACCACCACCGAGTTCACGGAATACTCTTCGACCTCCGTCGCCGTGACTCGCGAAATTAACCATCATGAAGTCTCCGGCAGTGTCAGCTCCGACGACACGGCCCTTGAAAAGCCCACCGAGGTCGGCAATGAGGATGTGATCGAGGCCGAGGTCACTCGGCTGGCGCAGCAGCTCACCCGTGAATCCACGCACTTCCAGGATGGCGAGAACACCTTCCTCGAAACCAAAGAGGATTCTACTCTCAACCCGCATAGCCCCAACTTCCGGGCCCGCAATTGGATGAAGAACCTCCTGGCCATCACTGCCCGCGACCCCGAACGCTACCCGGCGCGCCAGGCGGGTGTCTCCTTCCGCAACCTCAGTGTGCATGGATATGGCAGCCCCACCGATTATCAGAAGGACGTGTTCAACTCCGTCCTGCAGGTCGGGGCCCTGTTCCGTATGATGACCGGCTCGGGAAAGCAGAAGATTCAGATTCTGCGAGATTTTGACGGCTTGGTCAAGAGTGGCGAGATGTTGGTCGTCCTGGGCCGCCCCGGTTCCGGTTGCTCAACCTTCCTGAAGACCCTGGCCGGCGAGATGAACGGTATCCACAAGGATCCCAACTCCCAGATGAACTACCAAGGTATCTCTGATAAGAAAATGAAGAAACAGTTCCGCGGCGAGGCCATCTATACCGCCGAGACCGATGTTCATTTCCCTCAGCTGTCTGTGGGTGATACCTTGAAATTTGCTGCACTGGCTCGTGCTCCTCGCAACCGTTTGCCCGGTGTCTCCCGTGATCAGTATGCGGAGCACATGCGGGATGTGGTCATGGCCATGCTGGGTCTCTCGCACACCATCAACACCCGCGTGGGCAACGACTTCGTTCGCGGTGTTTCCGGTGGTGAGCGCAAGCGTGTCTCAATCGCCGAGGCCACTTTGTGTGCTAGCCCCTTGCAATGCTGGGATAACAGTACGCGTGGTCTGGACAGTGCCAATGCCCTGGAGTTCTGCAAGACCTTGAACCTCATGGCCAAGTACTCCGGCACTACCTGTGCCGTTGCCATCTACCAGGCTTCTCAGAGTGCCTACGATGTTTTCGATAAGGTCACCGTCTTGTACGAGGGCCGACAGATCTACTTCGGCCGCACTGGTGATGCCAAGGAGTTTTTCACCAACATGGGCTTCGAATGCCCTGAGCGTCAGACTACCGCCGATTTCCTGACCTCCCTGACTAGCCCTGCGGAGCGTATTGTGAAGAAGGGTTACGAGAGCCTCGTGCCTCGTACTCCAGACGAGTTCGCCGCGGCTTGGAAGAACAGTAAGGAGTACAAGGACTTGATCCGCGAAATTGAGGAGTATGACCAGTCTTACCCTCTCGGCGGAGAGTCGCTACAGAAGTTCGTTACTTCTCGCCGTGCGATGCAGTCCAAGAACCAACGTACGAAATCTCCCTATACTATGTCTGTCTGGGAGCAGATCAACCTTTGCATGGTCCGCGGCTTCCAACGGCTGAAGGGCGATGCAAGCTTGACCCTGTCTCAGTTAATCGGAAATTTCATTATGGCTCTCATTATCGGTTCGGTTTTCTTCAACCTCGAAGATACTACCGACAGTTTCTATTCTCGTGGTGCTCTTCTCTTCTTCGCTGTTTTGCTCAATGCTTTCTCCAGTGCTCTCGAGGTGAGTTTACCTCGAGTTTCGAGTTGCAAGTGTATTCGTGGTCAGCTGACAACATAATTTCCTAGATTCTGACTCTTTACGCGCAACGTCCCATCGTCGAAAAGCAAGCCCGTTATGCCATGTATCACCCCTTTACCGAAGCTGTTGCGTCTATGTTGTGTGATATGCCATACAAGATCCTCAACGCGATTACCTTCAACGTCACCCTCTATTTCATGACCCACTTACGTCGCACCCCTGGCGCTTTCTTCACCTTCCTTGTGTTCTCCTTCGTGACCACCTTGACCATGTCCATGATTTTCCGTACGATTGCCTCCTTTTCTCGTACCTTGTCTCAGGCTCTGGTGCCCGCTGCTATCCTGATCCTCGGTCTTGTTATCTACACGGGTTTCACTATCCCCCCCACTAACATGCTGGGCTGGTCTCGTTGGATGAACTATATTGACCCTATCGGCTATGGTTTCGAGTCACTGATGGTCAACGAGTTCCACAATCGGAGCTTTAATTGTTCCACTTTCGTTCCCACTGGAAATGGATATGGCGATGTTAGTCTCACAAACAAGATCTGCTCGTCCAAGGGCGCTCAGGCTGGATCTGGCGTTGTCTTTGGTGATGACTATCTCAGAGACAGCTTCCAATACTATAATAGTCATAAGTGGCGCAACTTTGGTATTATGATTGGTTTCATGATTTTCTTCATGGCTACTTACCTCTTTGGTACTGAGTATATCTCGGAGGCCAAATCGAAGGGCGAGGTTCTGCTTTTCCGTCGGGGCCAGGCCCCTAAGCGTTCCGAAGACGGAGATGTTGAACAGAGCCAGGCCGTTTCTCACTCCGAGAAGACCGACGAGTCTGCCAGCCAGGAGGCTACTGCTGGTATCCAGAGGCAGACCGCCGTCTTCCATTGGCAGGATGTATGCTACGATATCAAGATCAAGAGCGAGGAACGCCGTATCTTGGATCACGTTGATGGTTGGGTCAAGCCTGGTACTTGTACTGCCCTAATGGGAGTTTCCGGTGCCGGTAAGACTACTTTGCTTGATGTGCTTGCTACCCGTGTCACTATGGGTGTTGTTTCTGGCGAGATGCTTGTCGACGGTCGCCTACGCGATCAGTCTTTCCAGCGGAAGACTGGTTACGTTCAGCAGCAGGATCTCCATCTCTACACTACTACTGTTCGTGAGGCCCTCCGCTTCAGTGCCATGCTTCGTCAGCCCGCCGATGTCAGCCGTCAGGAAAAACTGGATTACGTCGAGGAAGTTATCAAGCTTTTGGGCATGGAAGCCTACGCCGATGCTATTGTCGGTGTCCCCGGTGAAGGTAAGCCATCTCATTCTTCCTTTATCACGACTGGAAAAAATATTAATGAACTTCATTCTAGGTCTCAACGTCGAACAACGCAAGCGTCTCACCATTGGTGTCGAGCTTGCTGCCAAGCCGCAGCTGCTTCTCTTCTTGGATGAACCCACTTCTGGTCTTGACAGTCAGACTTCTTGGTCTATTCTCGATCTTATTGACACCTTGACCAAGCACGGCCAGGCTATTCTCTGTACTATCCATCAGCCCTCTGCTATGCTCTTTCAGCGTTTTGACCGCCTGCTTTTCCTTGCGAAGGGTGGCAAGACTGTCTACTTTGGTGAAATTGGCGACAAGTCCTCTACTCTTTCCAACTATTTCGAACGCAACGGTGCACCCAAGCTGTCTTCCGAGGCTAACCCCGCTGAATGGATGCTTGAGGTGATTGGTGCTGCCCCTGGATCTCACAGTGATATCGACTGGCCTGCTGTCTGGCGCGAGAGCCCTGAGCGCAAGGCTGTGCATGATCACCTGGCGGAACTCAAATCCACTCTCTCTCAGAAGCCTGTGGAGGAGTCTAGTAACGACCCGGCCAACTACAAAGAATTCGCTGCCTCCTTCCCTGTTCAGCTTTACGAGTGTTTGGTCCGTATTTTCAGCCAGTATTGGCGCACGCCGGTATACATTTACTCCAAGTCCGCTCTCTCGATTCTCACTGCTCTCTATATCGGTTTCTCTTTCTTCCACGCCGAGAACTCCCTCCAGGGTCTCCAAAACCAGATGTTCAGTATTTTCATGCTGTTGACTATCTTCGGTAACCTGGTCCAGCAGATCATGCCTCACTTCTGTACTCAGCGTTCGCTGTATGAGGTCCGCGAGCGTCCTTCCAAGACTTACTCGTGGCAAGCCTTCATGACCGCCAACATCCTCGTTGAACTGCCGTGGAACACGCTGATGTCGGTGTTTATCTTCGTCTGCTGGTACTACCCGATCGGCTTGTACCGCAACGCAGAGCCCACTGATGCCGTGCACGAGCGTGGAGCTCTGATGTTCCTGCTCATCTGGTCCTTCCTACTCTTTACCTCAACCTTCGCTCACATGATTATTGCTGGTATCGAGCTTGCGGAGACTGGCGGTAACCTGGCCAATCTGCTGTTCTCGCTCTGCCTGATCTTCTGTGGTGTTCTGGCCACTCCTTCCCAAATGCCTGGATTCTGGATTTTCATGTACCGCGTTTCTCCATTTACCTATCTTGTGTCCGCGATGTTATCCACCGGTGTTTCCGGCAGCGAGGCTGTCTGCGGCGCTGTTGAATATCTGCACTTTGACCCACCGTCCAACCAAACCTGCTACGACTATATGGAGCCGTACATGAGCCTGAATGGCGGATATCTTCAGAACCCCAATGCCACCACCGAATGTTCTTTCTGTAGCATCTCCAGCACTGACACCTTCCTTGCAAGCGTGTCCAGTTACTACAAGGATGCTTGGCGCAACTTTGGCCTGATGTGGGTATACATCATCGCCAACATCTTCCTGGCCGTTTTCATCTACTGGCTTGCCCGTGTGCCGAAGGGCAGCCGCAGCAAGAGCAAGAGCTCCTAGACCGTTTTATCTCTTTTTCCATTTGCTTCTATTTACAATGCTTTTTTGGAACGAAAATTTCTTCACTTGATATATATTATTTTAGATGATTTTTTAGATCATTTCTATAGATGCTTGACATCTCTTCACTCCACCTTTTGCATCTTTTGCCGTTTTGGTTCTTTTGTCGTTTTGGTTCTTCTGTTGTCTGTTAATCAACATCTCCGGGGATGGACTCCCGTGTTTGGTTTTTGCATATACATTGAAATATTTTGGGGACGTTTAGAAAGAAGAATGTTGAATATAAGAAGATTGATTTAAAAGAATTCTCAATACATCTAGATACTGTCAACCTCCAAACTCCGACTTCTGTACCACTAAACGGCTGTATGTATGCCTGCAACTAATATTATGTCTATCCGTCTCGACGCCTGATCGCTCTCGAAACCAAATCCATTTCGCTCATGTCATATATCTTTGGACTAGCGGCTAACTTGAAAATTTTTTGCTTGCCTGGTCGTTTGGCTACGTTGTTATTGATAGTCCCAGGTATTATGGGTATGAAATAACTTCATGGAAAATGTGAAAATGCGTAATGGTTCCGCTGCAGCCGCGCACTAACTTTCAAAAATGGAAACTGACGAGATTATATTGTAAGCTCTAGCCTGAATTTAGCCCGTTTTGTAGGGCTGAGTATCTTCACTGCTGTTTTTGGTTCTCCCTTAAGACGCGAACTGTCTATAGGCCTGCAGGACTGCCTCCCAACCACCGGGGTGGTTGTATTCGGTGGGATTGGACTGGCCATCCAAAACCATCACATCCGTCTTCCTGGTACCTATCGAGTACCACACAAGATTGTCCGGGCTGTTGGCAACTCGCATCATATTCGTCTGACACGATCCATCGCACTGGGTAGTGTAGTCACCAGTCCACTCGCCATTGAAGAAGGCCCAGGCCGCGCTATTATAGAGCAGGATGTCCTTCCCACCGTCCACGTTGGTTGCCAGAGATGTTCGGCACTTCTGGTCATCGGCATCGCACCAGGAAAAGTCAGGGTCGCCGATAGCTGACTCGGCTGTCCAGGGCGCCGGGGCAGTCTGGGTGGCTCCATCGCCCTGCATGTAGGGGCTTTCGCTCTGAAGCATGCCGGCGTAAACGTTCTGCGCCCCGTGGAAGTTGTAGTTATACAGCCAGTTGTGCTCAGCTCCGGTTCCTGTCAACCAAGTACCCTTGGTGGCTTCTACCAGAATTCCACGTCCGGTTGAGATGATCGTCTTCGAGGAGCCGCCGTCAAGATTGTGGTCCGCGGTCCAGCCCCAGAAGTTTTCGATATAGGCAGACGACGACGCAGTCAAGTGCATCATCAGGAAGGCGGCCATGCACTGTGACGTATCCTGGTTGTCACAGTCGTCTTTGATGCTGGTCTCGGCTGTTCCACCCACCGTCACCATGGTGTTCCACAGCGCCACGTCCCCGGGGGTTTGGCCCGCGGCGTTCACTTCGAGGATAGTCGCGCCGGGGAGAATCTCACCCACGCTGAATCGCATATCCTGAATCTCGATAACTCCCGTGTCGCCCGCCTGGCCAACCTGGACGACTGGCTTGGGATTCGAGGCATCCTTGAACGCATCGCCGGCACCCGAGATCACGGCCCAGGCCTCGCCCATGATACGCGAGTTCACAGGAATCTTCAGAGTATCCTTGACTGTGTACACGCCGTATGGGAAGTAGGTGATTTTGCAGTTGGCTGCATTGTCTGCCAGGATGGCGTTCAGAGAGGCAACATCGTCGGTTGACCCATCACCCTTGACTGTATAGCCATCGACAGCCTTGACATTCACAATCTGATCCGCAGCATACTCGGCATACGTCGGCTGGCTACGCATGAAGTATTTGCCGTTTTCCAGGAGCACGTCGGGTCGGCTGGTTGAGAATTTCGTGCCCGACTGGTACTGACCCGGGGTGACGTTGCCCCAGACCCAAGTGTCGATCGTGGCCGCGGCAGCGAGTTTCACATTGTTGTTGCTGTCGACTGCGATCGCATTTGTGGTATCGTGGACGAGATTCTGGATGAGCAATTGGCTGTTGCGGTTACCGCTGTCGTTCGACGAATCGTGGAATTTCACGACGGTGCCTGAGTTGGTGGATTTGGAGTCGAGAAGCACCATGCTTCCGAGGCCATTGCTGGTCATGTCGATGCCGAATCCAACCGTGTCGAAGGTTGCACTCTGTAGCAGAGCCGTGTGGCCGCCGGAGGCCAAAAAGCCCGTGGTGCACTTCCTGAAGTAGATGTTCTTGAAGTTGACTTGCTGGTTGGAGTTTTTGATGCCGACAACACCCCCGGTGATGTCTACATCGGTGACGGCGATGGTCGAGCCCGCGTTGATGTTAATGCCCGTGTGTCCTGTCGAACTGGTCGGCATGTTGATCTTGATGTTGGTCAAGCCAGAACCCTGAGCCACGCCCCATTGCAGCGCAGTGATCTCAGTATCGGCACTGAGCGCGGTGGTATCAATGACGACGTTGCGCATAAGTGTCATAAAGCTCGTCTCCGGCTGGCCGTTGCCGCTGTCGAATCCATTGACGACAGTGTCACCGTTGAAGTCGGCAGAGGCTTTCAGAACGGGCGGGTTCAATGGATCGCCGGTGATGATGGTGCCCACACGCAGGTTCAAAGTGCTCCCAAGCTGGTATGTTCCGCCGGGCAGGAAGACTTCGGCCGGGTATCTGGTCACACCCTGGCCCTCGCGGCTCCCATTGGATCCGTCGTCATTGATCGCGTTCTGGATGCTCTGGGTCTGATCACCAGAGCCGTCTGCTGAAGCTGAGTAGTCTTGGACGTTGCGCCACACGGGATAATTCGCGTTAGACACTTCGGGAGCGTATCCACGCACATATCCGGTATGATCCTGATCCAGCAGCCAGTAGCTCGTGGGAGTTGAAGCAACGGGAGTACAGGTATCTCTTTTTTGGACCTCTCTATACATTCAGCAGTCAGAATATCGGTCAAGAAAAATGCATGTGAACTGTCAATTGGGAAGTACCTTTCAGCGGACGACGGTATCGCAATCGCCGAGGCTGTTGCCGCAGCGGCAGCCCACCACAGAAGATTGCGCATGGTCTGGAAGAAATCTATATACGGAGAAAATTATGTGCAAATGAATGTCTAGGGAGGGAAAAGGAGAGAGGACAAGAGCAGAATGAGAATGAGTGGATGGATATAACACAGAAGACAGTGTTCAATTCTTGGTTCCTTAACATCTTTATACACAGTCAGACGAGCACCGCTGCAGCACACGAATATCTCAACTAGGAAACTGGCAAACCATCTTGAAGAGCTCAGAAAATTCAGCCGAGTCTCCAGCTCACACTAGACGACGACGATGCAGTCGAGCCGAACCCATCAGGGCGTGACGGCGTTTGTCCGAATTGGGAAACTGGTGTGGTTATTTTCATCTACTGGAAAGGCTATGTTTGCCAAGTTCCGGGACTCCGCTGATGCTGCGGACGATCAGCCTGGTGAGATTGAACAGAGACCGGACGTGACTGGATGTCGAAGAGTCAGATCCCCATTCGAAGGAAATGCCCCTGCAGATCACTTCCAGCTGGTCGCTGAGTCAGAAAGGGTCTTGCAGAGCCCGTCGGCGGGCTAAGGGCTGCAATACCACCTGAACGGCCGCTTCGGCTGATGGTGAGACATTAGCTCCGTCAATTCGGTATAGTGGATGACCGTCTGCGTCCAACGTGGATCGGTGGAAGAAGATCGAAGCGATCGATCTAAAGAAGAAAGAGAGAGAGAGAGAGGAATTGCGGTATGCAGCGTCAAGTTGTTTGGTTTGGAGGGGATTTTTTTTATAAATCCAGCCCAGAATCGGAAGCCACTCTTGAGTTCTATTCTCATCCACGAAAGACCAATTCTATACATAGTTCTCATCGAACATCTGCAGAAAAGACAGTGGCTGCATGGAAACACAAGAAACCCGGAGGGAATAGCACACCATAGAAAATATATGGATACTCAGCATCTCTCAAAAGAAACATTGTCAAAGTACCGACAATGCCAATGCCAATGCCCTCGGAGTAATATCTATAATTGAGTCCTTTACATTAGAAGAGTCTTCTTCCCTTCACTCGTGAGATCGCCAATAGGAAACTCCCCACCAATAAGCAAATTCAGACCAAAACCCCCGCACCGTCAACACCATATTTTCCCCTAGCTTTATTCATTTTCGTCAAGTAACATCCCATATGCCACTTTCCATTCGTGTCTCATTTGATCGACATAGCAACCCTCCTGGACAGACCTTAAATCCTATGTGAGCGTGCAGCTAGTACACGAGGGAGAAGCATGACTTGTTGCTCCACTTGGCGTAAATAGAGTACCTTTTTGGGCTTGTCCCTTTCCCCCCGGGCAGTCATTCCTCAGGATAGGATGGATATCATCCCATCGACCAAAGCTACGAATAATGGTGGCTACAGACTAACAGAGCAAGGCGAAATCTCGTAGATGATCAAAATCAAAATCGTTCGATAGATACTGCCGCCACCTAGACTGCAAGCAAAATCCCACCGGTGTGGTGGTTCAAAAATGCTGGGAAGAAGGTGCAAAATAAATGCAGCCACGAGCCCGAGAAAACTGTCAGCGAGCCAACCTGCATCAACAGGTTACACAGCTCTCTCGAAATATAAGGCCAGAAGAAAGGAGAAGACAAGGAAAGAAAAGAAAGAAAAAAAACCGCCTGATGACCATGGGTATCATTACATATTCATGTTGCCAGAAACTCCCGCTGCGATAGATGGAAAAGTGAAAAACGAACACGTCGAGTCGGAAGGGGGGCCAATTAGATCTGGGGCATGGTGTTAGCATGATAGGGTAGATGTCCACATTATTTGATGTGATAAAAACTCGGAAACGGTCCAGAGAAAGGGAACACTCACCAGCCGCAGGGGCAGACGGGGAGGCACACGGCCGTTATGGAGGAGCATCGCAATGGCCTTCTGCGGGGTGGCCTGTAGCTTGCGGTAAGCCTCGCGGATGTGGCGAGGTTCGATGGGGGTGCGACCCTCCTCCGGGGGTCGAATAGGCCGGTCTCGCGCTTGCGCTTCTTGGCGCTGTCGCCGGTGCTGTCAGCGCCGCCACGGTTCTTCTCATGGTCCTCGCGCTCCTTGACCTTGAGCGCTTCCTCAGTCAAAGTCTGGACGATTTCGAAGGTCAGAAAGCCCAGGATGTCGACAATGTCGTCATTGGGCTTTGACTCTGTCACGATGCCGAAGCCGGCCCACTCGCGGAAGCGCTTGCTCTTTCGGTATGTGAAAGAGGCCTGGCGACACTCAGACCAAAAGACGTATTCCTCCTTGGTCATGTTCTTGGTGCGCTCATCAGCGGCGGCGAGTCGCTGGAGGGTGGCGTAGTTCTGTTCCTCCTCCTCTTCATCTTCTTCATCGTCGCGCTCGGGAATTTGCACCGAGAAGAAGCTACTGACGTCCCATGCGAGGCCAACCTTCGCGCGCTTGTTCTTTGGCTTGGATGCGACATCCTGGGGACCAGCAACAACACCAGCGGCGTCATCGGCAGCGGCAAAGTCTGCCGCATCGGCACCACCTTTGTCGTCGGAGTCCTTGACGTTCTTTCGGACGTCCTTCCATGACAGGAAAGTGCGAAGCCGTGAGACCTTGGCCTTGTCGTGACGGATAAGGAAAATCAGGTCATCGGTCGAGATAGAACGTGAGCCGCGGCGAGTGGCTAGCGCCGTGCTACGAGCGAGCTAGAGGAATGAAATCAGAAATGAAAAGATGTAGACTGAGGAGAAAATGAACTCACGATCTCAATGACTTGCTGACGGGTAATTTCTTCGATCAGCGTGGTAGTCTCGATGGCCGGTTCGGCAGTTTCACCAGACACAAACATCATCTGGCGTAGCATGTCAGTAAAAGCCCATCTGAATTTGTCGTGGGTCTCAAAGTCATCGTCTTTGTCGCTGTTCGTCTCTTCGCTCATATCTGAAGAACCCTCGACTTCATCTCCAGACGCAAAACCTGAGCTGAGGGTTTCCGAGTCCGTCATGTCGAGTTCGTCGTTGGCCTCGAAACAATAAGCTGAGTTTTTGCGGGGAGATCCGGCAGGAGGCGTGCCTGTAGTTATCTGTGGTCGAAAAACAGACAGAATCCACGTCGAGTGACAGAGGAGGGGGAGGGTGAGAGTTGACGTGAGGTTGGGGTGGGGGATGCAGGGAATGGGGAAGGCCCTGAAGTGAAGTTCTTTCCCACTCAGAACGAGGATGGCAATTCCAAATTGGCTCGTCGCCAGTGTCCGTAGGAACAGTGCACTAAAATGACATCCTGTCAAAGCTGATGCTCCGAAGGACCCCATTTTATGCCTGGAGACTTGCTCAGACGCCCCTACTACCACCAATGCTCCAATATCGGTGACCGGGACAGACCTATCATGGAGAAGCTCTTGCATAGAAATGGCGTGGTCATCAAAAGGCCAGACGAATAGGAGATCCCGGTAATTTAACCATTTCCCAACATACACGCGTAGAGGAAATTGAGAAAGAAGAACGAGATCAAACTCCAAGGCCAGATAGTATACTAGGCAAGTATACAAAAGAGCGAAGAATAGGAAGGTTTCAGAAAACCAAACCAAAACCATGGTGATATGTCTCCAACCTCATCTAGACGACGGGAGCCAAGAGCCGCAGATAAGGTGGAGTCTCGGTGGAAGAGGTGGGAATGAAAGCCAAGAATGAGCCATGTATAAAGATGAAGAATCATTCGGCGAAGCCATGCGGCAACCCAAACACATTGATATCTTCGCCTTCTCTATGGGCCTCGCACCCTTGACATCAACATTATCAATCAGCCCCGACAACCATCCCTTTCTATAGATACGTTGGTTGAACGAGAAGGAAGGCAAATTTTATCCAAATCAAATGCCTGCTGCACAAGGATACAATCTGGTGTGCTCCAATTGACGGTATCGGAGCGGGCGCAAGAGCGGGCGGTGACGCGACAATGCGCGCAAGCTCCAAGCCCTGGCGGAATTCACGGTTGTCGGGCCATTCCAAGACCCAGGAACCAGAGACGAAAGCGACAGCGACAAGACGAGACGAGACGACGAGACCAAAACCCCTAATATAAATCATGACGGCACGGGGAGAGCACTGACCTGCTGGATTTCTTGCCGATACTTCGGCTGACGATCGGAGCTCATGGTGACGGGGGCTCCGCGCGAGGAGAAACGCGATGGGACCCAAAAGGATTTGCGCAATCCAAATATACAGGCTAAGCCGTTCCCGGGATATACCACAATTACACAGCACAGTGCACTGGTGCTCACAGGCAACGATGTCGAAGGAGATTGACAAGCGGAAGAGGGAGGGAAGTCCGGGGTTTGATAGCGGATCTACGATAGCCGGACATTCACTTGCTCCGCCGGCCGGGAGAGGCGGTGGAGAGATCGCGGCCGATTCTGCCGCGGGGCATTTGAATTATTTCGCCGGGCTTGTTATATCCTACATCATTGTATTTTGTTTGGCAGTCCAATTGTACGCATCCTGCCATTATGCTGCACCTTGTGGGCCTGGGTCTTGCCGATGAAAAGGACATCACGGTCCGCGGCCTGGAGATCGTGAAGAAGGCCGAGCGCGTGTATCTGGAGGCATATACGGCCATTCTGCTGGTGGACAAGGCCAAGCTTGTGAGTGGCGCCCCATTGCTCTGTTTCCCGGTCTTTTCTGCGCTGTTCCTGTTGGCCTACAGTTGATAATGTGCTGAGTCAATCTATAATGCGTCCGCAGGAAGCTTTTTATGGCCGTGAGGTAATCGAAGCAGACCGCGAGCTCGTCGAGAGCGGCAGCGATGATATCCTCGCCGGCGCCGACAAGGCCGACATCGCCTTCCTGGTTGTAGGCGATCCCTTCGGGTAAGCAGATCTCCAATATTCACATATATTTGCAATTCGCCAGCAAGACAGTCTTCACCCATAGAAGAAACCATCCCCAACACCCACAACCCCGGCCCTCCTTCTCCCTCCCAGAGCTGACAAGACCATTTCACCCCCAGCGCGACCACACACACCGATCTTGTCCTGCGGGCCCGCGAGCTCGGCATCCAGACCAACGTCGTCCCCAATGCCTCGATCATGTCCGGCATCGGATGCACCGGCCTGCAGCTCTACAACTTCGGCCAGACGGTGAGCATGGTGTTCTTCACCGAGAATTGGAAGCCGTCGTCCTTCTACGACAAAGTGCGTGAGAACGTGCAGATCGGCCTGCACACCCTCGTCCTGCTGGACATCAAGGTGAAGGAGCAGTCGATGGAGAACCTGGCGCGCGGCCGGCGCATCTTCGAGCCGCCGCGCTACATGACCGTGGCGCAGTGCGCGAGCCAGATGTTGGAGACCGAGGAGACTCGCCAGGAGGGAGTGTATGGGCCGGATAGTCTGGCAGTGGGTGCAGCGCGGGTAGGTGCCCCGGATCAGAAGCTGGTGGTCGGCACATTGAAGGAGCTGAGTGAGGTGGAGATGGGGGCGCCGCTGCACAGTCTGGTGTTGCTGGGTCGCAGGACGCACGATTTGGAGCGGGACTTTATTCGGCAGTTTGCGGTTGACGAGGCGACATTTGATGCAAGCTACCTGAAGAACTATGGGGCTTCTTCATGAGGTTGGAAAAGGTTAGCTAGCCCTCGAAGGGGGTGTATGTGCAATATATCACGCAGGAAACGATATCCACAGTTCAAAAAAAAGCAGCGTTCATGAGCGCAAGCTTTACACTTTGTTTTACTTTACTTGTCTATTTTCTTTTACTGAAGAGTGAAGGCTGTAGATGGTCTATTATATTTGAGATATAGCGCAAAAAAGGCAGGCAAGCCTGGCTTGAACACGCGCCTCTCTGCGATAGCGCGCATCCAGTCCCAGTAGACCGAACAGATCCAGATCGAACAATTGAACCGGCCTGGTCTCTATATTCTAGTGAACAAGGTAAACATTCCATCTCCATTGCTCCGGCACACAGAGAGTAATGGAGCCAAGAAGGGGGAGGAGTTAGAGTGCGATAGATAATCTGAAACGCGAAATGCAGCAGGAAAATGCAACATTAAGCATTCGACGCAGATGGAACAAGACTGACACAAAAAAAAAAAAAAAGATCAAAACCAAAATCCATGAAAAAAATGGTATCCAGACAAGACGATAATGAATCAAAGATAAAAGGGCGTAAGCGCACACAAGACATGCAAGAGGGGAAGGACCCATAGGCATCTAGATAACCCTCTAGCGTGGAGTCCACTCCATGTGCAAATGTTCAAAAAAAAAGGCGACCGACAAACGAAAGAAAACAAGGCAAGAAAAGCAGGAACCTTGACACCGAGTGACATGCAAAATGAGGTTGAAGCAATGTACAGTTCAAACAGAACAGAACAGAAGGAGAACAGAACGGCGTATCACATCACATGCCTAGTGGCCATGGTCGAATTCGTCCTCCTCGCCCGGAAGCAGGATCTCATGACCAGAGCCCTCGTACACGAAAATGGCCGCGGCACAGCCAAAGACGGAGACAAGGGCAATCAACCACCATGCAAACCCGACCATGCCAATGTCCAGGCCATAGCCGTACCAGGCACCGGAGAAGATCGGGCCGATAGTTCGGAAAGCGGACGACACGGACTGGCCGATGCCGTGAATGGTTCCTAGGACGGAGGGATGCGGAGAGCAGTTGTTGAGCAGGATGATCGAAGTCGGGAGAGTGAACGTTCGGGCGGTGACCTGCAGGAAGAGGACGATGATGATCCAGATCCAGACCCAGGGGCCATTTGCCTGACCGGGAGGCGGGACCGAGGACGGAGCCAGCGAAATATACGGCGCCAGAGCGTAGGCAAGCGGGAATAGAGAGAGGAAGTACTGGTAGCTCTTGGCCGTGCCCAGACGACCGTTGATCGAGGGATAGATGGTGAACTGGAGGAACATGCCGATGACACCGAGGATGGCGGTTGCGAAGCCCACGCTCTGCGGGAGCATGCCCAGGCCGCCGGTGAAAACGAAGGGCAGGCTCTGGGCCGGGCTGGCGGGGTCGTTTGCGTCGTAGCGAGGAGTGGACAGGAAGAGAAGCCACAGGTTGTTGAAGGCACTAGTGGTTCGTTAGTTTTCAAAACGACCGAGGGGACCAGCTGTGTATTTGCGACTCCTTACCCCATCTGAAAGTCGAAGAAGCACTGCGCAAGCAGCGTGCAGAGGACGTTCTTGGTCCAGATTCTCCGGAAGGGCAGCACGCGCTTGACACGCATCGGCTTCGAGGCTTTCTCCTCAAGCTCGTAGCTTTCAGAGCGATCCAGGTGGCGGCCCAGCAGAGGACCATCCTCCTCGTAATCGCGGAACGGCAGTCTCGAATACAGCGGCGAGGAGGTACCAACGACACGCCGCACGCCACGAGCTAGGAACTTCATTGCGAAGGACCCCAAGCCAGGCTTACCCTTACAAGCCAGCAGAGTCTAGAGAGAGAGAGAGAGAGAGGCAAGACGTCAGTTATTGATCACCTCAACATGATATCGAGATGAGCAGGGAAAAAAAGGGTGGATAGACACGCACCTCTTCCAGTCCATAGCCAACCAGGACCGCACAAGTGGACAGGAAGACAAAGTTGGCCAGCATGGGAAGAGAGTATGGGTACTTCTCGAGCCATTTCAAACCGGTCTCGCCGCCAAAGGACGAGTTGGGGCCGAACAAGCGGGGGTAGCTCTTCACCGGGTCGGCCAACATACCACCCATGACTAGCATAGCAATAGTTAGCACACGATCGAACCGAAGGGGACACACCCCAAGTCTTGTAGCGCGACGACATGGCTACTCACCCGGGCCAAACAGTGAAGCGATATTGAATCCGATCGGGAGGATCAAGAACGCGCGCGAGTGGTACTTCTTCTCCTTGACGTTTTCCGCGATCATGGTTCGGATGATACCGACGGTGCCGTTGATGGCGCCACCAAACGAGCGCCAGAAGACGGCCTGAGCGAAGGAGGTCGAGAAGGCCACGCCCAGACAGGAGACGGCAGTGCCGACGAGGCCGACGAGCAGGACAAAGCGACGGCCACCCCACTCGGCGTCGGCGACGCGGCCCCAGGGAATGGCCGTCGCGAACTGGGCGGCAGTGAAAGCGCCCTGGAGAATACCCGCCTGGGTCGCAACATCGGAGTCGGAGAGGTTCTCGTCAAAAGACTTGAGCTGGTAGAACATGTAGGCCTGCAGGGAGGCGATCTGGAGGAAGTCGAAGACACGGCAGAGGCCCAGTAGAGCTAATTGGCCCTTTCGTGGGAGGGACATCCAGGTGACGGGCGCCGGGCGAGCGACGACGACCGGATGGGCGGCCGCGGTCAGTTCGGACTCCTGCAGGGCCAGGATCTGCGGCGTGCCCTGGGACTGAGAGCGACTGCGGACATGCTGGCTCTTGTGACCATCGAGATCCATCGAGGTGTTGCGGAGCATGTCGGGGGCATCGGGGCCGTGGGAGTCGGGGGAAGAAGGGCCCTCGTCGACGCTGGCGAGGGAGAGGTTCGACTCACGGCGGCGTCGAGATGGCGGTTGGGAAGCGGTAGAGGGTTCGCCGGAGGAGGAGGTTAGATGGTTATAGCCACTCGACCAGGAAGTCGTACGCGCGTGGCGGGCATTATTCGATTTATGGTTCTGGGACCTGGCGCTGGCAGGCATGGAGGAATGAGTATGTAAGCCGGGGCGGAGAACCGATGGAGTCCCAGAAAATCGTTCGACGACGTCAGGGTGCGACACGCCCGTTTCACGTAATTTTGGGGGGTGTTTTTTTTTTTTTCCGGCGGTTTTTTGGGAGGGGCGGGACTGGGGGTTGGGATTGGGGGAAGAACGAGACACTGCAGCGAACACCAGAGAGAGTGGAACTGGGCCGTATAATAATTGGCTGCCAAGGGAGGAGAAGGAGACTGCTAGGTCCAACAGCTGCGGTCTCGTCAATTGACGTTCACGACGAAGCGAGGGGAGGATGACGGTAGTTGAAGAGAGGGAGGGAGGGGGGGGGGGGGAAAGAGGGAAAAGAGAGAGACCATGGAATTGGCCCTCTCTATTTGTTCTGGTTATTTTACACGCTTGGCGCTCCTCTTTTTTTTTTTTTTTATTATACCAATCGACTAGGTATTGAATCCCATGGGTGCTGTCGAACTACGGAGTATAAGGGGGGGCGGGCTCATTTTACTTCCCTCTCCATACTTTATTGCGCGGTCCACCAGGACCGGGAGGGAACAAGGAGACGAGGAGAGAATGCTGACGAGTTTGACGAGGGGAGGAGGGAGGGGGATAGTGCCAGTTCGATGGGAATCTGAGAAAACGAGGCATTGAAGCTCTCGAATAGATTGCTGGATTCTTGGGGCCTGTCTCGCTCTCTGTTTCTGGCATCTGTATCAGGTCTACGAGTACGGGGAGTAGGAGCGGTGCTTTTTCCTCTCGTATCTCGCATTACCAGAATACATCGTTACCGCGTTACCGCGATACCAGCCGTACCCGCAGGACCGTGTCGTGTCCCGTCAGAGCCCCTGGGGACTGCCGATCGACAGACAAATAGCCGGGGCTTGCGACGACAGGCTCCACTGGGCCGAGTCCACGTCTCCGAGTCTTGGCGTCCGCTTTGGGCCAGCCGCGGGACGCCAGAGCCTTGCGATCTATCGACCCTCGCGACTCTGTCGCCCATATCGGAGCGTCCAAGAGCCTGATCGCGCCGACGAGATCCCAGAGAATGCAGTGCAGAGCACCGAAATAGAATACTCCCCAATCAACGGAGGTTGAGGGGGAAGGGGTTGGCGCTAACTACGTAAGAGGCCAGGCGCAGCGCCGAAGACCACACCTTTTCTAGCGCCGGGATCAACGGAAGAGAACAATCGAGAAATCCACCAAAAATAAATCAAAATTAAATATGAAAAAAATAAAAATAAAAATAAAAATAAAAATATGTAAAGACATACACACACAGAGAGAGAGAGAGGGGAGGGAGGGGGAAGACAGAGAGAGACCCGTGAACTGACTCCGGAGTACAAGATCGACTTGGGTCTAATCCACACGGTGTTTAAATCTTCAACAACCCGCAACGGACCAAACTCAAAACACGTCCCTGAGCCGTTGCGATGGGTTGAACCTGAACCCGAGCCCCATGCATCGTGTCCTCCATCTCCTCCTAGCCTCCTCATGGCCGTCCAGCCAACCTCCCGCGGCTATTGATCGCCCGCTCATCACAACGAGAGCTACAATCTCGGGACGGTCGTCGGCCTCCCTGACGTAGTCCCGTGGCTGACGATGCCCACGCAAGCTCCGATGACGGACCACTCCGAACGCTTCCACTCCGTCGCCTCCGGCAAAATGGTAAAAATCCGAGCCGCCACAAAAGATCGTCTCCTGTAAAGCCTGGTTCAGAGAGAGAAAAAGGACACAGAGGACTGAGAAAACGGATAGACGGGTCACTTCCGGCATGTCCGACTCCACGTTTCAGCTCGGTATCAGCTACAGTGCCCTAGTTTCTCTCCCTCCCTCTCCCTCTCTCTCTCTCTTTACCACCCTAAACCCCAAACTACTTAACCCAGTCCAGCGTCACACCTATCGAACATCCCCGGGGGCCCTGTGGGCTCCACGGGGGCCGACCTGCAGGATGTCACCCTACGAGGCGAAGCCAAGCCACAGACCGACCGGGGGGGGAAAGCATGGCAAGCCACTAGAAACGCGCAACGAAGCTTCCTTCCCCTCCCCCTCTCCCCTCCAATGTTAGTAGAATCTGGAATTGACGGTCGGACGAATCCATTGGTTAGGAGACAGAGAAAGAGAGAGAGAGAGAGAACTGGCGGCGATCCGCCTTCCCAAATAGGCCGGTGCTTTCCAGTCTGAGCACTTCTCCCTCCCCCTCCCCCTCGACGGGGCCCCGTCGAGGGTTCGCAAGCTCATGTATGAGAGGCGGATTGATTGCTGATCTCTATATCCGCACGGAGTTTTGTTGCTCCTCACCCCCCACCACCACCAGACCGGACTACGTGGGGTGAGACGGGGATAGGACTAATTCCAGTGTCGAAGGTGGTTTGTTGCTAGCATGTGTTTCCTGTACGAGGAGCATCGTGACGAGGAAAAAAGCGACAGCGAAGCGCCCGGGGCGGCAGGACGCGTACGGCCGCACGTCACACCTGCCAGTTGGGCCATTTAGGCCATTTGGGCCGGGTAGTTCGGCGTTGGGGAAAAGCTCGGGGTTACGTATTGTGCAGCGGTATCAGACGGGTATTGGGACGTACAGTACTGTACATTTGAGGAATGGCCCTTGGCCTCCATGCGATAGGTAAATAGTTACGTCCATATATGTACGAGGCCAGCCGCAACGCCGAGGAACCACGAGTGCAAAGCAAATGAGAGAGGGCCGAGCAATGCAAGTGAAGAAGAGACGAAAAGATGGGGGATATTTGGAAACAAGACCAATGATGTTGGGGGAAATAAATAGTACAGGGGAAGCAGAAACGAAAGAACGAGAGCGCGCGCGCGCGCCTTAATCGTTCCGTTCGCGGCCAGGACTGCGCGCTCCACGGTCAGCGAGTGGGAAGTACCGCGTCTCACCGTTGCTCACCCACCGACGATAATCCCACCAAGGGAGATCGGTCGTTCGCTCGGATGAGGCTTTCCGCTCGGCCATGCCGTTCAGCGGCTCGGATGACTCATGCTCATCCACGAAGTCTAGCTGTTCGCGACGGAGGTAGAACCGATAGCCCAGGTAGCAGCCGCCCAAGATCGGGATGGCGATAACGAGGACAAGACCCCAGATCATTAAACCTGCCAAACACAAGTGAGCCACGGGGCGCGTCAGAGACAAAAGAAAAAGGGGCGAAGACGATAGGAGGTGGCGGGGAAGGAAAACAAAAGATAAGCACCACGAGGGAAGGACGAATAACTTACGGCCATTGTGAGTTTTGCGATGATACTCCAGAACACTGTCGGCGGGCGCCGAGTGCGGGAAGCCCGAGGGATAGCTGAACATAGCGCCGTCATTGTGGTCGGGATCCACCCACGGGACGGTGTTCACGCCCGCCGGCGGAATGAACGGCTGAGCCGCGTCCTCGCCCGGGAAGCCGTAGCCCGGCGCATCCAGGCAGGTCGCGTCTTGGCAGAAATCGCGGAGCTCTGGAGACGGCACGAACGTATATTTGAGTTCCGATTGACCCAGCACGACGCCATTCACGTCCACCGCCTGCACGTGGGTCCACAGGTAGAAGCTGGCATTGGTGTACTCCGTCTCAAAGCCGGTCTTGGCCACTTCGTCCAGGAAAATGTACGGACCGGACATGTTGTGAGCGCCATAGAAGCGCCAGGTTTTGACGCGCGTGGCACCGTTCCAACTGACATAGAAGCTGGTCGGGGAGAAGGGCTCGGCGGTGCGCGAGTAGGCCCAGAGCGCGGGGGAGTCGGTGGGGTTGCCCTCCCATTCGAACTTTTGGGCGCGGTAGTTCATCACAGTGTCCCGGGCAAAGGTTGCCCAGAAAACCAGATTACCGGCCTCGTCATGTTCCGAGACATATGGGTTGTTGCCCCATCCGATAAAAGCGTTCTTGTTCGGCAACCGCTGCAGATTCCCCTGGCTGGAGCTGACAAGGTCGCCAATCCGGGGTTTATAGTCGCGAATCTGAAGCGCGGTGTTCTCCACATGGTCGATGAGAATGATCATGCCAGCCGAGTAGGTATGTGTGCGGTTAAAGCCATTGAAACCATTGTTATAGAGAGAAATCACGGAGTGAGTGGCGTTTTCGAACAGCCATCGGGCATCGTGCTGCTGCGAAAAGCTAAAGTTGATATTGCGGAAGGTGGGCTCGGCTCCATGCAGCCGCCAGATGACGGATCCATCCCGGCCGGAAATCTTGTAGATGGCGCAAGTATGCCGGGAAGAGACCAGATAGTCGCCGTCTGCGTTCTTGTCGATCGAGTTGATATGGAAATAATCCCAGGGCTCGTGCACATTCAATCCCGTGCCGGAGGTATCGGTATGCGCCGGGTACGTATAACTCATCGATGGATCGACATGGTCCAGGGAGCGCCATTCAAAGAGCACCTTGCTTGTCTCCACATCTACCTCCTGGAAGACACTTTCCATCAGCCACCCAACACCCGTCTTGACGTTCCATGGGGTCATGTCAAATTGGCGCTGCTGATACACCGTCATGAGCGCGGTCTTGCCGTCGTTGATCGGGAGGAACTCGTGCATATCGCTTGACGCCATTCCACCGCCAGGTTGTACGGAGCGCACAATCCGATATTGATTATCCAGGATGACGCCATGTCCGCGACAATATCCTTTTTGCTGATTTCCTTGGAAGAAGCACAAATGGTCGGCGCCCTTATATTTGCATACGTGCATGCCGTGGGCATTGCCTGGTCCTGAAACGCCCCATCCGCTCCATACTAGCTCCTATCGCGAAGAGAAAAAAATTCCGTCGTTAGCATGTTGCCACCGCCGTTATATCGATCAAGGGGGCGTTCGCAAGCATACCCCTTTGTTATCGAAGATATATGGGCCCGGATTCTGGGCTTCGTATGGTGTGATGAAGATATACCCTGGCGCAAGCTTGTCCGGTTCAGAATGTTCAATGTGAAAGACCGGAGGATAGATGTCGGGACGCTGTCGAGCACAGAATTTCAATTAGCCAGGACTGGACATGGGATATTGGCGATGGACAATTGGCGGGTAGGGCTGTTGACAAGGGTCCTAGACGAATGGCGTGATCTGAGGTCGGAAGGTTGATCACTTACCGACTTGAAGAAGGCCGTCTCCTCGGCCAGGGCGTGCAAAGCGCATAGTAGCAGGCCGAGTAGGAACGCGAGGGAGGGAGCGATCCTCACGGAAGGGGAGATCGTGGCGACCATGGATCCGCCTTTACATCATTCCCCCAGCGAAGGAATGAAAATTGCAGAGGGAATGGAGGTAGGGAGAGAGAAGAAGGACGGTCGACAACATGTAAGGAGGGACATGAAGAGAATCCATCCGGGTCCGCCACGGGGAGGGGAGGGAAAAGGGTACGAGTACGCGGTCCACTTTCTGTCAATCTCCGGCCTCCAGCAGCGGAGACTCGGTCGTCAGTGGATCCTTCACGGCGCGCGGACAGCCACGATTGGCGGAGGTTGATGCTGGAGAGCCGATAAAGACGCAGAGTGGATGCTTAGCTCATCGCTCCTAACCAACACGCATTGGTCTAAGGCCCACGCTAAAGAAGGGCCTTGATGCGGGGAGGTGAGAGCAACAGCGGCAGATCGGAGAATTCAGGACAAGGTATGATACTCGCCTCGTGGTGCATCAAAGCTGATCCGGGCTCTGGCCAGATGTTGGGCCTGGAGGAAGCTTGAAACGATCCCTCGAGATGCTGTTGGTTGGTAAGAAAAAAAACGGCGAAGGGCAGATCAGATACCGTGGTACGGTACTGGTAATTCGGGCTGCCCCAGGCCACGTCATGCCAGGTCCAAAGGAGGACAGAGGCGCTCAGATCGGGCCAGAAGTGTATTAATGTATTTTGTCTCATCTTTTTTTTTCTCTTCTGCTTTTTAGGCTCTCTTCGTTCGTGTTCCAAGACCAATAATTGAACAGTGGTTTGAGAATTCGATGTGGACGAGCATCTTGTCTCTCGTCCATCACTGGAAGGCCCGAGTTCGACTCGATTCGGGAATAGGCCACGTGCCGCAGACAAAAGCCCAGGCTTGGCTTATTATTAGAAGCGCCCGACCGCAGGCCAAGGACGAACTCTCATCTGCATCATTACTACATGGTCGGAGTCTGCAGCCATCAGTATAACTACGAGGACTTTCGCACTGTATCGATACATCAACCACCTTGGGGTTTGTACGCGCGGACAGCCCTTTCTGCGTCACCCCAGTCCAATCAAATCGCCACGGTGCTGGCCAGACAAGAACAAGAAAAGAAAAAAACAAGCTCTCAGCCACCACCACGGCTGGCTCCGTCGCATTACCAGCGTCATGGAGCTCTTCCGTCGTCGTACCTCCACATCGTTTGAGGTTCATTACACGCAAGTACTCACATCCAAACCGTCCGAGAGGCCCCAATCGCCGCAAACGGCCAGGGTCCAAGCCACGGATGAACCCTGACTCGCTGGCCTTGGGGTGGTGCTGCCCTGTTCCACCCAGTTCATCTTGGCGGTCCCACGAGTCCAAGTCCCAGTCGATTTACGGATGGAGGTGCAATGTCGAGAGACCTCCTGATGCTGTCCGGGGACGGAATCTGGACTCCCTCGTAGTCGTGGAGGACCTGGTCGGCGGTGGAACCAGGATCCGTCCGCCGTACCTCTCTCCATCGGAGCCGTTCGTACGACTCTTATTGTGCGCCCAGGCGCCCTTTGCCAGCGTCGTATGTTCCGACGACCTCCCGATTACAGATCAGAAGCCCAGCTGTGTCCCTTGTGCTCACGGTTCGCTGGCTTCGTCATCCATGACATTCAGACATCCGAGGCCAGCAGTCATGTCTCACAATTTAGACGCAGGCCGCGTATGTGCATCGTCACTCCCGACCACAACCCCTCCCCCCCTCCTCTCTTCGAGTAAACCACATTCCTAAAGGGAATAAATAATCCTTTAGTGCACGCTTAGACGGGAAGATAGGACAGTCGTAGAGGGGGGGAGGGGGGACGCCCAGCCGAATAAGACCTCCCCCCGCAACCTTTTCCCAGAGTGGATTAGACAGTACAGGTTTCTAGAACGCTATGCCGCTCCTGTAGAATTACTCCGAACCGCGAAAGGAAGGCCGGATAATGAGAGAGCAGAGTCTGCATTGGGCAGCCCAGCACCAGGGGAATTCAGCCAGAGGCGCCGCCACAAGCTGGCGCCAAGCCGCTAGCCCGGCCAAGCAAATATCCCTGAACCGAAATCGCCCTCGTACGAGTACGAAGTAGCCCCGAGCTGGTCTCGCTCTTCCCCTGGGCCACCCAACTCTCCTAAATGCCCTATGGGTCTTGAGTCCCTGAAATGGGGCCTAGATATGCTTGGCTGCAGAAGGATTGGAGAGGATCACGGGAGCAGAGCGATCTGTCAAAGGACGATTCAGACCGCCGTTGTTGGGCTCATGTGGGCGCTTACAATGAGAGCCATTGGGGGCCAGCAGCGCACTCGGGAGACTGGTTTCCGGCAAATATGGGGTAGATCTGAAGGCGATTAAGCCCATATGATCCTGAAGGGGATGCGGGAGCTCGTCTCTATTTTTTTTTTCTTATTTGTTTCGTTATATGTTTATTTTTGGATATTGTGATATTGCTCATCTCACTCCAGATTTCTAGATTTAGAACACAACAGGTAAGCGCGCGAGATTCGGTCGCCGAAGACTGTATACAATCTGTGCCTGCAAACCAGGGCTCAGGCGGGAAACTCCCCGCCCCTTGCGACCATAGGAATGCGCCAGGAGAAACAGGAAACCCCTGTCAGACGGTCGGCTGGGGTTGTGGCCTCCCTGCGAGCTGATGTCATGTTGTAAGGCCATTCTTGGTGACGGCGGATGCTGGAAAGTGGCTTGGCTGTGGCTCCCAAGGCCATTTGCTCCTCCACGTCACTATCTGGCATGGAATGGAGGTCAATGAATGGAGAGACAGGAAAAACAGGCAACGAAAGAAAAAAAAGGGAAAAAAACGAGTGAAATAAAAAGTAGTAGATATTTTTGTTTTGGGCCAAGTTCTGGACATGATAGAAAAAAAAAAGTAAAAAAAGTTGAATATGTACCACAAGAATTACCTGCCAAATAACAGCCTTTCACACGTTGATTGCCAACCACGCAGAGAGTGAGAAAAATAAAGGAATAATGCGGGGGAATATTATAGAGATCGGTAACCAAAAAAACGACCAAAAGCTCCAAGTAGTCACATCAAAAAGAAAGAAAACTTGTGACCACGAGGGGTAGGACTCCAACCCCCACCGTGGTGCCTGCATCACTGGCGGTGTTTCGAAGCCAAAAAGAAGAATGCCATCAAAGGGAATCAAAATGAACGAGCGTTGCATCCGTTTACCGGGAGAAGCGCTTGAAAGCCATAGTGGCAGCCAAGCCAGTGGCCAGGAGGGCACCGCCCATGGTGATGGCCTGGAGGGCAGCGTTCATCATCTGGTGGCGGTTGCGGGTGCTGCAGCGCTTGTAGAAGTCGGCCATGTCGTTGCCGCGGGGGAAGGGGGTGTCGGGCATCTCCTCCTCGAGGAACTCGCACAGAGGAGCCCAACCGTCGTTGATGTTGTACTCCAGGAGACGGTCCGCGGGCACCAGGCTGCGGACCTCGGCAACGTGCTCGTTGTAGACCTGCTTACCCTGGCCGGCGAAGTCTCCACGGAAGAAGGTCTCGAAGAACTTGTTCAGCATGGGGTAGTACATGCCAGCGGCCCAGCTGAAGTTCGAAACGAACTTGTGCTCGGGATCGCTGACACGCCAGTGAACGGTCTTCATGACGGATCTAGATGGGATCTCGTTAGCTCAATTTGATCTTTTGCGAAGAGAGAGAAAGGTCGGAGGACTACTTACGCGTGCCATGGGTCGACATCACGGGTGGTCAGAATGACCTTGGCGTTGGGATAGGCCTCGATCAGCTCCTTGGCGAAGGCACAGGCAGGCCAGTCGCACACGGCCTGGCAGTCACCCAGCAGCTGGTCCCATTCCTTGCGGCCGAACTCGCCGACGCCATGGTACTTGGCGTTCAGGGCATCGTGCCACATCAGGCAGTCCGGCGGGTTCTCAACACTGGCGCACATCATGTGGTAGCACTTGGTGTATCCGAGGCGCTCCAGAGCCTTTCGGAGAGCTAGAGGGGATCGGTGTCAGTTGCAAATGTCGGAAATGTCGTGGGCCAACAGGCGGCCAAGTCGAGCTTGAAACTCACAGGCAGTACCGGTGCGGCCAACACCGAGAGCCAGCACCTTCATGGGCACAGTGCGGTGGCACTTGCGACGGTCAATGCATGTGTCGTCGGTGAAGACATCAGTCATGGGCTGGGGAGCCAGGTTGTCGGAAAGCATCAAAGACATGGTGGGCGGCTCTGGGGAAACTGGGTACAGAATCGAACAATGGAGAAGTCTTGAGCGAACCCTGAAAAAGAGAGACAGGAGTGATGTGCAAAGAAGAAAAACAGGGGGAGACCAAGTGGATAAAAAAGAAGGGACAAGACTATAGAAAAAGTCTAGAAGGGGGAAGAGACTGATATGAAGACGATAAGGGGGAGGGGAGAAAAAGAACGAAAAATACCGCCCTGATCAGATCGAATCTCCAAGTGGGACGTTGGACATTCTGTCAGAAGCGCCCGGCGAATCAGGCGGGGCGAGCCACTTCCACAGGTTCCCAAGGGCCTGTCGCCCCCCCGCGAGTGGCGAGGGTTTCTTGGCTCCCTTTCCGTCAATCCTTTCCGCTTCCTCGTTTCGCCCTCTGATGGGTTTTCTCTGGTTGGGAGCTTCAAACGCCCATCACGGAGACGTTCTGTACAGAGGGCTGTACAGAGTACCGCGCGAAATTTATCGGGGCCGCGTACACAATAACGAATCGTACGAAACAAGCCCTTTCACGACAACCACGTTCACAGGGGAGGCGCAGACATAGACGTCACAGGCTGACGCAGGGGATTGTCAGGGGTTGTGGAGGCGGCTGGAAGGTATTGAGGTATGGTATAGACAGTACGCGTCACAGGGTTGAAATACCGATACAGCCAGACCAACACTCGAGCAGCCGGGGAGTCTCACGCAGAGAGGACATCGTGTACCGACGGCCAGCGGTAATCCAGTGGTAAAACTCCGATACGCCGCCAAGACTCCCGGACCGCGTATACCCTGACCAGCGACCAGGTCCGAGTCGTGGAGACACCTTTTGCTCGTCCTCGTCTCCATCGGCGATCAGCTAGATTGTTCCCGGCTCTTGAGGGGACGATCCGTGCCCCTGGCCGTGCTCATTGGTGGGGCTCGGCAGAGGGCAACGCGTACGCTTTGGGGTGGGGAACGCGAGGGTTCTGAAACTCGAAACTCTCGACCTTTTTTCCAGTAAAAAAAAAAAGAGGAAAAAGTCGCCAGGGTGAACCGGTAAAATCAAGAAACCAATCTTCCGTCCGCATCACATCCAAGGTTGACCAGTGGGATCCTCCCCGTTGGACTCGGTCGCATCCGTGACATTAACCCCGCCGGAGATGGCAAGACACAGCAGAGCACGGAGACACCGCTGGGATCCCGTCGGGTGCCCGTTCGATCTATCTGATCATGATCAATTCCTGCCCCAGACTCTGGACCCGAGTCCCAAATGTCCATATACGGGGTAGCAGCGCGAACAGAGCAAGCGGGATTCCGTAAGAGAAAGTACGAAAGGACCGTACCTGACCCAATCTCGTTGAGCATACGAGTGGCGTCCCGCTCTCCACCTAGCTTGCTCCGCAGATTGATTGAATGGGATGGCCGGAACGAGTCTTGCTCGTGGTCGAGACCCAGGCGGGACTAGTGTCCACTTGCCAAGAAATCCAATATGTCCTCGACCGATGATCAACGAGCAGGGCAACAGGTCGGGAGGGGTTTCTTGTTCGATAGTCCGATAATCCATCCTCGAAGAAGGGCGAGATGGGGGGCCCTGCCATCCATTGGTTTGGCTATTCGACGGAAAGGCTTGATTATTGGACCTAATTCGCCGCGGATGATACACCGCAACAACCGGGCACGAGAAATCCTCGGAGATTGCATTCTGACTTGAGGGAGATGAAGGTTCTTCGCCTGTCTGCACGTAATTAGGTCCGGATGTCCGACAGGTATTCTTTCATTCACTGGTACTGTTCGGTCAGTAGCGTCCCCGTCGTTAGAAGCGATTGATCGTCCCGGGCTGAGCAGCTGAGGGTCTTCAGGAGATGCCGTAGTCTGTAGTGGGTGGGGACGATGAGAGATGATCAGGTTGACCTGCTTGATTCGAGGATCCAGGGTCAATCCAGGGCAGCGGTGTGGCCGCTCATGCTGGACTGGACACCTTGGTGCCATTCCAGTGAGATGGTTGATGGTTGTGTACCGCGAAGTTGGCGGTGATCCGCCGTGACCCCCTTTGGCCATCGTATCTCGCCGTCAATCGGGCGTCATCGAGTCCTCAAGTAGTCTGTATGGGCACTCTATTGTTCTAGGAGAAAAATCAAGAGAGTTGGGCTTAAGGAGAAATAAATCAGGGAATTCAGAAGAATAGGGGTCTTCAGGGTCTTCCCACGCCCGAACAGCGAGCAGAGTCGTTGATATATGGCGGATGCCAAGACCTTCGTAGTGTTCGCCATCGATGAGCACGATCACCTCACGCCCCGAGCCAAGGACCGTTTAGGAAAACAGTCAGAGCTCCCGGTGGAACGAGGTTGGATTAAACATCTATGATCTTATCTGAGCTTAAGGCAATTCGAGGTCCCTTGGGCATCGTCCCCGCCATGGGCATCGACGGCAAAGATTTCGGCAGTTGAGGTTGTACAGCCCGGAGGCCGCAGGATACATCCACACGTCCCCGACCCCCCCTCAGACCCTGCCTGCCTGACTGCCTGACTGCCAGGACCCTGACTACGACGGAAGAGAATACGAACGGGATTGGGGCTTGGCGCAGCTACATTGGCTCATAATTTCGATATTTGCCCCAAAGTGATGGCCCGTGAATACCCCTTGTGGGAAAACAGCAGTAGGATAGAAGCGGAGATGAAAAAGGAATAGAATCAATAACAGAACAAGTTGGCAAATGATACACGCAGGTCCAATAGGTTCCCGCGCAGCCGCGGAGACTCAATTTGTGTACAAGATACGCCCAGAACTCCTTGCCCATGTCGGTGTGCGCTGATGCAATCCCAATTATCCCATAGAATTGGGAGTGTGCCCCTTTCCAGCTCCTTCCGGTCTCATTGCTTGATGAGAGAGCCCATCCCCGTTTTCACTTGTATTCTGTCTTACTCCAGCTTATCCAAATGCTCCAGTCGTGTCAAGACGACTTGCTTGCTCGTCTCTTCAATCTCGCCCGCGAGAAAGACCTCATCCAGAATCGCGTAGACCTAAAAGACAATCCATCCGTATCAGCATCAACAAAAGTCACCGGATATATGCCTCCCACGCCGGCTCTCTCCCCAAGCCCTTGTCGACCAGAGTTGTTCCAACGCACCTTGTAGAAGTTGAATACTAAATCCAGCTCGCACACGTTCCCAAAGAACTGGTCCAGCACCTCCACGAAGAAATGGATGGCTTCCAGATACGCAAGCTCGTTGTCGTTGGCGTCCACGCAGACGCAGAAGAACAGGCCCGCGTACCGACGGTACACAACCTTCGTGCTGCGTCGGAACTCGACAAAGTTGGATTGATATTTTTGGTCTCGGGGGGCGACCAGGCGATGCACCTGCGCGCGTTGGTGTTAGCCGGGGGCATAATTTCCGGGGACTCGGCGAATAAACCGAGGTGTAGCGGGAAACGAACTTCGCCCTTCAGCTTGACTTTTTCTTCATCCTAGAACCAGCGTTAACCTTATTGTCAAGAACAAAGGGAGATGCAAAATGGTCGAACTCACGCTGTATGGTGCGTACCACTTCGCCAGGCGCGTTTTGCCCCTATACTCAACCCATCAGCTTTGGTCGGGGATCTCATGGGTGCGGGAACACTGACTGGCGATTCTGAACCAGAATGAAGGAGAGAACCATTGTGTCAAAGACCAGGACTTCACCTGGCCAGCATCTGTAAGGGCCCTGGGGAGTGTGGAATGGGACGCAGCGAGAAAGATTCTCCGTTGCTTCCGTTATCGTGAAGCTCCCCTCCAATACTGCCTTTCTTCACCGCCCATGTGGCTCTATCAGAAGATCATGGGCGGACGCGCTACGGAGAAATTTGTGCATGGTGGAGACGTGCAGGAGAACGGAAATGAAGGGAAAGGTTCAAATTTGCTTGGAGTCCAGATCGAGTATCAAACAAAAGCCATAGAGCAAAAGCCCCCAACCTAAAAAAGACACTTTTAACTAGTATGTATAGTTTCAGAAAAATATATTTGCACAGTTGCACAGGGCTCGGACAGTATTAACAGGCATAAGGCGTGGAAATCGTAAACCTCCCGATTGCAGCTTAGTCTCAGGGGTACAAGCATTGAATTCGGAGTCGGGAGGAAAAAAAAAGACTGGGATATCATTATCGTCGGAGGGAAGCTGGTCGGTCTTGTGGTACAGATTTTGGGAGAGAAGAAGGACGGTTGAGAAGGGGTGGACAAGGTTCAGGAAGAGCTCATTCTATTGAATAGCCGGGTGAGTCGCGTCTAGATAGAATTTGTTAGCTTTACTAGAACCCTCCGATGGACACCTTCCAAAAGGTAATCAAGGCAGAAGAAAAGAAGAAGAAGTGAGAGAGAGACGGGAAGATATAAACATACCGTATAGCTCTGTGGCGTGCTCGGCTCTGTGCTCATATGGCTCTGCGATGATTTTTCATCCACATAGCTCACTTCCTCGTAATAGTCTTCTTCCTCATCCTCGTCTGATGGAGGGTACCATCGGTCCGGGTCCCCATTGTATACCATAAACCAGCCGATCTTCTCGCCCGGGGCCAGGCGATCGCGTAAGGCCTCCAGGGCCTCTGTCGCATCGTCCGACAAGCCAGATCCTTGCTCGACAACGTCTTCGATATTCAGGCCGGGGCCCGCACCAGCCGGCGCCGTGCCACCATCGGGGATGGTCACGACCTTGGCGCCGACGTATGCATAATCCTGACTGACCGTGTTGCTTGTCTCGTCGGTGGGATCGTAGGATTCGATGAAGTGCAGCTCCGGCAACCGCGGGATGAGATCGGCCTGTGTGCGCTTGAAGGATTCCACCAGCAGCTCCGTCGTCAGCGGCTGCTGGATATACTCGGCCGCAGCATCCTCCAGGTTGTGGAGGACAACATACACCCGGATCCCTGTGAAGCCTGCGCGGGGCCACCGGAACCCGTGGAGCATGTAGACGGGCATTAGGTGTGGGAGCACTCGGAAGATGTGTGCGAGGGATGGAGACGCGGAGACGCGGAGAAGAGGTTGTTGGAAGGGCTAGCAGGGTGCCAGCAGTTGAGTCGAAGGGTCGCGCGAGTTTGTCGGGTGGAAAGTTGGGGGAGAATCTGGCATATTAGGGGATTCGCATGATTGAGAGGTTCGGCTCGTGTTCTGAGGCGCTGTGATGCATCGGATTTGCGGACTGCGTTTTCCTTTCCCGGGTTGGAATGGTCCCGCTTTTAGTCTAACGGTCCGCGCGCATGAATCGTTGACACTCGCATGACACCCACCGAGGGCGGGGATGTGGTCGACGACTGAATTGATTGACAGGCCCCAGCAAGGCGGCATTGTTTGGGTCTCTTGGTTTCGCTCGGTTTCCAAAGTGCAGTGAGGTGGGGTGGGACGGGGTGGTTCAGGGATACATTTTTGATCCTGCTAGATCGCCCCTAAGGCCCCTAATGCTAGATCTAAGATCCCAGATCTCACACGAAATCCAGCTAAACTCACGGTATCGGGTATTGGGGCAAAGCAGTTCCGCCCATGTCAGTATCCCGTTTGCGCTCAAACACGGGCCTCCACGTCAAGAAATCGCCTATGGTAATAACGAAGTCGCCTTGTTAAACTGTAAAGTAAAAGCGCGGTTGAAAATCGGCCCAACTAGGAGACGGTGCAAAGACCAAATCCCACCATTTCCCCAAGAATACCGAGGCTCGAGGAGAGACAGAGATTGAGGTTGCATAATATTTGAAACACCTTGGACTCCAATATTGAGATTAATAAACAATATATCTTCACGGGCCATTAACTAACAAGAGGCAAGAAAACACTTTAGGGGTCCGCTAAATGCAAGGCTGTAAACAAGAAAAAAAAGGTAATTAAAGAAACAGTGGACATTGATAAGGCAGCAGCGGTGGCAGGTAAACGGAAGACTGCATGAATCACGGTTTTCGCTTCAAATCGGCGAATCGGCGTGTCAGCTCATCAAGCTCGGGAATCCCATTGCCACTGCTCTTCTGGGAGCCCACACCTGCCTTGTCTGGGCTACTGCTCTCTTCTTCGGACCCAGGCACCTTCACGCGAGGATGCAGATTATCGGATCGAGGAGCCGGTGGAGCAACGCTGACCGGACTACGACCGGCCGCGGGACCGCGCGGAGGAGTGGCTTTGGTCAATTCGCTAGTCTCGGAAGCGCGTCGGACTTCGGCGAGATTGGGTCGCGATGCAGCATCGAGATGCTGCTTGTGCGGAGTTGATGGAAGGTCGAAGCCTTGGTCACCACCGCCATCATAGTCGACAAATTCGGGCGGAGCCTCTCCAAGCTCCTCTTGTACATTCAAGTCCCCGCCAGCCGGCCATTCAACCCCATATGCCTTCGCAATTTCGTGCAGGTAATTCTCAACAAGTTCCTGCCCTGGTGGGCGCACGCGCAGTCCTTTCAACAATCGCTCGGGTACTTTTGCAGAGTCCACTTTGTTGTCCTGGGCTAATGTCATGAATTCCTTTCCGTATCGCTCACCGAGCATCGTGCGAAGCATGGTCAATTCACGTAATTCATGCGGGAAACGGTGCCAGGCATAAAATATGGCAACAGCTGCCTCATCTAGAGCGGTATCCATATAGACATTCTCCTCTTCGCTGAGCCCATCGCCGCCTTCTGGAGAACTACCAGACGCGAGAGACGCTGCCGTGATGGGCTCCTTCTTTTGCCCGCCTCCTAACCAAGAAAACCCAAATCTGGATCCAGATGTCTCTGACGCAACCGACGCCCCCGATATCCCTGCCTGGGTGAGGGTCTGCTTCTTGTAGAGTTCCTTGGCGCGCAACCTGGCGCGCGTCCCTGTCTCTCCGAATGCAAGCTGGTCCAACACGTTTGCACGGGCCAGCAGCAGTTCGCAGTACAATTCAACCATCTCCATCACCTCCACAGCAATATCGGTCGCGATGACATTTTCAACTCGGATGCGTGCGGACGCTTCGCGACCTTCGCTGAGAAGCTGGGACAGCTCGCGACGTTGGACAACGGATGACGCGGTGTCCTTTTTCTGAAGGAGGCGCAGGCGAGGGATAAGGAGGCGCAGATTGGAGATCAATCTAGTCTGAGAGTTCATTTTGTTAGCTTCCGGAATGCGCCTGGGGATTCCACCAACGTCAAAGCGAGTATCGACGCAACGGCAACGAAGTTCGGGATTATGAAGAGCGGTGCGGGGTAGATTCCAGGCAACGAGTTCCGGCCCAGTTATGCGGGCGTTCCTGTAATATGCAGTGATACGATAGGGTAAAGGTCACTCACAGTTTGTGCGGAAGGAGGCATCTTGGGGTGTGGTGTGTTGGTGCAATGATTGAAGGGGTGAGGGAGGCAATGTTGAAGGGAGGCGGGGAAGATTGGGGTGATTCATCTGGACCCAAACAGTCCGTCTTTTTCCCCCGCGTTGGCAGGTACACGCACACCTTGTCGTTGTATATGGCCGCCACACTCGATGAAGGAGATTCGGTTCAGGGAGATTTCCAAGTCAAAACTCTCTTGAATCTCTTGAATATTTAAAAGTGGATATATCAAACTTGCAAGTTCCTCTTCATATTGGTTCGACCGAAGTTCATCTCACTGTCTATATATATATGTGTTTGTGTCTGTATGGAAATTTAGCCACCCAACATCGCTATCGTGTCAAATATAATATAATGTGCAAAGAAATAGCATCATGGATTAGTTCTTTTTTGCATCCTTCAGCTCTCCACGCTGCTTCACCAGTTCTGACAAGTGTTTACCCGTGTCGGACTCTATTCCCGCAAAGCCTTCAATGATGCCCGTCCGATCGCCCTGGCCCATCTCTTGGCTCATCTTAAACTTGCCCCCAATACTCTCGATGGAGACCTCGATACCGATGATATTCTTCTTCATTATATCGATATACCTGTCGGGTGCATCCGATACACTCCAGGGCCCTGGCTTCCCTTGCTGGCCTGTGTGGTCCATGATCGAGGTTTCACATAACTCTGAGAGTTCATCAATCTGCTTTGATAGATACTCAGAAGTCTCTGAGGAAGACGAGTCGTAGTAAATGGTCGCTTTGCCGTATACTTGCGCTGCCGCGTAATTCCAGGTCGGCACGACTTTCCCAGTGGCTGGCTTCGTCTCAGTGTAAAACTTTGGGGTCACGTAGTGGTGATGGGCCCCCGTAAATAGAATCATCACATCGTGCTCCAGCGTCTTTGTTGAAGAATTTGAGGCCGCTTCGACCATAGCCTTGGATTGCGGGTTCTGCTTGGCCATATGGCCTCGTAGACGGCCCTTGACAGGTGCTTCCGGATCATCTGAGATGATATCTAGCACCCAGGGGACATGGCTAGACTGAAGGAAAGGAAAAGACGGAGATGAAATAGCGGTGGTGATGACACCGAGGGGATTTTCCTTGATGAATTGAAAGAGCGCCGCAATGGAAGATTCGGCGTGAACTGCTCGTAGATACATGGCTGATCGAAAAGTACTATGAGCAGACAGAGAAAAGAGGATGTCGTAGCAGTGAGTCAGTCCGACTGAGAGTCTTTCTAATTTTATATATGGATGCTCCCTCTCTTGCCCCGCTATTTACGGAGTATTTGAGGGATAAGGCTTGGAACTCTTTTCTTCCATGAGTTTTCTGAAATACGGAGCCAACGATTGGCTGTGCGCACCGAAGAACAGCCTCCCGCAGAATCCGCAGCACCCGCTCTGCCTGCCTTGCCGATAAAGTACGCAGATATTCATAGCATTCAAACTCTCAGAGGATTTTAACGTGAGATTTAATCACAGGCTCATACTGAGTGGAGCAGTGTCAGTGGCGCAATCGTCAGATTTCTGGTCCAATCAACGTCTTGGATCGATGGCCGGTTTAGGAACTTGACGGGAGTGGGTCTGCGAATGCTTCGGAAGTAGCAGACTATGATTCCGGAAATCTGGTCTGAAGAAGGTTGACCCATTAACATTAAAACAAAAACTTCGTTTTCAAATTTTTCAAATCACCAGAATCTCATTCAAATGAAATTATCCAACAGAATGGCACCCACAACCGAGAGCCACCTATCGACTCAGGCTTTACATGCAGATGATCGCTTGAATCAAGTCACTGATGTTGCGCCACCAATTCACTTGTCTACAATCTTCAGGTATTTAGATGATCCAGATGAATTAACTCTTACCGAGGATCCAGTGGTATGTTACCTTTAGCCATGCTGTTCTCTAATTCGACTTCATTATCGTAGTACTAACCATCGATTACTGCAGGCGGCATTCGACGGAAAGAACTATGTATACTCCCGCGAGTTCGCACCAAATGCCACCCGATTTGAAGCAATCTTATCATCTCTCCTCAAAGGACACGCTGTGAGCTATGCCACGGGTCTAGCTGCCCTGCATGCTGCATTGACCCTCTTAAATCCTCGCCGAATATCGGTAGGAGAAGGGTATCATGGCAGCCACGAAGTGATTTCAGTGATTTCTCGTCTTTCAGGACTGGAGAAGCTCCATCTAGACTGCTCTCCTGAGAGTTTGAATGAAGGCGATGTCATTTTGCTTGAGACCCCAATCAATCCGCTTGGCACGGCCTTCAACATTGAAGAGTATGCCCAGAAGGCACACTCCCGCGGGGCATATCTCATTGTGGACAGCACATTTGCGCCACCAGGTCTACAAGATCCATTTCTATGGGGAGCTGATATCGTGATGCACTCGGGATCAAAGTACTTTGGAGGCCACAGCGATCTTCTTTGCGGTGTCCTTGCAGTCCAGCGGGAGGACTGGGCAAAACAGCTTTTCGAGGATCGAGTAGCCCTGGGTAACGTTATCGGCAACCTGGAAGGATGGCTTGGAATTCGAAGCCTGCGCACGCTTGAAGTTCGCGTGCAGCGAGCCAGCGAGAACTCCGAAAAGCTAATTTTGTGGCTTCATCAGGGGTTGACTGGTCCATCTCCTCAGCCTGGCTCGGAAGGGTTTCTCATCCAAGCTGTACTGCAGAAAATACATCATGCAAGCCTTCAGGATGAGCCTTGGCTGAAGAAGCAGATGCCCAATGGCTTTGGACCGGTCTTCTCCATTGTATTGCAAAACGAGGAGCTGGCAAAAAGACTGCCAAGCAAGTTGAGGTTTTTCCAACACGCAACCAGCCTCGGCGGAGTTGAGTCCCTGATCGAGTGGCGGGCACTGTCTGATTCGAGGGTCGATCGAAGGCTACTTAGAGTCAGCGTTGGTCTAGAAAACTGGGAGGATCTGAAGGACGATCTGCTGCAGGCCTTCAAGGCACTGGTGGAAGAGAAGTGAGTTGAGTCATTTAACTATGTATGGTAGATCCAACTGCTCGCTAGTAATGCTTCAATTGTCAACCAAACACTGTAGACTAAAAAGTATCATATAAACCCGAACACAATTAGATCCAGAGCCAGTCCCGACCTAAGCGACCAATATCGAATATCCACTGCGACGGGGCCTGCCCTGACGCATCTGATTGTTTCCAGTAATCTTGTAATATCCTGGCGGCATTGACTGCGTTTAAACAACTAGTGATATCCCAAAATTGTTCCATACATCCGACCAGAAAGTCTCTTTGGACCTGCCAATGACATTCCAAGCCAGCAACAAATATAGGCCACAGCACGCACTTGAACAGAACATGATCATTCTTCAAAGAATCAATTAGGCCCAGGAGTTCTGAGATCACATCGTCGAGGACAGTGACCCCGCCAGTTAAAGAATCATGAATCCGTTTGCCATAAACGAGAGCGCCGAGCTTATATGAACGCGAAAGCGTGCAGAGGTTAAGGACTTCTTGAGGCGAAGGATTTCTCGACTGTTCCAAATTCGACGCCCAGGCAAAACAATCGAAGTTCTGGATCAATTCGAGCAAAGATGACGTCTCTTGCAGATGAGAAGTAGTAGCATCGTCATCGAGAGGCACGGATCCCGATATGCTGTCTCGTTGCATCGAAAGACATTGTATGGCGGTCAATATGTAATCGGGGCACCCAAGGAAGGAGGCCTCAATGGTCTCTTGAAGCTGCAACTCTTGCTGGTCGAATGTGGCGAATTGAGATAATAATTTTGGCCGTAGGAAGGTCGCACCAAGTGTCTCAATTCTGGGAAAGTTCATATTAGCCCGAAAACCCTTGTAACCCATCCCTAGAATAATGAACCCACAGCTTAATTTGCTTGGTAATGAATGCGCGAATCTCCTGCACAGTTTGTCCCGGCACGTTGTTGATACTTGCTTGAGCTCCTGGAAGTGGATATGTCGATGCAATCAAATTTTTAGCACCTTCTAAATGGAAATTCCATCCATCACTGCCGGACTCGAGAAGATCCAGAAATATCAAAAGAAAAATGCTGGCCACAGTAGTGTCCTGCTTTGATAAATTTGAATCTCGCAAAGAATGAGTCAATGCCTCCATAGCCTGATGCTTGAAAGAAAGGGCAGCTCGATTTGCACCCAGAAGTTGCGGAGACGTAGGTGTTTCAATATTGGAGAAAGATTGGCCAGTATTGGCATGGTGACGCGCGGCAAGAGCAAGAAGGGCTTTCATGAGAGTGGGATCTTTCAGGCCTAGAGGAATAAGGTTTCTAAAGGGGTTCATCTTGGTATCATAGACAATAAAAAGCTTGCAAATGCGTTCATTATCTTTCACAGACTGTCAGCTCGGTAAAGAAAGATAAAGGATGTTTGGGGAATTTCTCACAATAATCGACATAATATTTGGAACATTGATCCAATCCTGCGAATGCGGGATCCTGCATGATCAAGGGCGATGATGGCATATCAGGTGGAAAAGAGTCTGTTGTAAGCCAAAAGGTCAGCTAACAGTTGAATAATGATAACAAGGCATGCTACGTCACAGTATTATGATTGCTAAAAGCAACCCTCTAAAAGACAACCCTCCAGCTTAGCTTACCACTAGAATTAAAACTTCTTCCACATGTGAAAGAACTGTTCATTAATGACTGCTTTGATTTGACAGCACAGGTCAATTGGTTTTTCAGCTGCGGAAAAGAGGTGTTCGCGTTTCCAAAAGATCGGCCTTGCATCTTCCCGCGAATAGCCACACCCTTGACCCATCGAATAGGCCTCTTATCGAGACATTCCAGGCCAGCCTTCTGGCACTTACTGCAGGGTACTCCAGATTGATCACATTGAATGCGCCGATTGCGACAAGTGTAGCAGGGATCACAGACTGCATGGTTCATCGCGAGGGGAGTGTCTAGTGGCAAATCTTCACGTTCGATAAGGGCAAAATAGATGGGAGTCAAATGGCTTGCTGACTGAGCAGAACCGAACCCTGCGGGGCTATCCAGCTGCCGCCTCAAGTCTATAACAGAGGATCCTGAAAGCTTTCATGCTTATTTCTACCTTTCATAATTCTAAATAGATATTAACAAGGGTTTAAGTATTTATTATACTGCGAAAAAAAAGTCAAATACAGCAAGTTGTCATGCGTGCTCAGCCCTTCTCTCAAAACACAAATTTTGATACTGATGGATAGGAAGAAAGCAGAATACCTCCATCTGCGATAGTGGAGTATGTGACATAGATTTAAATTATCAATAATATTTGGTATTTTTCCGGCCAGGCTATATGCACCGTTATTCGATCTTTCATGTATGTAACTTTAATCCTGGAAACTCAGTCGTGTACCCCATCTCCTGTTTGCGTTGATGCCGTGGTGTTTTCAACCTTGCCCAAAGACCCCATGATAATATATGCTCCCCATTTGGAAAAGAAAAAAAAATTGCAACGAAAGCCCAAAACTCCATGTCCCATATTTGCGTCCAATGAACACCCGTTCTCCCAGCGAGTTATTTCAAACATTTAACTCTTCTATCGGGATGATCATATCTGGCCTCTTTGCTGTGACTGCTAACACATTCAAATTCCGCTGTCGCACCTCACGCATGTATTTTCGTTGCTCGTAGCCAACGTCTCGGAAACTGTTCTCATCGTTCCCGTGGTACATTGTCCATATTCCACATCCGATCAAAACCAGGGCCACACAGCCGACCATGATGGCCAAGACATAGAGGGAGAAGTTTGTACTTCCAGAGTCACGCTTGAGGAGAGTTGTAATGGGAGCCATTTTGTGTTGATATGTAGAGAATGACAGAATGACTTTTAACTGTAATAGGGAGGAATTGTTAGCGAATATTGCTGGCAAGTAAAGAACCCTATAGGGACAGCGCACGCTTTAGGTTGTGGATGTTTCACAAAAATGAATGAAGAGTAAAGTCAAAGAATGTATGAATAAACGAGTGATAATGGTTGAAATTTTTTTCCTGGATGATTACTCCCTGGATGCGAGGCGGGCAGGTAGATATAAGGCAGCACATGGTCGCCAATTCCTGTCCTCGCGAGATATAGCAGCCTCGTGTGTGATCCAAAGATAGGACTGGGGATTTGAAACACTACAGCCGATAAAATTGCAACTACAAACGCGGCCATCCATACAAGAGCCATTATACTACCCGAAAGGGGAATCGCGTGTCTTTTGTCCGCCGCCTATGATGTCAGAAACCGAGCGGGCCAATAGCAGTGTGTTTTTAGGTAGTAGGTGGACCCCCGAAGCGCTCAGCTAGGACTAGCCTCTCCTTTGAAATTCTCGACTAGAGCTGACAGACCACGGCATGCCCCAATGGTATAGCGCTGTGGACTCGGGGCTGGCTCGTTGAAGTCGTCGAAATGAGCCCCGTTTTCAAATCAAAGATGCGCCCTCATATGATTCTCGCTAGCTACTGTGATTTGATGATTTGTGCTGCATGTGCCCCAACCTCAGCTTTTGGCCCCCAAACTGCTTCTAATAGCGGCATAGTTAAATGTCAATGTAGTAGGATACGGTATCGGCTAGGAAAGCTAGGATCCAATGGAACGAGATGCTCAATATAGTGATGTATTGGTTGACTGAACTATCTAAGTGTATGGGCGGGGGAATGTTGAATATCCCCTACCTTGCTGTCTAGCGTGTTACGGCGCTGGGTTCCGAGTATACCCGGGATACTATACAAAACACGTAGCAAATCGAGTATCCCTGTAATATCCTAACGCGCATGGAGATATGTGGGTCTCGCCCGTATTATGCAGTCTTCCTTCTCGACACACCCCCTAGGGATAGGCGATTTTACAATCTTCTAAATCTTCGATTTCCGGCGTCTCCACGAATCAACCTCTATTTCCTATTTAGGAAATCTTCAACAGCGTTTCAATGTCTTCCATCCTAAGCTAGTTAACGAATGCTTTATATCGCTGCCGGGGAAGGCTCTTAGTAAGGCTATCAGCAATTATGTCTTTCGACTCGACCTATCTAACGGCAACACGTTGTGCCTGAACCTCCTACCTTAACTAGTGCTAATAAATATTAATATATCGGAGCTTAGTCTTTAGGAGAGGCGTCTCCTTCGTTAATAGTCCGAGCGTCTACTAGTTATTATAAGTGATAGTAAGTAGATATTAAGGATCGAATCTAATTGCTTTGTATAGGCGCTTCTATATCGTAATTAAACGAGCGGCTTCTAATATAGCAAGCAGTTCTGCTTCGGTAGTGCTAGTTGTTACCGTCTTTTACTTGCTAGCCTTCTAGTTAACCGGTCCTCTAAATATTGTCCCGATATACCCCTGCGAGCTCTTGCGATCCTATATATCGGCGAATAATGTATCGCTAGCGAAGCGTATAGCTTCCGAGTTAGCGTTATTGCGTAGCCGGTATACGATAGCGAGAGAGCGAGTATAATAGAGGTATATAATAACTTGGTTTACGGCGGCGAGGTATTCTAGTCCGGGGTTCTTAAGGAATTAAGCGAGTATAGCCGTCGCTTTAGCGGTATCTAGTCTAGATATTATTATCGCGTATTAGGCGCTTCCTACCTTCTCTTAGTATTCTTTGACTCTGTAATAATTAGCTATTCCTATATATTTAGTAAGCGTTTGTATAGGTAGTAGTATAGCAGGCTTCCTACTATCGGTAAGATAATATTAGGTAGCTATAGCGGAGATATAGGAATCTTGACAGAGCTAGAGTACTTTCTATAATCTATCTCGAATAATCCTAATCCTAAGGAACTATGAAGCTTCTCCTATATCACGGAGCTCCTATTAACGGTAGAGTGCCTAGTACACTCTCTTTGCCTATTCTCGCTATAAAAGGTAGTTCACGATAATTATATCGTTAATATAGAAGATAATAATAATACCGTCGTCGACGAGTATATAAAGGTTATCCTATACGATTTTAAATCTATATTATCTTATTCTACGACTTACTTCCTTCTGCTATAGTCGAGGAGATTTACGTAGCCCGTAGAGTGCTTTCTTAAGCTTCTAACTAAGTCCTACGCGGCCGAAGCCTTCCGGTAACTTAGTATAGACTTCCTTATCGAGTAGACTATTTAAGAATATGTTAATAGCGTTAAATTACCGAGTATTAAGGTTAAATACTATAATAAGAGAGAGTACTACCCTAGCAGTTCGAATAGCTAGTGTAGCTAAGTACTTCTCCTTAGTAGTTATAGTTTAAAGGTCTCCACGGATATAGATCCGAGCCTTTAGCTTCTTAAGATATCTATCGCTATTATATTTATATATAAATACCTATTTTAATAGAAGAATCTACTTCCTAGTATTACTCGGACGTCGTACGATCTCGTACGTTCCTTTATCTTCTAGTATCTTGATTTTATTATTTGCAGCTTATAAGAAGCTGTCTCTAAATAGATAGTTTATTATCTCTTTCTATCCTCGAGGCTCTAGTAATAGCTTATCTCGGTAGTATCTTAGTTAGTCGATCCGGCTTTGATAAAGAGCTATAGCGAATACAGCTAGTATCTAAGGTATATCTCTATCGTTACTATTATCGTTGATAGCTAGATAAGTAACAAAGTTATCCTTGAAGCGTGCTCTTCGCTTCCTACTTCCTTGTACGACGTTTTCTAAGGTTATATCTCCTACGATATCTCTTAGAGCTCGCTCGGTATCGTTCTTAGTCGATTCTAGCTCGTTTTCGATTAGGGAAAATGCTCCTAGTATTATTTACGGTAGTTCTAGTAATACTAATAATATTTCTATAGCTTACTATAATAGATTTAAAGGATTTAGAGATAGAGAAGAATAGTAGATAATAGATTAAGGTATTAGGAGTGAGGCCGTAAGGTCGTATATAAGTTACTCTTCTAGCGTACGCTCTCGGCCTATTTACTACGAGCGTTTACTATAACTAAATCCTGCCTCCTAATTAGTTAAACTAGAATTAGTTTACTTAGTTTATATCTCCTAGATATTAGATATCTCTATTAGCTTTAATACTTTATCCTTATCCTCTTTAGCTTTATTAATTTCTAAAATAGGAAGTCGTTCTAATATATCTACAGGCTTAACGGTATCCTACTTCTTATTATAGAAGACCTTCTTATTAAATACAATATCTCTCGCGTCCTATACGAGTCCTCTTTACGGTATCTAAATACGCTAGATATTCGATACAGTATAGCTAACTATATAACTAGTCTCTATTCTCGATACTATCTTATCACTATACGGTATACTCTGTCTCTTAATATACGTACGGTATCCGTATAGCCTTAAATTCGTAAGGTTTAGGCGTATCTTCGATAATTCGGAGTTAATCTAGGCATAGGCCTCTTACCACGGTATAATCTACTTCCCGTCTAGCATTTTAGTAGGCGATCTATTTAATATATAAGCTATATAACGAGCTATTTCTAGCTATAGATCCTTCGGCAGCTTAATATCAAGTAAGAGTGCTCTTATACCGGTTGTTATTACCCCCCTAGAGCGTTTACTAAAAGAGTTCTATTCTAGTATACCTACAATACTCTATTTAATAACGAATCCTATATCCTCGAGGTATTCCTTAACTACTCTTCCTACGGAGCGTTTATAATTATATCGAAAGGCCTTTATCGGAAGGTTCTATTATATCTTCGCGAGTATATAGAACTTCCTAACAGCTTCCTAGTATTTATTCTTCTTCTAATACGTGTATATAACGTGTAATCGAATACTATCAAGATAGAAGTATATAATCTAGCGATCCCTATTATAACTAGGTGTGATTTAGATAAGGTTAAAGTATACTCGGCCGAATCTGCTATACACTTTTCTATTTAGTCGTCTAGATATTTAACGCTTTGCCTTTGCTTACTAATAGACCTCGTATCGTTCAGGATTATCTTCAGATTTCGAGTCCGGTAATATCTTAATACCCTCGATAAGCTCCGGTAGCTTCTCGACTTTTCCTTAGTAAGTATACTCTAAACGTCGATACTAAATATCAGCTTTCGCTTCTAATACTAATAGCTTCTCGCTATAGCGCGTTACTATCGTGAGATCCTATTATAACGGCTTCGTAAGAGCGAATAGCCTACTATAATCTTCGAGTATTACCCTCGTCGGAATAGATCCCTTATAATATATTACTCCCTTACTATTATTCTATCGGAATCTAAGCTTCCTAATCTTCGAATAAGATATTAGATTCGTGTAGAATTTAGGCGAGTATTAGATATCTCTTAGACGTAGTTTAAGCTAATTCCCTTGTCTATTCTATATTATAATAATAACGTTACCTCTTCTAAGTAGGTCCGTATAACTATTACTAGTTTTAACAGATTTATTCGTCGCCTTAAACGTTATAAACGCTTCACGATCGTTGTATATATAATACGTGCTTCCCGAGTCTAGTATCTAATAGTTTAATAAAGGATAATCGGCTTACGGTGTATCGGAGAAGAAGGATATAGCTAGTATAGATAGCTAAGGAGTCTCTTATACCTCCGACCTTAGCTGTTCTATCCTTACTCGCTTACGGTTATTAAGCTTTAGTATCTCCGCTTCGACCTTATTAACTTCCTCTTTTTTCGGCCGAAAAGCTACGGTTCTTATAGCAGGGTTAATAAAGGGGTATTCACTATACTAGTAAATCTTCCCGTATACGTATTTAGCCGGTCCCTTCTTATTCCGATTCTATATAGACGTTGTCGTCGTTGGTAAGGCTTCTTCCTAATTATTTAATATTGCAAATAATACCTTTAAACCTCCCTTTCTAGTACTTGCTTATACGATCGTACGTCGTCGAGTACGATATATAGCTATAACCGTATAGAACGTAAGTAATTCTTTATTCTCTTTAAGGTCCCTTAAGTGCTATATAATAAACGTATCGTCCGATAATAGTAGCGTATCTAAGAAGTCTCGAATAGTATCTTAATTATCGATATAGTCCGGCACTTTAGCGGCTTTGCACTTTCTAAATAGCGCTTCCTACTTACTAAGGATATAATCCTATGCTATATCTTTTAGTGATTAGTAGAGTATTAATCTCTATACCTGTCGGAGCTCCTAGCGTCTATTAGACGTGTCCGGATAGAAGATAGCGGCGAGCTTCTAGAGCCTAAGTCTAGGTCTATCTATTCCTACTACTAAATAGCGTGCTTCTATTACAATTAACTTTTAGATTAGGGTATCCACTCTAGCTAATACCTTCTTTAAGTGTTGCCTTCGCGTTTCTTATCGCTCTATATACGAGATCTCTATATTCTATTTACGGATCTATACGTCGGATAGCGACGAGAATTCTCCTAGAGGATCAGGTTCCTCTAACGCCGGCAGCAAGGTCTTAATATCCTTATCTAATATATCCGGATTCAGGTAATCCTAGATATCTTCGGCAATAGCTGCTGACCGAATATAGTCTATCCAGACCCTCTACTACGTTTCCGACCGAAGCTTCTCTTCGAGCGGTAAGACCGAGTCTATCACCTTTAAATCTTCTATATCCGAAGCCTTTCCAAATAGCCTCTGTTTCCTAATCGGGAATATGTAGTCTCTCCGTTAAGATTCGGACTATAACACTAGGCGTAGCCGGAAGGTGTACAATATCGCTAGCGATACTCGAATACTAACGATTCAGGGGTTCCAACCACTCTGCCGTGTTAATAAGCGCTATACAGGTGCGTGGGGATTATCTCTATTTAATCCTGACGCGTGCGGATCGGGCTTATAACTGTCAATGTAGTAGGATACGGTATCGGCTAGGAAAGCTAGGATCCAATAGAACGAGATGCTTAATATAGTGATGTATTAGTTGACTGAACTATCTAAGTGTATAGGCGGGGGAATGTTGAATATCCCCTACCTTGCTGTCTAGCGTGTTACGGCGCTAGGTTCCGAGTATACCCGGGATACCATACAAAACACGTAGCAAATCGAGTATCCCTGTAATATCCTGACGCGCATGGAGATATGTGGGTCTCGCCCGTATTATGCAGTCTTCCTTCTCGACATTAAATCAAAAATCAGGGAGGTGGTAAAGCAAGCCAGAACCTTGTCTACAACTAGCATTTGGTCCCGGCGGAGTGCTTATTCTAAAATAGAAGTCTCCACTGGATTTCTACCGAGTCAAACATTGGGTTAGATAACCTCTACTGCTAGGGCTACACTGGCACAACCCACGATCGCAAATACTGTACCTTGGCTTCTAACAGTTCCCTTCTCGCAGAACCAATACCATGAACCAAAGCCTATGTAAGCCTCAAGTTGCGGGTTGCATCTGATTTTGGGCCCTTTTTTTGATAAAGCAAGCAAAATTTGAATCAGACTCATGCTATGCTACTCCATCATTCCCTACTGCCCTAAACAGAATTATGCCCCATAACGGCTCATAAGGGATAAATTGATGATTTCTTCTAGAATAAGTGTTTTGATTGACAAAGTGGCACCTAGCATGGGTAAACCAATGATGAGATACGATACTATTCTTTTGAACAAGTACCTCCCAAAATCGAGGCTGGATATGAGTTGCGCCATTAAAAACCAGAAAATATATGGTCACGAGTATCTCTTGAGCCCGGATAGGTTCGGGACATAGATCCTACCTAAAACCTTTAGTCAAGGAAGTATGTTGTCGAGAGGCCGAGTCGTACTGTCGGATAATGTGGATGAGTGAGATTCATCGTGGGTTTGAGAAACGAGTATAGACTTGAATTTTTCAGCTAAAGGAATAAGCGTGAAGGTATAAGATCGGCTCTCGAAAAGTCAATAGTAGTGGTGATAAGCTCTATTCTACTTCCAGTAAGAAATTATTTCCCAGGACCCCGCGGGCCACTGACAGAATATGCATCATCAAAAACAAGTAGTATAGATTTAGAAACCATTTTCCTATGTCCAACCAAAGACCCATCCGAACTCGCGCGGCTCAAAAAACATGACCGGTCGTCGAATGTAGACCAAAAAGACCCAATGCAAAGCACACAAACAAAAAGGGTAAAAAAAGTGGATATCAAAGAAGCAGCTGTGAGATACCAGCGGATGATAAGATAAAGAAGCAGTGCTGAGGAGCCAAGCCAAAAAGGGATATAGATAAGTCGTAAGCTGAAAAATGGCAACGTTGAATGTCGTCGTGATAAAAGATCAGTCCATATCAAGGGATCCGGACCGTAGAAGAATTAGAAAAAGGGGGATTGAGAGAATCGAAGATTAGGCGCAGAAGGAATCAGAGATGCATATCTGCAAGCGGGGGAGAATCCGCAAGGGAGTCCAGGGATGTCTTCGCAAGTCTTCTATACACTTGCGAGTCATATAGAGCGTCCACTACCACTCAGGCCTAGTTTAGAAGTTCATGACCATAGCAGCCACAGCACCGAAGATCACGGTCATCATGGAGACAGTAGTGCTGGTAGCAGCGCCGGTAGCAGGGGATGAGGAGGAAGCAGCGGCTGAGCCAGTGCTCGAGCCAGTGCTGGAGGCAAGAGAGATCTCCGCAGAACCGGTCAGGACGTGGGGGCGATAGGTATAGCTCATAGATGGACTAAACTTCGGCAATTGAGTGGTGGAAGAAGACCCAGTGGGCTGCTCGGTGGAGCTAGAGGTGGCAGGGATGGTGGGGGTCGAAGTTGAAGTGGAAGTCGAAGTCGAGCTGGTAGTCGGGACCTCAGTGGGGGTTGGGGTGGGAGTCGAGGTTGAGGTGCTGGTGCTCGAGGTAGTGACTGTGCTGGTAGCAACGGAAACAGTCTCGCTCGAGGAGCTGTCACTGTCACCACCGACGTCGAAGACGACAATGTGAGCCGTGGAACCAGAGGGAACAGTGACAACACATCCAGTAGCACCACCAGCACCAGTGAAAACGTCCGGAGCACTCATCTCGTTAACAGCCATGGTGGAAGGATCGATGCGGCAAGGCAAACCGTTGCAGCCGTCGCCTTCACACTCAATTTCGATACCAAATGAAGGTTTGACATCGCGGAAGGGGGTGGTAGTCTCGAGGTAGATAGGATTCCAGCCAATTTTAAGGTATGTGTCGCCGTTGGCAACGGTGTTGGCACCAGCGGTGAAAGGCGACCAGTTACCAACTGGATTGGCGTTGGTACCCCAGACACAACCTTCCTCAGCAGTGACACCGGGGGCGTTCACGTAGTACTGAGCAGCAGTCTCACACCAGTATGACATACCAGGGACGGCCAGAGTGCTCAGCTCTTCAACCAGAGTCGGGATCAGCATAGCCTCGTTACCAGGCAGAACAGTCTGGCAGAACGCGACAGATTGGCTGGCCTTATTCTTAGCCATAACGGTACCGGAACCATCCTGACAGTAAGGCTTGCTGGGGAAAGGCTTCTGGATGTTGCCATCCTCGTCACAATACAGACCACCATTCTATAGGACATGTCAGTTAATATCCCGCCCTACCCCTTGCATACGACAGGTGGGCCAAGCATCAAACTTACCATGGACATGGGGTAGCTATAGGAAGTAGCCTCGGGATCCCATTGCATGGAGACCTGACCGGGAGGACAAGCGTAAGGGCAGTAGTTACCCGGCTTGCAAGGCTGGTTGGGGCTCATTGCCCAGCCAGCGTTCTGCTCGTTCGGAGTGATGGAAACCAGACCAGCATCGGTAGGGAACTGGCATTGGCCGCTCTTCTTCTGAAGGGTGTTGTCTGCCGGAACGACACGGGCTTCGTGAACGTGTCCATGGGAGTGGCCATGGCCGTGGTGAGCAGCCTCGACACTTGCAATGAGGGCGACAAGTGCGGCTGCACGGGCAGGAGTAATTTGGAACTTCATTGTGTTGATATTTTGTGTGGTTTTCCCCTTGAAAGATATTGGCAAAAGAGTGTATATGCGGTTAAGGATCAAACGAATGACTGGACTTGGCCCGAGGGCGCGTTGAGGGGACACAAAAGCTCGCAGAGAATGAGGTCAAAGGAGAGAAAACCGGCCACAGAGATGGGCAGCCCGGCCAGAAAAGGGACTTCAGCGAACGGGGCCATGGCGAGTCCGGGCGTACCAGGCCGCGACCGCGGTCTCTGAGGACTAGGTCAGCATGGAGTGACGGCACTAACTCGAACAAGAATGGGATCGCAGATGTGTGCCGCTGGTGGAGAGGCCTAACACCCATCTGGGGCGGAAGGGACCCTGACTGGCCCCGTCGACGACCCTGATGGAGCCTGGCTTCCTAATGAGGAACGCTCCGCGAAGCCCCGGGGTGTATCTTTGGGGGTCATTTGGGACATTTGGAGGGTCTGCCAGACACGAACGAGTTGCCAGGTGCCCCTGATCCAATCCTGCTAGTGAGAAAGCCATCTGGAGCCCCTAAAGCCCTAGCGTCAGGGGCAGCACATCTGTCACCCAATAATCATGCACGATACCCCGGTGGTTCCTGCTTGGCGGGCGGGGAGGAACCAATAACCTTATAGAAATTTCAGTGGAGTGGACCCTCTGTGAACCCTTGGGCATTGGAGCCTCGTTTGGGGGCAAAACACGACGGTTGCGACGCTAGAAATCTGGAGATTTCCGAGAGGCGAGGATGAAGAAGCGGATCAGAAGTTGAAGGTGAGGAAAGGCAGACTCGAGGCGGCTCCCGTGATCACGACAAACCCCAAGTCGATTCTCATTCTTCCTTCAATCTTCCATCGGCTCGAACTACTCTGTATTAGTTTGATTATTTCTGCTCCGCCCCTTTCCCCCTTACGAACTGCGGTTCTTCTTCTCTAGTGCAAATAGTTCTTGCAAAATAAATTAAGCCCCGGCCAGATTGAAACAAAGGAAAGGCAACGTTCACCCCACATCAACCGTGGCCTCCCGAGGTGCACATGAATCCAGCGTCGGCACCGACACCCTCTTTTTCCTATCGTTCCATGGCCCTCCCAGAGAAGCTAATGTGCGAGGCCGTCAATCCCAATCAAACCTTTCAGGTCGCCCTGGTTCTAGACTGGTTGATCGTCCTAGAGCTCATGGCCAGGTGATCCAAGGCTCAGCTAATGACAATCCGCGTGTGGCCCGGGCCCGACTTCCGTGACCCAAGGAACCAATGTGCGGGTCAAAAGCCCCAGTGCGAATGCACATCGTTCATCAGTGGATTCGTACAGCCAAGACGGCAAAATGCCAAGGAAGCCTTCAGAGCACACAGCGCTTGGTCGTTCCTGAGCTTGTCGAAAGCTTGGCTGTAGACAGGGCCAAAGACGTTGAAACAATCTGGCTATGTGAACTATGTGAAACCAGGCTCCAACAAGCTTCCATGTGGGCATTTAGGCATTGAGTTGACTTGTGCAAGAGATCTCAAATCGTCTTTCTATTCCGTACCTTGTTCGACGTGCCATTGGGGGCTGTGAACATGGTTTTGGAGAAGATCATCAATCATCCTAGATCGAGTAATGTGTGGATATTCTCGCTCTCTTCCTAGGGGAAATAAAGGCTTAGGACTCCAGTCAAGTCGAGTCGGCGACACACCCGGTACCGAAAAAAAAAGAAACGGCTACCTCTGGTTGGTGCATTGCCTCCTCTCTTTGGATTGAATTGATCAGGAATCAGGATACTAGATTATATAACGGGCTATATGGAAATCGAAGACTCCCATGGATGCATTATAATATGCCAACCATGTTGACTAGACGGCCACGTACAATGTATATATGAATGCTTCTACCGGCAATGGAACTCCTGGAATGGGGGCTTTAATGTCACTAAAAACGGCTGTGGAGCTTCAAGGACTACCTTCAAATGGAGACTGTGGCAGGAACGAAGTAACGAAGTACACCAGCCCCAGCTCAATATATCAAGAAATAGTCAATGCGATCCCCTGGATGCTATTTCTGTGAATTGCATTGGTACAGCTTCAATTTTCCCACGATTTGTCTTAAAAACGACTAGTTAATCTTAGTCAGCATTATCACAGCCTCGTCGAACCTCGATGATTACGAAGCTCGATTTTGCGATTTTTAGCATTCGAATGTTAGGGCATCTGTGGTAAACTTTGTATGACGGACTCCATGAGGATTTGAGAGACAAGTTGAGCTTCAAACGGGTCGATCTGCATCACTGAATCTCTGCGCTGGGATGCCGCCGATGCCTCCGATTTCCAAGACGTGCCTGAGCTGTGCAAATTCGAAAGTTCGGTGCATTCGCACCCCAGAAAACCCTCATGTTTGTACCCGGTACGGGTTCCAAACATAAGATAGATGGAATGAACAACTGTCCTAACCAGAAATGCACAGGTGCCTGCGTCTAGGCAGAGAGTGTGCATATCGCCAATCAGGCCGACGCTTCAATGGCTTCCAGAAGGACCGGTGAGCATTCCACGCCCTTACTCGACGATCGCATTTTTACTTGCATGATTCATCTATAACTAGGAAAATTGAGGCGCTTGAGGCTCGCGTTAAGGAGCTCATGGCCGACCGCATTCCTTCAGAAACATTGGCAGCAGCGTCAAGCAGCACGCGAAGCGCATCAGTAGCAGCAAGTGATGATGAAGATAAAGATATTATCGACCGAGGCTTCCTCTCACTGCAAGCGGCCGATCGATACCTGAAGGCATTCAAAACTATCATGACTCCACATTTCCCATTCGTGGTTGTGGCTCCTTCCATCTCCGCTGCTCAGCTTCGGCAGCACAATCCATTTCTCTTCCTAGCGATCATAGCCTCATCATCGTATGAGGATATGCCGCTGCAGCGGTCACTAGGGGGGAAGTCAAGAAAGCCGTTGCGTCTCGAATGATTCTCAATGCGGAGGTCTCCTTTGATTTGCTGCAAGGGCTACTGGTCTTCTTGGCATGGTAAATACGCTGAGGCCCCTTATTATTGAAAGTGTGCAATCCTCACGCGTCTGATTATTGATATGACAGGTCTCACTATCACACAAAACCTCATCGGTATACTCAATTTCTGCAATTAGCCATCAGTCTCATCATAGAGCTGCGACTTGATCGGCCTCCAAATACGCAAACATGGAAAACTAAGATGAAGTTTGCCCCTCAAGACACCTTGGATGATAACTTGACATGTAGTCGGCCGTCATGGGGTAGCGCTGAGAGGCGAGCGGTGGTCGGTTGCTATTATCTGTCATCGTCGTGAGTTGCTCTTATCCCCCGGTTGGGATCAGCAGTAAGTTGATCGCTCGCTCTCGCATCATTCTAGGATTGCAGTTCTTCTTCAAAAACACTCAACCTTTCATCATACCCCCTATATCGATGAATGCTGTCAATTCCTTCATGATACGAATGAGCATCCTCATGATCAATATATCACACCTCTTGTTCAGCTGCAGCATATCGCTGAGAAGATAGATCGTCTTTCTACAAGTCACAGACAGGAGATGATGGCACATGGGTCGGGGGCCGAGCTTTATGTGAGCAATATAAAAGCAGAGCTTGATAGCTTACAGAATGGCCTTCCCTTGAATATTGTTGATATCCGTGCGTTCCAGGTATTTTTCGACTAGACTGGAGCTGATTGGGTTGCTAAACTTTCTTCGCAGCACTCGTGGCGATTCATTTCCACGCGACCAGACTTTGTCTATTCCAGCTCGCCCTTAATTTTCCGGGCCAAGAAATGGATTCCGAGCTTGGAAGCACTCAATATTGGCGAAACGAAATGTCCTGTGCGGCTATCAATGCGGCTGAATCAATCCTTGCTCTATACATCTTCCTCCCAACTAACTCAGAACTGAGTTTCACAAATACTCAGTGGGTGCAGTTGGCCTTTGCCATGCTCATTGCGTATCGGCATACTGCCATGGTCTCCAAGCCAGAGCAAACTGCTGCGTTTTGCCATACACTAGAGAAAATACAGCAGCGAGTTAATGCATTATCAACTCCCTATATGGATCGAAATGGCGACCGAGATGTATTTTTTTATTTCAGAAAACGGGTTGATCAGATCCAGGGACAGGTAAATGGCGCCCGAAAGAGGGAAGGCCCATCAGGTGAATCTAGGGAGATCGGCTCACCTGGAAATATTCCTAACACTTTTGAAAGCGGACCGGACAATGTAACTACATTATCATCATTGGATGATATTGTCTTGCCCATAGATGAGACTTATGACTTCTTACAAGATTTTTTGTTCGACGCCTCTATAGAGCAGATCATGGGTAACTGGGTCTAAAAGGATAAATAGAATAAGAATGAAATCATGCCATTTTTTATGACAGTAGATAAGATTTCTCCTGAACCAAATCTTATATGACTGTGAATGGTTGATGAACGCCTAATATCTTTTATGACTTCCTTGGTGAGAATTTCTTTCTGAAACGTGGTTAACCATCTAGCCGTATCTTCTTTCACAAGCATTTCGTGAAGATAATAAAATGTGGACTATATAAATATTTTCCTATATGCAGAAAACTGACCTTGAGGGTTGCGAATTATCTCTTTAGTTCTCAAATAGGGTATAGCTGTAAGGTGGAAAAGGGAATGGTGGCAGTGGCATTGTAGTTCCTTAGGCCCCTGCCATGTCCGACCCGACCTGGCCCCACTCGAGGTGAGAAATATCGCCGATCCGACGACGTATGTAGCTAAGCTAGGTTTGGACAGCACTATAAATGAATGTTCTGGATTTATTTCTTAGAATGATCTGTGTACCTTCAGTTTGTGATTGTCGAATAGAACTTCAATATGGTTTCATCCGTCGCTGTTTTTGTAGCTCTTGTTCTTCTAATCTCTCCAGCTCTCTCTTTCACACCATGCCCACTGCTTGGGCTTGCTTACCCGCCATTTAGATTAGACGTCAATGACACTCTCATTTCGAATTCCCTGAAAAATTTAACGGCAAAATTTGATCAGCTCGTTAAAACCAACACAGGGCCCAATGGGGATATATCACCCAACACGACGTTCAGCATTGCGCTTTTCTCTTCAAATAAAGGAGACAGCGGGAATGAGCCATTCTTCTGGCAGTATCACTACACCTCTCCTGAGTTAAGCTCTGCCAAAAATGTTACCAGCAGTAGTGTTTACCGGATCGGGGGCCTAACACAGATTTTTACTGTTTGGAGTCTCCTTCTCATACAAGGAGATCGAATCTTCAATGATCCAATTACTAAATATCTTCCGGCTCTAGCTAAAGCCTCAATAAAAGATACGATTATAAGCCATACTCAATGGGATGAGGTCACAGTTGGACAACTAGCAAGTCATATGAGTGGCATTTCTCGAGACTGTAAGTTTGATCACCGATAACATTGCATTAGAAGGGGAAGATTTCGACTAACGCATACAAAGACTGTGCAAGCGACTTGGTTTTCGAAAAGGGTTTCTCTGAAGCTGGGCTGCCAGGTCACTCCTCTTTGCAGTTACCATGCTGCGCTAACAATACGCACTGTAGCCCTAGCGGTACGATCTACTTAACCCGCTGTTCACCTCAATGTCTTACCCGATTTCCCAGACTTCATTCAACATATTGCGGCTAGGATTCCGGTGGCTCTTACCGGCATGACGCCAGCTTATTCAAATATGGCATTCCAACTTCTTGGCTACGTGATAGAAAAGAAAAGTGGAATGACTTTTGAAGAAGTAATCCAGCACTATATCCTGAATCCATTGGAAATGAATCAGACCTCAATTTTTGCCCCCAAGAACCCTGTCCATGGTGTTATTCCCAGGAACAGAGTTGCTAGTGGCTGGTCAGCTCGCACTGCAGGCTCTGAGGCGTGAGTTTTCATCTGATAATCTCAGCAGGACTATGCTATATGGGATCTGACATGCCTTTCTCGAAAAAAAAAACAGATCTACATCCATGTTCTCAAGCGCTAGAGACCTCGCAATTGCTGGGAAAGCTATTTTAAACTCAACCTTACTGTCATCCGCTCAGACTAGACGTTGGCTGAAGCCTGTTTCTCATACTTCCAATCCGGCCAACTCTATTGGCGCACCATGGATCATATACAGTGGCGGTGACTACCCAGATACCTCGATGGTGGATGTATATAGCATCCTCAGCAACGAAGGTAACAACGAGGGCCTCTACAGCTCGTATCTGGGTCTAGTACCCGATTACAGCGTTGGCTTTGCTATTCTTTCGGCCGATACTGTCAGTCCTGCTGATTTGAACGCACATGCGGACTATATGGAGGTCATGTTGGAAGCTGTCATGGAGACGGCGCTGAAACAAGCTGCGAAGAACTTCGGTGGTGCCTACGTAGCCTCGGGGCTCAACTCGTCGATCACCGTGATGTGGGACGGTTTGCCGGGTCTGTACATCGAGGACTTCGTAAGCAATGGCATCAATTTTCGCGAGACTCTGGCCACACTTACCCATGTTGCGAACGCTACGGATTTGAGTATCCGTTTATACCCAACCGAGCGGGTTGAGACAGACAACCAGGGCTCTAAGCAGGCATTTAGAGGAGTCCTTCAGGACAAGACCGAGCTTGCCGACGCTGGGACTCCCACCTGTGTCTCATGGATGGACCTGGACAAGCTCCGATATGGTGAATACGGACTGGATGAATTCATTTTCAATCTCAATGCCGAGGGCCAGGCCGTTAGTGTCGAAATTCCGGCATTGGAGATGACCCTAGTGAAGAAATAGTGATTTCTTTGTCACTTTTTATGTCCACGTTTAGAATGTATACAGTAGTTTCGGAGCCTTTGTCTTCATTGGTTTTGTTCGTTATTTTCATTTGTTGAGTTTGATATGTATCAGACCTCATGGGCCTGGCTGAGCCTGAAGCGTCTTCCAGCTGTTGAAGATCGAAGCGTCATCTCTGTCTCTCCAACCCCAAGCAATGCAATAATGTCGCGCAAGCAGCTGCCACTCTTCCATTTCATCCAGGAACTCGAGGCTAGCGACCCGCTCCTTCTCCTCCTCATTGACCCAACGCTCCCAAATGAAATCAATATCCGCAGCAGCCTGGCCGCTTCTAAAGCCATGGGAGTGCAAACGCGCCCGCTGTGCCTCCAAAGAAGAGAACTTATTCAGTGTCTGAAGCTGGATCCCGCGCGCTGCGAGGTTGGAAACCATTGTCCGACCGAAGGGATCATCAGGCCGAATAGGTTCATATAAAACTAAGCCAAGAGGAGGGATCGCATGTCCGGTCTGGCCGGGGCTAGATGAAGGAGTCTGGCTGAAAACATGTTCAGTAAAGAAGGTGACCACTTGAGCCGCCTCGGTAGGAGAAAGATAAACCAGGCAGCATTCTGAAATCAGCAATGTCGGCAGGCTTGTGTCCACACCGGGTAGTATCGCGGCAGGAGATGAATCCGACGAGAGAGACCGCAAGTCTAGTGGATGGATGTGGTATGAGGGCGTGTGCAGCGCATCGCCTGTTTCCGAAACAGATATCTCCTTGCTCGAGGGGTCAATCCCCAGCGCTTTTTGCAGATGTGGTGTTGACCGAATGGCCCGAATCTTTGCCCCGGTGTTGACGGCGAAGTCGAGTTCATGGTAGACAAGGTCAGAAGACGGGCGAGATGAAAAAATCCGGAAGACGCGTGTATCTGAGCCGGCACCTAGCGAAATAATCTGTTTCTTGCTCGAGGTTTCGGGTGAATAAGGACCGAGGAAGCGCGTGACAAGCTCGTCGATTGCAGTGGTGCGAACATACGTGCCTGAGGCGAGAGGCGTCCAAGTTAATGATCAATTGCTCGTCTGGTATAAGATAGATTGTGCTATACCTCTATTGATGATCGGGAATCGCCTAGTCGCGGAACCAGGGGGTGTCAATGCTGTCGCATACGGGTCAACCAGATATCCGAGCTCGACAGCGCTCAGACGAGAGACGCTGGCATCACTGTCGGTGCCCTGAACAATGCGATCCTTTCCAGAAGGACGGTTGCTGTGACCATCTTCAACAGTTCGACTTCCTCCACGGCCGCGTCCTCGGCCTCGTCGGAGAAGATTGAGATTGGGGATTTGTGGCGCGGCCATTGAATGAGGGAAGGTGGAGGAAGCTTGAAGCTCGGACGCGGTGGGGAAACCCCGCTCGTAGCGTCACTCCGTCTGGACAAGAGTGCAGATGGTCGGTAGCCATCCGAAGACGGTATAACCTAAGTGCAAGTCTTTACAGGGAGTACTCGTCAAATCATTTCTTTCCGTTCCGACGTCTATAGTCTAATTACTCCATACAAATTTAGACATATACAAAGTTGTTGCGGCACAGCGGGCAAGTGCTCTGGTTGCTGCTCTTGAACCAGCGGAACAGGCAAACAGAGTGGAAGGTGTTCTTGCAGGTGGCACATCGCTTGTTAGGTGTCTGCATGTCAGTCGAGATGACCGAGTAGCAAATCGCACATTCGCTCTGGCCCTTCAGGGCGCCCTGGACATTTCGCCGGAAGGCCAACAGTCCGTCAACCAGGTTTCCATTGGCAAACATGATAACTCCCTGAATGGTAAGCAGCCAACTCTTCCATTTCTTCTCATCAACAAGCACTCGGCTGCGACCGACCACCAGCGCGGGGTGAAGGGGGTATGCAGGTGGGAGGGAGATGGAGATGGAGACGGGAGGCGACTCCTCGTCGACGGGAATGCTGGCGATGATCTCGGCAGTTTTGGAGATCTTGACACTCAATGCCCGCTCTTCATTCGGATCTTGAGTGGAAATCCAATCTGTGACTCCTTGAAGAGAATCTCCAGCGACAACGGGCGAGATCTAGGATTCAAATCAGCTAGGATATACTTGGGATGGGGCTCCACAAATTCACGTACATGTTTCTCGGTCCAAGCTTCGACCGGTCCCTTGATCCGTTTCTTGGTATCAATCCACCAATTTTTCGTCATGTTCGCAAGGTGTCTGAGGCAGAGGTAGTAGAGGTGAACGAGAAGCCATTGAATCTCTTTCTCAGCATTCTCGGATTGGTCAGGCTCGAAATTTTGTACATCCAGCTTGGACGTATCAATAATCTTTCCGTGTGATTTCTGGAGGAAGTTGAATGTGAATTCCAGTAATGGAATGAGAATATCGTTTTCTTTAATGCTGGTGGTATAGAACTCTTGGACAGGAAGGGACTACGAAAGTTAGCAAAAGTTCATCTAGAGTTCATTAGAATGGTTGTGAGCATACCGCATTTGTAAAATGATCAAACACTATCTTCCAGCTCAAAAGGTAAGCTCGGATAGTGGTCCACATTTTGTCGTCTCCGTAGGCCATATTCACCATCTGCATTGTCGGCGTCTCGAGGAGAAGTGATAGGAGCTCGTCGGGCAAGCTGACCATAGTTTTAGACAGGGCCACATCAAAAGAAATCTGTTCTTGGGCCTGAGGGATATAGCGATGGAGGATCGTGTATGCCGTTCGTTGCACAGAGCGGCTATGGGCCGTGATTAGGTGGAAAACTCCGCTAACATCTTCAAGTTTTTCGATGGGAAGGGAATTGATCAGGCGTCGCAGGAGCTCAACAGCGACGTCGCGAGGTTGGTGGAACGTTGTTGAAGAGTCTGGTTTTATTAGTTGCAAAGACAAGAAAAGCCCATGAGTACTCAAAACATACCAAACATTCCAATGGTGGATGCCAAGTCATTAAATAGACCAGTCTTTCTCTCCAACCAGGCATCTTGAAGATCATCATTGCTGTCACCTTCAGCCATAGACTTCAAACGCGCGAAAAATCGGAAAGAGGAAGCCAATAATGGCAGTCCTTCTTCGCCTCCGGAAGTATTTTTGAAGAATGTGCTCAAAATATCCATGCTCTCTTCCCAGTGGGAGCCATAGATCTCGGCAAGTCCAGAAATAACAAATGTCAGAGTTTTGATGATCTCTGCTTTCAGTCCAAGAGACTTGGTATCAGACTGAAGATATTCGATAAGGTGCTTAGTCAAGAAAACCAGTCTTTGGGTAGGAATGGTTGAAATAATGTTGTCTTCACCAGAAAGTAAGATATTGAGCAGTGCGAGCTTCCTCAGGCCTAGGAAATTGTAAATATGATGTCGAAATAAGGAAAACACGATTGTGAGACATACCATCAGAAGAAGAATCATGCTGTTTGAGGCCAGTGGAATCTGCAACCAGTTCATTGCAAATTCTGTTTCCTACAGAGTTTGATAGGATTGAACTTCGGAGAACAGCAAACCATGATGCCGAACGAATCGCATTAGCCGTTCTTGCTTCTCGGCAAAGCTTTGAAATTTCCTCTGTGGACTTGGAATGTTCCACAGCATGTGAAGATGTCATGATCTTTGTGAAAGCCTCTCCAATCCGATAGTCCCAAGGCGATGTTCCATTTAGCTCCTCAAGTCTTTTCTCCCAGAGATTAATCAAAGAAGAGGAGATTGTAGAGTCAGAAGACCCGTTCAAAGGTTCTTTGGCGTGAATCCAGTTGCTGATGATTTTTCGTCCTTTGAGGACAATTTCAAGGTACTCCTCGCGTTGATCTGCAAGCTTTAGGCCCGATATTCCATTGGATTGTTCAATGCTGAGATCATCATCAATCAGCTGCACTGCCAGTGGAAGATAGAATAAAACTGTCTCAAGATCATCGCTATTCAGATGCTTGGTAATCTCGAAAGATGACAGCACTTTGATCGTGAATGTCGCGAGGCGGAAAGCAGCAGAACAATGAGCGGAGTCACGGGGAGTAGAAAGCCATAATGCTTTGAATGACTCTGAAACATCGCGCTGAACCAAGTTCACAATACCCCCTAGGGGGCTTGTTATCGCTACCGAAAATCGTGGCGGAAGTTGGAGGAATGGGCCCATTGCTTCTTCCCAGGCATTTTGAGAAGGCAATATGTCTTTGATCCTATAATCAGCGTCCTTCGAAGAGATGCCTTGCAACAATTCCTCTGCAATGGCAAACAGAGATTCGATTCTATTAGGATGTTAGAATCAAATACCAAAGATGAACAAAAAATAAGAGCTTACGACAGAGACTCCTCCGATGCGTGGCTGAATCCATTGCGGAGGATTTCGATCTTAGACTTGTCGCTAGTATCCCCAACAACAGTTTCCTTAAAGGTTTTCATCAACGACTCTGCTAATGTTGCGACTTCCTCCGAGGGAGACTCGATAAGAAATAGTAGTTTTCCGGTCAACTTTGACCCTTGAGGTCCACTCTGGAACTCGCGAACAGCGGCGGGCACGGTCTGCCCTAGATGGGAAAGGCCGTGTAAAGCATCAAACACTCGGTCATCAAAAGAAAGAGAGTCTATCATGGACAAGAATATGTCATTGGCCATTTGGCCACGAGAACTTTGATTCTGAAGGACCGAGGTGATAATTGGCCAGTGTGCATGACTCCCTCGACATGCTTTGTCCAGCGCCCGCATAATAAGCTTGCTGAGTTTAGCCTTGTCTCCAACCTCGTCGAAGCTGAGGTTTGAGAGTAAGTTCTGAAGAATATGGGCATTTGACTGCTCGGGCTCCAACTCCATGGCGCGTTCAACCATGTTCTCGAAGCTAGAAGCAAATCCATCCCACTCCCGACACACCAAAATAATCGTGATGAGACGATCACCTGAGGGCGAGAATAGAAGGTCGGGGGCATCAGTTCGAACAAAGTTGAGAAAGTCTTTGGAACTTTTTGCGGCCGAGGGCATGCTGCGCACACAATCCTCTACTACTCCAGCGGCTCCGTAGGGCTTGCCATTGCGCGAACGAAGTATCTGCAGGCAATTTTCAAGCAGGGCAATATTTGACTGCTTAAAAACCTTTTGTGCAGCTGGTTCAGCCTGTCCTTCTGTGACCCGCGAGAGAGCAGCAGATTGTAGATCAAAAAAGCGTTTGGACTGAGTGCAAATAGAATCCTGAGAGGTTCGAAAATCCTTTGATTGCTCAGGAGAGGACAGCTTAACAGCTTCAAGCAGATCGTGCGATAACTTTGTCCACAGTAACTGCAGCTCCTCGCTTTGGTTATGAGCCGTGAGAGTTGTTAGATACTCGGCACAGATTTCTTCCGCCGACTGGGGTACAAGCGACCATTGGACCAGTTCAGATTCAGGTCGGACGTAATTTATCACCAGAGGGGAGAGCCTCTTTTGGATAAATTCCGACTGCTGATCCTCTGGCACGAGAGTGGCGAGCCAAGTACCGACCTGGATGTATTTTTTCCACCCAATGGGAAGGTTTTGACGAGTTTCTTCTCTCGAATTAAGGCCTTCCTGGAAAGCTTCGGTGATGGCAGTTGCACTAGAAATTGTGAAAATTCCATCAGTCGATGTTTTATCGGCTCCAGAAAGCACTTCTTGGGGAATAGTTCGGAGCACTTGGTCAAGATTTGACCAGAAATTTGCATGGCCTGCTTGTGATCCTTTCTGGATATACTGGCGTAGCCTTTTTGACGCTGAAGTCTTGCCAGTATAATCTTCTGTCCAGATCTGAGGTCTGGCTGAGGTTAAAAGCAAAAGAGACTCGGATAACTCAGATGCAGATCCTATCTGTGGAGACGACAACGACTTCCCAATAATGGCTGCACTTAGAACTTTCCAGTCAACCCACCCAGGCTCACGGGATACAGCAGATCGCAGAAGAATGTAGATAGACCGGCGAACGAATGGATCTTCATGGGTGCAGAAAGCCCACAGAGACTTGCTACCCAGTAAAGTCTCGATCTCTGGAAGATTCTTTTTCAGATCCTCGTCGGCTGAGTTACCTATTTCAAATCGCTTAGTTCTGAAAGCATCTGAGGGCATGCTTCTAACATACCCAGGATGCGATTGAAAAGTGAAAGGGCAGAGCCCACAACTCGTGCATACTTTGCCTCTGCATCATCACGCTTGACTGTTCGCTCATCGCTAAGAGTCAAAGGTGATTGGTGAAGAAGGACATCATCTACAAAGTCCAGAATAGAGCTTTGGTATATTTTCCAGACGTTGTTTCTCTTTGCATCCGTTGTAAAAATCATGGTAAAAGATTCAAGTGCGGATCGGTGGACAGGTCGATCATTATCATAGAGCCCTGCAAGCCATGCTCCCACAACTTTAGGCAGATGAGGTGCAATTCTCTTTCCCACAAGGCTAGCAATTGAGCCCAAGATTGTATGGGCCAGTTGCCGCACTCTTCGAGATAAGTCAATTGAAGCCCGAGGATATATTTTCACCTGGCAGCCAAGTTAGTCTGTCAGCACTATACATCGGAAATATTAATACTTACCCATGCTTCCAAAAAGCCATCGTGAACCGTTCCATCTTTTGCTTCAACTGATACAATATACTCTTTCAATTCTTCAAGAGCCTTTGTGCGTGTAATCTCATCTTTCTTCATCAAGTTCTTGAAAGCAATTACTAACTGCTGGTCTGAGATACGAGAAAGATCTGGTGGTTCCGTGATGTATGTTAGCGAGGACGGCTCTCGGCCGTCATTGCCAAAGGTACTGGAGAAACCCCAAAACCCCCCAAAGGCACTGGCAGCAGCGCGGCTACTGGAGGCCTGCGACTTGAACTTTTTGCTCATGTGGGGTATGAGGTCAGCGGGAATGGCGGGGTGGTGACTGGAAGCACAACCAGACGTTATAATGCCGGCGAGAGAAAATGGCACCGGTCTGGGATCTGGGATTCAAGAACAGAATCTCGTTGACCCTCTTTGTTCTCTCGTCGCAATGGATGTTGGAGGCAGCTCTTGGAAGAAGCCGATGATACTGGCGGGCGGACTCCCGATATGGAAGTCACGTGTGTCGGTGTCATTCACTGTCCCAATGGGGAAAAGATCCAGAGAGCTTCGCGCCTGGCATCACTTTCTCTCTTGCTTTCGACTCGCTCGCGGCGTCGGGGATACCAGCCACAATGAAGTTCCTCATTGAGTATGATAATGACCCTGGCTTATAATTCAGCATGATCTTTCTAACATTTTCTTCTCTCAGTGATCTTCCGGTGCTGTTCCCGTATCCTCGCATCTATCCCGAACAATATGCCTACATGTGCGATCTCAAGAAGACCCTCGATGCCGGGGGTCACTGTGTGCTCGAAATGCCTTCAGGAACTGGCAAGACAGTCTCCCTGCTCTCATTAATTGTCGCATATCAGCAGCATTATCCAGAACACCGAAAGCTCATCTACTGCTCGCGAACCATGTCAGAGATCGAGAAGGCGTTGGCAGAATTGAAGGCGCTCATGAAATATCGCTCTCAGGAGCTTGGGTTTGAAGAAGATTTTCGCGCTTTGGGTCTGACCAGTCGAAAGAACCTCTGTCTACATCCTTCAGTGAAGCGCGAGAAAAGTGGTACCGTTGTGGACGCGAGATGCCGGAGCTTGACGGCAGGCTTTGTCAAGGAGAAGAAGGAGCGCGGTGAGGATGTGGAGCTGTGCATCTATCACGAGGTTTGTCATACTATATCTCTTGGGTAACATCCATTCTCACGCCTTTCAGAATCTTGACCTCCTCGAGCCACACAACCTTGTTCCTCCCGGTGTTTTCACACTCGACGGGCTGATCAGATACGGAGAGCAGAACAAACAATGTCCCTACTTTTCTGCTCGACGCATGGTGAGATATACAAAAATAAGCTATAATTAACCCTTTACTAATTCTAAATTCTCTACATCAGATGCCCTGGTGCAATGTCATCATATACTCCTATCACTATCTTCTAGATCCGAAAATCGCCGAACGAGTATCTCGCGAGCTTTCTAAAGACTGTATTGTCGTTTTCGATGAGGCTCACAACATTGACAATGTCTGTATCGAGTCGCTCAGTATCGATTTGAGCGAGGACTCCCTCCGCAAAGCCACTCGAGGCGCTAGCAATTTAGAACGCAAAATCGAAGAAATGAAGAGTACGGATGCCGAAAAACTTCAAAATGAATACTCGAAGCTAGTTGAGGGGCTTCAACAGGCAGAACAGGCGCGGGAAGAGGATCAGTTCATTTCAAACCCGGTGTTGCCAGATGACTTGCTCAAGGAGGCTGTACCTGGCAATATTCGCCGAGCTGAGCATTTCATCTCCTTTTTGAAGAGATTTATTGAGTATCTGAAAACGAGGATGAAAGTAACGCATACAATATCGGAAACGCCACCTTCATTTCTAACCCACCTGAAAGACCTCACTTACATTGAACGAAAACCTCTGAGATTCTGTGCGGAGCGCCTGACATCACTTGTGCGAACCCTGGAGCTGGTCAATATCGAGGACTACCAGCCGCTCCAAGAAGTTGCTACCTTCGCCACTCTTGTTGCAACTTATGATAAAGGATTCGTTCTCATTCTCGAACCCTTTGAATCCGAAGCAGCCACAGTACCCAATCCAATTCTACATTTTACGTGCCTGGATGCCGCTATTGCAATCAAGCCCGTCTTTGATCGATTCAGCTCTGTCATCATTACATCTGGAACCTTGTCCCCGCTCGAAATGTACCCTAAAATGCTCGGCTTCACCACTGTCATGCAAGAATCGTATAGCATGACGCTTGCCCGACGATCTTTCCTGCCCATGATTGTGACCCGGGGCTCGGATCAGGCGCAGGTTTCCTCGTCATTTGGAATTCGTAATGATCCTGGTGTGGTGCGAAACTACGGAACCCTTGTTACTGAATTTGCGCGTATCACGCCAGACGGAATCGTCGTTTTCTTCCCCTCCTATCTGTATATGGAATCTATCATCAGCATGTGGCAAGGCATGGGCATTTTGGATCAGATCTGGAATTACAAACTGATCCTTGTCGAGACTCCCGATGCACAAGAGTCATCACTTGCTTTGGAGACCTACCGCACCGCCTGCTGCAATGGACGTGGCGCCATCCTGCTTTGTGTCGCTCGAGGAAAGGTGTCGGAAGGTATTGATTTTGATCATCACTATGGCCGCGCCGTGCTTTGCATTGGCGTGCCTTTCCAATACACCGAATCCCGTATCCTGAAGGCACGTCTAGAATTCCTTCGTGAAAACTACCGCATTCGAGAAAATGACTTCCTGTCTTTCGATGCCATGCGACACGCAGCCCAGTGCCTGGGTCGTGTTCTTCGTGGAAAAGACGATTACGGAGTCATGGTGTTGGCAGATCGTCGATTCGAGCGAAAAAGACCTCAGCTTCCGAAGTGGATCAATCAGGCAATGCTGGATAGCGAAACGAATCTGAGCACAGATATGGCTGTCTCAAATGCCAAGAACTTCCTGCGAACTATGGCGCAGCCATTCATGGCCAGAGACCAGGAAGGCATTTCTACATGGAGTTTGACAGACATCGAGCGGCACGAAGCGAAGCGCAAGGCGGAAGAGGCTCGTCTGATGGAGTTAGAGCCCACTAACGGTAATAACTATTCTATGGGTGATCTCATTAAGCCGACATTTCAAGTCGTTGAGGATGAGTATGACGACGAGATCGACGAAGACCTCATGATGCTTGACGCCCAGTAATTTTTTTTTTTTTTTTTGGCTCCTGATTTCACTTTTACTAGTATATTATGGCGATACATAACGGCGCTTTTTGGGATGAGACGGACATGCAGGGCGTTTTCCTTCAACTGGGACTGTGAACAAAGTTAAATGCATGGAAGGCGCTCCATTTTGACCAAATCGATATTCCACCAGACGAGAGCAGAGGCCTCTGCACATACATAATCATAGGATTGAACAAAGTTTCTTCCCTTCCTTAGAGATTTATTTATCTAGCCTGAAATTTCGTATTGTAGTGGGGAAATGGCCAACGATAGGTGATCTCTGATTGAAGGGTATCTTTCCTTGTACACAGTCTTTACAGGATATAGCTTCGCATCTCCGATGGGGAAAGAAAGAAAACTTCTACATATATTTCGCTGCAACAGCTTCTGCTTCCTTTGGGAAGCCTTCCTCCATCGTGGTGTGTGGTGGTTTGTTGGTCTGTTCGTTCATCCATCTCATCCAGCCTGCTTGCCAGGCTTGCTATAGGGCGCCCCGGTTCAGTACGTAGCTATAATACTGGAATTTTCCAGACAAGTGGGGCGTTCCTACTTCGATAACCGCTGCTTTGACGAGGGTATTCAGGCCCAGGCTCAGTGAGCGAGTCGACAGATTACGGGACCATCCGCTGAGCGCTCACTGAGCAATCAATGAGCGCTAGTCTACAACACCTTAGGTAGAAAATTCTCCACAACATTGATTAATTTCCTACCTAGAATTGATGGCCCGCCATTTGAAGGGAGAGTGCTGTCTAATCTCTCAAAGTCTCTGATGAACATCTAGCGCTATAATCATAGATTTAAGGACGCAAAAACCGGCCTCATCCAGATACTTCATGCCCATTCAAGCGTCCAGGTTGCTATAAATAATAAATTGATCCCTCCTCATCTTTTGATTTTTTATATAATCTGTTTCTATATCTCAATTTTTCCCAATCCGTCGTCATAGAGCCGATAGAAGCAACATTATTTAATCAGAGAGGCAGAACGTATTCGAGTAAAGACCATGAAATGTTCTAAAATAGCTCTGTTCCGGGATTAATGACGTGCCGATCTGCATTCTTAAGTGGAGTACTCACGCTTGTCGACAACTCCGTCGCCAACCTGCAGCCCCAATGTATTTTTAATTATTCTGACTATGCCATCATTGGTCTGCTTTCTGGTTATATAAACTTCCCAGCCAACCGAGAACGCCAGCGGTACTATCGGAGATCCTGAGCCCGCCTTTGCCATGTTGTCCTAGTAGACAAGGGCAATAATCTAAAAGTATTGACTGGTTTTCGAAGGCGTGGGTGTAAATTATTACTCCTCTCTCCGGTGACATAGTAAATTTCGAAAACAGATTACCCATTAAGACACTAACCTTCTCTATCCTAGCGCCCCACCCCAATTGCGCTAACCCGATTTCAGTCAGCGAAAGTCCCCATTATCTTTAGTTGATGTATTTCTGATAGATCATCAAAATAACCATAATCACGGGTTCCGGCTTACTTGCTAACGCCCATAGTCACACACTAGAATTCGAAAACAGAGAATCTCCCAGACACTCACACTTTGTTTCTCGTCCCTTTCCGAAACCACGCTAGTTAATCCGTGCTGAGGTAAGGCGCAATACAATCCATTTTCTAAGAAGAGACTCCTTTTTTCAGAAATACCCCATTACGTATAACACAGTATATGACACGGAATTCCCGTACTCTGATTGTAGCCCAGTGGCCCCTCCATGGTCACCCTCATGGTACAAAATACCAAGAAAATGAGAATTTTCAGGACTAGGCTCATATGCTTTATCAATAACAGCTTGAGGTACCATGAATACATTTATTATGTACGGGTCATTGCGGTGTTCATCTCCGAGAACTCGACTTTCCCCCAAAACTTTTTGCAAGCTGGGATCTCAAGATTTCATTAGCAGATTGAGAGTTATCTGCAGTTGTCCATGGTCCATTGTATCTCTTGAATTATGCTCTTTGGTCGTACAAGCTGCACATTGTGACTGCAATGCAGACGAACAGATCTGCTGAGACGTGAAAGCCTCAAAAGCTCTCTTTGCCAGTCTTCATTCATCTCGCGCCATCTATCGAGACATTTTCGAAACAGAGCTCGTTCTTGTTCTGTTCCATTGCCTGCAGCCACTCCAAAGTCATACATTTTCTGGAAATCTTTAGGTGTATCCGCAATGATGACACTGACCGGATAATCCTTCAGAAGTAGCTTTTCGAGTTGATTCTTGTGGACCAATGCCTGTCTGTCATTCGGCACCGCCTGCAACTCAGCAGCCTCGGTGGCTTGATGTCGGGGATTAGCCTGCTCATCTCTGACGGCTTGCCACTCCTCCTCGGATAGGACATGGGACGTTACAAGACCGGTGGTTTCAAGAAAATCTTGGTCACCGAGGACTGGATAGAAAACGTCCCAACCCCACGAGCCACTGTCAAAGAAACTTTCAGTATTGCAATCCACGAACACCATGCCCACGACATCATTGGGCCTGAGTTCCAGAAACTCGCGAGAAGTGTAGCCTCCCCACGAGTGAGCGACAATGATAAACGGAGGTTCAATACCGGCGTTCCTTAGGAGAGTATCAAGCTCTGCTGCGACTGATGCTGCAGATATGCTTGATGGTGTTTGGTTGGGGCTTTCACTCCTACCCATCCCTGAACGATCATAGTTCAACCAACGAGCAAATGGAACCACAAGCTTTCGCACTACAATCCACTCATCGATCGTGCTGCCAACGCCTTGCATGAGAACGATGATAGGCTTTCCAGGCTTGCGATCTGGCCCCGAAACAGACAGATAGAGGTTATGGGAACCGACGGAGACAAACCCATCCTTATCACCTTTGTCCCAGTCAATTTTAGACATTCGTTGCTTCGTGAACTGGATGTAGATTCAAGTTGAGCAAGCAATGAATTGACGTCGAGTTGTTGGATAACGGGGAAGTGAAAGATGCCCAAGCCCCCGCTTTCTAAACCGGCCCCTCCATAGAACATCCTACGGGATAACCATAATTTACAATGACTCATTAGATGCTAGTTCCCAATACGTTCTAGTTTCCTAGTAGTTGAAGTGATGTCTCACCCTCCAAGTCGTCGCCCCCGCCCCCCGAAGCCTATGGCCTTATCCTTACACGTGGAAAACGCCACAAGCTCGGTTCTAGAGCTTAGCGAAGGCTTGAATGCAACATAGGGCCAGTCACAACCTTTGGTCGGTACTAGGGTAATTATTACTGAGGTTCTAATCAGCCCGCTTCCTCCTGGCACATGTTAGCCTCCTCTCACAACGGTTCACGCATGTAATTGGCCTGCTTTGGAGTGTGCTCAGTGAGCACTAACATGGAAAGGGAAACTAGAAGCTGTCAGGAAATACCCTGTACATAGCTGGGTTATCTCATAGCTTTTGGTACATCAGCGGGGGCTTCAATACCCTGTGCAGGATGCAGTCAAATTTAAGGGTCTTCAAGGGAGAAAATAGAAAGGTTCAAAATTTCCTTTAACTGAAGATATGCTTTATATGAACAGGGACAGGCACTTTTGTGTTACCGCTGAACAGAAGAACTCCAAATCATCAACACGTCAAGACTGGGAAAAAAATCAAGATCAAAGCACACAGGAAATGAGTGAAGAAAAGAATATACAGGTGGTCAAATAGCAGGAAAGAAACAAGGATGCGAAATGAACTCCATAAACAAAATTATGCTACAGGAGCAAGAACATCGAAAGCGCCGGTTCCAACGGTACCAGAGCGACCAACCACAATTCTGCTACTTGGACCCTTCAGGTTCTCGAAATCACGCTCAAGCACGGAATCTTTCAGAGCACCGACGGTGGTCTCAAAAGACATGCGAGCAAATGGCGAGGTCGAGTCCTTGACCAGGCCGTTACGGCTGAAAGCCTTGAAGCCACCAGACTGGGTCATCACGTCACCAATCAGGTTCAAGTGACGGTTGTCGACGGAGATACTGTGACCCTTGAAAACGGCGTCCATTTCGCGAATGATGGTGGCACGCGCGGCTTCCACACCATAAAGATTAAGCATGTCGTGGATTGAGTTGGTGTAGAGAGAGTGGGGCTTGATGATGTCCTGGTAGTCGCGCATAGCGAGCAAATTGACACCGTCAGTCATGACGCTCGGGGGCTCGCCCTTCAGCTCGTCTCCCTCAACGAAAACACAGCTGCCAATGCCCGGAAGGGATTGAATGACAGCCGTGTGAGCAGCGTTCTCGACGAGAGGAAGAAGTAGCAGCTTAGGTGTCTCGATGTCGTACTGCAGCTGGATGGTACAGGAGCCACCTTTCTTCGAGTCGAACTTGAACTTTGTGATCTCGGCAAATTTGCTCTTAACATCGTCCTCGCGCAGTTTGTGCTCCTGAACTTCCTCATCATCTGAGTCATCCTCGGAATCGGAGCTCATAGTCACGTCACGAGTAACCTTGCCAGACTCGTTGCTCTCGTCCTCCTCATCGTCCGAATCGACATCTTGTCCCTGAATGATAGCCTGCTCATCATCATCGGGTCCTTCGTAGGAAACCTGGTTGCTCCGGTTCTGGTTTCCACGGGATCGCTTAGCATCGTCCTCGTCATCTTCGTTATCATCGTCAGCCGGCTCGGCCGCACGGTCAGGACCGCTCGGGCCCTCCGCGATTCTGCCGACCGAAACACCAATTTCGGGCTGGGCAGTTGAGGCCTTCTTGCCGGTCTTCTCCTCATTGCGCTTCTTAAGCTCGGCCTTGGTGAGTTTCACGAGGCGAGGAATGAACTTGTTTTGAAGAGCATTCTGCACATCCTTGATTTGAATGGCATACTCCTTGGTATACTCATCGGCAGGGAAGAAGGTAATTTCAATATCGTAGATCTTAGCCTTTGCATGACCGAGGCCCGAACCAATACGCTCTCTGATTTGGATCTTATCAACAACCTCGGCAATGCTGAGCTTGCTGATAGCCTTGGCGAACTTATCAGAATCCTCTTTGGAGATTTCTTCATTCAAGAGGAGGGTCATGGTGGGCGTCATGATGGTGGCACTTGCAGTCATGACAATTTCACGAAGACGAGGAATACCTAGAGTCACGTTCTTTGCTGAGTGACCAGCCAAGTGGAAGGTATTCAGAGTCATCTGTGTTGAGGGCTCTCCAACAGACTGTCCAGCCATGATACCCACTGCCTCGCCGGGGTCAATGATAGACTTGAGATACTTCATGTTCATCAATGCATCAAAGGTCTTCTTGGTAAGTTTACCCTCGATGTTCTTCTTCTTATCCTTGAAGAGTTTGTCGGGGTTGGCATCCTCGTACTGTAAATAAGTCGGTTATTAGCTTTGAGACATCATTTGTGCTGGTCTGTAAGATCACAACATACCTTCTTCAATTCGTGGGCAAATGCTTCAGAGGTACTGCCCAAGTGGCCACCAGGGTGGAAGCGAGACAAGACAGGGTCCATAGCATCAAGCTTTCCGGTCTTACGGACACTCTTCATGGCGGACTTGTGCCACTCCATCACCTCCTCCTTCGCCAAGGTGTGGAAGAGATTTGACTGCACCTGCTGGGAAACCGAAAGGTAGTTCTCAGCAAGGAATTTGAAGTCCTTGAGATGAACCTGCTTGGTAATATCGAGACCGTCCTCTCCGTACAAAAATTGGACAATGGATCCATCGGAGGCTTCACGGACAGAGGAGTCATACTCGGCTCTGAGACCCTCCATACCCTTAATCAAGCAGCGCTGCAAGTAACCGGAGCGAGAAGTCTTGACGGCGGTATCGATCAGACCTTCACGACCGGCCATGGCGTGGAAATAGTATTCTTGGGGCTTGATTCCGGTCAAGAAACGACCACAGACGTAACCGCCAGCCATGGGGTGGGTGTCATAGGCACGGAAAGAGGGTAAAGTTTTACCACTGATCATCACCGGTACACGGCGACCTTCCAAAACCTGCTGGCCAAGGTTGCAGGAGATCAGATTGGCATTGACACCCGAACCCTTGGCTCCGGAAATAGTCATAGACTGCATTTGATTCCACGGGAAGGGTTTAGCAAGTCCCGCAGGAAGACAAGATGAGGTGATTTCCGAGGACAGCTTCGCAGACCGGGCATTGGAGACACTATCTAGCCCACTCTGCTTATCATCATCACGAAGGACGTCCTCCAATCGGCGTTTCAACTCGGCGTCCTGGTCAGGCACGGTGGTTTGATCTAGCGTGACGTACTTCAGAGCAACTTCACGACCCATGGCAGGGGCAGTAGCCAGCTTCTCCTTACGGATACGATCACCCTCCTTAGTTAACCGAAGATCATCAATACCGCAAGTAAAAGCCCGCATGTTCAGGAACCGGGTCAGAAGTCGACCCAAGATGCTCATCAGCTTTCCAGCAATAGTGTGACCGTAAATCTCGTGAACGGCATCGATAAGACCACCTGCGGTTGGACCGAGCTGCTTCTTATCAAGAATACCGCACAGATACTCGCCATCATCGAAGATGACATTGTCCTCTTCGTTGCCTTTGCCCCATCGATCACCGGGGGTCGAAGACTTGCCTTGGAGGGTGATACCGGCACTCTGTGGAGGCTTAATGTTCTTGAGAATAGTGGTGATCACCTGTTTACCAGTCCAGAGGTATTTAGGCTTGACGAAGGCAGGAGCCACCAATTGAATGCGGTCACTGACAATATGCGAGTTCTCCGGTCTCAAACAGCTGTACAGAAGCTGGTGGTAATCTTCCTCATCGAAAAAGCTATCACGGCAAGTAAACCAGGTACCCATGGAAATATGATCTTGAATCAGACCTCTCAGAGGCTTACCCGATGTGGCAACCAGGTATTGATGGTCGGCATCAGCGAGCATTCTAGCCTCCGCCTGGGCGAGCTCATTTTGGGGGAAGTGCATATTCATTTCATCGCCGTCGAAATCGGCGTTGTAGGTATTACAATTGGCGTAGTGCATTCGGATGGTTCTCTCGTTTGGAAGAACACGAGCCTTGTGTCCCATGATAGATGGCTTGTGAAGGGTGGGTTGACGATTCATCAAGACGTAGTCCCCAGTAGTTAGGTGGCGGTAAACCTTTTTGTTTCGCGTTCCCTTCATGCGCCAACTTGATGGCGCGAGCAATTGATTAGCAAGGGCAGTGCGCTCATCCAGAGACTTGAACTTCAAGTTGACGACTTGTCCATTCTCATTCTCAATCGCAGAAGCGCCCGGATACTTGTCCGGTCCGTTGATGACGGCCTCCTTCAATTCCCAGAAGTTGTGATTCGTCACAGGCTCCGGGAATGTCAATTTTTTGGCAAATACGAGAGGCACACCAATCTCGTTGGTTTCGAGATTGGGGTCTGGAGAAATGACACTACGGGCAGCGAAGTTTACTCGCTTACCCATCATGTTCTTTCGGAAGAGACCCTCCTTTTTCTCCAGCATCTGCTTAATACCATTGGGTAACTGCGCAATAGCAGAGCCAGTCACAGAAGTTCGCTCCCGATCAATCAGACCGTTGACGAAATCCTGGAGCGCAACAATCGCCTGGAGCAGGTCACTGTAGTTGCGTGCGCGAGACAAAGCCTTCTCTTCCTCGTTTTGGATTTCCTTGCTGATCTGGTTGATAAGGTCACACTGCTTCAGAATATTGTTGAAGGGGGTGTTCTGTGACGCCTCCATAATCTCTCCGGGGCCTTGCGCAGCAGCGGGGCGGTACTTGTTGGGCGGTACCAAGAGGCTCTTGATGAAGAACATGTCTGCAGAGACGACCTTCACACCCTTTGGTACAGGTCGGGAGTTATACACGAGTTGCAAAATCTCGCTGTCCTTCTGGAAAAGAAGGCGCATGGCGCTGTAGACTTCTGAGGATGGTACAAACTCCTGAGTAGTCATTCCCTGCGAGCTTGACTGGGTTGTAACAGCGGCACCGCGGCGGATTTCCTCCTCGGCACCGTGAACTTCAGACACAACGCTGTTTGCTCGAACACCGTTTTCCTTAGGCTCGGATTTCTTCTCCTGGTCGAGAAGAACAAGAGTGTTGGGAGCCTGAAATCCACCATGCAGCATTGCGAGCTTAGCCTTCTCGGGAAGGGCCTTCCGGAAAATCTTGTTGTAACGATCCTTTCGATAGCTGGGGGAAATTCCGCTGCAATTGTTGCATTTCCGGTTGCTGTTAATGTCCTTGAGGAATGTCTTGACGAGATCTCTTCTGGTTTCAGCGGCGATAGGGTTCTTTGCGCCAGCCATCAGACCTTCCAGTCGACCATCTTTTTTAACATCGCGAATGCTCTTGTTGACGAAGGCGGTTCGCTTTTCCATGATGGACTCCTCGTCATCCTCTTCATCATCGGATTGATCGTCTTGACGCTTTGCGGACTTTGACTTGGAGCCCTTGCCAGCCCCCATGGCATCAACGATGGCGACTTCATCGATGAGGCCGTATTGCAAAAGGCGAAGCTTACAGGTATACAGATTGACTTGTGTGCGGGACATTTGCAGTCGGTGGCAGTACACGCATTGCGCCCGGAGAAGACGGTAGATGTGATCGAAGAAAGTAACATTGTAGACCGGAACGGGGAGCTCAATGTGGCCGGCGTGACCCGTGCAAGACCAAGAGTTTAAGCGGCAGGTAGTACACCTAGAATAGAATTCCTCCAAGTCAGCAAATGGCCTTATGATCACAAGTCAGCAGTAGATACATACACATGGTCTCCCCATGCGCCCATAGCAGGGTCATAGAGACCGCCAGGAACAGGATTATTGAAAGAATCCAAAGTCGGAGTATTGTGAATTCTTTTCACCGACAGCTTTTTGATATCTTGATCAGAGTACACGTTAAAGTCGACTCCAGCAATGCTGGAGGCGATTGGGCGAGTAAAGGTCGCCATTGTGCCCTGCAGCTCTGTGAGCAACAGAAAACGCTGGCGGTGCGAAGTCGAATGGCCTTCGGATCAAGTTCTTCAAGTTCTCGTTGCGGAAGAGGGAAACTTTTGAGGATCTTTTTTTTCTGCCCTGCTCCACCGCCCACTCCAATTTGGGCTACCCGCTGCCACGGCGCGCCGATCAACCCTTCGATTCTGTAGCCTACCTCTCCCGTCTGAGCTTTCTCAGAGCCTTCTCGCAAACCCCTACCCTCGGTCGCCAGAGAAGGCTGCGCGAGATATTGCTCGCTTCGCCATGGCTGATGTTTCGGGCAACGCGCTAAAGCGACCTCACCCGGAGGATGATGACAACAATTCCCAGAAAAGGACCCGCTCGAACAATGGGTCTCCATTACCGGGTCAAGGAGGCGCTGTCTCTGGAAAAGTTGATATTGAAAAGATGGTAGCTGAGGCGCGGGCAAAAGCGGAAGCCGTGCGTGCGCGTCTACAGGCTGCTCGAGGTGGTGCGACGCCCACAATTCCTCCGGCAGAGTCCAGGCCCAGCCCAGCATCACCGGCTTCGAGTCCCGCGATGTCCAGATTAGAACAAATGAGAGCTCGGGTAGCAGCGGCTACGTCAAGAGCTGGTGCAGCATCTCAACAACAAACGCATACTCCCGCGCCGTCCTATCAACCCCCCACACTCGACAATGAAGGCTTATCGAAGGCTCGTGGTGGATTGGATGTCGGTCTTCATCCAGCTCTATTATCGGATGCTACGCCAGAATTTCGTGGGTCCAAGGGCCGACAGCCTTTCAAGACGGGCAATCGACGCTCGGATTCGTCTTTCCGAGGCAATAAGGCTCAACTCGATCTCTCTGGCCCCTCGATCGAGGAGATCAAAAGCAACCCATACTTCGATCCTAGTCTGGGTTCACAATCAACAGTAGCTAAGCCGCGTCAGACTCGTCAGCTGATCTTCAATCAAAAAGGCAAATACATTCAACAGGCAGCTGCCCTGCGCCGACAAGCACAGTTGGAGGATTTGAAAAAGCGGATTGCGGAGAAACAACGACAGGTTGGCATTGATGAGGATTTGGATATCGAAAAGGCATATCTGGTTCCTGCTCCGCCAGCTCTTGAATGGTGGGATGAAGGGTTGGTCAATGGAAGTGACTACGCTGCTATTGATGATCCCGCGAACCTCAAGCTCGACACAGCCGACACCATCATCACTCGCTATGTCCAACACCCTATTCTCCTTGAGCCTCCGCAGGAAAAGCACTTACCAGCTCAAAAACCGATGTATCTCACGCCAAAGGAGCAGGCGAAGATTCGTCGACAGCGACGTATGGCGGACCTCAAGGAACAACAGGCCAAGATCCGTTTGGGTCTTGAACCGGCACCGCCGCCGAAAGTCAAAAAGTCCAACCTCATGCGTGTTTTGGGTGAGCAAGCAGTCAAAGACCCTACTGCTGTGGAGGCACGTGTGAATAGGGAAATTGCGGACCGTCGCGAGAAGCACGAGATCATGAATGAAGAGCGCAAGTTGACAAAAGATCAACGGCGAGAAAAGCTTGCTAGTCAACAGGAGAAAGATGCGGAACTTGGTGTCTACGTGTCTGTTTACCGAATTGACAGTCTGGCGAGCGGCCGCAACCGTTTCAAGATTAGCAAGAATGCCGAGCAAAATGCGTTGACTGGCATCTGTGTCATACACCCGAAACTCAACCTGGTGATTGTTGAGGGTGGCAAACATTCTATCAACAACTATCGAAAGCTGATGATGAATCGGATTGCTTGGACCGAGAATCCCGGCCCAAATCGCTCATCAGATGAGAAGAGTGAGAGTCAACCACTGTGGTTATCTACAGAGGATGACAAGGGTGAACCACGAGACTTCAGCAATAACACATGCACTCTCTTATGGGAAGGCCAAGCCAAGAGCCGAGTGTTTAGAAAGTGGCTCGGAGCCCGAGTGTGCGAGAGTGACTCGGCCGCCAAAGACGTTCTGACTCGCTCTAAAATGGAAAATTTCTGGGCTCTAGCAAAGAGCGCCAAGCCCGCTGACTTTTAATAAATTCGACCTTTCTTAAAGCAAGAGAAATGGGGGATCTCCTACTTGCGAAAGTTGTGATAGGGCGACTTTTGCTCCATCTATTCTTATTGGTTACCCCTGTGTGATTCATCTATACCGCAAATATGTACTCTATCAAAGGTTATTTTGCTAATAACCGAGCTCGAAATCCATAACATGACTATCATAAACTTTTTTTTTCAAAAACGAACTCAGACTCAAACACATTAATCCCGCTCCTAATGCAAATGGGTTGGTATCGATATCTCATCAAGAAAAGGACTTCAAAGAACAATCAAGGCAACTATGACGGCGGGGGTCCCTGGTTCCCATTGCTCAGCTGGCGTAACAGATCCAACTGGGCTTTGACTTGGTCAAAGTTCATAGTTGGATTTTGCTGTGGCACCTGTGTAGAGGCTTGGGGTTGCTGGAATTGCTGTTGCTGTTGCTGTTGCTGCAGAGCAGCCAGGAACAGAGGGTTGATATGAGCGCCTGGGGGAATGCCCTGAAAAGGAGGCTGTTGTGGGTACGGTTGCTGGAAGGGGAATTGAAAGGGGAATTGCGTCGGTGCTGAACCTTGCCCGTACTGTGCTTGCTGCTGGGGCGGATACTGCGGGTATCCAGTAAAGGGCTGCTGCATGCCATAGAATGGTGGCTGTTGCTGATGTGGAGGTTGGCCGTACGGCGATGGTTGAGGCTGGTGAGAGACTGGCTGAGCCGGAAACTGACCACCGCTGCTCTGCTGGTGCTGGGGACGGCGATCTTGATCTCGTTCCCAAGATCCTCCTCGGCCGCCACCACCTCGTCCACGTCCTCCTCGCGCCCTATCGGCGCCTCGGCCTCGGCCTTTGCCGCCACGCGAAGCAGATCCTCGCTCGATACCTTCGATCGGTGCCTCCCGGGCGCCCATCATCTCATGAAGGTTCTTAGGCCGAGCCAGGGGTGTATATCCATCCTCGCCTCCTTCATCGTCATAGTTGAGTTCGGACTGACCAAGTTTCGAGGGACCTGGAGGTCCCTTCTTCCTTCCAGCACCACCCTCCCTGGCATCCTTTCTTTCTTGTTTCTTCTGCTTCAGCTTCCGCTTATATTCAGCCTCCGCCTCGTCATCGGAAAACTCAATCTCATCCTCGGCAACCTCTTCATCATGGAAGTTGGAGGCGTCGCTACCCTTCATTCCCTTGAGAGGCTGGGTGAAGACAAATGTAGAGTGAGCATCAACATAGTAGACAAGCATGTCCTTCACCATGCCTCGCTCCTGGGCCTCAGCTGCGTTCTTATACATGACGGTATAGAGCGGGTTTTCAACTCGGCCAAGAGTTTCAGACACAACACCCAGGATTTTGCGGTCTTCAGAGCAGAGGACCGAGCCAGACTCAAGCACCTGGTAATCGCCAGAGACATTTGCTTCGATAAGAACGGCATTGTCAATGGCTGTCTGGACCTTTCCTAGCAGGGTAATCTTCATCTCGGGGGTCACTTGAATATCGGGAATCGGTAAGACGTCTTCGTCAATCTCATTGGCGGAGCGAATGAATCCACCGGCTTTCCCTTTGCTATCTCCCTCATCATCAGAGCCAGCCTCGGCCTGCATCAGGATTCGTGCTTGTTCTTCGGGGCTAAGAATCGGGTAATCTTCGTCGTCGCTATCGTCGGAATCAGATGTCGAGCTGTCTGAGGATGACTCATAGGGATCCGAGTCAACCTCCCATTCTGGGTGTTCCTCTTCGGCCTCCTCTTCATTATCAGGTTGCTCCGAAGATGCTTCATTTGTCTTGTCTGAACTCGATTGTGCGGGCTTCTGATCAACTTCCATATTATCGGTGGAAACCACATCCTTCTTTGGCTCTTGATTGGCCGTAGTTCCAATCTCTCGCGGTTTGAGTTCGGCTTCGCTAGTGTTCTGCGTGGAGGCGGCGCTATTTGTATCTTGAGTGACTGCCGAGGGTTGAGCATTCGGGGAGACAAAACCCAACCCTGGGATCATCGGTGCCGGCTGGGAAACAACTGGCGGCTCAGCTCCAGGCGCAGGGTTCTGGGTACCTGCATTTACCACAGGAGTCCCAGGGACCAGAGGTGTATTGTAGAAATCGCTCCCATCGTCTGGAGTTGATGCAATAGGCGGCGTATCGATCATGCAGGGACGCTTGGAGGGGGGACCGTCACTGAGACCAGCAGGGTCATTTGAGACAATATTGCTGTCACTCATATTGACAGGATCTGAATGTCTGGGATCTTCACACGACGAAATTAAGAACGATCAGAGAAAAAAAGTCGCGGGAACTTTTTTTGCGGATCTGCCACCGGTTACCGTCGAGGGCGGCCGATAACTCTTTTTTTTCTGCCAGACATAAAAATGTATACGAGCATTTTCCAATCACAACAGGCTTTTAAGAAAAGGACCAAGTTAATTTTTTGAAAGGAGTCTACGTTATATGTATTGATTTCTTAAATAAATATCTGATTGAAACAAGACTCTTGTATTCGCCCTCAAATCCTCCGGACATTCCCTTTATGTGGAGCGGATAAATACGAGGGCGGAGAGTACCAGCGCCGATAATAGAAGCGGTCAGAGCTCTTGAATAAAAACGTCACATGACTGGCGCGTGTTCACGCTCTGAGTGGCGAAAACGCGGAAGTGGGTCTTGTCGCGGCCAGTTTATCGCTTTATCGCCGCCGAACTAGCCAGCAGACAACCAAGCTCAGCTACGAGCAAGATGGCAGAGGCCGACAGAACTGCCCAGGCGGCAGCACATCCACCACGAACAAAAGCGCGGTATTTCAACACCGGAATAGCACAATTGGAATGATTTGAGGCTAATATAACTACTGTCTTAGTCCCCCGCCCCCTCCGTTCTACCTCCCTCTGAACGCTACCTTGTATCTTTGCCTTTTCATCAATGGCCTTGCGGCTCTGTTTGCGCCCATTCAAGACTGTGATGAAGTCTTTAATTTTTGGGAGCCTGCGCATTATCTCGAACACGGATATGGCCTTCAGACATGGGAGTACTCGCCCATATACTCCATCCGAAGCTGGCTATACGTATCACTTCATGCCGCGGTTGGAAAAGTAGGATCACTATTCGTTAACACCAAGGGGGCTGAATTCTACATGATTCGAGTCTTTCTCGCGACTTTCTGTGCTGCCTGCCAGACAAGACTATACTCCTCCATCTGCCGTTCTGTGAATCCCCGAATTGGCCTCTTGTTTCTACTAGTCACTTTGTCCAGCCCCGGGGTGTTCCATGCTTCAACTGCTTTCTTACCCTCGACATTCACTATGTATACCTCGATGCTTGGCCTCGCCTCCTTCCTGGACTTGAAGGGTGGTCGGTCCGTTGCGCAGGGGATCATGTGGTTCGGTCTGGGTTCAATTGTGGGATGGCCATTTGCTGGTGCGCTAGTTCTACCTCTTCTAGCCGAAAAGCTTATCTTTGGCTTCTTTGCTGGCACTGTGGGCTCGCTTTACTATGCTGTCTTCGATGGCGCTTTGAGGTGTCTCGCCATTCTGGTATGTAAAGGACGCTGTATACCTTACAGAACATTATACTCTAACACATCACAGGCCCTAGAAGTGGGGGTTGACTACATGTTCTTCCGCAAGATTGTATTCGTCCCATGGAATATTGTTGCATATAATATCTTCGGTGGTCAAGGGAGAGGCCCCGAAATTTTTGGAACCGAGCCATGGACGTTCTACATCCGAAACTTGCTCCTGAACTTCAATGTCTGGTTTGTATTCGCGATGTTGTCCGCTCCGCTTCTCCTCCTATCGATTTTGCGGACTGAAGCCACATCCATGCAGCGTCTGCGTTCGCTCACTCTACTCATTATGGCTGCACCGTTCTACATGTGGTTCGGCATCTTTACCATCCAGCCTCACAAGGAGGAACGATTCATGTATCCTGCATACCCGTTCCTGGCCCTGAATGCAGCTTTGTCTTTCCACTTGATTCTCTCTTACGTCGGGTCCAGCAATCCAAATCAACTCATCGGGCGTGTTCCCGCCAAGCTGAAGCTCATTGCAGTTATTTCTGTTGTTCTGCTGGCTGTTAATGCTGGAATGCTACGCATCTTGGGGATGGTGACAGCATATAACGCTCCTTTGAAGGTCTTGGAGCCTTTGCAGCAAGCAAACTTGGCGCAAGCAGGAAGCTCTGTATGCTTCGGCAAGGAGTGGTATCGTTTCCCATCTTCGTACTTCCTCCCCCACGATATGCGAGCAAAGTTCATCCGCAGTGAGTTCCGTGGTCTTCTCCCAGGCGACTTTCCCGACGCACCGAGCCTTTCCGCTCGTCTGGATGGCGCATCGAAAATCCCTCATGGTATGAATGATCTCAATATCGAAGATTCCAGCAAATACGTAAGTCCTATTCTATGTTCGCCTCCATTTTTGATACTCATCTACCATTATAGATCGATATCTCCCAATGTTCTTTCCTCGTTGACTCTTACTTCCCTGGGCGGGAGTCAACTGAGCTAGAACCTCACTACATCCACGACAGGGCGCAATGGGAGACTCTGTCTTGCCAGAGCTTTCTTGACGCCTCCCAGACAGGGCTTTTAGGGCGGTTGATCTGGATCCCTGATTTCCCATTCATTCCCCAACAATTTCAACGCAAATGGGGGCAGTACTGCCTTCTGCAGCGCCGCGAGGGTCTCGACCATGTAGTGTTCAAAACCCGTCGAGGAGGTTCCCCACACAATTAAGCATCCAAATAAAAGGGCTATATTTATTATTTCCCCATTTAACTTCATTTTTATCAGTTATCAGTCCATCGGGCGGATAAGGTTATCTCCAGTGGTTGCTTTACCCGATCGGGAGAAGAAATCCCCCTCCTCGTTGACCAGCGCGCATGATAGGCACCCCCTCTGCCAATAAACCGATGTCATTCTGATCGCAAGGACGCTTGCTCTATGACCTTTCATAGGCCCGTCCTCTGCCGCCTCGGATCCAACGGCTTGAAAGAGACAATACGGAGGACATGCTGTGTCTGGGCTTCCCCGCAAAGCTACCCGGGACATCGACCAGTACATTTTGATGCCCATGATAAAAGGAAAACTCGCATCGGATTAACAGGAACGGCAGCTCGCAAGAGAAAGCAGAGCGATAGATCATTCGTAATCCCAAGAACGGGATAGCCAATTTCCCATGAACTTCTGCTTATATTGTTAAATATAGTATCTGGGGTGCCTGGACTCTTTGGCTCCATGGAATCAGCGGTTAGACCTTGATCCATCTACATTTCTATACCCCGAGCATAGGCCACCATGAGTTTCGAGTCCTTTCAAGGGACAATAGAGACCCTGATGCCAACCAAAGAGCTCGTGGGCGCCTTTCTAGTCTTGAATCTCTGCGCCTGGGTCGTCGTAGTCGTCTCCCGGAAATGGATATCGTCGACCACCGCCACCAGACCCTCCACCCCCGATCTAGAGAAGCCAGCAGCCCGGTTGGGTTCCGGAGGCAAAGTATCACGGAAGCCTGGGGGTCGGTGACAAAACAGCCTTCTCTCTGTCTATAGTCCCTCCTCTAACATCCTACTTAGAATGGACACCGTCCGATTTCAGGAGGCCCACTGCATCTCCATACCCGGACTGGGACGTTCATGTCTCGAAGCCAATCCCCTATCGGCCGTTTCGATATGGCCCGTAAGAAGAACATTTTGCCCTCGACAGAAGCCCACATCACTAATAGATTCTGACAGGAAGTATTTCGTGACCATGGGACTACGGAGTATGAAATGGGACGAGTGGATCGGTAAGACGAAGCCTTTCTCACTGGTGCATCGTGTAGATGCATACTCAATATTTAACGAGACCTAATCTTTCGTTACGGCTCAGAGCTTGACAATCACTACCTCAAATACCACGCCGATAAAGCTCAGCGTATAGACGAACGCGCCGAGAAATGCATCGGGACTGCCCCAGAAGCAATGGACGGCGCCATTGAACTCCTCGAAGAACTGTAAGTCGCCCTTGACGCCTCGGATCAACTGCAGAAGGCCAGACCTAACAGCCATCTTCGATATCAGATGCGAGTATCTCCCCGAGCGCTACCCGAGTATGTTCCAAAAGACCCCAACAGGCATCACCAACCTCGCCACAAATGAAACTTTTGACATCACCCAACGCCCCCTCCCTGAGGACCCCATGGCCACCGCAGCGCGCCTCATCCAAGATGATCTCGCGCTGATGTTCGAGCGCCCCGACGGAGAATATTACCTCCTCGCTGGGGCGATCCTCCTCGCCGGCTTCTGGCGCCTCAGCGACAAGTTCGGGATGCCGCTGTCCGAGATCCACACGTCGGGCGACGTGCCACAGTTTCGCGAGAAGCTAGAGCGCGGCATGATGAACTTCTTCCGGCGGCTGAAGCCGGAGGAGCCCGTGCTGCGGAACAACTACTTCATCCAGGTGGATGACAGCCTCGCGTGGTCGCACAGTATCGGGCCTGAAGACGCGGCGACAGTGTCGTGGAACACGGCCGCGAAGAATAAGGCGATCGAGCACCACTTCTTCCGATCGGAGCGGCAGTCGCTGCGGCGACTACCGCGGTCCGGGGCGGTGGTGTTTACGATCCGAACGTATTTTGAGCCGATCACGGAGATTGTTAAGGAACCGTATGTACCGGGGCGGCTAGCGTCTGCAATTCGGAGTTGGGGAGATGATGTGTCGCGGTATAAGGGGAAGGAAAAGTATGAAGAGGTGCTTTTGGAGTATCTAGATCAGAAGCATAGGGAGCAGGTAGCGGCGGGCTTGGAGATTGATAAGGAGGATGAAGTGCGTAAATATCCTTTGTAGACAGAAATATGATTATCAACTGCTTCGTTCTATCGGTCGTTCTATCGGATTGGTGGCAGTTATTCAGATCCCCAAGCTTGTACGGTCTGCAGAAGAGGGTCGAAGCGCCTCATGTCGGTACTGGATCTCTGGAGAAGGTGTTTCATATATCAGACGAAAAACCCATGCGTCGCCGGCGATTTCGATTAGCGATATCCCATTCTCGCTCCTGGCGCCATGTGCATTCGTCGCGAAATTCGCAGATACGACATTTCCATGCCTCCACAATGCCGACACCATTTGGGTCGCGCTGACCGCGCCACCACTCCATTTGCTTGGTAAGATAAGAGGTCATGGTTGCAGGGTCAAATAGGAAGGATCGACTTCCCAAGAGCTTCGGGCGGAGATCAGTCGTCGGAGCTGATGAAAGAAATCGAGCTGTGAGAACTGGAGAGAGTAGAGTAGGGTACTCTGCAAGCATCTCCGGCTGTATATGTGATGGGATAGATGGTGCAACCGACAGTGCTTGGTCTGTAACGGACGGTATGAAAGTATATCGAAGCTGCTCCTTCATATATTTCCAAAGAGAGGATAAGGTTCCATGGGTCAACAGTATGCTGGTCGAGTCTTGGCTGGCGTGTGATGGGATAGCAGCAGGACCGGAACCAAGAGGGGCTTGCACTGCATCATCTGGGGTAGGAACATCGTCCAGGTCAAATTCTTGGGACGAGGCAGCATCAAAGTATTCGTCGTTCAGTCCGCTAACCTCGGAGATGAAGGCCTCGGTGAACGAGCGTTGAGGATCGAGATCGTAGCGTGCTGCAAGCACGTCGATGGTGACATCGTCAGTGGTGATGAGACGATTGAGCATATGGTAATACAGTTGTAGTTGAAGAAGCGTCGGCCGGAATGATGTGCTCTTAATCGTCGGGACAGACCCACTGGCTTTGGTCTTGACATCAGTCATGTAAATACGTGGCAACCCAGGCACTGTTGGGTCTTCGAGGCTGGGAGGGACTTCCTCTGCGACTCCAATATCTGCAAGATCAGAAAGTCTCCTGCCGCCTTGTGAGGACGACAGCAAGAAATCCGACAGGGACATCTGGTACTCAGGTAGGACCGCTCGCGAAGTTACCGCATCTGCATAATACCTGGCAGCGGTAGCCTCGAGCTCGGAATCAGGGCATTCGTATGACAGCTGGTCAATAACCCCATTAACCAGCTCCCCATCGACTATTCCCCAGACCTCAAGCTCCCGCGTAACGCCATACTCGCGCAGCATGCGTAAGCCCTGTATGACATTCCAAATTCTCAGAGCCCATGCATCTTCCTTGGTAGTGATTTCTACCGGAACAGTCGTGTAAATTTCATCTTCGAGAGCCTTGTGCACGACACTTCCTTTCTTCATTGCAGGTGTCCTCCGCTTCCGTCCATGTTTCGTCAAGGTATACCAATATTGCAACTCACACCATGCCGGAGAAACCAAGTCCGTAACTGAGAATGCCTTGTTGGGCGGCCGGCGAAAGCGCTCGACGGGAGTCCGCGAGTCCAGCGTTGGGGCTAATTGTTCAACTCGCGTCCATTCTTCCTCGCGCACAGCGCCCCGTTCTCGCTCTCGCTCTCTGCCTTCGGTTGAGATAGGATCTTCCACTAAACGCTTCGGATAGTTCCGTGTCAGCCCAGTTCAAGGAAGTTTCGGGTATGGAGAAAAAACATCCACGCAAAGCAACAGCACACGCATACCAATCGGAGAACTCCTGTTGCCTGCGCCCTGACTTGCCCCCTCAGCCACGGGGCTCCGAGAACCAGGTGGTCCAACCCAGGCCTGCTGACTCGTGTCTCTCCAGGGCGAGCGAAGCATCTGCCGGCCCAGCACCTTAGGCAGCCGGACGCCCTGGATGCCATCTTCGATGTCCTCGACAGGCGAAGAGAGAGCCGCTGGTTGTAAAGATTCAAAATTTGCGAGTAGGCTTGTAGCTACAAGCGAACTCGGGTGCTCTGTCGCGAACGCAGCGACGTGGATTGGAGTCAAGGGAGAGGTGGCGTTGGGCCTTTCGGTCGCGTCTTCCGCGGCGCGGGCCAGCAACTCGTTCACCAGTTCCTCCTCATCCGGAGTGAAATCCGATCCGTAGTCACTAGAGTCTGGTTCCTCAGGCCGCGGTAGCTGCGGTGAGCAGGACATGCCTGCGATGGTCGAGGGCATTCATATCCTACGTGGTATGCTGATGGAACGCCGCCGGAACGTCATCGCGTGGTATATGAGGTAGCTGTATTGGGAATCCGCGTCCGATAATTGGACACGCTCCATCTGCCACTCGCGGTCAGTCGCATGCATTTTATGTTCACGATTTACAGAAAATCAAAATCTAAGTCTATTGTCTAGAGTTGGTATATGAAAATATAACAATGCGTCGCTCCAAAAAAAAAAGTACTGAGAGCAAGAAATCCCAGCGTCGGCAATAGTGGGCATATAAACCATATAAAGAGCCCAATATCATATCCAGCCTGACTTATCTCTATTTTATGCAGTTCCTGCTGTAGTAATCAACTTTCCAGCCATCTCATGCGGTGCGCTAGAGATGAGTTTTTTCGCAGCAAGCTCTTCGGCGAGAACCTCCCTCGCTGCCTTCTGGTTCAGCCAGCTCAAGTAGGTTTGCCAGCCAACAGCGATAACGCCTGAAAAGACGTTTCGGAACTGTGGAGGCACGTACATGAAGCTGAAGGCTGTGACCGCAGGCCAAAGCATGACACTGTTGGTGATACTGACGGGAAGAGCCTTCTTGAGCCGCTCGAAGGTCTCTTGTAGCGTTGCACCTCCCAAAAGAGAGTGCACACCGAAGAAGTAGGTGCTGAAGACAGGGGTAAAGCAGATTTGCTGGACCACGACCTTGGTCAGAACGGAGAGGATCTTGGATGAGAAGTTGAAGTTGTTATGGAGGAACATAAACCTGTATATCGGAATTAGTTATTTGTATACCCGCGCTGATCCCACACGAATTGTCATAGACTAAGAGTTTCAATCGCCTTTGGTGCAACTCGCTTACCAGTTATATGAAGGAATGCTCGATCCTGCTCCCACGACCAAGTGCCGCGCCGTTCTCCAGGGGTCATATCCCACAGTCTGGATCGCTTCTTCCTTTCCATCTTCATTTTGATTCTGTGTAGACTGAGGCACCTCCGAAGGGAATAGTAGCTGGGCACTCAGATCTCCGCACAGATAGATGACAATCGAACTCCAGAACTGTGTCGCATACGGCTTGCGCTCCTGTACCCGCGAGTACCATCGCCCAACCCGGCCCAATGGACCAGCTTTAATGATCTCCCGTAACCCTCGAGATCGCACCACTGTGTTCGCAGCCGGGGTGGTCGCCGCGCCGGCGGCTGTGGCTGCAGGGTTCGCCGAGTTAGACGTGGAAGGGGTTGGTGCCGAACTCGGCGACAAGGTTGTAGACGATGGATTTGACTGGGACGGCTTTGGAGGTAAGCCTCCATTCACTGCGGAACCATTTCCTGGAGTTTGACCCTCGACAGGCGCTCCTGGCGCTGAGGCATTCGAGGACTTGTGTCGTAGCGGCTGACGCACCCGTCGCAACGGAGATCGCACACCGGGAGCTACTGTTCGTGAGCGGATCGCGAACGCCGAGACCTGAGCGCTGAGTCCCTTCTGGAAGAGACTCATTTCCAGCACGTCAACGAACAAATGTATCGGAGATGATGGCCGCCGAGGATTGGCAAGATTCGGCTCGGCGTGACTCAAGTTTATCGGGGGGCCTTGAAACTGTGGCGATAAGCCGGCGATAATCGGACAACTTCTCCGAATCTCCGATTACCCGAGTCTGCCCGATTTCATTCAAACTGAGTTGATCTATCACATTGATAGTCCGAGTTATTCATCTATTATTAGTATTGGAGCTATGGAATATTAGACCTATGCTCGCGATCCATAGTCCATATAACCTGACCGAAATTCTTCGCTTGAAAGGGATGGATTGATAAGCCAGCCTTTTTTCAAATGTTTACATGCATCTAGTTGGGGGTTTGATTGGAGAATATATAAATCAATTATCCGACTACCAAAAGGTAGTTCTAACTCCGAAATATATGCAGGTAATGATGATGCAACCCATAAACACATAAATCATCCCTAGTATGAACACGGGGAAATAGCAGGGTATAAAAACAAATCAACAATATGCGGCGGGATACGTGTTCTTCACAGAAGACGAAGACCCAGACAAAGAAAGGTTTTGATTTCCAGACGAAAAGGCCTGACGATAGACACTAAGATTATTGCAGGGGAAGTAAGGTGAGAGATGGGAGAAAAATGATGAAAATGATGGGAGAGAAAAACATGGGTCGTTTAGTTCTTGAACGATTCGCGGGTGTGGACCCGATCAATATCGTACGGGTTGCCTTCGTAGGTTGGCACGCGGTGCAACGAGCTTGTGCGAGAGGCAGAAGAATAAGCGCGACTGCGGATGCGCTGTGCCGAGGGAAGCTCGCCAGTAGCGGAATCGGACTCGCTGGACAGCGATCCGTCTGGAGCAGGAGCCTCGGTGCGATCGAACTTAATCTCCTCTTCCTTTTCGGATGGGATAGCAGTGGCCTGCTCCTGGATCTTGCGCATGAACGCATCGGACTGAGCAGCGAACTTGCAGCGTTTGCGGATGGCGGCACCATACTTGTAGAACAGGAACGGGAAGGGTAGACAGGCGAGGGCCAGGAACGCGGGGATCGAGGAAGCCCAGTGGATACCCAGGCTGTTATACATGTAGGTGGTGAACAGAGGAAATGCAGCACCGAAGCAGGAACGCAGGACTGAGTTGGCGGCAAGGACGGATGCGGCGAAGATGGTGTAGGCATCGATCAGGTAGTTCATGATACCTAGGAAGACAAGCACCATGCCAAAGCCGAAGGGCACACCAGCCGCAATGCTGGCCATAAAGTGGATCGAAGGGTAGTTTGTCCACGCAAACCAGAACAAGCCCACAGGGACTGCGATCGAGGCGACCATAGTAGGCGGCAGACGAGCCTCCGGGGGCGCGAAACCTTCATGCGCATCCTGGACCTTGATATACCGCTTATTGTCCCAGAGAGTATAAACCACGGCAATCAGCATGCCAACCATGATACCGAGGAAAGCCAGGCCGCCAATTCCTTGGTTCCAGCCACGATCTGCTTGGTAGACAATAGGGAAAGCCGCGAACATCATGTACAGGGTACCGTAGATGATAGCCATATACAGCGATAGAAGGAAGACAATCGGCTCTTTGAGCAACAGGATCCAGGGGCGGGACAGAGCAATCTTGAAGGAGTCCTTCAGAGAGACCTTTCCTTGGTCGATGTCGATCTTGCTAGTATAGACCTTGCCCGTGAGCTTCGAAAGCTTCTCGGCACGGCGGCGGAGCAGCACCGGCGCGTAAGTTTCCGGGATCAGGAGGGAGCCCAAGATCCAAACCGCACCCGAAAAGATGGCCAGAAAACCCATCACCCACTTCCATCCCTCGTTCATTCCCAAGAAACCACCAATTATGGGACCCAAGACGGGACCGAGGAAGGGCGCAGCAGCAAAGAGACTCATAGCAATCCCACGCTGCTTCGCCGGAAACATATCAGCAATGACGCCACCGGCGTTTGTGAGGGGAGAGGATCCAAAGGCGCCGGCAAAGAAACGGAGGATGATGAGAGTCCAGGAATTCTTCGCGCCGGTGCAACCAGCATTGAATGCAGTCAGGGCGCAGTAGGTGGTGGTGAAGAGGATCTGGCGGCCGAACAGCTCGCTGAAAGGAGCCCAAAGCAGCGGGCCAACCTATGATTGAGTCAGTGGCTATGCTCTCCTCTCCAACCTCCTCTTTTGCTAATCATCTTTTGTTTTCATGGTCGCGTGGAACTTACAGCAAAGCCGATAACGAAAAGCGAGACACCCAAAGTAGCGACTTCGTCTCCGATACCAAATTCCTCTTCAATTTCCGCAACACCGCCGGTATAGGCGGAGGAAACCAATGCAACAGCTAAGGTGGCAATAGCCACAAGCATTGTGAAACTCCATTTCTTCACTTCGCTGAAATTCATGGGGTTGCGAGGATCGTTGGGGATCCATGTCACAGCGTACGGGTCGTCCTCTGTGCCGGAACCAGGATATGGATGGTTCATGACTTCCTGGGTCACCACGCCTTGGTCGAATACGAGGCGCCAGTATGGGATCTTGGTGGGGAGGACGGGTTCGATCTTTTCAGATGCATGATGCTCTTCGGGGCTCGCCATGGTGAGCAGACTGGGTGTGGACCACCCGTCGGGTCAAAATGATTGGAGGCGAGTATATATAGAAGTCGAGGAAGTGGGTTGGTGGAAAGCACGAGTCGCCAGAAGTATGAGTTGAAAGTTCACAATTGAAAGAAACCGTGTGCGCAAGGTTATTTCGTGAGAATCTAATGACCTTGTTTATGCCCCGTTTGCGGGGATAGCCGATGAGGGGAAAAATACCGGATTCAGGTCGAAATCGGTGGAGTATGTGGGATGGACCACCAGAATGGGATGTTCGAGAAGTATCGAGGATTATGGGTATAGCGATATTCCGAAAGAAAAGAGCGATAGATCCATTCCATCTACAGGGCGCCCTTTTAATAAATGATTGAACGATGGCAGGTCCAGTTGGGCTGATGGACCTTGTGGCGTTTTTTTTCTTCTATTTTTTTCTTACTGCCCATTACAAACCACGGACCTCAGCCGGTGTTAAGGGATTATACAGGGAATGCGTGCATATCTCTTAGGGATAAACGCCCTAGCGGCGCGAAACACGGACTGCTGTTGACTCCGCCCATGGGTAAGCATCAAGCTCAGAGAAAAAATGGGGACCGGCTCAGCGGGGCCTTATCCATTTACAGCTTCCTGCCAAGGTCAAGTAATCGGGAAAGCCGAATACCACCACAGGACAACTGGCCGTCCATTTAGAACTGGATTTGAAGCAAATTTACTCTACAGTAGAAACCACGATGGGGTTATTGGGGAAGCGCAGAATCCCTTTGCACAGTTCGAATCGAATTAAAAACAAGTCTGAAAACGAGCTGCAAACGTCATTACCACGTGACGTGATCATGCATAGCATAACGCCACGTTGACTTGTGCGCCGGATACTCGGCACAAGCCTGGTTGGCGCCCGGACACGGGGGCTTGGCGGCGGATACTCGGCACAAGCCTGGTTGGCGCCCGGACACGGGGGCTTGGCGGCGGATAAATCTGAAACTCGCACCCAGCAGGTTGAGCCGAGAACCCAACCAACGCAATCGTCAACTGGAAAATGTGTCCGGGCGATCTATACGGAGCCAGTCGACGTGACGACGAAAGGACCATAATTGTGCGTCTTTTTGAGAGGAAATCGTGGGCTTTTGACCTAGTGCTTATGTTGAAGCATCAAAAACAGCACTTGTCACATTAAGTTTAGCGCCTTGGAGACAAAAAATACTCATCACACACCGACGGCCTCGTATATCAGAGATCAATATTTTGTCAATGTAGTAGGATACTGCATAGGCTTTTGAAGGTGGGGTCCAATAGAATGCGATGCTCGATGTGATGTCTAAATATCGTTACGGGGAAACAGCCTACGATAGGTGTTTCAATATCCCCTAGCGTCTTGTAGAGCTGGGTTCCGGGTATACCCGGGATACTGTACGTAACGAGCGGGGGATTGAGTATCTCTGTAATGTCTGAACATACAGCGGAGTATATGGGTCCTCGCGGCAATATGTGGCTTCTTCCTCTCGACGGGTTTCCAGGCATTTATCGGATTTCTTTTTACAGCTCAGTTGACTTAAGAGTCGTGAATGGAGGCTAGAAATGGTTGCGGTGCGTCGAGTGCTGGAAGCGCTTCCTCTTGTTGGTCATTTTCGACGGCGCTACCACGACGCTACAACTTCCTATCTTCTTCTGTATAGTCTGTACTTCGTAGTCTGATAGATGCTTCGTATGGCGGTATAAAATTCACCTACTCCACAGAAAAGTGTTCTCTGTCATTCAAATGCCGAAGTTCCAAGTAGGGCAATTAGGGGCATAGTAATTTCTCCTTAAAATAAGATTATTACAGCGAAAATGGTCTTAGCCGCGTTTGGATGGCAGGAAAAAGACATTGCGAGGCCAAGTCGGTGATCCCAGACCTTAGTGATTTAGGGGATTCGGGGCGATGCACGTCGCAGACAATGCAACACACTGGCGATCTTTGTGAAAGAAAGGCTTCAGTGAATTGAGGGAGGGAGAGAGATGCTGGAAGGAAGTTCTTTTGCGTGGACTGGAGATCTCACAGTGCGAAGATCTCAGAGTTGAGAGTTTTCAATATTTTGCATGTTCTTTTCTTTTGAGGGTTTACCCCTCGTGCGCTCTTTACTGTTTCATTTTGTGTTTTCCATTAAATTCATGCAGCTGAGCATTCATCTGATGACCTTAGAGAACAGGAATTCTCCCGAAGAGCGCTGGACGGACTTGGCCGGGTTGCGGGCAGCTATTCTGAGAGCTAAGCGGGCCTAGCGCAACCTCGCATGACAATTTGTATGTATATAGAACCAAGGCGCTCGATGACAAACCTGACATGCAGGCAGGGTGAGATGGATCAACGAACAAGTCAACAAACCAGCACACACCACGAGGACGGCCTTCCAAAGAGGGAAAAGACACAGTCTGAACGAAAAGAGCGTAGGAGTGACATATCTCCCTATCGGAGATGTGAAGCTATATCTGTAAAGACTGTGTACTCTGAAAGATATTCTCCAATTGAAAGCAGCTTTCGTTCTCATTTCTCAGCTTGCCACCTCACACTCCGGGAAAATGACTTCATCATCATCACCCTCACCAGACAATAGTAGTAAAAAGCAACTTCCAGTTTGCTTTTAGAGCCCTTGGGTCTAATCCCCACCCTCCTCGAATACCTCGGTGGGTTAGATATCATCGTTCACACTGAAAGCCGTCCGGGTTTTGTCCGGTTTCCGCGACCCTTGCCATGGGCAGCGGAGAATACCGGCGATACCTTGAACTCGATTCCATAGCGTCGTAGAGGTTCTTTCCTCTATCGTCGACAGGATAGAAGCTTGTTTATGAATATAAGTAAGTGTATCGGCAATTTGCTGGCGGTGGCTGCTATTCATATCCACCTGAGACCACTGGTAAAAGGTTAGCCTGGGCATTTAGGAATCTCGAGACATTATATAATGAACCTTTCCCTTGACATCAATTTGAAGAAAATGAAACTGATCATGATCAGTAGAGAGGCCGAAAACGGCATGTGGGGCCCTTCTATCGCATCGGCGTTGTCTATGAACCATGCCCATATAGGCAAGCGCTTGAGGTATGCCATGCGCAGATTTTCCCTTGTCTCGTTCTACGATGACAAGATTGAGAGCCAGATGATTCAAATTTAGCCCAGTTTCCAAAGGGTCATACCAAAGGGAGTAACAGGGGAGGCCTTGTAGACAGTACGTCGAACCCTTGTACTTAACTGGCCCAAATGAAAACCGGTATTTGCCTTGTATTTTGATCTGAGGCAAGCTAGCCTGCTGATCGGGGCTTGTAGAAAAAGAAGCACCAATAAATATAGCTAGGCGAAGCCTCTGGGCAACTTCATGCCCCCCGTCGACTGAATGAAGTGGTCAATCATATTCAGAATCTCGTCTGAGTAAGATGTAAGAATCAGTGGAAGTTTCAAAGATGTTTTCAGATCAATCTTACTGCAGCAGTCTGGAATTTCACACGGAGTCTGCATCTGCACCCAATCCATACTACGACTTTTGGTCAGATGGAAAATATCTTCAACATCGCGAAGTTGAAGTTTTTGGACAGATAAAGTGGAAGAGAGACGCAAAGGGGCCATGGAGAGTCAAGAAAAGAAGCAAAACTTCGTAAGTAGTCAGAAGGTGAGTTGAGAGGCTGTTGAGATAACCTGTTGTGCCAGGAAGTTTGAACATATTCCTAGCAACTACGTATTACATTAGACACTTTGACACTCTCTACCTCACTTTCCGTGGCCAAGGCGGGAAAAGTAAATAGTAGGCGATTAAGTGCCAAATAGGCAGTAGCTATAGGCCCAATTGGGTATAGTAGGAGTCGCTTGTTGCTACTATGTCAAATTGAGATCCTTTCATGGGCAATATCTCTCACTCACCTGTCTGATTCTTATCACCTGTCTAGTTTTCATCAAGCCACCTTCCACCTATTGTCTACTGACCCTCTTCCATCCTCTCGTCGTGTGATTCCCATCCCCTTGTTGTATGATTCCTACCCTCTTGTTGACAGTTTCTCATCCTCTTGTTGTGTGGTTCTGACCCTCTTGCTGTGTGATTCTCACCCTCTTGTTGTGTGATTCCTACCCTCTTGTTGACAGTTTCTTATCCTCTTGTTATGTGGTTTCATTCTTTTGCTACGTTTCTCTTTCCCTTTCGGACTACCACGTCTTCGGTATGACTCCAACAGTAAAAGAATTTACCAAGACCATCAAGGATTTTCTCCGTAGCCATGCACACAGAAAAGACCTCAAGCGACTCGTCGAAAACGTCGATGAAAGCAAATCAGAGTCTAAGTCAAAGCTGCCAACCCTCGCTGTTTCTACTCTGAAACGTCATGAAGTCGAGGCGATGCTTCATTTGAAGCTGACGGCAAATGATCCTGATCTGGGAATTGTGCCACCAATGCCTTTGCCAACTGGGTTAAGTAGGTGAGCCCGGAACAAAATCGAGAACATATCCTTGCTAATTTGACTTAGGATATATCTTGAGAGTGATTAATGCGACCGTTGATCAAAACGATATCTCCGAAGCTAAGATTCGGATTTGCCTAAACATGCTTCTCATATGCGCGCAGTATCATGTTCGCTTGAATACTACACACCACGGCCGATCCCTCTACTTGAAGCCCGAAAGTACATGGAGATATGGGCCAGTCAAGGACCACCACAAAAAAGGTCAATTTGTCTGGGAAGCCTGATTACGCGTTCTGGTACGGAGAGGTTGAAGAAATAGCGGTTAATGTAGTTGTCCTGGAAGCCAAGATGAGGGTTGAGACCTCTTCTGGTGTGGCCCAGTGCTTAGGATATATGGATGAGTCTGAAATCACATATGTGCTATTGGCGAAATCTAACTCGCTCAAAGGGATGGTGCTTAGGCTGCGAAAGGACCAACACAGACAAGATTGTACTGTGTATGGAATGAGCGCCGACGGTGAAACCTTTTGGTTCCTAAAGATCAATAATGATTCCCAGGTAAGAATTTACAGGAATCTTAGTGAATCGTCTTGCTCTATCAATTGACAAGACTTCAGTGGTCGCAGCACATTGTGAACATATACAACGAGAACTACGAACAGGTATTTGGGTTGCTCGAGTATTTCCTCCGTAAAGCTTCACTAATGTCGTCCTCGCATTCCAAGGAATCATCGAACCAGGTCCATGAAAAGGAAGGATCAGGAAGCTCTGCACGCACGATCTACTTGCCAGAAGACGAGGATATAGCGATGGAACTTACCAGACATCCAGACAACTAGCTGTAGCTCTGAGGATGCTTCGGTTTTTCAAAGTTAATTGTTATATTGCTAAATACATATTTTTTATCTCTGGTGTACACGTCGAGGCCATCGGTGTGTGATGAATGTTTTCTTAGGCGCTCAACTTAATGTGACAAATACTGAACTTGTAACCCTCTAAGCTAGATCACATGATTATAAGGCACCTTCTTAGCTAGCACATAGAGAAGAATAAGATCATCTTTACATCTCCTGACTCTATCACAGAACTCGATGCTTCAACATATGTGCTAAAAGGAAAACCCACATTTTCCTCTCAAAGTACCAGACATAGTCGTGATCTTTTCGCAGTCATTTCGACTTACTCCGTACAGTTCAAAATCACCCGGACACATTTTCCAGTTGACGAATGGGTTGTTCTGGTTCTCGACTCAACCTGTTAGGGGGTGGGGCAACAATGCGCACGTGCATAGCGCGGATTGGGAGTCTACAACACCAGACACGACCAACTCCACGCGTCGCGATCATAGCACGTCGGATAAAGTGTGGTTGGTGATCAACAGTGCAAAGGAATGGACCAGATGGAAATGGGTTGAATCATAGAAGATCGCATTTCAGCGTCTATGTCATGAGATGGTGCGCGCTAAGGCACCATGGTAAAGAGGATTTCCTTTAATGTACATGCCCATGACTGAACCACCCTGGTGCGTCTCTCTATTCAAGAGCAGACCGGGTAACAGTAGCATTGATCACGCGAGATAATAAAAAAGCAAAATTCAGAAACAACCCTTGTTCCGAAACCCATTTGATATTCGAAAAGAAAGCAAAACCCATCATGTTGTCGCCAGTAGTCATGAAAGAAAAAGCAGAACCCCATATCGCCTTCCCATAAGAGTCAACAAGAAAGTAGCCACCCCGCTAGATGGGTGAAGCCATCTAGGAGCGCTCGCCACGGAGACGGCGGGCCAGCTGGATGTCCTTGCTCTGGATGGTAACACGCTTGGCGTGGATAGCGCAGAGGTTGGTGTCCTCGAACAGAGAGACGAGGTAGGCCTCAACGGACTCCTGGAGAGCACCGATGGCGGAGGACTGGAAGCGCAGGTCCGACTTGAAGTCCTGGGCGATCTCACGAACCAGACGCTGGAAGGGGAGCTTGCGGATCAGAAGCTCAGTGGACTTCTGGTAGCGACGGATCTCACGCAGAGCGACGGTACCGGGCTTGTAACGGTGGGGCTTCTTGACACCGCCGGTAGAGGGGGCAGCCTTGCGAGCGGCCTTGGAGGCGAGCTGCTTACGGGGAGCCTTGCCACCAGTGGACTTACCTGTTGCGCGACAGTTAGCATGTTGTTTTGATAGGGTGGGGGCGCGACGCGTTGGATTCGATTCGGCGCTTGTCTGAAACGGGAAGTGGTGTCGGAGTGACACCACTTCCTTTGTCTCGCAGCGCCGAACCGAGACCACGAGGTGCGGCAAAGAGAATCAGAAGTGAGTGGAGTACATACGGGCAGTCTGCTTGGTACGGGCCATCTTTAATTTGATGAAGATTGATGGGTTTGGTGATGGAAGAGGATGGTTGGATGGTTGAGTTGGTCGACTGGAGGGATGAAGAAGGGAAGAGGGAGAGGGTGGGGTGGCGGTATTTGTAGGAGGGCGGCCGGGCTGGTGATCTGAGAGTTGCGGGTGGGCGAATCAGGGCGCCGTCTGTCGGATCAACTGGCAGGCCCTGCAAAGCAGACGCTCGGAATCGTGGCTTCTGATTGGCCGATGCGGACTCGCGGGCTAAGCGAGAGCCTGTCTCGGGATCGACCAATCAGCGGGCCAGATCATTGATCTCAAATGCCATTCTTGGCCCAGCCGTGATCTACGTGATCCCCGCCGCCGGGGGGATGGGAGGGGTTGAGCGCTGGGCGGATGGTATTCTACATGCCAGACAGGGGGTGGCCGGGTCTACGGGGGATTTCTATCGAGGGGGTAGGGGATGAACCAGGGAGGTAGGAAGGAGGAAGCCGGACGGTCCATGGATGTCCGAGGATGACTGATCCGCCTGATCGGCCACGGATGCCCCTTCACCGCCTTGCGCCAGGCCCGGTCGGAGCAGATCACGCTAGCGCCGGGATCCTCATCTCTCATTGGTCGATCCGCCAGTTAGCGCGTGATTTCTGTGATTTCCTGTCCCCCCGCGTTGCGCGCAGCTTCTGCTACAAATATCCATTTCCCCTCGAGCATCTCTCCTCCATCCATTCTCGACAACAACCGTCTCTCCACTTTCTCAACTTTCCCACAACTTCCTTTACTAACAACTTCATACATCATGTCTGGCCGTAAGTCTTTTACCCCTCCCCCGCCCTCGATTGGTCTCGACCTTTGCGACGCGTCCTAACGCGTTCTTTCTCCCAGGTGGAAAGGGTGGCAAGGGTCTCGGCAAGGGTGGTGCCAAGCGTCACCGCAAGATTTTGCGTGACAACATCCAGGGTATTACCAAGCCCGCTATCCGCCGTCTCGCTCGTCGTGGTGGTGTCAAGCGTATTTCCGCTATGATCTACGAGGAGACCCGTGGTGTCCTCAAGACCTTCCTTGAGGGTGTCATCCGTGACGCTGTCACTTACACTGAGCACGCTAAGCGCAAGACTGTCACTTCTCTTGACGTTGTCTATGCTCTCAAGCGCCAGGGCCGTACGTTCTTCCCATTGTTCCCTCTTTGGGTGTTTTTTCTCCGTCGGGGCATATTCACTGACTCTTCTCTTTCAGGCACCCTGTACGGTTTCGGTGGTTAAGCGTGTCATGTCTTTTCTCTTCCTGGGTTGTTTCACGGTATGATGGGACGTTGGGGTGTTCTCTGATTTATTTTACAATCGTCATGGGTCTCTGGGTTTGCTTTTCATTACACGATTACCACTACTTTTTGCGTCCACTATGGGTCTGCTAGTGTTCGCCCTTTTGAGCTTTCCTGTATCATAGCGGCCTTCTTACAGTATGGCTGGCACCACTCTAGAAAGTGGGATCGATCACCTTCTGTGATCTGATACGAATAAGAATTAACTGGAAACTGCAATCAATTTCCCGTGTTCCGTTGTAATCTGCGCTCATCTGCGTTCTGCTCGCTTGTGTTTACGTGTTGTCTTGGTGGCCGTGTCGCGTTCGGCGCGTCTGAGCCTTGTTGTCCCGGTCCATATGGTGTGTCATATCGTGTTTTGCGAGTAGCGTACGATATACGTTATGGGCGCCGTACCCCCATCATGGTACGTACACGATGTATGTCGACTGCATGACTGGCAATCTCTCGGATCAATGCCATTCTCAGGCACCTGTGTCTCGCTCCGCCGTATGAATTGTAGTCGAGTCTATTTTCAGTCCCATTCTATCTGTTTCGACGTCCTAGTAGGTCGCTTCTGGTCTAGCCTTGTTAGGCCAAGGTTCATCATATTTGTATCTTATCATTTAGCATTGATGGCCATTGGGGAGTTGGTCTGTTGATTTTTATCAATTTGTCGATCCATTTTTGCATTCTGCTCTTGGCCATTGGCTCCGGTCGTCTTTTTTTTTGGTAGGGAAGTGTTGTTGCTGAGGTCAAAGATTGGGGGAGATATAAATGTAACATATATATATGTGTGACTGTATTCCACCAACATGAAACTTCAATTACTATATTGTTAATCATGGATTCTGCCCATGCAAAATTTACAGTCAAACAAAGCCCAAGCTTTAAATCTCTCAATAGAACCCATGAAAAGAGCTACCTTATTCCTTACCACTGGGGGAGAGATAAAAATGCTGGCCGATCGCAACCCGACCGGTGGCCTGGGGTTCAACTGGGTTCAACTTGAGGTTCAGCTGGAGCCAAGGGGTTCAACTTTTTCTTGGCACCAAGTGTCCACGTCCGAGCTACGACCAACTCATATCATGTAGCCGAGATGCTACTAACATGATCCACTCCACCAGACCCGGTAGAGAAAAGTGTCCAACGCAGGCGGAATCCGTTAAATTCCATTACATCCAAAACAGCAAAGCGTGGTGGAATTGGCGCTCATGTCGTGCTGACGGTACCAACCGGAAGCCCCCCCCCCTTGGGGCCCTCAACTCTTCAGCTCCAAATTACTGGAGGACAGCAACACCTTTTCTAAAATCGAGTCCCAGCAGCTCGGAACCAGAGGCGTACCGCAAGACTGAACAGGGTGCAACTGGTAGCGCAATTGCCAACGACAATACGGTAACAAACCATGATCGTGCTGGAGTTTTGACCGGTCTATCCTCTTGCGACCGGTAAGCATCACAAGGCTGGCAATAGACGTGGGAACTGGCACAATTTCCCTCCAAATGACCAGCGCCACCCAAACCACGCCCAGCCGGAGCGAGTACGGAGTGGCCCAGCGGAGTGGTCCAGGCCTCCCTCTACTCTATTGGCACCTAGGGTAAACAACACGCTTGACGAGGATGGGCCCTTGGCAATCTCAACGAAGCGCCATGAAAGATGTTGTGAAGGTGGATTCTAATCGTCGCGCTGTGAACAACCACACCTAGACCCCGAAAGGATTTGCAATGACTGGCCACCATGGGCCACCAAATCCCATGCATGTACAATATGAGGTTGGCCAACAGCCACATGCACCGACGGCTGCCGATCGCCCAAGTGGCCTCTCAGCAGCAGACTAGAAACTCACCCATGTACAGGCCTGCTAGGTCAGCGAAGCCGACCAATCATGAAGAAGCGAAGGAAGGCGAACATTCAGGTCAAAAACATAAAGGGTGAACTAGCGGTCCTATGGGCGCAATAATTGGTTGCTACGGTCGATGTCAAGAAGGCTCTTCCAAATATTGAGCGACTGTCTCCGCGGAGTCATTTCTCCAGCCAACTGTCATGATGATCACCCTTCAGGGCACAGGCACACCTTATTCCACATAGACGCAAAACTTTTTTTTCAACCATTCGGCAGGACATCGCGAGCCTAATGCAAAAGCGACCGCACTAGCTAGCCAAGGATCCAGCCCGTGACTCCAAGACAGCACGGCGGATCCCAACTGGCTGATAAGCATAGTTCGTCTGGTCCGGTGGATCCACAATCTGGTCGTTGGGGACTGGTAGGGCCCTCTTACCCTGCATCCATATTATTCCATCCGGAATAAGCATGGTGATAATTGCTCTCTGGCCACGGAGGACTGCCCCCGCTCCTCCCTAACTGCCAAGTTCTTAAAGTCAAAGTTCGCGGGGAACCCGCCCCTTTCGAGATTCCGTCCAGGATCGCCGCCCACTCGGACCATGCGAACATGCGACTGTCGACCGTTGCGATTTTCCTGGGTCTCGCAGCTGGAGCTCTCGCAGCCTCAATCTCGTCGAACTCCACAGATTCCTCAAGCACATACACCGATCCGATCGACAACTTCTGCCAGCGGCTCTGGCATCAATGTAGGTCCACTTCCCTGACCAATCACATACACATCGTGACAAAAGGCTAAGCAGGATAAACAGCTGTCGTTAAAAATGATACGCTCTACATCGACGGTGGGTTGGAGGTCTTTATACCATACAATCAGCGTGGTAATGGCATAGGAACCCCGATCCTGGGATACAGTAAGTTGTCCCTCTCCGCCCTAGTCAACCGAAAGAATCATCCTCACCATGGCCATAGACGAATACCTGATCACAGTCGATATGGACTCATCTTGGGACTGGTACACTAATATATCCGAGACCGCATACAACAAGTCTGCCAACCCAAACACCGGGACCTCCCCCCCCGAGTAATGTCCGCGGAGCTTTGTATGCAGGAGCTGAAGATGACCCTAATCTCTACCAATATGGAGGCACCGTGTCATGGGCAAACACAAGTTTTCCCGGGTTCAAATGGCCGACCTCTGCAACATACGCACTCTGGTCGGTTGACACTTCTGAAAATTCGTGGAATCAATACGACGTGTCGCTCGATCTACCATATCGGCCAGCCGGAGGAGCATGGGCTGAGGCTACAGATCGGGGACTAGGTTTCTATCTGAATGGGTTCATTGACAATGGATCTTCTTCCAGCTTTCTCGACTTCCCCAATTTCCGCAGATACCTCGATGGCCTCGTGGTTATCAATACCACTTCACAGGAAGCACATAACCTGTCCACCACCTCGCTGGAGAACTACCCCCGTGCCATGGGCGGCCTAGCTTATATCGCAAACCTGGGGAGCGAGGGAATCATCGTATCCATGGGAGGAGTGACTAAGCCCTCAAGCAACAGTGACTTGTCAGATTTAGGGACATACGTAGGTCGCCCAACTCGGGAGGTTTTCCTAGATCACTGACTCACACCTAAGTCCAACATAGGTCTCCTTTGACAGTATCGACTTTCTTGACATTGCATCCATCAACGGCGGGGCCTCGAATGGCACATGGTATACACAAGCTACCACGGGTAGTATTCCCGACCCGAGGATTGACTTCTGTGTAATCGCTGTCTCTGCACCGGATAACTCCAGCCACAGCATATACCTTTACGGCGGTCGAGGTGCCAAGCAAGTCTACGACCAGACCTACGTCCTCACCATCCCCTCCTTCAAGTGGATTAAAATTCTAGAAGGGGAGTCTCCTCGTTATGGACATACTTGCCATGTCGTCGCTGAGTCGCAAATGTTGACCGTTGGCGGTGTCCAGTATGACAACCTCACCAACGGTTGCGACTGGGAGTATAAGAGTGTTGCAATTCTGGACCTGAAAACGTCCAAATGGGGCGAAGTTTTCAACAAAGATGCCGGCCAATACGAGCTCCCATCGTCGATATACAATGTCATAGGTGGCAGGTAAGCCTTCCCAACCCCGCCATCACCCTCTGAAAACACCCGTGCCAAGCTAAGACCTGAAAAGTGCAACTGGGAATGCAACCGTGACGAGACCATCCGCAGGCTTCAGCAGCGAAAAGATCGCAGCGTTTTTCGACCAGCCTGGCACAACCGTTGAAAATACGACAAATCACAAATCTAGCCAGCTCAATGGTGGCGACATTGCTGGCATCGTGATTGGATCCGTGGCTGGCGCATTTATCTTCGCCATAATTCTGGCCGTATTCATCATCCGCAGAAGGAAGAAGCAACTTGCCCTCGCAACGGGCCAGGTATATACTACACCCACGCTGAGTGAACTCCTGGGAGATGTGCCCCTGTTTGGAAGAGTGTTTCTTCGCCGCCGCAATGCCAAACCTGTGGAATTGCCCACTGGCTCTGAATTGGGTCATGAGTTGGATGGGCGTATGATGCCCGTTGAGCTTCCGGCAGATCCGATTGAAGAGAAAAAATCTAGTGCTGGGCCTGATGATGCCCTTGATGAGTAATATAATGAATGTCTATCACGAGTTGAAATTAATTGAAATGTATGTGCTCAATTTTATGACCGTGTCTAGGCTCTCCCTTTCATCGTGATACCTTCTTTGGACTGTCCTCTTGTCTGACCCGCAGTCTGTAGATTATTTATGAGTCTTCTAAACTTCTACCTTCTGATTCTCTATGACAATCTAGAGTTTCGAATTTTTTCGCTGGGGATCAGGGTCGATCATTGCCTGCAGTGTCGGCACCCAATCCACCATGGACTTTAGCCTCTCATCAATTGGTCTTTGAGCCCATCGCTCCGCGATCCGGGCTTCATCCTCTTTCCAACGCTGCACGGTCTGGCTAATCCAAGGGCCAACCGAAGCAGCCGTTTCTCCTACTTTCTCCAACGGCAATTGATGAGTCCCTTTGAGGATGGTCTGCTTCACCCGCATGGCCTTCACACCGCCACTGCCCCCAACGCCGGTCCCAGTGCGATTCAAGATATTCGTACGCGCTTCCGGATAAGAGATGGGGCTTTTGCTTCCGAGTACATAGTGCACGGGCGGCCGCACGTGCTTCATCAATTTCCATGCTAGAATGGGTTCGTACCGATAGAAGGGCGAGGTGGCATGGGGAGGGCCAATAATGTCCGCGTAAAGAAGAGGATCGGGCGGTGGTCCCACCGCCAGATTGTCTTCTTGCCCCGTCGGCTTGTGGCCTACGGGATTGGGCCGAAGATATTGCAGAACCTCTTGGTACTTCGAGCTGGTCAGGGTCACTGGGTCGCCTTGCGCGGAAGTTGTTGGTAGATCGCGGTATGCATGACGGATCCATCGCTCCAGAACGCGCTCATCCCATATTTTATGTGCTTTGCGAGCGGCTTCGATAGCGGCCGAGCGGGATTTCCAGGTGTCACGTCGTTTGAGCGAGACGATTGACAGTAGGGGGCCTTTGCCTGTGAACATGTCGGGCGCGATGACCGGCTCGATCAGGGTCAAGGAAGTGAGTAGGCGCGGGTGGAGGAGCGAAAGCAGTACCCTGATAGCTGGTATTAGGATAATTGTGTCTTGATATTTTTCTTTTCTCAATTGAGTGTGCTTACAGCTGGCCTGCACCCATACTATGTCCCACCCCGACTATGGGGCGCGGCATCTCATCTCGAAACTTGTTGATCATATAGAGAAGATCACGACCGTGATCGAACCATGACGCTGGGTCTTGTTAGACAAATTTGAAGAAAAATTTCTTTTTACTCACGATCATTCCCTAGATTAGATTCATTTTGGACTCCGCTAGCCCCGAGGTTCGCAACGTCGGCAATCCATATCGCTCGGATTCGGTATCCATCTTGTTGGCTGCGGGCGAGAAGGTCCTCCCACAATGGCTCATAAACCTCCTAGTGCGAGAGATCTATGATTTAACTGGCTGAGATTGGAAAAATCGAGCGATCTATCTGGTGCAACGTGGTGCTCACCTTTGGAAACCCACATCCATGTGCTCCAATGATGGTCACGTCCCCGGGCTGAGGATTTGGGTTGTCAACAGGAGCATACTTTTTCAAGACAAGCTTCAGAGGCACATCTTGGCTAACAGAGGTAGCATCGGGGTATTCTCGAATATGCTGTCCGTCAATAATATGTTCAGTCACTGTAAATGGAAATGTCGAGACATCAGGCATAGTTTTCTTTTTCGCAGCGAGATCAATCGTATGGGACATGGCTTGATTCAAATTATTTTGTTTGATGACACAGCATTTGATCTAAGCCGGGTTTTCGATTATTTTAAATACCAGCCAACCCGCAGACCTATTGTGCATGACGATAACCGTGAGACCATACACCGCATATGCTGATAAACGTAGCACATTGCCGAGCCGGACATGCCGACAACAGATAACCCGCCCTCGAAACTACAGGTCTGCGGTTAGCACATGTACCCAGTAACATGCAAGCATAAAATTATTGGGATCGCGGCAATTCGTCCACGTAAAAATTCATGGCGAGCTGAATGGGCGCGTTTCTGGAATGGTTCGTCGGCTTCTTTCGCCAATTTCGAGTCCAAGTGGGTCGGTTTGGTGGGTTAGTGTGTCCATGTGGACGAATAAGTTTGATCTTGTTACCGTTCAGGTCGATTCTGTAAAGTGAATATAGTCAATGATTGGGGGCACGGTTGGCATTGTTAGTTCTTTACTTGGAAGTAGCTCGTGGCTGTAGATTCGGAAAAAGGTATCTAGAGCCCAAGTTGCTGTTCCTCATACCGTGGGCACTCAACTTACAACCTTCAGGCGATCGAGCATCTTCTGCCAGCAACCGGGCGGTCCGACCCACCTATCTATTGCAACTATTACCTTCTTTAAGCACGCTAGAGTATTATTGCCGCGCCACATGGATTGGGTTAAATTAAGTTGGTCGGTTCTCATTTACGCTAAGAAAGATAGCCGTTGGGGATCTGCTATTTGATACAGCTTCGTGGTCTAATCCTTTTTGGGGATCCCGTCTACAGAAATTTCTTTAAATGACGCTACTAAGGACGTCTTTTGAATGTTAGTCGTTGCAAGAAGGGTGCGAACCAAGACTGAATTTAGTAGCTGTACCAAGCAAATTTCGGTGGGCACTGGTGCTTTGGAGACAGACTTTCTTGACTACTCTTTACCGGACCTCGGGGCTGATCAAACACAGAAATAAAGAAAAGCGGGTTTCGTATATGCATACGATATCTCAGCGGATTATATGGCAGATGAACATGAGTATCGGACTAGGATTGACAGAATCATTACTCTACTGTCTCGGTAGATCCTTGAATGCTCTATGAAACAGGACACTCTTTGTGCTGTTCGTCATCAGTATGGTCAAACCCTTGATAGTCTAATTGCTCCCTGCAATTCGACGAGTTTTCAATTCTTGTACTCAGGGGGCGGTGCCTTAGTCTGTGGTGCTACCGGCACCGACTCTCCCTTCGACACTTTAGAGGTGCGCAGTAACATTCTGATCCTTGGCTTAGAAGTGTAGGACTCGGGAGTATGGCCGTTCTCATCCTTCACATCAACTGTAGCACCATGCGCAAGTATAAGCTGTATCATCTCATATGATGTATCGACGAACCCCATGGTATCAGCGGAGACGGCCACGTGAATGGCTCGTCGCCCTTTATTGTCTTTCATCTCAATATCCGCGCCATGATTCAAAAAGATGCCAGCCATCTCAATATCACCTGTCCTGATGGCGTCATGGAAGACGTTGCCCCTTTGGGGACGGTAGGTCTTATATAGATTTGAATATTGCCGTAGGAATATTTCCACGGTCCGCTTGTGTTTATTCTGACACGCGTACGTAAATGGAGTTTCCTCGAACATATCCTTTGCGTCGACTTCTAAACTGGGTCCCATTGGACGGGCCCATAGAGATCGATCTAAATTTTTGTCGTGTTTAAGAAGAAGCTCGCAGACATCAGCATGCCCTTTTTTAGCGGCCCAGTGCAGCGGTGTTTTTCTTCCATCCGTGCTCAGGCTGGAGGCGCCATGATTCAGAAGTAGTTGAACAATATCGATATGGCCAAATCCTGCAGCAAGGCGAAGGAGTTTATGCTGGTCAATTTGTTTAGTGTCAGATATACCCGGATCACACTCGAGGAGCAAGCGGACGATCTGTTGGTGACCTGCTTTTACCGCGAGGTGGACGGGTATCGCGTATTTGCCATCTCGAATCCGAGGTGATGCATTCTTCTCCAGAAGAAGACGGGCAATATGCCAATGACCTTTATTTGCTGCATTGTGCAAAGCCGAAGTTCCGACTTCGTCCACAGTATTTGGGTCTATAACGCCCTCTAAGAGCGTCGTAACAAGGTCGAGCCGGCCATGATCGGCCGCAACAATGATGTTTGCCTCCGGCTGGTCTTCAATCTTTGACTCTCCCGCCATCTTGACAGACATGGTGGAATAAGTCAGTGCTAGGAGCGAGGTTGGAGAGCCTCATCATGCCAGAAGTTTATGACGTTAATGTGCCAAGTTAGCCTAGTCTTATTCTGGTACGAATAAGCGAAGCTATCGAGGGTGCCATCTCTGAGCGTGATTGCTTCTGATTCTTCAACACCCTGCCAAGCTCGAATCTGTTGACGGCGGCGCCCATATCGGTGTCCTATCCCCTAGAGACGCGTTGCTAAAGCATTTACATATGCTCTCTCTCTACGAACGAGAAAGGAAGAATGTGGGGACACACTGCTATTCCTCGGCTCTGCTGTAATAAGACCAGAGCCCATTGCGTAGTAAGGGGACACTTAACTTCAAAATATGGTCATCTTGCCTGAGGGGTAAGAAGGGGGCTCGAATGGGGTAATGATTCCCATTTCAGGGTTGAACTCCTGTTGTTAATGAAATGCGCGCATGGCAACTCGCCACAATGACTAGTTACTTGCTTTTATATTTAATGCCGTCTTGATCATAAATTTAAGGCTAGACTTTTCGGAGTATATTTTGAGAGAGTATTCAGGAAAGCGCTCGAAAGCGGATCCTTGAACACAGCATTTCAGTGTGAGCCCAACGCCAACACGGACGCTGCACGTTCACTGGAAAGAGGATACGCCTTCTCATTGGGAAGCTTATCACTGTCATAGTCCAATCCATGATTCAATATGCGATTGATTTCCAAAATTTGTTTTGTTGGGTCGCAGACATTCACTACCCACTCCTGTATATAGCGTCTTTGCGCTTCATCGGTTACCCTTAGACGTATACAGTCATAGCCGAGCGGGTTCCCCTCTATATCCAGATCCGCGCCCCGCTGAACCATGACAGGGGTGTTCCTTCTCCGTTCATCCCAATCCGACTTTGTTGGATGGACGGTGGTGGGCTGAAACCGCCACAAGCAGCTATTCTCGAGCATCCAGAGAAACCCCTCCTTGGTGATATCAACCTGGATCACCTGCACCCTTGATCCATATCCGCTTCGTGCAGTGCTCCAGCCAAATAAGGGCTGGATCCAGATTTGTTTCTGGTCCACGAGGGGGACCAGGGAGTTATCGGCGAGTGCCCGCTGTGCCTCTTTAGCCGTGCACGGCTGATCACACTCTGATCAAGTTAGCATCGTGCACGACTTTGAGATTTCGTTATCGGTTCATCGAGATAATTTATATGCGTCAAGCCAGAAAATTTGTCTGGATTTTCCAAGTCTCACTCGTTCAAAATAGAGAACAGGGGGTGAGATATGTTTTCTTCATGCTGGTGTTGATTGAGTCAGTCAGGCCGCTAGGGTGGGGCTGAGCTAGCGACCACATGGAAAGAGGGAAATGGTCTGGTTGGTGAGGAAACCCTTTTATTCGGAAATAGGGATATCATCAATTCAGTATGCCTAGGGTCTCCAGTGAGTGCATTGGAATTTATGTGAGGGTTTTTATATATAACGAGTGTCTTGACTTGCAAATATATATATCCCCATGAAAGCAAGCGATTTTGTGCCGGGAGACTTGATATGTATGAGTCATGATCGAGGGAAAAAGTTCACTTTTGTTGAGGTCCAATGATTAGACTATAAGGTATGATCATATTGATTGGAAATATTAAGCGATTGAATCGATTGAGGGGTGTATTCAAGATCCCGATATCTGTATACAGAATAAGAGTGTAGTGTATATATATGAGATATTTTAAAAATAGTTACTTAAGCCCGGATGGTCTAGTGGTAAGGTCACATGATCTCAACACCACATTATCATGTACTAAATCATAATTAGGTATGATTCTCGCTTTGGGATTACCAACTCATCTGCGAGAGGTCCCGGTATGTAATAAATTCCACAAATAGTAATTGTGAGCTCTGTCTGACAGTCAAGCAGCGTTCGAATCGCGGTTCGGGCCAATTTTTTTTTTTTTTTTTTTTTTTTTTGGAGACATCTAATCCTCATGGCACAGCCTAATAAATATCATACACATATTGAACTACCAGTAGAATTAGTGAACTCAAAAAGACAAAACCTTGATTATACATTATCAGGGACCAGTCGAGGTATTTTTTATTTCTATCTCTATTTCTATTTTTGATTAACAAGGTCGGGCAAGATAGTCTTAACATGATAGATGCTGTGTGCTGAATCACTGGTTTACCAGAGGTGGCAATCACCTTGACCAACTGACATGTGTATCCCCAAATCCCCAAATTATTTACACGTTTGTTATTTGTCAATATAATCCAACTGCCGCGCGATGCTGTAAGGATTAGACCTGTTGCTGACTATTGCTAATTTTATACCCTATCAGTATTTTTTTCTGGGGTAAATGACATGACTATCTACGCCGGGATTAAGCCTTGTCTAACCTTTGAAAAAAGAGGGAAAAGCTATTCCCCTGTAGAATCTTCTGAAGTAACATCAGAGAGGTGAGCTTATTTCAAAAAAAAATCATGATGCTCTTCATTGGCTGCGGTGATGACGCGATGTTCATGGCTGTAAAAATGGGTTCCAATTTGCGCAAATATACGTAGCATGGAGATAAAGACCTTACTAGAGCCGGGTGTATTTCAATCACAATAGGAGAAATATCGGGATTCCGAGGAAAATTGGATTCGCTTAGATCTTTGAGGGCGTAGCTTTACAATTAAGGCCAAGTCCTGGCCCGAAATATATTCGCTCTACTTCGAAATGCGGAGGCCGATTTGTCACCAGTGGTCTGCTTCCCTGATTTAACTTGCAACACTGAGGCATATTTTTTCTTGACCTAAACCTGCCACTTAGTATCATCTGACCATTAGCTTAACAATTCCCTCATAGAGCCCTCGCACCGCCCCTTTTGCAAATTTCCCGTTGTATTAAATACTCGAAATGACTATCAACGGGGTTGCAAGTAATTCATCAGGAGGAAATATCTAAAAAGGTGAAATTTTGGAGTCTATAATATCACCCACCACTTGAACAATCGATATACAAGAAAATACTTTGCTGATATTTACAACATGATCTGACAAATATGACAGTATATAATACGGTGCCCATCGCGGCAGGTAATCCGAAGAAGCTGAACGTGACCAAAACTACTCCAACGAGGAATACAGACAAGAAAACATCTGACTCTTCTCTGTATTCCGATTCGTCACCTTCGGAAAATTTGAAGAGACTTCCAACCTTCGTGGCTTATTCTCTGGTAGCGTACATTGTATCTATGATATTTGTATTTTTTATGACATAGACAGATCTCTAATTCAATAAACACTTTGTTTCTTAGAAGTCGTTCCACTGTACAACATTTTTGGTTACAGAGAACAAAGATATTTTGATAAAGCTTACTAGTATATAATAATATCTGTGTGGTATATCTGCGCCAGGTCATCAATTTTCAATTATTTCAATTAAATTAATCTACGGTCGATACCTTATAGTTTATTTACTTACATACTCTACATATAGGACACAGATCATTGACTCAAGTCACAGGGTGTCATCACAAAGACTATCGACCTAGCTAGGGACCATTAGAACCAAACAAAACTTTTTTTATCTAGCAAAACGGGCAAAATGGTCCTCATATAGCTTTATGGATACCAAAAGAACCGTTGTCACAGAATGATCAAAGAAAGCCAGCCAACAGCTCAGCTAAGTGGGTCAATACGGTGCGCCGCGTGATTGGGGGTAATTATCACCCAGTCTCAAGCTGGCTTCTCACCCTATATCTATTGCGCTCACCCTATTCACCCAAGCGTGCAACGCTAAAGCGGCGCTCTTCCTATTAACACTCGAGCCGTATCATTAATCTACTTGATTATACTTCTGGATCTGTCTTGCATATACGACCACAGGGTGTGGAGAATAGGGCTTCCCGTCCGCTTAGCTGTACTTAAGCTACATACTAAACGCGGTTAATACTTATAGAACCCCGGACCTTAAGACAGCGTCGAAATTTCTGTTAGGGTGAGTGCGAGTAATATAGGTGAGAATTCTGTAGACTGGAAGTAATAGAGGTAAGAATAGGGTAAGAATAGGAGGAGAATCGGACGAGGAAACTTATAAGAGCCCGAGTGTCATATGATATTGCAACATGAAGCTATTCCCAACTTCACGCCTCAGGTGTCAACTCGACACCTTATCGGTCAGGCTTCGTCATGACAGCCCCACGTCTCCCCAACAAGGATGCATGACCTACAAGACCCTGAGGGTTCGGTGCCCTTCCATTAGGGATTCGTGGACCCCTCTTCTCTGTAGCCTTTGCTTATCTCTGACACATGGGGGCCACGTCAGACCGCATGTTATAATGTGATCCATCGTCTTTGCTTGGTCATGTGGGAAAAGTGTTGAAGCTTGTACATAAATTGAGGATTATGGAGAGATCCATGATAGCAAGAAACAGTGTTTTGCTTTCCTTACTTGACGTTTATCTTCCTACCTAGTCGACAGGCTTTCTACCCTGTACAAGTAGTTATTCTCTAACAGGTAGTAGTAGTAGTAGTAGTAGTAGTAGTAGTAGTAGTAGTAGTAGTAGTAGTAGTAGATATAATATTTCTAGACCTTCCTCCGCCTAGTTGAAAGCCGTATTTATCAAAGTTATAGACTAGACGTGGAGGCGTAGTCTTCTTGATAGTTTAGGCTAGTAGATCGTACTAATATTGTAATACTGCTAGATCCTCTGCTAGAATTCGCTTTGACTCCTTCGTATACTGCTTAGTAGGCCCTAATTGAAGATGTTTAGGAAGCCTATTAATAAAGCGGTACGCCTATATCTTACTAACTAGCGGCTTCCCGACGCGTTAGTATACACGATTCGCCCACGCTTCTAGTATCCTAGGAGTGATAGGCATATAGTAATCGCTTATATATTGAATCCAGCGAATAAGAGCTTCTTCTTGATAGGATTCGAGGGCGTATTTAGCATTGCATATAGCTGTCTTAGGCCTTGCTCCTTTTTTGATTCGATTCGAAAGCGTACGCCTAGGCACGCCAAATTCGCGTGCTAAACGCGCGAAATTCGGCTTCTCCTCTCGTGATCCAGCTAGGCAGGCTTCTGCCATACGTGATTCATCAAATTTAGGCATATTTAGATGGTGGTGTTGGATAGGGAAGCAAAAATAGGGTGGTAGGGAAAAAATGGTATTTCATGTGTGGGTAGTAATTCATACGTGGCGCACCCACAACCCGGAAGGGTTGGGGGGGGGGGGGTGTAAGGCACTAATAGTAGAATATACAGCCTAAAATATAACTCTTAATAACGTCGCAAGGCTAGAGAGAACAAACTCGGTTATAGATAGATTTGAAGAGAAACCAAAAAAGAAAAGGGAAAAAACGAAAAAAAAAAGAATTGTTTTAATATCTAATCAGAAAAATATCACGGGCGCTTAAATAGTATATTCCTATAGTACTAACCACATTTCAGGAGAACAACTTCGTAATACGCAAGTTATTATAATCCTAAGCCGTAATATCGTCATACAGACAGGGGGTATTAGGCGTAATAAACTTCTTAAAAGGGAACAAAGATACACTCCGGTTTGGCTTAGCAAAGTAGGCAATCGAGTAGCGCTCAGGGATAACCATATCATCGCCAATTTTCACAGCAGGAGGGTACGTTACCCGATAGCACGCAGCGCGAAATATATCATTAGTCAATCGCTGAAGCGAATCTCCGATATTCAGAATAATATCCGTCTTGTTAGAGGACTTAACTCCCTCGAAGTATCCCAAGTTCTACTGATTCTCCACTTGCAAGCCCCCGACTGAGTCCTGGAAGAGCGAGCATAGTGATCGTCCCGAAATCAGTGTGCTCCGCAATTCGGGTTGCAGTACTATCTGCCAGCTCAGATGCTGGAATTCCTAGATAATAAAGTATACGGAAACTCGTTCTCGGCTTGATTCCCCCCTCAACCTGTCGGTTTAGATTACTATGCTAATGCTAGTATTTCAGATATATTAGGGAGACCTAATCACGATCTATCTTAGTAGGGCGAGGAGGGGCAGTGCAGCGCCTAGGCTGAGAATCACCTGATCTCACCCAGCCTCTCACCCCGTCTATTGCGCACTCACCCTGTATCACCCTAGTCGTGCGACGCTAAAGCGGCGCTCACCCTTTTCTCACCCGAGCGATAGCCACCCAACTATTGACCGCATTGAAGCCACACGCCGGCAGGTTAGTAGTTGGGTGGGTGACCACCAGCGAATCCCTACTGTTGTATGTTTTTATTTTTGTAAGTTTTTGTGGTTGTAGATGGGAATTTGCCCCTTGCGCTATAGTCTTCAGCCCCTTCAGGCCGTTCACCCTGAATGCCCTGATCACCGCTATTTTGCACCTGAATATCCTGCATGCGCTTTAACCGCTGACGCGGTCTTCCCACCCCCATGCTAAAGGTGGACGGGCTGCATATTATCCTGATTTGCTGACACCGAAGCTGGAAACCCCTCCTCCCTTCCTTACCGCCACCCTGGTCGTGCACTACTTCAACCTTGCCTTTTAATACAAATAAAGAATTCAACTCTGGTACTCATCACGATCTGTAAAGAACAAATTACTAATTCCTAATCATGTATCTTCCATCAGGCTATCGACTTGCGGCTTGGAAATCAGTATCTGCTCTGAGGTGAAAAGAGAGATAAGTTCGATTGATCAGGCTGTTTTTGGAAACGCCACCGCTATCACGAGAGAGTTGCACTGACCCTTTAGGCTGATTTCGCATGGGGCTGGCCTTCGGCGGTTAGGCTTCTACCTAGATTTCCTTGCTCTTTACTCCATAAATATCAGCATAAACGCTTTCATACCCTTCGCACTTGAAATCCATCCCTCTGACGAATTTTCCAAATCTGCTGTTTATAATTACATATGGGCGATCCATTCTCTGTGGCTGGGAGTGCGGTAGGGGTTATCTCGCTTGGCCTCACAGTCTGCCAGGGTCTATTGACTTATTATGGGTCATTCAAAGCGCATGATGAACAAATTCACGACTTCTCAAACCGTATCACAAGCTTCGAGAGCACTTTGAAGGCGTTAGAAAACATCCTCGCTAATTCGCAAGTTCTCCTTTCTCCTCTGACGGCTCAATCAGCAACTGTCGCACTCGACTCCATCTTTGATTGCCAAGAAGGAATCAACAAGTTGAGCAAAATGCTGGATAAGTGTAAAAACACCAGCACGAGCGTTTTCGGGTCCAAAATTCAGATCAATAGAATACTGTTTCCTTTCAAGCGTGACACACTGATAGCGCTATTGGAAACCGTGAGCTGGCTGCAAGTCCATCTTAATACCTCTTTGCAAATACTGAATATGTGAGTCAAACTAGAAGACAAACGAAGATCTCACTACTAATTAGAAGCCTCAAGGGCGATGTTGACTATCTCTCACAAGCAAACAGACATAGTCCTCACGTACTCAGCATCAAGCGCCTCTGATACAAGTCAGATGTTACTCGCGACTGAAAAGTTTGATCAGCGCTGTATTAGGATTGAGCACAGACTAGAGCTATTTGAAGGGCATCTTAAGCAAATGGTATAGCTATCCCCATAATCCAGACTTGGAGGAATTCCACCCTAGAGTTGCCACTTACGATTTTATCCAAACTCAGCACAGTGACAAGTCTCGCGATAGAGCCAGGCCAGCTCTGACACCAGGCCTACTCCAATGGCTATTGGAACACCAAAAGCTCTTGGATCAAGAGTCACATCTTGAGGGGACCATCGTTGCTTCTCAGCGGAATCGGTGCCAAACAACATGCTCATGTGGCATGTCGTACTCCGGGAGGGCGCGCAATGCTAGTTCAGCTTGTATGATCGGGTGTCAGCTTCACGCAAAAAGCAAGAAGATCATCACTTTGCTCCATCGCCAATTGCTTCGTGGATGGGCTCTACGAATCTCCCTTGAGATATCGTTTTCAAGCACTGTCGGAGCAGGAGGCTTCTCAATCAGCCCTAAACTTGATTTCCGTGCCGTTGTCCCTGTCAATTCCGAAGTATTCAGCGTTCTTTATGATGCAGAAAAGAGTTTCAGAACGCAAGATGTCTATGCTTTAATTTTGGAGACCCAGGAGGCTCTATTTAAAGCTTTCCGTGAAGGTAAAGCATCAAAGTCGGATGCTCTTCAAAGCGGCGACACCATCTTACACGTGAGTGTCACTTTCCCGATCACGGTTGCATTCAACTTCTACCCATCGTAATAACATGGTGCTGGAATGTCTAAGACTTTAAATTCAATGTCTTTTATTAATCATAACTACAGATAGTTACTGGATGGCAGGGCTACAGTTCTCGCTGGAATACCCGTTCACGGCTTACCTGGCGTTTGTTCATAAAAAACCTTTTACAAGCAGGCCTCTCTCCGAACCGTTCAAATTGCTGGGGCAAAACACCTGCTGACAGCATGATCAGCCACTTTGGTCATGAAGGAAGCGATCTGGAAAAGCAGCAGATAACCATTGATATCTGTTCAGACCTACTTAAAGCGGGAGGGTATATGACCCGAGAAGCTCTTGATTGGAGGCATCGAGAAAATGTTTTCAACCCTTGTTACGCTGCGTGGAGAGGAGATGGACGTAGGAATGATAAATTGTTCGAAGACTTTAGCTTCCGCCTTATCTGGAGAATTGCCGATGAGAAAGAGGTACAAGGTAATCTCATCCTTAAGAGCAACTAGAAAGAACGCAGGGCTGATACATATCAAGATATCGATATCCCGGAAGAGCTTCAGCCCCTCGTGTACAAATCAAGGAGACTGTTGACCGTACAACTAAGAAAAGGGATCGACTTCTATCGATGGATCGAAAGTTACACTCGCTGGGGGGGGGGTTTAGCCCTGATTCTTCAATCTGGTTATGTACCAACCGAAGGAGCCCTTAGAGCGGCGTGCGAAGCGAACTGCGAGGAGAGCGTGAAAATATTAGTGAATGATCATAACTGTTTCATCGGAAATGAAGATCTTGAAATCGCCAGTTATCATCCAAACCGGGCTATTGTTAATCTGATTATCAGCGGATTGATTGATCGCAGACAGCGGTTACAGAGACTTGCAGAAGAACACTTAACGAGAACTGTCCAAAATCAGTTACGCATAGACCATCAAAGTCTACTTAATTCACATGCTTATGAAGCATATTCATTACTTGCAGCGAAATCCGTGGATTTAGAAGGTCTTTTGGAGCGTCAAAGATGGTCAGTCTTTGACTGTGTCGGCATCAATCTTGATTTAGCGGACCGGTTATGGAGTGCTGGCTTCCGCGGCGTGGATGAAGTTGATGACAAAAATAGGACATGTCTGACAGAATCTTGGCACAACACACCACCCTGTGATTTGGACGTCTTCCTGCAAAAGACTCACTGGTTGAGTAGCAAAGGTGCTGATATTCATTATCGAAAATCATCTGGATCGGTCTTGCATGATATTGGACATAGCGTGGGATCGATTCTGTATTGGATGAAAGATGATGAGCGCTATTTTTCGAAAATCGATTCACTGAGTCAGTCTTCAAAGGTTTTATTGAGAACAGTCTTTTCCAACAATACTCGAGATGATTGCGAATGTGCCTGCTCTCTGAACGGATGCTCTCCACTGACGACCCTTTTGAGCGGACTTTTGCCCACACGAACCGATCATGAAACTTCAGCAAAGCTTATCCAAATTTTCGCTCATCTATTGGGTTTTGTTTACCACCCAAGATCCGAACCCAAAGCTGATGAACGCGTCAAGAGCCATTTGAGTGTGACCATCCTTCGCTTTATCGTATTCAAAAACTTGGGTATTACTCATACCTGTTTGCATGAGTACCGAAAAATCGATCCGGGAGATATAGCAGAGATCCAAGATGAAGAGAAAGTCGCGTTGTTGGATCTCGAGACGCTATTGACACGGTGCCTCGAAGAATTGAATGAGCCGGGCTTGGAACTTCAGAGCTACATAACAGGACTGTGGCGAACCAACATGGCTTCATTTCTATCAGAACAAAGATCTCACAGCATAGAAGAAATTATTCAAATCCTTGAGTCAGGAGTTATCCTTGATTGTCACGAGACACAGGGGGGTGGAAGGTTTTCTCATCTTGCTGCAGCCCAGGATCATTAGAAATGAAATAAGGGTTCTATTTTGAAGGAACCAGAGCAAAGTATCATCCTTCACAAAGAAAAAGCCTGAAATAATCTAAGGGCAGGCAATAGCATGGAATAGAAAGCCCCGGAATAGGAACAATAGGCTACTAGAATAATCCCTCTCCCATCTGAAACCACCCACCTCTTTTCGATAGAACTACCCGAGCCATCAGGAGGTGTGTGGGTCGGGCCCATAGATTTGGTTCATGGGGTTGGAGCATGTCTGAAAAATGATGAGAATGTACCTCCTGATACATAGGCCGGATATTCAGGCGAGTGAATATCCGCCTGGATTGCCCTGAAGTGGGCTGAACAGAGCGGCGAGCCGCCCACGCCCGAATCGTGGGCGCTAGGCGACTACAATCTTAGACATGACTGTTGTATGTTTTTTTTGCCTCAATTTGTACCACTCATGTGGTAGGCCTGGTATATATCTTAATTACCCTTAACGCCGATAAGTACACTAATATTTCCGATAGGGCCGCTAGAGGGAACACGGGCATCTAGATAAGCGTACTACTTTGAGTAGACCTTGCTAATAACTAGGGAGTTGCTTAAAGTATAAGGCACGTTAAACTCGATAGTGACTAGTTCTACCTAGTCACTACTAGCGATAGTTAATACGCTAGTTATGCCTAATATAGGGGTACTTCTATAGGCGTAGATAGTATAATCCGACTTCGGGCTAATCTAAGTCCCGATGATATCATTAGGGTCGAGAGTGCTTACATCGTAAGGCCCCTTATAGACGTGACCCCAAGTCGTCGAAATGTTCTAGATAACGAGGTTATCTATAGAGCTTTCGTTGATGAGTCGTAGACTAATCTAGTTATTTGCGCTATTAGCTTAGATATCTAATATATTAGCGGGGAGTTAAGTGAAGAAATTTGAATAAAAGAGGAGGTTAGTCTATTTAGTTTGTAGAGTATGCTGATGAATATCTTCTTTTTTAGGGGGTTGCTCGTCCTTTTATAGACTTCGTACGATCTCCGATAGCTAAACTAGATAACATACTACGACGACAACTGTATGATAAATTCTATACCTAATTCGCGTCGTCTTACGAGATATGTTAATAGTAGGATTTGTCCTCGCCTCGCTTGACTATATATAAAATTAGTGATAAGGTCTCTTTAGCTACTATAAATAAACTATATCTAAACCCGTTCGGGTGAATCTAAAGTAGAGAAGGTATATTCATTATAATATATCATAGGTAATAATAGTAGTACTTATCTATATCGTATATCAATTAATATTTGTAGCTCTATATCCCCCGAGGTCCTAAATATAATACCTAGCGGGACAAGCCAAGACTATCACAACCTTCCGTCACTTAAATAGTCTTGATCGGAGCGATAATCTCACCTCGAGAGTCGGTTTCTACATTAGCAGTTGTAGTAGTAGAGATCAGTGCTTCTACTAGAACTCGAACTATAGTCGTGTAAGCCTCGCTTGTTTCAGTGGTTATAGAAGTAATTATATCAGACGGCTAGCATTTTTCTTTCCACAGCAGGCACACACTAATAGGATAGGTGTGAGTTTCATGCATAGAAGAAGTAGTAATTGAGTAAATAGAGGTAGAAGTGGGAATTGTGTATACCACTACCGAGGGAGTCTTTATGCAGAAGGGACAATCCTTCACTTTTGATGTGCACTAGTAGACGATCGAGACAACAGTGGTATAGATAGTTTCAGGAATAAGGTCAGAGCTCGCTGGTATGCGACTAGGAGCGTGGCCTAGAATAGATATAGTCCGAGCATTCACAGAACTACTGGTTGTAGCGTCGAAAGGTTTGGTCAAGACGGAATTGCTGAAAGAGGAAGTCTACGGTTCCAAGGAAGAAAATTTAGATGTAAGAATCATGATCCCATCCCTTATATCTTATATATAAGCACATACGACCACAGGGTTTGGAGAACAGGGCTTCACGTCCGCTCAGCCATGCTTAAGCCCATTACTAAACGCGCTCAATCCTCAAAGAGCCCTGGCGTTTAAAACAGCGTAGTATTTTCTGCTAGCTCATCAAGAAACACATTACTGAGGAGAGTCAACTCAGGTAGCAGCTTCAGCCTCCACCGAAAAGGTATAGATCCGGCCAATTTGGAAGGTATTTTGTGGAGGACAGGCCAAGTAGAAGGTCTAGCGACGCTTCGCGGAAATAATGATTCTTTAGCGATGAAAACTCGGTAAAAGTTGAAAGTATCAGGGATTGATCCCTTCGGGCTTCGGGTCGCTAAGAGAGAAGAGCCCCATCGTGTGGCAGACAGGAGCAGCTCGGCCACCAGTAGAAAAGGCTTAGCTTGGACTAAGTGAAAAGCCTCATCATTCCTAGAAGTTTGGAAACTATTGTACTCACACTTGAAGCATGGCGACTCGAGCTCATTTGTGATATGGTCCAAGACTCTAAACCGTATACTAAGGCGCAGATTGCCAAAGCTGCCCATGATTGTACCCCATCATCAGTTAGCAGCATCTACTCGAACCTAAGATATATGAGAAGTGTTAAGTCTCCTACCAACGATATCCGCAGACGACGAACAATCAACCTGCCTTCTCGGTACTTGGATCGGTCGCTTCAACTTTAAGCCTACCGAACCTGCCCTTCATAACGAGGAGAACCTGCCAATCACACTTAGAAGCTTGTCCTCAAAGCCTCTCAACGGGTTAGAAGTGAGGTGGAATATTGTGGACGGATCACAAAACCTAGATGTTTTTATTTCCTTGGTCACCAGCGATCTAGTTTCACTTCTCTGTCTGTACATCTTTAGCGTTGTGGTTCTCTAGTTACGAAAGATGGCTTTCCTTAGTTCTTTTCAATATACCTATAATCTGGAATTAATTTATTAGTACTTGTCTGTCACTATTCAAATATTCCCTTCGTAATTTTCCTGTTTCAAATTCCTGGATCTCATCCCTTCCATGCTCACGGCGTTCAACGCTATGTCGCTGTGGCGATTAAGCAATCAGCTCGCTCTGAGAGCTGACTACTATAAGTCTCACCAAATGTTTCATCTTCCCCCACACAAATCCTGTAACTGATTTTGGCATATTCTTCTGCATAGACCTTCAGGCTAGGCGCAAATTCACAGAACGCGCGACTGAGAATCATCCAGCACCCAACTACACCATCGGTCATCAACCCCCACTTGATGACCTTTACTTGGGTATCTGTCCTACTTGCACCCTCAATCACATAGCCAAGCGACTCTAGACATTTCAGTCCGAATTTGATAGCCTTTTCAAATTGATGGGATGTGAGAGATATGGCAGCGAGAGACAGATAACCTGACCAAAGCGCGAGATAAGGGACTTCGGACGGTGGCAGAGAGTATGTTTGTTCAATACTGGCAAGGGTACTCTCAATTTGGGCCTGTTTCAATTTTTTTGAATTGAACAGTTTTTCTAGTTCAGCGGAAAGTCTTTTTCGGGTGGATAGTACGGTCTTACTCAGACCTCGAATGCTGTCACAAATTGCACAATCACACTTGAAACCCCAATTCTGGAGGTCTGACAGTTTTTCATCTTGATTTCCGATGGGTGATTGGTACCAGAAGGTAATCTCCGTGTCTTTGGCGATATCCCTGCTTGCGCGGACAATCATCATATCCCCGATGAATGAGCGGCGAGTGTTGCTCAGACATGAGTGATTAATGTATGATGCCATGCACCACATACCAGATGAGTGAAACTTCTTGTTTTCGTCTTTCGCTATATCATCCGAAATACTTGATTTTATATGGCTTTGACGCGACAGAAGAGGACAGCCAAAACCATTTAGACTGATTGTCTTTTGAATAAGAAATCTTTGTATTAAGTCAGCAAATGTAGAGAAATTTATACAGGCAGAATGCACTCATACGTGTCGACGACGACTTGACCATCTACGCGGATATCGAAGGAATCATGGGTGCCATGGTGGAGGTCAATGAACCTGGATAACATAGAAGGATTTCTGTAGAGCTTTTGCGCAATCATCCCAATGAGTTGGCCTTGAGTGCCAAGTATCATCTGATTGGTATCAGAACTCATGAGCAGCGTCAGGTCACCCGACCCCTTTTCGTCATGAAAGGCATAAGCGAATGCCTTTTCGCAGAGTAAAAGATCCCCGGCTTTCACTGCTTCTGCTGTAAAAAGTCCCCGTCCATGAGACTCGGTAGACTTGATTGTAACCGGACCAAAGTATGTACCACGCTCGAGATGTGGTGGGCGGCGTTTCTTAGCTTCCAGAATCATTCTCTTGAATTCGTATTCCCCAGTATCTTCTTCGGCAAGACGGGCAGATGCACGTTGATATTCGTGCTGAGCTGTCAAGTTTTCTGGATAGTTCCTACCCAGCACCTTGTGTGTTTCGCAGGATTCTCGAAACTTCCGAAGGCAGTATAAGGCTTGAGCTTTTCGGAAAAGTGCCTTTTCAGACATCTCGGATCTCTGTAGCACCGCATCTGCATCGAGAAGGGCCGCGTCAAATTGACGTGCTCTGAGGCCACAAAGGGCACGGTTGAGCTGAGTCGCGATCGCGAGATCAGGCGAGGGAGGCAATTTGCATTCTAGCGCCTTAGTATAGCTAAATAATAGTGAGTCATGAACAGCTTTAGAAATGAAGATTTGAACATTACCACTGAATCGCAAAATGATAACGGCTTTCCTCAAAGAATTTATTCCCTCGTTCCTTCCAGAAAGCAGGCAAGCCTTCTTCGACAGATATAATCCGGGCTCTCCAGGAGAGTGGGATACGCTCATCGAAGCCAGGAACAAGGATAATGTCTGAAATATGATCGACACGAATCCCAAAATCTCCGTCTGCCATAACCTTCACATAAGGCTCTTTTACCACTAGCACAACCCCCCTCGGGGAGATCCAGAAACTTCGAAAATTCTTCCCCTTGGTTGTAGATCTGTATCATCAAGACTCTCTCATCCTCATCCTCGACAATCGCCATCACAGCAGTCATCACGTCAGTTGGGGTGACTGTTCTCACAAGAATGTATCGTCCCCGATGGTGGGTTTCCAGACAAAGATCTCGAAACATGATCTTACTCAATCGAGCGAGAAGAATAGTCGATGGTGCATAAGCAGGTGGTAGGAACGACGATCGAATGTTCATCTTGTCTGCCGGACTTGGTCCACTACTCATCATTCTTCGAAGCGTAAACTGAGCGAGGATTTCGTTCCTTGACTTGCTGGGTGTTGCCTTCTGGCCTTTCAAGCCTTGGGCTCTTTTGATATTGGCCTTTTGCTGTTTCAGCATTGCCATGTACTGTGGGATGTTAGAAACGTCGTCGATATTCATTTTGATGGGATTCAGAGGTCAATAGGAGTGAAAATAACACTGTTCACTGAGGAAACTTCAACTGCAAGAGTTATTCGGGCTTGAAGACGGAATTTGAAAATATCATCAGGAGGAATGAGGGAGGAGGTTATACCTGGAAGACAAGTAGCTGATGAGTTGGCATTCGGGGAGCGGGGTGAATCAAGCGACAGGGGTGGTTGCATATAGTAAACAAACCATGCATTAGCCAATATTCGAATGGGGTAAAACGTCAAGGACACATGGTCTGGCAGCGTTTAGCGGCCACCTTCACGACAATGACTCCAAGATAAATACTAGAATGGTACCATTCCGCCAACCTGTCGGCTGGGTGTCTTCTTGATTAACCTTTCATCTTTATAATAGTCTTAATATATAGACAGCAAAAAAAAGAAAGAGGCTCCATAATCCTAATAGTCTCTTTAAGTGACTAGGTATCGTAAAAAATGATTTGACAGTCGTTAGAGCGTAATCCCGAGATTCAACGGTTGAGATGTGGATGACTAGGTATATTATTGTGAGGCTGGTAGCTAAAAAGGCCGATGACCTCGTTCAAGCAAAGGTAGAGCAAGAGATGGAAGTATAAAGATCAAATAAGGAAGTAATTCAGTGAGGCTAGTTAAAGATCTGTGTTTCTATCGTACGACTATACTATTCTAAAGAAACTCAATTATTCTAGGGGCAGATGAGAGCTGAACTCACGTGGTATCGATGAGCTCACTGATTTACAAGATGGTGATTGATTTTCGTTGCTACGTGATTAGCCTGTCACCTCTCAGCACTCACAACGCTTGGTAAAATCAAGGAAGGGCCAAAGTGGTACTCATGTGGCTATGTGCGGATGCCAAGAGAACCTTTATCATAGAAGGATTAAAAAAAGCCAACCAGCAGGTCAGCTAGGAAGGTCAATATGGTTGCCACGCGATTGGGGGTGATTCTCACCCGCTCTCATCTGGTCTCACTTCACTCTGTCTATTGCGCACTCGTCCTTCTCACCCAAAAATACCTAACTCTAACCTGGTCACGATCTCTTACGATCTTGCTATATATTCTTCTCACAGTTTTGATCTGATACATACGACCACAGGGTGTGGAGAACAGGGCTTCCCGTCCGCTCAGCCGTACTTAAGCCCATTATAGTACGCAGTCAATCCTTAATGCGCCCTGCGCTCTAGACTGGCTTAGATCTAGTCTTAGGGTGAGTGTGGGTGATATTGGTGAGAACTTTGAAAATTGGGTTGACAGAGGTGAGAACGGGGTGAGAGCGGGTGAGAACCAGGTCAGGATTCTCACCTAGAATCAGCCCACTCTCCTACTTTTGTTTGAGTCTAGGCTATAAATATGAGTATGAGCCCTAGGGCGCCTGTCTGGCTTGCTATTATTAATCTATTATCACCTCGCCATTGAATAGAAGATGCTCCCGAGGGACCTCATAAAGGAAACTGGATAAAAGGATTGCACGTGCTGCGTCATGTGGATAGCTTTTACCCACGAATATCAGAATAAGCGGGAAGAAGAAGATAACTATATATACCTAAAGGAGCTAGACCCGGCTATGCTCAAAGAGTATAAGAATATAGTATCGAATTAGGCGTTATAAATTATATGTGACGGGCTCAGGCCGAACATCATTCAATTGGGTGTTGCCGACAATCTGTCTGTCGAAAGCTTTAGGGAAAGTAAACACATGGGCCTCTTAGATAGGTTTCGGAACAGAGATGAATAAGCCATGTGGGTGCACCAATAGCAATCACAATAGTCCCGAACTGTTACAAGGCCCCCTAGCTGGCAATTTGGATGGGCCGTTTGCATAACTAATCTTGGCTGATATACACTATCTCACTTTCTCCGGGTCTCCAACAAGAGGTTAAATATAGAGACTCTCACGTGACACATGATCAACATCGGGCTCTGGCCTGTTAAAACCTCTCTTCCGGCACTGAAGCCCTGATACTTACCTGAAAGATTTCTTGTTTTCACTTCGGAACACCGGCAACCTGAACACGGCCCTCAACCAAACCTTCATTATATGAAACGTAAATCCGGTTGGCGCTCTGGGTATTTGGCAGTAGAACAGTAGAGATATATCACCAGATCAGGAACATATAGCCTGGCTTTTTTTCTGAAAGCTGCCAACTTGATTTAACCATTTATCGCGGTATCTAGCCCCCTAAGTGTAATTCTTAACATTGGCTTAACTGGCTCTGTGCTATATCTAGCTCGCTCAACCGCTCAGTCTTCCGGACCACTGAAATCTACCCCAAGGTTTTGAACTGAACTAATAACCAGTCTTTGTAGTCTAGATACTGACGCCACAACGTCTTCTGGAGTAGCACCCTTCTTGGTTAGTCTCAATAGTCGCATATAGCTTTGACAGCAGCCTCACTGAAGTTCGCGTCTTAATGCTTAAGAATGCAATTATCGCGCTCAGCAAATTCAAACATCTCTTAGAGGCGTCAAAAAGCGGCACTTTTATTTGCCGATTTTGAATTATTATTAGCAAAGAACTGAGAAGCTAGCTTGTTGCCCTGAGATTTAGCTTGGTATTCTTAATTCTCTCGTGATTTACTGTATTGAAGACTATACACTAAAAGTGCTGAATGACAAATTCAAATACCATCACTGTAACAAGGACATAACTAGGATACATATACCTCCCCCCACAAAATCAAAAGAAGAGAAATGATTTCAGCAAGCAGCCGCAAGTTTCTTCCACGAGCAACCAAAAGTGTCCCAGACAACGAAATTGCTCTACCTGGTCACGTTTAGATCACCACCTTGCAGAAGATAATTTGAAGGGTGGCCTCTCCAACGCTCCCATCGGGGTTCTTCCAAACCCAAGTCGAGGCTCCAGCATCGTGAAGGCCAGAGCCAGGATCGTCACAGATGGTAGCATCCTTCCAAGCGTCAACGCAAGTGGCGGCATCGGGGAAATTTCCAATCTTCCCAATTTTGACATGAGGGAAAGGACTAAGATCTTGCCAGTCGCCGTCCAGGGTGTTATAGTGGCTGTGGCACCAATGCCATGCCTCCTCGTTCAAATGATCTCTAGACACGCAGTCCTGGCGAAAGGCGTGTCGGTTCCAGCACTCTGCAGCCCATGATAAAGGGAAAAGGCTGGTAAGGGAGAGGGCAGTCAAGGTTTGGAAACGCATTTTTGTGGGGGGTTCTTTACAATAGAGTTAGATGATAGTCCAAGTCTTGAGCCTTGAGCCAACTCACCAGCGAATTGAGGTTAATTGGATGGCCCAGATATTGAATATTTCTGTGAACTTGCTTTTGAGGCTCTGGTGAATTTCCGTCTGGATAGGAGGTACGACGAGGGTATTTATACTAAGAGAAGGCGATGAGATAAAACTTTTAACGGCTGAGACAACATATGATAAATCAAACTAGTTACGACACTTGAACTTCGCATAAGGGATGGTATGAAGGATCTCTAGGAAATAATCTTCATTGAAAATCCAATTGGCTCAGGATTATAAAGGTTGACAAAAATGTTGTCAACAGCGGCGTGTCGCCTATTTTGACTTGGGCCTCCCCATAATGCCATTAACCTCTAGTGGGCTTGTAGGAGGACGTATGCTATCTTACATCCGCAAATAAAAGCGGTCTATTTTGTATCCAGCATTCTTGACTGTGAATGAGATGTAATATTAGGTCACGAGGACTGGAAGCAGACCAGGCAAACAAGATTGCTTAGGATGCCTAGGCCTAAAAAGTCCTCATAGGAAAATATGACAATGAAACTGTAGGTTACATTTCTATATAGTAACAAAATTGCTGCCAATGAAGTCTTTTTCATCAGAACACCCTGAGAGTTTCTGCTCTTCTATCCCACAAATCGCCCTTTTAGGAGACGATTCATGACATGTTGGAAAACAGACTGCTAATAATCTACATCGTCGAGATGAAAAGAATCAGTGTGACTAGTTGATCGAATTCCTCACTCAAAACCACGAGCGGAGAATTCTCAAGAAATATTGTTCCATTACCAAATAGCATCCGCTTGTTGGGGGGTGGGGATAGTAATGATTAAGGACCCTCTAAATCCTACACCATTGATATAGTTAGGAACGGGGCATATTGGGCAAGACTTGTGATGTATTTATTCTGTACACATCAAAGGAACCAAGGAACACATATTACGCTTGATGAGCTCAGGAGTTAAAAGTGTTAAGTTACCATCAATATCTTTTGCGGCGTTCTGCCGTAAACGAAAGCTCCTCGCATAGTAGCCATTAGAACCATAGATACCGACTGTAAGAATACACAGGAGAATGTAGGGCTCCGTCCCGTGATGTCCTGAACGTGGTTAATTTCTTGTCTGAGAAGAGGAGCTTTACAAAATACATACTTCCTGCCTTGCATACTATCCAGTGTATGGGGCTCTAGGACACACTTTAATTGTTAGTCAACGAGAATAAAAAAGCTCGCAAGAGATATACAATATATGTGATCATGTGCAATCACCAGCGCTGTAGCATTTTTCAAACTCGCGGCAAGGCAAATATTACCTAAACAGAATGCACATCTCGGATACACCCTACGCATCCCAGTTCTCCCACCACCCATAAATCCTCGATAATACGAGCTTCCGGTATCACAAGCTACTTGTGATTCAATGAAGGGATAGTTGCTCTAATAATTAAGTACGAGGATCATCTCTATAGGTTAGCGTACATATTATTGGCTTTCGACCGACGCGAAAAATTTCCTGGTATTGAGGACCATATCACAGGAGGTGACGATGGGATTTGGGTTTAGGGTTTAGAGGAATTAGGATTTTTAGTGTGTGCAAAATGCTGGGCTCCTGTGTGGCTTTATAAAAAAATTGTAACCTCAGGGCGAAATTATTCATGAACAATGTAAATGTATACCCATTTACCGTTGCTTTCGATCTGGGAATGGCTCTTTACGTGGCCAATACCAGAGAAATACATAGCTTCTCTTGCGATAAATAATTCTTCATCAGTATTATGAAAAACCACCAACGTGCTGACATTATCTTTCTCATACCGCAATTATCAGGGATTTCCATCTATATTCGGATTTTTATTGAGTCTTTGCGCTATCACCCTTGGCTTCTGAGCAAAACATACAATAAATTTGCACTACTTTAAGATGGAAGTTCTGAAATACTGGGAAATATTAACTTAAAATGATTTGAGTGGTTGTGCAGTCCAGTTTTTAGGAGTGACCATCTCCTTGCAATCACTAGAATTAAATGCTCAACGCGTCAGTCTAGTCACGCCTGCGATAGATAAAAAAAAGCCTCAAACCCAATACCCCTCCCCCCCCCTCGGGAGCTTACCATGTACCATTTTATCCTTAAATGTTGATAGACTTTCTAACATCAAATTATACCGACTTTGAAGGATCGAATTACATGGAATGGAAATATCCACCACATTCTGTGGCAGCTCGATTTCACCTGTGTTCGGGGTTCTTCCGAATATTTATTCTAGTATAAATCAAGCTTGTCGGCTAAATTGGCAACGAAAAGACCTTCCAAAGAATGTACCTAGTCCATGGTAGCCGATGTATGCTTCCGGAACCAGTGTCTAGAATCACCTGGACCCTTCGAAAGCTGTCACACGGTACAACATGGGTACAGCCTAGATTAAGCCGGCACTGAAACTCTCTTGAAGCACGCTTCAGCGAAGGGAAATAACTCAAATCACAATATAATAACTCCTTAAGCTTGATTGTTCTCCGGAAACAGCGGTTGTTTCATCAAATAGGATTTCTACCTAGCGCGTTTCCGGGACTACAGGCCGCGAGCGACGAACTTGGGACGGACTTGAAACGAACTTGACATTTTGAGACAGAAAGGGCGATTTAAGCGATACAATGTTACATTTCACAAGTGCAAGGAATGTATGATTAAACCGTTGTATATGACAGGGCGGAGAAATTCTGGCATTTGAATACCCTTAATCCCGCATTCCAAGGTAGAGACACCCAACATTCAAGAACTCTGGATGCCATCCAAATTTTCCACTTATTGTTGCAAAATGACCCGTCGAATCAATTTTAAGAGCTGCAGGGCAGTTCAAATTGTCGTCGCACTTTGCGGTGTGTATTTCATTTTGTCATTCTTTTTGGCAGACGAGCAATTTGTGTGGCCACCAAGTATGCCTCACTTCTCGCGGCCCAGCATACGTGACAGGGATCTGGACCATATTCTGAACGAAACTCTTGGGGTAAACAATGACCCGATGTGCTCACATGCTCTTCAATACAATGATAGCTGATTTTCGTTTTAGTTTCAGCATATATATGCCATTGGCCTGAAAGAACGCACGGATAAGCGTGACTTCTTGACTGTGGCAGCCTCAGTCACAGGCTTCAAGGTTGAATGGCTTGACGGGGTTCTTACAAAAGACCTACAGCAGAAAAGCTTACCTAAAGTATGTATCCAGTCAAGCGTTCATAAAACCCTGTAGCAGGGGCTGATTTACAATACAGGGATACAACCTTACTACTGTCCAGCCTACCATTATTGGATGTTGGCGAGCTCACATGAATGCATTAAACAGGTAAAGTGAACACATTATGTAATAATTTAGCATCAACTAACTCTATTGCAATTTTTGAGAATATAGGGTCATCGATAACTCGTATTCTACTGCCTTGATACTCGAAGATGATGCCGATTGGGATGTGGGAATCAAGTCTCAACTACGTGAATTTGCCCGAGGAATTCAGTCTTTGAAAGGAAACATTAAAGTGTCCAAGCAAGCTCCTTACGGAACTGATTGGGACCTCCTCTGGATTGGAGGATGTGCATCAGGCCCACATGCGAACCAAACCCAGTTTTATGCTATACCAGATGACCCCACCGTGCCAAGTGTCCAACGGCGTGCCACTTGGTCTGGCCCCCTTGACAGTTGGAAAGAGCAATTTTCTGAAGACTCAACCCGGTTTATCTACCGTGCTGAAGCAGGTTGTTGCACTTTTGGATATGCAGTCACTAACAGAGGCGCAAAAAAAATCCTTACCGCCCTTGCTATTGAGCACATAGAGGCGCCCGTTGACAACGCTATGTCTGAATTGTGTGGTGGCCTCGGTGATCGTGAACCAATTGATTGTTTCGCACCTTTCCCGAACCTTGTCGGTACATATAGACCAGCGGGTCCCGCATATCGAGACTCCGACATAGCCATTACTGGTGACGAAAGCATTCATGAGGAACAGGCTTATAATCTGGTATATAGCACACGTCGCAATATCCATAGGTTGGTAGCTGGCGAGCCAACCGTCTTCTCGCAGTGGGGTGAAGAGTCACCGTGGTCACCGGGAGAAATTCGCTTGCAAGACTTTGTTTATCCTCGAGGCTATCTTGTCAACTAGTGTTGGATCCTATCAGAGCGGTGTGGTGCGCAGGAAACTGGATGACGCCCTCGAGAGCATTAATGTGAAAAATATTAGAAGTAGTTCTTGAATCCTGGTGATAAAGAATACGATCTGTATGGCTTTATTTTCTTATCTTGCTTGATGAGGCCGGGATGAAATTATTGCAAATTGCGGACGAGCTATGAAAAGTGGTAAAGTATGTAGCTGTCTACTTTCTTAAACTGCATTCAGTCCAGCCATCAATCGACGTCAGATCCATCTCCGGAAACGAAGAGCAATTATTGAAGGACCGTAGACCGCTTACTAGCACGTTCTTAAGAAAGGGCTGGTAGCTCTGTGGTTTCTGCCGTGAAGGGATTTCTCTCTTGAGAAGACTTTCCAGCAATTCACGTACATTTGCGACCTGGCAGCTTTGTTGTGGAAAATATGGAAAGGTTCGCAGTGGAAGAAAGTACCATATAACAGAAGAATGGCAGGGGTGGGGGTGAAGGGCTAAATTCTCTTGGCCTGTGCCCGAACTTTGCGGAAGGTGGGATTTTCCACTTACCCGCAAACGAATGTCCAATGCAATTCAATGCTATATAGTATTGCGAAGATGTCGCTGGTGTTGACGCACACAAGAAAACCATTTTCATAGCAGGATGGATCGATTGAGAGTTCCGGTCCTGAGGACCTCCCGCAAAATCTTTGCCCCGTTTCACACGCTCAAATCGAGACTTACAAGAATATTTGGATTGTATCGGCTCGGATCTTCAGATTCGCCAGAGAGCCCAACTTGGAGTGACTCAGAATTGAAGCTTCTCGAAGAGAGAAGTGCCTCAGAACGGAATTCCCTTGAGCATCTGCCCTCTGCTGAACCGAGGAATTCCCCTTCAAAGCTCTGCCTCATGCTAGGCATCATGACGAATATTGTCTCAACAACCTCTATTGTAAGCGATGAGCAGGAACCCTATGATTTGATTATGTACTAAATTTCCCAAGGTTTTCACTAACAAATACATTTTCTCACATGAAGGACTGCGCAACTGTCAATTAGCATTTGCAGCCTACCACTTCTTGATCACCGGACTTACATTGTGGGCTATATCCCAGCTTCGTTACGGTGATTTCGTCGCAAAAAGAATCCCAATTTACCGCAACTTCCACCTTGTTACCCTGACTAGCGCCCAAGTGGTTCTCCAAAATTTATCTCTCGCATATTCGTCGGTCATATTCCACCAGCTTGTGAGACTACTCCTCACGCCAGCTACCGCTTTGTTCGGTTTTTTATTCTATCGTGCTACTATTCCAAGTGCATCAATCATTCCCTTGGTGATCTTATGTGGCGGCGTTGGAGTTACTTTCTATTGTGATTCTCATTCTATGACTGATAAAAACGCCGGGACATCTCTACAGGGAGTCGTCTTCGCTTTCACCGGCGTACTGACCAGCGCTCTTTATACAACGCTAATCGGAACATATCAGAAAAAGTTGCAAGTAAATAGCATGCAGCTTCTTCTCAATCAAGCGCCTATGAGTGCCGGCTTTCTTATGTGTTTGGCCCCCTTTATTGATACTTCTCCCACGGCCACCGCGCTTTCGCCATCAGTGTGCTTCGCAATTTTTGGAGTAAGCTAATATCGTCCACAATAGCTTTTCTGATTGAAAATGTTCGGTTACTAACCTCTATATTCATTGGCATTTAGAGCGGAATGTTAGCTTGCCTTGTGAACGTTTCCCAATTTTACGTTATCAATGCCGTAGGCCCAGTCAACAGCACTGTAATTGGACATTTGAAAACTTGCATGATTGTGGGCCTGGGGTGGTTTATTAGTGATCAACCAATTTCAATGCAAAGCGTTGTTGGCATCATAATGGCACTGCTGGGTATGAGCCTGTAAGTCACACCATTTCGGCATTTGCTGTAACCCCAACTAACTGATTGATCTTTCTGAGCAGATACATGATCGTCTTGTCTCGAAGCCGAAGGTGACATGCTGTCAGTTGAAGCCTGTTTTGTGATGCAAGTTGAAAAACGGAGTTTTGGGAAAAGATACTGCCGAGGAGAACATGACATTCGATGAATGCGAGTGGAAGCAAAACTACACCTCTTCTAGGCTCTTTGCAGTTCCGCGAGAGGGGCAGAAGCGCTTCTGCTTCTGGAAATGCCCTGGTGATAAGGTACTACATCATCTGGTGGTTTTGTTTAGGGGTGATGTCTCCCGGAAATTAGATTGCTTTGTCCCAGAGATGCTCTAATTGAATGAACTCACCCGATATTTCGCCATTTAGAGGGAGGGGTACAAGCTTGGCCTAATGGTGGAGTGAATGGTTTACGGGATTTGGACTTGGAGCGTACGAGAGTGTATGTATATTCGTGGTACCCCATGTGCAGCACTGGGCCCCGTGGCCGACCAAGGATAGTGCCTGGCGGTGACCAAATGATGCATCCGGCTCCCGTCGGGGGTAAGTCTGTCTTCCATCTCTTGTGTCTTCAGGTACAGTATTAAGATTCGCGAAGTGGCGAAATATTCGACCTCCTTGGCGAAATCAGCCATTGGCCCATCGATTGTTGAAACTGCCTTAGGTGGTGATGTGAGAGGAGGCTTAAAGGCACTCCCTAGTGGAGTAATTCCAGCCACTATAGGAGGCGCGAGAGGTCTAGATGGGTTCACGGCGTGTATGTTTATGCTGGGAAAGGAATGGAAACTGAAGAGTCATGTAGTATTATTGATCAGCTCGTTAAGTTAGTGCTGGTGGACGCAGTACCTAACGACTTTTCAACTCTCCTGCTTATAGACTGACTGATTATGGTCGAACCCTGGCACACGACCTGGTACGGAGTAGTGCCTGTCGGATATGCGCGATGCAGTTGTTGCCACATGATATAGATTTGTTACCCTGCGAATTATTTCTAGTCAACTAAATGGTTAGTCCTGTGTTACAGGACGTTGGTGTCCTGAGGTGCTACGAACCTGGAGTTTCTAAGGTAGGAAATACAACCACGCTGATATCCATGTGATGTTGGTGGTGTCTGCACACCAAGCGCACTACTATGGCCCAAGGCGACATTGAAGTCAGCCTCGCCGTTAATTTGGCTAATCCTAGGTTGGTGTTCGATGGTAAGTGCTTCAGACAGATCGAGATGAACGAATGGCACTGTGTCTGGAGGTCAGCTGAGAGGGTCAGTGTGCCCGTTGTGCGCGACTGGGGTGATCATCACCCGCTCTCACCTATCTTCTCACCCTGTCTATCGCGCACTCACCCTAATCACCCGAGTTGCGCAACGTTAAAGCAGCGCTCACCTTTCATCATGGTGATTCTAATTGGCATATATTTACTTTCTTCGAGTCATTTAGTACATACGACCACAGGGTGTGGAGAACAGGGCTTCCCGTCCGCTCAGCCGTACTTAAGCCACACGCCGGCAGGTTAGTAGTTGGGTGGGTGACCACCAGCGAATCCCTGCTGTTGTATGTATTTTTTAATTATTTTTTGATTTGTTGAGCTTAATGCCATCGCCGCCCTACTCGTCAGGCTGCTCAATCCCCTTCACTTTAAAGCCCTGAAGGCCCTCTATTCTACTCATTCAACCCCAGAATGACCACGACAATGGAAACGACGACATGATGAAAAGCAATCTTTTGCTATCCGCAACATAATTCAAGATATCACCGTCCGTCCCTTGCCATGATCTTCCGGCAGCATGTCGTATCACAGACCCCATGTATTCGTTCCCCAGGAATCCTATACTCATCTCAGGCGGACCGTACGGCCACATGTATTTCCGGAATACCGCAGTAACTATAATTGGTCCCGTGGACCAGAAGACCTCCAAGTACGGCAGAGGAATGCGCCAGAATGAAGCATGCACGACGCTTAGCCTCAAAGAGTGTCCATAATAGGAACGGTGACCCTTCTCGGGCCATAAAGAAATGGTTGCTGAGACCCAAGGCTCCCGTTGTGGACGCGAATATAATTTGCAACTTGAGTCTCTGCAAGGCTGGATATACGTCTTGGTTTGCATATATGCCTCCTTCTGCGTGTACGACAAGTAGCTTGGCAATATTAGCCCGCTGGATGTCTCGGGGATAAGCTTTATAGGTAGAGAGAAGCCATGGGTACTTCTCTTTCACAAGCTGTTCAATTTTCTTGTCTGTCCAAAGTCTCACAGTGTAGTCCAAATGCTGAACTGAGGCATTCCAAGCGTCAAATGATGGATTTTTTTTTATTTTTTTTTAAATTATGTCTCAATATCGAAAATTTTGTGAATGAGACGTCGTAAACTTTGATTCCAATCCATACAAGCGCGATTGATAACCCCAATATCTTTGATAGGGCAATTGGTGATAATGCTTGTTGATATTGATAAGTCACCAGTCAAGATAAAGTCTGTTATGTATGCCTCGTGCATTTTGACGAATCACAAACGCTGAGACCAGTGCCATGGCTGCTAATCAGTTCAAAACCCTTTTTGATGCTCTCGTTCCCGTCAAGGTCGAATAAAAAATAAATATAAATATTGAGGTCGTTGAATATTGACTTGGGAGAAACTTCATATACATAAATAAGAAGCCTTTGAAGGGAAGAAGAGAGGTAGGAAATCTTCTTTTAGTACTATCTCCTTCGCTGGAATTACGCCCTCTAAATTGGTACCAATATATTACGCAGAACATAAGATTATAGTTTTCAGCACCACGCAGGATGACTGGTATGAAAGACCCTAAACTCGACCAAATCGAGCTTTCGGCTGGAAGAGGCAGCAACTTTCGATTAGCCTGGAAAGCAAGTTTCAGTATTTTTCAATTAGGAAATTTCGTGATAAATCAGAGATTTCCGCGACTAAAATCCACAGAATATGCATTTCAGGTCGCTTTTTACAGTGCCGACGATTGAAATATATTCAATCCTCTTACGCTATGCATGGATTATATACGGATTATTCGCCAGGGGCTTTGAGGGCAGCTAACTACAGTTCAGTGGGATCTCTCTGAGGGTTCATTACATAGTGAAATACGTTAGTTGGGGATGAATTGACGTCTCGCTGCGGTTCGTACTATTCATCCACTAGGACACATGATCCTATTTCATATATCCTGTTGGTAGTTCCAGGAAATTCGCAACCCATGTTTCCATGCTAATTCATTCGGACCTTTCCCCATCGAAATCGGGCAGGTCTTCGGCGTGAATCACATCCCTGCGGGGTCTCCTGGACGGAATTATGCGCTCGTACGTATTGCGGTAGATATGAAGTGACATCGCATCATATGGATCGACTCGTCGGGTCTTCTTTTGGCCCTTAAATCGCTTCCAGTCGAGTGCCTCGCCAGGTTTGGGATGCGTGGCAAGAGCCAGGTCTGCGAAACGTTGTTTTTGCGTTTCTGAGAGTTGGAAGATGAGCCAGCGACCGGGCGGGTGGACGAAGACATCCTTGCACTAAGATTGAATGAGATGGTTTCCTTAATCAGTGTCGTCCGTGGGGACTAGGTTGGAACTCCGTAGCATCGCACAATACATACCTCAGTGCCAGATTCTCCTCGGTCGAACAGAACCACCCCGCCAAATAGTTGCAGTTCAGCCCAGTAACCGACGATGTCCGCAACACCATTCGGATACTGTTCCCAACACTCATAGCCCCAGAGAAAGAGCTCCGTGGGATGGTGAGGGACGGGATGGTGGAAAAACTCACCATTCCCTAAATCTGTAGGGGGGATGCGATACTCTCCCGGTTTATTTAACCCGCCATCTACGTGGCGAAAGACCCTAACCGCCACCTCATGGACAGCGATGATGACGATCTCCATAAGTCGTAATGTGAACTCTGGCGATGAGATTGAAGCATTTTGGTATGCTTGGAGGGCCTGCCATCTCCCACCGGACGGTCAATACCCGATTTCTGGCGCAGTGCGGGGAAAGAGATGAAGGAAGGGCTTATCTACGTTGGCTTCCAGCTGCAGGTCCTCCACCAAGAAGGTCTGCTGAAGCTCCCGAATCACCCTTTTGGCATCGGGGCTTGGTTCTCGATTATTTTCAAAGTCCGCACGGAAATGCCCATAATATTCCTGGTAAGTGCTTTGAATCGGACAGCCGTCGGCTATCTGGGCGAAGGTGATGAATCCCAGATCTGATGAGAACAGACGGCTTATGGCCTGTTTCACCGGCGCCAAGTGGTCGGGTGGAAGATCTGCGACTGGGAGGAGTTGTGGGGAGTCCGACATCCTTACCCGTGCAATCTATTCTGGTTTGCAGTCTGCTGCTTGTTCTTGGAGAGAGCCCGAGAAAATATGCCAAGCTAGGGATGTTGAGAGATGTGCAGAAATGGAAATCGAGAGAGATGGTAGGGGTATATATATGTCTGGAGGTTTAAAATGATGGTGGGGATGTTGGTCGTCTGGAATCACGGGACGGAGGGGGCCTGATCGGGATTCTCTCATCATCTTGATCTCTGCCTCATGTCGCATCTCCTTCTCACCCTTCCCGTTCTGCCAAATGATTCAGTGACAATGGCCGAAAACGCAATCGTTTCAATCAGGATCCAGGACCCCCCTCTTCCCTGATCTCCCAGCCTTTAGGACCGATACCGTGAAACATCGCTCCCCAACCTCAAAATAGGGGGAGGGGGTCTTTATAGCCGAAAGGCCGACAAGACAATGCAAAATGAGTTTATGGCATAATCGATTAATGCCAACTCTCACCTCACTCATCGGCAAGGCGGGCAACGCGTTAAATAGATCGTTAATATTTTCGATGAGCCTCTCATTCTTTGAGTATTCGCGCCGTTAACCCCAGTGCCCTCTGTATCGATCTATGGACCTGTCGAACCTGATTCATATGTCCTTAAAATAGAAAATAGATCAATCAAATATATTCTAAATTTGGCAATGCAATCTGCCAACCCTCATGAGGGGAACCCCCAAGGAACGAGGTTGGACTCGCTTCTACCGAATAATCTGTTGACGTGATGCCAGTTGCCCACGTCTAGGAAGCGCTTGCAATATTCCAACCCTCTGTATATGATCAATTTGTTGATTGACCGATGCGCGAGTCGGGTATAATCTTTGTGTGCATATCGAGGCCACTCACGACGAGAAGTTATATAAAGCGCAAGAAGTATCGTATCTTCCGACTCCTTTGACTATCAAGCTCTACACCGTTTCCCAATAATTCTGCCTTCGCATTAGCACCTAAAGAACAACCAGATTATACGACAGTCCTTGTCTTCTTTATCAAAATGTCTATTCCCAGCAACTTAGTCAATGATTTGGACAGTCTCATCGCTTTCACAAAGGATGCGATCTGCAATCCCTTTGCCAAGGAGGAATTCGCTAAGGCAGCGTTAATGTTCGATAATCTTCGAATGGGTGGTAAGCATTTCGGAGGCAAATTGGACGATGCCAGGGCCTGGACAAACCTTCTTTTGCCCCGATTTGTCCAAGAATTTCCCACGGTGGTGATTGAGAAACAAGCCACTCTTAATGACCCTTATGGGTGGACCACTCGAGAGAACCGACAATTTGAAAGGGACCCAAGCAAAGCCAACTTGAAGCGGGAGAAGATTCATCTCAACGGTTCGGTAAGTAACCTTCGGTCTGGGGTGATTCCAGCTCCTTTGACTCACGTCTAACACTTTCAAGATTTTTAAAGAAATGGTCGCGGCAGCAGGATCCGACACAATGAAATACTTTTTCAATACATTCACAATGGAAATAACAATGATTCATGAAGTTGCACATGTCTTCTTCAGCCAGCTTGCTGAGGGTAGTGATACCCCGCTTGGAATGGGCCCATCTTCAGCAGGAATGGGAGAGGGTGGTGCTCACCTGGAGATCAACTTGATCGGGGCTATTCTCGATAGGCCGCCCAGACAAGCCGGGCGTCCTTTATCGGTGAGATTCTATCTGTCTATTCCTATCTCCGAGTTCACGCATTTAACCTTCTTAACCCTCAACTAGACTGGAGAAGTCGGTCTCACAGATGTCAACGGCAACTATTGGCGAATTGATGATCAGCTCATCAAAGATTTCTGCCAAGGGAGTGAGTGCCTGCCTGTTTTGAAACCCGGTCTTCCTATTTAGATCTCTCCCTATTGACTATCTTTGGTCTGAAACAGAGTATAACTGGAAGTTGATCCAAAAAACCGTTCAATCACCACCAACGTACACACCAGGTGCAGCCAGCTCACAGCCTGCTACCACTGGTGGTAAACCGAAAGTCAAGGCGACTAACAGCAACATTGAGCGTCACACGGTCCGTCTTACCAAATATAGTGGGAAAAACAGATTCATCTACCAAGCACCGCTTCATCTTGTGTTCGACAGAGATCAGTGAAATCAATCTAGTTTGTGTGGTATGGGGACACTTGAAGCCATCAAAATCCAACTTTTGAGGATTGATTTGGATCAATTATCCCTATAGCGATGAAATCTCAACAAGTTTGACTGGGATCTGTTGTTTTCGTGTTCTTTGCACTTGAAAGAGCCCAGTTTGGCTTTCACAGTTTTCATTATCTTTTCATGCTGTGAATAGATTCAGCTATAATTTGCTTTTATTGTCTAGGATTTCTGTGGTGATTGTGCGAGGATTTCCTATTTCTGTATATAGACTGAGATAGTAGGGAAGGCAAGGCCAGAGGAGAGGCATGTGAAGTTGACGGAGATCTTCCATCCTGCTCCTCTCTCCTTCTCTCCTTCCTTCCCCTCAAATTCTCAATATCACCGTTTTCGCGCATATTGCTTTCAGATATTGGCCATCCTTTACAATTTCTTGTCCATATTTGTCGGATTTTGCGATGGCATAGACTACAACCTAAATGATTTCTGCAATTCCTTAGCTCCAATTATCTTTTCTGTATGACTCGTCTCTGTCTACTTATTGAGAACAGACTAGTATAAGAAGGACCACTAGAAACTAAGAATAGGATGAACTCATATCCATAAATTTGATTCTGTTTGATTCTTTTAAACCATAATTTATGATAAATAGTATCACAAGATATTGATATCTATTATAGAATATGAACTTATTAGATCCTGTGAATTATAAACCTAGTTCGAGCACTCCTGGGAAACATACACTAGCTCCTAAAGTTTTGTATAATTAGGTACTCTAAAGAATTTTCTTGATGATATAACTTGAGAACAAGCGAAGGAAACATCTGACAATTGACTGGCTCAATTTCTCGAATGGTGTTACGGCCACAAATGAGATATTGCTGGCCTCTCCAGCCCAACAGCCCCTTCCCATGTATGCCCCTTCCCATGTATGCCCCTTCCCATGTATGTTCTGTAACACGTTTAAAAATCCACTCATTAGCGGATACTCGCGGTAGCTGTTTTTGTATCTACGTATTTTTGCTCTTCGAGCCTCTTTTATTTCTAATTAGCCAGGCTTCAATTTTTTACGCTATGGGTCAGTCTTACCTTTCCCCAGCACGATCGACCTGTAAGCAATGGACAGGGTACCCTATAGATAGACCAATAACTGCCTTCTCCGTATATAGAGCTACGGTGATGATGTTTCGCCGTTCAGGAGGAAAGCCCGTCACTTTTGTTTTCCCAGCAAATGGTAAAGGCGTCATGTTGTTGCTTGTATTATAAGTGAGCTGGATGCGTTTCAGCCCAAGATTTGGAAGAGGTAGAGCCGTCTATAAGACTGACTTATTTGATTGCAAGTCCCTCTCGGGAAGATATGGGATATTTATTTAGATGATAAAGAATAATAAGTTGAGGAGACGGAGGTCTTCATATCGGCAAAGTGAGCACATATTCGAGAAGGTATATAATACCCATAGCCCCACTCTGAAGTGACGGTCACTCCAGAGTGGGTCTGGCTGGGTTCTTGCATTCAGTCTTTGATTTGTGTACTAGTCGGCCAATAGAAACGGAATGGCAGGCGATAATTCTTTTTAGAGAACAGATAGATATTAGTGCCTTACACCGCCCGCCCAACCCTTCCGGGTTGTGGGTGCGCCACGTATGAATTACCACCCACACATGAAATACCATTTTTTCATATTTCCCCTATCTACTACTGCATACCACTAGTATCTATAAAGAAAATATTACCTTCCTGACGTGCTTCCTCTGCTCTATCTAATGATGCCTGGGATTCCTGTGTAGGATCTGGTGGTGGTGATGTTCTATACGCTTTCTTCCACTGCTTCCTTACCCGCTTCCGCTCTGCCTCTGCTTCCTTCTTATTTCTTTTAGCAATAGAACGATTTGTATCTCTAATAGAGAGTACCCCTGTTTTGCTAAGCGGCGTTTTAACCTGGCGCTTAGTGATTGGGCGCTGTAGTGGTTGTTGAGCTTCCCTAATCTTGCGAATAGTATCGTTCGCTAGATTCAGATTCTCTATAGCAATCTTGTTATGATGAAATAACCGGTCAAGATTACGTTGCTGCTTAGGTGTAAGATCTTCTTGTTGATATCTAGCAATCTTCTTTTGATTCTTCTCTAGATCCTGTATAGATCTAGGCGGCGATTGGTCGATACTAGAAGAAGATATAGGTGGTGGTGAAGGTGTTGTATGAAGTATTGAATAAAGCGGTTGTAGATCTAGCGCTATAAGATCTGGGTAATCTTAGATAGGAAGGCTATTAATAACCTTTCTACTATCGACTGGATATATCCCACGATCTTTAAACGATTCACGAATGATTCGCTGGCTAAACGCTCTATTCCGAATATCACCGATTATTCGAAGGAACTCGGATCTTCCGATAGGGCTTCCGCCCAAAAACGCGTGGTCGTTATTCGCTAAGCGAAAGTGTTGCTTATAGCTTAGAAACGGCTAGCAAAGATGTGTAGTATGTGGTAGGAATCCTATTAGTAGGATATTATTCTCTTCGCAAAGGTGTAGAAATTCGAATGTAAGATACGAACCGTGACCGTCGAATATTAGGATACGTTTTTCACCCGATTTTATACGGTCGTATGTTGATTCTATAAAGAATCGAAGCTATTGAATAGCTATACTATCGGTTATCCAACCGTTTAGCGATGTAGTAATAGTAGTTCTTGGTAGTAGGTTGTCTGTTTGATTAAACTAAGATTCTATAAAGATGCCGTTGCCTTTAAAGATGAACCAGGGTTCTAACTGCCACCCGTCGGCAGCTATACACTCGATAGACGTAATAATTTCGCCTTAGTCTGGCTAAGGAAGGTCTACTATCTTCCTACTACTACTACTAGTAGTAGTAGTAGTAGTAGTAGTAGTAGTAGTAGTAGTAGTAGTAGTAGTAGTAGTAGTAGTAGTAGTAGTAGTAGTAGTAGTAGTAGTAGTAGTAGTAGTAGTAGTAGTAGTAGTAGTAGTAGTAGTAGTAGTAGTAGTAGTATTAGTAGTAGATATAACGTTTCTAGACCTTCCTTCGCCTAGTTGAAAGCCGCATTCATCAAAGTTATAGACTAGACATGCAGGCGTAGTCTTCTTGATAGTTTGGGCTAGTAGATCGTACTAATGTTGTAATGCTGCTGGATCCTCTGCTAGAATTCGCTTTGATTCCTTCGTATGCTGCTTAGTAGGCCCTAATTGAAGATATTTAGGAAGCCTATTAATAAAGCGGTACGCCTATATCTTGCTAACTAGCGGCTTCCCGACGCGTTGGCATGCACGATTTGCCCACGCTTCTAGTATCCTAGGAGTGATAGGCATATAGCAATCGTTTATATATTGAATCCAGCGAATAAGAGCTTCTTCTTGATAGGATTCGAGGGCGTATTTAGCATTGCATATAGCTGTCTTAGGCCTTGCTCCTTTTTTGATTCGATTCGAAAGCGTACGCCTAGGCACGCCAAATTCGCGTGCTAAACGCGCGAAATTCGGCTTCTCCTCTCGTGAAGCTGCTAGGCAGGCTTCTGCCATACGTGATTCATCAAATTTAGGCATATTTAGATGGTGGTGTTAGGTAGGGAAGCAAAAATAGGGTGGTAGGGAAAAAATGGTATTTCATGTGTGGGTGGTAATTCATACGTGGCGCACCCACAACCCGGAAGGGTTGGGGGGCGGTGTAAGGCACTAGCAGTGTCTCCGCCCACCCACACCGCTTCGCGTTGTGGGTGTGCCACACCCTAATGCATAACCACACCCTAATGCATAATATTTCCTATTTCCCCTATCTATCGCTGCATCCCACTAGTATCTAGAAAGAAACCCTGCCCGTTCTAACGTGCTTCCTCTGCTCTATCTAACGATGCTAGGCTTTCCTGTGTAGGTTCTGGTGGTGGTGATATTCCATATGTTTTCTTCCACTGCTTCCTTACCCGCTTCCGCTCTATATCCGCTTCCTTCTCCTTTCTTTTAGTAATAGAACGATTGGCATCTCTAATAGAGAGAACCCCTGTTTTGCTAAGCGGTGTTTTAACCTGGCGCTTGGTGATTGGGCGCTGTAGTGGTTGTTGAGCTTCCCTAATCTTGCGAATAGTATCGTTCGCTAGATTTAGGTTCTCTATAGCAATCTTGTTATGATGAAACATACGATCAAGATTACGTTGCTGCCTTGGTGTAAGATCCTCTTGATATCTAGCAATCTTCCTTTGATTCTTTTCTAGATCCTGTATAGATCTAGGCGGCGATTGGTCGATACTAGAAGAAGATATAGGTGGTGGTGAAGGTGTTGTTGTATAAAGCGGTTGTAGATCTAGCGCTAGGAGATCTGGGATTTCTTGGATAGGAAGGCTATTAATAACCTTTCTACTATCGACTAGATAGATCCTACGATCTTTGAACGATTCACGAATGATTCGCTGGCTAAACGCTCTATTCCGAATATCACTGATTATTCGAAGGAACTCCGATCTTCCGATAGGGCTTCTACCTCAAAACGCGTGGTCGTTATTCGCTAAGCGGAAGTGTTGCTTATAGCTTAGAAACGGCTTACCGTCTAGCGGTTAGCAAAGGTGTGTAGTATGTGGTAGAAATCCTATTAGTAGGATATCGTTCTCTTCGCAAAGGTGTAGGAATTCGAATATAAGATGTGAACCGTGACCGTCGAAGATTAGGATACGTTTTTCACCCGATTTCGTACGGTCGCGTGTTAATTCTATAAAGAATCGAAGCTACTGAACTGCTATATCGTCGGTTATCCAACCGTTTAGCGATGTAGTGATTGTAGTATGTGGTGGTAGGCCTTCTGTTTGATTGAACCAAGATTCTATAAAGATCCCGTTGCCTTTGAATATAAACTAAGGTTCTAACTGCCACCCGTCGGCAGCGATACACTCGATAGTTGTTATATTTTCGCCTTGGTCTGGCTGAGGAAGATCTACTATCTTCCTACTACTACTACTACTACTAGTAGTAGTAGTAGTAGTAGTAGTAGTAGTAGTAGAAGATATAACGTTTCTAGATCTTCCTTCGCCTGGTTGAAAGCCGCATTCATCAAAGTTGTAGACTAAGCGTGCTGGTGTAGTCTTCTTGATTGTTTGGGCTAAAAGATCGTACTAATGTTGTAATGCTGCTGGATCTTCTGCTAGGATTCGCTTTGATTCCTTCGTATACTGCTTAGTAGGCCCTAATTGAAGATGTTTAGGAAGCCTATTAATAAAGCGATACGCCCACATCTTGCTAATCGGCGGCTTCCCGACGCGTTGGCATACACGATTCGCCCACGCTTCTAGTATCCTAGGAGTGATAGGCATATAGCAATCGTTCATATATTGGATCCAGCGAATCAAGGCCTCTTCTTGATAGGTTTCTAGAGCGTATCCGTTCCCGCTTCTAGCTATGCGAGGCCCTGTTCCCTTTTTAACACGTCGATAGAGAGTGCTTTGATTAACACAAAATTCGCGTGCTAGACGCGCAATATTCGGCTTCTCTTCGCGTGACGCTGCTAGGCAGGCCTCAGCCATACGAGATTCATCAATTTTAGGCATATTTAGATAGTGGTGTTGGATAGAGAAGCAAAAAATAGGGTGGTGGGAAAGATTATGCATTAGGGTGTGGTTATGCATTAGGGTGTGGCACACCCACAACGCGAAGCGGTGTGGGTGGGCGGAGACACTGCTAATAGATACTGCATGCCGAATGACTGTTTTGTCGGAGGCTATTGATAGCTTGACCAGTTAATCTGTGCATCCCTAAAGCCCCGGCTGATTATTCTTGAACATTACCCCTTAGGCTCTTCTGTAGTAGAATTTTGGAGATGTGCTTATTTCAAATTGAAGAGCAGCTACTGTAGTTCCTACGAAGAACATGGGGATAGTCAACCAAAAGCCGGGCTGACGCCATATGCGAACTGAGGAAAAATTTTGATAACGAAGACTCTTATCTCATAGGCTGGTCCAGTTGAATTCCAAGCAAAGGTTGACTAAGTATGGGTCTTCAAGTGCGCTTCATCCCGCGCCCGAGTTGGTTAAGTTGGGTGTGAGCTGAAACTAAAAGCATCTACCAGATTTTGTAGATCAATATGTCACACGTAAATAGTCATTTGGAACTATTGCAACTCTAAATAAAACATAATCTTCACGTTGCATAACAGTCAGCACCCAATACTTCGCGTGTTGGCCATTCGATCCACCTGTGGTATTCTCGGGGAAGCACGGCAACAACGGCTTTTATGATCTTCGCTGGGATTGGCTTATTCCACCAGAACTTCGGGGCATTTTGAAATAAGACACAAAAGTGAGCAAAAATGATAAGCGCTGCCGGTCGGCGTTGCTCAAGGAGCTCCACAAACCCAAAGGGGACTTCAAAAAGCCACCCATACGACAGACTGAGGTAATTCGAACTTTCAGCTCTTTGATAGTTGCGATCTTCTTGATTGTTGAGAAGCTCATTAAAAACCACCCGACCGGTGTTTGCCTTGGAACCTTCTGAGGCAAGATTGAATGCGTCAACCAAAATCTCTAGTGCCTGGGAATAGATCTGATTATCATGCAATTCGCTTGTTGTGGATGCAGTGTCTGTATCCCATATTCTTGCAAGGCCAAGCAGTTGGTCCGTCCCAGTTTGTTCGGTATTGTTATTCTGTGTCCGTGACAGACACCTCTTGCTTGACACATCACTCCATAGAAGAGGAGCTACAGGGCCATCTTGAATCCAGTGTCCCTTTTGCCTATATATACCGGATGTTCCTTGATGTAAACGAAGCCAATCCACAATTGCGTCGAAGAAGTCATCTTCCATAAACGTGGCAGCGGGATTGATCACAGTACCTGCAGAAGCAGGAATGTAATATTCAGCAAGGAAGGAGAACGCGAAAATGGCATCGCAGTTCTGAGGGGTGATTTCTTCCAGCTGCGACCGAAATCCCTTGAGGGCAGCATCTTGTTTACTGGCAGCGAGGATGGTCAGACTTCCTTTGTCAGCTGTGTTCGAATTTGCCATATGAAGAGCAGCAAGGGCCAAAATTCCCTGGAGGAGGAATGAATGTGCAAATGCAATTTGGACGACTGTTGTGGCCCATGTCCTGTGGGCTTCTGGACAATCTGATAAAGTCGAACTTGTACAATAGGTGAAGTGGTGTATAAGACGCATATCGTCTAAGGTATAGCCTGCATTGTCCTTGGCCTTGGACGAGCTTTCCCCGGCATCGGGCATCGGCTTTCGAAAAGAGCTGATATTTCCACTTTGCGCTTGCTGATACAGTGTTCCAGAGCTCCACAAGTAGGGTGTCGTAATAAGAAAGCTGCAACTTTTGTTGAGCTTCGAACAACTGCCGCACATGGGCCGTTGTTCATCGCATTTGACTTTCCGAGTCTTACATTGCCGGCATCCCGCTCTGGACTTTTGACCGAGTGAAGCTCGTGGCATGATGGTGCTTAGTTGATTATACCGTAGAGACACTATAGCCAATGGCAGGTTAGTCGGTGCGAAAGTGTTGGAGATTTCAAAGTGACATGTTCCGATGAGGCAAAACAAACCATCTCCGCTTCCGAAATTTCGGAAGTGTACCCTCACCTCCCAAGTTTATTCCTCGGGGACGTATTCCTGGCAGCTGCCTTGCCAATCATTGTTGGACCCGGCTTAAAGCTTAAATAGGCTCTGGATCCGATATTTAATTGTCTCTAGATCTTCACGGCTGATCTCATAGACCCACTCTTTCTTCCTTTGCTCGCACCGACGGCTTCATCATTGGTGAATCGCCGTTGAGGGGAAGAGGGGGGGGAAAGCTGCCTCCTGTCGCCGCAACGTCGCAATTGACGCAATGACATTCGTTGGCCATCTACACCGCACTGTGGCCGCGGATAGATCGGAAAAATGATCTCAAGTCTTTCGTAAACTTGAGGTGAGGTACGCCGATTGAGCCGGAAATGCTGGCGATACTCATGTATATAAAGCCTCTGAAGCCCCAAGACAAAACGAATCATCCAAAAAACCAGTAAAGCTTTCTATTCAATCTACTTCTATATTCCACTTCGACTCTCAACATGTTGGGCAAGGTCGTTCTCGAAGAAGCCTACGAGCGTGCCGGCAAGGAGGAAAAGTCCAAGGCCGAGGCTGCCCTGTACATTGCCCCCGAGGACCGTGTTCGCTACATGCGCCAGATCCACGACGTCAACGATGAGCGTGTCCGTCTGTCAAACGCTCACGGCATTGGCTATACCGTCATCTCCCTGACCGTTCCCGGTATCCAGGGTATTTCCGACAAGGCCCTGGCGGAGAAGACTGCTTTTGAAACCAATAACTGGGCTGCCGAGCAAATCAAGCACCACCGCGACCGTATGGGTGCTTTCGCCTGTCTGTCCATGCACGACCCTAAGCAAGCTGGCCAGGAGCTTCGTCGCTGTGTTCAGGAGCTCGGCTTCCACGGTGCTCTTCTTTGCGACTTTCAGCACTCCGGCCCCAAAGGCGAGACTTACCTCTACTATGACCAGCCCGCATACGATGAGTTCTGGAAGGTTCTCACTGAGCTCGATGTCCCCTTGTACATCCATCCCGCTGCTCCTTGTGATGTCGTCCTGGAGAAGCTGTACGCCCAGCGCCAGAACTTGATTGGACCCCCTCTGTCCTTTGCCAACGGTGTCAGCTTGCATACTCTCGGCCTGATCTCCAACGGTGTGTTCGATCGCTTCCCTACCGCCAAGGTCATCATTGGCCACCAGGGCGAGCACATTCCCTTCGACTTCTGGCGTATCAACCACTGGTTTGAAGATGTCAAGCGTCCCATCGCCAACGAGGAAGGCCGTGTTATGGCCAAGAAGACCATCTATGACTACTTCAAGCAGAATATCTGGATCACCACCAGTGGACACTTCTCCACTTCTACTCTGAAATATGTTGTCAACGAGATTGGTGCCGATCGCGTTCTGTTCAGCGTTGACTACCCTTACGAGACCATTGAGAACGGTTGTGGCTGGTGGGATAACGATGCCGAAGCCATCCAGGAAGCTGTTGGCGGTGTTGATGCCTACCGCCGCATCGGCCGTGACAACGCGAAGAAGCTTCTCAAGCTAGGCTCTTTCCACGACTCGGAGGCTCCTGTCAACTAAGATATGTTCATAGTATCTATGTGGCTACTTAGCCTCGGCAAGTATCAAGTATACATAACTCTCTTTATGTTTATATCGAATCACATATTAGAAATTGATTCTGAACATATCTTATTGAGTTTCCACGTTTTGTGAGGTTTTGGTACTCGTATGAGCAAATTGCGATGATATCATTCTATACCTAAATAACCAGTTCTATATATCTGAAGCTCTATGAAAGTGTATGTAAAATCGTCATACATCATTGATTTATTCAATGATGCCTTTGTAATGAGCAAGAAGACTCAGGTGAGGCCCAGCTCTTCTTTTTATTATCTCCATCTGCTGCCATAGGCCTGTATCACAATAGTCGGAAGGACACTGACAGCCACGATCATACCACAGACAACGCCTGAACTAGCAGCCACGCCAACACTATCGAATAGTGATGTGAACCTGAATAAAGTGTCAGTTGTTTCAGCGATTATGACTTTTCAAGGTAACTTACCAGAAGGGCCCAAGGAAGCCCCATATTTGTCGAACAAACGTGATAAAGACACCAATGCTCGCCGCTTCTTGAGGGTAGCAATCGATCGCATAAGTGATCATGACCGTGGTGACTATTTGACTCCCTGCAGCAGCCACTCCTGTGCCGATGATAGGGGAGACAGTCCAATGACCCGCAGGAGCTTCCTGCGTGCAGACTAGGAAAATAATCAAGCCCACGCAGGTAAGAAAAAACCCAAAATAACTCAGCCAAAGTCTGAATTCAGGTTCGGGATTTTGTTGAATCCGCTTTGTGCGCATTCTCATCCAGTAGTCCGACAGGTTGCCGCCTATCTGCTCACCGATAACAGATCCAATGATCATACCTAGAAACTGAAGTCCAACTTGTTCGGTATTGAGGTCGAATTTTGTCTGTAGAAGCGCTGGGATTTCCACGGTTGTCATGATGTTGCTGAAGAGAAAGACCATAGCATAGGCGCAAGTTGGCAGAACCACAGAAGGATGAGTGACCATAGTCAGGGGCTTGACGAACTCGAACCAGGTAAAGGGTGTAGGGTCAATGCGGCGGATAGAGATATATTCTCTCTTGAATGTAGACTCTTCTCGCCACTCACCACTATCCACATAGCGGGTTTCAGGACCAAAGAAGAGATAAAGGATAAACTGGCCGCCGTTGATCTTTAACCACCAAATATTAGCAAGTTTCCTGGAAGACTGGAAGGGATAGGAGTGAAGGATTTTTTACCATCGCTAGGACCCAATAGATCCACTCATAACCAGCTCGATATGCAACGAAACCAAAAATGAAAGGTCCAAGCGGGACTCCTAATGTAATCATCACGGTCCAAATCCCCATGTACCGAGCACGATCTTTTTTGAAAGTTGTTTCCATTACCACGGCACTTCCAATGGCCGAGGCTGGTGCGATGAAGAACGCCGAAAGGGCTCTGCACGCAGCTGTCGAACCATAGGTAGTGCTCTTCGCACACCCCACATTGCACACTAGACTGCAGATGAGGGACAGAAGAAATACTGGACGACGGCCAAAGCGATGGGATATGGGTTTCCAGAAAAGTGGTGCACCACCGAGTACCGCAATTTGGAGTGACGTCAGGTAACTTGCCGACTGATTGGAAACACCATACATTTCAACGATATTTGAGTATGCTGGTATAATTCCGGCAGCGGCAAAAGTACCCATGCATGCATGGAAGGCGACAAGCGTTAGATTCATTACTTTCTGTAGACCTCGTAATTTTATCAGTGATCATGATGCTGGCTCTAAGAATTGCTTGGAAGCACTGACCTTCCATTCTGGCCAATTGTAAGGATCTGCAGGGTCCATTGCAGGGAGAGGATCGAGATCCAGAGTGCCATGGCGTTCCATCAAATAATCCCGGTGTGGTTTGGATAATTGAGCTGTCTCTGCATTGAAATTGGATGAATCTGCCGCACGCTCCACGAAATCCATGTCGCGTTTGGCATATGCTTCTTCGACTTCATGGTCTACCGCCGCGGGCTGCTGCCTTTCCATGGATATAGCCATGGTGTAGTGTTCTCAATGAGAAAAGGGGTTAGGAATGGGTAATGGGTGGTTGGAGGAAGAAGAAAATGTCTAGTGAGAGAATCCCCCCAGAAACCGGCCTCCCCACGGGCATACCTCCACAGGATAACTTATCGGCTTCGCCCTTACTCCATAAATTCATGGAGATAGTACAGAAGGGGTTTGTGGGGTATGGTCGCTTACGCGTTGGGAGTGGCGATTCACGACAGTTCGTTCCACAGCGTTTTCCACAATGAGTTCATCACAGGTTCCAATTCACAAGAATATCAGTGGCCAGGAGAGTGTGGAAAGTGGGTTCAGCGGATAAGCGTTTTTCAGGTGGGGTGTGGGAAGCCATGGCGAACCATTTCAAGGGCGGCAATAAAGAGGCCACGCCTTGCTTTGGGGAATTTTACCATGAGAAGCCTCTCTGTCCAAGAAATTTGTTTGAAATAAATCGAGGGAACTTGATCAAGTTCAATTGGGGTTTGAGACGGCTTTGGATTCAGTATTACAACTATTCGTTCTTAAGCTTGGCTTTTTTGCCACTCGCGCGATAAGATTTTCAGCCGCTTGAGCCGCCCCTGGAACCCGGCCTCCATTTCGACAGAGGTCTCATTCTTGCAGCAATAGAAAAGTGCCTGAGTCAAAATCTCTAATAGTGGAAAATATTGGAATGCCATTGATGAAGCCGCTCCAAGCTCCCCCTTTCAAAATAGACAACTGACTTTTCCGTCCTTTTTGACTTCACAAAGAACAGGACAAAGGAAATGAGATTCATAAGAGAAGAGTAATCGAAAATATGATTCCATTTGATTATATTGAGGGATCTTGTTGATTATAAACGCAAATCCAACCATTAGTCTCCAATTGGTTCAAATCTAAAGTTTTCCCCCTCAAGTGATGATCTAGCCCAAATACCATATTTAGATAGATATTTCTGAAGATACATTCAAATCCAGTTTTATGCGGTCTGTTAATCAAGGAAAATACAATTTAGAGCGTGTTTCATGAAGAATATTGTAAAAAACATAAGCTTCATGAAGCTCTCGCAACTATGTGAGAGGGTTTTTGGATACCACAAAGGAAAATCTTTCCAAACTTCCACACAAATTATTGATCCACTCTGCTTATTATTTTAATCATATGTGTGTAATGTGTGACCCTTATCTCTAGGGAATATCTTAATGCGAACCAGTGTTTGGGCTGTATGTATGCCATCTAAGCCTGTTTTCTCAGAGGTCGAGGAGCCGGGGTTTAAAGGGGGGGTTTTTTTTCACGGGCTCTGATATTTCTGAAGGACTCTTATGTATATATCTTAATATTCATTATTGCAGGTGTCCTACAGCCCCGCACAGATGCCCTTCATATCAGAGATATAGAGATGCCTTTTCCAACCATAATCACGTGATCGAATAAATAAACACATTGTGTGCCTTCGGGTAATAGTAGAAGCCCTTTTTGTATTCCAGAACATAGAAGGCCTATAACCTGAGGCCTGGAATTGATGGAAGGTTCCAAATAAACGCAATAAGCCGCGTACAAGGGCAACATATGAAGAGGCGAAGGGTCGACTTCTCCCCTCTATTACTCATCACTATCCTACAGGTTCAAATTATACTGGATACCGGGATTTCACAGATAATACCTTCCCATTTGCTGAATTTGAAATTTCTCAAATGGTATAAAGCTTTCAAGTCTCCAGAGCACCCCGTTTTGCAACATGAAAAGGAGGTGTCTTGCCATCAATATCTTGAAAATATGAAAAGAAATAGTTCGATTCTAGTAAAGCTTTACTATCCCATATGACTCTGTTCTGAATGTAGGAGAAAGGGGCGATAGGTTCTAGATTATAGAATATACCATGATGTTCACATGATTTAGTGAGGTCTCAATTGCCCAGTATACCGACAATTGGCTCGAGTTGAGACATTGGCCGCAAAAGTCATATTTTGAAGGTTTCCTATGATGGCAACCAAGAAAAAAGCGCAGCTGTCAGATCCCAGCATATTTCTTCGATATAAGATCGGATTGAAAACGGAAACGTACGGTGGTTTATTTGGGCGACGGCTAGTAGGCCACTTTCTTCTTCAATATGATATGCAAAGTCATGCAGTAGTTCATTGGGTAGCGTGAGCATTATATATAATGTGATACTGGTGCAATCATTATGTCACCGCTGTGGAGGTATTATTGTGTATGTATGTGAGACCGCAGATACAAAAAGACAGTTTTTCCGTCAATTGAATCAGGGGCAGCAACCGTCAAGTCACATGACCCACGTGTGCTTTTTTTTGGGTCAGCAACAGTACATGGATTCAAAATGGTTGTCTGATTGATATTTTACCATCTGGCATTGAAGAATTACTTGATTAATTGACCAGTTGAATTATTGATTTGATTATGAAATGAAAGAGCATCTTGTTTGTCTCAAACAAGGAACGCTACGTCGAGTACTGCTGTATGTTGCGCCATCCGAATGATTTCGATTATGGAAGACCCACTGTGCTCTGCATGCTGGCCTGGTCAATCCTGAATTCTAGTACTCGAGATGAAATCGTTGTGGCCGGCATCTAGGACTGAGCAGGCTTCAGCATAGCAAAATATCCTATTGGCAAGTGTAGTGCTGGTAGCAAGGGGAAGGCAGAAAATATCAGATACGCTATGGAGATTGAGTTGTTCTGATATTTTCCCGATACTTCGAACATGAAAGAAGAACATAGACTGCTCCGTATCTAGTAACAGATGAATGTTTTTCTGAACTATCCAAAAAGGGCGGTGAGGCTAGCCGTTCACGTCGAAGCGGGCAGCTGAAGGACAGATGTGGGGCTTTGTTTTTCTGGCAATTTCAAGCGAGCAGTTGAGCAACCACCTGAGTTGAACCGAGTGAGGGTCCGGTTCAGGGCCGCCGGTTTCTGCACCAGAGAGGCTAACACCATGTCTAGAGCTGGTATTTTAGTGGTTAGTAATTTTTAGTGCTCTTTTGAGCGGGCGGGAGGGTCCAGACTGAGAACCCTTTAATTCAAAAATTGAGTAGCGAGGACGAAAAGTTTAGTTTATCGTCAATTTCGAGGCTCGGATCTCGATCGTTGGTATACTTGATTTTTGATTGTAGTATCGAATTTCATGCACAATTGCTATAAGAAAGACTTCTTTCTTCATACCTAGATTTGGTACCCGATCCTCGCTAGATCCCAGCTAATGAGCTGCTAGCCCCTTCGGTGTCCGGACTCGCCGGTGGTGTTTGACGGTTCGCCAAGGCGCTTGGCATGTCGGTAAAAGTAATGAAATAGTCCGAGAAAATACCTTCATTGGGTAAATGATCAATTATACCAACTGAGATGCGAAGACTGAATGAGTCTGCATTAGTCGATTACCGAAGCATTTGGACCAGATCCACACCTGTCGCTCCAAAATAGAACATTCTTGAGGTCAAATATGATACTTTAGTAAGTAATAATTGGTGCCATTGAAATACACAAAGCCATTGGTAGAACATCGGAAGGACTATATGATGGGTGAAACAGCTGGCATTCAAATACTTCTGTCAAACTCAACACAACAAGTATTCCAGGACAACATGTTTCACGGATTATTACCCATTCGGAATCCGGAATATGTGCAATTCACTCAAGTAAGCTTTACCCCACTAAGCAGCAGTGAGTATCCATCATCCCCTCAGTAAGCTGACCCAATTTAAAGGATGCCAAACTGGACGCTATCTTTATAAGGCTAGTAAGGTTGCTGATCTCGCAAACCGATCTTATTCTTGACAGCAGAATGGACACTAAAGCCTCAAGCATACGTAAGTCTTCATCTAAAATTAGCAAAGCCATCCTCAATGGCATATCTCCACCTCAGCTGAGGTATCAAAAATTTGCTGTTTGGGTTCCAGCCTGATGAGAGTTGAAAGCCCGTGTCGACCATTTCAGATGGCCTGCTTTGAGAACAAACATATAAATAGACATGTATTTCCCTCACATCGATGGAATAGACAATTATCTCGAAGCAAAACTTTTACAACATCTCTCCTCAACAAAAGAATTGTTCAATCTGAACTTCCATTATCCAAGATGATGATCAAGGTACTACGGAAATCCGCCATCCCATAACCCCTTTGACTCTCTTGACAAATGGCAATATCATGTATTGATACGATTAAACAGGCTGTTTCTCTTCTTTCCGCATTCCTGGCTGTTGCAGCTGCGAACCCTACTGTTGGGTACGCCGGCTACTATTTTGCTGGTTGCAACACTACCAGTATCGATGCTGGTAATGCCTATGCTGGATCCTGTCTCAACGTCGAGAATTTTCCCATCAAGTCTTTCTCCGCCTATGTTGAATCTGGCTCCTGCGCCGATGGCACTTCCCCGGTCCTGAACACCTACACTGCCTCTGGCTGTGACGACTCGACCTTGTATGAGACTGTTAGCGTCGACAGTGAGAAGCAGTGCTTCGAGGTTGATACTACTTTGATCAGTATCAAGACCGAGTGTGTTTAAAGGCTTGATGAGTTGTATCCAATGTTTCGGTGCTAGGTTATGAGGACAATTAATGTCAAATTAGCTTATTGAGGCGGAAATGGATTGCCCACATTGGAAACAACGACATCATTTACATCGATACTGAAAAGTTCCTTTCGGCATGACGAGTCTATTCAGAGCGTGGAATCACATCATTATCGAGAAATTGATGACCATTCAAATATACGAGCCAATAAATTCTGGAAATAGAATCTCTATGTGTCTTAATGAAACAGATGAATAGATTTTAGTGACTCATTATATTTTAAAAATATGGCCGTACAAAGGTATTTCCGGTTATTTTTCACGGCATAAGATGTTCAAGAGATAATCAAAGTGAGACAAACTTAAATATTTCATTTATATTACTACTGCTTCAGTTAGATCAAACTATTACAAAGCAAATTGAAAAGGTACGATGATGAAAAATGAGAATGAGTAAGAATTATAAATAGATAGAATAATTCAAGATGGAAAATATATTGAAGCGTAAGAAAAGCAAAACACTCCCTTCTTGCTATGCGATGTCACAGAATGTTGCATCACATGCTTATCATGAGCAACAATAAGAAAATGAAGGCTGTCTTTTTACTGTTTTCAAAAGGTCTTGAGCAATGACTAAGAAAAACAGGAGTCTCAGGGACCAGGGAAAGGGTATCTACCTAATGACCACCAAGGTTCTCAGAACAGCAGCTCCGAATGACGACACCCCAAATTCCAGCCAACAAAATCCCACCAAATGAAAGAAGAAGCACCCATAACTAACCCAAATGAATGGTAAGTGCTAACACCTCCCCCCGTGGCTCAGTTGGTAAAACCCTCCCTTGCAGAGAGTAACTTGAGCAACGGGGCGTGGCCACGAGTCTGACTTGGGGACCCTGTGACGGCTTAGCGTAAGATTACCTCACATTTGAGAGCCTCTGGGGATGTATATTGGCAATTTGTGCAGGTTGCTCCCGGATCATTCTTCAAGTTGAGGTCTTTTTTTGATCGAATTTGACCAATATTAAATATATGGAGTATCAGAATGTGTTCGAAGTGCCTGATTGCGGAGCGTCAAAAGCGGGCGAAGCTGCTCCGTTGGGTGTGGAGCCCCCGCATGTTTTGATGGTCAATCGATGTCAGCAGTTCAAATCCGGGGCGTGGTATCTGCATTCTTTTCATTTCTATGTTCATGGTGCTCATCATGCCCTTCATCGTCTGCTAGAAACATTCTTGCTTAGAAATCTAGGAATAGGAAACCCCTCATGAGCCCCTCTTCCCCTTCCAAGCATAGAGATGTCGGGTCATTGTGGAATAGCGGGTAAATTCACCTTGTTTTCCAAGACGCGATAATGAGAAAGGTCTGTGGAATGAAATTCAGAAAGAAGGGGGGGGGGGGGGGGGGGGGGAGGGAGAGACTAGCGAGAGAAATGGATTTTAGATCTAAGACCGAAGCGCACAGAGACCTCGAATGGCATCTTCCAGGTAAATAGAGACACACGAACAGTGGGTTGGGTAGTGAACAATACGTAAATATCCTGTGACGATCCATTTTCTTGACACATGAACAATGTCATAAAAGATTCGTTCCAAGGATATTTTCGAGTCCTATCATAACATCATTCAGGGTGCGAAGGGAATCAAAGGAGAATTGGCCCTGGGGTTTTAGATAAAGGATGTGTTGGAAGTTGAAGTGTACTTTGCTATAGAAGTCTCGATTGAAACTCATGATTAAGATTGTTGGACGTAGGGCATGTGGCTCTACTGCATCCATCCTCCAGAGTTAGCCTCCGATATGATGAAGAACCCAGCGTGCATGGCTGATTGACTCATATCTATTGATAAATTGAGTGAGTGTGGTACGCGTGGTACGCGTGGTATACTTTCTTTCAAAAGTATGGCTGTATCAATATTCCGAATCTTTAAATATATAATGATCCTTTGTGAGCGAGAGAATTTCCAGAAATAAGGAAGGGCAACATTTGGGTTGTAAGAGAGCGATTCAATAAGCTCTCTTCTATTAGAACGGTTCTTAGTGTGTGATAGTTCCTCAAGATCAAGCCTGTACTTGATGATGGCATTCTTGAACAATGAGTAGAGGTGGCCAAATTTTTTTCGACATCCTCTGATATAGCTTATATTCGCTACTTTAATTGAACTCTATGATGAAGAGAACCACTTTGAGAAAAAAGGAAAAACATTGCTTTGAGTCATAGCGATATAACACTGGTATAGTTTTCAGTTCATTTGGTAGGCTTTTTGAAGGACATCGACCAAGAATCGCCAATGAACTATTCAGGAGGGTAAACTCAGTTTCATTGGAAGCTACGGAATGCCAAAATTCCATGTTAGGAGATGCTTGTATTTGCCAAGGTGCTTTCTATGTTGAAAGATTCAGAGCTGACTTCGCGTATATCTGATGGTTTATATCGACTCCGAAAAAGACCGGAATTTTCAAGAGAAATCTCTGAGTCAAGGGCTTATAATGATCTGTAAATTGAAGCTATAGGACGAGAACCCTATCGCATGCACTAGCAAGAAATGAAAAGGGTGGCAGTCAACCAGGCTCATGTTTCATAGTGGGGATGACACTTCTATCTATGAATATACAGATTTTTTGGCAGGAGCAGGACCTGCGACCACTCACTACCGACGCTCAACACAACTATTGCTACTAATACAATGTCTACTGGAGTCATCATATCGAGTGCGACATTAGCTGCTTCTGCGAAATCCGACTATTGTGGGATGGCAACATGTTAGCTGATTGATATTGTCCTACTAGTACTTTGCATGTGAAAGGATGTACCTTTCAGGGGGTCAAACTTCAATTCGTTTCGCCTCCCTAGCTGTCAAATGTGTTTTCTCATGGAAGAATTGTGTGGTATTACTCCATGTTCTCTCACTGGACGATATTGTGTTGCCTGTGCCTGACTCCGCCACATCTTCATCTCCTAGCCAAGCCTTGTAGACCGCTGTATTTCGGCATGTTTCAGCTTTGGTCTTTTCAATCCCGTTTCAATCACATGCGTGCCCAAAGTTCATGAATGTCAAATACGACAGGATTAGGAAGTTATCGTCAAGGGCATCCAAGCCACCAAGCCATCAAGTCATCTGCAAATGACTCAAGATGAGACTTGTGGCTATTATCCATACAATACTAACCTGCATGCAGATTTCTATTTTGGAAAACTCTGCAGTTAGACCAATCACTAGAAATAGCGAAAGTCTCGGTACAGTACAAGTATACCCAACCTGAGACAGATCTGCCCACCTAATGCAAGCCATTTGCGCAATGCATTCCAGAAGAAATCCAACCACATGCCAACCACGCACGCCGACCAATCCACACTCCACCAGGCAGCATTGCTACCCCCACCAGCGCTATGCCCAAATTAGCAACAGGTAGGGGAGAAAACGCAAGTTGACCAGTTGACTGACCACGGAAACTGTCGTCCAAGTTCAACCTTCGCCCCAATGACTCATCGACCGCACCGCCACAGCTCTATACCGACACCAATCATCCCGCCCAATACCACATTACGACCAATACCCAAGAATACCTAAGGGTCCACCCAACCCGCTGCCAACTGTTATCGATAACGCCGTCCTCGTACGCGCGGAATACCCGCACCAGCAACAAACATATCCATTGTCCCTTCAACACAGCTTCAGAGAGGCCCCCGTCCAACAAGCCACCAACTCCACTGTGGACCCCGACCTCCCCAAATTCCCCCATACTGTATCTACAGCTGCAATCCCACTCAATACAAACTCCACCCCGATCCACCTCTGAACATTGAGATCAGATCACCAACTGACAAGCCCACAAACCCCAATTTCCGCTCCCACTCTTCAATCCTTATTGATTGTGCCGTGACTGGATCTGCGGTCACTGAAACAAACCACCCCCCGCCAAACCTTCCAATCGCACCCGTCAGCCCATCCCCCCCCGACTCAATCCAATCCTTCCATCGTCCATCGTTCTCCACAAGTAACACGTACCCCGACCCTCCTCCCATAGCCCATTGGAAGGTTTATACGGGCAGGATGCGACGACGGCGCAGGGACACACGAACACGGTTTTTGAAAAGTCAATTGCACCCGATATGACCACCACACTCTCGAGCGGAGATTATTTCCGGCTGCACGACTGCAATCACGTCCAGCTCCACCCTCGAGAATTGATTAATGATCCATTCCGAGGTTCAAAGCTTGCAATTGAAATCCCCGACCGCTCTTGTATTTCATGTGTGTGCTGGATATGGTTTAAAATGACACCTTGACCGAGTATAAACCTATGATCTATGAAGAGGAAGAGCAGATCCTCGAGTCCTTCCACCGAACCCCTCTCCCTTTGTCTCTTCTCTCTTAGGTTCGAGGGATACAAGGAATCCATGAATCAAAAAGCCAGTTGCAAGGTGCCTTAGCTTAGAAAATCCAAGCGTCAATCTGTGAACCTGAGAATATGTAGACCAGACATCAATGCAGACTTAGATTTCCCATATCGATAGTCGTGTCCTAACTATAAAAAAAGACCCCTAGGTATACTTCTCAACGCACCACACCACGTTGACCATTAATATGAATGCTCAAATACTCAAGTACTCGAATGGAAACCAGATAAACCCGAGTCCTTCTACTCGTAGCCACAACACAAGAGAAGGGGAAAGAAAAAAAAAATAAAGAAATTCCACAGTCACTCTTATCGATTTGGAATAAATGAAACTCTCTCCCTCCTCTCTCTCTCTCTCTCTCTCTACCTTTTTGGAAACAACTCAAATCCTAGGAATTTGAACGAGCTGACAGCCCCCACCTCTTACCATTTCCCCAGCCAATTAAGCTCGCTACACCTATATCTACTGTACCGGCTCTGGGGCACCCATCCACTTGGCACCGTGGACCACTACCAGCAAACCCAGCAACCTGGGGCCCAGCACTCACTTCCGGCAATGGGAAGGGCACCCGCGGTACGTACATGTAGGTGAGAAGTCGCCGGCAATGCGTGCTATCCACGCAGCCCCTTCCGCTCTCCACCCCCACCTCCTCAGTCCCTTCCCTGCTAGCACCTGAACTCAAGAAGGGTCTGGTTCGCATTCGCATGCCCCCTGTACAAACAAAAGCCCCTGTGGAGCGCGGACAGCCTACGGGACTTTCGGAGCGACTTCCCGGGAGGCCAATGGGCCCGTAAAGAAAGCTTGTGGGAGTGGGTGAGAGGGAGGAATGGAGATTGGTGGAGGGGAATTATTGGATGGAGGAGTCCGGGGGGTTTCTGAGTGTGGGGCGTGGTCTTCCCGCGGGTGCACTAGGGTGGGGGAGATCGATGCAGGTGGTGCCGGGGGTGCTAGTGGTGGTGTTTCAATTTTGGGCTGAGCTGGTAAGCTAGAGTGGGGATGGGCGTTGGAAAGGAGGGGTCATGTCTCGGTGGGGATCTATATGGAGGTATGCGAGGGAGACAGGGGGTTTGTGTGCATGGGTTTGTTATTTTGGGCGTGAGTGTGAGGGAGAAAAGGGACGGGAGGCGGGTGTATGGTGAGAGGGTTGATGGTATCTTTCTTTGTTTTTTTTTAGAATCCTTCGTCAGCTGTGATGTTCGCTAGTATTGTGAGTTGAGCTATTGACGTTCGGAAGCTATCGAGGCGGGCTTGTTGGGTAGTTGGATTTACAAAGGGAGCACAGGCATGGTTGGTTCGGTTTTGGATCGTATTCGACAGATTTTCTATCATGAGTATACATCACATAGTCATAATTTACAAAAGTTTTTCCCACCATATTATACAGCCATCAAGCCCGGGACTGTACTGGCAGCGCGAGAATGGCATGCAGAACGTGAAACCAAAACAAAGACCAAATGACACAAAAGCCACTGAAATCAGATCATCCAAGCCACCCATGAATGAGGTACACAAACACCACCGGAATCAGAAGCCCAAATAAATGAAGTTGGGGGAACAAAAGCACCAGCCAATGCAGAAGGGATACGCATGCACAGAGACATCACCGCGTGAAAATCGTCGAGAATACAACGCAAACAAAAACAATCAGACGATTCGAGTAACCACGCAAAAACAAAAACAAAAAAAAATAATAACAATGATAATAATACAGTATGAGGGTTTTTCGTAACAGACATGAAAAGCTGCAAGCGAGGGAAACATACAAGACAGTCCCCATACGCAACATACAAGTGTGATGGGGTCTTTTCGGTCCAACAAAAGATTGACAAAATGCCAGCCAGGATCAAACATGGATCCATTTGGCGCCAAGCACATCCGCACACGTCAGAAACAGCTAGGAAGGGGGGAGGGAGGGAAGCTGTGCAGCGACACAGAAAACGGGATGCGTCATCATCTGTTTGTGTCGCGGCAGTTCGATCGTCGACGTACGATCGACGTCAGCTCGAAGGATGGGGAACATTACTCGAGATGACGTCAGTGGTGGGTCACACAGAGTCGAACTCGGTGGAGGGATGGGTATTCAGGCCACAAGGCCGCCAACCATGCAGGCCGACGGTCCCGCAAATCTAAAGGGGGAAGCAGACGCCGCCGATCGGGGACCAGAGTGGGGCTAGTCCATATCGGGAGTGGGACCTAACGTCATTGGCGTTCGAAGGGTTCTCGTCATGGTGATGCGTGAGGTGATCGGATGAGAACTTTCCTCGGAAGCGTTCAGTCTCTTCCCCGGCGACGCTGCTTGCCTGGCCAATCAACTTCCGGATGAACCACTCGCATGTGTCGCGTCAGCGCATCGTTGCGGCTAAATGTCTTTTCTTCCGTGCACAGATGGCAGCGGACCTTCTGCTTGCGCGCATTGTGGATCGTATCCTCATGGCGAGTCAAATCGTAGGGCCGGGAGAAGATCGAATTGCAGGGCTTTCCAGTAGAGGGGTTGATGCGCTCGCAGCGGTGCGGGCCAGCCTGCGAATTGCGCAGCGAGGTATCGCGAGTAATCAAATGACCACCAGGGGTGGTCTGACGATGTGCCTCCCGCTTGTGGCGCTGGAGCTTGGCCGGGGTCTCAAATCGGAGTGTGCAGCCGTGATAGGTGCAAGTGTAGGTGCCAGCATCCGAGGAGGTGTTGCTGGGGCGAGCAAGCACGTCCGGCACGGAAACCTTGCCTTGCGGGGTCAACTCACCCGACTGTAGGTCGCTGCCGGTCGATTCCAACCGGGACAGCGAGGCCGGGAAGTCGGGGGTCTGCTGGAGCAAGTTGGCTTGCGGGCGCTGGAAGTTGAGGGTGGCCGCTTGGGGCACCGTCGTCGCGTATTGGCTGGGGAAAGCCTCCATGGAGGACATAGCCTGCGAGGGGCGCATAGAGCCTGAGCTCTCACGGCGGAGTCCCAGAGCATCCCCCAGGTTGAAGTCGCCCTGAGGAGGGAACATGGTGGGCATCGCAGTATCAGCACTTTCGTCCAAATCCAGGAGGGCGTCCTTAGGAGACATAGTCTTGAGGTCAGTCTGAGGGGCGGCCGAGGAGGCCATGCTCATGACGTTCTGCGGCATGGGGACACTGGTGGCCATTTGGCTCAGGTCGGCAGCAAACGGAGAGTTTTGGCGGAAGGGGGAGCGATCCCGACGCATGCCCATCGCAGGCGATCCTGATCGAGCGGACATGTGGCCTTGGTTGGCGGCTTGCAGGCGGTCGGCGATGACATTTCGCGGGGCCAGGAGATTCTGGCCCATTGGCTTCTGCATCTGGGGAGCCGCCATGATCGTGGGCTGGTAGAGTTCGTCTTGGTAAATGTCGGAAATGGTGCGATTTAGCTTGGGAATACCGATCATGCCACTGTTGTTGCTGTTGTAATCTGGAAGCACATCGCAGGGTAAGTAGTCATCCAGGGGCCAGAAGAGAGCAGGAACTCGGTTCTCACCAGTGGTCATCGCCTTGGACTCGTCGAGCTCATCCAGGCTGGTCTGGGGGGTCACGGGCGAGTTATGGCTCACCGTCGACACCGAGGGGGCCAGGGAGTAGTCACTCTGTTGCTGCTGCGGGGGAGATTGCTGGTGCTTCTGCTGTTGATCCAGAATGGCCTTTCTCATCACAGACTCCACCTCCACACTCCCATCTTGGGTCAATGGGTCGTAAGTCTGGAAGGGTGCGGCCAGAAAAGAGTTCTGAATCGGTGTTTGCACAGGTGTGGGCAGCGGCTTGGATGAGCTGTGGGATCGTTGGTGACCGTTCGGGGAGATGGAGTGCGAGTGCGCTGAGCGAGAAGAGGCAGAGCCGGGGGAGGCCTTCTGAGGGAAGGCAATGCGGGCGGGGCTCAGCAGCTGCAGGTTGTTATCCCAACCTTGGTTGCTGGCAATGGGTTGTTGAGCCAACATGGGCGTATAGTATGAAGAGTGATATTGGGGGAGGTATTGTGAAGCAGGCGAGGCGGAACCCTGAATGTCAAAGGACGGGTTGTAGGAGGACGCGGGGGTCATTGAAGGAGCCCCGTAAGACTGACTGTCGGTCGCCGTCGCCGGAGGATAGGGGATAGAGAAGGTGGGGGAGGAGAAGGTGGGGGAAGAAGGGGCGGAGGAGGGCGGAGAGGCGAACTGGCCGAGGTGATGAAGGCGATTCAAGTGGTTGGGCTGGAAGTCGAAAGGAGCTTGCAGGTAGGCCTGGGACTGTTGGTCTTCTTGTTGCTGGTGCTGGTGCTGTTGGTACTGAAGGGAGCTCTCGAAGAACTCGGGAAACTGATCGTCTTGTATGATGATATCCTCTGGATTGAGTGGATCGGTGATGAGACCCTTACGTGGGTACATAAGCATTATGGTATCACGTTCGGGACGTCAGGCGAGTGGATAAGAGGGCGATTCCGTTCGCCACCGGGGCAGGCGAGCTTTTTATAGTGTGGAAACCCGACGGGTCAAGCTCCGAAAGATCCCTGGGTGCTGGAGTGTGGCCGTGTTACTGGGATTGGGATTCGGCGGAAATGATCGGTTGGGCCGGCGGAAGAGTCTGGAAACGTCGAGAGAATCTCGTGATCGTAGGGTTCAATGAGGCTGGGTGAACCTTAAAATGATGGGTGACCTGGGTTCTGGGAATGAGCAAGTTTGGTTCTGGAGAATAACTCGACCGGGAGAGGGAGCAGAGGATGGGTCCAGAGTATATAGCCCGTAGATTGGGAGAGAGAGGGGGAGAGGAATGGATGAGTCTTACCTGGGATGGGTTGGTAAGCGGAGGAGAATTGTAATATCGAATAACTTTTACCGAAGATGTGTCAGAGGAGGTTTTAGGAAGAAGTATCAAATAATCATGAGTAATGGAAGAGGGGAGGAGATCTGAAAGGCCGGGCAGCCAGACTTAAAAAGGGCCTTGTCGAAGGCCCATGACGTCTCCCACTAGCAGGGGGCCCCGACCACCAAGTGGGACCCCCCCATGTCCACCCATTTGAACTGCATACTCGACTCGACCGTCTGCACGGGTCCGGCATGGCCGAAATTTCGCTGTACCGTTACGGAGGATCAATCCCGCTAGGCTCGATTAGGCATTAGCGCTCCATCGCTTGACAATACGTGACGCCTGGGATTTCGGTCTCGTCAGGTCCACTGATCGACCGGGGGGGACCGTGCGATGGACCTCCCTTGGGCTGGACGGACGCGGTGGTGTCCTCCTCCTTACCGCTGCCGCGTCGATGGCTCTCCACGGTGGGTAGTGGCTGAACTCCCGGAGCCACACACATAATCGTGTACCCAATCGCCCAGGACGGGGATGCCGGGGATACCAGGTATCCACGTATCCACCATCATGGCGAGGGGAGGACACGCTCCATGAGAAGGAAGAGGGGGGGGGGGCTTGTACGATCGTGAAAAATCAGTTCTGCCTACTCCGACCAAGACTCATCCTCTCGTCCGTGTCACGGGGGGTATGGAGCCGAGCCCAGAGGTATGCTAGCGATGCAGTCTCGATCTGGTTCTAGAGCATCGGACTCTCGGGCTACCGGCATTATCGGACGACTGTCGGGCGAGAGAGACTAGCATGAATTTCCTTGTAATCTTTTTTTATTTTATTTTACGATTATTACTTATTTCTTGATTCATATTCAGTAATTGACATTCTAGCATTTTTAGCGTCGAAGTGCGGTTCTACTACTGGAGGAGCGAGGGAGGGGAGGCTCGCTTAGAAATGTCTGACTGCGCGTGTCTCGATCTCCGAGGATGCGAGACAGAATCCGATTCAGCCGGCACGTTCGATCGGAGCTCCAATTTTAGGAAGTAGGGCTGAGCCACACCTTAGTCCAGGTGGGACAGTGGGCCGGTCGGGTGACTCAGGCAGAGAAGGGTGAACTGTTTTCCCCCCCCCCCCCCCCCGCCTGACTAATCCACGGTTACTCCCGGCCCGTCGTTTTCTCGCAGCTTCTCGTAACAGCACACAACTGTTCGGAGGACACTAGTCCCGACGGAGGACTGCAGACTTTACAATTCAGCCCTAGTGTGTTGGCCCTGGTCGTCCCAACGGCTAACCCCTAGCCACGTACTGCGCCACCCATGTGGCCCAGCTGATCGGGCTCCTGCAGAGTCATATCTGTATCGACCCCTCTCCACTTGACTCTGGGGTAATAAGCCCTATTCGGGCAGGTGTGCACTCGAGGATCGCAGCATGCCTCGGTTTCGCCGACAACCTCTCGTCTCCACTACCAACACCATTGACCAAGCCGATGACTCGCGCTTTGCGGAGACAGTAGAGTCATGAGAATTACTCGTCCACGCCAAACCGCAGCTGGGAGAAACGCGATCCAGTGAGGGTCAGCTGACGAGCAGCTGACCGCGGTATCCTTGACTCACTCGAGGTGGATGCCTCCCATTTCCATTCTCTCGGGGCCGAGCCCTCGTCGATCTCGCTAGCGGCATCGTGTTGTCCGGCTACACAGACCAACGGCACAGCCAACGATGCTGATCCAGGGTTGCGGGGGAAGGGGTGAAGGTCACATGGTCAGTGGGCTCGGTTGAAAGACTCGATTTTCGACCTCAACAGACCGATGACTATTATTCTTCCCCCGTCGTCCCGCGTCTCACATGATCCCAACAGTAACTAAATGAGAAACCATCATCCATGAACCAAACAGGGTAAAATCACCGAACCATACCACTGGAACGGAAAACAGTCAAACAAAGAGGGATCAAAATAATTCCGCCTTGGCTTGAACTTTTGACGAAAGAAAGAATTAGATAAATTCAAAATCAAATAAAAATAAAAATAACTTAGTCAAAAGAATAAACCACTCTAGACAATTGGGCGCCGAAATCCGGGCGATCTGGGACCCCGGGAAACCTCGCGAACCGTTTTCTTTGTCGGGCGTCGAGCCAGAGCCCAAAGCCCCCCAAAGAAAATTCTTCATCGAGATTCACTGGGCGACCCGCCGGATTGACGGCTAGCCGGGGCTAGCGCATACCTTGTCCGCTGACAGCCCCCAAGAAATGCATGGACGCACTACAGTGGTGTTAGACCCGACACTAGGTCGACGCTACTCTCTGACTACTTGGTCGGCTATGAACCTGTTTTTTACAGGAAAAGAAAACATGGAACTCAGAAACAAAAAAAAAAAAAGACGAACCGGATGTCCACTGGCATCGAAATGAAAGCTACTGCATGTCGCAGTCGTAGTGCGTAGGTAAGCCAAAATGCGCGGCGGGTTACAGTAGGATGGACTTCGGGGCACCGAGAGGGCTGACAATCTTCCTTTTTCTCATAGTCCTTCACGGTCACTAATATCGAACTTTATCAAGTATTTTTTTTGAGGAGCAGAATAAAACAATAAAGAGAGAGAAAAAAAAATGAAAATGAAAATTTTGAAAAAGAGACAGGGAGAATAGGGTAGTAGGAGGTCCGAGGGTTGGAATCTGACTGTCGTATGCTCCGAGCTTCATGAACTCGGTGGTGCGATGCGAGATGCCGACCGGCGAGACCAGGTTGAGATCTCGTACCCGACTCGACAACACGATCCCGGCTGGCGTTTCCTAGTTTGTCCGGCAAGTGCCAACCCTTGAGATCCTTGAGATCCTTGAGATTTTTTTCTTTTCATTGCGTTTTGTTTTCTGATTTTATTCTTCTATACAGTGATTTCCTTCCCTTCTCTCGTCTAGTGACTTTGTAGCTCCTAGTGCTGCTCTTTGGATATGTCCGGATGCGCCACGGGGATCCGGGGACTTGCCGGTCGGGTTTAGGTCGCGCGGACGGGGCGCCGAGCGTCCATCGGGTCCGGGGTGCCGTGCGAACCGAAAAAGGCTGGTCAGCCCTCAGTGATCCCTGGATTCTTCCCTTTGCGTTGCTCCTCGTCGTTGTGTTGTCTTCGGGGGATTCCGATCCTGAACTTTTCCTTTCATGTCTTGGCAGACTCTCCGGCCGGGGGTGGGCTCGCGAGTCTAGACTCTGGACGTCTGGGGGTTGTTATTCTTGGAATTCTTGAATCCGAGACAAACAACGTGGCCTGGTCCGGGGAAGTGGCGAGATCGTCTCGCTTGGCCCACCTTCTTACTTCCTTTTCGTGCTACCCAAAATACTTCGTACACGACGTACGACGCTCCCATCGTCTCGCAATGGCGTGGTCTTCGACCATAACCCACAAGGCCTCCTCCAGCCGCTACGTAACTGTACCATGGCACCCATCCGCCGACGTAGGTGGTGAGATATTGCCCACCGAGCTTCCCTTTCGGGCACATCTATCAGCTCGTTCGCATTGCCCAAGTCCCAGCCGCCCGGGCATCGGGCATCTCCCCTGCAGGAGCACGAGCAGGAATGTAGAAACTCAAAAGGAAAAAATTTTCCACCGTAGCCTTTTCCGGCAAAAACTCAAGTCAGCACCTTAAAGGAGGGTGCCCGGAGGTTCTTGCGACCTGCAGAGCAGATTGAGAAAGCCCCTAATGCAGCAGAAAATTTTCTACGCGGCGAATGATTGGCTGGCGGGCCACACAGCCACAGCGTATGGAACACGGGGACGTTGGTATGCACGGATACACCGTGGCGCGTAACAAGGCTAGCGTACGGTAACACATGCAGACCTCGACATTCCTTAGTCTTGGGCCTTCTGGAAGACTTCTAGTGCCCTCCCGGCAATGCGGCACCCGGATTCTCCGTCCTGCAATCCTGCATGGGCGAAAAAATTTTTTTCTGTACTGCATGGACATTCGTTCTTGGTCTGTTCGCTTCTGTCAATTTGCAATGCTAACCTGCTAGTCTGCTTATCTACCCTGCGATGCGATCCTGCAGCCCATGCGCCCGTGGTTGGTTCCTAAAAATCTGGTTGGCCCCACTCCCGAGTTCTTCCGATGGTTGTGCACATCGGGTCTGTCAATATCCTATACTTCACACCACCCTAGCATATTCCATCTATCAGAGCCTTGATATTTTTAGTTTAGCTCGGATAAAAAATTTTTCTGGCTCGTGTTCATTAGATGAACTGACACCTGGAAACATCCCTGGAATGATCGACAAGGGCAACTAGCCGTCCCTCCACCCACTATGCAAGGGGTGTAGATGGGTTATGTCTCTCTTGACATGAGACATGAGACACAAACGTCTATCACGACGCAGTTCCCACGAGCACAGCCCCCAGCGATGTTTCTCTGCGCACGTGGCTGCCCACATGCCGATGGAAATTTTCAACCGTGTCTGTCTAGCGTTAATGGAGCTCTTTGTGTTGATCAGTCCCTGCCATTGATTCGATGGGAGCCCGCGCCGAGGGTTGCGTATCCTGCCCCCTCCGTTCAGCCCAATGATATTTGGCAGCCTGGTATCCTGCTCGGAGGACATCAGTCCTCCCTGTCTGATAGGGCTATGTGGGTTTCCCGCCAGTGGCGTTGTGCAAGGACTCGTCCTCCAATCCACGTCCACGGGGAGGCTGATGCAGATCCCGCGTATGAATCGTACTGGAAATCTACAAGCCCTAGTAAGAATAACCCTGTATCAGCTGAGACATTCCACCAACCGTGTATGTATCGCGGAGATACACCAAGCCTGTTTCGCGGTGCCTGCGGATGAGAGGACTGCGCTGAAACCAGGATTGTTGACCGTTTGCTGACAAGATTGTGTGGGGTGCATGGCAGTGCAACCAGTCACCTGGTCTAAGACCAGGGATTGGAGGCTCTGCAGAGATGGGACTTGCTCCGATACTCGTTTTTGGACATTAGTAGCCGGGGCTGCTTTGCAGTCTTCCAGGATGGTTGGTGGACCAGCCCTCCGAAGCATGGGACACGTACTAAAGGGGACCACTAATAAGGCCAGAAACGACAGACTATATCTGTGCTTAGATCCAACTTGAAAAGTTAATGCATACGTGTACCACACACCCAGGCGAATGAGGTGTCAAAACAAAGATGGTTGTCATCTCTTCTTTTTCATCTGGGAGAAAGAATATGGAGAGTGTGCGATGATCCTTTTATTCACTTTACTCTTCTAGAGTTGCAATATGCATATATTCTTATTAATCCTCCATGAAATACAAGGCAAGATTACAAGCAACACGAGGTCGATAGCATCTGTCTTCATTCTCAACGCATGAGTGGTGGCGATGAACTGTATTCATTGAAATTATCTGTAGAAGATATGAAAGTCTCGATATGCCAGCTGTCAAAAAGAAATTCTCAGCTATCTTTGAACTCGATAAACTGCCACCCCCTCCCCCAAGAGAGCCTGGGTTACATAGCTAGGCAGGCTTCTGCTCTCACTGGAATGCACTCATTATGGAAAGAAATAGGCATCGAAAAGAAATGACAATAGAATGATGATCTGGCATATATATTGAAATGAAAAATGTGCCTAGTCTGGCGACCCTGTTGTCTTTATTTGCTATCTCGATGCCCTGATACATTCTGCCAGTTTGTTTTGCTTAACTTTTGCCTTCCATTAATTTATATAGCCAACGCCTGGCGTCTCTATAGTGTGGTCCAGGGAGATCACTATGATATATCAATCATGGATAAAGATCTCTACCAGACAGAGATCTTGGTAGACATTTTTAACCTTGTAGAAAATTGCCTAGATGCAAGGAACATGCTGTTCCTAAGATGTCACGGTCTTCGGACGAGAAATAGCGTGTCCCTTTCATAGAAGGATCAACTGGTCACCGATTCTACACATTCTGCTGTCTCATCAGACCGAAAATGCAATGTGCTGCAACGTTTTCAGGTCCCTAAGTCAAAAGAAGATTCAAATAACAACTAGAAATTAGGGAAAGACTTTGAAGAAGATATTGGGTCACATTTGCTGACTCGAGACATTACATTTTTGATGCGACTCACTGTTTTTTAAAGCGGAGAATAATTTGTTACGGTCACAATTTCAAGGTTTGCTCTCTTTTATGAACCTTGAAAACGATTCAAACGACATAGGTGATAGGCGAGTCATGTCTTCCAAGGTCTGACTTTATAAATCTGAAACGAACCTTGAGCTGACCAATTTCAATTTCTACGGGCAAAGCTAGCTAGCACGTAACTCACCAACAGGCTTTCTGTCTCCAGGCCCACCAGCTTCGATAGTTCACAGAGGTAATTAAGATTCTTCCGAGTATCGATGATCATTGTATATATCATGGCCAGCATGCGCACAAAAAATTTAAGGCGAATGAACATGCACGTTTACATGCACGTTTATTTGCGATGTGCAAGCAGTCCTGATACTTGTGAGCCTGACTTGCATCGGAAATGTATCCAATATACTTATTGGTAAAATAAGATATCACGGCAAAGGCAATCTGAACTAAAGCAGCCAGGTGGCCTTGGAATTTGCAGTTCAAAAGATATAAATAACTAGAAAGTAATTCTAATATGACTCCTTCACGCCAAATGCTTTGGGGTATTACCAGTTATTACGGTCCTCAGAATGGCATCGAGGTATTTCATTCGTTCAGGCTGTTTCTATTGAGTCATTGTCGAGATGACTTTGGATTTGTTTCATCCACGGTTCAATAGCCCACAGGTAGTTGATGACTCATTATAGTATTTAATTCCCCTTCTCATTAGTGGAATGAAAGGAGGTCATGTTAGAGATGCACGAAGAATGGCCGCGCCTTTTCTTTTATATCACATAAAAATCGCAAAAATTTGGCGAAGAAGACCCATGGAATCTTTCATATCTTAAGAAGTCCCTTAGTGACTTATCGTTGCACTTATATTTATGATGAGTAACTAGAGGCCAGATTCGAAGATATAATCCCTGGTCTCTTTCACGGATTTATGGAAGAGTTCAAGTTCTTTGTGTCAACAACTGCGTTCTTGCGGTGTTATATGAAGTCCCAATATGTATGGTTGATCTTCCTGGGAGCGTTCTGACAGCTCCCAGAAATAGTTGAGAAGCTCGGGGGTCCTACAGGGGTCCTACACAACGTCTAGGGGCCACAGGTGCCTCTTTTCAATTGCCCATGGTCTCCGTAATATTTGGCTTTGAAACTCAAATTATCTAGTGCTTGCAGTGGAAATTTAGTAGCCCCAGGAGCCTCGCTAATTTTTCCCCTTCTAATTTCCCGCCTGGTCAATTTTTGCCTTCTACTAATTTACAACCCGCCAGTGTGGCCCCAGGGCCACTTAGCCACAATTAACTTTGCTAGTCTCACTTGAGGCAGATTGACTACGAGAAAGTTTATTCATTCAACAATACGCCTGTTTCCCCCGATTTGGGTATGACCCCTTTATTCTGTTCGTCAAGTAAAGGGTTAGTTGGAGGGGGCATGGTAGTGTAAGCTTTACATTTATGCCAATTCTGGTATTTTGAGAATTTGTTCTTCGTTTGCCGGACAGTAATCAGTTATGGGTTCTCTAGAGAAAAAACACCCGGCATGTCTTTAGTGAGCCTCCGTCTATGAGATTAATGTGTCTCTCTGGTTTTTTAGAAAGAGTGTATCTTATGTGTCTTGACCTTGCATGTGGCTAGTACATCCGTGTGTGGGTGTGGACAGCCACTATGTAGGTTACGCGACAGCGTTTTGAAGAACCAAACCGCGAGCGGCAGAACGCACTCACACTGAGTAATATATGGGGCTCAACAGTACAGAAGATTATTTCGAAGAGGTTGAGTATACTAGAAATGCCCCGTGAAGACGTTCAGGATGATACACACGTTTAGCGGTACTACCTATCATTTGAAATTCATGAAGACGATATATAGATATATATCTCCTAGTAATTTTAATGTTGACATGAAGACCAAGCAAATAAAAGGATATTAAAGAAAGAAACAAAACTAGAATCCTCAACACGTTTTTGTCTCTTTACACCAAAATTAATAATCACGTTTCGATCGACGAGCCTGCTCCATCGACGAGTGATACCCAGTATTCGACTCAATAGTCGTCTCAATCTCCGTCTGCGTGAAGATCTTGCCTTCCGGCACGATAATTCGTTCCTCGCTCGAATTGTCTGCCATTGTTGCACCGATCTGCGTCCCCATTGTAGTGTCCTCCTTGCCATTGATCGTGCCCATCGTGATATGGTTGGGATCCGTGACCTTGGTGAAGCCGGAGCCGTAGCGGCGGCCGTCGGTGTTGCCGGACCAGGGCCCGTACTTGCGGCCACTGCTGTATTCGCCAATGAAGCGGGGTAGGAAGCGCGAGGCGATGGCTTTGAAGGAGGGGATTGAGGCGGCGAAGATGCCGACGTTGGTCTCGATGACGGACCAGTACATCGCTCCACTGATGGCGTAGGTATAGTCGGCAGAGCTAAGCATGGTGGGGATGTAGGTGATACGGATGATGGAGGAGACGCAGGCGCTGTGGGAGAGAGAAAGAAAGATATTGGTTAGATGGGGCTCGACTGGACGGGGAAGAAGTTATCCGGGGACTTACAAAAGACCAAGGCAGAGGATGAATCCGAGAGCAATCTTCTGCTTGCGGGGCATCTGAAGTTTGAAGATAACCCGGATAGGCAGAGTGTAGGTAAGAAGATCGGTCAGGATGTTCAGGGCGGCATTGCAGAGATAGAAAACGTTGATATTGACGCATTTCCCGGGGCCTGTGGAAGTCCATGCCTTGCTGATCGTTTGGCATTGAAAGGCGGCAACCAGCACGAAGGAGGTCGCTTGACAAACGATAACTCCTATCATGATGTAGGAAATTTTTGTCAAATACCGGTCTCCTAGACGTGTGTAGAACCATAAAACAGATGTCTTTACAAAGCCGAGACATGACAGATAGAATATTGAACTCAGATAGACAGCCTGAGAGGGTTCATGTTAGGATGAAACAGTATGGAGAGAGTAAACGAATGGATGAAAGTAAGGGTACATACAAACGAATAGTCCATGAGCTTCGTCTTGTCCGCATATTTCAGGTGTTGACCAAGTCCGTTCTCAACCGCTATGATTCATGAGCTTCCACCTGTGGCAGAGGATACATCAGACAAGTACTTACCGACAATTGTGACTGCAATGAATGCCCAAGCCAAAAGCTATTCTGGTCAGTTGATGTCTGATTGAGTTTCCATTTCGAAGACTGCCCTACAGAAGCTCCAATGATGAGATCTATCAATAATAGTTGATGAGTCAATATCTCGATTTATTTTGCAAGGGCTGCATTGAAACTCACAGTCGTCCACGCCCATTTTGCCAAGAACATAGATACGAGCGAACAGTCTCAACGATAAGACAATAAATGTCAAAATTGCAAAGGCCACGCAAATTCCAACGACCACGGGGCCTTGAGACCCGTGGGCACTTGTAATTGCCATCGTGAAGTGGTAAGTGAATAAAGTAACGAGCGAAGGTGTGCAGAAGCCAGTGAAGCTTGATCAAATGGCCTCTCCCCAGACAAGAAGAATCAACATCTAGATGCCTGCGTACCGACTTCCTTTGGAATCAAATTGTCACCAGGACAGTTAGAGAAAGAACATCAAGGTAAAGGGTCTGTCAGGAAGTAGAAAAAAGAAAACACCAGGTACAAAGTACCTTGGTACATGTTTTTAATCACACCGAATGATCTACGGAATCGCAGACTGCCTTGTTATCCCCTTTTAGGCCCTGGTAGAAAGAAAAAGTTCCGCGGTGCTAGTGAGCGCATGGTGCATATTCCTAGTAGCTTTTAGAGCTTTCAGATCCACCGCTCCCCCCAATAACGTCGCAATCGGATGGGAAACTTCAGGGATAGTGGGGATTTACAGGAGTTTACCTAAAGTAGAAAAATCCAGACGTCGCACTCAGGCGACGCAGCGATCCGTAGAGAGCAACCGGCCCGCTGATCAACCGGGAGTAATCGTCTGCCGAGCGGCCGAGGCCCTCTCTTGCTAGACTCCTGGGGTATTTTCCATTGGGAATTGAGAGCCCCGATGTCGGGTGATGCTTTTGAGTTATGGTTTGTTAGCTTGCTCTCGGACGTAGAGATGAACTTCGCCCCTGTACCGAGAGCTCTGTGAAGACCTTTCGTTGAGTCCATCCGGCGGGCCCATCGGGTTGTTCCAGTCGACAGGGACACCAAGCTCCGCGAACGAGTTAACCATCGGGGCCTGGATTGATTAGTTCCAGTTTCTCCCTGCACAGGCACAGAGAGAACGAGGGCTGTGGAGACGCTAAGGGGATTATTTTAACGTCTTCTCGTATACTTTGCCGATCACGCTTCTGACTTCTGCCTTAAAGCCTAATGGGAAGTTGGTTCCAGCAATGCGTTTCAAGAAACGCTAATAACTTCGATGAAGACCAAAAAGTTCCTATTGAACTATGACCCCCCCCCCCAAAATCCATTAAGCCATTGAAACGAAAAAAGTAAATTAACACTAAACAGGGCATCCCAAATCGTTGTGATGAGCGAGTGGGGGTTTCGGGTGAAACTACCGAAGGGGAAGGTCTCGATCTGCCATTTATTTTTATCTTTTGCGTCCGAGCGAGGCGATGGCCATCGATGGTGATCTCAATTAGCTTGGACGCTCGCGGGTTGACAAAGTCCCCCTGTCGACAGGCCACTGGGACGGTCAAGTTGCGCTTGCTCATGATCGTTTTTAGGGGCGATGGTGGGCTGGTCCACGTCTCTCGACCTCGCGGCAATGTTCCGTACATAAACTTCAACTGACAGCCCGCCGCTACGAGTTTAATGGAAACTCCTTCCATGTCTAGCGGCTCTTTGAGTTCACCACCCCCGACGTTGCTTTCCTCTTCTCCCGTCTGCCGCACCCAAACAATGATCTTGGGGGGCGATTCGATGGATCTTCGCTAGCCGGTGTTTCACCTGGTGGCGCTCCCGATCGTTGCCCTCAATGGGCCCGGCTGAGAAGCTGGATGCTCTAAAAACGCCATGGGTGAAGCTAACAACTTGGAGATCTACAAGCGGACCCGGGCCTGCCCTCTCCGAGCCGTCCCTGGAGTGGAACTCAAAAGTGGAGCAGGGCGAACAAAAGGCCGTTGTTCAGCCGCGTGTCTCTAAGCGAGATTGGCTGAGCAGGATGCCTTTGGGTCTGGCATCCTGGCACCCACGAATGGAATCGAATAGGATTCGCTCCGGAGGTCCGGAGGATAATTACTCTGAATGGCGAGCAAGATGATACAATCAGAAATTACTAAGGTGCAAAGGTACATGAAACAACATCCTCTCATCGTTACATGTGATAGGTCGTATGCCAACGGTCGGCTATAAACGAGTCTGTCCTTTCTATCTAGAAGTGCCAGCTAAAATTTGACCACTACCGAGGAAACTCATGTTTTTGCGACAGCCGGAGTTCCTCGACAACCCCATCGGTCGCGTGTGTGCCGATAGCTCTGTTTTCTAGCGTCAGCCAAAGTGGACACCATCGGATGGGTCCGCTTGGGAGCCCTGTCCCAGCGTTGGTGTGCTTCGTAGGAATGAGCTACAGTGCAGAGTTCCAGTCTAATGACACTGCTTGGTGTTCCTTTGACATTGAAGAATCCATCTTCTGAGTAAATACTCAATCCCACTTTCAATCTGTGTTTCCATCGAGACAATTACCAAGAGGATCAAGACCATGTCAAGGTCCATCAGCAGCAATCATTCTTGTGAATACTCGCGAGCTCCCACTTACAGTAGGTACAAGATTTAAAACAAGAGAGGTGCGCTTTGATCCCTTCCCCGTGAGACGACAATCTCCACCTGGCTTGCCCCAATGCCCCGCTACCAAAAATCCCTGGTTGCCGGTTTGGAAAGCACGAAAACATGGGGCGGAGCTCCTCGACCATAGATCGCCGCGATGGAATCAGCTTTGACAAAATAATGGAGTAGAGATCGGGGATTTATCATACACAGCGTGTACTATGATGATAATGGCCGCCCTGAGACAGTTTGAGATCAAGTCATTGAATACTTTCCGTTGCAGCTAAAGGGGGTTGCAAATGAGATTCAAAGCAGGAAAGCCTTCCAGAACCACTACTAGCTCCAGTCGTTTTTGTACTCAATTTCTCGATGGGAGGCCTAACGGTTAACTTTATTCACTTGACAGAGAAATCAGTAGTATGGATGTTTCCTTTGCCCACCATTCCTTCTCTTTATTGGGCGCAAAATTTGCAGTTGCTGAACATAATCAAAACACTTACTAACCCCATGCCCTTCACCCTGCCATAAGTGGTAGATCGAGAGTCCTCCCGAGTTCATAACCTTGAGATAAACCCAGCAATAACTTGGAATTCAAGAACACGTTCGCTGGCTCTCGCTAATGCTAGGCATACTATTCTACTTGGCAGATTTCTGAGTTCGAGCTCTCGCGTGCTCCACTGCAGACATCCTCCAACCAGGTGTGAGGGGAACGGCGCGGCAGACCACGCTCCACTCAAGCCCCAGTCCGATACTTAGCCAACTGATTAGTCCACTCAGAGCCTTGCGGATATGAAATTACAGGCAAGCTACGGGAATCCCTTGTCGTATGCTTGTGTGTTCAAGGCAAATGAAGCCACTGAGGACCCATCTTCATGCCGATCAGCATCGAAAATAGTGGATGGTCTAACGGCCACGGCTGCCCTGCTTGCTCCGCATGCCCCTTTCCTTCCTTGACAGCCTGAAATGCCCCAATTTTTCTGGTCACCGAAGGCGATCGCTGCCTATTGAGAAAGGTGACAAGGCCGTGTCTTACATTACTCGTGCTGAATTTCGCGGAATGACAAACACAGTTGATGATGATTCATTCCTGGAAGCGCAGCTCTGGTGTGTCGTTCTCCACATCGTGCACCAACATGTAGCGCAACAACTACTGGAAATAGCAGAAACAAGTGTCCTTCATGCACCGAAAACCCGAAGTATAGCCCGCTGGCGATCCAACCCTACGCCCTAAGACCGTTTGAAGACTAGCCTGACTAGTCTTGGCCATTGAGCATGCTGCACGTGGGCATGCTATAACAAAACCGCCGTGCAGCTCTATCCAATGGCCGCCTGCCCCTTACTATTCCAAAGAACAGTGGGTATTAGGGAACAGCGGGGAGAACGGAGGGCTCCGTGGTGGCTTTTATTGTGTGGCATGTCGGTCTTCCTCCGTGACACTTTTTTCCCTATCCAGATGCTGGCATTTGATTTCTAGCCAACACCATGGGTTTCATTGAGAATATACTGTCACTGGTGACGGTCACCAATATCTTCCTTTCACTCATTGCCTATGTTGTTTTGAAATTTGTTTTTCAGATCGTGCACTACCGGTTTTTCCATCCCCTCGCGAAGTTCCCCGGTCCCTTCTGGGCGTCTGTGACGCGACTTTGGATCGCAAAACAGAACCTACAGGAAACAGAGTACCTGACTGTTTACAATCTTGCTAAAGAATATGGTGTGACTATTCTAATACCAGTATGAGTGTTTTTTTAAGAAGGAACTAGGCTAAACCTGTTGGCCTCTAGGACCCGTCGTTCGCATAACCCCAACCTTGCTGCTGGTCAGCGATCATACCAAGCTTCCCGAAATCTACCATCGCAATGCAGACAAGACTGGTCACTACATTACGGGTAGCTTCGGTGAAACAGAGAGCTTGTTCAATATGAGGGCGCACAAGACGCATGCGGTTTTCAGAAAACACATTGCGGGGTCATATAGCTTCACCAATATCAAGAAGATGGAGCAGTTGGTCGATATGCGTATCGAGGAGTGGAACACGAAGCTCGATGAGACATTTGCCAAGACAGGCAAACCGTTTGATTTTGCCTGGTGGGCAGTGTGAGTGCGAGATCTACTTTCTAATATGACAAAACAATTGACTCGTTGTAGGTACATGGCATACGATATTATCAGTGAAATCGGATTTGGTGCTCCTTTTGGCTTCATTGAGAAGGGAGAGGATATTGGTGGCCTCATTCAAGGGTTCCACGATGGTCTTCCTGCTTTCGGTATGCTTGCGCGTTTGCACCCATTTACTTCATGGATGAAGACGACCTTCATGAAGAAGTACCTCGTTGCAACACCTCAGGACGACTCGGGTATCGGTGTTTTGATGCGCTTCCGCGATCGCCTAATCGACGAAAGAGTAGATACTATCAAGAACGGCAAGAAGATTGACCGGATCGACCTGCTACAAACCTTTATTGAAGCCCGCACGGAGGAAGGCAAGCCGCTGGATCTGGAGTACATCCGCGCAGAGGTCCTGCTCGTTCTGCTTGCGGGCGCTGATACCACCGGGACTGCTTTCCAGGCAATGATTCAGTTTCTGCTTTCGCACCCGGAGGCGTATGATCGCATGATGGAGGAGATTGACAATGCTTCTCGTAACGGGCTGCTCTCTGATATGCCTCAATATGACGAAGTGCTCGAGCACCTGCCATTTTATGTCGGCTGTGTGAAGGAGACAATGCGCCTGTGCCCATCTGCACCGAACATCTTCCCCCGCTATGTTTCCGAGCCTGGTCTCGATTTGTACGGGAAGTTCGCTCCCCCGGGCACCGAGATCTCTTGTAACCCTTACCTGGTGCATCGTGATCCGGCACTTTACGGTGAGGATGCTGAAGAGTTCAAGCCTGAGCGTTGGTTAGATGCCGAGAAAGCGAAGCTATACAATAAATACAACTTTGCGTTCGGCTACGGCTCTCGTGTGTGCCTTGGTCGGGATATTGCAATGATGGAGTTATTCAAGGGTCCATTGCAGGTAAGATTCTCCTGAGTCTAGTTTGACATATCTAGGAGGTATTTTGAAAATCTTGAATAGACTATGCTGACTTGAACGTTGCAGTTCTTCCGCTCATACAAGCCCGAGGCTGTCAAGGATAAGCCAGAAGCTAAGTTCATGGTCAAGGGAGGTGTTGGATACTGGCGTGATGTGTGGTTGACTATCTCCAAACGGCCTCAAGTTAAGCCACAGTAAAAGCTCGCGACCTAGTAAGGGTTAGGCGCATTTTATCTTGGAGCTTCTCATGAAAAGGTGTCCTGTCTATATGGGTGTATAGTATGTCGATTCTCAATTCATTTACGATGATTAGCTGGGGGCGCATAATGGTATTTTACTACATGCTGGATATCTCCCGGAGCAAAGGGCTATAGACGTAAAGTCTAACTGATATTGGGAGCAATTAAAGCTCTAATTGGGGCCAGTGTTTAGAATCGCAATAATCAAATGCTGATCGTAAATATATATAACGAAATTCCACATATTCAACCATAAAAGGTCATACAAAGCTGAGACTAGATACTTTTCTTTGACGCTTTTATAATTGCTTCCAGAAGATCAAGACCAAGTTGAAAACCCGAGATAGTCACAAGTATAATCATTTAGCATAGTCATCCACTACGCATAATCGGTGCCCATGACAGCATCTCTAGCAACATGGTAAAGAGGAGTGATGCCGGTCCAGTAGATAAACTATTATCCAGTTAGAATTTGACCAGAATGAATTCAAAGCACTTTAGGGAACAAAACATACCTGGTTCACGCCTTGACCGACAAGAACCTCTAGGCCAGGAATAGACTTCCAGCCCGCGTCGGAAGCCAGCTGCATGAGTGCCGTCACGGCAGGCTTGTAAGCCATCTCGAGGAGAACACGAGGGGAGTGAGCATCGACAGTCTTGCCAATCAGAGCACTGTCGGCCTCCTGAGCGCGCTCGAACATGTGGCAGAGGGTTTCGCGCATAGCAGGGTCGATGGGACGATCAGCAGGAATAGTACCGACGGCAACCTGAGGGACAGTGTCCAGTTGAGCGTGGTTGTCCACAACACGGATGTTGTAGCTGGTGGGGAAGGTAGAAACCATGCCCTCTAGCTTGCTGGCATCACGTCCAACAACGTAAATGGGAGAGAAGCCCATGCTGTGGAGGGCATAGATGGCAGCACGAGCCGTACCACCACCGCCGATAACAACGGCACTCTGAGTACCGGCGGAGCCGTAGACCCCTGCGTTGCGTAGGCAGCGGACCATGCCTTGCCAGTCGGTGTTATAACCCACGAGACGCTGGGGCTTGTCACCGTTAGCTACGGGGACAATGGTGTTGACGGCGCCAATGATCTCGGCTTCCTGGGCGACCTCGTCAAGAAGGGGCATGATGTCAAGCTTCAGTGGAATAGTCACAGAGGCACCGCCAAAGTCAGGTGAATGAATAAAGTCCTTGACATCCTCAACGTTGGTGGTTTCCAGACGACCGTACTCGTGGGGAAGACCAGTCTCCAGAAAGAGGGTATTGTGGAGGGCTGGTGATCGCGAGCCAGAAACAGGCGAGCCGAAGACAGCGAACTTCTTGGTCTTGATCTCACCCATCAGTGAAAGACCTCTGCGAATCTCGGTGGCAGACAGTTGACCAGGAGCAGCCTTGAATGGAAGGCTGGGGTGGGACACCGGCGTCATGAAGCCGTTGAGGATACGGCTGAGCTGACCCTTGTCGCCCATGTTAATGGCAATCAATGGCACTTCGTGAGCCTCCGCAGCCCAAGTCTTGAACTTCCTCAAAGCAGTGTTGTCGTCAAGACTCTTCGCGACGCCTACGAGCTTGATCACATCCCCGTACTCCAGAGCACGGTTATAAGACGGAATCCACGACATGTTGGCCCAAGAGAGCTTGCCTTCAGGGTCATGATGCGAGGCAATAATCTTCGAGTGTCCCTTCATTTCGGTGACAGCACGAAGCATCTCATCAGGGAAGGCAATCTCAAGGTCAACAAACTCGCAGCCCGAGCGAAAAGCCAAACGGTACAGTGCCGAGGCAGCTTCGTGGGCATCATCGGGGAAGCGGCCTCCTTGGCTCTTGGTACGAATAGTGAAGATGAGGGGAAGGGTGACCCGTCGGCGGAGGAAAGACATCTGCTCGGCAACAAAGTCCACAGAAGGAATATCGCTATCTGAAGCTGGATCTTTCAGAAGATCCACTCGCAATTCGACAGCATCGGATCCGATGCAGGCCTCATGCAGGGTATCGCCACATTGACGAAGGTCGGGCAAAGTCAACGAAACAAAGAAGCTGTGCTTTTTCTTCTTGATGATGCTCAGGCTATCTGCCCGACCGGTCACATTGTTCATGAAACGCGAGAAATCCTCAGACGCCAGGGCAAGCTCTGTGGTGTTTGAGTGCTGGCTGTAATACTGGATGTTGCTGCATTCCTGGAACCAAGGCTTGCGGCGCAGCCACACGCCCATCATGTCCTCCACATAGGCCGGGCGAGTCTTGTCAATTTGCAAGAAGTCCATCACTTGCTTGATATCCCGCATGATGAGCAAAACGTTACCCTTATTCTTATGGTAATCAGTGAGAAGCTTTCGGGCCTCGGGTATTTCAACAACACCGCCACCACAAGCAAAGACGTAGCCGTTGGGCCGATCCTTCATTGTGCGCTGGAGAAGGGCCAATTCAGCATCACGGAATCCTTGCCAGCCGCGTTGCTTGATCATGTCAGGAATGCTGAGACCTTCAACCCTTTCCAGCTCGATGTCAAGATCGATGAAAGGACGGTCGAGGCTCTTCCCAACCCAGTTGCCAGCAGTAGTCTTGCCAGCACCACGCATACCAATGATAAAGACAGAAGCGCTAGCTCTCTCTTCGCGACCAGAAGCGGCCAGTTCATCCTCCTTCAGCTCCTTACCTTCGAGTTTAACGCCAAACAGTTGTTTCTGGGTATCCCACCAGCCCGGCCATGTCTTGCCAACACACTCTTTCTCGAGAATGAGAGTGGACTTGGGCGCCACAAGGGAGAGAACACTGAAGCTGAATGCGACACGGTGGTCATCGTAGCAGTAAATACCACCAGCGGGCTGACGAAGGGTAGACCGGTCGATACCGTCAATCTCCAGACCATCATCATGCTCACGGCAGACAACACCATACTTTGCGAGCTCATCCTTCATAGCTTTGATACGGTTGCATTCCTTGACACGCTGGTTGGCGATTCCGTAGATACGAGTGGTATGGTTTGAGCCCTCGCCACGAGCAACAGCAGCAAGAACAGATGCAGTGAGGAAAGCGTCGGTCATTGGCTCCATATCCACATTAGGGAGGGGGCGAAGAATGCCATTAGAGGGCCCAGTAACGGTGGTAGATGTATCGGTCTGCTCAACCGAGCAGCCCATCGGTCTGAGGACATCAACAGCGAACTGAGCATCGCCCTGCAGGGACTTTGAGCCAATGTTGGGGACGGTGCAAGTGGTACCAGTGATGGCAGCAATGGCAAGAGGGTAGGTAGCAGAGCTAGCATCGCTTTCTACAACATACTCAGCGGGATTCACGTAGTGACCCTGGGGAATGTGGTAGGTGTGCTCCTCGGTAGTAGACTTCTGTACATCGATGCCGAAAGATCTCATCATGGCGGTGGTCATGTCGATATAGGGCTGGGAGATGGGCTTGCCACCAACCAGCTTCAGGGTCACCGGCTCCTTGGCATAGGGAGCGCACATGAGAAGAGAAGACACGTACTGCGAGGAGACCTTGGCGGCCAAGTTGATTTTACCGCCAGCGAAACCACCAGATGCCGCAATCTTGAGGGGCAAGCTGCCCTTGCGCTCCATATATTCAACGCTAGCTCCGTTCACAGTCAGAGCGTCGACGAGGTCACCGATTGGCCTTTGTTTCATTCGGTTGTTGCCAGTCAAGATGCTTGAATCCACGCTGCTAGGGGTAGCCAATGTCGCAACGGTGGTCAAGAATCGGGAAGCAGTTCCAGCATTACCCAAATAGAGGGGGGTGGGGCTTGCAGTGATCTTTCCACCCATGCCATTCACAACAAGCACTTCACCCTCCTCTTCCCAGGAGAAGGTTGCGGCGCCAAGGCGCTCCAAGGCATTCAACATGACCTCGGTATCATCAGAGTGCAGAAGGTTCTTAATGCGGCAGGTGCCCGAGCCAAGAGCGGCGAGAACAAGAGCTCGGTTTGAGATACTCTTAGATCCGGGAGGCGAGCAAGTCACATTCAGCGTCTTGGGAACTCCAGGATGCACCTCGACGCTAGGCGCTAGGACAACGCCAATGTCCTCATTAGAGACAACACTAGCTTTGGGCTCATGGGTGCGACCGATGGCAGACAGAAGAACAACCTTCTTCTTCGGGCCGTCGTTCTTCTTATCCAGGGCCATGTTGAACAGCAGCTGGTCCACGGAGCAGTGTTTGTCAGCAGTAAGCTTGCGTACCCGCGAATCCTTCATTGAGGTGGGCAGACCGTAGGCGGAGATACACTTGACGATACGTGCGACAGCGACGCCCTTCAAGATACCCAGGTGTCTGGCGAGCTCAGCCTCCTTTACCATACCAATGGCAACACACTCTCCGTGAAGGATCTGAGGGGTAAGAATTGCTTCGATGGCATGGCCAATAGAGTGTCCCCAGTTCAAGAGGTTACGCAGGCCACCCTCCCGCTCGTCAGCGGAGACAACAAATGCCTTGTGGCGCGCAGAGGCCAGAATCCGGGCCTTCAAGATGTCACGAATACCATCGAAGCGGCCCTGGCCAGGCTTTGCCTCACTACGGGCGGCGCCGAGAATTGCATCCGCGTTATTCTCCAGCGCGGTGAACTCCTCTTCGCTCGAGATCGCCGCGGTCTTGATCACCTCGGCCATGCCGTTGATGAACTCACGCACGGGAAGTGTCTCTAAGAACTCGAGATCAATGTAGATTCTTGATGGCTGCCAGATAGCACCGATAAGGTTCTTTCCCAGCGGGGTGTCGATGGCGGTCTTGCCTCCAATTGAGGAATCAACCATGGCCAGCAGTGTGGTGGGAACCTGCACATAGCGGACTCCACGCATGTAAGTGGCAGCGATGAAGCCGGTCAAGTCTCCAATTACTCCACCACCTAACGCAACCACCACGGTATCTCTGCCACATGGCGGACTCTGGCTGAGCATCCAATCCTCAATATCGGCTTTTGTCTGTCGCGACTTTGAGCTCTCTCCCGGTGGGGCATGGTAAACGAGAAGGCGAGGGGCGGGGGAAACGTCGGCGGCGGCGACTTCAAAAGTCTTTTGAAAACCAGGGGTATAGATCGATCCAAGATTGGTATCGGTGATCAGAACGTATGTGGTCGAGGGCAGGCCGCTGATCAGGTCCTTTGCGACGTAGTTGCGCCACAGGCCGAAATCAGCGACAATGCTCTCCCGACCCAAGATACTAATCTTGGTGGGCTCGGTCATGATGGAGGGCGAGGATAGAGAACAATCAGCAATGGGGAATTCTGTCCTCTACTCAATTCATTCTGCAGCGGCATTAGTTTCACGATTCCGAATAGATTGGGGGCATTTGCTTGTTCCCCCCACCAACGGAGCTAGTGATGTAAGGTGCAACGAAGGGAAATAAAAAATTGAGGCCAGCACTCGGGCAAAAAAGGGAGGAAATAGGGCTTACCTGCAACCCTGCACCCAGAAAGTCAGCGTTTAAGCCAGCAAATTGCGACTGGCCAGGAAGATGCTTGGAGCACAATAGCCTGACTCAACAATTCTTCCCCTCCGATTTCGCGGCAGATTTGCTTGACCGCCTTCTGACTCAGTGCGGGCCACTAGCGCGGCGAATATTGCAGTGTTGGCAAATGCTCTTTTGCTACAGTATGACTGGTCATAAGGGATGGGAGTCAACGAGGGCCAGGGTAACTGGGTCTCAAGAACCATTATATTGAACTGGCCCCTCACATTGCGTGCGATGGTGTTCTAACGGGGCATGGTAAACCCTAAGATGGGCGGCCTCGCCAAGATTCCTAGAAGAACGGAGTACAGAACTACTGAGAACAGAATACGTTGGAGAGGCTCCAGCTATGATATACTAGGTGCGATTCTACAGGAAAAGAAGACAGTGCAAAAGAGCAAAAGGACATATGAATTTTTTTTTACAATTTGATAACCCCGGACGCCATTAACATTCGACCCCTCGTGCAATCCCTCTGGATGCAAGTAGGTATACATAAAATTTGTAGTGAGAATATATTAAAATTCCACACATACTATAGATGGTATGAATATTCTCTAGTATCGACCATAGCCACCACCGTGGTGTCCACCAGAGTTGTGATCGCGGTTTTGGCCTCTGAATCTGCCTCCCCGGTAACCGCCTCCACCGCCTCTCCCTTGATCCTGATAGCCACCACGGCGGTTTTGATGTCCGTAGTGTTGACCCTGTTGGCCATAGTAGTCACCAGAATGTTGTTGGCCCTGGTAGCCCTGGTGAGGGGGGTACTGGTGGGACATGCCGCCACGGGCCGGGGGAGGGGGCCCCCGAGAATAGTCACCAGACCCGGGTGCTGGGGGGACCCAACCAGGCATCCCGCCAGGCGGCCCAGACATGAAGCGCGGGTCAAGGTGCGCTGCGAATGGATTAGGTCGATCCGAGGAATACTCTATACGTCCGCCTCGTCCTCTGCCATTCAAGGGGGCTCCTCCGAATGCCCGCCCGGAGGTTTGGGCTCGGCCCTGGACTGCGCGGATGTCGGCCGAATTGAGCATCGGGGTCGAAAACTTCACGCCGCGAAGTAGCATAGACTTATGAATGTGAGAAGATTTCGGGATCTTATAGTTTACACTAAACTTTCAGTTAGCACATAGCCAAATAGGCGAAAAAAGAGGGCAGCATCAACTTACGTGAGGGAGTGGTCGTCATCAAGGCTCGGCATGCCATACTCTTCAAGTGGAGAAACCAAGGACCCATGAGGTATATAAGTATCGCAACGTTCCACTAGACCCCCTAAACCGTCACTCACGCGCATGTTCAACTTATATTGCGGCGGCCCGGGCTTCTTGGAATAGAAGTTCGCAGCAAGGTCTTGATAGAGAGGATGCTGCTCTGACAACAACAGCACCTCTTTACCATGAGTATTGCGACTCCGCTCATCCTCGGTCAAGAGAGGGTATTTCTTCTCCATCGCAGCAAGAAGACGCTTCTCATCAATGAAGGGCAACAGGATCACACCTTGCCAGGCAAATTTCTTGCCATTTAAATCCAGAGCAAAGTCCTCGGGGTAAAAATCAATAATTTCGCTCTCCGGGTTACTCATAAGATCGTGGAAAATCTCGGGCAGTGCGTGGTTGGATGACGCCGGCAGAACCCCCATCAGTTGTTCAAAGGGTTTGAAGGGTTTGCCCTTCTCAAACTTGGTTTCCATGTCACCGATATCAACGAAATCAGCGGCAAACGGGGCATAGTGGTAGGGGTAATACCAATCCCATGAAGGACAACCCTGGAAATAGTAAAGCAGAACCCAGGCGAGACCTTCGGCATAAGCTCGGCCAACCTTGTGACGGAACTCGTGGTCCTCAGGATCCACCCCGAACTTCTGCTCGTAGTAACGATCAGCATAGCCGGGTTCCCAGAGCTTGACGGTATCTGGTGGCAGGTCGTCATCCTTAGGTTTGGGAGGAGGCACGGCAGGTGAGTCTCTGCCAGGTGTGCCGGCTTCTTCTGACTCCTGTCCTCCGTTCTCATCTGCCTTTCTCTTCCCAAGAACAGATGGAGAGGTTTGCTCTGCATTATCATTCATTGACTGTTCATTTTCAGGACCAGTTGAAGCTTCTTCGGCGGTCGGCTCCTCTCCCGAGCCCTTCATAAGTTTGCTCTTGAGCACAGCGGCGGCACTCTTATTTTCCATGTTAGCACGATATACAGCTCCACGGCTAGTAACCATGCTGTGAGTCAGTTCTCGTGTCTCCTTGGAAAGATGCCCACGACCAGGCGTAATTAATTCAACGGCGGCCAAAGGGGGGGCATCGGCACCACCAGCCTGAGACCGGTTATTGCTGGGAGAGTCGTAAGTCGGAGAGCTCCGCCTGCGCTTTCTGGCCCGCTCTTCATTGCGGGCTTGTTCTTGCTCCTTCCTTCTCTTATCGTTTGCTGCCTTTCGTTCTTCCGCTTGTCTCCGGCGTCGAAAAATAGCATCCTCTTGCTTGGCTAAGCCCTGCAAGATAAGCTGGGCCCGCTGGAAAGCGACATGACCATCTTCTGTCAGATAACCGCCCATGGCTGGAAGATTATCGCGCCAGATAGCAATTAATGTATCAATGCCGTTTTCGCGGATGTCTAGAGAAGGAAGATGAGGAAGGAAATCGTTTCCAACAAAGAAACACATGAACACCCAGTCATCCAAAGCTCTTTCAAGGTCAAACGGGAAGGGCTGCTGGGGGACTCGCATCTCCACAGCCAGATACTCTCGCAAAACAGAAACGTGGAGCCAGATAAAAGGTTTTAGGGGAGATGCATGTTGCTTCTCGTCGAACTCTCCGCTCTTCTCCTTGGCACGACCGGTACATTCCTCGGCTTTATGTCCCGGCTGGCCGCACAGCTTGCATGTCCGAGGCTTTGACTCCTGGAAGAAAACGTCTTCACGGAGAACTCGGAAGTGGGGCTCATGGGTTGCGAGACCCAACATGATAAGATCGGCATCCTGTTCAAATCGAAATTAGCGGCCGATCGATCAGAAACTGTTTCTCTGGACAACCTTACAAGACCATAAATTACGTGACGGGTGTTAGGGTCATGCTCTGGTGATGCGCGCTGAGAACGAACAAACTCCATGATCTTATGTTCTCCCTCTCCGGGAACCGTCGCATCGGAAATAATGATTTTCAGCTAGACAGATTAGCATGCAAATAATTAAACAAGGAGCAGAATTATATCTTGGAGCTCACCTTCTCCCAAGCTGGGTCAGTGTTGAGCTTATAAGCGATCCAATAGCGCAACGAAGCAGCAAGAATGTCCATGAACGGCGTTCCGGGAGTAATGACATTGCTGTCCCATGTCTTCTGAACAACCTCTTCCTGAATGGCCTGGTCGCTGGATTTCTTGCCTTGCTGCTTGGCCAGCATCTTTTGGAGCTCTTCCTTCTTTTCGTCATTCTCACGAGCTTCCTGGGCGGAACGGAATCGACGGGCACGCTGTTGATTCATCTTGGCTCTCGGAGCGACACCATCTATGTGACTATGTTAGCATAAGAGAGTTTAAGCAAACGCAACGTTCAAGCAAATCATGCACATACCAATGGCGATCATGAGAAGCTTTCTCGGGCGGACCATGTTGACGACCCGATCGGTATACTTGAAGATCTCCAACATCATTTCCTGCTCATTAGCTGGCGGGGGCCTGCCCTCAGGATGAGTGCAAGGATGGACAATGCCGTTCATGTCCAGATAGAGGTTATCCATTTCTTCGCCATTGGGGTTCGGCCTCGTGGTATCGACCGGAACTTCTTCTCCATTCACTTCTTGAGGCCGTTCCTCGATCACCGGGGAGATGATCTTGGGATATTTGTTAGAGAGCCATCGGAAAAGCGCTGGGACACCCATATTGGCGATGCGACAAGTGTTTCTTTATTCTGGCTGGTAGAGATCGAGCGCGACGCTCGAATGCGTCCGAAGTCGGGCTGGGAATACGGCTTGCGCAGTCTTGGTTCCCAGATCGAGCGGAACGAGGACGATGAGAGGGGTGCCAGGTAGTACCTGAGAAGAGAAGAAGTAAAAAATCACCAGGTGCAGCCGCGTTCGAGGTCGCGGTGCAAACAAAGGATGTGTAGGGAGGAGTCGGCAGCCTCTGCGACTTTTTGCGATTAGATTATTTCCGGGCGGTCGGCATTCTGCGCTTCCGGCTTTAGCCCCTTTGGCGTCGGGAGGCCAGCTTTACTGCAATCGGCTCTGCAATCATCTCTGCCTTCGGGCACCCCAACTCATTTCTTGCTTCCTGACCTCCCTTCGATGCCTGCCGATTTCTGTGCCCTCGGTCGGCGGTGACCATGAAATTGCAAATCCGTGGCGATGTTCCGAATTCTTGAATCGCAAGCTCCGGCCAAACAAACGGCAACGGACACAATCGATGTCCTCAGCGGCCGACTACAGAACGCAACGCTGTTGGAGGATCGACGGGCCGCAATCCAGGGACTTCGAAGCTTTGCAAAGCTCTATCCAGCGTCGGTTGCGTCGGGTGGCCTCCGATCCCTGATCGGCTGCCTACACAATGATCATGAGGATGTGGACACCATCAAAGTGGTCCTCGAGACCCTGTTGATGCTGTTCACTCCCGACGAGAAAAGTGTCGGTAACATCGATGACAACTTTGATCACTATGAGCTTATTTGCTAACGAGGCGTATAGCCTGAAGCTTCAGATGAGATTGTACTCTGGTTGGCGGATGAATTTACTCAGGTACAACACCCTTGATCACATTCGACTTCCTGTCCGGCTAACCCGATGACAGCGACAAGACAATATCACGACCTTACTGGATCTCCTTGAGGCCCGCGATTTCTATTCCCGTCTTTATTCACTCCAATTGATGTCTCATATTTGTGGCGCGAGACCAGAACGAACTCAAGAGTGCATTTTCACCGCACCATTGGGCATTTCGAGATTAGTCAATGTGCTTACCGATATCAGAGAACCTGTCCGGAATGGTATGCTTAGCTTTTGGCTTCCATGTATTGTTTCAAGCCTATGAGTACTAATGTGCATTTCCTGGCAGAGGCCCTCATCCTCCTGATCGCATTGACCCCCGCCTCGGAAGAGCTACAGAAGCTTGTCGCTTTTGAAAACGCCTTTGAAATCATATTCTCTTTAGTCGAGGCGGAAGGCTCATTGACTCACGGCACAGAAGTAGTCGAGGATTGTCTTTCCTTGCTCGCTCACCTGTTGAGGTACAATGTGTCTAACCAATCCTTCTTCCGCGAGACGGGATGTGTAAAGAAATTGACAACCCTTCTCGCTGAATGCCAAGTGGAACCAGAAGGAGAAGATCTTCCTCCACAGTGGTCTTTGGTCTATCGGGATAAGAATGTTTGGGGCCTCTTAGCTATCATTCAACTATTCTTGATCCGTGGCGGTGTCGGGACGCCCATGAACCAGACCTCGTTCTGGCAGAATGGTGTTACGGAGCAGGTCTTGAGCATAGCATTTGGCCAGAAATTCAGCGTTAACGTTACGTCTAAGGCTCTCGCAACCTGTGCGGATCTGATTCGTGGAAATCCACCATTGCAGGAGAGGTTTGGTGATATCGAGATTATTTGGGGATCCCGGTCAAAAGGCGAGACAGAATCGAATGGCCATACCGAACCGGAAAGAATCAATGTGATCGAGGCCTTTTTGAAACTCAGCCTACAACCCTCTCCTAACAGCATGTTGGATGCACGTCTTGCAGCCTGTGAATGTATGAAGGCATTCTTTGCCCACCACCCTGGAATTCGAATGCATGTTCTCAAACGTGCGATTGAGGGTCATATCAGTGGACAGGATCGAATTCCCAACATTTTATCAGTCTTACTGACTCCCCCTGAGTCTCGGGGAAATGCTGATCCGTATCAAGTCTGGATGGCGTGCGTTCTAATGTTCCATCTGATCTTGGACGATACCGAAGCGAAGGCCACGGCTATGGGGGTTACAGAGGGAGATGCTGAGAGCGGCGAAGAAGTTGTCACAAGTGTTCAGTTAGTAGTCGGGAACTTGATCACTGGTTTACAACGCGGAGACGACGAAAGAATTACTGTCGGCTACTTGATGTTACTCTGTGGCTGGCTGTTCGAAGACCTTGATGTTGTAAACGACTTCCTCGGCGAAGGCAGCAGCATTCAGACGCTCTTGCAAGAAATCAAACACCAAAGAACGCCCAGCAAACTGGTGCCCGGGCTCTGTACGGTTTTGTTGGGCATAATCTACGAGTTCTCCACCAAAGACTCTCCTATACCCAGAGTTACCCTGCATAAGCTACTCCTTGAGCAACTTGGAAGGGAGCAATACATCGACAAGATTACAAAGCTGAGAGAGTGTCCTTTGGTGCGCGATTTCGAGGTCCTGCCACAGAATTCTGCGGGCCAGGTGGAAGGCTTGCCAGAGGTGTTCTTCGATCGATCCTTCGTCGAGTTTCTCAAAGACAATTTCAGCCGGCTAATTCGAGCTATCGATCGTGAGCCAGGCTTCGAAATTTCTATCGTTGCTAATGGTGTTGAAAAGGGCGTTTCGCGAGATCTTGTGGACTCTTTGCGTGCAGAGCTTGAAGATCGGAGCCAGAGCATTCAAAAGCTAGAGTCCAGCCTTATTGACATCCAACGGAGACTTGATCAAGAGCATCTGGACCATCGGAAGACGAAAGAGTCAAGTTCACATGAGCTTGCTAAAATTCAGCATCATCATCAGTCTCTCCAGGGCTCACATGAGCAAGTGTTGTCGAAGTTGGAAGAGCAGCATAAGCAATCCAAAAACGAGCTCCTCAAGCAACATGGTGAACAGCTCCGCGCCATTGATAACCAGCTGAAGCAAGCCTCAGCTGAGTATGAAAGAAAGAGCACAAAAGTGCGCGAGCACCACGAAAAGGAGGTTGCTGGCCTGCAAAAGACCATTCGTGGAATGGAGTCAGAGCTTTCCAAGGTTCGTGAACAACATGGAGGCGAGGTTGCGGCCCTGAAAAAGACAATCCAGGATCTGGAGTCCGACATTAGTCAGTCCAAGGGAGCTAGCGCAAAGCAGGTAGCAGATCTCCGTCAGAAGCTTCAGACCCTCGAATCTACTTTCGCTTCCACCAAAAGTCAGCACGAGAGCGAAGTCGCCAGCTTCAAGACTACAATTGCTACTCTGGAGTCGAGTCTGGGCGCTGCTCAGGAAAGACATGAAACCGAGAGTGCCGAACTCAAAAAATCTGTGGAAGTCGTCAAAAATGACCTTGAAAAAGCCCATGAGAAATATAGTCAGGATCTTGAAACAGCCAATGAAGGATTCACATCCAAGTTCTCTACGCTGGAGAAACGCGCTGTCGAGGCTGAGCGCCAGACAAAGGAAGCAGAGTCACAAGCCAAGGCTGCCGCTGAGGCGCTCAAAGAACTTCAAATCAAACTCGAAAAGGCTCAGGCCGAAGCCAAGGAGAAGGAGGAAGCACGACAAGCAATTCAATCAGAACTTGATGACCTCTTAATCGTCTTCGGCGATTTAGAGGCCAAGAGGGCCGAAGATAAAGTACGTTCAAATCATTGGTTCTTCGCAAACTAATTCAATTATGCTAATTATATTTAGAAACGTCTCAAGGACCTTGGCCAAGAAGTGTCTGAAGCAGAGGATGAAGATGACGAAGATGAGAACGAAGATGAAGAGTAGAGGATCTCTCGAGGTCGCCGTATATAGCAAAGGAACACCGCTTTGAACCCTTGTCGGTCATCCATATAGTGTTGACAATCAATCAAATAAATGCCTTACTTATTCAATCAATTATTCCGGGTCACTATTCATCTTTCGACATCTCAGATGAGTCAACAATAGGTTGGTGTTGGGCTGAATCTTGTCATAGTTCATATGGATGGTTTTGGAAGGCGGTGGAGAAAGGCGGGGCAGAAGGGCCCAAGGGGCGCACTGGCAAAAAATAATGCGGTGGTGGGGTGAGTCACTCTTCATATTTCTACCTGCCCCTCGCACCGTTGGCAAGCAGCAACCAACCTTCAGCGCCATGTCTATCGATTTTCCCGCCGAAGAGGAGCTCATCCTCAAGCGGTGGAGGGAGATTGATGCCTTCCAGCGCCAGGTTGAACTATCCAAGGGCCGCGAACCCTATACCTTCTATGACGGCCCTCCTTTCGCAACCGGCCTACCGCACTATGGCCACCTGTTGGCGTCAACAATCAAAGATATCATCCCTCGATATTGGTCAATGAAGGGTCATTATGTCGAGCGACGATTCGGCTGGGATACTCACGGTGTGCCCGTGGAGTACGAGATTGATAAAAAGCTTGGCATGTCTGGCCTGGAGGCGGTTGAGAAAATCGGAATTGAGGCCTACAATGCGGAGTGCAGAGCCATTGTTATGCGTTTCGCCTCCGAATGGCGCCAAACCATCGAGCGCTTAGGTCGATGGATCGATTTTGACAATGACTATAAGGTATGCTTGGCATGCTAAGAGAACCATGCAACCAGGCTTTTTCTTTAGCTGACGACACTGTGCCCCTATTACTAGACTATGAACCCCTCGTTTATGAGCAGCGTGTGGTGGTAAGCACTGAGAAATATTCTTTCCAGGCTAGAATCATTAGTTGACTGTTTCCTACCTAGGGTCTTCAAGCAGTTGTTCGACAAAGGTCTCGTCTACCGAGGCTACCGTGTCATGCCGTACTCGACCGCGCTCAACACGCCCCTTAGTAACTTTGAAGCCCAACAGAACTACAAGGATGTGCAAGATCCGGCTATCGTTGTCACTTTCCCCCTTCTCGATGATCCCGAGACCTGCTTGCTTGCGTGGACTACCACACCGTGGACCCTTCCCTCCCACACTGGGCTTTGCGCCAACCCTAATTTCGAGTACGTGAAGATCTACGATGAAGCTACCAAGAAGCACTACATCCTGTTGGAGTCTTTGCTCCGCACCATCTACAAGGATCCCAAGAAGGCCAAGTTCAAGATTGTGGACCGCCTGAAGGGCTCTGACATGCTGGGATGGAAGTACGAACCCCTCTTCGATTATTTCTATGAGGAATTCAAGGATCACGGCTTCCGCGTTCTAAATGACGAGTATGTTACCGCTGAGGACGGTGTGGGCATCGTCCATCAGGCTCCCGCCTTCGGTGAGGACGATTACCAGGTCGCCGTTAACCACGGAGTTATTAACGAGACCCGCGCGCCCCCCAACCCGGTCGATCCTCAAGGCTGCTTTACCGCGGAGGTTCGGGACTTTGTTGGACAACATGTTAAGGCTGCCGACAAGGGTATCATCAAGCACCTGAAGGGCACCGGTCGTATCCTCGTTGATAGCCAGATTACTCACAGCTACCCCTTTTGCTGGCGATCTGATACGCCTTTGATCTATCGGGCTGTGCCTTCGTGGTTTGTGAAGATCACACCTATCATCCCTCAGATGCTCGAAGGCATTGAAGAATCTCACTGGGTGCCTTCGTTTGTGAAGGAGCGAAGATTTTCAAGCTGGATCAAAAATGCTCGCGACTGGAACATCTCCCGAAACCGGTTCTGGGGAACACCACTCCCTCTGTGGGTTAGCGATGATTACAAGGAGATCGTGGCCATTGGCAGCCCGGAGGAGCTCAAGCAACTGAGTGGCTATCCTGGTGAAATTACTGATCTTCACCGTGACAAGGTGGACAATATTACCATCCCTAGCAAGCAGGGCAAGGGTGTTCTTCGCCGTGTCGATGAGGTATTTGACTGTTGGTTTGAGTCAGGTAGCATGCCCTATGCCTCTCAACACTATCCTTTTGAAAACAAGGAGCAGTTTGAGAAGAGCTTCCCTGGTGACTTCATTGCTGAAGGATTGGACCAGACGCGTGGTTGGTTCTACACTTTGACCGTTCTTGGTACTCACCTGTTTGGTAAGCTACCTTTCAAGAATTGTGTTGTGAACGGCATTGTTCTTGCTGAGGATGGCAAGAAAATGTCGAAGCGTCTGAAGAACTACCCAGACCCGTCTCTAATTATGGACCGCTATGGATCGGATGCTCTTCGTCTCTATCTGATCAATTCCCCCGTGGTCCGTGCGGAGCCTCTTCGGTTCAAGGAAACTGGCGTCAAGGAGATTGTTAGCAAGGTTCTACTTCCTATGTGGAACAGCTACAAGTTCTTCGAGGGCCAGGTCGCTCTCTTGAAGAAGACCTCTGATGTTGACTTTGTGTTCGACCCGGAGGCTGAGGCCACCAACACTAACGTGATGGATCGCTGGATTCTTGCCAGTTGCCAGAGTCTTCTGATGTTCGTCAACCAGGAGATGGCCGGTTACCGCCTTTACACTGTTGTTCCTCGGTTGTTGGAGCTCATTGAGAACACCACCAACTGGTACATCCGTTTCAACCGCAAGCGTCTCAAGGGTGAGAATGGTGTTGATGACACCCTGCATGCTCTGAACACCCTCTTTGAGGTTCTGTACACTTTGGTCCGGGGACTCGCTCCGTTCACACCTTTCATTACCGATAACATCTACCAACGTCTCCTCCCACACATCCCCGAGTCTCTTCGTGCTGAAGATAGCCGCAGTGTTCACTTCCTTCCTTTCCCTGAGCCTCGCCAGGAGCTCTTTGATGAGGTTGTGGAACGAAGAGTGGCCCGTATGCAGAAGGTCATTGAATTGGGCCGCATTTCCCGTGAGCGCAAGTCCATTGGCTTGAAGACTCCTCTCAAGAGCCTTGTTGTCATTCACCAGGAGCAGCAGTACCTGGATGACGTCAAGTCTCTCGAGGGCTACATCCTGGAGGAGCTCAACGTCATCGAACTTGTCCTTTCGACCGACGAGGCTAAGTACAACGTCCAGTACAGTGTCAATGCCGATTGGCCCACTCTGGGCAAGAAGTTAAAGAAAGATATGCAAAAGGTCAAGAAGGCTCTTCCTTCTCTGTCCAGCGATGATGTGAAGAAGTACGTTGCTGACAAGAAGATTCTTGTTGATGGCATTGAGCTCGTTGAGGGTGATCTCGTAGTCAAGCGAGGCATCAAGGAAGACTCGAACTCTTCCGGCATGGAAGCCAACACCGACTCTGACGTCCTGACCATCCTGGATACCAACCTCTATCCTGAGCTAGCTCACCAGGGTATTGGTCGTGAGATCATCAACCGCCTTCAGCGTCTCCGTAAGAAGGCCGGTCTGGTCCCTACTGACGACGTGAAGATGGAATACATTGTTCTGTCGGACCCCGAGAACATTGGTCTCGGCGAGGCATTCAAGTCCCAGTCTCAGGCCATTGAGAAGGCTGTGCGCCGACCTCTTGATGAGCGTATCCTGGTTGATGGCAAGTCTCCTAGCGCCGATGAGGAAGGTACCATCGCACAGGAGGATCAGGAGGTGCAGAATGCGACATTCTTGTTGCGTCTGGTCAAACTTTAAATGCTTGGACTCTTGATTCCAGAAAATACAGCTTTTACCATGTAGATAGAAGTCTACAATTTCATTTTTGGGCTTTGATGAATTAAAGATATGTTTATGAGTCTTCTTCACGCTTGAGTAGTGGTCATATTATATACACTTGATAAATGCAGAAGACTCTGCCTGGGTTTGAAAAGAATAAGTATTTTGCTGAGTTCATCATTACGCCTGAAATGCCAAAAATTCAATGAACGATAGTCACAGTTCAACCCTTCTTAGACGCGGCCTGCAGAAGTTAGGCATGTGATTCAAAAGTCACATAGGCTTTGATCAGTCTCACTCACCAGGACACAATTTTTGAGTCGCATGAACTCCTTCACACACATATCTTTGTGAACGGAGTTGTAATCAGCGACAACACATTTGCCATATGCGGTAGCCTGTTCCAAATCGTTAGCTCCGCGACGAGTTCGGATTTAACTTCAATTCACACCTCAGCGGAGCACTGAGCGGCAGCCTTGGCAATCTTTTCAACCGGGCGGGTTCGAGGCGGCATTTCAATCAGTGGGCTGGTTCCTCTCTTTAAGCGCTGTCCGACCTATAGGCTAAGTCTTGCTAGATGGAGCCGAAGTCAGAGTCCCGGGTTTCTATCCCAACTACAATGCGACGTGTGGCCCCGGAATGTTACATAATAAGCACGTGACTGACGGGCATGCTTCTGTCGCGACCACCAAAACAACCCGATCAGCGTGGTTTGTTGTACATGGCGCACAGTTGGATTGCGGTTTTCTTGCTTTCTATCTCTGCCAATTGTGGACTGGCATCTGTGCAAGTCTAGCATCACAGAAGGGGCATGATTTCGCGATGATTTATTTGGTGCGTCGACTTTATGACCCAGATGCGACAAGCGCGCCGTAGGTCGCCATTTTTCGATGCCTCCGATATCCTCTCAGCGACGCGCCTTGACCGAAAAGAACGCATCACTCACTGATGATGGTAAGGAGATTGTTTTTTCACTAGCTCATCTCAATTTCACCCAGTCTTACTTATTTTTTTTGGTACCTAGATGTCGGGTTTCTCTACCAGGTTGTCATTTGCGCCGAGGGCAAACCCGAGGTCGAACGCCTTCCATTTCGAGCGCTATTTGCTGCCTACGACGAAGTTCTCGGCGAACATGGCGTTGACTCTGATCCCGGCCAGGCATGTCTGCGCTTTCTGTTCAAGATGGGAGACAAGGACGTACAGGGCGCGACACTCTTTGATAGATTCGAGAACGCTCTCCGGCAAATGGGAATCGTGATAGAGCTTGGGGAGGATGGATCGACGACAGATCTTAACGAAACCCTAGAGCATGAACAGTTTTCCGTCCAGGGTACTCTCAGTCAGACCACCGATCATGACCACTATCCTGCAGCGAACGGAACCCCAATCACTCCACGGAGACGCGCTTCATTCAATACAACCTATGATATCGGCGAGGACGCCACAAATAAGAGCTTCGCCGAGCGCCCAAGCTCTCGCTCCTCGATGTCTCGACTTCAGACTGGAAAACCCGAGTTTTCGAATCCCAAGCTGTCCCCAAAGCCCAGAACCTCGGGCCCAGCACCAAAATCTCCTGACCGCACACAATTAATTGCACAATTCTTGGATGTTGGCCGTCGTTTAATAAGCAGATTTGACTCTGCACAAGAAAGAAACAAAGACGTGAATGAGGAGCCTCCACCATTGACGAATGGACTGCTGGCGCGGTCGGCTGTTGACCATGATCGGTCCAAGAGAATAAAATCAGCATCCAAATCCCGGCGCTCGACGTCTATGAGTTCTTCGGACACGTCGGGGTCCGGTGAAACACAATCTCAAATTTCGCAATTGACAGAGCATGAATCTTTCGAGAAAGAGAACATTCCGCCTGAATTGTTATATCGACCTCAGCTTTCGGACTTGCTACGAGATGCATCTACCTTCAATATGTATCGTCAACGAGCCATCTGTCGCCGAATCTTGACTCAGTGGTTGAAACGAGCCTTTCAAACTCGCCAGGTTCGTGAAACTAGGGAATCTGTTGCTACCAACCGGGACCGAAACACATTGCTTCGACAGGCCTTTGAGCCATGGCGGGCACTCATTCAACAAAAACGACATACAGTCAGAACAGAGCGATTTTTTAAGCACTTAGAGGAACGAGCCAGTCGCGCTCGAGACCTGTACTTGATGACCAAAGCATTCACGCACTGGGCTCAGCTCACGTCTGAGGAAGTAGCTCGCACCTCGGCTGCTCGGCAGCGTGTTTTAAGTGTCAAATACTTCAATGCCTGGCGTGAGATCACGGCAGTCAATGAATTAAAAGCACAACGCTTTGCTTTACAGAGGCCCTTCAACAAATGGCGTAAAAAGATTTCAGATCTCAAGGCAGCAGAAACACAGGCGGTCTTGGTTCACAATGATAATATACGGAATACCTCATATTGGCAGTGGTTCTGGTGTTTTTGCGAAAGGCGTGCCCCTGAATGGTATGAAAATCGGCTCAAAAGACGTTCACTTCTTTACTGGCTACGGACTTTCCGCACCAACCGAGAGCGCGAGCATGATATAGCTGTCCATAACCGACACTCGTCTCTGGCTGGGGTTCTTCAGATGTGGTCAGAAAGGTCGAAAAGCATTGATATTGCACAACAAAACGCTGAAATTTATCGGCATCATCAGACATTGAAAGAAACATTTCAAGAGTGGAAGATAAAATCTCGGCTAGCCCCGGCGGCTTCTCGGGTGTCTCATATGGTGAACACGCGAATTTGTGGGAATGCTTTTTCGAAATGGATTTCCAAGGCTCGCATGGCTGGCCAAGCAGAGGAAATAAATCGCGTTAGAATTGAGAGAAATGCGTGGATATCCTGGAATGATACTCTTCGGTGTTTGGCTCTTCAGGCCCGGATTGATGAACGTTTGAAAATGGAAACCATGTATAAGTGGATTCTCATGGAGCGATATCAGTTGATGGTGAGAATTCGCGAACAGCGCATCAAGCGCGAGGCGTTTTCTCGATTTGTGACCAACACACGAGACACATACACCCGGTTGCTATTTTCTGCGGATGTTCATGAAGATCATCGGGCTGAAGACCTGGTGCGATTCAAGTTTGCAGTCTGGCGTGATCAACTACTTCGTCAGCGGGAACGGGAATATGCAGCCTTCGAATTTTATGCACCTCGCCTGGCACAAGAGTCACTTATGGCTTGGAAATCTAAGCACCAGCAGATTGTCAAAATGGAAAGCTGGGCTCATGACGCGGAGTTTTATTTCGTCATGAAACGATCATTGAAGAATTGGCACCAAGCTAGACTTGATTCTACCAAGAGACGACGCAAGGACGCATATTCAAAGATGCGACGAAAGGTCAAGATAAATATGGCATCCAAGGCAATCGCTTCTTGGACCTCCAAATCTCATGGAATTGCTGATATGGAACTCCAGGCAAGCCAGCTTTACCGTCAGAAGCTCCTCCGTACTGTGTCTGGGATTTTCCTTGGGTGGCATGAGAAGACCCTCAAACGGATTCAAGATTATCAAGAGGCCGACTTTCATTACCTCAGGGAGAATGCCTTCCATCAACTGATACAATTGTACGAGGCTTGTGTCATTCGCCGTGAAATGCAAGACCAGGCCAATTCATTCCATCGCTCTCATGTCCTCCATGCAGCAGGTGCAGCATTTCGCAAGCTCAGCCTTCGTATCTTCCAAATGAGGAACACGGTTGAGACTGCGGAAGCAATGCGAGAAAGAACTCTTCGAAAGCATGCAAGGAACTTTTTCCGTCACTGGGTAGAGAGTGCCCAGTTCAAACTTGAAGCGCGAGATTCGCCTGGTCCAGCCCTAACATCGGCTCAATTCTCAAATTATGGGGCAGTTGACGACACTGGGACGGCACTCTTTGACCCATGGTATCAGAACCCGTCAGAGACTCCTTTCAAGATGACTGATTTCACGACCAATTCACTGGACCCGGTCTCCGCAAGCCCGCTGGCCACCCCAAGCTACATGACATCGCCATCTAAACGCGCCGCTCGTGCCCGAGCATTGGCTCAGATGTCTACAACCCCTGCTACACCTCTCCACACACCCTTTGCCAGTCGACTGCTTCGAGCTGAGGCATCCGCTCCTCGAACCGCTTCCTCCCGACGGCCGCAAACAGGTCGCAGAAGTTTGACGGGAACTAGCGTTCGATTTGTGGACGAGGAGTCGCTGCCTGAATCTCCCACTGATGGCCGCAAGTCGGCCAACCGACGACCATGATTTTCTCTTTCCCTCGATTCCCATATACGATCTTCTCCTACGATTCCATGTTTCGAGTGACCTGTACATCATTGACGACTATACTTTCTTCTGATGTCTTTCAACATACTTGTTCACTTTTCGTCTGACCCATGCATATCATCCGGCGCAGCATATAGGGGGCTTTGTGGCACATTTGGATGTTGTTTTTCAAGCCTTGACTTCAAATAGGATTAATTGCAACAGTTCACCTCGCACATAGTTACTGGTCGAATTATTCCTTGAAACACGTTCGCTGAGACATGGACCGCCCTAAACCAAGTTAGGTTTAGTTATAGCTGTAACATTGCGTAGATGCTACTATGAATTTGAATTATCATGATATCAAGATGGAAATCTTCATCATACTAGAGACATGACGAATACTTATATTTCCGCCTCTAATCAATCGCTTAAAAGGGGACAGAAAATGAAATGGATTGGATCTGGAACAAGATCGTTATGGTATTCTCGAAAGGGTCACTGTTTGGCAGTAATACCTGTCGACTGGGTAAAGGATAAGGTAGAAATGAAGAAACGATACACAGTAATCGGCATAGAATCTGAGTCTTATTTTCGAAGTCCCTGACTAGGTAGTACCACCCATCCGGCTATTGTTGTGGTCATACCTCAGGGACATAATGCATGAAGCAATATCGAATCTGTCGTTTGATCACATAGATTCCCACCTCAATCAACCACACAATGCGCCGCCCGTCCATCCAATCATGCTCCGAATTCAAACTCAGGAGTGCCGTATTTCCTATTAGCGCGATACGACTAAGTATGATACTGCGAATATAATACTTGGGCTCAAGTCTCAGACGGGTAAGACGAAACCTGGTTTTCTTAACAGAGGAACTTGTATACAAATACGATTATAGTACGAGGGATATATATCTTCCAAACTCGAGAGACTGCGGGTTTCTTCTCTCCGAGAAGCTTTTTGTCCAAAAATACTGGGTAGGACAGCATTATTGTATCTAGATCCAAGCTTCTTTACGTCTAAGAGAATTGATTATCGTAGCCGCGTTAATCGTCCTGCGCGGCTGATTTGAAGTGGATCTCATGCTTATCAGGTGATGCTCCAGCCTCCCCCAACATCAGCTAGCAGATCGTTAGAAAGGGTGAATGAGAGACTATGGACCTCAGATAGGCCCCCGTGTTCGACAAGAATATATAATAACACAATAAATTAGCGTTGTTTGGTACATCTCACCTTGGTTGGGGCCGGCGGGCAGTGCAGTGGCCGCCGTGGTCGCACCGAGTGGAGCGGCAGCGTAATCGACACTCGCATCGTCATCCCGCTCTGATCCCTTGCACAGAAACCACCTGAGGAGTTCACCGATCACTGGCATTGACCGTTTTCTCACCCTGCATTTGACTTCTTCCTTTGGAGACCCCGCCCGCGAACCTGGCGATGGTGTAAGACCACAAGCGCAACGTTCCCACCCTCTGATCCACCCGCCTCCATGCGAGCGGTACTGCCGGGGAGGCCCCCAGCGAAGCTTCAGTCATTCAGCACTGCGCTGTGGGACGGGCTTCGCGTAATTGTAAGCTCCTTGATCCTGAAGCTCTGATACAGCTTCCCCGCTGGTCCTTTGCTAACCTGGGCTCACGCGTCGTGAATAGGCGTATATCTCCGGCCACGCGCTGGTTATCCTCGGCGGTCCGCAGACGCTCCTCCAAACAATCTACGTCGATGAGACCGAAAAGCTCGAAGCGATTGCCTTTGACGAGCAATCTGGGAAAATTGCAGTTTGTGGAGGACCTGATGTCTTCGTGTACCAGCCGTACGGCATCCAAGGCGAGACACTGAAGGTGCGCATACAGGGGTCCCGCTCTTTGCAGCTCGGGCAATTGAGAGAGGGTATTTAGAGAGAGGAAAAGCGATTTTGCTGACGACCGATTGAATTCTAGTGGTCCTTAGCCTACACCTTCCGCGCCGATGATAGCGACGAGCCGATTCATACCGTATCGTGGGGTTCCTCGAACGAGCTGCTCCTGGGCAACTCTCGACTTGCGCTTTGGATTCTCAATGATACCCCGCGTTTAGTATGGAAACGGAAGCTTGCTACACCCGTCAAATTCGCCAAGTTCTCCCCCGATGCGGCGCTGGTGGTGACAGTCGGACAATATGATCGCCTAGCCAAAGTATGGAGGCGACTTGCCTACGGCGCAGATGAGGTGCGGTTTGAGGTCTCATACCTTCCTCATCCCCACATTGTTACTGGCGTACATTGGCGGCTGCCCTACCATAGAGAGCAGTCTATGGACAATGTATTCTATACTCTATGCGCCGACAACAAGATCAGAATATGGGCTGTGACAGACCACCATGCTCTCTCGCCTCTACAGTTATGGACAGAGATTGATATGGAGCTCTCCGTTCAACCCAGAGACGTTTTAAGTGCCGACGAAGGATCTCAAAGGCGATACGGATTCATCTTGGATGCTCGAGATTTCTGTTCTGCTACAGAGCGTGCAGTTCAGAGAAGCACCGGAAATAAGGGAAACCATGCCCTGGAACATATCATCGAAGTTGCCAAAAAAAGCCCCGAAATCTGTGTCGTTATTGACGGTCAGGGCCACATGTCCGCCTGGGCCTTGGAAGACGTGGGTCTCAAAGTCAAATCAAATCTGAGTGTCTTCAACATTCTCCATGTGGAAGGCCTAGATCTTGGATTCATGCCTAGTCTCTCCACGGGAGAGGACTATGCTCAAATAAGTGCATTCCAAAGCAACACATCCGATGACAAAATCAGCATTGTCGTTCATCATTTTGATGGCCGAATTGAGTGGTACGACTCGCCAGTAGATACTCTTTTTGACCCTGCTCCCCAAAAGAAACGCATTCTTCCAAAAGCGTCTTGGTCTGGGCATACGGCACCGGTCAAGAAGATTGTTCGAAATGCAATCGGCGATACACTCGTCTCCCGTACCGATGAGAATAAGGCTATGATTTGGCGACAGAGAAGAAGAGAAACTGGATCAATATTGTTACACAAGAGTATTCTATTTTCCGACGAACATATCCATCGAACGTGTGTGATCGAGGATGCCAATCTCCTCGTCAACCTTCATCATAACGGAATCTCCTTGTGGGATTTCAGTTCTTATCATGCTAGAAGGCTTGCGCACCTGCCATTTACGTTATCCAGCAAGCCACTCTGCGTGCTTCCGCTTCCTACCCCAGATGCATCTTCGGGCCTTGCATATGTAGCCACCATTGGGGCAGATATGGATGGAATCGCCTGGGAGATCGAATGGACTGCTCGATATGATCAGAAAGGCACAGAAAGAACCCCCCAAAATTGCCAGCTGCGGAAATTCTGCACCTTTAACATGGGCCTGAGAGAAGACTTAGCTTATATTCTTCCTGTGGACCCGGCAGGACCCAAGGCCAAACATTCTGGCTCCTTCGATGCCTTTTCCCCTGACATCGCGCTCTCATATACAAACGGTGGTGTTGTGAGAACCTGGACCGCTAAGGTTAATCGAGTAAACCCAAAAGTTGAATGGTTGCTACAATCGACAGTGGACACAGGGATCGAGAACCCGTCCCTGGCTAGTGGCAGCACTATTCGCAAGGCCGCGCTAGTGGATGAGAATCGAACTCATTTAACAATTTGGGACACCAATAACTCTCAACTTGAATTTGAGGAACACTTTGCTCAACATGATATCATCCGTGACCTCGATTGGACATCAACCCCTGACATGCAGTCGATTCTGGCCGTTGGATTCCCTCATAAGGTTGTTCTACTATCTCAGCTTCGCTATGACTATTTGGATTCTCGGCCATCCTGGACCCAGATTCGAGAAATCTGGATTCGGGATCTCACACCTCACCCAATTGGCGACTCGTGCTGGCTCAACAATGGTCATCTTGTTATCGGGGCTGGCAACCAACTGTTTGTGTATGACAAAGAAATTGATGTTGGGGATCGTCTTGTCTCTGAGCTTCGTATACCATCTCGTGGGTTATCATCTGTCGACCTCTTTGATGTTGTCAGTCGTCTGAATGGCCCACTTCCAGTCTTCCATCCTCAATTCCTGGCGCAATGCATCCTGGCAGGGAAGACTGGTCTTGTACATTCTGTCTTGATGAACCTACACCGGAAACTCAGATTTTATACCGAAGGAGATGATTTGGACGGATTTCTGGAGATGCCACTCGAAGATTTTTACGAGGAAACGGACATCTTTCAACAAGCGGCCTCGAAGGAGATGCGTTCTTCCTACACTGACGTCGACTTCGAGGAGCTGTCATTTGTCATAGACGAAAGTAATGCGTCTCTACTCAACGACAATCTTGCGCGCATTGCATTACCTCAATTGTCTAGCCATGAGCAATTCCGCCTCGTCGATACCATTGAATGTGTTGCGACAGTAGAAAAGCATCGGCGATCTATGGATGACAATGCGGCGCGATACTTCCTTTTCTTCAGGCAACATATGTTGAGAAGGGGCCAAGGGGTCGCAAACAAAGGCACCGTTTCATGGCGTGAGATTGTGTGGGCTTTCCATAGTGGAAGTCAAGACATCTTGACGGACCTTGTATCCCGTCAATTCGGTGGTAAATTGACATGGAAGGCTTCTCGAGAAAGTGGAATCTTTATGTGGCTATCGGATCCCGCTGCCTTGGTAAACCCGCCTACCTACTTCTGATCTGCATTCAATTACTAACCTCATTAACAGAAAGCACAACTGGAGATCGTGGCTCGAAATGAATATACCAAGACAGAGGAGCGAAACCCTATCGATTGCACCCTGTATTATCTAGCTCTCGGCAAAAAGAATATTCTCCAAGGCCTATGGCGGATTGCGCATTGGCATCGTGAGCAAGCTGCCACCCAGCGTCTTTTAGCAAACGACTTTAAGGAGGCACGATGGAGAACTTCTGCACTCAAGAATGCCTATGCTCTGCTGGGAAAGCGGCGCTTTGGTAAATCTCACAAATCTAGATAATCCTGACAGAATTTCCAGCTAACAATGTTTTCTTCCAGAATATGCCGCAGCATTCTTTCTTCTCGCAGAACACTTACGTGATGCCGTGAACGTCATCATGAACCAAATCGGAGACCTTCAGCTTGCTATCGCGGTAGCTCGTGTCTATGAAGGAGACATGGGTCCTGTCTTTAGGGAAATTCTGGAAGAAAGAGTTCTTCCCGAGGCGGCCGCGGAAGGTAACCGGTGGATGGCCTCCTGGGCGTTTTGGCTGCTTGGACGAAGGGACATGGCGGTGCGATCGCTAATTGTGAGTTTTGAAACTTGTGATTTGATCATGAACACTATTAATGCGAATTTTAGTCCCCGATCGAGACACTAATAGCACCGACCCCAATCTCTCCTGGCAGTCCCGGCCGAGTTACCCTTCAAGCTAAATCATATCTTTCTAACGATCCCGCATTGGTTATTCTGTATCAACAGCTTCGCGAAAAAACTCTTCAAACCCTCAAGGGTGCCTCGCAAGTCCGGCCGCGCGAAGAATGGGACTTTGTCCTGCGCAATGCCCGCCTCTACGACCGCATGGGCTGCGATTTACTCGCCTTAGACCTTGTACGGCACTGGGAGTTCTTGGGCGGACCACCTACATCGAAGACATTGCAGTCTCAGCCTGCACTCGAGCTCCACGAGAATGGCGTTGATTACCGAAAACTTCTTCGCCGGCGGAGCAGCCTTGTTGTGGCGGATATGCCTATGCGACTGACAGAGTCAGTGAAAGCTTCGACTGATAAACAGGAGACTGTTGCTGCTGAGGACTCCGAAAAGAAACAGCCCCCAAAGCCAAAACCTCCCCCCACAATGTTTCATGAACCGGATGCCAATTCGTTGCTGGACAGCTTTGGGTTCTAGAATTCGTGTTGGGCGTGGAGTAGTTCATGGACTTCTGCATTGTCTTCCAGTGTAAAATCTTCTGTCTTTTTCGAGTACAAATGCATGTGATAAAGCGAATGAGCATCAATACAACTATCTATTTTGTATCTTGGGATCGTGTATGGAATGCTGTTGACTTACCCGTTCAGGTGAGGTTCTTTCTACAATTTGTGCTACGCGGATACAATTGTGAATTTCATATACAACAGAAGAAAATTTCCAGCGCCATTTCAACGTTTCGCGTCCATTATAGTGCTTACCCCTCGCTACTGTTCGATCACTGAGTGGCCAGGGTTTGTGAGATCATCCCGTAATTAACCCCATCCAAGTTCTGAGTTCTTGATTCCGATCAAACTAGCAACCCACTAGTGACTCGATTGCACTGGTGAAGTGGTCGCTCAAGCAGCAAATGCGCGTGTGTATGTCCCTTCTATCATTATAAACCTATCCTTTCTTTAATTTTTCGATGACTATCAGCGGGCCTGGAACGAATATAAATAGTCTATTTGAAAGATGTTAAGTTGAATGGTGCCTGATAGGAGAAAATAAGTTTTCAATATTCAAACTTCAAGAGTTGCAGTTTTCATAGGTAATCTACATGTTGGTAGGCTTTATTTCCCAATATCTATTCAATATATCGAGTTTGACACGAAGTCGTTGCTCAGCTGCCTGAAATGAGATATTTTGTCGTTGACTAGGTCGCGATTCCAGGTATCTAAGTGCTGCTCGGAGGCGATATAGACGGCTTGGAGGATAAGTCTCAGGAGAACTCTGCAAAGATTCAGCGTCGATGATATCAATCATCATATTAGTTCCTGTTTCTAGCGTCGCATTCGACTTTTCAATCCGAGATTGCCACCAGACATCGTCACTTTCTATCAAGCGAGGTTTTTCAGCCAAAATTTGCTCATGCAGCAGGAATAGACCCCTAGGTATAATTAATTAAACTCCACTTTCCGAAGTGTGCATGTGCTGGATAAACGCTTTCAGAGCCCATACTAACCTGATCATGATTGCCACAGATCCGCAAAATAGCTCATGACTCACGTGAACTTGCCTCATGATCTCCATGGTGAAGCAATAGAGTTTCTCATGAGTTTCAACTAACTTTGTCAGGCGAAAATCTTTGCTCTCGATTCGCATGATCTGATGTATTTGATCTAGAATCCAAACTCCCTGAGCAGACCAACCCTGCGGGCCCATACCCCCCAAGATCGGCGAGCTAATGGTAGCAGGGTTAAAGTTTGGAGGATCAATAAGATCTAATTGATCTGGCTCGACTGGAAGGATGGAATCTGCGCCTGGCATAGTTGCAGAAAAAGGCAAGGCCTTCTTCGGTGGAGTTACGTCGCAATAACTTAATCTATAAGCAACCAGCCTAAAAATCAGCATCGCCTACGAGAAATAAAGAATTTCAGGGATTTGATGAGACTAACCTCTCATATATGAGTATTGCCCACCATGTGTTGGCTTCTTCTTTCCACAAAGGCCCCTTCCCATGTGTATTGGTCCATCGAGAAAGATTGGCAGCATATCCCATCTTCGCACACTCAGCTAAAGATTGGAACGCTTCGTCTGGCATCCCACGTGCATATTCATAAACAGCTATTATGATGCCTGCTTGAATGAGTGATATGGTTGGGTGATCTTGAAATGTACTGGTTGTTTTTACCCTCTTCAAAAGGGATTTTGTGGTGATATAGAGGAATTCTTGATGAAGTCGCATGGATAGGCCATCTTTCGTTGATTGGGGGAATGTAATCAAACAAATTGATAATAGCAGCATGGAAAATTCCAATGGTGGAGTCGTATTTGATAGGCTAGAAATCCCATGTTGGAGCCGATTGCGACTAATACCAGGGATAAATCGATGAACTCCACAGAAAAACTGCTGGACTATATCACTAGGAAGCCGGTTAGTCGCCGAAATAATATGCATTACTGATGTATACATCAATTCGTTCTCATTCTCACTCTCCGTCAACTTATCAAGTGAAAAATGACTGGAGAGATCTAAGGGTAGCAATATGCCCGTGCGGAGGGTAGAAGGCAGGGTTATAGTGTTTTGAGGTTCGGAAGGGATATCAAGTTTCAAGTTGTCCAAATGAGAAGATGGATCAAGTGGGTATGAGTATATCATCAACCCTCTGTCGATATCAAGTTGCATGTGCACCTTGATCGAGGACTCGGAACACCCGAGATGATCAACGGGAAGTGTGGATTCAATCGGGAAAGGTGGGTCGGCCGCAGGTGCGGGTGCTAGTGCTCGAGGCGCCTGAGCATTAGTATGAGGCGACCTATATCCCTGGCAGATCCGATTGGCCTGGTGGCAGCTATTTCAATCAGGCCTGGTCAGAAAAATAGAGTGTCATTGAAGCAGCAACAGGAGCAGAGTCGATATACCGCTTGCATGATGGCTTGCCTTCGTCGCATTTCACTCGCCGTTCTCTTTCTAGGGTTTAGACAGGGTTCTTGGAGCCCGGGGGCCACGAGCGGCACCTTACTTGCACGTAATACAACCAGTCCGCACCTTGGGCGTAGAAGCGCGTCGACTTTTATAGACTGATAGGGAAAAGGCCTGGTTCTTAGGGGCCATGTCAGATCACGCCCATAAGCGGGTACCATGCAAGGGTAGGGGAGTCTGGATTAATCATCCCTGTAAGAAGACAATGAAACAAGGGCATGCATCGCCGAGTCTGGGGGTGATCGATTAGATGCTTAGTAATGGGGATTCGGACCGACCTCCATTCCGGCACAAATGATAGATCAGAACGGATCCGGACCAGGCAGAGTCAGCTTGAAGCTTAGACTGAAAGCGTCCTTTCAGCGCTTCCACGAGTTGAGAAATGATGAAGGTACTAACCACATCGCCAAGTGGCCTTCTAAATGATCGTTTCCTCCGTTTGAGCCGGTTTGAAAGCACCAGGATCCGCTTCTCCAGACCCGATTGCCTCCATGTAAGTAGACCATAGATACGCCAGTTGTCAACCGGACGCAAATTTTCTCTCTCTGCACTCTGCTGTTTCCTTGGCGTCGTCTTCCACTTCGTTTCCAATATTCTGATTGTCTGATCCTGATCTATCACTACATTCCAAGGGGCATGTCTTTTTGGTAATACGTTTAGTAGTTTCTAAAGTGGCCGCGCACAAGCTGAACTGAAAAGTTCCCAATTCGCAAGGTGAAAGAGAAAGGTCGAAGATGCCCAAGGAGTTCTATTCTTGTAATCACGCTCTATTTTTCAGTGCTCGTTGCAGGGGGTTTCACTTCAAGTCTCTGCTCGCCTCTCTCAAGTTACTGGAGCCTTGTTTATGCTGGCGGAGTATGGGATGAGATCGCGAACCGCTTCTCAAAGTACCGTACTTAGGCCAGCGAATACTATCATTTTGGTTAATGACCTTTTGCATACGGTCGAATTCCCACGAAGAAAACCGCTTTTCTCTATAATTGAAAGCACGTGGGGTATAAAGATGCATATATCACTGTTTTTAATTAAACTATACACAAAGCTATTTTCATGTCCCAGTCACATTCTATAAGACAACATTTCCCCTCAACCTCAGCCCACATTTTTGTTTCTTAATACAGGCGTGCACGACGATTGCGCAGTACCGATAACTTGCGCCGCGAGATGACCGTTCGGTTGACTGGCGCTGTGCCATTCGCAATCGCAGTGCCATTGACCTGGCCCGTGATATTGAAGTGATGCTTGTGCGTCGAGTTGGGGTGCTTACCAGACACGAGGGTCGCGTGCTTGGTCTTGATCATCTCCATTATTTTGTGGACAAGCTGCTCGCTCTCTGCGTGGCCAGCATTGTTAACCCGATCCTCCTGGTCAGGCTCGCGCTCAGAGTGCTCAGTCTGGGCCTTGGACCATGAGAACGAGTTTGACCCGGGCGTCTGAATGTTGTCAGCCTGGTCGACGGATGTGGTGTCCTCGAGGCGAGGGATATCCTCGGCTTGCTCAGCGAGCGATTCCTCGTTGTCGTTGTCGCAGACCAGCTGCAACCAGACCTCGCTGTAGGCGGCGAAACGGCGGGCCTCACATGGGCTCACTGCAACGCCGTTGTGGAGTTCCTGAGTGATGAGAGGCGGGTCGATGCATTCTGGGACCTCGTGGACGGAAATATTACACTTTGACCCGCTCCCCATCTGGAATGGGTGTCCAGGTCTATTTGAGAGAATCTCCGCGTCTACGGAGATGGCGCTAACAAGGTTGTGTTCGTAAGAGGGGACGCCGATGTTGGCGCATTGGCCAGTCGTGATGACCTGAGAGGGCGCGGATTCTTCATAGTTCTCGTATGTGTCGAGGTTGGAAAAAGGATCTCCTGGGCAGTTGGGATAGAAATGTGTCCAGACCCGCGCATTAATAGCGGCATGAATGGGGGTAGAAAGAAGGAAGACGGTAGAGAGAAGGGAATACATGGCTGCACAGCTCAAATGCACGGCAAATAAGTCAAGCGGAAACAAGCCGATGAATGGGATGGCAGGTTTGATTTTGGGATCGTGGGGAGAGAATAGAGGGCTTAATAGGGTGTAATCCTCTCATTATATACACAGTCATCATTCCACTACGTCCGAACTACGCATCTCGGGATGGCGGGTAAGAATGACCAAATGCCCATGGTATTGGAGCTGAAACGCGGATAGCACGCTCATCAGCAGGTTGGAGAAGCCCAAAAGACCTTCTTCGTCATACTCGGTGGCGGGAGGATGTCACAAATTCTGTTTTTTGCCAATCGTAGTCGCGGTCGCGCATTCCAGACCCCCGAGGTGGAGTCGATGCCGATCTGAGACTGCTTGGACGGCCGTGATTGCCTCAAGGAGGTATGCCGGGCGCGCTTTGAACATTCCAGAGCATAGCAGCCAGCCTCTTAGAAGGCGCGGTCCCTGCTCGATTGGCGGCTGGGGATGTCAATTGCTGGGTGGGTCCTGCTTGGATAGCTTGACTGGCTAAATATACAATTCGTTTAAAGCTTCTGGAAAGATCTTCATTGGGATGACTGAAATGGGTCTATGAACTCCAGATGCTCCAACTGGTCAATTAACACCAATGGTCTTCAATGTATGTATTACCAGGCGTGTGTACGACGCAGAGCTCTGAGATAATTGTTGACCTCATTCATCCAGCAGAAGAGACATTCAGTATGAATTTCACTTGCGCTTCTTGTCTTCTGGATCTATTGGGGGTTTGTACTTGAGAATCGACTCGCCTGTCTCATAAGAACTGAGAGTATTAGACCGCCGTCCTCTTCCCTTTAAGTTGGTCTCGATCTTGCGATCGATTTCTTTCAGGTCGCCTTCTGAGTTAATAGAGCTGAGGGCTTTCAGAGAGTCACCATTAGGGCCATTCGACCGGCTGCGACTGCGCTCCCGACTCGAGGGTTCACTTGGAGGCATGCTCTTGAGGTAAGACTGGTAAGCATCCAGTTTATAGGTGTCGGTGGGAATTTCGGCGTCCACATCTGGCAGGATGCCGAAGCCAAGATCGTTGATAGTCTGAGTGACACGCTCGGAAAGTGCTTCCCGGTGCTGGCGCAGGTCAATCAGAGAAGAAGAGGACAGCGGATTGAGAGCCACCAAAAGCGGCGGCAAAGACTTGATAATATCCATGCCAACTTCGCCAAATCGAAGAGCTGCATAGCTGACAAAAACCATATGCCCAAAAAATCCAACGGCAAACATCCATAAGGGGATGAAATCAGGAACGTAGGTCCGTGCCGTTGTCCACCAGGGAACAGAGTGGGAGTAGTGTCCGTCGTAACGGTTGTAGCGAAGCCAGAATGTCACAATAATCGTGTAGTAAGCGTACAGAGTTGGTGCCAGCCCCATGGCAACAAGAATTTTCCAGGTGCCAACAACATCATGTCCCTGCAATTTGACAACAGAAGCTGCCAGCGCCTTCCGTCGTTTCTTTTCGGAAATCACTTTGGTCGTAACGAACACGGGCCAGAAGAGAAGGACTCCAGGCAGTGTTCCAAAGCTTAGAACAAAAAGTTTGCACAGGCGATAAACCAAGGTGATTAAGGTAAGCCACCAGGGCTTCTCCTCCACATTACCCCATTCCACTTGATGATCCTTGATACCCAAGGATTCAAGACGTCTGTTGTACTCGGTCACGGCTTTTTTAAGACCCTGGACTCGGGGGTCATCACGATGTTTTGTGTATCCCTTCAACAACCGGCGATTAAACTCAATCACAAGCGGAAGTGGAATTTTCTTGCTGATAGGGTTATACAATTTCCTCGTAGACTGAACCAAAATGAGGGTTTCGTGATCAGGGCTGATTTGAGTAACAGACTCCAGACCCTCGTAGATCGTTTCAAGCAGCGAGCCGACGGCATTACGTTTGCTCGTGCCACCGGCCTTGAAAGCTTCAACTTGGTCGGGATGAACATGAATGGGCCGGCCAAATTCAATGACACCACGGGAGCGAAATTTGTGTGCATGGAAATAGTTCATGCCACAGGGAATGATGGATAATCCGCAGCCTGGATCGCGCGCTAGTGCTCCTAGGGACATCAAAGCCGCACCGGCCTTCAAGGGCAACAGGTTGGAACGGTCGTGACTGCCACCTTCCGGGAAAATACCGATACAACCTCCATTTGAGAGCTCTTTGTAGACGGCATCAAACATCTGGCTTTGATCGACATGAGGAGCGATCTTAAATCGGGTTCCTTTCCGGCCGGGATCATCGGGAAGCCGGGATGCGAAGGGCTTCTTGAGCCGAAGGGAAGTGGGCCCCAAGATCTCTTCAATTGAGGCCGTTTCGGGGGCGTCCCGGCCCTTCACGGTAATTGACCCGCCGGCCATGAAATCGGACTGTGTGAAATCCGTATCGACCCCATGGATCAAGGCCGGGTCGCTCTGGGGCTCGGGTTGATACAAAGTGCCTTTGCCCGGTTTGGTCAAGTCCATCGATCGGACAACGGGTAGAGCACCCATACAGGATGCCAGTGTCCCCACATAGGGTTCATGCATCGACTTTTGAGCGATCAGAAATGAGACACGTCGCTTGGCCTGGGACTTGAGCAGGTGCATCAAAATTGCGGAGTCAACGAACTGATTCGCATGCGGCGCAGCGACGATCAACACTGGTCCTCGTTCGGGGATTCTCCAGGCTCCTCGAGGATAGATCTCACGGAAGAAGAGATCAAGCGCGCAGGTGAAGAGCCAGAGAACGAGATCATACAGCCAAGGGATCATCCGGCGGGACTCCGATCGGCCCGCCATGATCGCTGCAGATCTCTGGGGAGTTGGCGGATGGAGGTGAGTCAATGGCTCACAAATGTTCCGAGCTATTAACGGTCATGCAGGAGCCCAAAAGTGGCGGTGGAACTGGGAAGACGTGGCCCCGACGATGTTCAACCGAGAAAACGGGCGGGAAAAGAAAGAGCGGGGAAGTGGTGCAACGCCAACAAACACTCGCTTGCTAAACGACTTCCTCACCATCTCACCATCTCACCATCTCACCATCTCAACGGATGCGACTACCTCGACAATACTGGGTTATACACGCCTCTAGAAATGGAATTGAGTCGGCACCATGGAGATTTGATTTTCCTGGATTATAACGAAGGTACATGGTAAAATTGAAACAGGATATGAGAAGAATCATAGCTCCGTCGCCAAATACAAGTACAGAGGCCGACCGTCTCATCCTCATCTCTCTGATGACCCGATCCGGCGGAGTGTGGGCTTTTTGCATGCATCTACAGTCCATCGGTACCATCAACATCGGCAGATTCCTCAGGGCCATCGATGCCGGGTCCACCAGAGGGGCCGCCAGGGCCGCCAGGGAAGCCAAAGCAGTCGAGCTTGAAGGAGACATAGCCAGGATCCAGGAAATCGGGCAGGCATTGACCCTGAGCCACGGGGGAACCGTCGAAGGGCAGGAAGTACGTGGGCTCTCCGGAACAATCGTCGGTGTTCCAGATGGTGACGCCGTGGCAGAGCAGGGCATCCTTGGTGTCGATATATGCTTTGAAGGAGTAGTTGTCGATACTCCAGTCGCGGTTGACCGTAGTCTTGTCACAGGTCGCCGGGGTTGCGGTGACGGAGGCCTTGAATTTAGGCTCGCCGATGGCTGGGGCGCCCACATCACAGCTCTCCCAGGATTGGAACTCAACACTCGCTACGGGGAAGGCAGCGTAGGCCGGCAGGGCAAGCAGCGCCGCGGAGGCGAGGGTCTAGAGGGGTATTGGAGTCAGTCTGCGCCCAAATGCATTGCGTCGGGGTCTCCTGTTACCGACCTTGGAGAAGTGCATCGTGCCGAAAGTTCAATTGGTTTCCTGCTAGGCGCGTCTGTGTCGTCAAGGGCCGGTTGTCGTAGTCGTCGAAGGTTGTCGAATGGCGAGAGAGATCCTTCCAAGCTTCGTCAAAGGGAGACACCATCCCACGGCTTTTAAGTAGGCCCGCCAGGAAGCCACAACACGCGGCGATCATTCGGTCCAAGTAAACATGGGGATGGACCTATAAAAACTCTGCTTTTCCATACGCGGAATGAAGGAGAGCCCCGGTGGGCGCTGTCTAAACACGATGGCAGCAAAGGCATTGGTGAGGCGGGCTATCGAAGGGCTGGAATGTAGTGATCGGCGAGGAAAGACAGCAAGCCGGCACTCAGAGTCCGGTCTCCGATCCTGGCTGAGATGGTTCAGGAATGGGACGACCGGGACAGGGTTCCAATCAAGGGTTCAAATCGAAGATCCATGCAGGGACGCACCCTTGGACCAGCCAAGGTCGTACCGGACATACTCTGCGACGGCTGTCTCGCGTGGACCCTTATTCCACAAAGTACTAGAGAATGATCACAATCATTCGCGATCTTGGATCTTGGACCTTGGTGCTTACCAGCTGTTCGCCTGGGCCTGTGGAGGTTCAGGGAGACGGAGCAAGGGTGATGGTAATCGAGTGTCGTATTATTCCGGAACCACGAGTTTAACCAACTGTCTTCAATGGGACTTGGAAACTTGGAAGACAAAAGCGAAATAGATCAACGCCAGATTGGAATGACATCAGTGAGTAGAAACAACATTTTGGAAGAGTCTTGACCTCGAGCATTATTTCGCAATGGGTAAATCCGTTCGTCTCTTCTTGGCTTCCTGCATGTACCTCGGTGCATTGATCCAGCCCTCCTGTGCCAGCTTGATCATGATCAACATCACTACTCCGTGTAGAAAACCCAGTCTATTTGCAGCTATAGAAAATGGCCTATAAAACACCGAGACACATTATTCCAAGTTGGCAGGTTCAAAAATTGCCGGTTTTCTTTTACTATTGTCCCTCGAATTTCCAGCGACATCAGCCGAACTAAATTGTATTTTATTTTGGAGGAAGCTCTCAAATCGAAGCACACATAGTGATTTCCTATGCCGCGTCCCAGAATCCTTTGGGGAATTTACGACTGCCAACGGTCTGGAAGCCGTGCTTCAACCAGTATCCACCAACATTCTCTTTAGTCACGCGGATCGTGATCCGCACAGGCTTGAAGCTCTTTCCCATCATCTTCTATCGAAGTAGCATCTCTTCCCCACATAGTACGGCTAGACGGCTTGCAATGCCTTTGCCACGACATCGGGCGTCAGGGAGAGAGCCACCACCGGCAAGCTTGTATGTAGTACCCCGGGCAAGAATGCTTTCGGGGAATTTGCTCCGCTCCGCCTCTCTATTTTTGCCTTTTGAAGAGTCATTTGAAAGGGTCTTTTGATTGTAAGGACTCTAAATGCCATCATCTTTTCATTGCTTCATGCTTGCAGCCCCGATGACATCGAGTTTTTCGTCCGGGCCGGAAGTGTTGAATGCAACCACAGTGAAGCTGGTTCGCTCCAGTTCCTCGGAAAACTCAGAACTCGCTCTGACTCGAATTTTGTTGTTGGAAAATTCGATTTTGTTGATATAGCTAACGAGATAGCTTCCATCAATCATCCGTGTCAGGTCCGATAGCCGTAGTTGAGATCGCAGCTCGGTCGACGGAAAGAGCGCGGTGTGGATGGTTGGAGAGTCCATTGAAATTTCGAGGTGATGGAAATTACTCAATTTGTCGGCATGACACCTTGCTGACGAGCGACGACAAGTGTGCCTGATTTAGGCTCTCAATAAGACGATTACCCCTGGCGCAACTTAAGAAGCAATTAAACTGAACCCAAAGTCGTCCATTAGTTTATGGCCGAGTCTACAAGGAGCCTTGGCGGCAAACGAGTCACAGATACTAGCTTTGACTTTCTTCTCTACTAGCGATACTCTTCCTTTCAGGCTTCGCTCGCCACATTCAATGTGAGTGATTTGAATTCCCGTTGGGGAAACGGAGCCTGTGGGGCTTTAAGACTTGTCCAGTCGTTCGTACAGGAAAGTATTTGCAAACTAGATCAATCAGTTGTTTTCTCTATGATACATGTGTTTTTCTTCGTGTCAGGGAATGGATGAATGGTGACTTCAACATCAGCCGCTCCCTTGAAGACGTACTCGTGTACTCTATAGTCGTAGATCTAGATCACATACTAGGGGAATATTAGCGAATGCTACCAACAGTGACTGTCGATGGATACTGACCGGAATGAACAGATATGGAACCTGCTTTTCATACTGTTTCCATGCATCGCCATATTTATGTCTGCACTTGTTGATGTCTCGCATGGCTCGGTGAGCAATCATGATACAGAAAAAGACCGGATAGAACCAAGGGAATGGGCTATTGAAGCCAGTGACTAGGCCCCATGAAAGAGCGAAAAACATATCACAGCTGTAGTGCACTTTCCGTGCCAGTCCATACCATCCATCTGCTAGAATCGTGTCTCCGTTCTCGCTCACAATGGTCTTGGGGTTATGAACCTCCTGCCAGGGAAGTTGAGGGAAAGTGTTGCGCTTCACCCAAGTACCACGCTCCATCATTCGAAAAGAGTTCTTCTGGCCATTGGCGGTGTCCCAGACCCAGTAGACGAAGAGATAAGAAATGAACAAAGCAGCTAGCCCATACTTATTCCATGCATATGTGGACGGGTCGTGGTTCGCCAGGTACAGGGTGCAATGGCAATAGGACATAGGAACGCCGGCCATGTTCCAGAAAGTCAACATGAATCCAAGCTTTTCCTGGTACATATCCCAGGTGGTGGTGATCAGATGCTCAGCCTTAGAGCAAGCGTTGGCATAAGTGTAGTGTGCCATGACCAGGAAAAGAACTTCACCAGAAACATATCCGTATCGCTCATACTGACGCGTAGCTGCCGCGCAGCTCAGACCGAACAGAATAAACCATGGGATACGCACTTCATAGAACATTTTGAAATCCAGGATGCCAAAGAGCCGAGGATTGAGCTCTGCGCCCATGAAGAAGTCATAGATAGGGTAGCCGGTAATACGGTGTTGAGCCCCGCGAGCAAAGGCAGAAATATAGGTCACCACGCTCATAAGGAATCCAGAGATCATGGCAACTGACATCAATGGACCAAATTCATCCAAAAATGTATGAATTGGGAACAGTCCCGAACCATGTAACACAGCCATCACAACAATTGTTAAGTAGAAGCTGCTATAGGCGGAACAGTGGTATTTCAGTTGCTTGCCACCAAGGTGAAGTAGAGGCTTGCCATAACAAGTGAATCCTGGCATCAGAATGTAACAAGCGGCCTCAAAGATGAAATAGACCCAGTAGATCCGCCACGCTCGGAGGTGAGGGAAAGCGCCCGTGTGAATCAAGTGGCCGAGATGCTTCACAAAATCTACCCAAGACTGATCTGCTTCAGGCAAAGGGAACTTTCCCTCGTAGTAAGTCGCACCGATCCACATGTAGTACATCAGGAGAGGAAAGACTATCATGACCGCCAGGCACCCCCAAGAGCCACCAAACTCGAAATGCCCTGAGTAGTCGACCCTGGGATCCATACCAGGTCGCCAGCCACCTGTGATGTGCTCTTTTGCGAAGCCATTATTCGTCTTCTCATCCGCATCGCTGAATTTCTCAATGGTTGCCTGATCTTTGTTTTGTTGCTTCCGAGATTTGACGCCGGTATTGGTAGCCATGGTGTCTCCAATCTTGTCCGCTGTAAGAAACCAGGTTGGGATCTAGAAGACAGAGTGAGTAACCTCCTGTAAGTGTACAAAGAGACCGGAAAGCCCGACGTCCTTGTAAAATTGAGAACTCAATGGGAATAAAAATTTGGGTCTCACTTTTGAGAGGATTCCACGAGCAAAGGTCCTTGGCCCCCGAGGCTAAACCCGCAAGAGAAAACGCCGAGATCCAGGGGCGCAGCGGACTAGTTCATTGAGATTCGAGTGAATTGACACCCCATACGGAGTGGAGATCCCTAGATGCACCAGGATTGTCTGCCAAGAATCAATCTGAGTCATCTCGTAGGCTTCTGTCTTTCTGTTATTCCGGATTGGTCGTATAAAATTATAGTTGGCGTTTCAAAAATCCGAGTACCGTTTTAGCCAAGTCAACATGCCATGACTGAAATTTAAAAAGGATACATAAAATGATATATAAATCTATGCAACTACCCTATTGTTTTGTGTACCGCCCTGGTCGTGGTAGTCGTAGCAGTATATAGTAAAGGTGAAATTGCAGAGATTCGGAGCCTACGGCCTGGCGGGTGTGCCAGTCGCAGCGCCAGTGCCACTGTAGATAGATTTGTCATCAACGCGTGAAGTTTTGCTTGGGTTGTATTCTAGAAGAGGTTAGAATGTACAACTTATCCGAATATCACTTCTATCGTATTTTGAAATAAAATTGTCATATTTCCCCCCGGAAATCTTACAGACTCTGTGATACATCCCTATAGATCATCGCCTCCATAATTGATGTGCAAGATAATCACCCAAACAGGCAAGTGACGTCAGGTGATCTTATCAGTCATCAGGTGCGGCGTCTCATCATCAACCTTCGCCTTCACCGTACAATCTTGGTCATGAGGTATTTGCTTGACCGATGAATTACCAGACCCTCAGCATGGAAGGCAATGCCTCCTCACCGCAGCCTGGCTTGGTGAACGGGTCGTCTTCGCCGGGTCGATCCGTGATCCCCGTCGAGGACCAAATTAGCGCGGCACCGATTACCCGACAAGTCCAAACAACCTCCCCGCAGAGCTTCACTCCTCGCTCGTTAATCGTCGGCCTCATCATTGGTGCGCTGATCACCTTTTCCAATACCTACTTCGGTCTCCAAACAGGATGGATCAGTACTATGGCAATGCCTTCTGCCTTGATTGGCTTCTCGGTCTTCAAAGTTCTGTCGAATCACCTGTCTTTCCCGTTCACGCCGATCGAGAATGTCCTGATTCAGACCGTGGCCGGCGCAGTAGGTACCATGCCCCTGGGTTGTGGGTTTGTGGGCGTCATTCCTGCCTTAGAATTCTTATTGAGGGACGGCGAGGACGGTCCCACAGGTGACGGTGGTGAGGGCGAGGGCGGACCACTGAAGCTGGGCTTTTGGAAGCTGGTCATCTGGAGCCTTGGGGTGTGTCTGTTCGGCGTGGTATTTGCTGTGCCTCTGCGGAAAGAGGTTATTGTGCGAGAGAAGTTGCGATTTCCCAGCGGTACCGCTTCGGCGCTCATGCTGCGAGTGCTTCACGGCGCTAAGAATGATGAAAAGATCCCTTTATCAACAGAGCACCGAATCGCCGAACCGGGTGAGCAGATCGATGTCATTCCTCAATCTCAAGAGCGGGAAGAACAAGGCTTCCTACTGAAGGACGGTGACAACGAAGACCAGGCATTGCAGAAGAAAGACTGGAGGTCAAAAATGCGCCTTTTAATCGGAGCATTTGCGGTCTCGGGTTTTTACGTGAGATGCGAATTGTACTTCTTGAAATTACCGAAATTATACTAACTGAAATTTGTAGACTTTATTCTCTTATTTCGTTCCCTTCGTTCGCGATATTCCTTTGTTTGGTGTTCCTCTAGCCCACAACTGGCTTTGGACGCTCAACCCCTCGCCTGCGTACGTGGGCCAGGGAATCATCATGGGTCCCTCAACTTGCATGCATATGCTCTTTGGAGCCGTGCTGGGATGGGGTGTTCTTTCGCCGCTCGCCAAGGCTCGCGGATGGGCACCTGGACCCGTGGACAGCTGGGAGGACGGGAGTAAAGCGTGGATTGTCTGGGTCTCTCTGGCTATTATGCTTGCAGACTCACTTGTCAGTCTTGGATGGCTGGTGGCGAAGCCGCTGGTGAATAGTGCTCCCAGATGGATTGCCTTTCTTCGTTCTACTCGACTAGGCCGATGGCTTGCGTTGCGATTGCAGTCATCTGAGGCTAATCGCCATTCTTACATTAATTACTCCTCCTTGGACTCCGATCAGCCTTTGCTTGCCCATGAGACCCATGGTAATCCCCCGACACAGATTGCGCCAGGCGTCGAAGAGGATGAAGACGCACCGCCTTCTCAACTCATTTCTAATCGCACGGTAGCAGTCCTGCTCCCTTTGACCCTCATCTTGAATGTGATCTGTATGCACATTGTGTTCGGCGACATCATGTCCCCGCTGCTATCAAGCCTGGCCACCATTCTCGCCGTTCTCCTATCTATCATGGGCGTTCGCGCACTTGGCGAAACCGACCTCAACCCGGTTTCCGGAATTAGCAAACTCACCCAGTTAATCTTCTCGCTCGCTACCCCATCGTCACATTTTTCTCGACGTACAGCGCTGGTAACGAATCTCCTTGCCGGTGCAGTATCCGAGTCGGGTGCCCTACAGGCTGGCGACATGATGCAAGATTTGAAGACTGGCCACCTTCTAGGTGCAAGCCCTAAAGCACAATTCTATGGTCAGATGATTGGCAGCCTGGTTGGTGCTGTTCTTTCGACCGCCGTATACAAGATGTATGTCAACGTATACGAAGTCCCAGGCGACATGTTTCAGACGCCGACCGCTTATGTCTGGATCTTCACTGCGCGCCTTGTCACAGGACAGGGGCTACCAGAGATGGCCTGGCAGGCGTCTGTCATTGCTGGCATAGTGTGGATGATCCTCACAGCTTTGCGCATCGCCGCCGCATCCCCTGCATTTGCACGTAATGGGAAACCTCCTGCTTGGCGCGATTGGATTCCGGGTGGCATCGCCGTGGCTGTTGGAATTTTCAACGTGCCCTCATTCACACTGGCCCGAGCCATCGGTGGCGTGATAGCCTGGTGGTGGTCGCGGAGTCATCAGACATCGTCCGCTGATCAAGCAACCCACAATGAAATTGCCAATGGCTCTCAAGCGCCTACAGACGCTCACGGGGTTCCCACATCCGCCGAGCAGGCAGCCGAGAAAGCGGACGCAGCTTCTTCTACTGTTGTTGTCTTGGCGTCTGGACTGATTCTGGGCGAAGGTATTATGAGCATTATAAACCTCCTTCTTGCAAGCGGGAAGATGCCTCATTTATAGCGAACACTTGTTGTCTCCCCGAAGTGCATCTGATTTGAAATGACTAGAAATTTGGGCTGTTAATTTTTCCCCCCTATAAACCGACGAATTAGAAGACTCGTGACTTTCAAAGTCATTTTTGTTAATAGTTCAGCAAAAGCCAAAAATTTATCGCAAGCTTCACGCATAAGCAGAAATATCATAAGGGGAATAAGTAATTCGGATATCTAAATACGAACTCGCACATAGTCCACGCCATCAAGAAATGGTACAGGGGTTCGGGGGGTATTCCAACTCATTTATCTAGTACGGATTCAGAGCCAATATGCATCCATCCATAATAACAAGGAAGAGGCTAACAGCCTCTTGTCGTAGAAGGAGAGAACAAAATAGAAAAAAGGGGGGGGTAAAGAAGGCGCAAGCAACAAAAAGGGACAACAATCTTCAAAGTGATCAACGACGCAAGGAAGCGATGCGCTAAGAGGAAAGATGTCCTTCAAATTGAAGTAGAAAACATCGAGTATGAAGGTTGGGGGTCAGTTCAAATGGAGATTGAATCAAAATCAGAAAATCACGACGGAGGTATTTAAAGGACTGGAAGTTTGTTCGTCGTGGAGGTGAAGAGTGAGGTCGAATCAGGTCGAGTTATGCTCGGAAAATAGGCACATTTCTGCCCAGTGATATAACTTTGACCAGACCGCAAGGCAACTTCACCCTCCTTTATTTGCAGTACGAAGAAAATGAACTCCAGCTGTGAGCGAAGGCGTGTTCATGATGCGAAAATTAGGCTTCCTGATTAGAAACAGGCTTTCTGTTGATTTGAGATCCCACAGGGGATGTTGGAGAAGCCGGAGCTGAAGGAGGAAGAGCAGGCAGGTCAGATGTGGGTGCAGGAGCCGGAGGCTCGGCGGCAGCTAGAGGGCTGGGCTTGGAGGGAGCGACGCCACCGACGGTGGGTGGAGAAACATTGCCTGCACTGTTGCTGCGCTGTCGTTGGTTGACTGGCATCATGGGGCGCTGCATGCCGGGGGGACCATAGGGCCCGGGGCTCATAGACCGTGGGCCTGATCGACCGCCGGGACCGGGAGACATGGAACGGGGACCAGGAGACATGGAGCGAGGACCAGGAGACATTGAGCGGGGAACAGGAGGGAACTGAGCCGAGGGAGACATGGAGCGGCCTGGGTAAGGGGCTCGAGGCGGACCGCCATAGGGAGGCCCAACTGGGGATCTTGGACGGGGCTCCTGGGGATAGAAGCGACCCGGAGGAGGTGGACCAGAGGGCATGCGCATACCACCAGGGGACATCGGGCGGCCATTAGGACCCATAATCGGCGGGCCTCGAGGACCAGGGCCAGCACCCGGGGGTGGCCGCGCGCGCGGTTTCACTGGACGTGCAGATAAACAGGAGCGAGGAGCCACCCCTTGCTGGGAACGATCAAGGCGAACACAGAGAGCCTAAGCAAAGATGTTAACAACTGTTTCCAATCCAACTATCAAGTAGCTTTCCATGGACAACTTACCCATCCGTCATCATATTCATGAAGCATTCGGACTAGAGTACCAGCACGCAGCTCCAACTCATCTTCCATCGACGGGTTGAAATCCATTTGTACGCGATGAACAGTCCCAGCAGGACCAGCACCGGCTCCGGCATCAGCAGCTCCCAGTGCAGCAGCTCCCAGTGCAGCGGCCCCCAGTGCAACGGCTCCACCTGCTGCAGCCACTGCTGCAGATGAATCAAAGTCGCCATTGGCACTGACAGGGCTTGGGGAGGAACTAGGCGGCATAACTGCACCGGCCCCCTCCGAGCTATATTGACCAGACTGTTCCTGGTGAGAGTCATGTTCTGCCACAACAGCAGCATCAACGGATCCGACAGCAGCGGCAGCAGGGGTTGCCGCAATAGCTGCTCCCGAGGGACCATTGCTTGATGTGGAAATTGATGCCTCGCCGGCCACGGGGGTCACAGGCGTGGACCCAGAGCTAAATGGATTAATGGGGTCATTGAATGGGTTCTGACTGCTAGCACTGGACTTCGGCGGGGTGGAAGGAGGCGAGTTGCCAGTCAGATTGCGCGAGGCAGCAGCACCTGCTCCTGCACCTGCCGTAACAGCAGCGGCCGTATTGAAGGATGCATGGCCGCTCAAGTCGGGTGCGAACTGAGTGATCGGACGCATGCTGAGTTGCGGAGGAGTGGAGGGAGTCGATGGCTTCGCTGGTGGGGGTGGAGGAGGGAGAGCTTCGTTGGCGTACGACTTCTCATTCATGGGCTCCACGACTTCCTGGCTGCGCTTCTTCTTCCGCACAATAAAGAAGATGAGGGCTGCGATCAAACCAACTCCAAGAATCACACCAATAGCGACACCCGCCTTGGCACCCCCGGACATGCCAGATGACGAGCTGGTCAGTGTGGACGATGCCGAAGCGGCCGAGTCAGTAGCCGAAGCGGTCGAAGTTGCGGCAAGAATATTTGCATCATGGCTTGACTCCGAGGTGGTGGGGGAGGCAGAGGTGATAAACGAGGTTGAGTCATTGGTTGCCTTTGCATTTGTGTTCGTTGCTGCCGTATTTTCAGTGGTCTTGGTCGCGGAGTTTTTGGTGGTCTCTGATTCCTTGGTCGCGGAGTCCTTGTGGCTGTTCTTGGTTTCCTCGGTGGTCGTCTCATCTGTTGTTTTGCTGGTCTCTGCCGAGGTCTTGGTGGCAGCAACTGCTGCGCCAACGCCGACATTGGTATTCTTAGTACTTGTCGCAGTCGCCGTGTCAGTATTATCATCACTTGATTCCGTCGATTTTGTCACATAGCCAGCAACGGCGCCTTCGAAGTCCTTGGACAAGGTTTTGTAAATCACCACAATGGGATTATCACTATCACGCTCCACCAAAGGGAGGTTGTTAACGAAGATCGTATCGTCCAGTGACCGCGCCTCCAGAGGGCGGTGTTGATTGTGATGGGTATGCCCGTGCGCCATGATGGCTAATTGATGGCTCAGAGAGACCGAGAAACCGTTGGAAAGGGTCTAAAGATCGTGAGGCGATCGTCGTCCCAAAAGAGTGGACAGTCCTTGGAGGGCTCCAGGCCAGAATTCCAACGCGAAAGAACAGTTCCGAGAACCGCGTCGATGGGAGGTCAGCCACTACTTCGCGTTGTGGAATGTGGATAGAAAGAATGGACAACTGGAGATCGAGCGCCGGCGACCACCAGTCGGGATAGAAAGAGAAAGAAAGGACGACGACTGCCAGGCCGTACAGAGAAGGAGTGGTAAAGAGAGGAGAGAAAAGAAGGAAGCAAGATCGCGACGATCGAGGATCGAGGCTGTAAGGCCTCGTGTGGTGACCTGCGACTGAATCACGGGGAATTTACGAGCCCAAGCAACCGAGATGGACCCTGGGGACCCTGACCCGGTATTGCAGCGTATGTATGGACGCGTGCTAGCCATATTGGGGGGTGATCTGTCGAGATCACAGCACTTGATTGGCTCCCAAAATACGGTACCTGGTTTTGATCAAACGGAAGATGTGACCCGGTAGGAGGGGTGTTCGAGACCCCTTAGAACTTCGACTTTGCTTCCTCTTCTTCTTTTTGCTCCTCCAAGACAAATTCCACTATGATCTCAAGATTGGATTTATGCGACAATCAATTGATCAAGATTGACTTCTCTCCTTCCCTCCTTTTCTTCACCTACAGTATGCGCTGAACCCAAACAGCGCGGAGGGACCGAGACGACCTGCGCTAGAGCGCCAGTGGCCCCCAAACGTGGTCGGCCCTTCGCTAAGGAACCGTGCAACGCGGGGCACAGACTCCATCGCTCGGGTCTGTTGTTTCACGATTGCCCCAGCCCTCGATGCTCATTGCTCAGTGCGTTCAGCCGTAATTTCCGGCACACCCGGAGATCTTTCGAGTCCTGGACAAGTGCTTCTCGTCCACCAACGAATCGCTACTCGCTCCCGCTGGTACTCCCCGTCTGATGCGAGAGCCGATCATCGGTTGTGATAGTGCTGGATCATGAACACGGTGGATCGTCATTTTTGGTTTCAATTGTGATCATTCATGACCATTAACAAACAACAAGCGATTGTTAAGTTGTGGAGATCGAGGAAGTGATGCTTGAAGGGTGTGTTTGGGCCCGGACCTCCCCGCCCGAATGCTTCACATCGCCCGGCCGAGGCACTTTCGCCAATACGGAGTATGCGACTACGGTACGAAGTATATCCTTCAATGGCATAATGACATTGACGGTAATCCCTGAAATTACAAATGGGGTTTCCCTTTTCCCTGCCGTCGCATTCACAAATTACTTGGCAGCGGCGGTACCCCCCTGCATGCTTTCCGATGTTGCGCGAGAAACACGATTGGGGCCGCATTGTGCACCCTGTGGCTGAGGTCCTCAACCGTTGTGTGGCGACCACGCCGTCAACGAGGTTAGCGATATTAAGAAGTGGAGAAATACGAGTGTCGGAGTGCCTGACGCAATTAGAGTCCGTTGTGAGCCACCTTCTCTTGTTTTCTCTCCTTCTTGCGGTGACTTACCTCGTCGGCAGAGAGTCGCTGGCTGCTCTGGTAGCACAGCAGGCCGCGAGCCAAATCGCGGCCTCTGGAGGACACACCCGGAAGGATTTCATCCCAGGGTCTGGCAGGGAAATGATGGAATTCGACCTTTCCCCAGTCGGGAAGCTGAGAAACCTCCTGCATGCGCCCGGTTATTACGTCTAGTCCCCCAAAAGCTCTATTCCAGGTACAACTTACCGGCCATATGTTGTTATCAGGAGTGCCGAGTGTTTTGAAGATAGAATGGATTAGTGACAAGTCACTTCCCACTGGTCCTGAATCAAACAATTCCTTATGGCCCACAGCAATGGTTTCTGCCACTACACATCCAGCCGCCCAAAGATCAAGCGGTGTTCCATAACCTTTGTACCCGAACAAAATCTCGGGGGCTCGGTAGCTCGTGGTGCCGACCTCAGTGATCTTCTTATCACTTGGCTCGGATGCAGGGTCCCCATCCTTCCAAGCGATCCCAAAATCTGCCAAGTAAGCCGGGCCCTCAGGAGAATCCATCAAAATATTTGATGGCTTGATATCCCGATGAACTATTCCTAATTTATGAAGGTAGGAAAGTGCTTGAAACAAACCATGCAAGATGGAGCGTGTTTGGGTTGCTGTGACCAAATCACGCCGGAGCAAATGCTCCAAATCATATCGGAGAAAGGGGAAGACCAGAACTAGTCTACCTCCATCCAGCTTGAAAGTCTCGATTAAAGGAACCACATGTGTGCTGGATGCTTCACGCAATAGCCGGGCCTCGCGCTGCACATCGTGGGGAGCGGTCATTAAATGCGGGATGGTGATCTTGATGGCCCGTATCGACCCATCTTCGGCCTTGGACTTATAGACGGTAGAATGCAATCCATCAAAATGATGGAAACACGAGACATATTTGCCAAACGTTTCACCCGTTGCAACATCAGACGATGGCTCCGATTCTTGAAGGATATCCTGCACTGGGTGAGAATTGCCGATGACCGAAGCTACAGATTTCGTTGTCTCCGCTTCATCAATTGCTTGCTGACACATCCGCTCATACTCCTCCTAATAAGAAGTAAGCATTCTATGATCTTAGCTCCTGCGAGGCGAATCACCCACCTTGGAGACGGCTTGGTCGTAGGCCTCGTTTTCATATCGGCTTGCTTGCGCTTGAGCCTCAGTGAAGGCCGCAGATGAAGACGCCTGTTGGTAGGCCGTAGTGCTAGGGAGGTAAATTAGTTGTACATCTGGATTTAAGTTACAATGGCAGACTGACAGTGCCTGGATGGCTTTTAATCGATCCGTAAAGCCCAGCTCGTTTCTCCACTCCATGGCAGCTACGTGATGCAGACGGAGGTGCGGCTCGCCAAACAATAACTATGATGTCATGTGACCCTGGAACGGCCCGCGTGACTTTAATAACAGAAAATCTGTCAGATGATTGGAGGGCTGCTGCCAAGCCCCGTCACACCGCGTTCCCGGCCATCGTCATTCCATCCCCATAGCCGTCCTCGGCGATCGAAGACCAGCATTCGAGCCTCATCCTCATTCATTGACCTTCCCTGACCTCCTTAAACTGGTGGGGGATCGGTCCTGTCAACCCTCCGAGTGTCGCTGTCTTGCTAATTGTGCGCTTCATGCGCTGTACTGAGAACTATCGAATCCGAAATCATGGAGCTGTCACGGCAGGAGTACCCTGCATTGCTGGTAGGAATGGACCCCTCGGAAAGCCTCCAGCGACCGTTACGAGCGATACCATACTGACCAAATGTGCTCTTGTCTCAATCTAGGCCACTTTACAGCCCGGACAAGCCACAACCGTCCTCAATGAGCGCATCCGAGTCATCAACAAGATCCATGCGGATATTGCCGACTTCCTCCAGGTACGATGACCTGTCCTTCATGACCCGTCACGCTCCGGATATCACATTCTCTGGAATCGCGGGGTATAATTGTTGACTTGGAGATAGGAACGACGTCGCTTGGAAGAGGTCTATGCCCAGAGCTTGCGGAAGCTGGCGCATCGCCCGCAATTAGACAATGGCGCGGCACTTGGGTAAGTGAGCTGACACTGGGGTGGTCTCAGACTCTGATTCAACCCCGGCTAAGAGAGAGAAGAGATTTATTCTAACCAACGGCACAGTATCTTCCAAATTCCCTGGCAGCGCATCATTAACGCCACGGAAGCATTGGCCGTTTCGCACGAGACTCTTGCGACCAAGATTGAGGAGGATGTTGAACGACCCCTGAGAGAATACAGCAACAAGAACCGCGACATGCAGTCAATGCCAGGCATTCAGAGCAACCTAGCCAGTCTAGCCAAAAATGTCGAGGCTGCGCAGAAGAAAGTGGAAAAAGCCAAGGGAAAGGGCACCAAGGGCGCAAGCAACCTAGCCAGCGCAATTGCCTCTGCCGACGAAATGAACCAGCAATGGGAGTCGCGTGCCCCCTTCGTCTTTGAACAGCTCCAGGCAGCTGACGAAGGTCGCCTTAACCACCTCCGGGACGTTCTGACTCAATTGGAGACGCACGAAGTGGATCAGGTTGAGCGCGGCCGGCAAGCCGCTGAAAGCTGTTTGAATGTTCTTCTCAATGTGGAGACCGCGGATGAAATCAAGACTTTTGCTGCTAAAATGGCAGGTAACCGAATCCCACTATCGCCAGTGACATCGCGGCGACAAGCTTCCCAGTCCGACATTGCACCACCTCCAGCGGCTACACCTCCCCAAGCGGATGCGCCGCTTGCTCCTCCCCCGCCTATTCAAGATGATGCAGCTAGCCAGAGATCCCAGCGATCAGAAACTCCTGCTCCACTGCCAGCGCCGAGCGTTGTCCAAACACCACCTGGTAAGTCCGTTAATTTGGTCGAGGTGGTTGACTCAGGTGAAATCTAACAAGTTTCTGTGCTACTGAAGCACCGGAGCCCGTGCCACGGCACACTCCGCTAGGAGGACTGAGGCGACTAGGTACTGTCATGAATCGCCGTAAGAGTGTTGTTGGACCGACCGCTGGTAGCTTTGACCGAAAGCCAGAGAAGAAACACCGCAGTCCGTTCTCATCTTTTATGAGATCAGAGTCTTCACGAGAGATGCAGATCCCCGAGTCGCCTCCCTCGACTGCAGACCGCCCGGGAACATCTTTGACTGAAGGATCATCCACACGGAACCCAAGTGTGTCACAAGATCACAATGTCGCTGAGACAATAGCCCCGCTACCAATTCCTCAGCCGGAGAATGCCACTGCGAATGGGACTTCGACAGAGGCTCGATCGGGATTTACTAGCAATGGCGTTGGTCAGGTATGCACATGTTTTCAATCACCATTGGAACCCGTTAGAATGATTCTCTGACCTTTCACTAGCCGCATGTCGATTCAGAAGGTTTCACCGAGCGTCCGTCTACTGTGGATGAAATTACGCGCGCCCAAAGAGAGGCGTCTGGGTACGTAGTCTCAGTCATCAATCATTCCACGCTCATACACTAACCAGAGATATGCTATAGGTTGGAGGAGTCAGCAATGAACTTGACGATTCGAGACCAGCCTATCTTTGAGGATGAGAGTCAGGCAAAACAGGCCATGGATGACATGGCAAACACTCTTCGAATGGTAAGTCTATTTGAATGTTATTGTACTTTTGAAATATTCCACATGACTCACACAAAATACCGACAGCGTGCTCAACAGACAGGTATTAGGCGGAATGCAGGCACTATTCGCGGTCGTCGTGATGTTCGAAACACCGTCTTCGTGCCAAATCCGAGCACTGATCCAACGGTCACTCAAGCGGCATCTGATTTGTATGCCCCGTCTTCACCTGTGAGACATGTCGCCTCTCCTAGTAATGCCACAGAGGACCATGCAATGTCAGACACAACCTCTGTTCGCTCAGGACACACGATGCATGGCCATGGGCCAAGTACTCACCCTGAGCTCCACGAGCCGGGGCTGAATGCCTCTATCATCGAGACAGTCAATGCCTGGTTCGCAGAGGGCAGCGTCACTAAGTCTTTCGTGGTGGGAGAGCTGGCTCTGGCACATAATGCCACCGCAGGCGTTGTCGTTGATTCGGAGCGCATTCGTCTCGACAACTTCCCTGTCCTAGAAAAAGTCGCTGCCAACCCACACTTTGTCCAAGAAGCCAACAAAGAAGGCGCGGACGAAAAGCGTGGCGAGTACAATGTCCAATTGAATAACATCTCGCGAGCTCTGCCGACAGTTGCTTTCAAATACCAAATTCACCTAGACCAGACAAATCCTTCTGCTTACTGCCCAGTTCTTTTCAAGCCCGTCTGGAATTTGCAAGAAAGTCAAGCCAGCGCCATCATTTTCTACTCTCTGAACCCCGTCTTTGTCTCCCAGCCTGCCACCTCCATCACCCTCAAAAATGTTGTCCTCACTGTCGGTCTTGACACGGCTGCCGAGGATGAGGCCACAAAGCAGCCGCGCGACTCAGTCGCGCACGCTGTCAATGCCGTCATGTACCCCAACACCGGTGCCACTTTCCGCCGCAAGACGTCCACTGTCACCTGGAAGATTCCCGAGTTGGAAATCAAGGCCGCCGGGGCTGGTGGAGAGGAAGGTAGGTTTCTTGTGCGTTTCGCAACGTCCACTCCTGGGCCGCGCAAGGGCAATGTCGAAGCGAAGTTTGAGCTTCACACCACCGAAACAGGCGCGCGACTGGGCATCAGCCGCGCCGTGCCAGACGCTCAGCAGAAGGAAATTGACCCCTTCGCTGATGATGGCTCCCCTCGTAACGCGCGGACTGCTTCTGTCTCATGGCTAGAGGTTCCAGTCGCGCGCAAATTGGTCGGTGGTAAGTATATCTCTGCTTAAAATGAGGTCGTGCATGCTATGGCAGTCTTGTTGGTATATGTAATTTGTCTACGAAGATTTTTTGTGTTTTCGGCATTGTCCATCTATCTCCTGGTAGATGAAGGCAGATGACAAGCAGAAAGAGGAGGAAAATCCTGAAACTGGTTGTGTTAGTCTCCTCTTACCCTCTTTTTGATCCCCCGAGTTTTCTCCTGCAAATAGCGTTTTCTTTTCTGTTGTGGCTTTGGATTCTAGCTAGGCATTCAGACCCGCGTATTTATGTGACTTCAGTGCTGTCCGCTCATTGATCCCTCTCGTGTTCATAATGCGGCTTCATATATTTGTTCTACACATAGCATGCACTACTCAATTGTAAGAGTGATTTGTATTGATTTCAATATAGACGTGGGTTTAGAGAGCATGATGGCACACAATACTTCATATTGGTTACATATACATACAGCGGCAAGTTCATTAACGCATAACATAGCACCGAAGACCAACGTGCCGGGGAATCATATTTGAGAAAACTTGAGTAAAGGGGCGAGAAAGAATATACGACATAAATATCTCTATATCCTGGCCGCTCGGGTAGTCTTATCATAGAAGTCCAGCGTCATAGCTGCCAGAAAACAGGGAATATCTTTCCTCTCTTCAACCCAAAACTTGATCAGAGGCTTGATTTCAAGGGCAAAGAGACTGTTTGGCCCACCCAAAATCTTCATTGTGCCGTTTTCACCATCGAACACAATCGAGTTCTCCTCTCCGTCGCCCATGCTACCCGGTCCGCGAGCGTCGGAGGGCGCATCGCTGTCGCCATGACGGTAGGCGGCTGAGAGATGGAACATCGAAGTGACACGAACACGACCATTAGGGAGGAAGTCGAGCTTATAGCCTAAGAGAGAGGCAACAGCCTCCCGGAACTCGGATGATTTAGCCGTCCAGATCTCCTTAAGCCGGCGCATGCGCTTCTCCTTGTCTGCAACGACGCGTTCCATATCCTGCATGTCGAGTTTCAGGCTATCAAGAGTGCTGATGGGGACAACTTTGACACCAGAATGTTCCCCACGAAGCTGGGCTAGCAGAGCCTGGTTCTCTGAGCGGAGAGTTGTCAGGGTAGCCATTTTAATCTTTTCCGTTTCAGCGGTTGGGTTGTCTCGCAGCTCGAGGACGCGGACCCGAGATTTGGATTGCAAAGACTTCAATTGAGATTTAGCAGCCTCGAGTTCTCGACGAGCAAGAGTTTTGGCCTCTTCGGATTTGGAGAGGGATTCCTGAAGCTTGCGGTTCTTCCGTGTCAGAACAGCAAGACGCTCACTCTCAGCATCGCTATCAGCCGGCGAAAGGGGGCGTTTGGTTCCTCTAGCTTGTGTTTCCTCCGGCTGCAGCGCTTCACGCTTAGAAAGCTCTTCATGGGCATTTTTAAGGTCACCGCGATATTCATCCACAAGCTTTTCCAACTGTGCGATTTGTTGGGACTTTTGCTCGTCATAGTTGCTTTGATCTGCGTTCATCGTTTCCTCTTCGGCGTCAAACGTCTTGAGCTGTGCACGTAGATACTCAACTTCTTTGATGGCGAGGGCACGCTGTCGCTCTAACCGGGCGCGGGCCCGAGTCTCCGCCACAGCGGAAGCCGATCCTCCAGCCAAAATGCTTCCTGTGGCACGAAGCTTTTCCAATTCTTGGCGAAGTTGTGTTTTCTCTTTTTCCAAGATGTTGATCGCCTCGTCTTTTTCCAGGAATTGCGCTTCAACTGTGCCTATCCGATCAACGAGTGTGGCTTTTTCAATACGTTCCTGAACCAGCGCCCTCACCACCGCTTCTGGGGAATCGAACTCTGTGGGCTGGTCATTTTCCTGTAACATGCTGGTCCATGACTGTCGCTCGTCTTCTAGGGCCTGTTTTTGAATTCGTAAGGTGTCAAGCTCGGCCTCAAATCCCTTCATAAACTGCAGCTGATTCTCAAGCGATCTCTTCTGCTCCTCGACTACCTCAACGTTCTTTTGGATCTTTCGTAGGTGCCGCAACTCCACTGTTTGGTCTCTGTTGGCTGTTTCCAGCTCACGGATGTGGCTGACCTGCTCTGACAGCTCCCGCTTTAGAACGGCCAAAGCTTCAACGTCATTACCTTCGGCTTTGAGTTGAATGTTTTGGGACTCGAGATCGGCGACTTCGGCTTCCCGTTGTGATAGCTTTTCTTGAGTGGTTTGTTGGGAGTTGCGCGCCTCTTGTATATCACTTTGGAGTTCCTCGATTGTCTTTTGTAGGGAAGCGCGGACAGTTTCAAGCTCATTGATTTGGTATTTGGACCGACGTTCCTGATCCGAGAGCTGGGCCTGTGCGTCGTTATATTCTTCCTGGAGGTTTTGTTTTTCATCTTGCAAGCTCCGCAGTTTGCGCTCCAGCTCTACTTTCTCATTGAGCGCTTGGTCTTGTGCTTCCTTCAACTCCTTCGCCAGCCCCTCGCTCTTGTGGGTAGCCCTATGACTTGCAGACTCGGCGGCCTATTACAGAATTTAATCAGTACACGTCATCTGCAAGGTCAATCTCAATGGACGTTCTCGAATGACACTAACCTGGGCCTTTCGGAAATCCGCATCGGCCTTGAGCTGCAGATCCCTAGTCTCTTTTTCATGGCGAAGGGCCTCAAGAGCGCGCTCTTGCTTGATGTTCTCTAGCTCGTACTTGAGTGTGCTAACTTGTACCCGCAATTCATCCTTTTCCGCATCTGAGCTTCCTTGTCAGCTACCTTCTGCATCTGTGTTCATTGAAAGATATTAATGGGGAAAGTGAATCTGACCATGAGCTGGCTGCGGTGACCGTTGGTGTTGAACAGATTGGAGGAAGGACTGTGAGCTAGTATGTGCAGCAGCTGGTGTTGAGGGCGACGCAAACCCGGCAATCAACTGGGATGCCGGGCGCGTTGTCTGGCTGGTGTCCATGGTGTTTTCTTGAAAGAGACAGGTTAGCTCCACCATTCCGACCAGACGCGGAGCTCATGAGCTTTAACACTCACCCACGTTGACTGAACCAGATGCCCACGGCACCTCTAATTTCTGTTTAAACCTGGACAAGGAACTGCGCGGTCGCATGAAGGCTCCGTCCGAGCCCCAGAGGACCGCGAATGTTTGGGTCTTAGTCAGCAACCCAGAGATGCTGCATTGGGACTAGTGTCAAAATTTTAAGAAATTATTTCGAGGCGGATTTCTCTTTGCACACATCCGTCATTCATCCCACCCACTCTCACTCGCCCCCGTCTCTCACTCGAATCCGACATCATGGGCAAGGACAAGGTTGAGAAGGACAAGAAGCGCGCTGAGAAGAAGGAGAAGCGTGCTGAGAAGGACGGTGTGCACAAGGCCAAGAAGGAAAAGAAGGACAAGAAGGACAAGACCGTTCTCGCCGATGCGGTAGAGAAGGAGATCAACTCTCAGGTCCAGGAGACCTTGGAGCAGGCTGCTTCCGCTGGTGCCGTTGACGCTGATGTCGATGTTATGGCCGTGGACCGCCCCGTTGGTGCCGTCGTACCTTTTGCCAACCCATTGGTCGAGGACAAGCAGGCCAAGAAGGTGCTCAAGAGCGTCAAGAAGGGTAAGTTGAAGCTATGCTTTCGCCGAAATGATATTATCCCATATACCCTATTTTAGCTTTCACTCAATTGAGCTATGGGGGTTTGGTCTGCTGTCTCTGGCGTATCAATTACCCTGGCGCATCCTATACCTACCGCAAATTTTCCGGATTTCGGATCGCTAATACTTTGCCCTCTATAGCTGCCGTCAACAAGTCTCTCAAGCGTGGTGTCAAGGAGGTTGTCAAGGCCCTTCGGAAATCCACCATCCCTGCTCCCAACGCTAAGATTGAGATCCCCTCGGGCGTCGTCATCCTCGCCGCGGACATCTCCCCCATGGATGTCATCTCCCACATTCCCGTTCTGTGCGAGGACCACGGTATTCCTTACGTCTTCGTCACTTCTCGCGCCGAACTCGGTGCCTCTGCTGCCACCAAGCGCCCTACCAGTGTTGTCATGGTGACCCCCAAGTCCTCCGGCAAGAACAAGAAGCTTGACGAGGGTGCCGATGGCGAGGACTTCAGCAAGGTGTTCGAGGAGCTGGCCAAGCTGGCTGAGAAGGAGGCTAAGAAGCTGGTTGTTTAAGACCGCCCGGGCCGTTCCATTTTAATGCTTGCTTCTTTCCCACGTTCCTGGTTGCTGGTGGGTGCTCTTGTACAGGTTTTTGTTCTTGTCTGATAAGACCGTGCATGTCTTTGGGGGTCTGGCCTATGGGTTTCTTTTTTCTTTATCTTATTTCCATCTTTGCTATACTGCAGTTCGGCGTTTTCTTGACGGTGTATGAAAAAAGCCAGGAAGAATTTCAATGAGAAATCACCTCATATTCATGCATGTATTCCTCGTTCTTTTGCCCGTAGCCCAAGTGGACCTTCCATGCGACTTGGATTCACACATGGGCAATCTTCTGCAGCCACAGTCCATGCCTATAATCTTTAAGTCTACCTCTATTTGGGTGCCATTAGATTCTAGTAACTACCTCTTCATTCTGACGGGCACAACAATGATCAATCGTGCAAGGGAGATGCCATTGAATAGTACAAGACGATCTAGACAACTACTGTCGCTCAACGACTGAAGACTAGGAAATGTTACACGCAACTCTTACTTCCTAAACGAACAGAACAACTCATTAATCATTATTCAGTGACTGCATTTTACGGTGCTGCGGGAAGACACAATCACCTCCAACTCTTTCGTGATCGGCGGCCAGCTCTCGGACATCTTGGTTTGGGTATCTGTGGTACAAATAGTGCCCGAGTCTAGACGCCTGGCCTTACTTCGGACCCGAACTATCGGCTCAAGTGGCGTTGTCATTCCTCGGCGATCAATCTGATCGATCCTGAATTATCTGAAAAAGTCGAACAAGGGGGAGGAAATGGCATACCGCGGGCAAGGCTCATCTTCAGCACACCAATGAAAAAAACCCAGAGATCAGTGGTATCGACTGTGTTCTCCGGATCTGTGTCTCCCAGAATGAAGGTCTCATTCCCCCTCCTGACACTGCTGTCTAGTAGGTCGCACGCGGCATCTTTCAAAGTCCGAAGTAACAATTCTAAAGGCCCTTGCGGGTTGTTTCTCACATCCCTGTCGTTGGGCCCTGCCTGCCGAATCGTAATAAAAGGAAGGCTTTTCGCTCTCTCTTTTACAGGCGGGCGCATCTGTTGCTCTTGATTTCTACCTGCAGCAACCTCTCGGCACCGATCATGCATCTGTGCTGAATTGCTTACTTACTCATGAATAACATTTCACCTGGACATTTGAGGCTCAATAAATCAATACGATGCAAAGGCCACTCCTACTTCATTGGACGCTCGTCTCTCTTGTCCTGGTGTTTGTACGACCAGTCAGGCCCCAACCTATCCGATCGCTACAATGGATCAAGGCAGGTCAATTCATTGTTCCCCAATCCCACGGGATGTGGAAGATCTTAGAAGTCAGTAACCCGAAGACTCGATTGCCGCAGGTGGGATGTATCTTCAGTATCTCCACGCCTGTCACATTGCTTAACTCGATCTATGAGGGACCCTGAGTTGACCGAGTTTGCACACAGGCACAGAAGCAAATAGAGAGTGATCATGGTAACATCGCCATGGAACGGCATTATAAACAAGAATTGCCCTCGGAAAAAATGCTTGTATCAGTCTTAGTGCCAGTCTCGCCAGCCTCGAGTCAAGGTGACCAGGACGAATATGAAAATTCGCAAGACCAAGGATCCTTCGACACTGATGTGGATTCGAGGTCTTCCCATCGAAATAACCATTACGGAGAGATTCTGCGACATTCACAATCAGAGTCGACTCAGTATAACAGCCAAGGATCCGAACCTGAACTCTATACGACTCCCATGTTGAAACTACCGCCTGGTCACCACATTTCATTCCTTTCTTACCGAATTTCATTTCCATTTTTGAAATCTGCTCCTATAGCTCTTCCACAATATCCCCTTCCAGGGAATCTGATGACAGTGATGGTTCTCCTCGCTTTGGTCTGGATCGCGATCTTGACGATCGCGCTGGTCGAATTTGGAAATTATCTATGGAAGCGGAGAAGGGCAGCCATGCTTGCGATTGAAAGTGATAAAATCGCCAACCAACGTCATATCTCTAACCCATTGGGCGAGACCGCAAAGACTCGTTTGCTGATAATACCTGTTTCTGAGCATGTAAGGCTTCAGACTAGAGTCGGGCACGACGACACGGTATTCTTGTCCACCAACCCCGAGTTGGACTCAGAATCTGACACGGAATCGGAAGTGGACGAATCCTGAATATTTGATGTTACTTTTTACTTTGCTTCTGTATCTTGGAACTCCCAAATCAAATTCCAATTGTCATGACACATTTACATGAAAATAGCGGAAGGTCAACTTATTGTGGAGGAGATTTTCCGCAGTTATGTGTGTTTTTTTTTTGCTACTGAGAAACTTAAAAGGACCTATAATACATGCAGGAGACATCTTAGTACATTTCCTCGTGCGTCGTAAACTCGGCTAGAATTTGAGAGCACCATAACTATTGAAAAATGCTTTGCTTAATACATCATATGTAACGCCCTATTTCCGAGCCATTTCTATACGCGTTGGTCCCGCTCCAGAGCCTGGTACATCGTCTGGTTGTCAACGCCCTTCTGTCGGGGGCCACCGACATCTGGGCCGCTTTCAGCGACAGTACGCTGGAACTTCTGCTCGGCAGCACGACCAGGATCCTGCCCAGATCCGATCTGAGAGGTAAAACTCGTGTTCGTAGCCTCTGAGGAGTCGAATCCACCCTCTTTCAAGTTCTTTCCGTGCGGCTTCTGGCCTTGATAGCCATCGGTCACATCATTGATATAGGATGGGGCCTGACCAGCGTTATACTGACTGGCACCGCTGCCACTTGCAGTAGCCTGGCCCGCTAGTTTCTGTGAAGCGGGGTACTCGCCAGCGTGCAAACCCATCTGCTGCTTGGCAGCGGTTGAGCCGCCGGCGTAGCCAGACTGGGAAAGATGAGTACCAGGGAAGTCACCCTGGCCGCCCAGTGCCTCTGGATACTTCTCCTGTCGCTGGCGGGTCTCACGGGCGGCGCCGACAGGGGCAGATGGAAGCTTAGTCGCAGCAGAGGTGTCGGTGGTTCTTAGAGTAGAGTGGCCGCCGGAGACACCCATGGGTTCGGCGCCTCTGTTCTCGGAAAAGGCGCCTCCGCGACGGACAGACTCAGCCGCGAGGGAATCGTTGGTTACAGGTCCGGATGGTTCCTCAATTGGTTTTTGAGAGGCAAGAGGGTCGGTGGTGACTTTGGTGCTGCGGGGACCGGGAGGGATAGGAGTGCCTTGAAGATCCATGGTGCCTAAAGGTGATCTTTCGGTTTATCGAGCAAAAGAAGAAAAATCAAGTGATCTTTGTGAAAGAATTTTATATGCGAAGGAAATGGTGAGCACAGAGACAGATACTCAGTAAATTAAATTAAAACTGCGAAGAATAGATCTGAAGGCAGGCTAAATAGCAATGAATATAGGCGCTGATAACTCTTCGCGCTGCAAACAACGCGCTGAGATAGCATCGTCAGAGCGCTGATGTCATACTTACGATGTCCATCAGCTCCTATGAGAGTATTCCATGGTCTTCAACTTTCCCATCACATCAATCGGCTTCGATGAAAAGCAGTTGGTGGCGGACTGGAGAAATCGAAACAAGGGACAGTGGAGCCGTGCATGCTCAAAGACCCCTTATCCGCAGGTTCTGGAAGGAGAACTTGTCGTCAGGGAGGTCTCGGTCTCCACATGATTTACCAGTCATAGATCCTTGAAGTCATCGATTCCGGACATGCGACTGACATAAAACTGGGCAGATGGCGAGAACAGGGCCATTTGACGTCAGGCCGAACCTGCGCTGGATCTCCCATATCTCGACAAACAGTGCAAACAGTTATAGTTCCCGATGTGGAAACTTCAGAGATCATGAAGAACCAGATACTCAATACTCCATTATGCATACAATGAAAATCGAAGATACTTATCACATTGACTGAAACTCCGGGACTTCATCAATATCCTGCATTCTCTGGTGGTAACTTTGAGATGGTAGTATCCAAGGCAGGTCCGCATCTCGTCTGATCAAGTATTGGTGGAACTATTATTGGTGTTCGAATCCGAACCTACCCATAAACTGGAGATTCGAGAATACACTTTTTCTCTACTGGGGAGTTTATACTATACTTTGATCCCAGGTTGCCTTTATGTATGAATTAAGGCATGATTTTGACCATAATTCACTATCTCAGCAGCTTATTATTGAGCCTCAAAAGCACCTATGATACACAATTGAATTCGTTCTCCACATTAAAGTCGTTTTAGTGTGTCGTAGCATCCGAGGGAAGATGGTCCAGACCTTCAACCCCTTGGCGACCAACGTTCTTGCCTGGTGCAGTGGGTCGATGCAATTCAGCCCCGTCAATACGAACACTGCTTCCTGCCGTCGCTGGTCCACGGAGACCAGTGTCCATTTCGGCATTTATCGGACCATCTACACCACCGGAACCGACGTTGACAGTTCTCTGATCAAGGGAGTTCCAGTCACTGGCCACTGGTGGCTGATTGGGCAAAGGAAGGTTGGCCTTTGTTTCATCGATTTGCTTGGTCTTATCTGTATTCTGGTCGATTATAGACTATTATATTCATAAGCTCATGTTAATTATGCGTTGTTTGATCGAAAGCTCACCTTCATGATAGAAACGTCTGAATCGGCAGGGTTTGATCCGCCGTGCTGCTGAGCGGCTCGAGATTCTGCTTTACGCAGATCCTGACGAGTGGCATGAAAGGTCTGTTCGGACATGTTTAAAGTGTGGAATGGTTTGCAATAAAATAACAATTTATCGATGCTGAAACTCATTGAAGGGTTATATGTTATTGGAACAGACTGCAGCAAAGGACTTATAGATCTCGCTGTTTGCACTGGCTGTGGCGTGTCTGCCTTGGAATGACGACATAACGGCAACCAGCCCAGAACTTGCTGTACCATACCATTCTTATTCTGCTGGAACCAAGTGGACAAACATGACTTCATACCCGGAATCAAAGGCAGTGGGATGGTGGAGTCTATTGTTGGTTTCATGAACTGGCTCTTTTCCAAGAGTTTGCGTCATGAGACTCGCTGATTGGTTGGCAACTCATCCGCATTGTGGAGATATCGGAAGGGTCGCATGTCCCTGATCGACATGCCAACCACCATTACGGAGTATTGAGCTTGTATGCCTTTTGCCCAGGCTCCTTTCAACTGAGTGCTTTAATAGCAGATGTCATTTCTGCGGAATAGTCTTGCTGGCTACAAAAGTGGAGTCTTATTCGTAACTTTGATATCATTGAGGTGATCGTTATTGCGATCGATACCCGATATAGCAGACTGTGGATATTTTCTGCTCATGGTATCACTAGGCACCTCTATAGAATTCCCTGAGAGATTACAGTATGTTCCCAATAAGGCATTATTGAAGCCCAGGCTATGCATAATAATTACGTTTAGGGTGTTGGCCCTGGTAAATAGAGTTAGACGTTGCAACATCCAGGTCCCTCTACGAATGATAGTTCCCAGCCTAGAGATCGGTTAATGTCATAGTCATGTCTTTTGGGGCATCGTTTCAACCCCATCATACCATCAACCTTGAAGAGCCGACCATTGTGCTCACACACTCCTAATTATTTCCTTCCGTATCTCGTTCTAACAATAGACAGCCCTTGTCATAAGACAATAGGCCTCCGCATAAAACCAACACTCTATGTAACGACTTTTGACCCCCATTCCGCTCCCCGCTCGCCACTTTCCTTACAAGCTCTAACGGAGACTAAGGCCTTAAGATCAAAGGCTTTACCTGTAACTTACGTCGACGAGGATCGGCACTATCGCTGAGAAGCAGCTGGACCCCTCTAATACTCTCTTTCATATATTTTCACCTTTATCTTCCTTGGGTTTATAGTAGAGCAGTCGGCCGAGGCCACGACGGCGATTAGGCCTATGATCCATTCTGTCTAGATCAGCACTGGCGAGTAGGGCGACATTCATGTTCGACTATTTCAAAGCGACAGGTCAGTAGAGATCGATTCCTAGAATATATGTAGGCAGGACTCGTAAGCCCAAGCATATTTTTGGCTGTATTATTCTCATTTCAAGCTTGCAGTTGCTGCTGGTCTGGGAATAAAAAGGAAATATATTGACACATGTAGCTTGCTTTCTTAGAGGTTTAGCCGGAATTATATACGGTCAGTCCATTGGACCTATCTTTTGCCGTAAGCATTTATTTTTCAAGTGTAGGGTTTATTCCATGCCACCTTCTCATATGTATGCGACCAGGTGATCACTAGTCATACCAAGCACCCTCGGGAGGATTCATTCTCACCAGTTGGAGATATTCCACCTCAAACAAACACCGCCTGCTCTATCGGGCGGGCAGAAAATGTTTCTTATCGCTCTCGGCGAATGTCTGGAGCAAAAGCAGAGCGTGTCGTACCTCCTCATAGCTTTTGCTCTCATAGCAATTCCCATTTTTTAAGATGCCCCGCGATCCATTGATTGGGCTGGTGGGCAAGGTCTGTCTCCCCTCTCTTCCGTCTTCTCTGTTGCGATCTCTGGGACCCCGCTGACCATATGAGGGGCACACAGCCATCAAGTGGGAAATCCACAACCCTGAACAGTTTGACTGATGCAACATCCAAAGTCGGTAGGTATATTTCAATTGCTCAATGTCTAATTTAAACATGGACTGACGCCAATTGTGCACAATAGGCAACTTCCCGTACGTGGCTGACAGTCCATCGCTTGCGACAAGTGCACGCCCGCCTTATCGATGTCCTCCGCTAACAGTAGACGCGCAACAGTTTCACTACAATTGATCCGCAACGAGCTATCGGATACCTGCAGATTGAATGCGCTTGTCAACGACAAGGTGTTTCAGATCGATGCCGACCAAACTACGGTGGCTGCCATGAGGGACGCCGGTCGGTTCCTATCGAGCTGTTAGACGTGGCAGGCCTTGTTCCGGGAGCACATCAAGGTCGTGGATTAGGAAATAAATTCTTGGACGACCTGCGCCATGCCGATGCTTTGATTCATGTCGTTGATGTAAGTGGGACCACGGATGCAGAGGGCAAAGCTACTCGGGGATATGACCCTTCAGTCGATATTGAATGGCTACGGTCGGAAATTGTTCGCTGGGTCCTGGGAAACTTGATGGAGAAATGGTAGGGAACAAAAGCCTTCATATTTATTGGTGGCATACTAATCGTTCAATAATAGGGGGTCAATTAAACGGAGACATGTTGCAACGAGTTAGTTCATGATCGACTTTCACATCATACCTAATATGCCAACCGTTAACATCAACCGCAGAGGCGAATCCTGTCGACACATTACAGGGGCAGTTTTCCGGATATGGAAGTACTTCTTCCGTCGTTGCACGGTGTTTGGACCGTCTGAACATGAAAGAGCCGCTTGAGGAATGGTCAGATGAAACGATCGAAACTGTCGTCAGAACTTTCATTGACGAGAAATTCCCAACGGTATTCGCTCTGAACAAGATCGATCATCCCGATGCGGACAAGGTAAGTTGGCTGTGCCTATCAAAAGTAGGGATGATTCTAACCAACCGGCGCAGAATATCAGCAAAATCGCCAAAATGCAAGATCCGAAATCCATCGTGCTTTGCTCGGCCATATCGGAAGTCTTTCTTCGACGGTTAACGAAACAAGGATATATCAAGTATGTGGAGGGCAGTGAGTTCTTGGATACACGAGAAGATCTGATCGACATGGGTGAGCCGGATGGTGGAGGTCTCAAAGAAATGGATGAAAAACTGAAGACGTAAGTTGATAACAGCGAAGACAAGTATTGATTCTTTCTCTCATAATTTTATATCGGAGCAGTCGCGTTGAGAACTTGAAAGATATGGTGCTATACCGGTTTGGATCTACTGGTGTTGTGCAGTGCCTTTCACGGGCCGCAGAGCTGCTAGGACTCGTGCCGGTTTTTCCAGTGAGGAATGTTCAGACCTTCGGCTCTGGAGCAGGCAATGCTGTGTTTCGCGATTGCGTTCTGGTCAAGAAGTAAGTAATGCTGTTATCGAGGATTACCACACTACCGTCTAACTTGAAGTAGAAATAGCACAGTGGGTGATGTGGCACGGAAAGTGATGGGCGACGTGCCCATTTCCTACATCGAGGGAATCGGTGGCACTAGAGTCTCTGAAGATGACATTGTTTCGGTGGGAAAACATGATGTGAGTTCCTTTTTTACATTCCATCTTTGCACCGGATGTTAACCATCGCCCCTCGACAGATTCTTTCATTCAAAGTCGGCCGATAGCCCATAGTCAACCCATCTGTGTACAGTCCAAAAATGGAATACCCGTCTCGTAATGGGAACACTAAGCAATGATGCGATACGAAAGTGCACACATTTTCAATGAGTAGAATCAGGACTGAGGATATGAATGGTAAACAGCATGGAAATTTTTGTGAGCAACTAGTTGCCTTTCTGTAGAGCGATATTGAATCAGCTTTGCGGGTCTAGAACATAGAAGCCAGCCAAGGCCCGAAGATCCTACCTGCCCTCGTTCATCATTCATCCCAATAATCGGCTCAGGTGCCTTCGGATGTTCTCTCTTCGCCTTTTCGCCATGTTTGCGACCGCCTCGTTCTGTTGTCCCTTGCGACTTCGAGTCATCTGCAACCCCTTCATTCACCTCTCTTTCCTTCATACCTGCTGCTGTTGCTGCCGCTGACGGGTCTGTCGCGTCTCCTGCCTTGGCCCGCTTGATGGTACTTTCCTCGGGCTGTGTTCCTTTCCAGTCTTTTGGAAGAGAGTAGACTCGGCTACTACTGGCGATATATGTAACCGGCTGCAACCCTACTCGGACTGTGGCCCTTGGTGAGCATGAAGTGAAATGACTTAGTTTCGAAACCACTCCTGGCATGGTAGAAAATAATTAGAGTACAGTTAGAGTATAATCTCTCAAATAATCTGCGAGATTGTCAGTCCTCATCAATTTTATTATGTGAATAATTTAATTAATCTTGAAATCTCATATTATGACGTCTCTATGCGTTAACCAAGAGCTTGCTACCTAAGGGTAGATACCGTGGTCGGAGACGAACTCTATTAGTCCTATGTTTCTTAGTCAAGTACAGGCTGGTATTTAGATAATATATCAAGATTCAGTACCGTCTTCAAAATATTCAGGATCCAACAAATGTGAAGCAAATTGCCTATCCTTCTCTCGCTATCCTCTGTCGTTGTCTACTACTCTTCAAGCTCAGGATCACGGACCAAAGTCGTTTTTGCGCAAATGTAGTTTTCTTTTTTTATTTACGTGATTTTTCCTAAGTTTAGATACTCTTTGATATACTTCAAGGAGGAATAGCAATGCAGATTAGCTGGCTTGTATAGCCTCGGCCTAACAGACAGACACCATTCAGGGTTCTCTCTCGACATGATACTACTGAATTGAAGATTGAAGAGAAGCCCGGCTTTCTTGCTAGGCTGGTGTGGTTCAGACCTCCAGCTCGTTGGCGGTAATGTTCAACCTAGAGCATGGGCTGGGCTCATGTTTTTAAAATCCCTATCACTAGAAACCCCTGAAAATTCTATCTAGAGGCAGGGACTAGCTAGCGGGTATAGCTAGGCTAGAGATCTTCAAAACAGGATAATCTTTTAGATTTCCACATTTACAAATGCAGAAAAATGCAAGAAATCCAATAATATGAGACATCTTCTATGTCTTTACCGCTATCATTGTTGTCGCGAAAATAGTCGATCTGTAGATCACCAAGGACAATACACGTCTAAGCTCCTTTCAAGTTTGATACACGAGCAGAAGCAATCGGTCTTGACAGCATATTTCAGGACAGAAAGATGATGGAAGTGTAGTCGCTGAAGTTCGTTTACGATTCCTTATTGTCGGCAGCCACCCAACCGCAGCCAGAAGATGGGAACCGTAGATGTTTCCAAATATAGATATTGACTGAGATGAAAAGCGTCTTGTAACTTCATTTCTAATTTTAAACCAACCGGACGCATTATTTAGCAACCATATGACAGGCTTCCATCTAAGCGCCGTTATGCCTGGGCTGTTGGCGTTACCAACAAGTCCGCACGAAGATTGCTTCTAGCCTTTATAGGTCATTCTTAACGCCGAGCACACATACATCCGGACTATATACCCATTCTAGAGATTAGAATCGTTCGAATACCTCTCCATTACGGCATTCAAAATAATATTTGTTGATCCTATTTGTTGAACAATAAGATCCATCTTTTCTACGACGATCTCTATTATTAGTATAGGTCTCTATGAAAAGACTGAATATAAAAAATGCAGTCCTGAGCCGTCTGATGAAGGGAAAATTGAAATTTACCAAATTTATATCTACATAGAGGAAACGTCATGGCAAGCTCTCCAAATCTGGGGCCCCAAGAGCCCATCAAGTTCAACTTCAGCTCTCCACTCATTGATCCCAATTTTAAACGCTTGCAACAGATGCATCGAGTCACCAGCGATGATCCCCCTGCGCGATATGAGATATACTTGCAGCCGGGAATTCCAGGAGCATTAGGGAAACTGTTATTTTACGCTAGCAAAGAGAACGAAGAGATCGCACTGCCCAAGGATCCAAATCCTATAAAGGAGAGCCAAGATCTTGAGAAGAAAACAGAAAATTTGAAAAGACATCTCAAAAAAAAGATATGGATAATAAAAAAAATAAAGAGATTCTGGGACACAAAGGGCAAAAGCCAGACGATGAATATAAGAAATTATTGGCTGACTTAGCGAAAACAGATAGACGAATTGGTGTATGCTCTTTTGATAATACGAAGAGCAAAAGATTCATCATCGAGGGAGCTTCACAGTGTCCAATCCTTATTGAAACCAAATTGAAGTCCATAACCGGCTCCGAAGTCAAAAGACGCATATTCATGAACTCATTTCAGTGGGAGATTCAAAAGGACTCTGAAGGGAACTTTCTCCTCTATATAGACGGGAATAGACGAGAATCTTTCAAATGGAGCAAGACCGGTATAGGCAAAAACTCTCTCGGTTTAAAGCTAATGAATCGCGAAATGGAACGTGTTTGCTGGAGTCATTTAGAGGGTTCTGGACAGCAACAAAAACAGCAGCAGCTATGTATGAAGCATGGACACACAAAAAAAGAGGAATTAATATTCATCATGAGCTTCTTCGCTCTACGCAACTATCTTGACTCTATGAGAGTGAAGGGGGCTGGATTTTTTGGCAGAAAGGGCTGGGGATCCTTGGAAAAGTGGAAATACGAACGATATAACATGGCGTCAAACATCAAAGACCCCATCGGTCGCACCCAGATTCAATTCCGACTTGTCTTGAAGGATTCACCATTAGATTTCGCGCATGAACAAATAATCTGTCAAGTTACGAAGGAGAAGCAAGTTCTCTACGACATAACTTGGGATCCCAAGGGCGGATTAAGGTTCGATAAGAAGCTTGTACCCAATAGTACAGCACAAGTTGGCGAGTGTTCATTCAACTCTGATACTATACGCTTCTTAGTGAATCCTTTATCATCTGGCTCGTCCTTTCCTGGGTTCGAGGAACTTTCTGGGGAAATAGAACGCAAGACCCAGAGAAAAATTACTACTTTCTCCGTATCGAAAGGCATAAGGAAACTAACTTGGGTCATGGATGAGAATTTTGAAAAGGAAATGAAGTTAAAAGAGACAGATACTCGTGGTGGGCAAAAAGAGCCCAGGAACACGGCAACTCTCAACCCAGCGGATGAGAAAATCGGAAGGTTTACTGTCTATCGGTTGGATCTCGACGATGGGTACGACAAAACAGAGCAACTGATTATTCTTATGGGTTTGATGGCTGCATATGTTACCCCGCTTCGTTTCAATAAGAAGCAGAATACCATTAGCTCTATGTTTGGCTACCTTTCCAAGCCGGGCATGAAAAAGGAACAAACAGAGAAAGTGCCGTATAAAAAACGGAAGTGGTATAACCGGCTTTGAGATAATTACTATGACGACTATGAATTATTCAATCAATCAGCTTCCTTCTTTCCCACTTTTTTTAATATGTTTTAAATACCTTGAATTCCGAAGAACTTTTACTCCTCGCTGATTTCACTTATCCACGCCAGTGAATCAAAGAGCCGGTAATGGCAATGTTTGCTAGATTCCCATTGACTCAATAAGACCGCGCTCATCGATATAAGGTTTGAGAATCTCTGATTATGAGAAATTCAGCATGGGAAAACTCATGAAACTCGAATATTCTTAATTTATAGAGTTTCAGTGGAATAAAAACATGGTCCGACTTGAGTTCTGAATGCGACTAAGCTGCCACACTACTTGAGAGACGCAGGTTGGGTTTCACCTAAGCGCCCACCGCAACCAGCTGACTAGTTGCTGTGTAGAATGATGCGTTGGGATATAAGCGCCACCCCAACAATAATCAATACAAGATACGCAGTTCCTATAACACTTTTTCCTACTTTGGTGAGATTTGTTGGTAATTATTCCCGAATTAAGGCCCATCATAGGATGATCGTGGTTATTTTTAGCAGCATCATCCGAGATAGACGGATATAAGAGACTGAGTGATCTGACTTGTCACGCCAGAAAAGCGATGCAAAAAGTAAAATCGCTAGCACAGTTCACCTTAGTCTTCTGGATTATTTTTCCGTTCCTACGATAGAAAGAAGACTACTGGTATCATGTGCCTTGGGCTACAGTCACAGGACACTGTCCTGCCAGAAGATATCTTTTCAATTCGGGAGTATTGGCATGATCCCGAAGACCCAGAAGTTGGACGTGTTCATACTATTCTGGACCAGAACAATAATCCTCTGTATGAGGTAACCTGGAATCCAGACAGCGGTTGCGACGGGAACTTGGAGTTCTTCAAGTGGGTAGATGGAAATCCGGTTCGAGCTGGTGATTGTTTTGTGTCTTGTTCATCAACAAAGCGCGAAAGTCAAGATGCTAAGCTATCTGCTAAGCGAAAATCAGTAGACCCGGCTGGCCATCCAGCCTCATCAAATAGTACCATAATCATCAGTTTCCCTGGGTTCACACAAACGCAAACAGATCTTCCCGGGTCCAAGCAGCCGATCAACATCCCTATACCCGAGAAGATGAAACATAATGAGTCCAGGCAAATCCTCAAGTACAAAGAGCCCGATACAACTACCTGGCAGCGTTTCAGCTTTACTCTCGAAATCGAAGGCGAGGAGCTACATTGGGTGGCATCTGGTCCATTGGGATGCATCCTGAAGCTCAAGGATTCTCGTGGAAAGACCATCTGCAAACCTAAAACTCAGGGTCACCAAATATCTATCAAGCCTCCATATGGTACATGGAATCGGCAACTAATAATAATGATGACCTACTTGGCTGTACGCAGATATATCAGGATGTGGAAAAAAAGAACACGAAACTACAAAATGAACGACTCGGCGCAAATCCCATGGGAAATCAGCAAAAAATACTACGAAACACACTTCGAAACATACAAAGACGTCTTTTACACATGCAAGGAAATTTCTTGATTGTTAATTCCACCATTTATGAATCATCCAACTTGTTCACTGTGCATGCCTCGCGCTTTTCCCAATCTCATTATTATTTTCAAAGTATAATCTACTAGATTGTGAGACTTTTCTCGTAAAAACTGCATTAGATCTTCGACATCTAAATACACTAATTGATATTGAAGGGGTCATTTATGGTCGTGTGTTGGAGCACGAACGATTTCGTAATAAGCGCTTTCCCTCCTCATATCGTCGACCGAGAGATAGCAATCATAAATGAGATAGATTTCTTGCCATTTCTAAAATTGACTTTGTAAATGAGGACAGAATGATGCTGAGATAGGTTCGTAAGTACTTCTACCGTCTACTTGCATTATTTATAACGCCTTCAAGTCCTTAATGTACAACAAGCTTGAGAGGGTGAAAAGTATAGTGCTCTTTGAAAAAGAACTCGTGCTCAATTTTGAGAAATCTTCGAGATATATCCAATTGTCAAAACCATCCACGTTCTGATGTGAAGATTGTTTTGCATTCGATAAGAAGGCAAATGAAGCAGCTCCTCTTCGAAGAGATGATCGAATTCAATCTAAACGAAATAGTCAGAACTTTATTTCTATCAAATGTTTGTGTCTTCATCTTTTGGATCGACTTCAATCCCCTGGTTTGATTGACCGGGTTTTGTGAGTTGGGATGAGTCGTTGCCTTATATCCGAGGCTACCAAGACTGCGCCGTATTCTGATCCAAGTGCGGCGACGTAGGTTCCCGCCATGCACAGCGTCTACACTTCGACATCCTGGTAACACAGAGAAACATCGAATTAAAAATATCATTTTCTCTCATCTAGGCAGTCCAGCTTATCTCAGTCTCTGCTTTGATCGCCTTGACCCAATATCAGCCCAATGAGGCGAGAATATCTCCCGCTGGGCTCCCTTCCAGCCTGGCTGCGGCTCAATGGTGTCACGACAAACGGAGTGGCCGTTCAGGGAATTGGCTCGCCCGGCAAAGAAACAGACAAAGGAAACTCGATTGTAGCAACCGACGTGAAAACCAGCAAGGAGAGCGATACATCGCCTGAGGTTCTCCTCCGAGTCCCCTCGGACCTAGTATTGTCATTGGATACCGTGCACGATCATTCCAAGTCCGACCGGCACTTACACGATGTATTGGAAGCAGTTGGCGACTTTGGCAGAGTATGGCCCCGCTCTGTGCATTCCCTTGATGAAATCACTGATTGGCGTTAGACGACGAGGGGCGCGATTATGATCTTTCTGCTGGTGCAATTGACACATTCCTGCCCGGACACACCCAAGTATATCGGAATCTCAAACCCCTGGACGGAGTACATCAAATTTCTGCCTCCATCAATTCCGCTGCCCACCTCCTTCTCTGCGGAGGAGCTGCAGCTTCTCAGAGGTACCTCGTTAGCTGCGGCGGTGGAAGCAAAAACAGGCTCGCTCGAGAGAGAATTTGAGCATCTCCGCCAGTCGACCGAAGGAGTTGCTTGGTGCCAGCAATGCTGGTGGGCGGAGGGGACAGAGATGTTGTCAATGGATGATTGGAAGTACATCGATGCTGCGTATCGGTCGCGTATGTTAGACGTGCCAGGCAGAGGTCTCGCGATGGTCCCCTGTATCGACATGGCCAATCATGGGGCTGGGTCGGATGCAAAGGCTCTATATGATACAGACGCGCAAGGTAATGTAGTTCTCCAGTTGCGCTGGGGTCAGAATTTGCAGCTTGGGGAAGAAGTGACTATCTCGTGAGTGCTCTTGCCTGGAGCCGGGAGCAGGATGCGTTTTCGAGTTCGAATGCACACTATCGCCATGGCTAACTAACACTATAATAGGTATGGGGATGAGAAGTCTGCGTCTGAGATGATTTTCTCCTACGGATTCCTGGAGAGCGACCGAACTGAGACAAACCAGGCGGTCTTGGACATGTCCCTCCCGGATGACGATCCTCTTGGGGTCGCCAAAAATATGTTCTGCCGAACTACGCCAGGAATTAGACTATCGACTGTCAATAACGAGACGAACCAAAGTATGGAGGCCTTGCCGAAATCATTACGCGTCACCTGGGAGAGTCCCCTCGCTTGGTGGGCGAGCGTCAATGAGGAAGATGGACTGCATATGGGTGTGACCGAAACAGTAGATGGAGCCAGAGAGCTGGAAGCCATCTGGAAGGGCGAAAAGATCCAATCGCCCCACCGACTCCAGGAGTTGCTTGCTGCAGATCCATTGTGGGATATCTTCCAGCTCCGGGCTGTGGTGCTGGTATCTCAACGCCTGGAAGCCCAGCTCGCTCTTCTCCACGAGATCGAGGGGGTATTGTCAGATCCATATGTGATTCAGGAGCTTCATGAGACAGTATGTCGGCCTGAGATCTTTAATTTGATTTCTCGGTTGCGGGAGCTTGAGAGCGAGTTGCTACAGAAGGCGATTGGAGGGCTCACGGAGCAGGTACGTGACGTGATGAAGTGCTTCCCTCGCAGCCGGTGTTGCTTGATATCTCGGGTGTTTCTTTAGTCTATAGAAACATCACTAATTGACTTTTACAGCGCGATCACTTATTAGAATCCAAAACGGTCTCAGCCTATCTTGCACAGCAATCCCACGAGGAGGAGGAGGAGGAGGAGGTGGCGGAGGACTTTTCGTGACGCAGTGATGGAAACCATGATAGCCGGAAAACAATAGAGTTGTTGACAATATACACAATATACACTTTTACAGAATGTATCTTACAGAATGTAAGATGATGCCAAACCTGGAGAGCCCCTCAGGGTGACCCTCTCCAGCCAGAAACTCCCCCTCTCCTCCCAAAAGAGCCATGGGTTGCGTCGGTCGATGCGGAGAAGCAACACTATTGACCGATAGCATCGGCGTCCGGGGGGGCCCTGTAGGGGGTGGAACGGCCCAATCATAGACGGAGCGCACGAATCATGACGTCGACCCTGACTCCATTTCTAGGGGTGGATGAAGGGTTTGGAGCAGAGATGTGCAGAGTTTGGGAGTCGATCGGCTGTGCAGCTCGCCTGACGCTGGCCGGATCCGTCGCCTGCCCCAGATGTGTTCATGACGGAAGGTCGATTCTCGGCCAAAACTCGCGGTGGAGAATCCGTCGAAATATGGGTCCCTCCCCTCTGGATCCGAGCAGCAAGAATTGTGTGGTCTGATGAACGCCCCATCGCGCTCGGCGATCTTACGACTCACGCTCATCGGCGGGCAGAGGTTGGGCCCCCGGGTCTGGGGGTCTTATCCCCGCGTTTCGATCTCCTCTTTGGCGTGAACGGGCGGAGCTGCGTCGCCACTTGCAGGGCGAGAGCTCTGTTCGGCATCAATTTCCGTCGGTATCAACTCGGGGGAGGTCGGCTGGATCTACGTGCCCGACCGCGATCTATGACGAATCGTCAAATGTAGGCCTCCCACGACAGAGGCGCGGGTGTCAAATATAAATAAGAGAGTTTCAAAAATGGGCTGGAATATCAGATGATCTCTGTACGAAACAATCTGCGAGGAAGTGGAGCTCCCCTTTCTGTTTCCCTGTGCTCACCTTTTGAAGTTGATAGAAAGCTAAGATGTCTGTGTATCCGTCCACCCGGTCGGTTGAGTCGTAAGTTTAGCTATTTTCCTCCGAGTATCGGAGTGGAAATGCGGGATTCCAAGGCGCGTGGGGTGATCATCCTTGCACGAGACGCTGTTGGACCCTGAGAGGGCAGGGTTCCTTCTCCCCCGTTCCTCTCCAGAAAACATGCCCCCCTTTTTTGAGCCCCCCGAGGCGGAGGCTATGATTCAACCCTGGTTCGTATGTTTGAGTCGCGTCCGATGGGGCCAACCAAGGGTAATCATTGCGGAGAATTCCAGGCTGGTGGTTCCCGGGTCCAACGAGTGGCGTTCAAACCAGTCTGACCCGGGGCACAGTCGTGAACAGAAAAAGTCCAACACAAAGGCGAGCCGGGGTGGGACCGGGGAGAACCTCGGAACCGGCGATGACTGTATCGTCATCACATCCGAAACTCCCGATCCCAGGGAATCCCTTAGCAATACGATCCAAGCATGTCTTCCACAGGTCAAGGGAATACGGGTGATCAGAGTGTTCGCAGAAGACGTCTCATTCGAAAACACGTGCGATAGATCCTCGGCATCTGGTCTGGCATCGTTCTGGATATCATAGGCAGGGGCAGTCGGCACATGAAAGTCAACAGCACCAACGGGGTCAGGCCAGCATGAACCACATGCACCTTGATAGACCACTATTTAGCGGGGCTTTTCTATCCTGGCCGCCGCCGCTTTTGTGAGGGCGCTCAGCCTCAGGCTCAGCGAGTAGTTGTCAGCACAGGCGCAGACTCGATGATCATATCAGTGTCATCTAAATTACAAGAGGACAAAATCGGCTCTCTAGAATATACGGAAGGTATCGAGATCGAGAAATAGTGTGAACACCTGATGAGATATTTCATTGATCCCTCAGAAGGGTTGCCAAGCTCTTTCATGCATTCTGATCTTGCTCTAACTGCGATAGATAGTGCCTTCATTCCCTTTTCCTTGCTCATGGTCAATCTTACGCCCCTGGCCTCGGTGGTGAGGTGTTACGGACTCTTCCCATGGGCCTGGTTCCTAATTGCTTACTCAAGACAAACGCAGTCATCATGGCCACGACTTCAAACTCGGCATTATTGACATGCACGTTCAAAAGCTCACAACCGTTTGCTCCCCATGGCTTGAATGCAGCGATTGGACCGTCCCCTAACCTGGCCATGTCTTTCAAATCCAAAATTCCGTCCACTACCGTAGATCCCCACTGATAAGTCTTCCGGTCAAAAACGAACATGCGATTTCGCATGGTAATCGTCTTTTGTGAGCCATCGGGAGATGTGTAGGTTAAGTGGATTTGAGTGGGATTTGTTGATGGCAGGATCTCGCAGGTATTGGCTTGATAGCCTCTGTTGTTCATATTTGAAAAGAGCATCAATGATCCCTCGTTCCTCACTTCGCCGATAGAGCGCTGTGCTTCGGACTCCTCACCACCACGGTATACCTTGCCGGATTTGTGATAAAAGAGTTTGAGGACCATATTGAGTACCTTTTTTAGGGAAATAGGAAGTGTCGAATGATGTAAGTTGACTTCTTGATCGTATTCTCACTCGAGGAGAGAGGATGAGGTGGTCTATAGGAACTCTTTCGCTGTGGCTTCGGACCCTTTTATAGATCATCCCTAGCGATTACTATACTTAGAATTAATCTCGTTTGGCAGAGAATTATGAATAGCTATGCAGATTTCTGATCCGCCACTGGGATACAACACAGGGCATACAGTAAAGGTAGTCCAAAAATAGATCGCAACTATATAGTAGTGAAACAAGTCGAGACACTGATAGTATATATTCGTTAAAGTCATATCTTAGGATGAGTCAAAGTGAGCGACACACACTCTCTCACAAGGCTCTTAACAGATATATTGACTATTGATAAGCGGTTAGAACTTAGTGCGGAGTGGTTGAAAAGAATTATAGGTACTGTGAGTTATTTTCGGCTATACGCCCACGGCTGTTGTGTTCGTGATGTTGGGAGGCTGTGGGCTTAATCCAACATAGAACATCACGGCAGTTATCCACTTCAAATACTGGATCCGCTGAAGCTTCGAAGGAGCTCATATAGTCTTTAATACCCCGCTGGATATCATGTAGCTGGCCACTTCTGTTCAGTGACTTGATCAGGTTGATCAGGGGCGTGCTCAATTATACTCAGTGATCAAAAAGCGGCGAGGGGCGAGTGCTAGACCAGAAAGGGAAGGCCAAGAGTTTATTCAGTATATATGCGAATCATAGTTCATATGCGACGTATGGATATTCGTAAATGCCCACTGGCCACAGGATAATTGTACATACAAGTAATCAAGTGTGCCGATACAGCCAAGACTAACGGAAATGTGGAGTCCGGGGACCTCGGGAGGATCGGCCGGTCCTTGAGTGCCGTATCGCCCAAAATCTGGGGGAAGGCCGGACCCAGTGCTGGAGCCTCAGGAAGCCACCGGATACCGCGGGGGAAGACGAGAACGGTGTCCTTCAAAAAAATCCCCCCTCTTTCTCAGAAAAAATGGAGCAGCAGCGACCGCGAGCAGAAGGGTTGAACATTCAGAAGTCGGAGTTGAAACCGAGGACATAATTTAACCTTTGCAGCCATAAGACCAAACATACCGATTACAGCACGATACGTGCCAGGAGCCGAATCCGCCAATTTTCATTGGTGGATGTGGTGGTCACCGGTCTCCACTCCGAAAACCGCCTGAGTCAGCAGACATTGGTGATCCCCTAGTCGTTCCTGTCTTCCCCCTCTTCTCGCTCTTGCAACGCTGTTCACGACTCGACTTCTCGAATTGACGATTAGGGTTGCAGGAACAGTGACCATATTCTTTCACATCCAGCAGAGTTTTCCAATCGGCCACCGCCCCTCCGACACCGCAAAGCCATATACGGCCAACATTCTTCCCACTCAACCGGTGCGGACGGTGTGCCCGCTTATCCCGCCAAAATGCCCGGTATCTTGCCAATGAAAGTGATCAAGGTTGGCGGTACTGGAACACAGAGTCGGATTGCCCAGGCCTGCGACCGATGCAGAAGCAAAAAGATTCGTTGCGATGGTGTCCGACCGTGCTGTACTCAATGCGCCAACGTCGGCTTCGAGTGCCGCACCAGCGATAAATTGAGCCGGAGGGCCTTTCCTCGCGGCTATACGGAGTCTCTGGAGGAGCGAGTGCGGGCCCTGGAGACGGAAGTCAAAGATTTGAAGAACCTGCTGGACGAGAAGGACGAAAAGATTGACGTTTTGTCCCGGATACATTCGTTCTCGCCGCCATCGCAACGGGCGGCATCAGTGCGATCTCCCTCGACAGCTGCTACGAGTAAATCGCCTGGGTCAGACGCAGGTGAGGGCGTGATTCATGTGGTGCGAGTTCCTACGCAACCCGTATCCCAAAGGTCTTCCGAGAACCCCTATGCGAGCTTCTCAAGCACACAAGGCTTTGCTGGTATGTGGAGAGCCCGTGTCTGTCCTGAGTTACCCAGGCGAAATGGACTGCTAACAGTTTCTAGATGTCTTCAATGAAAAGCTTGTCAGCCAGGGAAAGTCGACTTCCAAGATCTCGATCAAGACGCTTACCAAACTCTCCCCGTCGGTGTCTCGGGGTTCTCCAAACCAGGCTATCAAGACGCCCCCGCGTCTGGTGTCGGATCAACTGATCAATATCTTCTTCCAGGAGTGGGCACCGCTCTACCCGATCGTCCACCGCCCAACCATTCTCAAAGCATACGAACAGTACTTGAGCAATGCCGAATCGCTAAAACAAGACGCTCATGTCCTGACCCAGTTGAATCTAATTTTTGGCATCGCGGCGTTATCATCTAGTGTAAGCCTCGTGCGATTGTTATGAGATGAAAAGAATACTAATCAATCATCCCAGTCGAGAACAAACCAGGACCCCGCTTTCTTCGAAGAGAACTGGGCTACATCTCTAGGCCTCTATTCCAATGAAACTACCATTGGAAGCTTGCAGTGTTTCATTCTGGCTCAAATTTATTGCATGACGAAGGGTGATTATCGCTGCCTTCTGCGCTACCGTGCTCTTGCAGTGGACATTTGCCAGCAATTGGGGCTCCACCAAAGTCAGGATAGCGCGACTTTCAATCCGTTGGAGGGCGAGACACGAAAGAAGGTTTTTTGGTGCCAATATGTAATGGATCGGTAAGAAAATGTCCGCTCATCAATCTATACTTGATTCAGTTGCCAACTAAACTGGGATCTAGTTTCTGTGCTGCTCTGACCGGCATGCCTATACTCCTCCGCGAGAGTGATATTGAAACCGAGTACCCAGTTGATGTGGATGATGAGAACGTCACGGAGACAGGGTTCTTGCCTACTCTGCCTGGCGAAACCACTCGCATCTCGAGCGCCCTTGCGTTGTTTGGTGCTTCCAGAATTTTAAATAAGGTCCTCGAGGACTTGTATCCCTCCAAGGCGGGATATGAAATCTACATGTCCAAGTTGCGTTCAGTCGCGGGTCAGTTGGATGAGTGGCTCCAAACACTGCCGCCTCATCTTCGCCTTGAATTCTCCCAGGACAAGCCTAGCACCAACGTTACAAGTAGCCGTTCACCGCTTCTCTCACTTGTGTACTACTTCATTCGATCTCTGATTCATCGTCCGGCCGTCTGTTTCGCCGACGAACATCTTCGCTCTCCGTCGATTCTCGCACTCTCTGACTCTTCAAAGCATATCATTCAAATCCTTGAATTGTTGGATGAGCGGCGGCTCTGTCTCTCCTTCAGCATCAATCGCAAAGAGCTCGTGTTTTTCTCCGGTCTTGGAATTTTATGGCAGATCATAGGCCTGAAACGTGAAAGCAAGTTGGCCAAGGAGAGCCAGAAGCTGCTTGGTACTGTTCTAGAGCAGCTTCTGCCAGTGTCGTCTACAGCTGCAGCCGAGTTTGGTGCTCTTGCCAACACCTTGGTTCCTCTGGACATAGGAAAACAAGGATCCTTGTCCTCTGACCAACAGACGCAGGAGATGATGGCACCGACCCACAAACCGTCAAGATCCCCCAAACGACAATTGCAATCTCTCAAGTCCCGCATTGCCAACAGTGTGAGTCGGGCTCCATCCTCCAAACAGGCTTCACCCTCTCGTCGAAATACGATCTCTGGCGCCGCCCCTCCCATTGATTCCCAATCTCTCCGGTCCCCAAGCTGGACGAGCCTTCCTCCATCTCAATCGGAACAAATCTCCGCCACTCCCTATCGTCTTGATAGAGTGCAATCATCTCTAGAGCTAGGCTCAGACCCACGATTGTTGTCTTCATCCACAGGGTATGGCCACTCTCGTGCACTATCCTGCTCCACTCCATCGGATGCTCCCGCTGGAGCCATCACTATGGCCGACTGGGAGTACGTTCTGAGTGACATGGACCGAGGTTATTCGAATATCTTCACTGGCATATACGGTGGAAAGGAATGTGGCGAAGATCCTGGTCCCTTCGCCTCGATCACAGCCGAATACACCCAAAAATCCAATGATGGCGCATTCACAACTCCGTTGGTCCCAACCACCGACGTGCATGATCTGTCTCCCGAGGCTTGGTCTGCGAGTAGTGGGGACTTTGTCTCAAACCAGGATCATGTTGCACAGAGTGTGCTGAGTTATTCTGGCGAGAGCATGGGCAGTGCCGAGGACAATTTCACCTCTCTGGCAGAAGCCTCTGTCCGTCCGGATGACATCGGCCTGATTGATCCTTTCCATGGCCTTGCCATGCCAGCCGAAGAGGATTTTGATGAATTTTCCCTGTCCAGTGGCTGGGACCGACGGCTGGCCGTCTAGGCAATCTCAATCGATTTACTTGTCTTGTCATTTTTTAGGTGTTGGTTATTTTCTTCTTTTTCTTTGGGAAGGCTTTTACTCTCTTCGATGACCTGTGATATGATGATACCTTGGAGGCGTTTCGATTATTTATCTTTTACTTGATTCCATTGTTATTGGGGCCTCTATATGTGTGCTTGGATATATAACTTTCACTTATTTATTTTTTTTGAAACGTGTATATTTTGTACATGAATGATCTTTCATTTAAATACATCTTCTTGTCATTCCGAGTTCTACTTTCCATTGTCTCTTTAAAACGGACCTACAGAAGGGCTTAACATCCATAACTTCGCAAATGCAATTTGTGAAATTAGAGAGCAGTGTTACGAAGTTGTGCCGGCTGTACGAGGAATGGTTAATTTCAGATTTCGGAAATCTGATTTGCATAGCCACTCAACGTTTTACCGGGCCAGTGCGGCACAGCAGCTGCACTCGATCCGGTCCATGCCGGGCATCTCGGTCTGCCGAAACAGCCCGGCGCCGACGATTGAAGATCATGAATCAAAAGCCCTAATTACCCCACCCGCCCGCTCTTGACGTCCCGTCATGCACCGATGGAAGCCAATGTAAATTTCCATGCCGCAGCGATTGAGAATATGCACAAGAAATGTGGAGCTCGCGGTATTCCGGCCGACGCGCCGGCGGTTAATCGGAGGCAATGCCCAAGCTTTCACGGCTGCCACCAATCTCATCCTCAACGACACAGAGCCGGTTTCTCCTTGAATCGCCACTCCCAAGCCCCTTAGTCACGAGTCAATACGCTCCTGGTACTTTTCTCGCCACCGCGTAACTCTTGGCCCATGTGGTCTGGGTTCTTGCAAAAGTTGGTCGGCATGCCCGGAGAACCGCGGATGGGTCATTGCTGTGTACTTCTGGATGGAGACTGGTTGATACATGTCCCCACTTCCCCAGATTCTCGCACTTTCACGGAGATGGCCGCCGTCCGTAACAGGCGATTGCTCAACGCCTGCAAATCAACGAGTCATCATGTCCCGTTTGGTCCAAGTGTCCGGCCTAGCACGCGAGGTTCCCCAGAGAACCATGAGCGAGCAGCCACATGCGATCCGCTCCCCTTGCTGGAGTATTTCCTAGACCTGGAAGAGGGGGGGGTATATAAGGTCCGACTGCTGGCGCACTTTAATCCGAGTTATAGATTGATTTGGCAAATGCTTCTTCAGGAGCTGAATACGTTCTCATCAACTTTCTGGCCTATTCAGCATCATGTTTGAAAAAGTCTTCCGCAAAAGACCCCAGGACCTCTATGATAATGGCGAGCTGCCCAGGGAGTCAGTCTCCACAGGGGACCACGAGAAAGGGCCCAGCAATGTCGTAGACACGCCGATCCCTCTTCTAACATGGCGCTCCTTAACCATGGGCATCTTCGTCTCTATGGGTGGTTTTCTGTTCGGCTACGATACCGGCCAGATTTCTGGGTTTCTGGAAATGCCAGACTTCCTCCAGCGCTTTGGTGAGCTGGGGTCTGATGGAGCTTATCACTTTAGTAACGTACGCTCAGGTCTTATCGTTGGTCTGGTAAGTGGTGATCTCTCTGTGCGTGGAAGATTGAAGACTGATCAAAAGACTATAGCTGTCCATTGGTACTTTGATCGGGGCTCTGGTCGCTGCTCCAATTGCCGATCGTGTCGGACGAAAATGGTCCATCAGCGCTTGGTGTGTCATTCTCATGGCTGGTATTACTGTTCAGATTTCATCGCCTACTGGCAAGTGGTACCAAGTGGCCCTCGGTCGTTGGACTGCGGGTCTTGGAGTTGGCGCTCTGTCCTTGCTGGTGCCCATGTACCAAGCAGAATCAGGACCACGACACATCCGGGGGTCTTTGATTAGGTATGTTTCGCATTATCTACTATATAGTCAGGGACAATCTTCTAATCTCTTTGATAGTACATACCAGCTGTTCATCACCCTAGGCATTTTTGTCGCCAACTGTATAAACTTCGGAACCGAAGCTCGCACAGATACTGGCTCTTGGCGCATTCCCATGGGAGTAACCTATATCTGGGCTATCATTCTCTGCTTAGGCATGGCCTGTTTCCCAGAAAGTCCTCGCTATGATTATCGTCACGGCAAGGTGGATAAAGCGATCGACACCCTCTCCAAGATCTACGGTGTCCCCCGCAATCACCGCGCCCTCCATATCGAGTTCGACGAGATCAAGCAAAAGTACGAAGAGGAAGTTCGTAACGGAGCGGTAACCTGGAAACAACTCTTCCGCGCCCCGACTATGGCTAAACGTGTGGCCGTCGGTGTAGCCCTCCAAGCCCTGCAGCAACTGACCGGTGCCAACTACTTCTTCTACTATGGAACAACTGTGTTCATGGGCGCCGGCATTGAGAATAGCTACGTCACACAGATGATTCTGGGCGGCGTGAACTTCGGAACCACTTTCCTCGGCCTTTATTTGATCGAGCACTACGGTCGCCGACGGTCTCTAATCGCTGGTGCCCTGTGGATGTTCGTCTGCTTCATGGTCTTCGCCTCGGTAGGCCATTTCTCCCTCGACCGTGAGGATCCACAGAGGACAAAGTCTGCCGGTGTGGCTATGGTGGTGTTTGCTTGTCTCTTTATTCTTGGCTTTGCAAGTACCTGGGGTCCCATGGTGTGGACCATCATTGCCGAGCTGTACCCTTCGCAGTACCGTGCGCGCGGTATGTCCCTGGCCACCGCATCCAATTGGCTGTGGAACTTCCTGCTGGCCTTTTTCACCCCGTTCATTGTCAGTGCCATTGACTTCCGTTTCGGGTATGTCTTTGCGGGCTGTTTGTTCCTTGCAGCAGGCTTGGTCTACGTTGCTGTTATCGAGGGCCAGGGTCGTACGCTGGAGGAAATCGATACTATGTATCTGATGAAGGTCAAGCCGTGGAATAGCTCCAAGTTCCGGTTCCCGGCCGACCCTAATATTATTCGGGGGTCTTTTGATAAGGGGACGAATGCTGGTGCAGCGTCCCATGTTGCAGATGCGACGGGTGGAGTGCAAGAGGATATTCCCACGGTGCCCGAAACCCGCCCAGAAGCATGAACGATTGAGTCGATACTGGTGATTTAACTTGCTTGTAACGGATTTGTGTACTACTATTTCTCTGTTTCTTCTTCTATTTTCCTGTACTGTATTGTGGTTATTTTTTGTTAAATGTTTATTGGGCGAGATAAGAAACGATTTCGAGCCCTGGCCAATCTCGATTTACCTATTCTTCTCTAATACTAGGGGTTATGTATTCGTCACTCTTGTTCATTTTTCCGGTCTCTTCTTTGGGATCAAAACGCCGTCCAAATAACGAGTCATCTCATCCATGTCCTCCAGTTGGCCAACCCAGCCAATATACTGATCCGGTCGAAGAATCAAAACGGCGCCTTGCACACGATCAACTCCCCACCTTTCATACCCCTTGCCGTCGCAATCTCTATCCCAGACGCAGTCGTCATCACACCAGATCTTGTCATAATTCCACCCTCTGACTGGGTCAAAAGGTCGCAGGACCTCCGGAAAATCGAAAAACTCAGATTCTGCCCACGGGGCGCTGTGAATAGCTAGGATATCGACCGGGTCAAAGTCTCCGTAAATTGGCATGTAGCGTTTTAAAATGGAGGTTCTTCCCTGTTTTTCCTCGCCATGAAAGGACTTCAGGAACTGCTGAAGCCGTTCCTTCTGCCTGATGTTATGGAGGTCGCCCGCTAGGACCACAATTTTCATTCTCCCATCGCTCTCAAAGAGCCTAGTCGTCCATCGAACATTTCCATCAGCCTGCATTCGCAGCTTAAACGGTGGGAAGCGCTCCCCAGGAACCAAATGACGGGCAAATTGCGGTCCGGTCTCGCCCTCGGGCTTCCAGACCAGCGAACTGGCACCATAGAACGATCTCCGCCCATCAGCGAAATCTTCAAACAGTTCTACCACTTTAATCATTCTCTCTGTCTTGTCGCTCTTCTCCTCGGTGAAGAGCCCCGACCAGTGGCGATCAAAATCGAGCAGCATCTCCGCCAGCCGGTGTCTCTCAGCGTCGTAGGTGCTCAGGATAGACGGTTTCGCCACTCCAGCTGCAACCAGGGCAACTTTCCAGCCAATGTTGAAACCGTCCTGCATGCTCATATTCATACCGAGGCCAACCTTTGGCGAGTGTGTGTGCACCGCGTCGCCAGCGAGGAACACCCGATTGCCTTTGGTGAAAGTCGGCGCGATGCGCTGCCCGACCTGGTACGCAGTCCACCAGTCACATATTTGGAAATCGAATTTGTACGGCGTGAAGATTTCCTGGACACGCTTCTTGATCATGGCCAAGGTAATCGAGGACCGGTCATGACGGCTGTTGGTCGCAGCATCTTCGACGACTTGGACCGGCACGTAGAGGCGGACGAGCTGTCTTTCGCGTGGAATGACGAGGATTGTGCCTGATGCATGGGTTACCGTTCCCAGACGGCGCATGTCCGCTAGTGGGTAAAATTTATCAGTTCTGACTGATATCTGCAGTTTGAGAACCCTAACTTACGGAAGTCGCTGATGGGGACCACGTCAATCACCCCCCTGTATAACTGTCAATTAGCTTTGAGCCTCTCACTCGGAATTCCAAACATTTCTTACCATATATGGTCTGTGCTTGATCCTACCAGCGGGATATTCACTTGTTTCCTCGTCCAGCTGTGGGCTCCATCGCAGCCGATCAGATATTTGGCCTTGACGATCTCTGTTTTGGTCTGTTTTCGCCGAGACTCTCGAATCAAATCATCCCAGTCGTCCGGCAGAAGGCTGCTCCGCTTGAACCCGCTGTTCAAATGGTTTGATCCGTCGCCTTTCTGAGAGATGCTCGATGGATTCGCCTCTTCCTCGTCGAGTGTCCGCAGCTTGACGGTAATCGGATACGCATCGGGATCCCCTTCCAATTCGTCGTTGTACTCGAGAGACTCGGCAATCACGCCTCGCTCCACCTCGAGATCCGAGTGCTGTCGCATACTGTCTAGCAGGAACCGCTCAATGCGGCCTTGATTTAAGAGCATGTTGCGGAACGGCGACTCGTTAACCTTGGAGCTACAATGGGGCCCTTGTCGAATCAGGTTCCCATTCGGCCCAGGAACCTATTCTCTCGCCGTGACTTTCATCAGTCAAGACCCCGACATGGGAGGCAATAGACCGACCCAGAAATTGGCCTCGACAGCCACATGACCCTCCTGCTGGACCCGATGCTGGAAGCCGATGCTATCGAAGAGCTCCAAGGTCCGAACCCGCAGGCCGTCCGCCTGGCCAGTGAACACTTTTGTTCCGCGCTTGTCAATAACTCGGGCGCGGATGCCACAACGGGCCATCCAATATGCGGCCATCAAGCCCGAGGGCCCGGCGCCAACGATGAGTCTGTAGATGTCAATCGAAGCTCGAGGTGTGAGTGTCGGGTTGGGGGTCTTACACATCTGTTGCTGATTCCTCGCTAGGACTCTGCGTCTGATTCATTTTGCCCATGATGCTGAGGCTCTAGGATGTGTATTCAGTACCGAGCTATTAGATGAAAGTTTCTTGGCGTGTACTGTTGCGCTTCGGGATGTGTAGTGGTATATATATATATATACATCTACTCTCTACCAAGCATCTGACGATGACGCTTCGCGTCTCTCGTATTTGCTTGTGAGACAGCTGCTGCGCGCCTGAGAGGATCATGCCTGGGCCTGGCCTGCATGCTGACTCCAGGGACGTGGTGTGCCCTGTTCATCTACCGCTACATAATTACGAGCTGGTGCCGGATGCCATGGGTGACAGACCAAAAGAATTCATTCATTCCGGTTATTGGAGAGAATCCCATGAGCTCAACACCTCTGGAATGTACTGACGCTGATCTACAGACCTATGTGTGGACTTTTACCACGTATTTGGGTATTTAGGCAGATTAACGGAGATATCTCCGTGAAGGAAAGCAATTGCGGAGCCAGTGATCGGAGCTAGGATAGTGGCTGAGTCTCAATCAGGCACTTCCAAAGCCCGACAAATTATAGTATAGCGTGCCGATCCACTGAGGGCTTTGGGGGTCGAGATGTTTTGGTCTTCTGCTACTATTTGAGACTCTTGAGAATAGAACAAGACAAGGATATTTGATATCCGGCTGGGATACGATACACTTCTGCCAGCGCGCATTCAAGTAACTATCCGACCCCGTGCGACGCACCTGGGGGGTTGCCCTGGCTTGTCGTGGGCCTACGACTCTCGTTCAACCATCGCGGGGGCATCATGGATTCCTCTTGTACGATGCGCATCGCCGTTACTCGAGCTCTTCGACACTGCATCCCCGCTGAGTCAAAGCTGACGAGGGCGGGTCGCACTGCTTGGCGGGTGTTGGACAGGAGCTGATCGTATCTCGACTCTCCACGCTCCTGCGGCGCCCTCTGGGAAAAGAAAAAAAACACGAGGTTCTCAATTGAAATACGAGGATGAGAGAAATGAAGATGCACGTGGATGGACGCTGGAAATGCGAACTATGGAGCTCCCGGGACTAGAACTTGCAGTATAGTTATAATATGGTGATTGGTGGTGGTAGAAGTATAACAAGGCGCTGTGCTCCTTCCGCGGCCTCGATAGGATGACTCAGCCGCGGCTACGCTGTTCCCAGACGGGCACACCGAATCGTCCCAACGCGACAACGCTGGACTGTTTGGGTGGGGAGTCCATCCAGAGAGGCGAATGGGTGGGCGGGACTGGCGGGCGGCATTGGCGGCATCGCAGATGCTGCACGCGCCCAAGCTTTGGTTTTATATCGGATTGGCCCGATTAGGGAAGCCGTGCATGATGTGACGAGGTTCCTGAGCCCGACGAATCCTGCCATGAGAGCCTGCCACCTCATGGGGTCATGCTCGATTTTTTTGGCTTCTTCGTCGGGCCCATCTATATAGAAAAGCCCTGCAACAGATTTCGGGTAATGGTCATACTCAATGAGAGCAACGAGGGTCGGCTAATTTCTGCAAGCCGGAGCAACGTCCTCCGGGCGGCTCCCGGTGTAGACCCTGTGGATGTCGGCCAACCATTGGGACAGTTCACACACTACGGTTCAGTGTCCTCCGGGAACAGGGGGAGCAGCGCCATAGAGCGCCCTCATGAGGATCTTGAAGGTCATGAGACACGGGGTTCTGAACGTCATCATTGGTGGACTCAGCTAAATCGAGCTTCATCAAGGAGAACAATCGAAGGAGACGAAGCGGCGCAAGTTCCAGATGCCCGTCGCTGAGTCAGCAAGGAGCACCGAAGAAGTTCGTTGAGATTGACTCGGGCAGCGAGAATGGTCTTTGCGAATAGCTCTCGAGCAGCCTCGCCCCCGGAAAATGACGAGAATGCCACGATACGGCCAGTGCACGGAGCCTCTCACATGTAGTCTTGTCTCTGAGCCCATTGGCCCTGTTGGAGCTGTTTCCGGGCCATTGGGAAGGTCAAGAGAGGGCCAACAGGGCCAACAGGGCCACCGGGGCCAACGAGCCAAAAGGTGGCCGGCCTGCAGCGGACGTGCCCCACCACAGACATCATACCCCACCAACAAATACGTCCCCCTCCTCCTCGTCCTCCTCCTCCTCCCTTCTTCTCTCCTCCATCCATCCTCTTTGCTTGTCAGTGTCTTCCCTGCGACCTCTCCTCTGAACCCCCGGCTAACTCTCCCCCCAGAATATCCGCCATCATGGGTTACACTGATCTGGACCAGTTGGCGATTAACACCATCCGTGTTCTCGCGGTACGTCTGCCCCTCCCCCGCCCATTGCCTCCCATGCTACCTCTCCTTCCGCCATTGGACGGGTTGTCTCTCCCGATAAGCATCACAGTCCAGCAGTCCAGCACGAATTGTATCGTCTCAATCATTCTACGAACAACTGCTGACCTAGCTTCCTAGGTCGATGCCACCTCCAAGGCTAACTCGGGCCACCCCGGTGCCCCGATGGGCATGGCCCCTGTGGCCCACGTTCTGTTCAACAAGTTCATGAACTTCAACCCCAAGAACCCCGACTGGGTCAACCGTGATCGCTTTGTTCTCTCGTACGTCTTCTTTTTGCATGCTCTTCTCTTGCCCTTCTGGCGTTCAATTGAGAAAACTTGCCGAATCGCGCTCGCTCTCTTTTCTTCCCCCCCCCAGCTTACTCCGCTCGGGGCCCATTGTACCTCGCCCAAAGATCACCCCCTCTTTCTGACACGTCATGACCCAATAGGAACGGCCACGGCTGCATGCTACAGTATGCTCTGCTGCACCTCTTCGGCTATGCCCTCACTATGGATGACCTGAAGAACTTCCGTGTAAGTCTTTCGCCCCCTCAACCGCCATGGCTCATACCCAGTCCTTGCCACCACTTCCCGGGAAACCCCCTAGGCTAATTTATTCCCCAGCAACTCGACAGCATCACCCCTGGTCACCCCGAGGCTCACGACACCCCCGGCATTGAGGTCACCACTGGTCCCCTCGGCCAGGGTTTCTCCAACGCCGTCGGTCTGGCCATTGCCCAGGCCCACTCCGGTGGTGTCTTCAACAAGCCCGGCTATGAGCTTTTCAACAACTACACCTACACTTTCTTCGGTGATGGCTGCGCCATGGAGGGTATCGCCTCCGAGGCTGCCTCCATGGCTGGTCACTTGAAGCTCGGCAACCTGATTGCTATCTATGACGACAACCACATCTCCATTGGTAAGATGGACCCATTTCCACCCGGCAAGAGATGGCCCGACCATAAACTAACGCTAGCGTTTTAGACGGTGACACCAAGTGCGCCTTCACTGAGGATGTCATGAAGCGTTTCGAGGCCTACGGCTGGCACACTGAGTGGGTCAAGGACGGTGACAACGACCTTGACGCCATTGAGGCCGCTATCCGCAAGTGTCAGCAGGTCACTGACAAGCCCTCCGTCATCAAGCTCACCACCACTATTGGCTTCGGCTCCAAGCTCGCTGGTACCGGTGGTGTCCACGGCAACCCCCTCAAGGCCGATGACGCCCAGCACGTCAAGAAGCTGTTCGGCTTCAACCCCGAGGAGAGCTTTGTCGTCCCCCAGCAGGTCTACGATCTCTACAACAAGCACGCTGCCGAGGGTGCTGCCAAGGAGCAGGAGTGGAACGCCCTCTTCCAGAAGTACCAGCAGGCCTTCCCCGCCGAGGGTGCCGACCTCGCTCGCCGTCTTGCTGGCAAGCTGCCCGAGGGCTGGGAGAAGAGCCTCCCCACCTACACCCCGGCCGACCCCGCCGTGGCCTCTCGCAAGCTGTCTGAGGCTGTCCTGGAGAAGATCCACTCCGTCATTCCCGAGCTGCTGTCCGGTTCCGCCGATCTGACTGGCTCCAATAACACTCGCTGGAAGAACGCTGTGGACTTCCAGCCCCCGGAGTACGGCATTGGCGAGTGGTCCGGCCGCTATCTCCGCTATGGTGTTCGCGAGCACGCCATGGCTGCCGTCATGAACGGCCTGGCTGCCTACGGCACCGTCATCCCCGCCGGTGGTACTTTCCTGAACTTCGTCTCCTACGCTGCCGGTGCCGTCCGTCTCTCGGCCCTGTCCCGCGTCCGTGTCATCCACGTCGCCACCCACGACTCCATCGGTCTGGGTGAGGATGGCCCCACTCACCAGCCTATTGAGACCCTGGCTCACTTCCGTGCTCTGCCTAACTGCATGGTCTGGCGTCCGGCTGACGGCAACGAGACCAGCGCTGCCTACTACTCGGCTCTGACTGCCAAGCACACCCCCTCCATCCTGGCCCTGACCCGCCAGAACCTGCCCCAGCTGCAGAACTCCTCCATCGAGGCCGCCATCAAGGGTGGTTACGTTGCCATTGAGAACCCCGAGGCCGCCGTTACCATCATCTCGACCGGTTCCGAGGTCGGCATCTGTATTGATGCCGTCAAGACCCTCGAGGCCCAGGGCATCAAGGCCCGTGTTGTCTCCGTGCCCTGCTTCGAAGTTTTCGACGCTCAGGACAAGGCCTACCGGCTGCAGGTCCTCCCCGACGGTATCCCCGTTCTGTCCGTCGAGGCCTGTTCCACCATGGGCTGGGAGCGCTACTCCCACGAGCAGTTCGGTCTCAACCGCTTCGGTGCCTCCGGCCCGTACAAGCAGGTTTATGAGGTTAGTTTTTTTCCCATCTCCCCAGTCACCCTTACCATTCTTGATCCCTGTGCTAACCGCTTCATCCTGCAGAAATTCGAGTTCACCCCCGAGGGCATTGCCAAGCGCGCCGTCGCCACCATCGAGTTCTACAAGGGCCACAACGTTCGCTCGCCCATCAACCGTGCTTTCCAGCAGATTCTGTAAGCGTTGGTTGGGGTTGGATATGACAAAATGTTTTTGGTTTTTACTTTTTTTTTAAGTTAAGGAGCGACAGCCCTTAGACCCATTTAAGAATGAAATAGAGCGATTTCTGTCAAGTGATAAGTGGATCCGGTAGATTATATCCAAGTTGAAGGAGGACTTTAAGAGAAGGAGTGTGACCGATCTTGAGGGCTGATACATGATGATCTGATATCAAATTCTTAAAACCTAAACTGGCAACTACTCCACATGGTGATGGCCAGCCCTAATACCAATATCTATAATGTAAAGCCAATACTCAACACTCAACACTCAACCCTCGGCCTTCACTCGATGCCCTCCCTCTTCTGCACTTCCAAAATGCCTTTCAACACCTGCTGCTTTCTTACTCTCGTCTCCGCCGACATTTCCGGCCCATAAGCCTCCTCCGTCTGCCTCACCACCTCCTCCCTCCACTTCTCCTTGTCCCGATCTTCTCCTACTGCTTGTTCTTCCTCCTCCCCCGTTCGAATCCTCACATCCCCCAATGACCCCCACACCTCGCCCACCGTCGGCGCCAACTTCTCCAAAAACGCACCAATGCCCCCCCTCTCCACCCCCACCATGATAACTCTCAAACACCCCGCTCCCCGCCCATCGCGGCCCCAGACTGGCCTTCATCACCGTATCCACCTCCGCCACCGATACCACCCCCTCCCCAACAAGCGAACACGCCTCCCGCAGCAGTGCAAACGCTAGCCGGTTTCCCACAAACCCGGGCACCTCGCGGCGCAGCGTGACGGGCCGGTAGAACGGCGCGCGCGCGCCGGCGGGCCCTGGCACGTCGCGAAAGTAAGCTTCTGCGAAGGCGAGGCGGGCAGGGTCTGTGGCCGGGCTGGGCACAAGCTCGATGAGCGGCATCAGATGGGGCGGGTTGAAGGGGTGTGTGACGAGCAGGCGCCTGGCGAGGGCTGGGGTGGTGGCTACTTGCGTTGAGGGCGGGATGCCGGAGGAGGAGGACCAGAGGTGGGCGGTGGGCGGGGCGGCGGCAGCGACAGCGGCCCAGAGAGCTTGTTTGGAGGGAGTGGTTTCGGGAGTTTGTTCGTGGATGATGGTTGCGTTTTGGACGGCGACGGGGAGGGAGGGGGCGAGGGTGAGGCGCGTGGTGAGGAGGGTTGCTAGAGGGTCTGGAGATGCGGGTTCGAGGTAGGAGGGGAGGTGTGCGCGCAGTTGGGCTTCGTAGTTGGGACGTGGGTCGTAGACGGTTATGTGAGTATCGGGCCGGCGGAGATGAAGGGCGATCATGGATAGACCGATGGTGCCGGCGCCGAGGATGGCGACATGGTGGGGGTAATCGGACATTGTAGGGAGTTGGTAGAGGGGGCAAGAGAAGAATGGAAGACGGAAGGCTTGATATAGAATGAGGGGATTGATGTGGAGGAGAGAGGGGAGGAACGAGAGTATAAGGCGGGGAAGAGGTTGAGTAGGTGGGGAAGATCGCGGGGAAGAATCCAGTAGTTGTAGACTATCAATTGAGTTAGGACCGTAGATGAGATTGGCAAACTGATAGACAGCATCCCGTTGTAAGTAGTTCTTCGTCTATGGATCATCTTTTGGACAGGTTTGGGGATTGCAGATTGATATTTCGAATACTGCATCATTCTTTCAGCAAGATGAAAAGTATCGGGGGCTTAGACCGCAAGGAAGTGCATTTGAATGCATCGAACTTGCGTTGCAATTGTTCCGTGTCTGGCCTATGCTCTCCTAGTGTCGAACACATTGCACTCTTCTCGTGGGAATCTTCTCTTTTTACGACAAGCTCTAAGATGGCAAAAAATAGATTACACCGAGAAGAAGAGAAAAAAGCAGAGGAAAAGGAAAAGAAAAAGAGATGGAAAAAAAAAGGTTGACGATCCCGAACGAGTTTCATTCATCATGATATAATTCATAACTCCCCAACTTTTGGTTTCCAGATCAGAGGGGGTGCAGAGAATCCCACATGGACCTCTTTAGTTCAGAACCTTGCGGGCGAAGTTGGGCAGGACAAAGCTGGCGCGGTGGATATCCTGGTTGTAGTAGCGGCACAGCTTCTCCTCCTCCTCGCGGGTCCAGGTGCGGACAGGCTCGCGCACGTTGCGGGTGGCGTCCTTGCAGCAGACCATGAAGCCGATCTGGCCGGAGGGGTAGGTGGGGATGGTGGTGTAAGCGTATTCGGCAACAGGGAAGACCTCGTTGCAGGCCTTCTTGAGGTCGGCAATCAGAGAGAGGTGGAGCCATTGGTTCTCAGCTGTAGGACGGAAGGGCACAAGTTCCGCGAAACCGAGCCCAAAAAGTGGGTTGGTTGCGGGGTGGTGCGTGAAAGTTAGCCAGGGATTCTTCTCAATCGATCAACATAACCAAATAGCACAAGGAACAGAAGTAAAAAAATAAATAAAGATAAAGATAAAAGATTGAACTCATCAAACAATAGAGACGTTTGAGAGATAGAATGGTAGAGAGAAAGGGAAGGGAAGAGGGGGTGGGGAATACAGGAGGAGGAAAGGAAACAAGGATATCGGGGAGCAAGAGTGAGAGACATAAGGAAAGGTAACGAACAACCTTGGGTAGTAATGACACCGCCGTCGCGCAGGGCATCGCGCAGAAGCTCGAAGTAGGGCTTCTGGAACAAGCTCTCGGCAGGACCCTCGGGGTCGGAGGAGTCGGTGATGATGACATCGAACTCGTTCTTGTGGTTCTTCAGGAACTCGAAGCCATCACCGACGTGGGTGGTGGCCTTGGGGTGCTGGAAGCCAATGCTCATACTGGGCAGGTACTTCTTGGACAGGCGGATGACAGCCTCGTCAATGTCGCAGAGGATGGCCTCCTCGACGGACTCGTGCTTGACAACCTCCCGGAGAACACCGCCGTCACCGCCACCGATGACCAGGACCTTCTTGGGGTTGGGGTGGGAGTTCATGGCCAGGTGAGTGATCATCTCCTGGTAGGAGAACTCATCGCGCTCAGTGCACTGGATGACGTTGTCCAGGACGAGGACAGTGCCGTAGTCACTGCTCTCGAAGACCAGAACATCCTGGTACTTGGACTTCTCGTGGTGCAGAATCTGGTTCACCTTAAGGTTCATGGCCTGGCCGGGCCACATGCCGGACTGCTCGGAGAACCAGCCATCTTCGCGAGAATGGTCAGTAATGTTATTGAAAAGGAAATCGAGGTAGAGGGAGGTGGTTTGGATGTTGTTTCTGAGGGGTTGGGCCACCGTAGTCGGTGGTGATGGAAGGGCGGGGTGAAGTATGCTGGCGGGATGGAGGGGTAAAAGTGGGATGATGATAGCCCACAGGCGCGAGAGGTCGGGTCCAGGGTCTCTGGCAGGGAGAGAAGTGATTCATTAACTTACCCTTGATGGTAGGGTGAGTGATCTCGCTCATGGTGACGGAGGATTGAAAACGACGACACTTGGGGATAACAGAGAGGCGTAAGGAAGGAAGACGGAGCGAGCGCAACATGCGAAGAAAAAAGGCGGCGGAAGTTTGGCTGCTTTGGGCGATTTTTTGCTTCGGCGGTTCGAGTGGGGACTTGGGCTGTCGGGCCACTGGCACACGCGAATCTGCAGAAGTCTTGGAAGTCAATCTGGGCCGATAAAAGAGAGAAGACGTTAGGTAATGAATTGGGGCTGGCTTGGAAGCTGATCACTCAAACAACCTAGCTCCAGCTATAGAAACAAAAATAAGAAAAATCAGACAAGTGAGTCGATAGTTCTCCTCTAGTACGCAGCATAGCTCCTATTGAAGGCGTAGGAGAGAAGCTAGAGAGTATGTATGGAGGTTCTTGAGGACGTCTTCGAATCATTGGATCATAGAGAAAATACGATATCTCTGGCTAGTACCATATTGTAACAATGTATTATTATACTGGCACGTAGCTATCTTCTATTACCTTTTAACTGGAAGAGGAAGGACGATGAGACGTGTCTTCGCACTTGGCGGGTACTTGGGGGGGAAGTTGGCCCGAGGGCCTTTGGGGCTTTGGGGCTTTGGGGCTCCCAAGGGCGGGCCAATCGAGGCGCCCCCAATGACGCTTACTCGAACCACCACCACCAGGAACTTGAAATTCAATATCAGAACGCGGACACTATTATCCGGACTACAGTCGATTTGCTTCTTAAGGGACAAAGGAAAATTCCCAAATGGTCGATTGCTTTCTAGTTACTGTACAATGGATACAGCGGCGAGGCACGGAGCCCTCCTCGCGTGCACGATCGGTATACGCTCAATTCCATCCTTCTTCCATTTCATTTCAGACTCCAAATCCACGCTGCATTTACTCGTGACCACCCTCAGCCAGACGGCCGGGCTTGGAGTTGAGGTACTCGTTGCTAAACACAGGGCATATGACATTAGCACACGGAGTCAGATCCAGGAGACCAGAAGAATCTTACTGCTCAACGGCCCAGTTCATGGCGGCGTAGGCGACCACGAAGGGAGGAACAACGTAGAGGACCTGGTGGCGGAAGCGACGGAAAGAGTTGAAGATAGCGGCGTTGAAGGCACCAGCGAAGGGGCGCTGGCGGTTAGCCGAGAGGGTGTAGGTCGCAATGCGCTGGGGAGTCGGGCAACCTATCCAACAAGTATATGGGTCAGCGGCCAATCCAATGGCAGTTGAAAAGATTTTCCCGGTCCAACAGATTCAGCCTCATTCAGTCAGATGAAGAGGATAAGCTGAAAAGGACGCCGAGCAGGCGCGTTCGGGAATTCAAGGAAGGCTGATCGTCAACATACCGAACTCGCCCCAGTTGCCAATGAAGCTATCGAAGAAGGTTAGCCAAGTCCCAATATAACAAATCGATTGCCAGGAAGGCCAATTGAAGGAATCCAAGCAATTTCAAGAAAGGTCGTTGGGGGAATCAGAGGGCCGCGATGCGAGCGGGTGCATCCGGACAGACATCTCGGCCCACGACCCCCCCTCCTCTCAGCAGCCACGAAACAGAGACCGCCGGGGAGACACTTACTGGCCGTTCTTGGGATCGACAGCACCGCCCATTGTGACAGAATAGGATCTCGTAAGGAAAAGGAGGAGTGGAGGGAGAGACGGGGTGGTGAATATGCAAAGGGCGGAAGGGAAAAGACGAAGTCGGTCGAAGTTGGCACCCGCGCACTAAACCCGATCGGGCGGTCAGAAAAGCCCGCCATCATCGACGACCTCCACAACAGCAGCGCAGCATTGAGCTCATCCTCCATTCCTCCTGCTCCTCCCCCTCACCATGGCCAACGCCCTGTACAACGTCTACCGGCTAGCTGGCCCTGTGGCCGCTGGTGCCCTCCTTTTCAACGCCTCCATCTACGACGTTCGAGGCGGCACCCGCGCTGTCATCTTCGACCGATTGTCTGGTGTGCAGGAGGCCGTCGTCAACGAAGGCACTCACTTTCTGATTCCCTGGCTGCAACGGGCCATCGTCTACGATGTGCGGACAAAGCCGCGCAACATCTCCACTACCACTGGAAGTAAAGATTTGCAGATGGTCAGCTTGACGCTGCGCGTGCTGCACCGTCCGGAGGTGCCGAAGCTGCCCCAGATCTACCAGGTAGGCGACCACCACCAAACATTATCCCCTCTCCCGGGCAGTGTATCTTCCATACAGCAGATCTCTTACCTATATCGCCCTGTCTAGTCATACGGTACCGATTACGATGAGCGTGTTCTCCCCTCCATCGGCAACGAAGTGCTCAAGGCAATCGTCGCCCAATTCGACGCCGCCGAACTCATCACCCAACGTGAAGCCGTGTCCAACCGCATCCGTACCGACCTCCTGAAGCGCGCCGCCCAGTTCAACATCGCTCTGGAGGACGTCTCCATCACCCACATGACCTTCGGCAAGGAATTCACCCGCGCCGTTGAGCAGAAGCAGATCGCCCAGCAGGACGCTGAACGGGCCCGTTTCATCGTCGAGCGTGCCGAGCAGGAGCGCCAGGCCAACGTCATCCGTGCCGAGGGTGAAGCCGAGAGTGCCGACATCATCAGTAAAGCTGTTGCCAAGGCCGGCAGTGGCCTCATCGAGATCCGTCGGATCGATGCCAGCCGCGAGATTGCGCAGACCCTGGCTCAGAACCCCAACGTCACATATCTGCCCGGTGGGGAGGGCAAGGAAGGTGGTAAGAACACTAGCCTCCTCCTAGGTCTGCGGAATTAAACCGATGGGAGGGAGAGCAAATATGAGATGAGATGAGATGAGATTGAAGGGGAAAAAGAGGGTCGAAGGAAGAAAAGCCCTCTAAACACCCAAATGTACCATTTAATCGCAAGCGAACCGTGCCTCATGGGATAACTTGGGCCTGTGCATGATCCCTGGAGCGCGGTAAACGGCGGACTCTGCCCTGCAGTCCTCCTAATTCTTTTTTTTCTTCTGACCTGTAGCAATACCAATACCTCTACTCTATATCAAAACAGTGCTCTCTCTTTCTTCCTGTCCTGTCGAAGGGCTTGTCGTACACTCATATATTTATAGATATATAGACGTCTATACCTATACATATCATCATTTTGTCATCATGGCATGTGTGATTTATAGACGAAAAGAAACCCCAAGTCACCCCAATGTACCCCTATACATCCTCACAACCGCCGATAGACATGAACTTGGTAGCGCATGTCCTCCAAGCCCGCTCCCTCGCCAACATCATATCGCAATCGCGACGCATCCCGCCTCCACCACCGCGAGTCCTGCGTTAACACGCGCTCCCACTTGCCCTCCGCCACGGACAGCAAAGTATGATCCAGCAAGAACTTCATCGGATACTTGCGTTCCTGCGCCGCACCCTCCTTCCCTTTTCCTAACTTCAGGCTTGAGTAGCTGCCAGGGCTATCCACAACAAGCAGGACTGCCCCAGCGCGCAGCACGTCCGTCATACGCAGCAGAAAGCTGGTCGTTTTAGCCATCGACGCCGAGAAGAGCTCGTTCAATGTGAACATCAGCGTAACCAACAGGGCTGCCGATTCGCGAGACTCCGCCTCCTCACCCAGCAGCAAATCCCGCAACTCGCCGTCCGCCAGCTCAAGCACATCCCGCCGCCGAAACGATATCGACACCCTGCCGCCTCCGTCCGAATCCTCCACCAAAGGCGGCTGATACACAGAAGACCGCGGCGCCGGCACCCCCGCCGACACCATCGTGTCTGCCAGCCCCTCCACAACAACAGCCCAGTCCGCAATATCCACCGCCGCCACAGTCAGGCCCGCTTCCGGCGCTGCTCCCCCGTCCTCCAGCGACACCCCCGCGACGCGGTCCTCCAGCGCCGCCCCAGAGCCCAGGTCCCGCCACGCCGCGGCCAGCGCGACGATCTCCGCGCCCGCGCCGCCGCCAATGCACACGGCTCGAGTCGGCGGTGCGGCGGCGCGCGACTCGCCCGCCCGCATCCAGCCCAATACGGCTTTAAAGATGCCGGCGTAGCCTAGGCCGCGGGCGGCGCTCCAGCGTAGCGCGTACGCGCGCAGCAAGTTTGCGTCTGCGTCTGTGAAGGCGGCATCGAAGTCGCGCTGGTAGAGGTGGGACTTGAGCGTCTGGATCAGGGTCTTGGTATCGAGGGGGCGTCGGCGTGGTGCGGGGCCGGGACGAGGAGAGCCGTTTTGAAAACATCTAGCAGGAGTTGTTGAAGCGGGAGGGGAATGGAGGCAGCGAGGTCAATTGGGCTGGCGTCTGGGGCTGGTGCTGGTGCTGGTGCTGGGGTAGTGGAATTGGCGTGCTTCGAGGGTTGTTGGCGGGGGCGCTGGGGTTGGGATTTTGGCTTTGCGGGGCCGCGCTTGCGGTCCCCTTGAGGCATGACGCTTGGTCGGGAAGTTATTTAGAGGATTGTAAAGGCGAGGGTCTATCGCGCTGGAATGACACGAGGAAATTGTACTGAGAGCTGGGGAGGTGGTGTAGTTCAAACCGGGGAAGTGGAAGAAACAACTTTTTTTGGGAGCTTATCGCAGCTTGCTTATCAAAGTCAAATTGCCCTACTTACACCAGTGGGAAACCTAACCAACGATACATACAACAGGAACCACACCATAGAAATCGAAATCAGGAAGGAAATATAAATCAAGGGAAAAGGTGCCTCCCCATCCAAGATGCGCTGGGGAGTAAAGAATAGCATTTGCAGCAGGATGCCACAAGAGAAAGTAGAAAGATAAGAGAACGAAAAATAGAAAGGACAGAAAAGACTGAAGAAAGACTAAAGGAGAGGTCCACATAGGGACAGCGATCGTAGAGAAGGTCAATAATCAATCAGTGCGTCACTCACACCGGTACATCAATGATAGACAAGAAAGTTTGGAGCATATCGTCACTCGGGTGCCAGTGAATGGCGATCCCGAGATTAAAGAAATTCGTAAAGAAACGTCTGTGAAGGAGACGACAGGTACATCGAAGGACCGCCGAACAGACAGTAAAAGAAAAAATCCACAGGAGAAGAGGCCGAGGCCAGGTATGTACAGAAATGATGGAGATGGAGAGGAGTGGAAGAACCCACGCAGCCAGAGGGGGAAGAGCATGGAACGCAACGAAGAGAGAGAGATGAGAGAGCTGAGACGCGAGGAGAAGAACGAATGACTCTTTCAGGATATCGCTATGCCGAAATATGCGCCGGGAAATCAAAATGAATGCAACAAGACCGTGCGGTTACGCATCCTATACCGACCGGTCGATGGACGCGGTGGACGCAGTGGGCGGAGCGCAATGTTTCTCTTTATCCTTCACTTTCCAGAAATGCATGAGGCGACTCAATCGATGACCCTTTTTCCTATATCTTTCAGGTGCATCTCCAGGAGGCTTCTCCTCCTGGTAGAGTTTGCTGCGTTCGGAATGAGGTCCGCCAACCAACTTGGAAAGACTCGCGAGGCTAGACCGTTTGGAGGCATTTGCTTGACTGCTGCGACGGTGGACAGCAGCTGAGAAGGACGCTGCTCGGTCCGTCGACAGGCGCGCACGAGGGAAGAACGACGCGGAAAATCGATTCACGGTGTTGGTCATGGTCGACGCACTGCTGCTGAGAGAAGGAACATCCTCCACAGAAGCATAAGGATAATCGGAAGGGAGATGGTGGTAGGAATGGCTCGAGAAATGACGATCATTGAAAGATCGCGGAGCATCTGGCGAGGGAAAGGATGAGTCCGAGGGCGAGACTCCTGCAGAAAGAGAAAACGGAGGAATGCTAGGAAGCAGCTCATTAGGCGACGTGGCAGGCCGCTTGTCAATTGCCAAGAAGCCAGGGGAGACGTCAGGACTCGGCGGACACCTTGCCTTTGGAATCGACTCCTCCGACTTCAAGATCTCTATTGGACTGCGAGGTTGTCCGTGGAAGGGATTGTGGGTGTTTTGCATAGCCTCAACTGGACAAGAATGGGTCGGGAGAGGAGTATCCTTTTGACTTGCGGGCTCTTCCTTTGCCTGAATTCCAAGACCGGCATGGAAGGTGGGTTTAGGCTGGGCTACAGGCGCAGGCGCCCGGGTCAAGGTGTCTGTCGTGTTATTACTCTTGACGCGCTTGACAGAGTCCACCTCCACGTCCTCATCGGATGACGTAGCAATGGCTTCCTCGGACGGACCCGGGCCACCTTCTTCCCTGGGGGTCTGGTTGGCAGCCAAAAAAGCGTCCTCTTCCTCTTCATAGAATACATCAGGTGTTTCCATCGTCGACGAGCCAGCAAGGCGGTTGAGACTCAAGGCGCTGCGGTCAAATGGAGGCATCACTGGGGCACTCTCAGCCCGACGATGATACCGCATTTCCGGTCCAACAAATTCACCTCGTCGTCCACCACTGTACATGCGCTGGGTTGCCAAAGAGAATTTGCTGGGCACGCCTCGTGACTGTCGGTTATCGCCAGGGGTATTGAAAGGGCCAAGGGCAGCATCAAGATCGATGATTGGGCTTTGTAACATGTCATGTTGCGTCTGGACATTCTGCTCATAGAAACTGCGTGGCTTCCACGAAGTTTCAAGAGTAGGAATCGGCACGGGTGACACATCCTGAGTCCGCTCAGCAGCTGAAATAGGTGCTTCGGGATTAGTCGGAGTACGAATGACCACAACATCATCATTGTCAAAATCAACTTCCAAGACCGATCCAACATCAGAATTAGTTCGCATGAGCATTGGGGGTGTCAAAGCGGCGGGTCTCGGTTTCGACTTTGGCTTTTCCTCGGCTTCCGATTTCACATGGCGCTTGCCTTTACCACGGGTCAAGATGGCGCCGGCCCATGAGCGAACACGTTTCTGCTTCTTCTTCGACTTGTGTCGTGATTTCTTCGAGGGCGAAGTTTCGTCGCCTTCATGGTCAGTGTCACTCAATTCAGACCCGTCATCGGAGAAGGAAGGACGGGACGTGTCCGTAGAATGAGCGTCGTCGAGTGCAGGATTTTCGAGTGTGACGTCGAGATGTCCGGTGGACATACTCTTGCGGGAACGCGAATGTCCAGTGGATTTTGAACGTTTAATCGCCGGGACCTCTGGAACATTGTTGCTTTGAACCAAATCGAAAGCCAAAGATGCATCGGCAGTTTTCGGCCTTGGCTTGGACCTCCGGTTGGGAGGCATGCTACGCACCTCTGGGACAGGAATCTCCGGTTTGTCGAATTTGATCGTACTAGGGCTAGCTGCTAAGGCTTCATATGATACTGCCGAAGAAGGGCGCCCGATATCTGTCTCATCATTCTGCGGGGGTGGTTGGATCTGAATAGCGGCTGGAATCGGTGGCACCGGAGGAAATTGGGGAGATGCAGGAGGGGTAGGACGACCAAGACTCGTCGCAGAGTAAGAGAGAGGCCGAGAGGTGTTCTCATGTCCGTTATCAAAGGTCCGATCACCTGGGGTGCAGGGCGCGCTTCCAGCCGTGGGGTTGGTTCCAAGGGCCTTGTTGATAGCGATCAGATCGACACCTGAAATGGCTGCTGAGCGGCGATGAGCGTGATGTCGTCGTCCAGGACCACGACCGGAAGGGGGCCCTGGCGGAGCAGTCGGTTGTGTTGAGCCCGTCGATTCTTCAGGTTTGGCGCCCGCATCACCGACCCCGGGTGTCACCAATTGATCACCCCCAACAAATTCACTCGGCCGCCGTCGATGACCGCCTGCTCGGGGATTCGGAGGTGGCGTGGGCTGTAGAGACTGGCTAGCACCAGGATTGAACGAAAATGCCGGAAGCGCCGCGGGGGCTCGACTCTCTGTCTCCACGTGCGAGTCGGGATTGGCTCCGTCCGGATCGTGAGCGGGAAATACGAACGGCGGGTTCGGCAACGGGGCCGGCATGCTGAGGCGACGACTCGATTGAGCAGAGGGCGGAGGGAGAGAGTCGAAATGCTGAGGAAATCCCGACTGGGACTGCGGGGGGAGAGAAAGGGAAGCCATCAATGCTGTGCAAGAAAGAAAAATGAAACTAAAAAAAATTCCAAGTAAAAAAGCGACGGTCGAAAAGATCCAGAAGGATGAAGACCTCCAGACCGTTCGACTTCCCGAAGCGAAAGGAAAGCCCAAGGAATCTGGAGGTCTGTTTATTCACCTCTCTCGAGGGTCATTTGAATCTTCCGCACCAGGCAGAAAGCAAGAAGCGATTCGGGGCGGGAGTGACGGAAACTCGGTCGCGAGCAGCGAATCGAAGATTGAAGAGGCGGTATAAGGAACGGACGGCCACGACGAGGGCCAGGGAGGATGGGGAAAGGGGAGGGCGAGAGAGTCGTGAGAGTGTATGGGAGGTCGGAGGTTGAAGGTTGAGGTTGGATGAAGGGAAAAGAGAGAACAACAAATCCAGGAGGGGGGTGGTAATGTCATTACGGTATTACGGGGCCCGAGGGTGGTGCGGGTGGATTGCGATGGGCAGGGGGTAATTAATCCTGACGCTGCGTTCGCTCTCATTCGGAGATAGGGAGATTACCGTCGATCGACTCGAGGTCGTACTGGGGACTCGTGGCTCTCTGCACGTCGCCGGCAAAACAGAAGGTTGCTTCTACATTCGCCTTGATGTATTCCCGCTTGAAATACTCTCTTGAGCGAGGCATGGAGGAAATCCTCGGTCGGGTCATCTCCATGAAGCTAGGTGGACTCCGTATCGTCGCCGCCAAGAGGTCTACTGCATAGGAACCATCTCTTCAACCGGGACGGCAGCGAATACAACTCCCTACTGCACTCCTGCGCTCCTACACACACTGTATCGTGGACGCTGGGCACAGAGAATGATGTGCCCTGGGATCCGACGCCGCTGAAGGGGACATCCCTGCGCCCTTGATTCGGGCGCCTGAAAAAAAGGAAATTCAGATCAAATCAAATAAAAACCCAGTCTATAGGTTCATCCCCGTCGGGTCCATTGACTTGCAAGGAACGCCGCGATGGGTCCAGATCAAACACGCGAAGCCGGACGAAGCCCCGAAGAGAGTTTGCGGGAATGTGAGATCTCTTTTCGGGTCCCCCCATTGTTCTCGTATTGGTCTTTCTTCTCGAGTTGGGGAAGGACAGACGAAACTGTAATAATAGAGGACGTCATGACTTTGGGGGTTTGGTTGCCACCGGACGACGAGTCTTTGTTGACGGGAGAACCCACTGGGGGCCCAAAAGCAGTTCGTTCGCAATCTGATGGGGCCGTACAGGGCCTGTATGGACCACTGGCTCATCCACTTTTCTGGCGGTTTCTCCGTACCCAGGTACGGTCAATCTCAGGATCCTGGGGTCCTTGGGGCATACGCCAATGAGCAGGCGCACGCATCCGGAGAAAAAGTGGGCTGCAGGCACCAACGAGTCTAACGCCAGGGCCAATCACTCGAGGCAATCTCGCTTGTTACAGGTGGGTCTTGCAGGCGCCACTGGGGGGGGGGGGTTCAAATGCAAGTCACAGGGGGGAGACACCATTGAGTCGTGGGCGCTGCATTGATCATTGATGGATGGTTCTCGGTACAAGGATCTTGAGGCGTATTTGTTGTTGCCCCAGTACGGCATGGATTCAATGGGCGATGAGGCAGATGCTAGCTCTCAAATAGTAGTGGGTTGAGCGGATTGCCCGGGAGATTGCCAGGTCGCACTGGAACCAAGGCCTGCGACGTCTCCATCCGGGGGCTTGGCGCCAGTCAGATCGGATATAAATAGGGCGAGAGACACATTAGCGCCGAATCATGACAAGGAGAGCGGGAGGGGAGAAAGAAGATCGGAGCTGAGGGAGGGGGGAAAGCAATCCCTGCACCGAACCAGGGCAAATGAAACATCGTGATGCCCCCTGGCGTCCGCGAGGGGACGAGTCCTATCGGGCGGCCCAATGACGGGGCTTGTTTTTCATGCAAAGTGCATGTGGGTTTGCCCGTTCGGCGAAGTGGATGCAGCATTGAATTCAATCTTTCAATAGTCGGCCATCACCGCCATGGCCATTGTCACCGTCATTGAGCTGAACTGCCGGGGAAGATCAAGGATGGCAGCCCAACAGGAAAAAGCAATGTCTCGGGAGTTTCAAGACTAAGCGAGGTCTCCCCGTAATGTAAATAATGTAAACTGAACGACTCGCACATACTCCTTTGAACAACCAACGGTGTCCTGGTTACGTATCTACTGCCTATCTCGGTCTAGAAAGGTGTAAGGAAATTTTCTTTGGATATGGACGCTAGATTCGAAGTCGGATGAGATCCGGAAGTCCATGCTCAGGAGCGACACCTCATGTCGCGGCACTAGTGGATCTGATTCGCGGGCTATAGTGCAATCGCCACCCGCTATCATTCACACCAGGCCTCGTCATGCTTGTCGTATTTTCGTATCATTTAAAGACAGATTAGGTCTAGCAGGGGCATTCTGTACCTAAACATGTCCACTTGTGGGCTCCGGAAGTCGGAAGACGGAAGGATAAATCGGCTCTGCAGACTGACAGTGTCCAGTACTATACAAAATACAGTATACTCCTTATTTAACTTGTGTTGCTCCGGGTCCCTTTGTCTCCGGGATGCCGAGATCTCATCCATGGACAAAGCATACATCCCATTCCGGGCCCACGGGTGGTTTCTGTGGAGAGCGACCCTGTCCAGGAAACCCGTCCGAGCGGTCGCAGCCGCCGCCCATGTTTCGGCACTGAGTAGGCCACCATGATATCAAATTCGGACAGAGTTTGGTTTTTGTTTTTTTCTCCGTTCGCAGCACATTCCCGGAATAGGCAGAAGGCGAGGTTAAGGTTTTCTTATTCTTCTCGGCCCGGCCGATACCCTCATTCGCTCATGATCCATTTCGGCACTTGGGGCACGTTTACCGTATCCACATCGAGGATATGTTTCACAGAGCAAGCCATGGCCGAGTATTCGAAATTTTCATGGCATACACTAGATGTCCGGCTAAAAAAAAATCGGAGCGGAATGCAAACACGTCACTTTGTTTCTGGGTAGGATGTAGAACAGCTTTAATATCCGTTGGGTATATACGTATATCGATCACAGTCGCAGTCGACCCCGATATACCTACTGGAGAATCAATGCCTTGAGCACATCTCCCAGAAAATTTTCCTACGATAATCTACATACTTCGACAAGAGCAAGAGCGACAAACATCCTGTGATACATAGAGCAATCATAACAATTTGAGTTTATGACTTCCTTGTCTAGACCTATATAGACGATATACACTCGATCTGTCAGAAGCTCATGAGAATCTATCCTCTAAGATACCTCCTACAGGTTTTCACCATTGTAATGCAAGGCCAGAACAAATCCATAAGCCAGCCAGCCATCCCTATCTCGTAAGATGCGAGTAGGTCCAAACGCCAATGAGATAGAATGTGTCCCGAGGTCCAAGATCAGATGAGCAGTGTAGCTGTACAAGGCCCACTTTCACGAAAAGCAGAAACGAAAGAAGCAAACACCGAACTCCAGAATAGGATGAAAGCTATGAGATATGGCCCGAATGAGATGTAAAATTTATTCATCGCTGTCCGTTTCGACCTGATCGTTCTCCAAATGCTTTTTCCGCTCCTCATTTAGTTCGCGGTAGGTGCTCCAGCTGAGGAGGAAAAATGCCGCCATGATCAAGATACCTCCAATGATGGCCGCGAAAGATAGTGGCTGTCCTGTGCGGAACCAATCCACAATAGCCACAAGGAAGATCGTCAGCAGAGCGGCCACAGATGACAGAACGGGCGAGGTTAGAGAGATGAGCACCAGGAAAGACCCAGAGAAAGCTGTGGCGGGGTAGAATTAGCCTGATACCTCTTGCATAGTCAAACGCGAAACAGAATGTGAGACTTACTGGCATTGGCACAGATGGAGATAAGAAGCATCCAGAAAGCCTCGCCCGTGGGGAATCGGAAGGTTTCCCACCCGAGAATATGCAGGATTGGGATCGGAATCCACAATACTGTAAGCGTGAAGCAACCGATCATGCTACCAAAAGTATTGGCGAAGATCGTGCCCCGACCGGGACTTGTACCCTCCGGAGGACAAGCAAAGCGCTTGTACAGCACCTCATACAGGCCGTAGAGCACACTTCCGACCCCGATGACAATGTTGCCTAGAAGTCGGTGCTGGGCTTCTTGGTCTTCAGCACCAGTGGTTCCTCCCTTGGAGACCTTCTTCTCGGGTCGATCCCCGTAGGCCACCACTAGGACGCCGATAATTGCAATGCAAACCGCAAAGACTTTATCGAATCGGAGTTTCTCTTTGAGCAAAGGGATGGAAAAGGCGTATGCGAAGAATGCAGAGCAATTGTAGATGGCGGTTAAATCACTGGCGGTCGTCAAGTTCACGGCAACATACCATGAGCCACCTGCGATCGTGAGGGCAGTGGTCACGAAAGCAGTCGTCTTGATCATGTATGGGACCGGAGAACGATGATAGTCACGGGAGGTCAAATGGACATCTTGGGTTTCTACCATCTGGGCTGTACTTTTGATGAGGAATACATGGCGGCGCCAGAAAGCGTTCCATGACATCTTGCGCTTCTGGATTCGTAGGATGGCAAGCTGCACTGGCCAGAGCAATGCCCAGGATCCATGGGTGACGTAACTGCGTAAGGGTAGAAAAAAAGCGATTGGTAAGCTTTTGCAGTCCGGGGAATAAGTGGGATGGGATTTTTGGGCTCCGGGCTACGTTCTCATCGGTGGGTGTTTATCGTCCAAAACTTACAGCATGCAATACGGTTTATCCCAATGTAACTCATGCTGGATGTATACGGCGGTCTCGGTCTGCACAACAAAGCTGGCCAGACTCAACAGCAAAAATCCTGCAGCAATCATGTATTTCTTGCGTGTGGCTTGGGCAGCGTCATATTCCGGGCTCCTACTCCGCATGGTAGGTCGACGGGTGTGGTGCAACATAGGACGGCCCTCTGCGTCGCCATTCCCGAAGCTAGAGCGGGACAGGCGGCCAGTCTGGTCATCTTTGAGTAACGGTTGCTGCGATCGGCCATCTGTCGGTCGGTGCAATGGGGGGCGATTGACAGCCATCTCGCCGTCGGAGTCTAGCGAGGAGCGAGCCGGGCCCGGGGATGAATCCACCCGCGGTTCTGCAAGTTCAATACTGTCCGAAGCCACAATGGCGTTGGTATAGTGTGACGAGGCGCTTGCGCTTTTGATTTATCTGAACTGCTTCTGATGCAATCGAAGGCCGTTGTCTACCAGAGTGCTCTGGCCGCGCAAGATAACAGATAAGGACTGGGAGCGCTGGCGAAAATATGTCCTCTCATCCAGGAGGTGGGATAAAAGTCAGGATGGCACTGGTAGTCGGTCTCTTCCTGCTTTTCGTTTCGACCTCACGTCTGACTGCCACCGGTTCAACCGATTCCAGGCTGCCAAGTGATGTTCTCGTTCGCATGCGGTCTGGAGCCGATCTGGGGTTTCTGGGGCGGATGGGGCTGCGGCCACGTAGAGTCGTTCGACAGGGTCCAGGGGTTGTTACAACGGCACTAAGTGATGGAACCGAAAATAGCGACTAATGATTTCCTGTAAGAGAGGTTTGACACAAGGAGAGGAGAATCGGAAATTAATCAGTTGTGACCCGTTTGAAAGCACAAGATCCCCCAAAGAATGGACGCCTTCGTCATCATCACGTGACATGTGCCTGAACACGACGCTACCCCTGATTGGGTTTAGCAGGTGACATTAGATAATCAAGGTTGTCTCAGGCGTCCATGGCAAGTGACCAAATTTAGATTGTTCATTATTATTAGGAGTTTACTAGTTATAAGTTGCCTTTACATCATCGGTCACATTGCCTCTGTATTTTCTATCCAGATGGGGGTTTCCTATTGGCTAGTGGTATGATTCGCGCCTAAGAAGACTCAAGTTCTGTCAATGAACAATTGATTTATCAGTTTATATAGTTACCAAGTCTGAACTATAAATAGTACGAATTTCTAGATCGTAACGACGCAGAACCTCTATGTTCACCGCTTTCAATTCAGTAAAGGTCACCACAGCTCTAGCCTTTGTGGTATGGTGGTTCATCACATGCAGCCCGCCTTCACGTCGAATATCCAAGGGGAGCTGGAAAGGCTCGCTCCGGGTATTCACAGACGAAATTTTCATCTCCAGCACTCCTGTGATTTTCCCCTGTATATTCCCATATACCCACTTCATCTAACATCTATTATGAAGAGTAACTTATATAAAGACTAATTAATTATAGCCTATCTCTATAAGACATTATGTTGTAGAGCACCGAAGATTGTACCTTTTCTAGGAACGCATCTATTCATATGATGAAGATCACATCCACAAAATCCGTCAAAAACAGGTATCTAGATTCAAGCTCTCACTGATACAATCGCCTAGGCCTTCTTGGGCTTGAACAATGCCTCCTGGGTGTCATATGTATACTTCAGATCCAGGTGCCAATAGTTCGCAGAAGTAGGCTTCGCAACCAGCCATGCCTTATCCAGAGCCTCCACGACTTCCTCAGGAAGGGGTCCCTTCTGGAGATCTTGGAGATTCGTCTCGAGTTGTGCAAAGTTACCCACTCCGACCAAGACGCCATCTCGGCTGCCATTGTTCATGTTGAGTACAGAATGATGACGAAGCCAACGCAAAGCCGTTTCTACCAAGGTAAGGCCATGCTTCTCAACGACAGGCTCGATAATGCTGAGGGCTTCAAAGTTCGCATCCCGGAAGTACCGATTACGGTAGTTGGGTCCCGAAGAGACCTTGTCGCTGTATCGTCCCTCTGCCGGGATGTCCTTGGTTTTATACTTGCCGGAGAAGAGACCCCCAGCAAGAGGATTGTAAACCACAATATCGAGACCGTAGCGTCTGCAGGCGTGAACAAGCTCTGTTTCAATGTTGCGGGCTATATGGGTCCAGGTCGTCAGTTGCTACTCACGGCAACGCACTTGAGGGGCAACAACAACAGCGAAACGTACTAATGGCATTATACATAGCTTGGAAGATGGTTGGGCGCACCCATCCCCTCTCGGCACAGAGGGTCACGATCTCTGCGACCTCAAACGAAGTGTAGTTAGACAGACCGAGCTGTACAAACTTGCCCTCCTTGTGCAATTCATTGACAGCCTCCAGGGTTTCGGCGAAGGGGACAGAGCGGTCTGGCGCATGAAGATAGAAGATATCGACCTGATTGGTGTTCAATTCCTTCAGAGAGAGCTCCAGATTCTCGCGCAGCACGGTCGGCTTGTGGGCACCGGGATACTGCGGGTACCATTTTGTGGCGAGGGTTAGGCCACGTTCTTTCCAATTCGCCTTCGCTGTGAATGCCTCTTGCTCTCCGCCAATATAGATGCGGGCGGTGTCGACTTCATTGAAACCTTGCTGCTGAAAGTAGTCCAAGCACCGGTTGTACTCGTCGAGAGAGGTGATGCGAGCTCCCTTGGACTCGTTGGGTCCGAAGGTCATCAAACCAAGGATGACTCGAGGTTGAGGGTTCTGTGCAATGAGAGGCATATTGACTAGACTAGATGATGTAATTATACCGCTGCGTGGGGGCCGTTGGAGTTGAGAGTCGGAGTTGAGGGGAGGGAAGGAATGGCGCGGGGGAGGGGCTCCGCGGAGCATCCCGATTTTTGATAACGATGGCCTTGTTGCGCTCCACTTCACCTGCGGAGCCGACCGCATCGCGAACCCCAAAACAAAACTAGTTCCGTGATATTTCAACTTCCTTTCTCCTGCAGTCTGACTCAACCATCGACACTCTCTTCATATAAGCGGCATCCAACCCTTTCCTTATGTCTACCCATCACCGCAGCCGGGATCCGTTCCGGATCCTGATTATCAACCCCAATGTATCCGAGAAAATGACCGAGGCTCTGAAACCAGTTCTAGAGCGCTTGGATTACCACGATGTCCATTGGCAGTATTACACGTCTCCGAAACAAATCCCCTCCTCTGGCCCCAGCAACCCCGAGATGCCAATCGAGAGCATCAATAATGCCGTGGACTCGGCCAAAACGGCATGGATTTGCCGAGAGGTTGCCAACGAGATGGAGAAGTATGATGCGTTCCTGGTCGCCTGCTACTCTGCCCACCCGCTAGTAGGCATCATTCGGGAGAAGATCGAGGAGTTTGAGCAGAACAATCCTACTCAAAAACACCGATACGTGACCGGCATCTTCGAAGCTAGTATCACAACTGCGCTCTCATTGACCAGTGGGTTCAATTTAACGACCGTGATGTATGAACGGAAACAAGTGGCTGATTCCTTCGGAATTGTTACCACTGGTAATGCTTGGAAAGAGGAGCTTGCCAATGCTGTCACCGAAATGCTCGCGGGCGTTGACCAGAATTATCCTGCTTGCTTCGCAGGCGTGGAGACCACGGGTCTGTCAGCGATTGAGCTGCACAAGACTGACCCCGAAGAAGTGACAAAAAGGATTTGTGAGGCGACAGAGCGACTGCTTAGAAATTACAAATCATTTGTTGGCGCGGTCTGTCTGGGGTGTGCCGGCATGGCCGGTATGGAGAAAGCTGTGCGAGAGGGCTGTATCCTGGCATATGGCCAGAAAGACGGCAATCGGGTCCGCATAGTTGATGGAGTCGTTGCAGGAGCGGCACAACTGGTGAGCTATTGCAGGCAAGGATTCTAAGGTAGCGCATATGTGCTCGACTTATGGTTCGCGAGACCGAGGATGATTAACGATGATATTTCCACGATTCAAGCTTGCCATGTACTGGCAAACAAAAACGCATGTACATAATCAAGCATTTTATCGCTACAAAACTTGGCTGAACGGTAATTTAAAGTAAGGAACCTGTGCTCTTTATAAATGAGTAGTATGTATTATCACGGTCAGTGCCCAGCGGCGATGTCCAACTTGGTGCCTGAGGCTGCTGAGGTCCCGGCCAAAAAGTTCCCCGCGCAACGCGCAACGCGTTATTCAACCTTCCCCTCGACGGCGCAAGTGGACCACCATGCCTCGGTATGTAATTGACAGCGCTTGAGTCTGGATTGAATTTTTTCTTCTAAGTTCCTTGGAACTAATTTTTGTACTTATGATAGAGAAATCATCACGATCCAAGCGGGCCAGTGCGGCAACAACGGTGTGTCGTTCGTTATCCTCCGAGGACCTTCAATCAGCTTCCTGTCATTGCAGTTTCCCTTTCGTGCTCTTCCGGTAGTGAAGCTCATGATTGTTCTTGGGAAACAATAGATCCTGGCGGCTCATTTCGCTAACCTGGATTATCTTCAGTGGGCAGTCAGTTCTGGCAACAGTTGTGCCAGGAGCATGGCATCAGCCAAGATGGAAACCTAGAAGAGTTCGCGACCGAAGGTGGAGATCGCAAAGATGTGTTCTTTTATCAGGTATATATGATCGAGCTCTTGTGAAGAGACCCCCCTGATCAACAGGCGCTGTTCGGAGCTGATTGAAGTCTGGAACAGAGTGATGACACCCGATACATTCCCCGAGCAATCCTTCTCGATCTAGAACCTAGGGTATGACCTATGTCTGCGCATCGAACCTGCAGAGTTAATTCAACTCTTGCGATACACGATAGAACTCAATAGCTAAGATGAGAAACAGGTTCTCAATGGCATCCAAACCGGACCCTACCGCAACATCTACAATCCAGAGAACTTTTTTGTCGGACAGGGTGGTATTGGTGCTGGAAACAACTGGGGTGCAGGATATGCAGCAGGAGAGGGGGTGCAGGAAGAGGTTTTTGATATGATCGATCGAGAGGCGGATGGCAGTGATTCACTCGAGGTATGATCCCGATGGGCATCATACAAGATTATGGGCTCGCGAAGTCATAATACATCGGCTTACAAGACTTCACCAGGGCTTCATGCTGCTACACTCCATTGCTGGAGGAACTGGATCGGGACTGGGTAGTTTCATCCTGGAACGTATGAATGACCGATTTCCCAAAAAGCTCATCCAGACATATTCTGTCTTTCCAGACTCACAGGATGTGGTCGTCAACCCCTATAACAGTCTTCTTTCTATGCGGCGATTGACACAAGATGCGGACTCAGTGGTATGCTTGTCTTCAAGATCTCTGATAACATCGTCGATCACTAATTTAACTGCAGGTTGTCCTGGATAATGGTGCTTTATCAAGAATCGTTACGGATCGACTTCATGTGCAGGAACCTTCATTCCATCAGACCAACCAACTTGTGAGTATATTTCCCATAGTCTCTGAGTGCAGCATCTGGTGCTCACCATAAACAGGTGTCGACTGTTATGTCTGCCTCTACCACCACCCTCAGATACCCAGGTTACATGCACAACGATCTAGCAGGGATCATTGCCTCGCTCATTCCCACACCACGCAGCCACTTTCTGCTTACCTCATACACCCCCTTCACCGGCGACAATATCGAGCAGGCTAAGACAGTGCGCAAGACCACCGTTTTGGATGTGATGCGTCGGTTGCTGCAGCCTAAGAACCGCATGGTCTCAATCAACCCCAGCAAGTCCAGCTGCTATATCAGTATCCTCAATATCATCCAAGGTGAAGCAGATCCGACTGATGTACACAAATCTCTGCTGCGTATCCGGGAGCGACGTCTCGCATCCTTCATTCCCTGGGGCCCAGCCAGCATCCAGGTTGCCCTGACTAAGAAATCGCCGTATCTGCAGCATACCCACCGAGTCAGTGGCCTCATGTTGGCTAACCATACCTCTGTCGCCACCTTATTTAAACGCATCATCCAGCAATACGACCGCCTGCGTAAGCGAAATGCTTTCTTGGAGCAGTACAGGAAGGAGGCACCGTTTGCAGAAGGCTTTGGTGAGTTTGATGAAGCGCGCGCCGTGGTCATGGATCTTGTAGGGGAGTACGAGGCCGCTGAGCGGGAGGACTACCTGGACCCGGATGCCGGGAAGGAGAAGGAAATCGGGGTGTGATGGTCGCTATTTTCTGTCTTTCTCTTCATTGCTTTTTCTTGGGCTATTTGCTTTCTGTCTGTCTATTTGCTTCGGCAGGGCAAGGGGTTCGGGCGCATTATCGGGCGCGTGTGCAGGGCTCCTGGCGTTGTTCTGTGCTTTTAGCTTCCCCACACATAACATCCTTCTACTTTCAAGACATTGACATGCTACATGACTGGGCCAACACATACTTTTCCCCTTCGTCTCTCTTTCCTCAGTTGCATACAAGTGCCTTATATGACCTCTCTTGAGATCATGTATGCACGGCGTTTCGTGTGATCTGTGCTGTGGAGGAGCGTCAGCGGGCGTTCTCATGCAGCGGTGGAGGTGCAGTGTCGTGCGCAGCTGCAGGTTAGTCCCGAAACGGTGAGGGAGAGGGCCTATTGCAAGGAAGACCCGAGGATTTTAAGTTTGTTGCGATTTTTTCTTGCGGGAGAACAGTGTCGTGTGTCCTCCGTCTCCTGGGCTCTTTGCAAGGAAGATCAAATATGTAAATGGAACACTCGGGCTGTTTGCGGGTGTAGGCATTCAATCGTGATCAATGTATCAGGGATGATCGTTGTGAAAAGGATTGACCAATCAGATCGGCCTTTGGTCCTCGTACACAGCACCCTTGTCCTTGGTTAACCAATTGACAGTCCTTGCCCTAATGACCAAAGGATGTATGTGACTTGTCCTTTCTTGCCCCGGAAAGTAGGATTGTGAAGCAGTTGAGTTATCTCTACACAGAGGATATTGTTCAAGGAACGGCTATCGAACCGATCTCTCATAGATCTATACTCATGGAGTTAGATCATTGCTTTATTTATTGCCCAGTCGCATCCCACGCGTAAACGAGCTCCAAAAATAGATAGATACCAACAAACCCCTAGAAAGCCCTTGGAATTGCTCATTGTTGGTCGCCGTTGCCTTCGATACCATTGGTGAAAACAAAATGATGTTAAACAAGGCACTCTTAAGGAAAATATGTTGGGCACGCAATTTACCGCCATATAGCCCTGGGATGAACGGGGAAGGTAGCAGCCACCATCGCGTTCTGGGGCTATCAGGTTAGCTCCACGCCGCGTTGGGTAGGGAAGATGTCGATTATATATCTCCATATCTAAAGTGTATTGTTGGTCTACGTAGATTGGGTCGCTGGACAACCATTCATTCGGTGGTTGGTTGTATACAACGGCGTCTCGTCCTGGTCTTGGGGGGGGACCAACATTCAAGGTATACCTCGCTTATATCGGGAATCCCGCCGGAGTACAGCGCAGATCCCAAGACTCCATGTTGGCGACGTGGTCGGGTCGCCTCCTCCTCTAGGCCCGGCAGAGGAATAGATATCCGGAGATCATCCGCCGTGCGTTACTGCAGCCCATGGGGACTAGACGACTCGTCCATTCTCATCGCAGGCCACCCTGCCTTCATCCGACTTGGCATGGGCCATAGCTTCAGTTCCTTTTCCCCGTCTTGCTGCATTGGGGCGTAGTCCCAACGGAGAGGGCGGGCTCTAGGCATGCTGCCCAAGCCTTGTTTTTCCTATGTCGCACACGCAGGGTCTCTTGCGTGGTTGAGTTGACGGGACTGGTGGTCTGCGGAGGAGACAGCAATTCTCCGAACTCGCCTTTTGCCACTTGAGAACCCAGCAACGCGAATTCCGTGGGTGGCGCGCTGGCACGGAACCGAGCGTTGGGAATGGGCGTTTCTCCCCTCCACTCTCGGGTAATTGGGATTTGATCTTGGGAATCGTTTGCCTTATCTTTTTTTTCTAGGAGGTTCGACCTGTGCCTGACACGATTTTGCGAACCCTTGGGGAGGGGGTCGTGACTGTCGCACGTGATGGGAGCAGAGTGGGAACGAGAGAATGGCCCGATCGCCTCATGTCTCCACTATGACTCTATCGTACGGAGTACTCGGAGCTAGGACTAAACCCGCACGGCCGCATTCCGATCACTCGACCTGATCAGCCGGGACCGCAGAGACGCAGATAGCGCAAAAGGGGGGGGGAGTGGCTCGCCACGGATGAGAATATGCATTCTGCGGGTGGGACGTTGGTGGGTTAGGAGGTAAGCAGGTAAGCAGGTTAACAGGTTGGCAGATTCGCAGATTAGCGGGTTAGTGGGCTTGGAGGGTCGATTCATTAGGCATGAAGTACAGAGTCGTCGAGACGCTGATGTGGGTGTGGGGGGGGGGGCATTACCTGGTGGCTGGGAGTACGTGGTGTACGTGGGAGGCGCCACCCCGGAAGTTTCGTTAAGACGGTTGAACAACCAGCATTCCCGTAAAGGGGAGGGGGGCAGCAAGTGCTGAGGGGATCAGGGTGTCGAAGGCCCGTTGTCCAACTTAAGGGTGCTCTATAGACACCAGAGAGGACCAAAACCAATCGAGTCATTGGTGATACTGTGGGCTATATAATAGCGTTGGGTTATAGAGATCTAATGGGAGGCGCTCTACCTTGGAGGACGAAGTATATCACAAATGACTCCTACCAGACATGAGACCGCCACCCTGTAGGATCCCCCTGCAAGGAACATTCGTAGGACCAGATAGCATGACACTCGGAGTTCATAGTCGACCATAGTTGGTGTTAGTCCACTATAGTGCCTTGCTAGTACCGGGTACAGATGGTTTCCCTGGAGCCTGGGCGATGGGACAGGGCAGAAGTAGTCGGTACTCCGCGCCTCCATACTCGGTCAGTCAGGAGAGCGAGTACTCTATACGTCAGAGGGCGGACCTTGTGACTGCGGTCCCCGGTCTCGCGAGTGCAGCGTATTCCGTCCAGTGGACCCCATTCTGAACAAGTGGCCCCCGATCAGTGAAGAGACGCTCCCCCAAAGCCAGGCCTATCGAACCTTCTGGTGAGGGCCCGCCTCGCCTCCCAAATGATTCCGTCACGGCTCGCCTCACCCTGACTCAGCCGACCATCGTCCTTTGGTCCTCTTGGGTCCTTTCATGAAACGGCGCCTATATCGTGTTCCCCTTTTAACCTTGGATCTGGTCTCCAAATCGGCTGCCTTTTGACTTTCTGCCTTTTCTCGTTCTTTCTCCCGTTCCATCCGATCCACCCTCCCCTATACTTCCCCCTATATAACCTTCTCTCCCTCCCCCCAAACGCCCATCTTTCGATCCTTCATCTCCCTTTCTCCCTTCCCCCTTTACATCAGCTATTTCTTTATCCCCCCCCAACGTCTGAATTACCGCTTTGCCTTCTCCTTGCCAGACTCCATATCTTTCTCCCGCTCTAGATCGCCAATTCAACTCTCTCAGTCCACATCAATTCGACCAATCTCGCCTTTCTGCTTTTGAGGTTCCTTCCGTCACCCGATCACGAGAGACTATCGGACTATCGGTCTATCTACCATCACCTTATCGGCTCGCGTCCTTCTCCGCACTTTCGCCCTCGCTTTCTCCCCAACCCGTCAATCCGCCCCCGGCGCTTATCTCCAGACTAGACCGCCTACTCCCGGGGCCAGTCACACCCTCTATACGGAGCTCTTGCCTCTTGCCAACCAACCGCCCGCTTCACTCGCCGTTCTTCTTGGACACGCCAACCATGCCCCGTAAGCCTCGTTGCGATTTCAAGGAGTGCAAGGAGGCTGCCCAGCGGATTTTCGGCGACTGCAGCTTCTGTGAAGGCCACTTCTGCTCCAAGCACCGCATGCTGGAAGCCCATATCTGCACTGGATTGGAAGCCTGCAAGACGGAAGAACACAATCGCAATGCCGAGAAGCTGAACAGCGAGCGGACCTGTCCAGTAGTCGTCCCGGGTGTATGAAACCAATCGGGGTCCACGTTTCCTCTTAGGCCACTTGCCTCCCAGGCAGCCTTCCCTTCCCCGGCTCGGGCCCGGGCTCTTTGATTTCCAACGGCCAGCTGTCTGGCCGCCCATTGGGTTTAGCGCGGTGTTTCATGATTTTCGATCTTCGCTTGGTTCTTTCGGGGGTGTTTCTCGTTTGACGTGCCTGTCGTGGCATTGGCTACGGCCTGGGGTTTATTTTATCTGTTTGTTTTCTACATCTTTACTACATTTTAACATTTTACCAATCCTGGATTTGAGCGCCTTGTTGGGCCTGTGCTCTCTTTGTGTTTCTGGGGAGATTTCCTCATCTATAAACGGCGTTTGCTCTCCCCCGCTATCTGGTTTTTGATTGATTTAGTTTCTTCATTTTGGGGGACTCGTGACCATTGCATTCTTTGCCGGGCAGCATCTGCCTTTCGATTCGTCCTTGATCTTGTTTTCGGGCTTCTACCTCCATAGAGATCCCACGGGACTCGTCTTCTGTTTCCACACCCCCCGAGACCAGTTTGTTCGTTACTACTAGCCAATTGGAATTCGATTCTTTCAATAAATCTTCTCTGGTCATCTAGTATATCACAAGCACATTCCAGTGCTTCTGAGAACCGGCTGAACCGGCTGAACCACCTTGTCCTCTTCAACCCGGTCCAATCTTCGGCCTGCGAAAGGGTCAGCATGCTCCTGGTCCTGGACTAGAACAGATAGACGGTCGTCGACGGGGCACGACGTACATATCATGATGTTCACTCAACCGGCTGAGGTACTTGTTCAACTCCTCCACGCGCTCTTTATGCGTCTTTACGCCCTCCTTCTGTAGGCGTTCGTGTAACTAAGCCAGGCAACTCTGTTAGTCCGAATCCCGTCCCTCCCCCAACCAAGTCCTCCCCCGAAAATCCGGTGCGATACATACCCGTTTCCGCCGATTCTCCTCATACTTCCTCTCAGACTCCGTCTTTGCCGATGCTCCTGATCCCCCTTCCCCGGACCTATCTGCCCGCTCCTCCGAAGGCACTCTCTCAGCCTCCCCCTTGTAGTCCGCGTCCTCCGTACCCGCGCTGGCTTCGGCCTCGGCCTCCTTCTTCAGAGCCTTCTTCTTCTTCTTCTTCTCCACTCGCCCGTCGCTTACTTTGCTGCCCTTCAATTTGAGCTTGCCACCCCCCGCTGCTGGAGTAGTCGTCACGCGCCATGGCTGTGCCGTAATGAGGGGAGGGGGAGCTGCTTTACAAGTGCGGAGTAAGAGGGAAGGGAAAAGAGAGTTGCGTTTCCGTTTCCGCCCTTTCCTCGCCCGCTTGGGGTGGTCCCGTGGGATAGGGGTTCTCTCGCTTCCTCTCTTTAAGCCCGACCCGCGGACCAGGATGTGCAAAGAGTGATACGGGCCTTGCAGGAATCGTAAAATTGGGATTGCGCGGTTGGGATGTGAGGGGAGAAAGGACGCGATGGACGGGGCTGTGGCGCATTCTTGGGGGTGAGGTTTGGGTTCGGGGCGGTGGGGCCAATTAGAGGCGGTGGCAAGTTTCTTTGGGGCTGCGCAGTCTATACTGCGCTGTTTAGGGTAGATAGCCGATGAACAGGGCCTAAATAATTGAATTTACTAGTGGAACTTAGAAATAACGATATACGTGGTTATACGAGTCGTGCCATAATGCATTTTTTTTTTTTTTTTTTTGAAAAGTCAAGAAGGCTGGCCACAAACGGGCTGTCTCTCAGGAGGTGGGGGTTCTTCTGGAGACAAGTCTATATCAATATTCATATGCTCATTATTTGGCTCATCAGGATACTACATTTAACTGCATATTTCTTTTCGGGACCAGCTTCGTTTAATCGAACGGTATCGGCCGCAACCCTGTGCCACCCATCCGCTTGCGCATCTCCGCACCCGCGGCCACGGTACTGGGGACCTTGATGCCGCAGCAGTCCCCAAACCAATCCGTATGCTGGTGGCCATGAGGGTGGTCGTGACCATGGTCCTCATCGTGATCCTCCGCGTCGCCATGCTCCGAGGGATTGCTCATCCCATCGGCCGCAGGCAGCAGACTGCCAAACAGGAAATGCTGCATAATGGGCAGCTTCCCCAAGACCTCCTTGACAAACATTTTCTTCATGCCGCTCTCCACCTTGAACCAGTTCTTAGCGCCCGATATATCATCCAGCATTGGACTATGCCAGCGCAGACCCTTGACGGTCTTGACACTATCGACCCACCGTACCTGATCTAGATAGAGGTACTTGTCGCCTTCTTCGTCCAGCATCGCCGTGTTGTGGATCCCCAGCGGCGTCACGTAGGGGTGGTCCACCAACTGGCTGGCCCCAAATAGAAACGGTAGGAAGTGGTAGTCATCTAGCCCCCACACGCCGTGCGAGCCGGCCGGCTCTAGGTAGTAAGTGGACTGAATATCCCGCATTAGATGCAGGTACTGGAGATAAACCTGGAAGACGACGGCCGGGAATTCGGTGGCAGGCAGTCGTCCCAGCTGGTAGAGGGACAGAAGCCACATCATAAAATTCAATTCATGACCGGAGCCGTAATCCAGTCGGTCTCGCGATCCAAGGGAGTGGATCAAGTACGTGGATGCTTCCTCAATCGCGGCGGGATCGGACATGCCCAGAATCTCGGTATGCCATGATGAACTCTGTGTGGCCACGTCATCAAAAAAGGCCCGGAACGCGGGATTTCCGAATCGTGATCCGCCCTGGTCGAGGGCTGGGTGGTCTTCGAGGAGAGATCGTAAGCGACTGACGATCAAGGCGATTTGGCTGATAGAGGAGGATTCGGGCCTGTGCGGGAGATCGGTGACCGCCCGACCACGGACAGAGTCGGACAGGCCGAAGATAAAGGAAAGTACGAGCTTATATGTCGGGGATGACAGAAACAGCTCATGATCTTTGGATGACAGGATACGGCGGATGGGGCGCGCGTATTGGTGAGCGGAGAGGTCGGGGGGCGATGGCAAAGGAGGGGTGGTCGGGGTAGCATCTCGGCCAGAAGCAGTCTGGGATCGCCGATTATTGCTTGACCGCAGCTCAGACAGCTTTTTGGACAGATCCACCTTGCCGGCTTGCGGCGCTAGTGAAGTCGAAGCCATCCTTCCAATCGAGGAGTGAGAGATGAGAATTAACAAACATGGTGAGCAGATCGTCCGCAAGAGTGAACTGGCAGAAAGAACCCTGGGGAAGACCGCCTTCTATAAACGGAACCACAATGACGGAATTAAACTCAAGGGGACTAGTGTGGTGGAGCATGTGATCTCCTATCCCCCGGAAACCAACCGATCGACACATCTGTGGTTTTGCGCTCTGTCATACATGGGGGTTATCATGAGACACATGATGTCTGCAGCTGAGTGAGAGGAACCAGAGAGAGAGGAAAATCCCTTAGAACAGCCCCAGAGTTGTGCCAAAAGCCTCACCACAACCATTCTTCACTATTCTGACCCGGAGAGTCCAAATATCAGCCCACTCATTGCTGGACCCCCTCCTCGGTTGGCCTGGCAGCTCCTGGGCTGCATCGACAACATCACCGACGCCTGTTGATTGGACAGATCCTTTCATTAATTGATCAGGGGACGAACACGCCATCATGAATGCTTTCGAGCCATCGGCGACGAATCCGACAGGCCCCCAGCCCATCGAGGACGCCAGAGATGTCCGATCTTCATCGTCACGCTCGCCAACACATGCGAACTCGAGTCTGTCGTCTTCGGTGGGCAGTAGCCGGTCCCACTCAAGCTTATCGTCCCGAAATCATCATCGATCCCAGCAATCGCACCGGCCGACCAACGAGTCCACGGCCGTCTTCGAACAGATCAGTGCCTCGCCGCGCAGCTATGGCGCTACGGAAGCGCCTCATCCTTCCAGTACACAGAATGTCCCTGGAACCTCTAAAAAAGACCAAATAGGAGGCCCGATACGGAGTAATTCTGGGAGTAATCTTAATCCTCGAGCCACTCAGCCTGACGAATCCAATGAGCCCCATCATTCCTGGTATGGTCGGTTTGTTGATCGATTCGGCGCCCTCGAGTTGGAGAACAAGGGCAGCGTTGCGCGTGACCATCTTGCTTTAGGTACCAAACCTATATCCCTTAATCCATATATGGCTTTTTTGCTTTCAGAACTAACTCTTTACCCATAGAGCGGACGTTCCTAGCTTGGATGCGCACCTCCCTCGCCTTCGCCTCGATTGGCATAGCTGTCACCCAACTCTTCCGGTTAAATAGTGCTACTACAAAGATAAATTCAACCAGCTTCGCGGCTTCATCGTCCAACCCCCTTCTGTCCTCTCACCTCACCCCGATCCTCCTCTTTTCGATATCACTGCATCCTCTGACTCTTCCCGCCTACGCAGTGTCGGCAAACCTCTTGGCTCGACCTTCATCGCCGTTGCTATCCTCATTCTCATTGTGGGCTTCCACCGCTACTTCGAAAGCCAGTACTGGATTGTCCGTGGCAAATTCCCCGCGAGTCGGGGGAGCGTTGCTTTGACGGCATGTGTGGCTGCGGCTCTGATTGTCGCAGCCTTGGCCGTCATTCTGGCGGTTTCCCCTGGTGCGATTGAACGGTGATTACTTGTTTCCACTCTGGGTCATTATTTTCATTCTCTTTGATCTGTTTTCCAATTTTCCTTATCTTTTGCATATTGCATCTTGATATTCATGGAGGCGTACTGTTTGTATGAAATTCGCGATGCATGGAAGACTTTCTTTTTCGAGCCCGTGGACGGTGGTGTCTCTTGTAAAACTTTATCTTGTTCAAATGAAGATCGTTCACGTATATCATTTATTAAGGTAATAGCCCGTAGGTCGTAGGTGTATGGGATTTTCCAGGTCTCTAGGGCAATTCGTTTGCCTGTGGCGTACACGTAGAAGGACTGAAGTCAACGCTTGATGTATTAGTCAACATATTTTGCCTAATGTCTTCAATGATTTATGATTCCTATGTATAGGGAATTGAATTACTCGTTGCCATACGATGCTACAGACGAAGATATATCGATAGAAACGTTTCTTTCTTTTCTGTCAACAGCCCCAGATCCACCCGCACCAGACCAGTCTAGGCACAATATATCGGAGGCAAAAGACACGGGAAAACGAGGTGATTGATAGGTTGGAGGGATATCGACAAGGTGGGCCAGGAAGGAGAGGGAAGAGGAAAGAGGACGAACAGGGAAAGTATGGCACGGCTTGCGGACAATGTGAAGCAAAAGTGAAGAGAAAAGGGACAGAAAGGAATAACCACCTAAGTACATATCGCTGATTTTTACCGCGGGCCAAGCTTGGCCAGGGCTCGCGCACCCTGCTCCTGCCACTCTTGCTTGGAAACCCACATATCGTCCTTGTCGGCGATCTGAAAGTTAAAGCGGTTAGCTGGGGTCTAAGATGGATTTAAGATTTAAAGAATAACAAACCAGGTTGGCCAGGACAGCACCACCCAGGAAAACCATGTGTCTCCGTCGTGGGGGGTCTTCGATGCGGACCTTGAATTTCTGTGGCATCGTTAGCTCTGGGATGTTTACAAGTGAAGCTGTGGGCCTTGGCTAACGTACGTTCAGACGCTCCGGGTTTCCACCCAGGACGCGGGTAAGCCAGAGCTGCTTGAGCTCCTTCTCCAGACGTGAAGGCAAGCCGGGGTACATGCTGCTGCCACCACTGAGAACGATGGCCTTGTATAAACTGGACCGGATGTCGACATCGGTGCCTTGAATGGTGTTGAAAAGCAGCTCAGCCATACCGGGTTGGTCAACGTCAACCAAGTGAGGCTGGAACAGACATTCGGCAGCCTCAAATCGCTCGCTGCCAACACGAATGACACGACCGTCGGGAAGAGTGTAAGACTCGACTAGGACGGTGGTATCCTCGGAAAGCTGTTTGTCCAGCTCGAGATCGTACGAAACATAGCAGAGCTTCTCCTTAATTTGGCGCACAGTCTCAAAATCGGCGGTTCGGTTGAGCGCGTAGCCACGGCGCAGGAGGAGGGCGATCAGGTTGCGGGTAACATCGCGACCAGCAACATCCAGCCGGCGGATGTGGTGGTTCAGCACGGTCGATTCATACACGGGAATAATGTGAGTCACACCGTCACCGGAGTCCACGACAACACCGCTGCTCAGACCTAGAATTCAATACATCAGCTATCTTCTGGTCTCTCTGCCATTGTTTTTGAAGCCTCCACGACCTCAATATCTCAAGGAACGACCATACCCTGGGCATACAGTGCCAGCACCGCCTGGATCGCCACATAGACACCTCCGAAGTTGTATCCCTCCAGCATGACCTCAGCCATCTGCTCGCGGTTCTTGAGCGGGTTCATCGGCGGCTCTGTAAGGAGGATCTTGCGGCCCGTGGGGTCGATCTTCATCTTATCGTAAAAGGTGTAGTTCCACAAATGTTGCATATCATCCCACTTCTTGACAATGCCGTTCTCCATCTAAAGTCATCCCCGCAAGGGAGGAGCTGCCATTAGCGACATGTTTCTCACTTGCCGGCGGACTTTCGAGGGGGCGGGGTATTTGCAGGGGGAGGGTTGGAGGCTTCGTCCTGGATCCAGACGTACCGGATAGCTAATTTGAAGCATGGATCGAGCGGCGGCAGCTTCATCTCCGCACATGATATCCTTGACCACGATATCACCGGCCTGTTCCTCCGTCCGCAGGATGGGCCGCCCCACTATCGAGGGGAACTGGTGCTCTGGGAAGTTCTAATACAGGCGGGCAAGTCAGTAAGATATGCAATCGTAGCAGGGACGCATGCGACATACCTGGGCGGCATAGCCGACCTTGAGGAAGCCGGTTCCTCCATCGAGCACTGCGGGCTGTTAGCTTGGACGAGCTGGGGGATAGGGACACGCAGTCGCCTTGGGGATTGGGAGCAGTACCAATGGGCATGTCCGCCATGGTGGAGAAATGGAAAATCAAGCGCTGCAGAAAGGGGTTCTATGCACGTTCCCTGAGCGAGATGAGTGGGAGATTGCGGGCGCGGGGGGAGGAGTTGGAGGTGATGTCGGTCAGTCGAGGCACTTCCTGCCGCCTGGGCATCATCATCGTTATTTACGTGACCGTACCATACCCGCGCTCCAGCCCCCGCAGTTTCACAACGTGCGAAGCCGACGGCACCCATTACATGACGTGACGGCATCAGAGACAGAATGCATTGTTGGCTGCCTTGAGCTCTGGGTTGAAAGAATCGCGTTAATTCAATATATTTCTAGTATCGGCGGGCTCAATTGCTGACTTGGCTTGTTTTGAAGACACCCCAGGGCTCATTGTTTGGCCACATCGGGAGGCTTGCCGAGTTACCAAAGGGACATAAAACGGCGAGAGGAGCCGGGTAGGCATTATAGATCAGCATCAAGCTATCAATTGTTTCCTTGTAGTCATCCCGACAAGTTCTCATCGGCCCGATATCAGCTGCAAGGCACCTGCTAGCCTTTTTTGTCGACGACGTCTCCTATCGGCCGACTCCGATTTCCTCGGGAAACGGGACGCACTCCACCCTCCTCATTTCTCAATTATAGAGACCACCAACTGCTTGCTAGGCTAGTCAATTGGCTAACTGACAACGGTAGCATCAAGCAACAAAGCGAGTCTTGCGTTCACTATCTTGAAGTCGCCTCATTGAAGCTGTCATCATAGAGATAGAGTGAGAAGTCCGCTGTCCTTCGTTGCCCCAAGCATTATCGACATCAGCGCCAGGATGACTCAAATTGGCTGGGTGAGTCCTAACTTGACATGCTCACAGCTTATACGAGGCTTTGCTTGAACGAAGACTGATGCAGGTACAGTATGGCCTTGGGTCTATGGGTCTCGCCATGGCTAGCAACCTGCAGCGACACCTCGCGGCGAAAAAGGCTCTCAGCTTGCTCTACTCAAACCGCACTATGTCGCGCGGTGTACCACTTCAAGCCCTTGGCGGGGCCCCTGAAGCAAGCTTCGAGACGCTGGTTTCTCGCTGTGGCATTATCTTCACCATGGTAAGCCTCCAAAGAGTAACCGTCGTAGTTCATGGCCAAGCTCAAAAACGGAAGGAACACAAGAGGCTAACTACATGTTCAGGTTTCGAATGACTCAGTCCTCCAGAGTCTGATCTCTTCTGCTGTTGGGTCCGGTCTCTCCTTAAAAGATAAGATCTTTGTAGACTGTTCGACTGTCCATCCTGAGACGGTGAGCTCGGCCGTAGCCCAGCTGAAGACCAAGGATGCTTCGTACATCGCAGCCCCTGTCTTTGGTGGCAACCCAATTGCCGTGGATGGAAAGTTGGTATTTGCTATTGCTGGTCCGAGAAGCGCGACCGAGGCCGTTAAACCACTGATCCAAGACGTAATGGGACGAAAGGTCATCGAATGCGGTGAGGATGCTACCAAATCTTCACTGTTGAAGATTGCTGGGTAAGATATTTGCCATACCATCCATCTGATTGGAAACGAGGCTTGGATTGACTTGAATACAGAAATATTGTCACAATTAACATGATGGAAGCCGTTGGCGAGGCTCAAGTTTTCGCTGAGAAGACTGGCCTCGGGACTGGCCCCATGGAGGAGCTGATTGGTGAAGCTTTTGGTCCTGTCGCCGGAGGCTATTCTAAGAGGTATGTACCACGAGCTAGTGAAAGCGTTAAAGCATGAACTAAACGCCTCAACAGATTGACTACTGGTGCATACGCACCGCCTCTAGATTCGCGTCCTGGCTTCGGTGTTTCTCTGGCTATTAAAGACGCCAGACATGCGATGACTATGGCCGAAGAGCAAGGCGTCAAGCTTCCAGCTCTCGAGCTAGCTCGTAAGAACATGGAGACCGCTCGAGATCATGCAGGTGAGTGTCTTGACAGTAGCGCAATGTACGGGACGCTGCGCCAGCAGGCGGGCCTGGCATTTTGGAACGAGAAAAGCCGTAAGGAGTAGGACACAAATCGATAGACATATTGTTTTGATATATAGAAGAATGTACCATTGCCTTTCAGATTGCCTCTATTCGTCCGGTTGACGTCCAAAGTTACCTAAGTGCGCTCACTCACTACCCATTGACAAATGAAATTCTTGGAACCAACCCACAAAATTAAAAGAAAAATGGAGGCACTAATCAGACTTATTCATATTCTGACCGAGCGCGCCATCGGGCGCCCGAGTTATCTCTTATCTCGGGCTGACTACCCTCGACTATATCCAAACCAACTTCCTCGTCAATCAGACTTGAATGTCAGTCCCGCAACTCTTCAACTAATTAGGGCGATGCATCAGATACTATGATCAGAGTCCGAACCTTACTTCTAGGATTTTGGAACCAATATCTACACTGCTGAATTCGCCGAGAGTACAACGGAATCTTTGAAACAACGAAAGCCGATCCTTGATAGACTAGCGCATATGTAATCAAACCAGATTGTGTCTAGAAAAACGAAGGGCAGTGTTGTTCATAGAAGGGTGACAGTGATATTGCTAAAAAGACCGAGGCCAGCTTGGCCCAAAGAATGAGGAATATAGGTCATAGATCAAAACACGGTGCCTCGAAGGCAAAAGGGAAGGGCTAAAGTGGCGTGGGACATGGTTGTTTGTCAGACTCAGGTCGGATTCGCGTGGTGTCGACCAAAACTGGGTAATTCTCCGCGAAAAGCGACCCTAGCGACCAATTGGAAAGATTTCGCATGTGCCGTTCAAAGACAGGGTTAATGAGCAGCTCATCCGAGTCACCAGCTGATAGTAGGCAATCTGTGGCCTCGTACGGCCAATTCACTCGCATACCGCGTGTGAATGGAATGAACCAATTGTCAAATGGGTAATCCTGATGTGACATAACAATTCGGTCCCGCATCCGGGGCCAAGGAACATAGTCCATCCATGCTGGGTGTGCTTGGAGAATTTGTGTTGGACGTGGCGTCAGCCATTCGGGGAGCCGTTCATAATTCTCCTGCGTGGGATAGATCTGCCAGCGCATGAGGAGGAACATGGTGTAGAGCACAGCAACCTGTTCCGGCAGGGATGAAATGTCTGGGAAAGTGCGCAGGATATCGGTGAAGAGTTTGGATACAGGATGCGAATATACGCTCTTCTCAGGATTCAGAAGCGAGGAGACGCTGGGGTATGGTGGCCCTACAAGTTTTTGTCGTGGAATACCTTGCGCCGCTTCGCGTTGGCGATTGCTAAGAAAGTCCAGTAATATGCTGTCTAAAGCACATGTCGGTGGCGTATTTTTGATTGGGGTAGCGAATGCAGGAGGACCCTGATCGGCTGGGAAATTTAATGGTTGTACGTAAAGGGGTGACGGGGGGTTCGGATGCGAGGTGCGGAAGTTCTCTGAACTGCTGCGCCGGAGCCGGTCGACTTTCGGGACATTCTGAGATGGGTCTAGGAGGAAATTGAACCCCAGTCTTTCTTCCACTCCAAAATCCAAGCCCTGTGGGATGTTATGGCGCTGGACGTCTAGCGCCACTCGGAATGAGGAAGGTTGCAGACCTCCATTGCTGCTGTTGCGGCGGGCACCTAAAGTCGGCGCAGAATGGGTGGGCGATGGTGTATCAAGGCTAGCAATAGACTCGGCGTATACCTTATCTCCTGCTGCTGAAGCCTGAGAGTTTGCTGTGAATTGGTCGGTTTCGGGAAAGGGAGGGGTATGGGACGCAGGTGGCGGGACTGATCTTGGTTGTGAGAGAAATGAGGGTAGATCTAAAAGTGTCAGCCGCAATTCAAATGTCGGACTGGCTGTGAATGCTACCTTCGATCTCCGGCCTTGCTAGGAGAGGTTGTATAATATCCAAAGCCGCCTGGAGTCCTTGACGAAGCTCCCTATTTTCCGACCGGATTCGCTCATTGTGTTGGAGTGCGGCTTGAAGATCGAGGACAGGTTTCTGTGACGCCAGATCCCGAACCTGCTGCTCTAGCGCCTCGATATGAGACTTGGTACGTTCGCGGATTGCGCGCTGGGCCTGCCGGTCATTTGCACGTTTCTTGGCTAATTGATCGGGTGTGAGATTGGCAACGCCTCGTGATGATGTGCTGTTTAGTTTGCGCTTCCGTCCAGCGGTGGTGGTGGACCCATTGCCCTCAAAATTCTCCTGCAACAGTGTATCTGGGCCCAGTGAGGTTGAGCGCGACAGGACGGGTGAATCTTCCTGTTTCGCGATGGCGGCGCCCTCGATCATTGTCTCGATCGGCGGCGAAGGCACCGCATAATCGCCTGACCCGACAGGAGCGCGGTTGGCCATCGCCTCACACGCGCGCTAGCAATTGATAACAGCCATTCAATGCAGCAGAGCGAGATATCGGGGACTCAGAATGGACTTGCGACTGGGCGGAGTAAAGGAATCAGCGTTGGCGGGAGCGTTGACGTTCCCTTGGTGGTGGTGGGTCAGAGGTGAGCGTGACAAGGTTGCCAGCTTACTTTTGACTCGCTATCTGTTTCTGTCCTGGGCGGGACGGCGACGACTCGTCTGACATTCCCAGTCAAGGTTCGGTCGTTTTTCGCGGCAGCGAAGCAGCATGCCCTCGATACACGATTGAATCAATTTTTTCGGGGTGTTTTTGTCAGAAGAGATGTTCTGATCGAGTCATGGCATCATGATCTACGCAGTCTTGAGACATCCGGCAAGCTCCACAAACTTTCCAAAGACACGTCCCGACTCCATTGACTCCCTAAATAGACTATATCTAGCTGTGCACGAGGTATCTCAGAGAAAGAGAAAAGGCAGAAAATCCATATCAGCACATAATTTGAGTTGCCACAACAGCATCGCATACGAGTCTCGATCATGTACAAAGTCGTGAAAATCAATATGGAACATGTAGGAGAAAAGGCAAAGGGAATCGTCAAGTCAAAAAGTGTGTACAAGGATGCAAAATTCCAATGCATGGAGGGATAGACCATCGAAATCCCCGGCAAGGGAACGAGAAAATTTGAACAAAAAAGAGCGACCGAGCTTATATAGTCTAGAATCATTGAATCATATGGCCCATTTTTGAGATCTGCAATATCAGGTTAGCGATCTCCAACCCCTGAAACTGTGGGCTTTTGGCACTAACCTTAGTCTTGAGGTAGCCTTCAATCTCCGAGCTCTTAATCCCGCGCTCACCGCCGGTTCGCCAGGATAAGGGGATCATGGGAATCCGTTCTTTGACCAATACTTCTCGGTTGGGGCCTTCAATGGCCCGGACTTTATCGGGGTTGTTTGTAAGCAAACGGACACCATCCGGGTTGACATCTGCACCACAGCCAAGGTCCATAAGCATGGCGGTAGCCAACCCGTAGCTTCGCGCATCTGCTGGATGCCGCAACAGGAGGTTTGCTTCCACTGTATCCGACCCGAGATCTTGAAGATTATATGCTTTCAACTTCTCCCCCAGGCCGATTCCTCGGCCCTCCTGTCGTAGATAGATGATTACACCACCGGCGGAGTGCGATCGCAGCGACTGCGTCTCTGGCGGGGCATCGGAAGCCAGATCCTGAACAGGGAACGACATCAACCGAGCAGCTTCGTCCAATTGCTCGCCACAATCACACCGAGCCGACCAGGCCGTCTCTCCTGTATAACATTCTGAATGAATTCGTACTAGCGGCGGCTCAATGCGCTGTGTTGAGTCTTCCTTCGATCCGCCGTTCTTCTCGTCGTCGTACCAGCTGCTGACTCTCCCGGGGTGCAACTTGCCCACATATGCGCCACGGATCATGCGGTCCATTTCAGTCTCCCCCGGGTGAACACGGTCTAGGCTCCGACTGCGAATGTTGCAACCGAATACAATGGCTAAATGCTCTTTATTATCAATGTCGTTGTGGTAAAGGTGGAGGAACATCTCGGCACCGTTGGTGGTCGGAATTCGGGCCCGCACTATACATTCGACCTGCGGTAGTTGTTCAAGGAGCTTAGGTGCCTTTTTATGCTCGCTCTGGTGTCGGATACTCGCTGCTTGGCTTTCATGAAGGGCTTGTGTCGGATTCAAGTCAAGGTTCAATGTGCCGCCCGGAGTTGAAGGCGGGGTGAATGCAGGCGATAACAGGGAGTCCGGAAGTGCCGGGGTCTGTTCACCTGTCGCAGTACCACTTCCATGGCCAATATCTTCTGCCAGACCATCTGGTCGGCTGGCTAGGGGAAGACGGTGCGGGGGGAGTTCGGGTGAAGCGTGGGCGGGGAGATTCGCCATTGCGACGGTCGGCGGGGGAAAAGGGCGGGCGAATGAGGGAAACGGGACGCGTCGTAGAATCTGCCTTATTGCGCAAGATCTAAAACCAGAGAGGCCAGAGGCATAAAGGCAATTCAACAAAAAAGCGATTGTGGCGGCGCTGGGGATTCAATGGCGTCAATTATCTTTCCCTCGGCCCCGGCCCGGCATGAGGGGTGGCTGACTCACCAAGCTGTCAGTGCTTACTCTAGCAGCTTCCATCGCTTATGCGAGGGCCGATAAGCGCGCTGGGCCCGTGACCCTCGTGGGCCGTACTTTCTATCAGGTCCGAGAGAGCATTTTTTTGAGGAATAAATAGTCTTGATGAAAACCCAAAAAATATCTGTAATTTGCATTTAAGGGACCCCAAAAACAAACATAGGTCTCGTAGCTATTCAGGTCTTTTCGAACTCCATGTAGCGCCGCGCTGAAAGGTATCATTATCACATCAGATCTTGGAATCATGGCTCCCAAAATGCCAGGCTATTTGTTTGGAATATCCAGGACAAAGCGCCGGTCAACCTCCATTTCCTTGTCATCCTCTTCACCCTCAAACTTCAGGCGGTAGGCATCTTTCTTGGATCCCATGACCTCGGCACGGTAGAAAGTGGTGGTGTCGGGATACCTTGCGAGGACCTGCTTCCCAACAGCAAATGAAGGCAATGAGCTGTTGAGCTGGGGGATGGGGATTAGAGATGCAGCAGTGGTTTTATAGACCGCACCTTGTTCGCCATTTTCATTAGGCTCTGGGTCCTGAACATCATACCATCTAGTCTTCTTGTTAGTTCCTGCATGGAGGCAAATACCAAGCATCAGAAGATACCTTTTCTTGTGGCCGTCTCCAGAGATATTTTTGATGATGCACTGGATGCCTTCGCCTTCCACACCCTGCTTGTTCTTGTTGTGCTTGAATACCACCTGCGCACCCACCACAAGAAGGCCGCTGCGTTCAGCGACAGTCCCCTTAGTACCCTCCATCCCCTCCTCAATTTTCACTGCAATTCCATCTCCTCGGCCTTCGCGTGCTTGTGTGCTTGAGACACTTGTGCTACGAGGTACGCCTCCTTTGGAGCGACTCGCCTTGTCTACTCCCGAGGCACTTGGGGAGTCCGCGGCTGAGCCCTCCATTTCTGTTCTTTTCTTTCGAGATTTGGAAAGTGCAGATGAACGATTGGACGGAGCTTCTGCTTCGGACGCCTTCCGGAGCGCAGTGAGAAGTTCCAGGTTCTTGATCACGTCACATGGCTCGTCCTGCATTATAGACCGTTCTTCTTCGCTTAGCTTCTGACTTTGTCGAAGCCATGTATCGAGCTGATCATGTTCGGCCATCGTGGGTCCTGTAAGAAAGAATTGGTCTCAGCGATCATGAAATATAATATGTGGATTGGCCCGGTGGCACGCGTCATGTCCCCGCGGGGAATGAATTGCTTCGGTTTAAGCTGTGTCGCTTATATAGCGCACAGAGAAGAGTACTCACGGTTACCATCCCGAGTTATTTTGTCTACCAAAGTCTTAATCTGCACTGACAGCGAGGCTTGCTGGTCAAACTTCTCCTTGGACTTGCGGATGTCCTGGCAAATGCGGGTCCAGAGCTCCATCTCCTCGTTGTTACCGAGTCCATTATCTCGGGGTCGAGGGCGGTTGCGAGACATGGCTTGAGCTGGTGCAAGAGCAAATTCAAAAACCCGAGCTTGTGCGAACACGGCAATGTGTAAACAGAGCGAACCCGAGGGAGTTGAAGGGTTCGGACGGAGCTGTTAGGGTGTCGAGATCTCCGCCTTGGTCTTATCGCGAAGGCGGTCGGGTTAAACGCGCGCCTAATGTTTCTGGTCGGACTACTATATAATCTCCTTCATACCAATTTTTGAACCCTGCCCGTTCAGAATATTCTAGAGCCTATTATATATCGTATTTATTAAAGCATCAGAATTAAAGCAGGGAGAACTGTCTTCCATATTGTCTACGTCTGGGGCATAATGGAGAATGCACCCACCATTCACTCATTTTCTCTGTTGAAGCTGGCTAGGATAACACAGGAAATTCCTCTGCGAACTAGGAGATATGGAGATACCTGGTAGATAGAATGGAATAATCCAAGGAGTGCAGCTGAAGATAAAGAATAGAGGCGAGCCTGGTATCTACAGCACGTGCTGGCTCGTCTACCAGGGGCCAAAATGGCTGGTTTGATCTTCTCCATCTTGGTGTCTATCTGAAACACATTGTACACCTTGCATGAACTTCTCAATTCGCAAAATCTCCGCAATCAAGCCATTTCAAGATGATCGGTGCGAGGACCCGTATCTGTTTTAGCTAGTGTTTCGATCTGAATATCTGCCTTCTCGGCGTAGGCAATTTTGTGCACTGTATACCATGGACGTTGGAAGAGAATGTCCAAAGCTTCAAGTGATCTCCCGGTTGTATCCTATAATAGTAAAATCAGAAACAAGAGCTTTAGCCGGGACCCTACACGGTAGTATACAGAATAGAGACTTACCGGCATCGCAAAGCACACGTAGATCAGCGATATCAAACAAATACAGCTGAAAAAAACGAAGGCACCCCATTTATCGCTTGCTGCAAGAAGACTTGGCATAGCACGAGAGCAACCGAAATAAAATGCCCAGTGAAGCCCCATTGCGATTGACATGTTGAATGATCGAATTCTTGTTGGAAAGATCTCCGACCCAATCAGGTACGGGATACTGAACCAGCCAATGCTCCATGCCACAGCATGAAAATAAATAGCAACAATTGCACCGGTCGCTGCCCGAGAAGCGTCCGGTGAATTGACAATACTGTCCGTGCTCATATCTTTTGTTCCACCGAGGTAACCTCCAACATAAACCAATGTCGCGATCTGCAGCATAATTCCTGCGATAAGCGAGCGGCGACGTCCGACAAAATCAACAACGAATAATGCGAAGGCGAGCGTGCTGACAAATTTGACGACTGCATATATTCCGGTTGCTAAAAATTTAGACTCATCGCCAGAAATGCCCAAGTAGCCGAAAATTGTCGGAGAGTACTGCGTGATGGCATTTGCGCCTGACCACTGCGAGAATAGCGTGGCCATGAAAATCAGAAAGAAGCGGCGTCGGTTCTCAACAGGCGCAAAGGTCTCTTTGAGAAGGTCTAACTGGCTTGCATTGCCCATTGCTTCAGATTCATGGAGAATTTGTGCGTCCATTCCGGACACCTCGGCTTGGAGAACCGGGTGATCTGTGGGAAGATGGCGCAGACGTGATATGGCCGTCATTGCCTCCTCACGTCGACCAATATAAAGCAACCACCGTGGAGACTCAGGACAAAGAAAGATACCAGAGCCCCAAATAACCGCAGGAACAAGTTGTAAGAGCGTTGGGAGCATCCATTGCATATTTGTGTTAGCGTAGGCTTTGGTGACGCCATAGTTTATAAAGAAGCCGAATACAACACCCAATTGTTGACAGGCTGCGTACTGAAGCGTCAAAAGACCTCGAATGGCTTTAGGAGCAATCTATTGAAGATATATATGTTAGTCATGGCAAAAGAGCCCAGGAGTAGGATCTAGAAGAAAAGATCGTACCTCCGTGATATACATTGGCGGAATTACCGTGGTGGCACCAATTCCAATTCCCGAGACGAATCTTGAGGCGTACAAGCCCGATAGATTCCCGTTGCTGAGACCTTGCCCTAGAACGCCCGCCATATAGAATAAAGTCGCAATGAGCAACGTCCATCGCCTTCCGAGACGGTCTGCAATAGGGAGACACTGGACGATATAAGTGACTTGTCTCCAAAGAATCAACGCGCGTGTACATACTCCTAGGCACCCAAATACAGCCCCAGCAGTAGCGATAGATACAATCCAACCCTTGGTGTTGGCATACTGACCCTCAGACTCTTCATCTAATCTGAAGGCTTTTTTGAAGTGACTTTGTACCACCACAGAGGCAATATTTCCTTGTCACTGTTAGACTCCAGAGAGAAAGCATTCAGAGTAGCGCGATATACTTCTCACCTTCATCAAATCCCTTTGAGACACCAGAGAATGCAAAGATACAAGTGCACATAAATACATACCAATTGAAAATCCCCTTAGGTGAATCTCGAATGGCCTGCTTTGTGTCCGAGATGAAGCCCATTGTGCCTTGGAATGCTGGAGAGATTCTGGAGATATTCGTAACCTCTTTATTATCAAATCTTACCAGGGCGAAAGCCCGAAGCCCCCGTTTTCTACCATTCTATATTTGGCTGGCACTGGGGTCTTCTCGTGGGGTACAGCAAAAATTCTGGGGTACCAGGGGAACCGGGGCTTGGAGAGGCCAACGGAGAATGTCCGTCGGAACCCAAAACCGCCACTTGGGATCATGTTAAAAGGTCTTGGTACTTCGAATAATGGCGCTCCCTTCGCTGCCCCTCGAGCTCCTGAAGATCGATTCGCCGAGGAAGAGAATTCCACAATGAATTTTTATCCAGCTCCACCTGTCGTCCAGGCCGAAATATTTGTCCGGATCCCGGACAGTCTGCGATGTACAGGCCAGCCGACTGACTGGAGAGGCGGATCGGCATTGCCGACGTCAGACATCTTCCTTGAAGGGCCAACACACCTGAATAATGGAGATCTCTACGTGACAGACATTCCTTACGGTCGGATCTTGAAGATAAATGAACAGAAACAGGTGACGGAATGTGTGCGGTATGATGGTGAGCCGAACGGACTTGTTGTACGAAGAGATGGGCTTATGATTGTGGCCGACTACAAGCAAGTGAGTATCATGTTCACACTCTGAAACTCAAAAGCTGATTGGAGACAGGGTCTTCTTCTTTTTGATCCTATCGCAAAGACTATATCTCCTTTCATGACTCGGCGCAACCTCGAGAGATTCAAAGGCCTCAACGATCTGATTATCTCATCCAAGAACGAAATATACTTCACAGACCAAGGACAAACCGGCATGACTGACCAAACTGGTCGCGTGTATCGGCTTTCTCCCGATGGGAAACTCGACTGTCTCGTGGATAACGGAATATCTCCTAACGGAATCGCGCTATCCCCGGACGAGCGATTCTTGTACGTGGCCATGACCCGCTCCAATGCGGTCTGGAGACTACCCCTCAATGCAGATGGTGGCACCACTAAAGCAGGGCTTTTCTTCCAGTCTTTTGGGTGCGCTGGCCCAGATGGACTTCTCGTGGACGAGGAAGGGAGTCTTTTCATTTGTCATCCTAGTCTAGGATCAGTCTTTGTGGTTGATGCTGATGGTTTTCCCAAGGCTAGGATTGTCAGTGCACCCGGGGGAGGGAAAAACTTGACCAACTGTACATTCGGTGGGGAGGATGGGAGAACAATTTTTATTACAGATAGTATGAAGGGAAATATCCAGTACGTGAGGTGGCACTGCGGAGGTGCTGTAAAGTCTTAATGAAGCCCCGAAAACTAGTACTCTCATAGGGTTAAAATATGACAAAGTACTTCTATTCTATTTCTTATTGTAGAGTAGGCTCTGAATACATATGCAAGGACAAAAGTACATTTATTTCGATTGCTGAGTAATTACACAAGATATCCAGATGTATTTATTTAATTTTTTTTTGATTACCTTTGTTCTGCAATTTGGCCTTGAGCACTCATCAAATACTCATATAGGTTGTTGACAGCAGCCATTGCACTCGCAGTTTGTGCCTGAGTTGTTGCAGCTCCAATATGCGGCGTGCTGACAACATTCAAGTTCTCCCACAGCGCACCATACCTGTCGTGAGTAGGAGGTTCTTGTTCATGGCAATCTAGACCTGCACCCCAAAGATGGCCCTCAGACAGAGCCATTGTGAGGTCAGCCTCGTTAACGATGCCGCCTCGAGCAGCGTTGATTAAGATTGCATCCGACTTCATCATTTTGATTTCTCTGTAAGAGATCATATCGCGCGTCTCTTCGTTCAGGGGAACATGAATGGATAAGACATCCGCTCTCTTGATTACTTCTTGGACATTGTCGAATCGCTGGTGGGGAATGTGAGGCCATGCGTTGTCTGGCATGAAGACATCATATGCCACGACATCGGCCTCGAAGGCTCCGCGGAAAATCTCCGCGACGGTGCGTCCGATGTTACCCATGCCAATGATGCCAAGTGTTTTCTTGTGAAGAGTCAGCCCGTTACAGGTCTCCTTCGGCACCGGCCTGGTCATTTGACGAGAAGTGATGGAACGGATATCTCGAGCAACCGTCATACTGAGTGCAAGGACCAGTTCCGCAACGTCACGGGCATTGGCACCAGGAGTGTTGCAGATCTTGATACCCCTCTTGGCACAAGCAGTCTGATCGATCTTGTCAATACCGACTCCATGCTTGCCAATGGCGATAAGGTTAGGGCAACTGGCGATATCTTCGGCGGTCAAATACGATCCTCGGATCAACAATGCAGATGCCTTTTGTCGCCAGTTGGAGAAGCCTTCATCTCCAGGAAGGATAGCGTTGAAAATTGTCCTGGCATGAGCAATGGCTTGCTCGTTGAATTTGTCGAGAACGTAGACCGTGGGCTTGGTGATGTTGCCTGTTGAAACGTCGCCATCATGAGCAAGTCCTGGGGCCATGGTGGGCGTTAAAGAAGGATAATTATTATTTTCTTTCTTGAGAAACGATCCTTTCGGATAAAAATGCCGGTGATGACGGGGAAATATATCCTGATATCTCGATTTATGTTGATTGCTGTTTGTGGCTTGCTTGCCGCATGTCGGATATTTGCCGTCGGGGCCTGTCCGCCATCCAATCTTTTCCCTATCTCAACTGAGAGTCAAGTCGAGATTACAGGACCTGTTGCAATAAACCTTAATATTACCATTTTGATCCCATTTGGGATAATTGATGGAATTTCCTGGATAATCGTGTCGGTTACTGGGTTTCCCAAAGCATAATCGGAGAGAGCCCAAAGTACCCGGCGAAAAACCCGGAGGCCGGAGAACTTTTCGCCAAGCAGTGTGAGCAAAGCGGTGCATTTATTGATAATGCTGTTATCTCGTGATGGTGGTGAGACTTCTCCACTGAGGCAAATAACAACAACGCCGGCGGCAAAGATATCATAGGCGTCCACGAACCCCCCCACAAACTCACCCCGGTCAGAGCGATTATACTCTTCCTGGATATACTCTGTAGAGTTCTTTAGAATTTCATTTTTAATCGCACCGGAGCTGTGAACTAGGTTGTATTCGGTTGTTGCTGATCCTTTGGATCTAAAGATTTCAACAAATGCTCGGCACGAGAGCTGCATAAAGCAAGTGCCGGGGAATTGTGCGCTCGGGTCACTTCCGGCCACGGAATCCTTCCAATAGGAGATGTTACTAAAATGAAATAAAACATTCTTTTGAGAACTATCCCGAATGTTTGATATCATTCTAGCATGTGCAACGATATGAATTGCCAAATGGCATTCTGATTCAGAAGAGGCACTGGCATATTCCTGGGGGCTCTTTTCGGTTGTGGTAAGCATTAGTCACTGCATCAGTCTCCGAAAAATGGAGGGCTCTTACTGGTGACGTTATATCTTCATCCTCGATACTGAAAGGTCGGTCCATGATAGAGCTAATCATCCTGCAAAATGTTAGGAGTGGCAACCCGAATAAAACCAGAAAGGGAGGGGTAAAGGTTATATACCGATCAAGGACGTAGAGGCTCCAAAAAACATTGCGTCTTTTCCGCAAAATTTCAGGACTAATTTGGATTGTTGCATCCGGATCTTTGTGAAATCTGAAAGCAATTGCTTTCTTCATAGCTAGTCCAATATGGTGCCAGGCCGACCCACCCCGTGCACTATACAAAGAATACAAAGTCAACAATATCATGCAATGCAGCATATCTAGCTTGGTCCCAGAGCTCATCATTCGAGGGAAAAGCTTCATGGCTGCATCATGGAGGTTGCTTGCAAGCCCTTGAAATGATCTTTGTTCTGGCAAAAGCAATGATCCGATAGCCATAGCTATGTATACATTGAAAGCCTTGGCTGGTTGACACTCCGACAGGTGTTGTGATGGGTTTTCTGGGGCCCTGAAGAACAAGTCAAAGTCACCCCAGAGCTCCAGTGGACTCAGATGCATGAACTGGACAGCCACCACGTCGACAAAGCGACTCATCAACAGCGCGGCCAAATGTTTTCTGGGTACTTGTGAGGGCTCTATCAGGGCAGACATGTTTCCATCAGATGAATCTTTAGTTGATTGCGCTGGGTTTGCGCCCGACAGCACTAGGGTTGCGCGAACCATACGTCCAATTGCAAGCCCTTGAGTGAAACTGGTTGTCTCATCACGGGGCTCTGCCATTGCGCTGCGTGACAAAAATCCAATTTCACCCATAGCAGCTTGGATTGTATGATCGGTGTTACTATCAGCCGGAGTTATTCCTTGCTGAGGTCTTGTCGACGCCGATGGCGCATCATCCAATTGTCTTTGCCTCTGACGTCGTGCTCGCGTTTTTAAATCATCACGTTTTCTTTTCAACGTATCTACATAGCTAAGCAATGATTCAAAGTTAATGATGGATTAACACCGATTCCGATATTCAGTTCTCCGTGGAACCTACCTGGGAATGGCGGCATGGGAGAGACCTCCGCCAGTATTTGTGATTGGCTCGATGGAAAATTTCCGGGGAATACACTGCGCGTCGACTCCCATGCAACCTGTACATGCAGGTAACAATCTGTCGCACTATGTTCGATTAGGTCTGGATCAGAAGGGTAGAGTCATCGGAGCTCTTTCTGAGGTGGCTTAGGGGCGAGCAGGTTTAGGGAGGGGGATGCGAACCTTTTGTTTTCGCTTCCAACACCGTTCACAAGCCTGACCTCGCTGCCGTGGAGTGGCACTGGAGGATTCATTCCCCAAGACATTACTCTCCCGTCTCATTTTGGTTTCGTTGACGCAGGGCAGAAACAACGCGGTCAATCAAGCTGATGGCGAAGTCGGACATGTAACGGGAAGATGTCCGACGGTGAGTCTTGGCATTATGGCCATGCATGGTCCATTTACGGAAGGTTATGAAAAATACCCTTCACCCTGTCCAGCAAAATATCCTGGCTTTTCTAGTCTGAAAATTATTCAACAAGCAGTGAAAGTTTGCTTTGCTTCCTTTTGTTCTCTTTCCTTTTCTTCATCTCAAAGGCCTGGAAACCCTCGACCCCAGAATGGGGTTTCTTCCTGCTGGAACGTGGGACACTCACATCCATTGTTTTGACCCAGCGCTGCATCCATTCAAAGTTACACGGACCTATACGCCCGAGCCAGCTCCATTGGAGAGATTGATGGAAGAAGCATACGCCACAAGAATCGTATTAGTGCAGGCATCGGTTGAGAATGGCTTTGACGGGTTGATGAATCATCTACGCCGCATCCGAACAGAATATCCAGATGTACTCGCCCGCGGGATTATATGCTTCGATGAAAACTGGTCTGATATCAACGAAGAGACTTTTGACAGTCTACATGATCTTGGAGTACGGTATTGCCGTATTCATGGCTTCTTTGAGTCCAGTAGAAACGACCTATCGGCTTTAAAGGAGTTGTTTCACATGTTCACGCGTTCATACCCTGCTCAAAAAAAGGGCTGGGGAATTTCAGCACAGCTTCCTCTAGCTACATGGTCGTTGCTCAAGAATTCTATTCTCCATGACCCCAAATTATCTCGCATTCCAATGATCGCCGATCATGTTGGTTGTATCTCACCGGCAGATATTGATAGCATGGAGTGTCGCAATTTCGTTGATATGTTACGATCAGGAAGACTCTACGTTAAGATATCCTGCCTTTACCGTCGGTGTCAAAGTGATATCTATGAAATGAAACCTATTATCCAGATGCTGGCGAATAACGCACCTCATGCTCTACTTTGGGGTAGCGATTGGCCACACGTGGACAGCAGCAACAAAAGCAAAACTACATCGCTCGCTTTGGAGCAGGTGGACATACAGAAAGAATTGAGCACCCTGCAAACCTGGCTTACTCAATCACAATGGATCAAAATGGCTGTTGAAAACTCCGAAAGGCTTTTTGAAAAATGATTGGAGGCGTCTAGAATATGACTCGTATATAGGAAAGCGCAGACTCATCAAAATGATTTGGTCTGTAAGTGCACGCTATATGATATGATGAGCTGTAATCTTTTTTATTATAACTATCGATAGTCTCTTAGTAAATAGGATCCAAGAATTGCATGCTGGCTTCGTACCTTTCACGTATTAGAACCGAGGTGCGAGTGGGCGTCGGCAAATTTCCGATAAGCCAAGACTGTGGAGAAGGGCGGGGAGTGCTCGAACTATTTGTCTCCCTTTCCCCGGGGAAGGTATCCTAAATATAAATAGAAGAAGAAATTTCAAGCTATTTTAATTGAGGGATCAGGTTTTCATTGACATTTCTTTACCTTTCCCCCGAAAAGAAAAATGGCAAACACTCCTTCAATGGCAGAAGACAGTCCGAAACGCGACACGCCCAAGAGCAACAGCAACGATGTATGGGTAGAAGACAGCGAGGGAGGCATTTCCTCTGACGTGATGGCCGTCTACATGTCTTATGACCCAGAATTTCGCAGCACCATTGAAAGACAGCTGCGACGGAAAATCGACTCCAGAATACTTCCTCTGATAGTCGTGATATACCTATTCAATTACCTGGATCGCAACTCTATTACACAGGCTCGGCTATATGGTCTTCAAGAAGATACTGGTATCAAAGGTGCTCAATACCAAACGGCTATTTCTATCTTCTCTGCTGGGTATATTCTCATGCAGTTGCCATCCACTATCCTGATGACTAAACTTCGTCCATCGATTTACCTTGTGAGAAGCCAGCTCTGTTGAATAAGCCGCTCTTCATGCTAATTTAAATACAAAATACAAGCCAACATGTATCATTATCTGGGCTATCGTGAGTGGATGCACATCCGCAGTTCACAACGTACCGGGGCTACTGATGATTCGGCTTGTTCTCGGATTTGTGGAGGCTCCTTTCTTTCCTGGTGCAATCTACTTCCTGAGTTGTTGGTACACCAAGCGCGAGATCGGAGTTCGAATGGCCTTACTCGTCTGTGGCATTCTTCTATCCAATGCGTTTGCTGGGCTTATATCCGCAGGGATTCTATCCGGTATGGATGGGGTTGGCAATCTTGAGTCATGGAGATGGCTCTTCATTCTTGAAGGTTTAGCCACTGTTGTTCTCGGCACCATTGCTCTTTTCGTTCTTCCTGACTTTCCCGGCACAACAAAGTGGCTAAGTCAGGAGGAAAAGATAGTGGCCCAGGCTCGACTGTCTGTCGATGCTGGTAGTGATGCTTTGCTTGATGCCGAGAAGGTTCCTATTTCACGTGGACTAATCTGGGCAGCAAAGGATGTACGAACATGGATTTTCGCCTGCCTTCAGATGAGCACAACCGCATCAATCTCATACTCTCATTTTTTCCCGACCTTGATCCAACAACTTGGATTCAAAGACAACACCATTGTTCTGCTTTTGACGTCTCCCCCATACCTTGTTGCCTTTTTTTGGGCTATTTCTTGGGCTTTCATCGCAGATAGGCGCCAGATTCGATCAGTGCCGGCTTCAATTTCTCAATGTTTGGCTATTGTTGGGACCATTCTGTTGATCGCAGTTGAAGGGCCACTCTGGGCGCGCTATGCCTTCACTTTTCTGGTCTGTTGTGGCACGTTTGGAGTCTATTCTACAACATATGCCTGGCTTTCGTCAACTATTACCCAACCACCCGTGAAGCGAGCTGTTGCCATTGGATTGGCGAATACCTGTGCAAATATCGCCTCTTTATTCGCCAACTATTTCTGGTTAGACAGATATGAGCCAACTTACCGGCAATCTTGGGGTTGTTTATTGGCTTTCCAAGCGTTGGGACTGAGTTGTATTTTGCTTATTCGAATCTTACTTCGTTCATCTAATAAAAAATTTGAAAAGTTGGCAGCGGAAGAAAATGCCACTGACGCCATTTTTGTCTCTCACTTGGAAGAAGATGAAAGAAGGGCCGTTCAAAACGGATTCAGATATGTTGTGTGAGGAGGGTGACATACAATTCGATACCAACGATGGAATTCCAGAAGAAGTAAGCATATTACGTACACAGCTTTAAATACTTATCACATACGAAGTGTTTGCTGTATATTCTTCGACCAAGTATATCCTTTGAAAGAGCTTTGTTGGCCTCGTTGTTGGTCTTCGCATTGGTTTATATCCTCTACTTAACTCAAATTAATACAAATTTTTAGCTTCGGTGTTTTTGTCATTTGAATTAAGCTACCTGAACCTAATGGAGCCTTGGGACTGCATGTTTTGCTTGTATTAATCAACTAGAGGTGGGCGCCCCATACAGTCCCGGCCCCGAGCGGGTAAGTATAGTCACCTGATGCGTTCGGCTGGGGTTCTGATTATATAAGTCGTTCTGCCGCCAGCCACCCGATGTAGTTTCCCCAATCCAATTCTCGGTAACTAGCTGCTCGAATAACTTACGCTCACGGCGTGCAAATGCGACTGAAAATATCCGATATCAATTATTGACCAGTAAATTGTGACTGCTCCACTGGCCACTTCTGATTTCTGCTCAATGAGTAGACGCTGGCGGGAGCAGAGTAATATGCCTGTTGAGATTTCATCCAATGAATTAAACGACGAATCCGCTCAACTCCCTCGTCTCCCAGCGTGTCGCTTTTGCCATTCGAGAAAAACAAAGGTACGCAGGCAGCTTTGTGAAAATATAATCCAATTGACTGATTCGAACAATTAGTGCGATAACGGTCGACCAAAATGTGCAATCTGTGTAAAACACGAAGAGGAGTGCTTGACCTTGGAAGTTGATGAACATGCATCATTCAGCAGACAGTATTTATCTCCGAACATACAAATCAACCCAGGGTTAATCGCTAATATCTGGCTAGATATATAGGAAATCTAGAGCAAGAGATAAAATCCCTGGAAAGACAGCTAGCGGGAGTGCCCGACGATTCAACAGATCGTTCCCCCCAAAGTTGTCAAGATAATCAAAATTTACAAAGCCATGGACTCCATTCTTCCCACCTTGATGATACATGCCGTGACACGAGACAGTCACCTAATTTCATCGAAGGTGGCGGAATCAGGTAAGCCAAGCAATGTTCTTTGAAGGAAAAAAGACAATTGAGAACTTCTATCTAGTTTCATCCGTCATCTTGTTGCAGATGCGGGATGGCACGCACATGATCCAACCTTATTGCAAAGCTTGACCCGGATCTCCGGTCTGGCTGAGGCAGGTATCAAGCCTAATCAACTTCCTTCTGCCGAAGAAGCAAGAAGTATGTTTGATAAATAGTATGTCGCTCTATGATTAAATAATTATCCATAAAAAACAAGAAAGAAAGCATGGACTCATTATCCTAGTCTCAGTGGATCGCATGTGCAAAACCCTTTCCTTCTTCGACGGGAGGTAGAATGCATATATCAGAGGATTTACCCACCCATGACAGAGGGGAGCACAGAGGAGAATGCTCAAGAATCTACGAATCACAATCTTTTTCGCGCATTTATGGTCCTTGCAATTGGCTCGATCCTGCCATACCGCAATGGATTGATATCGCATCACCCATACGGCTATTATCTTTCGGCAATGAATCACCTCGATGATGATATTCTCTCGAGAGGAATCAAGTCAATCCAAGATTTACTTCTTGTTGGAAGATTTGCCATCTATCATTATATTGGTATGATGACACGAAATTTCTTGATTTGATATTCCTGGAATCTGACAAATCCTCTATCATAGGAACATCTATTTGGGAAATAATTCGTTTATGCATGCGTCTATGTATTGAACAAGGCCTGCATAAGCATCCTCCTCCAAGTTCTGGTACTACTTTGATAAATGAGCAACTCGAACGCAGGGTATTTTGGGAATGTTATATGATCGATCGATACAGCTCAATCACTCTGGATCGACCGTGCGCAATTGCAGAACGATATATTGAAATCGGATTTCCAGCAGACGCCAACGACGAAGAACTACTAGCTGCAGACACCTCTGGATCATTTACAGACTTAGACTCCTTTTGCGCTGCCTCATCGACTGCTCCTTCGTCTACCCTAGCTAATACAGAGATGTCTGTTTTCTTTGCCTGTCTGCGCCTACGACAAATAACGTCACGCATCCATTCAAAATTTTGTGCCCAGGACAGATCTCGTACTGCACGAAATAATACATTGGTTCAAGGCATTGTTTATGAAGAGCTTGATGAGCTGCTCTCTGCACTACAACAGTGGCGTCAGTCCACTCCTGTATTCCATACACCCCAAACCTTATATGAGACCCAGGAATGGTATGATCTCCTTTATTTCAGAGAAAGGCTGCAATTGATCAGGAAGGCTATTGATATTGTTCCAAAGTGGAATAGCATCCCACCAAGAGAACTGTTATCATTATGTTCCGAAAGTGCAGTCGGAGCTATCAGTGCCTTTTGGCAGCTTTTTGAAAGCAGGAAGATCACATTCACGCGAAGCTACTTTCAAATGCTCTTTACAGCCGGCCTGTCTGTTATGTACTGCATGTCTGCTGTGAAGGATATTGATTCAGAATCCATCAGAGCTGGCATAGATGCTGTCACAAAATGCGAGGAAATACTCAAAAAGATGGGTGTGAACTTGCCTGATGCAAAAAGATATATTGCTGTTTATGAGTCGTTGAGTGAGTATGTCATTCGAAAATGCAGTCGCAATTCGCGCGAGGAGGTTCAGTACCGACCACAAGAATGGTTCCCGTCAAACCCCCATGAACAAACAATCCCAAGCATCTCCACCATGACTACAAATGAACGACACGCACCATCGAATCTTCCTGAAATATTGGTGGAATCAGCCCCATTCATTCGCCATTATGGCCTGGCGTCCACTGGAACACATGGTACATCTGAGAACATGTCATCCAGTGACAATTGTACGAACGTACAGCTCATGACTGGAGCATATTCTTCTATTTACCCGGATGCACCTTTATCAGAAGGCTCAGTCCTAACATGTGATATTTTCGCTGATGATGCTTTGTGGAGCATGGAAGCTGGCTTAAATGAGTATGCATATGGCGATCCGCCCGCAATCCTATATTTAAACGATGCTTTTGATCCACAAAGTTTTGTATGATCAGAACTTTGGTGTACATTATCAAAGAAATATGTTACAAACGAGTGTAAGAACATCTTTATCTTTGCTCTAACCTTTCACTTATCTCATTGTAATTTTGCACAATCCTTTTCATCCCATTTTGCAGAATGGCCACATCTGCACCACTTAGAGACCAAGTTGCACCCATAAAGAACCACTTCTCTAGAAGATCTAGTCGTCCTCCAATTCCTCCGATTCCAACTGGCTTTCCAGAGTCGTTTGCAGCCTTGATGATCCTCGTGACTGATTCCAGATAGCGTGGATTATCGTACTTTCCGGGGATACCCAGATCTGCGCATAGGTCATTCGAGCCAACGAGAACTCCATCCACACCATCCACGGCAAAAATCTCTTCTGCGAGTTCCACGGCACAGGGAGTTTCAATCATGGGAATCAGCATTGTCTGCTCATTGAGCACCGCATTTTGCTGAAGGGTGGGCACATGCTGAAAGTTAAAAATGGGCAGCGTGTTTGTACAGCCACGAGCACCAAGAGGCGCATACTTGGCATGGTGAACAATGTCACGTACTTCCTGCACAGTCTCAATATGGGGGATCACCACAGCGGCAGCGCCAGCATCCAGAATACGGCTGATATGCCAATGCGACTTGGACGGAGATCGAACAACAGGGGAAATTCCGGCAAAATTGCAAGCCAGGATCAGCTGAGAAACAGTGCGCATATCCAGGGAGGAATGCTCCATGTCGATGAAAACGCCGTGGAAACCGGCCATTTTGGCCATCATAGCAATTTCATTGCCGACAACGAACTTGATGGATAGCAATGGTGTGATATCCCCATTCAGAATCCGAGTTCGGAAGGGATTTGAGATAGCAAAGGAGCGTTCTTCTTCGATTGATCCCATGGTGAATGGTGCGGTAGGATTTGTTAAAAAATGATAAGTCCAAAGATTTCAGAATTTGAGTCATTTCGCCAATAATCCAAAAGCCACCCTATCTGCGCATCGAGGGCCCTATTTATTAGGATTGGTAAACGACTACAGCTACCGACGGAGAATTTCCGTCGCGGACGGGCTCCGTCCGATACGCCCTACGTCCACGTGCGTGCCAACCGCAGCGTTTGACTCCATTTTTCTTGCAAAGGGCCTCAACTCTAGCCAATTCGATGCTGCATGGAGCAATGCGCTGCGTCATGCTGCTAGACCCAGCGTAGACTCAGATGGCGAGCCATCATCGGCGGTAGGTAGGCATCAGGGTGCGCGCAAGAAGAGATTTATTGTTTCGTTCTCTTCAGTCATGGCAAAATTACGGTTTCATATGTACTTAAAAACATTAGGTTAACTAGTTGACTAACATCGTTAACTGACAACTCTGAGAATGCTGAAAATAAATAGCCACGCCTATGAGCCGTGTTCTGTCAGCTCAGGGCTCTCTGGAATAGACGCCAGATTTACCAGGCTACTAACAGCCAGGCAAAGACGCTAAGGCGGATTTATACCCATTTAGAAGTATAAGATATATGTAACAATATCGAAAGAAAATTAAATACCATTCCATCAGTAGCAACGAAAATACTTTATGTGTTGAGCTTTTACATGGGAGACTTACCTCCCGGTAATAGTAAGGACGATTGCTTTTCATGGGCGAGGGTGTACAAAAGAGAAAAACAAGGGATGGGAGATAGTATCGGGACTCATATTTTTCAAAGCTATCGAAAAAGATCACATAAATTCAACAATGATCGAAAATTTTTGAAATTGTTGATGACCGTCAGCGAGGACCGGCGCAAGGAGTTCTGTCTTATAAAAAACGATAACTATCTACACCCAGAAGAAATAAAGACAGGAATATGTATAAGTATTATACACCATATATTCAAATGTGAGTATTCCATCGATCAAAAGTTCCAATCGTCGAATGGCGAAACCCGATGATAATGGGCCGCGCCTTTTAAAGGGTTTTTATCAAGTGGGGCGGGTTGTAGTCATTCGCTTCAATCTCTTTCTCTGTCAGAACTTCACCATTCGGCACCCCTGTTCGATCATGGCGCTCGATAATGCGCCCACCCCTAACAGGGAAACAAAAGATACAGAAAAATACAAGGATGAAAATAAAAATTCTGCACCGCACTTAGAGGAAGGGAATGCGATGGAGAAGGCGAATGAGCGCCAGAAAAATCTCTACGAAGAGCGCATTGCCGATTTCCATCGCCTCGGCTGGAAACGCCTCACCATTCTTCTAATTGTGGAAGCAGTTGCATTGGGCAGTCTTTCAATCCCTTCGGCGTTTGCTTCACTTGGCATGGTCGCCGGTGTGATATGCTCCGTTGGCCTCGGTATCATCGCCATTTACACCAGTTACATCATTGGTGAGGTCAAGCTAGCATATCCTCATATTTCAAACTATGCCGACGCAGGCCGATTGATTGGAGATCGGTATGGATGCGGTAGACTGATTTATGCAATCATCAGCACCATGATTATTCTACAATTGATCTTCCTTGTTGGGTCTCACTGCTTAACCGGAACAATTGCTTTCATGGCAATCACCAAAAGTGACATCTGTTCGGTTGTTTTCGGAGTCGTGTCTGCGATAATTCTTCTGCTTCTTGCGATACCGCCGACTTTCGCTGATATAGCCATTCTCGGCTATATTGACTTTGCATCCATTCTCCTAGCTATCGGTATTACAATGATTGGATCGGGCCGAGATGCTGCAACTTCACCCGGTGGACTTGCCGGGGTCAATTGGTCTGCTTGGCCAAAGGAAAATCTAACTTTTGCCGAAGCTTTCGTCGCCTTATCAAATATCATCTTTGCATACAGCTTCGCAATGGTTCAGTTCTCGTTCATGGATGAAATGCACACTCCCGCCGACTACAAGAAATCGATATTGGCTCTAGGTGTGGCAGAGATTGTGATATACACTCTGACCGGTGCTTTAATATATGCTTTTGTGGGGCAAGACGTCGCAAGCCCAGCACTTTCTTCTCTCGGAAATGTGTTGTCTCGTGTTGCATTCGGAATTGCGTTGCCAGTCATCTTTATCAGTGGCTCAATCAATATTGTCATTTTTGGTCGCCAAGTCCATGGCACTATTTTTGCCAACTCGCCGATCCGCCTTGTCGCTTCTCGAGCCGGTTGGCTCACATGGTTGGCTACTATATCTGTGGGCACTGTGATTGCCTTTGTGATTGCCGAAGTCATTCCATTTTTCAATGACTTGCTCTCCATTTCGTCTGCTCTATTTATTTCGGGATTCACTTATTACTTCCCTGCAATCATGTGGTTTCTACTGCTTCGGAAAAAAGGTGAATCTCGGTGGAGCCTGGCTCAGATCATTCTCAACATAGCTATATTTTTGATGGGACTAGTGATATTGGCTGGGGGGATCTATTCCAGTGTCAACGACATTGTAAGAGTCACTGTTCATAATTTCTGGAATTCTTTACTGATCAGGATCGAACAGATTACAAAATACAACACTGGTTCTATTCGATCGCCATTTACATGTGCCACCCCGTCTTAGAATGGTTGAGTTGTGTGACCAAAGAGGAAAGCAAATTTTTGGATCACAATATTACATCGCACTGGCCCATATAGAACTTAGACATACTTTGAAATCAGTGTTGATGCCTAAATAAATACCTTTCGACCAAATTCAAGAACACGCCATTTTTTTAAATTATATCTCTTATGTTCTACGCTATATTTTAGGTTGGTGTCATTGTGGTTACGCCAAAAAAAAGACGAATATGCCCCCAGAAAACATTTGTAAATGAGACACTGGCGTCAATAGCAGGCAGTGGCAGGATATTCATACCGCGCATGCAAGGCTCTCTACACGTGCCGGTCGAATACTACCTTTGCCACAGGACGCCGGAGGATTACCGTGAAGGAATCCTTTGGTGAGTACAGCTGGTGCTGAATATTTTTTCTAAAGCCGTCCATTCTATGGTAGAAATGTGCCAAGTAGCAAGTTATAGGAGGTGGATTTTTGCGGCACTTTCTCGTCATACCCTCGCCTGTAGTTAGTTAAATCGGGTGGCTGAACTAATCCAAGGCTAACCAGACTAGTCCCTGCATAAAGATCGTCCGTCATAAGCTATCCGCTATGTGAGGAATTCTACCAAGAATGGGAATTCCGGCTGCCATAGTAGTCAGTAAGCGTGAAAACCACTTTTAGCCACGCCGGCATCGGCGCAGAACTTTTTTCTCCCTACGGTTTCCCCAGTTTTTCAAGACTTTCAAACTCGGTCGCAGAGCCTTTTTCGAAGGTATCTGTTACGTTTCAGCGCCGTGATTGGCTTCATCGTGCCGATGGCCGGTCGGGACCCACTCTAAGCCGATCCGTTTTAGATGGCCGAGATGGCCTTACGACGAGGAAGTTTTGAGGCAAAAGATAATTTACTTTTTTTTTTTTTGCTTCATCTTTTGCATCAGCTACCACTCGCACCTTATTGCTTTCTTCTTGTGGGCTGAGTCTTGGTTCTTGCATATCCTAGCCAATAGCCCTTTCGGCCACTATCCACGACCGACTTGCGATTTGACATAACATCGAAAAACGCGTTGGAAAATGAGTCCATCTACGCAGGCCTCAGGTATACCAAAGGAAATGGAGTTTGACCAAGTCAATTTTGAAGTCGATGAAAAACAAGGCATCATTCCGCCATACGAACAAGATGCCTTTGGCAATGAAGATTCTGCAGAAGTTAAATACAAAGTCTTGAAGTGGTGGCAATGCGGTCTGCTCATGGTTGCAGAAACAGTATCTTTGGGTGTTCTTTCTCTCCCTGCTGCTGTTGCAACGATGGGTCTTGTTCCCTCTATCATTGTTCTGCTTGGCTTGGGAGTGATTACAACCTACACAGGATACATCATGGGCCAAATGAAGTTGAGATTTCCTCAAATTACCACCATGGCCGACGCTGGTGAAGTGATTGCAGGCAAGTTCGGCCGCGAATTTGTTGGTGCTTGCTGGATCATCTTCTTCATTTTCATCATGGCCAGTCACCTCTTGACTTTTACCGTCGCAATGAACACCATTACGGATCATGGAACGTGCACAATTGTGTTCGGAATTGTTGGAATGGTTATCTCATTCGTCTGCTCTCTCCCACGAACCCTTGAAAAAATGTCCTGGTTGTCTCTCGTCTCATTTTTCAGCATTTTGACGGCTGTACTCATCACTATGATTGCCCTGGGTATTGAGAAACCTGGCTCTGGTGTGGTCGCTATCGCAAACACCAACCTCTACCACGGGTTTACCGCAGTGACCAATATTGTCTTTGCTTTCTGCAGTCACGGTGCTTTCTTCGGTCTGATGGCTGAGCTCCGCAACCCACGCGACTTCACCAAGTCTCTTTGCTTGCTTCAGGGAATCGACGTCTCTCTCTACTTGGTTGCGGCTGTTGTGATTTACCGGTATGCTGGAGATGATGTAACCTCACCGGCCTTGGGTTCTGCTTCGCCTATTGTCTCCAAAATTGCTTATGGTATCGCTCTGCCAACAATTGTCATTGCTGGCGTCATCAATGGCCATGTCGCTTTTAAATACGTCTATGTGCGTATCTTCCGTGGGACAGACCGTATGCACAAGCGCGATTTCATTGCCATCAGCTCTTGGGTTGGTATTGCCCTTGCCATGTGGATTCTTGCATGGATCATTGCTTCTGCTATCCCGGTCTTCAGCAACCTGTTGAGTTTAATTGTATGTTGGCCCCACGCATAGAATTGAGACGGAACACTGACTTTACTCTAGACTGCTCTCTTCGCTAGCTGGTTCTCCTTTGGCTTTCCCTCCATTCTCTGGTTTTTCATGAACAAAGGCGTATATTTCTCGTCACCCCGGAAAATTACGCTGACGATTGTCAACTTCATTATCATTTGCATTGCGTTCGCCCTTTGTGGAATGGGTCTTTGGGTGTCTGGAAAAGCCATCCATGATAACCCGAGCAGCGCGAGCTTTTCTTGTGCGAATAATGCTTGAGGGTTTTTACTACTATTGCTTTCTTTTTCCAAAAACAAGGCGTCATGGTTTACATTAGGATATTTGCATTGGCATCTGCTGTTTTCGATCTAATTTCATCTCCGAAGTTAGATCGGATCGGTTTCTCGGATAGCGTTGTTTGCTGAGTTTATTCTTGCACTTTAAGATTACATGGATACATCATAGTCACAATAATGTTCAAAATGCATTTTATATACCACACTGTCCTTCTGTTTACTTCACTTCCTTACTTGCACTGACAAATTCTACCTTGTTGACTAGACACCTTAGGCCAAAGGTCACATGATATCCACTGATGACTAACCCTTTGAGCATGATTGGAAATGGATGGTTGCAAGTTCGGCCAAAGTATATATTAGATATGCTTTAGTTAATTTTACGGTGAATGAGAAAGGAAGACATGGGATTGGTTATCAGGCTTTTTACCCAACCATTTTACCAATTGCAACACTTGCCTCTCATTCGTATTTGTAGAATCACTCATTGTTCCTGAGCCGGGTTAAGGTTACTGACTGTGGAGGTACCCCTTTCGTAATGACGTTTGCGGAAGTCCGCCGGAGACACCCTGTTTAGGAAGGTTGAAATGGGCCTGCCCTGTTTGTTTTAATTTTGAGAAAATGATCGTTATAATAAAAAGAAAGCCCAAGCTTGACCAGTCTTGTTGTGCTTGTGCACTGTCCTCGTTTGACCCCTGGACCCTTGATTGAATTGCCCTCACCGAGAGTCTTGGCGCGGATATTCTGCGTAATAGAAAACCCCAGAGCGCTCTTCCATCTTCCCAGCAACAAAACCCTTCACAATGCAGATTCCACTGCTTCGGCTTCAATGCGGTGAGTCATGGAGAACCTTACATGGGCGGATCTGGCTCTGACTGTTTCTTCCAGGCGTTAACAGCTATGACTGGGGTAGGTCGCAATTAACGCTAACTTCCAATGCCCCGCACTGAACTCCGTCATAGGCAAAGTCGGCCAAGAGTCGGCAGCTGCCCGGTATGCGGCCACCACCGCGGCCCCGGGGTTTGCGGTCGAGGCTGAGAAGCCCTATGCAGAGGTGAGCAATGTGCACTGCTAGTCGGAGATATGATGCATGTTGGCTGACCAATGCCGCAGCTGTGGATGGGCACTCACCCTTCGCTTCCTTCAAAAGACCTCGAGACCCAGAGAACCCTCCTCGACCTCGTCCAAGACAATCAGGCGCTCCTATCCACGGAGATCAGTGAACGCTATGGTGGCCGTCTTCCTTTCCTCTTCAAGGTGCTGTCGATTCGCAAGGCGCTTAGCATCCAAGCGCACCCCAACAAAAAGCTCGCCGAGCAGCTTCACGCTCGTGACGCGCGAAACTATCCTGGTGCGTACTTCCATACAGAATTAATCAGCGCTCTTTGATTGAAATGCGAGGCTTATTCCATATGTCGATTCCCAGATGACAACCACAAGCCCGAGATGACCATTGCCATTACACCTTTCGAAGGCCTCTGCGGCTTTCGCCCCTTGGCCGAAATCACCCACTTCCTCCAGGCCGTTGAACCTCTCCGCAAGCTTATTGGGTCTCAGGCTGCAAGCGCTTTTGAACAAATTGTCAATGGGAATGAGGACTCGGAGGACGAGGCTGTCATTCAGCGAAACAAGGATGCCCTGCGCTCTGTTTTTACATCTCTGATGGAGACTTCCCACGAAAGCGTTCAAACCGCATCCAATGAGCTGGTGGCGCTTGCGGAGAATTCGCCTGCCAGCTTCGGTACTCTGCCTGGAGATGTTGCAACTAACCCCGCGGACCCCGTGGAGTTGGCTGCCATCATCCGTCGGCTGAACGACCAGTTCCCCCACGATATTGGCCTTTTTGTCTTCTTCTTCCTGAACTTCATCAAGCTGTCTCCTGGCGAGGCCATGTTTCTGAAGGCGGATGATATTCACGCCTACGTCTCCGGCGACATTATTGAGTGCATGGCGTCATCTGATAATGTCGTGCGTGCTGGGTTCACTCCGAAGTTCAAGGACGTGGATACTCTGACCCAGATGTTGACCTACTCCTACGCCCCCATTGAGGAGCAGAAGCTACAGCCCGTGGACTACCCCTATGTCATCCATAATGCGACAGCTTACTCCAGTGCCTCCTCTTCACTCCTATATGACCCTCCCATTGAGGAGTTCAGTGTGGTCAAGACCGATCTGAACCGGACAGGTGCTAAGGCAACCTTCGATCCGCTTTCGGGCCCCAGTATCCTAATTTGTACCCGAGGCCAGGGCCGTATCACTGTCGGTCACAAAACCGAGGAAGTCAAGGAAGGTTATGTCTTCTTTGTTGGCGCTACTGCCGAGTGTGTCATCGAGAACACTGGAAGTGGAGAGGGTGATGAGGATGTGTTCACCACATTCAAGGCTTTTTGTGAGCTGACTGGTAAGGAGGACATGGTTAATGGACATTAGGTCTCGCATTTCTAATTTGAAGATGTTTTGATTAGAGCCTGCCAAGCCTAGTGCGAACTTATAACGTGACTAGGCTGTCAGCAATGTCCTTCCCGACCAGTGGGCCGATGAGATGCTGTTTGGTAGCTATACATAATTCCTGCATCCATAACAATGATAGGAGCCGTCGTTCCATGCATTTTAAGTGGCTACTTGTGTAGTCTTTTTCTTCTTCTCGCCCTGTAGGAACGCCTCGCTTGTCTATTCCAAATTATTGCATAAGCAGCATGCAGACAAACAATTGTAGTGCATCTGTACGGCTACCCTCGCCAATCACCCCTCAACGGCATCTGCAGATGACCCCACGGGGATGAACCGAGGCTAAGGGAGAGATGGAGATCCCAGCATTCAAAAGTTTGAAAGAAGAGCGGGGAAACCACGAGCCGTGGGGAAATAAAGACGGCTAGGGAAAGCGCTAGCCAGTCTCTTTACCTCTATTCCTTTTTTTCTCCCTTGTCTCTACACGACTCGCTCCATGATGGCTAACTCGAGAAAAGTCGTCGTTCCGGAACTGAGTTTCTGGGAGAAGGCCGACCTGTCTTTCCTCCAAACCTCGGTCATTGTCAGCGCCCTATACGCCGCTATCACGGGCCTGTTTCGTGGTCAGCGCAGTCCAAAGAAATACAAACACCATGTCCTTGGCGCAGCAATTCGGACTATGGTCAATAGTGTGACCATCCGCCAGAAACAGTACGTATTTACGCATTTCCCTGGCCAAATTATGCAAAAAAGGTTAAGCAACACACCAGATACCTGGATCCAACGACACCACAGACCTATGAAGCTGTGATGCAGAAACGAGGACTCCAACCGGAGACAGTAGCCCTACCCCATGACACCGAGGGATACTGGCTCGGTAACAAGAATGCAAAGAATGTGATTGTTTACTATCATGGTGCGCATCACTTTCGTCCCCCAGAACTTCGCGAATTCCGATGTACGCCGGTATAGCAGAATTCGCACACCAGCAGGAAGCCATTCCAGGAAAGCTAATCTCGCACTCTGCAAAACAGGAGGCGGCTTCGCTATGGCTGCTGGTCCCTCTCACTTCGACTTCTGGTTGGATTTGCTGCAGGTCGTCAACAGCAACGGCCACGATATCGCCGTGTTCTTCCCACGCTACACGCTCACCCCACACGCCGTCTATCCGATCCAGCTGCAGCAAGCTGTCGGCGCGCTGCGCTACATCCTGACAGAGACAGACCGGGCCCCAGCGAACGTGATTGTTGGCGGCGACTCGGCCGGCGGCAATCTGGCAATGGCTGTGCTGCTGCATCTGTCACATCCGCACCCGGAAATCGAGCCGGTGGCCTTGTCTGGGCCGCTGGCGGGCGTATTCGGGTTCGCACCGTGGATTAATTTCAGTCATGACTGGTCATCTTTTAAGGATAATGCATACAAGGATGTCGTCACAGAACGCTGTTTAAGGAGGTGGTCATCGGCTTATCTAGATGGTCGACCGGGAGATAGCTGGAGCGAGCCAGAAAAAGCACCAGTAGAGTGGTGGAAAGACTCGAAGACCGAGCAAATCTTGTTGCTGGCGGGTGGAGATGAGATGCTGTTAGGGCCGATTGAGTTCTTCGCAAAGAAAGTGAAGGTATGCAGGTCTTAGTCTTCTCACCCTGGTATGCCGTAAATGGACGGCTCTGACGAGATTTCTAGTCTGCCTTTCCGAACACGTCGTTTGTCGTTGGTAGTGACGAATCTCATGATGCACATTTATATGTGGAGGCGGGTTCGAAACAGGGAACGCAAACAGGGAATGAACTTCGACAATGGGTTTCATCACGTCTCTAAATCCTTCTAATCCCGAAATTGGCGTCGCTTTGAACTGAGAAGTATATGTATTTGTCGATTAGCATTTGTTTTAATGCAATGAATCGGTTGAGATAATTCAACGTACCCACAGCATCGATATTCGTAGATTTGAAATCGGGGTGCAAACTGCGAAAATAATGAGTCCTGAAACTGGCAACCTCGATCCTCCGTATATGCACCCCACTATCTGTACTCAAGTTACTGTAGAAAAGAATTTCTCGAGTGAAAAGAATTGTCTTGAGACCCTCTATAAAGAGTCTATTCGATGTTCCTTCTTGTCTTGTTTTGCGCATTGGAATGATATGGGAAAAAAGCATGTTTCCAAAAATTGTACTAAGCGGGGGTCGTGTCAACTCATAATAAAGCAAGATAGCAGGACACCCTGGCACCAAATAAACAGGCTCCGCGAAACAAAAAGCAGGACAATGTGAATTTATTTTTTCTCAGATCCTCCGACTCCCTACGATGACACCTTCGGCGAGTACTTAGCGGCTGCGGTATCGAAGAATGTGCTCTTCTCCTGGATATCAGCTAGAAGAGAGTGAGAAGGCTGTGTTTGGCTCAGCCGGCTATATGTAGAGTTAGTTTGCCTTGTCTAAAACATATTTTGGGATGGGAGGGTAACCTACGCTTCCAGATCCGCACTTGGCTTTCCAGCCAGCACGTTCAGCACGATCGAATTGGCAATCAATTCGGCGTCACCGGGGTACTTCTCTAGGGCGGCATTCAAAGCGGCTTCGGCCTCGGGGAGGCGACCGAGGTGGATTTCTGCAACGGCCTGGCCGACAATCGAGAGGGCAGCAGATGTGCTGAGAGAGGAGGCAAGTTCCTCATAGACATAGAAAGCGGACTGGTATTTGTCGCCACCCTGCATGAAAGAAATAAGGGAGTTAGTTACGGCACATGGTTTATTCGAAAGGGGCTGTGAGAATAAAGTGCTTACAACTCTCATGCCGACCCACGATTCGGCCAGATTGACGAGCAGGGAATCCTGGGCCCAGCGCTTGGCGGCCTGCACCTCCTTCAGGGCGAGATCGGTTCGGTTTTGTTGAAGGTGAATCTGAACAATCAAAGCGACGCTAGGTATTCCAAAGGTACAGTTAGTGGAATGAATAGGCATGAGAATGAGGAAAATGGCGCCATAGGCTCACTCACGCCTCGAGATTGCCCTGGTGCCTAGACAGCAAGGCTAGCGCTTCTTCACTATATTCCTGGGCTTGAAGCACCGTGCCAGCGAGCACCTGTACGGTGGCATTATCCGGGTAGTTCTCGGCAAGATCTTGGGACAGCTGGAGGGCGGCGTCGGCCTTGCCTGCGGTTTGTTGTGCCAGAGCCTTGGTCGCGGCCAAGTCAGGATTATCCTCATCGCTAGAGACAGCAGCAAAGACCTCGTCGGTCTGGCCAAGGGCAATCTGAGCACGAAGCTTGAGTACACGAGCAGGGAGCTGGTTCTCGGAGGAAAGGGCGGAGGTGTCGAAGTCGATCACGTTCTGGTATTGACCGGAGTGAAAGGCATTGTGAATGTTGAGGAGCTCTGGGTAGGAGATTAGTAGACTGTAGGGGACCCATGAGGCATAACGAAAAGCTTACCACCCTCCGCTGAGAAAGGATCCATCTTGTATTGAACGGGGATTGTAGACTGGGGGGTGGATGAGGGCAGGCGGTGTTGATATTCCGGGGGTGCAAGTTGGCGTTATGGCAGAATAGGTAACTCTGCCGAGGGCAAGTCAGCCGACCGCCTTGGAATTCTCACTCTCGACCAGGATGAGTGCCCCCTCCGAAGAGTACTACTACTAATTGCGTTGCATGAATTGTAAATTAAAAGAATTTCATAGTTTGTTAAATCAATTCAAGAGACTCAATGAAATAAAGAATGGAGGCAAGCCACTATCTGGTTATCTCAACAATACAAATAACACACCGGGTGCAAATTCAATCAAGACAACAAAAAGATCGTTCAAAAAGTGAAGAAACAAAAATTAAGACCAGCAGCCTCTTCACACTAGTATTAGGAGAGCTAGACACTTAGTGTCTTTTCCAAACATCAGGGAATAAAAAGAATAGGAAACCCATCATTCTTAACGGCTCAATTTCTTCCGCAGCCCCTGATATGCTGTCATACCCCGGTTTGCTCCTTTGCGGACTATTCTGGAAATCATACTGCCGATACTTACTACACACCATTCATCGAGCATTGAGACTGATGTGTCCGTTGAGCAGGAGAATGCATCTGCATGTGACTCGAGAGTCGGATCAATAAGTATTGGGTTCACAAGTTCTGGTTCTCTATGAACTGCCGACTGCCGAATCTCAGATGTTTGAAAAGAGGTCCACGAGATAGATGGGGTAATAGAAGAAAGAGAACTGGATACTGAGGTCCAATTTCCGTAATGATGTGAGGATGTCAGATATCTTTTGTTGGCATTGTGTCTATGCGATGACAGGCCCTCAAGCGAGTCTGTGAGATCTACTTCTTGACAGATCTGGCGATGTAAACTGAACAACGAATTTTCGGCCGCTAGTTGTGGATATTGTGGATGAAGCTCTAGCGATATAGGCTCCAAATCCCATTCTTCGACAGTGACCATTTCCTCCATGCCCTCAAACTTGCATTCCTTGGCACTTGCGGGATTAGGCTCGGGGGCACGCCCTTCCCATATGGAGTCTATCTCTAACCATCTGGCGACAATAGCGTCTCGAGAGACTGAGGTCACGATTTTTTGGTCATCATCTTCGATTTCGATTGGAAGACTGGTGGACTGGAGGATGGGAATGGAAAATTTATGGACACCGCATGTTCTGTACATAGATCTGAGTACAATTACAGCTCGCTTGAAGAATGACTTTGAATACATACCTCGGGTCAAAGAATGCTTTATTTCCAGATATGGCATCAAGCCAGTTGAATTGCTCCGAGGCCGGAGACTGGATATCAGAGTGCGAAGACATGAACATGAACTGTTATATGGGTACCGCAGATATTGAATTTTCGAATTCAGAATAGTAAGAGGTATAGCTTTGATAGTACCTTATGTTTCAGTCCTTCTATACCAAGATTCATCAATAATTAGATGATCGAAGAGTGATAATTGAGTGAAAGAGAGTGGGATGTGAGATAAAGGAAGGAAGGAAGCTAGGATCGCAAGGAAGCTATGCCGCATATATAAGTCGTGCTCAAGTACTAATCCTGTTTGAAAGCTCTCCATCGAACAAAGTGTAAAACATATCCAAGATTAGGAAAGTTGGAGTAGTACTTTCCTTCTTGAAGATTCCCAACACTTGCGCCCGTGGCTGCCAATGTCGGCACTGGCAAGTTCGGGCCCGATCCACGGAACAGCTGGCCGAAAATGAACATTGAATAACATTCTCCAAATGAAAGAAGGTTTCCTACTATTCCGATTATAGAACCTCTTTTATCCGAGGAATATAGTATTACAATATTTTCAGATGTCGGCGTACGAAACTGCAAATGCCGGAGAAAAGCAGCAAAAAGGCGCAGGCGCATGAGATCAAAGACTAAAATGACAATGGATGTAATAGTTTATTACACTCTCGAGCTTGGGATTATATTGAAACAATTGAGCGATTAAAAATTTCAAGTATTCAACTCCTAATATTTTCGCTGCTGTATGTAATAATGAGGCCATTCAAACATGCGCCGCATCCTAGATGGGATACGATTGGGTGGCTTAAGTTCATTGTATACTTCAAATAGGGAATAGTCGAGATAATCATGGCCTCAAAGTCAACAATAGTTCTCAATTCCTATTGAACATGGTTGGAAAGAGAATAGTGTGTAATAAAATCAATGAGGTTCAATCTATGTACAAGTATTGAAATTCAAGCATCCGCATTTATTTCTTTCAACTCTGTAGAACAAAAAAACACTGATTAGTCTATTAAATATCGGGTTTACAATCAAGTCGTCAAAACTTTTGTCCTTTGAAGATTTTCCCACTATACAGATACCTTAGCCTTGCCACCTCAAACGATCTTCTTTCAAGGTCTTGAGAACCCCCAGAGGCATGAACTCGCGGTTAACGGCTGCCAGACTCCCATACTTGCGAACTATCTCGTCATGATACAGTTCTCCGATCCAGCGCCAATAAGGTGTCATATCAGCCCAATTTGCAGATATAGGTCCAGATTTGGCAGCCCCATCGCGGGACCCCTTGAGTCCCCGCTGGCTCTTGGTAAACCCTGCGGTGGAGGAGATGCTCTTCTCCTCAGGCACAGATGTGAGGGAAGTGTATGCTTCCCGAAGTTCGCTGTTGTATGACTCGGGGTATTTTGTAAATTCTTCCAACGACATAAATGGAAGAGGCTTATCGTTGTCATCCATCCAAGTCTTCGAGGAAGTAGGGCCTTGCTTCTCAAAACGCTCTTTCATAACCAGGTATCTCTTCTCATCTGCCAACTCTGGCTTTTCAAGAAACTTGCGTGGTGTCTGCTTGATATTTTCTCGCATAGCCAGCAGCTGAATAAAGGGGTTAAGAAGCCCGAGCCCGCCCAGATCGACAGGGTAGTAGAAGAATCCTTCCGGGAGGCCATTAATGTCAAATCTTTCCGCAATTATAGTGCGGAGGTATTCGGTCACACCTCCCTGGATATTAGAAGTTCTGTCTGATAATTTGCTGAAAAGGGACCGTTCAATACGGCTGAGAGTACTAATAGCCATGTCAATGTGATCGCGCCCGAAACACATAGCTGGCTTTGCGAAATTATTGGGGAAGAATCTCCCAAAATAGCTATTCCATGCCTGAACCCAAGCAAAGACACTCTTACAAGAAGAGAGCTGAATATTGAGCTCGTCGATATGCTGGTCCACCTGTTTCTGATCAATGACGAATCGACCTTGTTCCGCATCTAGAACCAAAAAGCCCCAGCGAATGTCCCCAACTGGGAAATTTGGATTCCTTTCAATGCCTGATCTTCCCATCTGAACGGTGCCAGTTTTTTCTTGATTAAACTCAAGACCCATTACTTTGGCGTACTCAGTCATTCCACGCCAAGCCTCTTCACAGGTCTTCTGGGTACCCCAAAACCAAAAGTCGTCATGAAGTCGGTACAGTATGCCTCCATCTGTGGTTTGATTGACTGCATAGTCCATGCAAAATAGCACAGCCTCCCCAAATACATCCGACAAAGTATGGCTCATGGGGACGCCGCACCTGCGGACCTGAACTACAGCATCGGGGCCATCCTGAAAAAACTTCAAAGGTGCCTCTAAAAATGTCTTAAAGAATTTAAGCCACATTTCTGGGACGTTAAAATATTCCAGAACAGTCAAGACTGTCGCATGAGGCAAAGACGGTCCGAACCACTGGTAGTCAGACCGGATTGCTGTGAACTCTCCCCGATACCGATTGTAGATAAGAGATTCCGTGATCAGAAGATGCAGAAGAGAATGCTTTATGTCCAGGGCATTCTTTTCCTGGGCATCATCATCGTAGCTTCGGGTCCCTTCCTTTGCGGATGCAGGAAGCTGGCTCATGAAATATTTTTCTTTGTAGGTTTGCTCTCGTAGAAGATTGATTGATCCATTTCGAGAATTCATAAGGCCTGATTCCAGGAAAAATTTGCGTCTTTTGACATCCTCTTCCGGAATGTTCTCACTGAGGGGGCTCCATGCATGCGAATTATAGAAGTCCATTAACAGTTCGCGAAGCTTGACGGCCCATTCTGTCCCTAGATACTGTAGTAGAAGGCTGTCAAGAAGATCTTCGTCCATAAAGACACGGTATTTGCCATTCAACTGACGGCGCATTTCGACCGGAATACCATCCCCAGACCAGCTCCAAGTGTCAAGAGATGCCAGACGCATGTTGAGCACGTCTGCCACCTCTTGTGAAACCTCTGTGTTCCGTAAGAACTCTTTCAGTACAGTTGTTTTGTCGGCGCTGAGAAGATCGGTTTTTAATAGAGACTTGGAGACCAATTGTAGTTTCTCGACATTCAACCATTCTCCCTTGGTGGCCATATCGTTTCCAAATTTGTGAATTTTTGCACGAAGCTCCTTGAGAGACTGTCGAGATAATTTGGATCGCCGGAATAAACCATCAAGATAATCACGAATGGCCTTCTCATCCACGTGAGTGGGGGAAATGAAGACAAGGGACTCCCATTTGGCTCGTTGCTCGTGCATTTCTGCACGACCAAGGCTTTCGAAGCCGGCATCCGAGTTTGCGGCTTCGTTATCAAGATGCGACAGCCATTCAGTGACCAATTTGCTATAGAACGTGGCATGCTCATGCTTGAGTTCCAAGAACCGCAGTTCATTCTCCAGGCTAGCGATCCATCCTTTCAGAGTTGATGTTGATATAGATGCATCATAACGGCCTTGTAAGAGAAAGCGGCGTATGTTGGTGTGATCGGCCTGATATAGCTGACCCATCCCGGGCAAGGTAACATCCACCTCTTCATTGTCATCAGATTCAACATCTAGGTCCATATCGTCCTTGTCAATTGCATCTTTTGGGTACCCCTTGAGACGAGAGAGGCCATTTAGTAGGATCAGAGCTTGATTTCTCAGGTCCTGGGTAGCACTGGTCGCTTCGAGGATTTCTGCTTTCTTTTTGTCGAACAGAGCTCGCTGCTTAGACAGCTCAGTGATCTTGGTAGCAGTAATGGACTTCAGAGTTTGAGGAAGAGCTCCGATGGAGGCCATGATGCCTTTTATTGCACTTGATTTCCATTAATGTAGTGCCGAAAATTCTGTTTGCCGCTAAGGATATCGAACAAAGGCGAGTTAAAAAAGTTATGGCGATAGATGTTGAAGCTGGGAAAGTGGGTCGGTTTAAGTAGTGTGGCCGATAACTATGTGATATCTGTAAGTGTTACCAAGACTAGTCTATGTGTGAGCCAGGTGAGTCCAAAAGAAGTACTGCAACCATTCAAAAAAGAGGCTTCGGATGTGTGGCGTTGGAGGATGAGGAGCGGGCAACGGATTGATACTAGTTGAGCGGACACTGAATGGAACCTCCACATCGGGTTCCAAATCCGGTAAAAGAGCAACACGGAAATGCCGAAAGATCTGAAGTGATCATAAAAAAAATCAACATATGGTATTCTACCACTTGAATCAACTAGAAATAATCTTGCGAAGAGATTTATCAGGTCTAAAGTTTCAGAATCCTCAAAAAACAGAAAAGAAAAAAAAGGGCAGAGGACGATCTGGAAGCTAGCGATAAAGTAATGACTCCTATCATCAGAATACATTCTTTCTCCTTAAGGGTTTATAAGGTTTATATAAATGTTGGATTTTCTGGCCCGTTCCGTTCGTCCAGAGAGATCCCTCTAGCTCTAAACAAAAAAAGGAAATACGGGGAAAGACACGTTTGTGACGAGGAGATGCGGGATTGGATTTAGATACTCCTTGAATTCCAAGACGCGAAAATCTTTTAGTCGAACCATGATGACCTGTCCAGCCACAAAGTCAGAATACGGATAAAAACCCGGAATTCAAAGGTCAAAAGTCGATCAGTTCTTACATAGTCGTTATAATATCCAGAAGGACTGTCGTCGGCACCCCACCGGAAGCAGCCCCAGTTTCCATAACTCTCGACGATTGATACGTTGGGGTCGAGGAAAACCTCTCGTTCAAAATCTTTATTCTGTTTATCCTGCATTTTAGAAATATTTTTGACATGGATCATTGCTCAGCATAGAAAAGAATTACCTGGTGCCATTCAACTATTGTATCATCCACCCACTTGATCATCGTGGCTTCTAGATTGCGATCGCCTCCATGTGTCAGGCCGGTAGGCATGAAAGGCATCACAAACCGAAAATTGGGATCGAATAATATATTTGTTTTGGCTTTCTCTGCCATTTCCGATGGATTATCTGAGGAGGGACGAAGATACCAGTTAAACAGTCTCTGTTTTGTCTCCGATAATTCTGGCTCTTTTGTTGGGGGATTTGGGAAGGGCGTATCCACATACTCAGAGGGAGTAACAGATGGCCTATTGAACTGAAAAGAGGGAAGGATAATGCCTGCGGCTTTGTAGTAGGCCGTTGGGTCACTCCAAGTCTTCAGGTTTGAAATCTTCCCGTTTGTGACCTCGATTAGCTCGATGTGCTGGCATTCGAAGGCGCGCTCAAAGTTATCTCCCCAGGTCACCATGGCTTTAGTTGATGATTCGACCCAAAATCGTCTAGGGCTCAAGGTCGGATAGTATTGTACATCTGACCGAGTCCATTCACGCATTGTCCGTCTTAGCCATTGAGCAAAGACTGGCCTCCGGGGCCGGGAAAAGGCTTGGGGCATTCCTGGAGGTGCATAGGGAAACTCCCAAATGCAATTTGAAGAGAAAAGACGGTCCACATGTCCATCATCTTCCCAGAATGGAGTTGCCAGGTAATCATCGACAATTTTCTGATTTTCAATTCTAAGGGCCTCATTGGCCATTTTGAATATTAATATTGATCAATAAGCATGAGAGTATGCAGGGGGTTGGAAGAAAACGTGTAGCTCTCCTCCGAAAATTGTAGTTCGGGGCTTTTATTAGTGACACAGAACCTCGAATGACTAATTACATCCTAAAAATGAGAGCAATATGAGAAACAGAACCGGGTAGCTCTTATCTTTGACCGCACCGGTCAATGAGGTTCCAATAGCAAATCGGAGAGCGAGATTCAGATCTTCGGATTCCTTCGGCTTCTCCTGGACCTCATTAAAAATGTAGAAGGACTACTGCATGACTCGGTTGGATTATAGAATGCACAATTCTTGGGTGCTATTGGCTGAAGTTTTTAGGGATCCGCTAACTATACCCGGTGGCTATGACTATCTGAGGTCGATTATCCGGTATTTCGGGATGTGGAGGGCGAGCTTCAGATTTTGGACCCTCTACACACCAAACTACAAAATTGCCGCGAATATGATTTTAGCTAAACGATAATGGACATAGATTTGAGCTTGTCTGCGTTGCGATGAGATTGATTGCGATGAAGTTGTCGTACGAAAGAACGAACCGTCCCAAACTGATATCGTAACTTGATTGTGAGATATCATGATGTTCAACTAGTTATCAGAGGCTCAAAACATGCATCTCACGTACCCCGCTTTGTGAACCGAAAATTAAGGGAATACCGACCGGGTAGGCCACCGGATAGCAGCCGGTATATTGACCGGGAATCCTGCTAGATCGGCTATCCATCCAATGGAAATGTGACTAGACAATGTGAGATATGAAGGCTCTCGGATTGTTCGACATTTTCCTCTTCTACACAAAATGAGATATAAGACACATCATACCAAGCTCTCAGGACCATCAAAATAGGCGGGTCACTTTTTGAAGTTACTCTCTCTTTCGATACTTTCAACTGGAATTGATCTATGATATTCCACTACAAATATGGAAAATGTCCAAGATGTACCAGACCGCGAAAAAGCAACTTATTCTGAGGATGCTAAAATAAACCATGTGAAAGGAACAGTCGACAATCTATCATTTATTTGGTTGAATCCAACCCCCAGTGATCACCCGGCCGACTCTTTGAATTGGAGCAACTTCAGAAAATGGAACATCATGATTCTCCTCGGTTTCGCGACAGGCGCAGCCCTGTCTGTCGAAAATTTTCTGTCGAACCTCGCACCTGAGTTATATACCGAATTCCCCGACAAGCCCAAATCTGCTGTTCATCGGCTGCTGAACGTGATAGTTCCGATGGTCGGGCCAGGTGCCTTGATTTTTGTGCCCATAGGCATAGCTTATGGTCGAAGACTGGCTTTGCTACTCTCCCTGGTTGCCCTTTGTGCGTCAACTCTATGGGCGGGACTTACCACCTCTTTCAACTCTCTATATACCGCCCGAATCATTCAAGGACTAGCATGTGGCCCGACTGATGCGTTGTTCTTGTCGGTAATCCAAGACTGCACCTTCATCCATGAACGAGGTGGCATGCTAGGAGCAGTTTTGATGCTTCAGTTGGTGCTACAAGCGGCACTATCGATTGCGGTAACATATATTTCTATTCATATCAACTTGGAATGGACATTCATATTGTACGCCTGCTTGATCGGAGTCTGCTTGGTGTGGATGTTCTTCTTTATGCCAGAAACCACCCGAGACAAGTTTCAGAATCATAGCAATGTTCCAATCAGGCTCTCTGAACATCGGCAGTTGCGAAAATACATGCCTCGAATGACATGGAAAGAGTCATTGACAATTTGGTTTCCTCGGTCTCAGACAGGACCACAGAAATTCTTTTATGTTTATCGCCAAATTTTCATGGCATTTTTACGACCTGTTAACTGGTGGTGTATTCTCTTGACAACAATCACCACTGGGTAAGTACACGAATATCGTGGCGAAAATTGACATCAGTATAATTTGTCCTAATTACAACAGGGCTTATATTGGATATTGCAACTTTTTTGCTACCATTCTTACCCAAGCTCCATATAGCTGGCCCAGTGCGAATGCAGCACTGATCAATTTAACTGTCTTTCCAGCCGCATTTTGTGAGTCACTAATGGCCAATTGCCTCTAAATTGATACAGGAAAATATTATTTCTTATGGCAAGAACTATCAAACTGACTTTGTTATATGATATTTAGTCAATTGGCTTATCACAGGCTGGGCATCAGATCGACTGATTTTGCGTTTTGTTCGAGGAAATACCGAGGCAATTCTTCCAGAGTATCGCTTAATTCCGCTTGTATTTCCCTCTATTTGCGCTACTATCGGCCATATTGCATTCGGATGCCTAGCACAACATTACTTGATCACTGACCCAGGAGGTCCACAAATACATTGGTTTGCACTGCTTGTCATCAGTTGCCTGCAATATATTGGATTTGGTGGGACCCTCGAAGTTGTTTTGACTTTTTTGGGGTCGACCACGAACCCTGATGAGTCGCTTGCAACAATGACTGCGGTGACCGTTATTCGTGATATTGCGGCTTTTGGAATCAGCTATGGCTCGTTTGAATTTTCTACCCGAGTAGGATACGCGACTAGTTTTGGTATCTATGCGATGTTGGTTGGAGTTATTTCACTTGGAGCAATTCCCATATTTTTTATGGGAGTACACCGTTGATATCTTACTTACGAAGACGACAGTGCAAAACATGGCATCCAAAAAGATACACGATAATTGATAATTGGCCGCCTTTGGACCATCAAAGTTGTCAATAATCTTGTATACGTAAAAGAGAAAAAGTGAACATAAATATCATTCTTTGTTATGGCTCTTCTTTGTATAAATTTCAAGCCTCTTCTTTTATAGTGTTTCCGAGGTCATGGTGGTTCTCGGACTCAGACTTAATTTCTTCCTTAACTTCACTTGTCGTCTCCTGCTTTATTCCCTGCGATGCCGTCGACGCATTGACTGCATTTTTCTTCGCTACTTCTTCCGCAGTGGGCTTGCGACCCCAGACCCTCTTTCTACAAACATTTCAGCTATTTTAATGCCAAGGAGATCATCAGGAATGGTTCTTACCCAGTTTGGTAGATATGGTGCCGGGGGTTTCGAATCTCCTTCCGAACTTTGGCCATCAGGACTTGAACTTCCTCCTTTGACCATGGCTTGGGAACAGCATATTTTGTAAGAAGATACATAGCCCAGCCCTCCATGCCGGTTGCCCATTGATGATAATGCAGTCGACCTGCCTCCTTCAAAATGGGGTCCTTAGGCCAGGGGCCGATAGGCCACTTGTACACTTTCTCATGGATATCGACGAAGCCAGCCTTCTCCATCATATCTTTCAAGTTGTGAACGAGGGTGATCGGGCGACCCCAGTTTACGGCTGCCTCGCAAGCAGTCTTTCCAAAAAATAGCGAGCTGTTGCCTTCAGTAATACTTCCATCATCACAACTGATCCGTGGATCCCTTTCCACACATTCGATCCAGCCACCAGGGACCAAGTTACTATCGCATGAAATGACATTAACACATAGTCCCAGAAGCTCACCCAGTTAAGAAGATACGCAGACTCGCACTGGCTGAAATAACTCACTCGTAGCACTGCTTAAAGATGGCTTCCCACTCTGGTATTGTGAAGGCCCCTATCATTTGTCGAAGATAAATTAAGTCAAACGGCTGACGCCAGGTCCACTCTTTCAGAACGTCATCTACCTCCATGATGCAGTTTGGAGGCAGCCAACTGACGGGGGGTGGAAAAAGGTCGACGCCACGAACCGTTGCTATCGGCCATACTTTAGCAGCAAACGGAAATCAATATTTTGAGGGCATGGCTTACCCTCTGGGAAAATATCGGCAACATCGCTGGCAATAATTTGTTCAATAAAATGAAGAGGAATTGGCTAATATGAATGGGGTGCTACTTACATGGCCCAACTACCACGGCCAGTTCCCAGATCAAGAACATGCTGAAATCAATATTTTGTCAATTGTATGTATTGATTGATTGATATAAAAATAGGATTCTTGCCTTCGGGTTCTTCACTGGTGACTGAAAGAGCGGATTTGCTTCGTTCGAGTCAAGAATCACACAGGCCAGATGCCTATTGAGATTAGCCAATTTTTTTTGGATTCAAGGTGTGGGAGTCCTATTAACCCTGCTTCATAACTCTCAAACTGCTGTTCATCGGAAGGGCCCCTATGCGAGTATTTGAGCTTCGACACCCTAGTGAGGAGGAATTTCCGAGTGTTTTCAGATCATACCAATACTCGCCCTCTCTCAGAGTCTGGTATCGGCGACCATTTTCCATAACGCCCTTGTAGATAGTGGAAGACAAAGACGTGGTCTCCCTAAGAGTCGATTATGGATCAGCCATCCCTATAGTTAATATTGCTTCCCGATTGAATTGCAAGCCAACTCACGACTCAAAGTCACTGGGCTGGTATTCAGCATCCATGATGTGGTAGGTGGGATCCTGCATACATATCCACCGTGAGAATCTGGCGTCTGTGCGGGACTACCCCGTTTTCCGTCGATCATGCATGCGTACCACAGCGATATTGTTCGTCGACATGGTGGCCTCGGTAACCTTGAACTGTCCAGATCCAGGTACAAAAAGAGATATATCCAAGGCTGACGAGTGAACCGAGCGTGAGTGGGAAGGAAGAAAGATGAATTCTCAGCTGGCCACGGAGGGGTAAGTGGCCTGATATGGTGACAGGGGTGATTCCATATTCTAGGCTCTCGTTTAGCGATGATTGATTAATTATCCTACGCCAGGTGTCGCTATTGGTTGAGCTAGTATGGATCCTGGAATCCTGCGAGCCAGGGTGTGGAATCAGTTCAAAAGATTCGAGTTATAGATCACACTTAAAACAGAGCGTCATAACATCCTTTTCAATCAGTGATTTTCTATCGGTCGCTCTATTGTTTGGCTGTTCTTTTCCAGTGAATTCGAGAGAGGCCGAAGTCTGCAAATTCGTGTCAAATCGAGCGGGTGGTCAAATACCACCGTCGTTGTACTAGTATGAAGCGTATTGACTACCCGATTCCCCACAGTTTTGCATGGCAGTTCCGGTATTTTGAGAATTCCAGGTAGTATTGCGCTGTAACAGATCATATCCACGGAAAATGATTTTTCAGTCATGATATTTGTGGTCTAAAGTTAGGCGGATATCAGCCCATCCTGTTCCTGCAGACTCAAAGAAACTTCATTTCAGATCCAGTCAACATCACCACCCCGCCTATAACCTCAAAGTTTTTAAAGGCCGGACCAGGTTCGTTCTAACTTCTCTACATAGCCCATGTTACCACCACGCAGTATTCTCTAAACCAATTCCATTACCAGAATCAAGGATGTGGTAGGTCGGGTTTCTTCTTTTTTTACGTACTTTGCAACATATCAGAGACAAAGTAACCGAGGTGGATGACCGTGCATAAAGCTTTATCTATTAGTATTAAGTCATCAAACCTGCTGTGTGAATCACAAATACCATAAATTCATCTAGTCGGAGGTCTCTAAGTATCACATATTATTTTTCTAGGACTATCTAGCCATTGGCTTCAATTTTTAGTCCAGAATACTCCTGATTGCCTTGTCGCACAGCTACTCGCACGCAGCTTTCGGCATACTGTCAGTAATATATGAGAGAAATGTACTATTGTTCACGGACAACCGATAACATGACTTGTAACTTTCATGATGTCGACTGAGGTAAAGAAGACCTTCAGGAACCAGGAATGAAGTATAAGAGTATTTGTAATTGATAACGGTGATAGTCGGCCGCCAGCAGAGGCTGCATTCAAAACTTCAATTAGACTCAAAAATGCAAAAAGAAAGTCAATCATGAGTGACAACTTCACGTTCAAATATTGAATAGAATATGAAGGGAAGTGGTGGTAATTAGGTCATTGACTGGGTTATACCTAACTATTATCCGCGGAATTCTCTCTAAACCATGGCATTTGAAATGGCGGGCCTCGGCGGGAGCTTCAAGTGGTGGTGGTGGTGGTTGTTGTTACCTCGGCTATTTGAAGGTAATAATTTATGTTTCCGACCAATTAGATTCCCAAAGAATAATGTATTAAGTTACAAGGGAGGGGTTGTAGGTCAATTTCGTATTTCTTCTTTTCATAGTTGCTTCTTCACGGCGCTCTACTTGCTATCTTTGACAATCAATTCGACGAAAAGAATGGAGCATTTAAGTCGCATCCTTGACAGATCTACGAATCCTGAAAATGGAGTATTACATGGAGTGGAGTTTATCGTGATTGATGACTCAGGTACTCTGAATAAGTCTCCTTTAAAGTACAATGTGATTATTTTCTAACATGGACAGCGGATGTCATATTTCACCAGGCATCTGGGAAAGCCACCTTTGGATCTGATGAGATGACTCCATTAGAGACCAATTCTCTCTGTTGGATTGCATCTATGACAAAGCTTGTGACTGCAGTAGCTGTTATGCAATTGGTCGAGCGAGGTGATGTATCCTTAGATGATGATGTCTGTCAAATCATCCCGGAACTCAAAGACATTCCTGTTCTTCAAAGTGCAGGTCATGGTATGGAGTTGGCCTCAGAGGGTTCTCATCTTCTGGTTCAATAATGGTCACTGTAATTTGAAGTAACATATTTTGTACCCAGGTCGAATCTCTGGTCGAGACGCCACATCACCGTACCAAATTCAACCGCTACAAAATAAACTGACTTTACGGTTAGATACAGAAGTTGCCAAGAAACATAGAAGCATTAGTGTCGAAAAGGCTTATTTTTCTACACAGTCACCTATTATCTCACACCTCTGGGTTTGTCTATGACTCCTCGTCGGCCTTGCTACAGCAATGGTCAAAGGATCAAAATCGAACCACACACACATTCTGCGGAAGCTTAGTAAGTATAAACCTATTTCAACATTAACGCGCATGACAGGCTTTTTCTCTTAAATCAGTAGCCCTAATAATAACAATACCTTGGCTAGAATGGCTATCACCACCCATTGCTTTTCCAGCCCGGTACCTCATGGGGATACGGAGGTGGAATAGACTGGGCTGGCCGATTGGTACGCAGGCACTCCCCAAAATATTCAGATATGAGGTCTTTATCCGATACTAACGACGGACAGATTGAATACGTGACCCATTCCACTCTAGAGAAATTCATGCAATGTAACATATGGTCAAAGATCGGAGCAACCAACACAACTTTTCGTCCAGAGTTATATCAAAACAAGTTGCCCCATCAATTAGAAATGGGGCAGCGGACCAATGGTGGCTCAGGAAAAAGCTCAATCGTTCCAGGAAAGATCATTCTCAATCGGCCCACAGAAGATAATCTTGGTGGCATTGGACTCTTCAGTACTGCGACGGATTTTGCAAAATTATTATCAGCCCTCTTGAAAGACGGTTATCCGCTTCTCAGCAAGACCAGCACTGATATCCTATTTGGGACTCAATTGAGCGAGCAAGCTCGATTGGCAATGCCAAAGCATCTTGGCGCCCAGATGAGGCGGATTTTGGGCATCAAAAATGTCACAGATGTAGTACAAGCAGATCACACCTTGGCCGGAACCGTACTACTCAAGGATATACCCGGGCGTAGACGGAAAGGCTCGATCAACTGGAGTGGGTTGCCAAATTTGCATTGGGTATGTACCTCCTCCTGTTCAACATTTCCATCTCCTATGGACCATTGCCCCAAGCTACAGAACGAGCGCTCATCTTTGCATTTGTAATTCCCTAGTGGATCGACAGAGAAACGGGAATCGCGGCCGCATTGTTCACACAGATGATGCCGCCAGGGGACGCGGCCGTGACAAGCCTATTGATCGAGTTGGAGACAGCTCTTTACTCTCGATTTCAAGTCAAAAATTACGAAAAGAAAGAGGCCTTTAAACTTTAAAACGAGCTTCCCTGAGTCTTATGGCTCGGAAAAAAACTCATCGAAATCCACATAAATAAATTAAATATTTTCAAATCAAACCTACGATGGGGATTCGCCAAATTTATCCAATATTTACCGTTACAAGTGGGGAGCGAAGGTCAAGAACGTGAAGGATTGGGGTGCTGGTAGAACATCCTTCCACCGGGGGAGCGTGGCATATATTAGCATAGCAAATAAAGCGAAGGAGGCATAGGCGAGAGAAATGAGCCTGAAAATATTTGTCTGTCGACGAGATGTGATGCCACATCCAAGATCTACTTGAGCGATGAAAAAAAAAGAAAATCGATGCAAAAAGATATGGATAGAATATATTCTGTCATAGAAAGAGATGATGCTCGGATTGATCTATACCTAGGTGAACCGCGTCATGCAACCAACAGAAGGAAAAGACAAAAGAGAGAAAAAAAGCAGAGGGTGAATGATAGAGAAAAGACCCCGCAGGTGAAATTCAAGCGACCCAGCGCGTCATCTATTAAAACAAGCAGTGGGAAGGACAGGAAAATGGTCGTATCAAACGACAGACTGACAACTGGGTGAAATCCAGCACCCAGCAAAGGTATCGAGTGAATGACAGTTCCCACAAATAACATGAAAGGGGAGATGGGACGAAACGCAAGACTGGTAGACTGGTTATGCAAATCAAGCAGGCAAGGCCAGATAACAGATGAAAATAAACTAAATAGGGCGCCTCTCCAGACCAGATATCCAACCGAATGCGAGAGAAAGAAAAAGCAAACGCGAAATGAACTATGCCCGGTGGAATCCCTGTGATTTCCGTTTCATGCGATAAGATGCCCGAACGATGTGATGGTAGTGATGGTGATGTTGCTCCGGTGAAACCAGCCACAATGTAACAAAAAGTGATATGATCTTGCCCCTAGCGATGACTCCCGCAAATGTGATGTATGTGATTGAGTGGCTTGTCTCCACCGAATCAGAAACGAAGTTCAGAAGATTCCCATGTCCTGAAAATGACAAAGACCAGACAAGGCGAAACAGAAAATGGACGAACTCCCTGCCAAATACAAAAGTTCCGACGAGAGCTGGTACAAAGAAAATTGGGACAGAAAAAGACAACGAAAAATAACAAACAAACTGATACGAGACAATGGAGATATACACACAATTAAAAACATGGGGGGTATCGCTGCAGTGGGTATAGCAATGGCAACATGTAAAGAGGCAGAGGTGTGATGAAAGAATGTCAGCGACTGCAAGAGTGTGCCAGGGCGACCTTGCAAATGCCGAGAGGAAAGGTAGATGGGTGGGTGGGAGTGTGAAGAGAGGGCTCCATCATGGCACAAATGATGAAGTAGAGGTGGTGGACACAGTCGGAGTGAGATTCGGCGAGCTATCCTTATCATCGGGGCTCACAGGCTCACTCCGTTCTTGAGTCTGATCCTTCTCGCGATCCGTGGAGGATGAACGTTTGAATACAGTTTGACCGATCTGGCGCAGAATGCCCATGCGCTCAGCACGAAGCTCCTCAAGGTCCAAACGCTGGACGGGGATGGGGTCCTCCTTTGAGATGCGGCAAAATAGGGTCGAGAAGAGATATTGGTCACCGCTTCCATCATACAGAGGCAGATAGCGATAACCTTGGGACAGGCTGGTGAGCTTGGCAGTAAAGGTAGCCAGCTGCACGCTGTTGTTATTTCCAGCACTGCGGCCGTCCATGGAACTCCAGACCGTCCAGCGCACAAAAACCAGGTCAGGGTACTTCGTCTCCAGAGAAAGCTTGAACCGATCGTTGAAGACAGGGCTGTATCCGTTGCTCTGTTCGATCTTGGTGCGACGACGATGCGGGTAGCCAATACCTGACATGCCGTTGCGTGCAGAGGCATCCATGCCGCCTTCGCCGAAAACCAAGCTCTGGCCACGGTCATCAGCGCTGAACATCTCAATTTCGACATACGGGTTGATATTGTCTTCGGGCCCAATGCTGCGAGGCCGGGGAAGCTGCTGCGCCGAGATCACGTCAACTGAGAATCGAATGAGTCTGCGTTCCATCTTTCGCTTCGGTCCCTCATGGTCAGGAACTGGAAGGCGTAGGCTCTCAGGCTTGAGAACATAACCGGTACGGTCGGATCCAGCCGCGAACATGGCTTGATTCATCTGCATGCCGATATCGTAAGTCTGCCAGTTGAGTGCCGCCATCTGGACGCCGCGTCGCCAGAATTTGTTCGGGTCGAAGTTAGACGAGCGGAGACGGAAGCCCGAGGGATACACGCGGGTGAGATATTTTCGGTTATGTGATTCAAGTGAGATCTTGTTGTCATGATTTTGGCAAATGCTCTCAAAGGATCGCTCAGCGAAGGAGTAGACATGGTTGTATTTTCGGCTCTCAGGGGAGGAAAAGCTGTGCCACTTGTAGCCGCGTGTATAAATGCCCAGATCCGAGAGAGGCTTGGTGATTTTGCTCTTCTGGCGGCGACGCTTCTTCTTCTCATTGTGAATAGACACCAATGCGCCGTCGCTATCTTCGGTGGCACTACTCATGCTGGTTGCGGTGAGGGAACGTCGATCCTGGGAGATCAGAGGGCCGATGCCATCGACGGAACCAATCGTAGGCGGGCTTGAGAGCGCTGGGAGTGGAATGGAGCTGGGAGAAATCTCGAGAGGAGGGGTTGGGCGAACGAAAGGCGAGCTGGCACTTCGCTTTCGTCCATGCGTACCAACGGAACTCATGGTATCGGTGCGAGCATCGAACTGAGTCTCGTCGCATGTCTTGACCTTGACCAAAATGCGGCCCTTGAGCTCCTCCGGAGAGGGAAGAATAAAGCAGTTTGTCATCAAGGGCTCTAGGATAAGTTGATCCTTGAATGTGTCCTTCATGATTTTAACCATCGCCAGCTGTTGCTCGGCGTTGCAGTGCACCTCAAGAGAGAGGATGAGGGGGAAATCGCATGAAATGAATGCATAACGATTGATGACCGTAATGCAATCGGCAAAAAGGACACTGGTAGTCATGGTGCGTCCGTGGGAAACAATTGGACGCCCATCAGCACCATCCCAGCAGTCGATCTCCACACAACGGCACCCTTGCTGAAGAGCACTGATGTAGGCTTCCGTGCTAGAAGCGCCAGCGACTTGGCGACCCAGAAGGTAGGTGTTGTGGGAACTGGAGATAAAGTACTCATTCAAAGGCCGATCGAATCTTGACTGAGGGGCCTTGGATGCGTAGATTCCATTGCTAGGGGAGGCAAGGAAGGCAGAGAAAGTATCGAGGCTCATCCGAGATGGAGGGGAGGCATCCGACGTATCAGACCGGCCAGAAATAGAACGAGGCTTCGATCTCTTAACAAATTTCTCAAACAAACCAACCCACTGAGCGCGATTGGCATCAACATCTTCCTTCTGGACATGGCGAAGAAAGTCCAAGAACTCGTCCTGGGTCAACCCCATCTTGGAGTCTTCCGCACGAGTTTTATAAATCTCTTTTACATCCTTCCGTTCCTTGAGACGGGCCAAGAAGTCCTTGAACTCGGAAAAATTCAACTGACCATTCCGCGCAGCGTCGGCTTTGGTAAATTGGGCTCGGAGCATGTTCTTGGAGCAGTTGATGTGTAGGCTGCGGCACACGCTCTCAACAGCACCGAAGTCGAGGCTTTGTTCCTCACCTGGGCGGAGGCCCTGCGGGAACAGCCGAGACATCTCACGCTGCCAATGAGCTTGCAGAACTGCATCACTCTGGCTGGAACTTGCCAAGCCAGCCATGAGGCCAATGCGATACCGTGAAATATTTTCGAGAGTTGTGGTCCATAGATCAAGAATGCGGTCACTGGGGGCAATCAAGTGGAGCGTCTTGACGGCACGGCCCTTGAAACGCTCGGAGTCTGCAATGACAATGGTAAACCACCGACTCTCGGCATCCTCGGGAATTTGGTGCTCTTCACGGTAGTTACGAGCGTCGGCGCCGACTCGAATTTCTTTGATATCGTCGATATAGAACCGTTTGGCGGGATTGGAGAGATCCCAGAAAACCTTGGCGGCGTCTAGGTCCAAGAAGAAACGGACTTGTTTGCGGCGTTTCTTAGTCACCTTGGTCAAGACTGTTCCCCGCTGCACAGCGGAGTCCACCTTTGGAGCGATAGCGACCGCCGCAGTACTAACAACTTCACGGGCCGACATCATGCGACTTTCGCTACGAAGACTAGAAGGCTCAGAACCAGCCCACGCACCCAGGCCATCCAAGGCCTCATTGGTGTCGTCCTCGTTGCTCGAGTCCAAGGCGGTGTCTCGGGCAGACGACGGCTGGGTGCTGGTTTTGCTGTCACTCCGTCGGCGCATAATGACAGGGCCGGAGCTTCGATCTCGTTTGTCATTCTGGGATGCGGATTGTCTCCTTCGTGTCAATTTGTTGGCAGCACCGCGCGAGATTCGACGCATCAAACCCGGCGCCTTTGAGCTAGTAGCACCGGGATCCGTCACCCCATTGGTTTGAGGAATTTCGGGGACCGCCATCATAGACTCGCCGAGTTCGAGAGGGACGGGGTTTGTAAGGAGATTATTTCGACCGCGTGGTCCCTCGCTGGGAGGTTGTAGAGGGGTACCGGCGGGTGTGAAAGTATTCGGCGTGCCTGATACAGGGTAGGTTGAGGGGGATATAGAGATAGGTGAGGTTGTAAAGGAGGGTCCCGATGAAAGGAATGAGCCGGGAGGTAGGGAGGTAACGGCATGATGTAGTGAGGAAGTTCGAGGGAGAGAAGTTGCAAGTTTTAAGCTGGCTTGGGTCTCGGCATCCAGAGCCGGAGGTGAGGTTGCGGTTGTGTAGGCCATGACGGCTATCCGTTATCAGACTGACAGCTCAGCTGTCAATAAGTGTAATTTTAGTCTTTCGTGAACCGTGCCAACTTCTGAGTCACCTGGACTCTTTTAAGGGCGAATCGGTAACAGCGCAGGGGACCAGCTGGCCGTTCAAGGTTTGCAAGGGGCTAGGTTTGGAAAGCGATCCGAGCCAGGAGACGAAAAAGAAACGAAAAGCCGCTGTAGCCTGACACAGTAAGAAAACAATGATGGGGTTCAGCCACGTCCTCAGCAGAAAGGATCCGTTCTTGAACTCTGCATCTTGGCCTGGCTGGGATGCAATGCGGAGAGCCCTGCCGGAGAGCGCCTCACGGAGAAAAGCCGAGAAAAGAACAGGCGATTGAGAGAACTAGAGAACCCCAATAAAAGTCCCTGATAACAATTGCAAAGGGCACTGGCCCCGTGCAAGGACCTGATTCCCACGAGCAAGTTCTTCGGTGCTAATCACTAGCAATGGACGTCACACACCCGAGGAATGATCTCCGACTCCAAGGTTCCGGTCCGCAGCTCTGGCTTTCTTCTTTGGGAACCCAGCTGATTTCCCGGAGAATCTCCCCAATAACACCAATACTACCCCTCTTCTGCTTGTCGATCTGCCGGTCCGTGGGGAAAGCTGCTGCTCTGCACGAGGGAGGGGCGTTGCGATATGGGCCAATTGATCGCGCAACCGCTGCGCGAACCAGGGAGGGATGCGGCGCCTTGTGCTCGGGAGCCGTGCTAGAGAGGGGGTTAGATTGTCGAGCAGCACAATTCAGAGGCTTGGGGGATTGCACATATGTGGGTTCAATCCCGAAGTTCAGGAAGAGCCCCAAAAAAAGTTGCAGTCGCGTGTCCGGAATAGGCGGCGGCAGCGACAAGCCTGGAAAAAAAAAGAAAAAAAAAAGATCCTGCCGGGGTATATCCTTGTCGAGAAACGTCCGGCGACGATTGGTCACGATTCAAGACTAGCGATGCAGCGGGCGATGGGAGTATCCGTGCTAGGGTACAGGGAACTTTTTGCGGCACAACGAGGGCGGACCGGGTAATGCGATTTGAAAATCGAGAATTGCGACACTGCCAACGCAGTGGATGCAAGCGGTCCAAAGGGGAAAGTCAAGCAATCGGCGACAGGACCGACTTCGAAAGCTTGCTGATGTTGGATTTGGGCTTTAGTGCCGTTTCGTTGAACAGTCGCCGTGAGCTGATCCCGTAGCTGCACGGTTACGTGGTGGTGGCCACTAAAGTCGGGATGCGAAGTGGGTTGGAACTGCTCCTGCAGCGGTAATCGGGATGATCATGGGACGGGGGACCGGAGGAAGAGGAGGACAAGACCAGTGTTCTCCTTTTTTTGACGGTGAGCGTTCAAAGTAGGGAAGATGTTCGAAGGTTGGATGGGGGGGGAAGGAGAAGAAGAAGGGGGGGTAGGGAAAATAATTAAATCAATGAATCAATCCCAGCGATTCCGCCGAGTTGGAATTGAAGCTGGAGTGGGTACGGACGGGGTACTGGGTACTTACGCTGGGCGTTGCAGGCGGTATGGAACACACCGTACCGGGTACCTGTACCGTATGACTGAGAACGGTATTGCGTACCGATGGGGCGTGCGTAATACCGTCGTAAGGTGAACTCTGGGAATCCGGAAATCTTCTGCGACTAAAGATCTAACTGTCTAGGGCTGCTCTGGTCTAGAGACTAGTCGATATCCTGGGATTTTGCCGTCACGAACAGCACACGTGGATGATTGCCAAATTGCGACCGTTCTCGATCGGGAGTAAAGGAGGTTCGGGGAGTTCGAAAAAACACCTCGTAAGCTTCGGCGGGAATGGCGTGAGGTACAGATGAAGGTGCCGAGACCCTCGACGATAGTATGGAATAGTCTGTTTGAGACGTGGGGAGACAAGGTGCATCCACACTTGATCTTAATCTGGAGAAGGGAGGAGTGTGGAAAAGTAAATATAAATCAATCCACACCCGTGAATCTTCCAGCGATGGGGCGAGATGTAAGGATGGGCGCCGTATCTATGTATAGATATAGATGTCCTGAAGGATGAGGCTTAGAGCACCCGACCAACAACGCACCCAGACAGAAGATCAAGGAAATCGAAGAAGGATTTGGGGCGAAAGGGCGAAAAACCAAAAAAAAAATTGAATGAATAGGATCAAGCGCCTCTCGGACACATGCCCGTAATTAAATAATAACGACGATGTGGAGCAGTATCGAGCAGCGACGAACAACGCATAGCAACGGCCCAAGGCTCGAACCAAATGAACCAAGGAGGGGGATACGATTTCCTAGGGTGAGTTACGACCGTTGCCTATGGCCGGTGCCTATCAGCGTACAGAATGAGCTTGGGTAGGATATTGAGGGGGATGACGATGTGGAATGACCGCACACCAGCTCCCGATGAACAGATCTCATTGTTGGGTGCGATTGGCCGATCCCGCTGATTCCTGGGGAATGTTATCGGCCAAACGGAGGACGATCAGTGTTTCAGATGGAAAAGGGGGGTCTTTGACATATGTCGAAGAATTGCAATGACGGTTTATTGTTTAGGGTCATCTACGGAGTATACCCAGTATACTAGGCTGGGACTCAGGACACAGGAGACGGGATATACTCTCCTTGGACCCACGAACATTGTTGATGATCGACCTCACTATGTTCCCATGTTACTCCCTATGTAACTATGCATTCTACCTCTTTGTTTTGGGTGCCTAGCACTCGTTGCCCTGGATCAGGGGTCTGTCTCCGGTAGAAAGGTGAATCGGGGGGTGACATGGGACTTGGGCTCTACGGAGGATTTCCTCAACCAAGTGGAGACCGCGCGAGCAGTCTATTCTATTCAGACTTCCATAGTCTGACAACTGGGTGCCGGGCTCCAGTTCCCCCACACCCTGATTTTTGAGTCATCCCGCTTCGCTTCTTTTCTGATCCTTTTTCGAGAATGGACAGTGGGCCTGGTGTTTTGATTGCCGTGGAGTTTTAAGTCTTAGTGCTCCTGTCGGCCATACCAGCAGGGACCAAGGCTAGGTACATCGTACATTAAAGGGAGTTTACGTGCCGTGCAACGGTATTGCCGCATACCTGGGTATTGTGGCTCACCTCGTCATTCTTACCCAGCGTCCTGTCACTCCGTACGATAAAATACGTCCTGGCCCAGCACCGACACGCCGGTCCCGGGGGAGAAGATGCGGAGCACTCGGATTCCTGCTGGGTCTCTTTTTGTTCGCTCTTTTTTTTCCCTTTCACACAGAGACCGCCTCCATACCTCAATGAACCTTAGTGGACATCCCTGTTAATTCGTCGACGATGATGGGATAGGCTGTATTTCGGTTTTAAGGATCGGGTGCCTGTCCCTGCCCAACTGGTTTGGCGTGATTTTTGGAGTCTTACGGGGTGTACTGCAGAGGGAAACCGCGTGTGCCACAGACGGTCGATCACGATGCACATCATCATTCCCTCCTATTCGACCAAGAGACCCCTTTTTGGTGGGGAGAGGGGGGGGAAGATGGTTCGGCAACCTCGCGTCATCCTCGTACACCGCACACAAGACCCAAATCCAAGAAAGAAAAGAACGAACGTGGGAACCCGAGCCCAAAGAGGTCCTGAATATAGCTTGTACACCGTCATTTTTCGTTGTGTTTTGGGACGGGGTGCCGGTATTGGCAATGCTGCTCTGGAAACCCTGTTGAGGCTGGGGCCAAAGTGGCAGTGAAACGGTTTGGGCGGTGCAGATGGGCCCCCCGGTGGATCCCCACAAGGAGCCAGCGAGAGATCGTCGGGATGTTTGGGAGCCCGTTCTCTGACGAACCCTCCTAGTGGATGAAGTGGATGAAGTGGAGGAGAGGGGTGGATGTAGGGAGACTGGGACTGGATGATCAGATAGTATCCGTACATACTTCAGATGTCATTTTTTGAACATGTTTGATTGCGAGCGGCCGCCAAAGCTCCTTTTGCTCCCCCGCCCTTGGGTTCACCGCATAGTCCTCCATATACATCCTCGGGAGCGGTCTGTTCGGTGGTGGATCGCATGGTCTTGGAGTTGAAACGTTGAACGCAAGGTGGAAGGTCGGTGTGAAGCTTGAAGCTGGGGTTTCTTTACCATCTTTGTCATCGTGGCAATTGGCAACAAAGGGCCATTCGATCGGTTCTCCTTGACCCCACGAGTAGTTTCGAGGAGCGCGAAGGAAGTCTCCCCTCTCCCAATCCATCGCGTCCTGCACCTGCACGATTCCTTCGGCGGGCACTGGATTCTGTACCTGCGGACCAGTGTGCATACATTCGTGTTCGACTAGTCAATACAGCCGAATTTACTGCTCACTGATAACATTCGCGGCATTCTGCGGGGTCACTGCCAACCCCGCGCTGGTTGATGCGTTGGCGATATGCCGTGCCCGCGCTCAGCCTGGTTCCCTGATTTTTGGTTCCTTGCTATCCGCTACACCCGGGCTGCGAAGGATTGAGCATCGTATGAGAGGCGGAGAGGACGCGGAGCAAGCTGACGGTCGACCCCTCATTGATCAGATCCTCTGGCCTGCAGGCCCAGTGATGGCTGCGAGGCCCTTAGCGCAGCCAATCCACAGGGCCCGGGGGCCTCCAGCGCCAGCGCCTCCTCGGGTCCTGAAGCGGCTTGACAGGCTCAAAGGAAGAAGTATGAAATCTATGGTCCGTGGACGCCTGCTCGGAACGCGCCCTCGGCACGCTGGTAGACTGGACTCTGTTTGGGTTCCATGGGATTTGGATATCTGAATAGCTTTGATACAACATGCGGGGCCCAGGCATGCCAATGCGGATCCAGAGAAATTGCCTGCCTGGAGTCCCGGACGGGTCGCAACCTTTGGTGTCGCGGTCTTGCGTGTCTCATGCCTCTGCGCCGCTGCGCCCACTCTTGACTTCACTCCTCAGGGCTCCTCCGCACACGTGCCCGGCGCTGTTGGGTGGAGCTGGCTCACGATCATAGGTGGCCTTGCTGTTCCACCACATGGGATACATG